AATAGGTTCATCCCGCAACAACTTAATAATAGATTACTTACGCCACTGTCGAGTGAGTTTATAATCACGACAATGATAATCCAACATATATAAATGGAACAATATTTCATTTATGAATATAATTGTTGTTGAATATGTAGCGGCAGCACTAAAAAGGCTAACATTAGCTTAACCTAACTGAAGGTGAAGGTAGCTAATATAAGTAGAATTTAGAGTGTGCTGCACTGTCGTATATATAATAACACATGATATATACTGCATAATGTAGTATTCGTTCCCCCTACATTGGGTTTATTGGAGCTACATAGTCCAACGTTACTATGCACAAAAGATGAGCAGTTTAACAACAGCAACTCTGTTTAACAAGTCTAACCACAGTTTGTCTGCTTCAGCTCAATAACAATTAAAGCTCAATAATTTGATTTCATCATCAAATAATGTCTATTTCATGTTTAATAAAAGATATTATGCGGATTTCCAGAAATTAAAGGTCCCTTGGCCCAGTTGGTTAAGGCGTGGTGCTAATAACGCCAAGATCAGCGGTTCGATCCCGCTAGGGACCAATTTTTTAAGACTTCTATTACCTTCTTTTTCATGTTTGCATTTTCTAAACCTTAAAATGTATGACAATGTATTAGACCTCTTACATAAATTGATGTCTTGTATACTTTTTGTGTCATTACTTATTGATATTACGGGTAGGACGTATATTTCTGGTTAGTTGTATAAAACAAGACGAAAAGGAGAGAGTATAGTTTTAAATTGTAAGCCATAAATGCTCTAAAATAGAAACAAATACACCCAAACCTGTTACAAAAAATGTAAAACATTCATTGCAAATATCAGTTCTTTTATTTAGGTTCAACAGAAAGAGTTTTACTAAAACAATCGTTTTTCATAAATGAGTAGGTTATCTTTTATCTGAATGTTCAGAATACAGAATATTTATGTTCCCTGTAAAGATTCCAAGCTAAGAAGATATATATTATTGCATTTTAATAATGTCTGAACTAATGGTAGAGCATACGCCGATTTTCATTTTTAAAATATATATACGAAGCAATAGTTCCAAAAGAATTTGTTGTTTCAATAATCTAATCAAGTATTTTCTTTTATGAAAATAGAAATGCCTGTTTTGTTATAACTAATGTAAAATGCAGAAACAAATTTTATTTTTATTTTATATTAGACACAATTATTTGTAATTGTATATATATTTATACATATGCTGTTTACTTTATCCAAATGACATTATGTCAGTACCCTAATAATTACCTTCTGCCACCCTTCTTTTTATTTTTACCATTACCTACTCTCTGTTTCTTATAAGTACGCTCTTGGTCGGTGGTACGATCATTTTGGGTCTTTTTATAGGAACGGCCACCTTCTTCTAATGCTTCATCTCTCTTTCTCTTCTTACTGTTACTTTCCTTCTTAGTCTTGGACAGGGCACCGAGTAATTTATTATTCTTTTTATCCTTTTCAGATTGGAACCATGTTCTCTTTGGTCTAGATTGGATCTCATTCTTGTGTTTTAACATATTTTGACCTTTCTTGATTTGCATTTCTGCTCTAAGAATATCTTTCTCTTGTTTCTCTTCCTCTAAAATCTCATCAATAGTATCTGTATTTTTTTCTATCAATTCATTGGTTTCTTCTACTTTGGTCCAGTCAACATTTCTACCTAGAGCCTTACCTCTTTGACCCTTTGCAGCAGTCTTATTAACATTTTCAACACTATTGATAGCATCCCTCACGATACTTCTTTCCTGAGTCGATTCACCAACGAATGTAATGGAACGACCTTCTCTACCAGCTCTAGCTGTACGACCAACTCTATGAAGGTAAATTTCGTAACTCTTAGGCATGTCATAATTTATGACAACCTCAATTTTTGGAATATCTAAACCTCTGGAGGCTAAATCGGTACAAATTAGAACAGGTACTTCTAAACTTTTAAATTTGCTAACAGAGTCCAAACGTTGTTCCTGTGACAAAGAACCGTGTAACTCCGCAGCTTTCATACCTAATAACCCTAAAATAATTCTCAATCTGTGAGCCAGCTCCTTTCTAGCTACAAAGACAACAATTCTCTTTTGTCCCATGTTATCTAATTTTCTAATTAGATTAAATAAAAGGGCAGGTTTCAATTGATCTCTTTTACGAATTCTTACAAATTCTTGGATCAATCTTGAGGCAGCTTGTTTCGGTGGGTTTATCATAATCCTAACGGGTTTCCTTAATGAAAGTGATATTAGTTGCTTAATTTTAGAATTCATAGTTGCAGAGAATAACAAATTTTGTCTTTTGGTCGGTAAGAGTTCCATGATTTCACTCAATTCATCTTGGAAACCTTCTTCTAACATTCTATCGGCTTCATCCATAACCATAATTTCAACAGAATCAACATTAAAACTCTGAGAGTTTCTAACATGATCAATAAATCTACCTGGTGTTGCTATGACAATATCTGGACGAGATTTTAACTGTTGCTCTTGTTGTCTTAGATTCAAACCACCGACGGCCAAACCAAAAGTGATGTCTGGGACAAATTGGGCTATCTTTTTACCTACATCAGAAATTTGGATAGCCAGTTCACGGGTTGGTGTTAATACAATAACTCTTGTGGAAGCAACTCTTGCAGGTTTGTATAATAAACGTTCGATGATAGGAATCATGAAAGCTGCAGTTTTACCAGAACCTGTAACTGCACCGGCAATAATATCCTTACCAAGTAACGCAATAGGAATTGTGGCACTTTGAATTGGAGATGGTGTAGAGTATCCTAGGTTGCTCAAACCCTTTAGAACAGGACGAGAAAGAGCCAAAGAGTTAAAGTTGGAATGGGTTTGTTCCTTTGCTTCTAGTGATTCACTTTCAGGAGCATAAAATTGATTGACTGCATCTGCAGAATCAGCATCATCATCTTCTTCCCCTACCTCTTGCTCTTCTTCCTCTTCTTTTTCTTCTTTTTCTTCTTCTTCCTCTTCTTCTTTTTCAACTTCTTTTTTAGATGTGCCCATACCAAAACCATCCATAGCTAATTCATCATCGTCGGATTCATGTTGAGGTTCTTCTTCTTCTTCTTCTTCTTCTTCTTCTTCTTCTTCTTCTTCTTCTTCTTCACTATCATCGACGTGTGCCATTTTAATCAAACCACCTTTTCTTCTGATAATTTGATCCAAATCGACATCTTTTTTAGCCATTTCATCACCATTACCATTCGAACCAGTGTCATTTAAGAAATCCCAACCTTTGAATCCAGTATTTGCTTCGTCGTTATCAACATCAAACTTAAAGTCATTATTAATATCTTCATGACCTTCCTCATCCTCACCATCCTTAGGTGTGTTAAGTTGTTTGGATTTCTTTTTGTTCTTTTTCTTTGGTTCTTCTACTTTTGGAACTTCCTCATCAGAAACATCTAAATCAGGAACATCAGATTCGCTGTCACTGATTGTTGGCACGAAATCTAATGTGCTAAACTTCTTTGATTTAGGAGCCATGATTGTAAGAATAAATTCGGTGATTTCTACAATTATTGTAACTTATCCAGAAGATAATATATAATCCTGTTAAAAAAAAAATTATATACAAATATATTAATTGTGACAGTCCTTCCACTTATTACTTTTGAAAACTTTCGGCCCATCCCATCTCATCGCATCTCATCTCATCATAAAGCCAAAGTTTTCAGAGTTTTCAGATTGAAAAATTTTTGCAACGTAAAAAGTGATAACTATTATGAGATGAGATATTTGGTTGAAGAAGAATAAGTAGAAAACCATTTGGTTTGGATAGTATTCACTCTACAACATATATTAATGTATCAATCAACTTATTTAAAAATCACCCATTATATGTGATTCCCTTTAGATTTGTGGAAATAGTATGAAATATAGAACTATCACTTTCAACGATGTGGCAATAACTCCTTTGTCTCCGAGATAGTTGTATAGTTTAGTCATTTTTGATATTTCTTAGTAATATACGATTCTGTTCCGCTTTTTCACTGTGGCGAGGAGGGAAACCAATAAATTTAATATACCCAAATATATAAAGGAAGACATCATCACCAAATATAATTTTAGGGTCATATTTGTAATATAACTTTCAACTGTTGTTGGTTTTTTAGTCTACTACTTTAGTTTGTTCTGAATTAATCAAATCCATAGTTATTAGACCTATCATAACTAATTTACTTAAATAAACTAATATATCAAGAAAAAAATGGCAGAAGCTACTGGAAACGATTCAAAACCTGCTGAAGATAAACCTAAACCATGTTGTGTCTGTAAACCTGAAAAAGAAGTGAGAGACCAATGTTTACTTTTCAATGGTACTGAGGGTAAAGGTGCTGAAAAATGTAAAGAATTTATTGAAAAATACAAGGAATGCATGAAGGGATACGGATTTGAGATATAAAGAAACACATCTAATAATGAAATTCAAATGGTTATTTACAAATATCAAATATTCAGTATATGGTATTATCATAACATGTAAATATTAATTCATATTCCTCTACTAACGAAATAAAATAAAACAATATATGTATATATATTATTTTAGTGAGTGACCTTCAATGTATGTAAACAAAATCAAAATATTTTATGTAAATATAAGACAACTAATACAATAACATTATTGAAATTTAAAAAATAAAAATACCATGAATATAGCTCTTAGTAGAATGTATATATATATAATTTATATGTGTGTATGTACGTTTTTATGCTTGAAAATGTATAAAATGTTTCTTTTTTGAATAAAATGCGAAGTTTAATAGTAAATCAAAGAAGGAAAACAAGTGAAAGGATGCAAGATAACAGGGTCACATAATTAGACTCCCACTTCAAAAAAATTTAAAACCATTGATTATACTGATATTGGCTCTTCTTGAATCGGTAGTAATTCAGGATCATTAAACCTCATATTCTCTGCAATCGGTTTCCCAATTCTTTGAACTGCATCAGTGGCCCATAAAACATCCAAATGTGAATATTCGTTAATGTACCAAATTTTATAGTTTACATTATTTTCATGTTTAACAAAATGATTAATTAATCTTTCACCATCAACTAATCTATCCTGTTTTGGAACAAACAATAAAATATTTGGGTTTGAATCCTTTTTCCCCGGATTAAATTTATCAAACCATGCAGAAGTTTCAGGGAATAATTCATCTGGTTTATTTTTGAAACTTGGTTTAGATGAATCAGACCCCAACCACCATTTCATTAACTTAACAGAAACATATACTGGTGAAAATAAGAAATGTCTATTTCTTAAATTTGAACCACCCCAAAGGGTATCATTCCAATCAAATAAATAATTGAAAATTGCATAACAGATAAATGAAAAGAAGGCTTTACCAACACAAATATTTCTAACAATCATCATAATTCTTAAGAAACATTTGTTACCAAAGACGTATTTACTTTCTATACCCTTTGCTAGAAGACTTATAACAACACTATCAAATAATAAAGGACCAGGATATGTGGCAGGTGCCAGTGCAATGAAATTTTCGATATCATTAACGATATCATTATAGTTATTGATTAAGGCTAAAAAAATTTGAGTAGTACCTTGAGAATGACCGACTAAAGATATTTTTTTAAATTGAGTCTTACTCTTAACAAATTCAACCATAGCAATTAAATCAAACTCTGCCATTTCATTAATGTCCCAATCCCAATATTCGTCATCATTACCTTCTGTAGTAAAACCTATTCTATTATTACCTAACCAGATATCGTAACCTAAGGAGTAGAAATAATAAGCTAAGGAATTTTTTGAACCTGATGCAAAGGCACCAGAACTCTGTAAAAGACCATGGATCATTAATAGTGGTTTACGTTTTATATTTTCATTAGCGGGGTTTTTAAAATGCCATACATCTAAAGTATAATTATCTTCAGTTTTAATTTTAAATTCTTCGATTTCAATATCATGTAAACCAAAATAATAATTTAAAGAAGGAACGAGTCTACATTCTAAATGGTCTATGGTATTTTTTTTATTTGTCATCTTAATGTCTTCATAACATTTCTTATGATGATTACGAGAACCTTTCGAATTATCATGAATAATACGATTAGATGATTCAACTATTTTAGTTCTTGATGATCTTGTATCTCTATAATCTGGTTCAGTTTCAAAAAAAGTTGTGGTATAATGATGAATCAATGATAACAACAATACTACTCCCATAAAGGAATCAAGTAAGATACCAGCAATTATTCGACGTATCACTTCTAAAGTAGCTTCCAAGTACATTTTGTATTTTGAGATTATATATCAGGTTAACTGAAAAGGGAGAAAAATATTAAAGTTCTCTATTAGTTCTTTTTGTTCGAGTATATCAATAATTTTGTAGTTTGACACAAATATAATAGTGAAAAAATGAAATAATTCTTGAGAAAAACAAAATTGATTATTATCTCGACTGTATTATCTGCAGGTTGCAGTTTGCTTAACCAATTTCTCTGATCCTGATAAAATAAACAAATGATAGATGTTTTTATTAAGATCTGTCTTGCAAAGTTATAACTTCTCTCTTAAACTGTTCAGTCTGAATATATAAAAAGAAAAGACACTAAAAAAACAAAAACAAAAACAAAAAAAGAAACTAAATCTTATGTCAATCTGTTTATGAAAGGAAACAACACAAAAAGTACTGAAATATTACAACAACTAAAGTTCGATTGTTTTAATGCAATAGTGTTATTCTTGAAAACAATAGTAAGCAAGAAAAAACAACAGATGAACTTTTAGAAGCAAGTCCATTGTTAATAAATATGCGTGTGTATATATATATATATATGAATCTTTTTACAACATTTCCTTCTGAGTACAGATTGTATTGCTTCAGGGACGTGTAAGAGAATAACAGTTCTCTCTATAACTATCTTAGGTAAATTGTGCCTTCTAACTTAGTAAACAGTAAATATTGATGATGATAATAATAAGAATAATAACACAAATAAGTATGGTAATGTTTTTGTATTAGGTAAAATTGCATGGAAATTAAAGTGATGCAAAATAATAAAAAAACCCTGCGTTAAACTTCGCCATGTTCAAAGAAAACCTTGAAGAATACTTTGTCTGTGTCTTTTTTTAGTGATTGATTATTAAATCGAAAATTAACTGAAAATTTTTTTGAGAAAAAATTGACTTTCACTGACCGGCTCGTTTAATTTTGATTAATTTTTCTTACTCGTTTATTAGAATTTTAAAGTGAAAAAAAAAATCATTTTTTGAGTGAAAATGGCGTACCTATAACAATTTCGATTTTAACGACAGGTTAGTCTCGTTTATAAAAACAAATATTAAGGACAGGGGGATAGATAGCCTTGATACTTTTCTGTACTAACTAGGAAGTGAATGTATCAGAAATTCCTGAGGTAAACTTTTTTTAATTTGAATAAACGAAGGGGAATCATAATAATAGAGAACAAGAACAAGAAGAATAGTTTGTTTTGTGTAGGTTTTCATTTCTGTATCGAAGCTTCTAAAGGAAACTATTAGACACAGTTTTTTGGAATTGATAGAAGAAGAGAACCATGACTACATGAGATCTCTCCGTCTGTTAATTTCTATGTCTCCTGAATTAATTGATGTGGGGGTAAAGAAGTCTCTTTATACAGTCTCTTACATTTGTAACAGTCGAATAAATTGCTAAGCCACAATATCTTCAGGTTCCTGGCTTGAATAGGAAAACGTCAAAACAATGCAATATAAGAATAAATTGAAAAAATTATATATAAAACTAACCTATTTCTCGTAGTATATAGCAAGTGTTTGTCTAAACTATGATATCTAATCGCAAAATGTCGGAGTTTTCGAACTTGAATCGTTTTTAACTTTTAATGATACTGAAGCTATGGAAAGTATAGATAATTAGTTTATAAATTATACAACCTAAAATTTAAAAAAAGGAAAGAAAATGGATTAAGTCATCTTTTCCGATATACCCATTTAACTTCCTATCACTAAGTACAACAGAAAAACTATTAAGTTTGTCTCTTTCCAAAAAAAAGAAGACCGTTTGGTTTTTCTTCCCTTATTTCCGTCACCATTTTATGAAAAAAAATATACAAATGATTATATATTATCAGCACTATAAAGAAACAAATGCAAAATGTAATATCTAGTAAAAAGATTAGAGTTGGAAAAGTCACCTTCTTGAACTATGATAAATGATTGTAATCATATATAAAAAATTGATCAATATATGTGTCATCTTGATTAAAATAACATTATAGAGAAATATATAATGTTATCAATAGTAGACTGTTCAAACGATGCAACACATAAATAACGATAAACTTATTATCTAATAAAGAAAATATTTTGTATACTGATCAGTTGTCATATGTGGTGTATTTAAGTTGTATAAAACTTCTCATTTCATTATTTAAATTTTTTTGTTTTGTTAAAAAGTTTTACTTCAGCCACTTAAGTTGAAATGCCTTTGAAAGGTTGTTTTCGTAAACAAAACGATAAAAGTGATAATCCAAGACACTAAAAAAAAAAATTTAAACATTTAACAATATATAATGACAGTAATCAAGAACGCAACTTAGTTACAACATTTTAAAATACCATTAACAGGTATCGCTTACTATTGACAAAACACTAATCCAAAAAAAAGGTCCCCATTTTTCAACACATTAGAGACTATATTTAGTATTTTGTAATGGTTTTTAGTGGCCTTGTATATTTCACCTTGAGAATATGTAACTAAAAAAATAAAGAAATATATTACAATACTATGTATTTGTCTCAATTAGTTCCATTTAGATAATTTCCCTTTGTTTTTTTTTAATTCAATAGTTTCAATTAATTATTATTTATTTTAATTTCCTACCAATCAAACAATGAAAAACATGTATACATTCACAAACCAACAGATTTCTTCAATGATACTGTACTCATTACATACTAATAAATATGATAGGATATTTCCATAAAATACGTATTATTGTATAGCATAGTATGATATGGCATACTTTACGGTATGACCTTTACTTTGTTCTCTCTCTGTGTCTTCTCCGAATAAAATTGATTTTCCATTTTTTTTCTTGCGATATCGCGAAGAAAACGAAGTAGAATTAGTGACAGATGAATCTAATTGGTGGTTACAAAAAAAAAACAGACGCTATTTATTATATATATGCAGACAGACACATTTAATAAAAAGGGGAGAGTTGAGTAAAGGCAGACTAGCTAACGGGTGGATGCGACATTCGTTTGAAATTAAGTATCCTGTCTCTATCTTTTTTATTTCTCAGTTTTTTGTATAAAAAACAAGTCTCTTTTAATATAATCTTTTACTAATAAATATTTTAGTTGTATTACCCCATGTCAGAAAACTCGTCCCTCGTGTATCATCAATATACTATAATACTTTGAAAAGGAGTGACTATCGTATATAATTAAATAATTCTTGAGATACATATCTTGATAATAAAATATGAATATACCGCCTACCGCACACAGGGGTTATCTCAACACTTAAAGGTTCGAATCACTGAACTACACGTTTTCTAATTAAAGTTAATAGAATAATAGACTTTCCTTGTTATACGTACATCTTGTCTTTCCCTTTTAAAGTTAATTTAACCAAGGGAGAGAGAGAAAGAGAAAGATATTAACGGAGATAACAAACGTAATTCAAAAAAACAAAGAAGTAGTCAGAGAGAGAAAGATCATTCATTAAACAATAACTACATATATCCTTACTGATAATAATAACGTTTGCGTTCACAATCATCTTACATTTCTGTATAACCCTTAACCATTCCTCAAGGCCTCAAATACTAAGATTCAATGGCAAAAAAAGGGTATTAACTACTAATCTAATCTCCAATACTCTTCTTGTTCTTATTATTTTAGAGAGACAAAACTATTGGCTCTCTCTGTACCTTCTCCATTCCGCCATACTAAGAAAATTGGTTTAATTTTCTTAATTTGTCCATCACGCATTCTCTCACAGCTTTTCTCTGTCAATCCGAATAAAAAAAAGGAAGAAGAGAGACGGGCCCTCGTTTTTTTCTTTATAAATTTTTCTTGTATTTTTTTTGATAGGGTTCTCTTTTGGAAGATGATAATATTAATAAATTTTAAACTATCAAAGGCTTTTTTTAATAAGTTTTTACACCTTTTTACAATTTTATTTAGCTTAAATATTTTAGTTACAAAGAAGAAAATAATTTTATTAGTACTTACAGATAATCAATCATCTACAAATAACTATTGCATTTTATTCTTTTGCACCTCCCCCCCCCCTTTTTCAAGAATTAAAACCCGTATATCATTAGTTATAAGAATAGTAATAAGAGTTTTTTAATCCTCATCACCCACATTTTTTATAAAGTTTTTTTTAATTTTTTTATTTTAGAAAAATTATTTGTGAACAAACTTCTATTTCTTACTTCTGTTTTTTTATTTTATTCTATTTCTATTCTATTTCTCTGTTTTATTTGCAATGGCATATCCAATAGATGGTCTAGGCAATAACGACATCAATAATACAAGTCAAACTAATAGTATTAACTCTCCAGCTAGTGATCCGTGGTTAAGTCTATCAAACAATAACAACAACAGCAATAATAATAATATGGATGCAGAACTAGCCTCAATAGTCTCTTCATTAAGTGCACTATCTAATCCAAGTAATAACCCTAATCAATCTAATCAAATGATAAATTTAGGAGCAGGAACATCTTCTTCAATCGATCATCAACTTGGTGGGTTTAGAAGAAATAGTTTCACTTCTAGTGATATCGATTCAGATATCTTGTTGAATTCAAATGGTTTGTCTGCTATGAGTGTTGGTACAGGTGGATCTACTAGTAATTTAGATATGGGATCACCTTTATTGCAAAGATCTACTCAATCAATTGGAACTGCTCCTCCTTATACTTCGAATATGTTTAACATTAACTATAAATTGTTTCAAAATAATAACAATAACCAACAACAGCAACAACAGCAACAGCAACAGCAACAGCAACAGCAACAATATTTATATCAACAACAACAAATGCAACATCCAGATTCTAAGTCGGTTAGTTTTGCCTTAAATTCATCAAATACTATGAACAATCAGAACCAAATGAATGCTAATCCATCTGCAACTAATTCTTCCTTTAACCAGCCTAAGATGATGGGGAAGTACTCTGCTAGTATTGCAGGTCCTATCCTTCAAAACGATTCTTATTATTATTATAATAATAACAATAACAATAATAATAACGAGGGTGGAAGTCAAAGTATTGCTCATTCACAAGCTTCTGTAACTTCTAACAGAGGTGGGTTTTTCCAACAACTGGGTCAATCTTTAATCGAAGGTACTAAAGAATTAGAGTTTGATGGGTCTCCAAATAATTTGAACAATCGTGAAAGTACTTTTGGAGGTAGTCAACTAACTTTGGATAACTCTGTTAGATCATCTGATGTTGAAGAATACACTGATTACAACAGCAGTGGTACAGCTGCTAATGATAACACCACCAATAATAACAACAACATGTTCCTTAATGCTGTCAATGCACCATCATTCAAACCAAATACTGACAACGATAATTCTCCTCCACAACAAGCAATGGTACAAGGAGGTGGTGCTAACTATTTCATGAATTATCAACAACATCGCATGTTTAACAATGGTTCATTCTATCCACCTGCTGCAGCAATGAACAACTATCAACAATTCTCTATGGGTGAAAACAATAACCCAGGTAATTTTATTCCACAGACGATGTTTCCAAATAATAGTGATGGCACAGATATGAATTCTGTAAATATGGAGAAAGTCCCTGGATCAACAGAAAATGTTATTATCGGGAACTTCTCACCAATTTCTCCAAACGCATTACCTGTAAATAATGTATCGAATATTCAACAACATGACCCTCAAATGATGTTTATGCCACCACAACAACAGAACAATAGTAAAAAGAATCCATATATCTATATTCAAAACCCAGGTCTGGGATCTCCACCAGGCGCAAACCCTGCATCATTCGCTGTTAATAACCAAAAGATCATTAATCCTGATAATACTAATAATAGCCATGTAAATAACAATAATAAGTCGAAAGCTCTATTTAAGAACAGTGGCCATAATCAAAATATGAACTTGGATAATAATTCACATAAACATCGCAAGAATAACAACAATAGTCATGCTAATCCTTATTTGGATCAATCACAAAATTATGGATCTCAAAATAAATTTTCCAAACAACCTTCAAATAGTAATGCATCTCCTTTTTCCTCCAAGGATTCTTCAAATTCCAACACTTCAGTAAGTTCAAATCCAGAGGAGAATGAACTTTCTCATGAAAGTGGCAGGAAGAAAAATAATAACAATAATAATAGCTCTGCTACCGCCAATCAAGCCATATACCATAGATCACCTTTACTAGAGGATATCAGAAACTATGCAACAAACAACAATAATCCTACAGATGACGGCAAGACTTATTCATTAAAGGATATTTTAGGTCACACTTTGGAATTCTGTAAAGATCAGTATGGTTCTAGGTTTATACAGAAAGAACTTGCAACAGCTTCTCCATCTGAAAGGGAAGTTCTATTTAATGAAATTAGAGATGATTCTGTAATGTTAGCCAATGATGTCTTCGGTAATTATGTTATTCAGAAATTCTTTGAATTTGGATCCACCACTCAAAAGGATATTCTCGTCGATCAATTCAGAGGTAGAATGAAAGAATTATCCATGCAAATGTACGCTTGCAGAGTGATTCAAAAGGCTCTAGAATTTATTAGCCCAACCCAAAGAATTGAATTAGTTGATGAGTTGAAAGATTGTGTTTTGAAGATGATTAAGGACCAGAATGGTAATCACGTTATTCAAAAAGCTATTGAGAAAATACCTATTGATCTACTGCCATTTGTCTTGAAGTCATTAATTGGCCATATTTACCATCTATCAACACATTCTTACGGCTGTAGAGTCATCCAAAGATTACTTGAATTTGGCTCAGAAGAGGACCAAAAGGCTATACTAAGTGAATTAAAAGATTTTATTCCTTACTTGATTCAAGATCAATACGGTAATTATGTTATTCAGTACATTTTACAACATGGCTCAGATAATGATTCTACAGAATGTTTAATACAAACGAAACAAGATGTGATTAATATTATTTCTGAAAATGTTGTGGAATTTTCAAAACATAAGTTCGCATCTAATGTTGTCGAAAAAGCGGTATTATATGGTACTAAGAGTCAAAAGAGTGTAATAATCTCAAAAATTTTACCAAAGGATAAAGATCATGCTATGAATTTAGAAGAAAACGCTCCAATGATCTTAATGATGCGTGATCAATTTGCCAACTACGTTGTTCAAAAATTGGTTACTGTGACAGATGGTGAAGGTAAGAAATTGATCGTTATCGCTATTAGAGCTTATTTGGATAAACTGAACAAATCTAATTCTTTAGGTAATAGACATCTGGCAAGTGTAGAAAAGTTAGCCACCTTGGTGGAGTCTGTGGAGATTTAGTAATTTTGATATTCAAATTGACACATCAACCCTTTTTTCTTCTTTCTTATTTGTGGTGGTGGATAATATTATCTCTAAAGGTTCAGTTATTTTTTTACTAATGATATCCATAAGTTAACTTTATGCTAGTAACATAGTTAGTAATCATTATTTTCTCAATAACATATAACGAAGATAAATTAAATACGAAATCAATATTTTATGTTTGTAAACTTCATGAAAAGTAGTCATTATAAATTTAATATTAATATATAAATGTATATCCAAAGCCCTGTTAATGTGGTATTTACTTTACACCAGTCTTTTCTTCGCTCCACCCAGGAATCAACTGAAATTTCAGGGTGTTTTGAGGTTTTGATACTTCAGCTAACCTATCAAAGCAAAACTAAATGTCCACGCCATAATAAAACCCATTAATTCTCTTATAAAGTTGTCAAAGAGTAAATCACTTATAATATTTTCGTAAAATAATTCTGGGTGGCCTCCACATATCCCAATTACATATAGAATAGCAGTAAGTAAATATGTAATAAGAAATGCTAAAAACCCGTACGTTGACTCGAACTGTAATATACCTGTTACAACACCCGCCATTAAACACACTTTATCCATTAAAGTTTCATATCTTTTCTTATTTTCCTGTGTATTCGTGCCAGATTTCACCTGTTTGCTAAATTGATCGTTGCTCTCCATTTTAATCGGTAAACTAAGGATTCTAAATTAACGAAGTTCTAACTTTTGAAATTGTTAAGAAAAAAACAACAGTTTATTATAATAATTATCCGCTGCTTAACCTTCACAGTATCAAAATATATCCCCTTTCTTCAATCCTCACTCAGTCTCTCTTATCGAATGAACCCTTTTACTATTTGGTGAAGCTCTTATGGTTTCTATATTTCCTATCATTTTTGCTAGTTAGTGTAATCTTCTACGAACTGAAAAAAATTTATCAAAATATTCAGCGCGCTATGGAAGAAAATGGAAAAACAAAGAAGTATGCCGTAATAACGTAATAACTCTCAAGCTCATCGATTTTTTTTTTTTCAAATTTCTTACTAAGGAAGAATTAGAAATATAATTTGTTATATATACTCTACCTCGAACATACGCACCACAGCATTTTAACTTATTTCACCAAGGAAAATATAGCTAACGATTTATTATGCCATCCCAACTAGAAGAATTAGTATCCTTTTTACACTCCCCTCAACCTGCTGTTAAGCAAATCGCCTTGGATAACTTGGTTGGCTTTAGTTCAGGTCCAAATGCTGCTATCTTCAAATACGATAACTATAGAGCCATCGAGGATCTAAAAGAGTTAGCACAAGAAAAATCCAAACTTTTGGTCCAACAGTCTGTCACAATCTTGGTGAATCTTTGCGATGACCCTGTGATGCGTAGACTAATCGGTAAAGACCCAGAATTCATCGCATACCTGGCACGCAAGATTATTGATTTAGATAACACATGTGCTGATATTATGTGTATCTTGCTATGTAATCTGTCCAAAGAAGATACAATTACCTGTATATTTGATGTGAAGATTGATCTGAATAACTTAAAGAAAAAGGCCAAGGAAGTCTTCAAAAGTGAAAACGCTATGGATTGCCTCATGGACTGTTTTGTGAAAGGTTACGATAGGAAATTGAATGAATATGCTAATTACGATTACCTGTCATATTTTTTTGCTGATTTGTCAAGATTTAAAGCTGGTAGAGAATACTTCATCCATGAACAGGCATATGATGGTGTTGTTCCAATCTCTAAATTACTTGTTTTTACCGAAAAATATGATGCCAAGATTAGAAGAGAAGGTGTCGCATCTACTATTAAAAATTCCCTATTTGATTCTGAGACTCACGAACGTATTCTAAACGATGACAATATTAATTTGTTGCCTTACATTCTATTACCAATTACTAATGCCAAAGATTCTGAGATTGACGAAGAAGATATGTTTAATCTTCCAGATGAATTACAATTATTACCAGAAGATAAACAACGTGATCCAGTAAGTTCCATTATTTGTAACCATTTAGAGAGTATTTTATTATTATGTACCACAAATTCTGGTAGAGAATACTTGAGGAGTAAATCTGTTTATCCACTAGTTAGAGAGTTGCATAAAAATGTAGAGGATGAAGATGTGGGTGAACTTTGTTACAGAATTGTCAACATGATGATGAGAGGTGAACCAGAATCTGCAGCAATCGAGGAAATGCCTACTAAAAGCGCTGATGGTAAATTATATGATGAAAATGAGGATACCAACAAAAAGGAAGGTGAAGACGACGAAGAAGAAGAAGAAGAAGAAGAATCCGATGATGATGACGAAGAAATGGTTGAAGTAGCATAGAGTTAGGATATAATATTTATAATCTTAAATAGCATCGTTATACATTATACTGTAAAATAGTATGATAGATGGATATAATACGTAACTGTCTGTATAATATCGACTTTACATATTGTTAAAATTAACTAAGTCATTATTCACCTCTTCTAATGAAATAAAATATGAAATACAAAATATTATTCAACAAAAAAACAGAAACTACTAGAGGGTTACGTAGTATGTAAATTATATATTTAATTTTTCAGTTCCATATGTTCGTTATCGACCTTTCTACAAAGTTTCTTAACGATAGAAAACATTAACTTCTTGTTTTCTGAACCTGGATATTTCCTTCTTATCATCTTACCAAAGTCCTTAACATTAACTTTACCGTCTCCCATTTCATCAATTATATCTTTTTCTGTTATTAATGTGGCAGTCGCACTTGATTCCACCTTGACTTTCTTGTTTGGCTGTTCCTCCTCTTTTATTTCGACCCCAGTTTCTGTCATATGTGGAGATACATCGGCCAATCTAGGTCTCTTAATGGCAGTAGCTGGGTTCCATTCACCTGGATGGAAGTTACCTAATACATCTTTGTTACTTTGTAAGACAACTATACAGTCCTTAATACTCTTAACTCTAATCTTTGGTGGGATGGTCTCCAGGTCTTCAGATTGTTCCTTTTTTATACCAACTGGACTTTTCTTTTTTGGTGAAGGTGTATTATTTTCTGATTCTTCCTTCTTAACTTCTGGAGTTTCTTGTGCTTCAATATCAGATTCAGATAAGTATGGATTTATCTCATCTTCATCTGAGGAGTATAATGCTGCTAATTCTGTCTTTTGAAGAGCCTTTTTAATTCTTTCACCTTCTACGTCAATCTTCTTATCGTTTAATTGATCATCATCTTCATTTTCATCTACTTGGTCATCATCACGAAGACCCATTGCGTTGGCTTGAAGCATTTCTTTCTTGATTCTTTGTTCTGATTCTTTATTTTCTTGTTCGTTACCATCAATAATTGGAGCTTCCTCATCATCAGCAAATTCCTCATCATAATCCAATTCTACTTCAGAATTATCATCATGTTCATCATCATCATCATCGTCATCATCATCTGGACCACCTCCTTGAACGGCAGCTGCTCTCAGTCTTCTCTTTGTTCTATCATATCTTGTTGTAGTTGTACCAATATTGTCCAGATGTTTCATTAACCATCTTGGAACTTCTCCACTCTTTTTGTCCATTCTCTTTTCAGCTTCATCAATGGTTAAAGTTGCATATTTATTTCTTGCAGTAAATTTATAGACTTTATCGGCTGGAATCATGGTGAAACTACCATCATTTTCAACTGCTAATAACACATATGAATCAGAGTTACCTGCTTCATAAGAACCGACCCAAGTATTGTAACCATCATAATCTTCCATAACCCATGGATAAAATTCTTCGAATCTTAATTTTTTGGCATTTTCATCAAGAACCTTTAATTGACGAGTCTTTCTCTTTGAATTAATTCTTCTGGAACGACCACCACCATCTGGTGCAACATCTGCCATTGGGTCCATCGTACCTTTATCTTGACCCAACTCTTCTTCCTCTTTACCATCATACTTAACCATACCCACTTTTTCTGGGTGTTCAGATATACCTGCTTCTTCCAGTTGAGTAACCATAGGTATAATAGCGTTAAGTTTATCTATTTTTGAAGTATTTGAATTGTCATCGTCTTTGTTCTCAGAGGCAATCCCATTTATATTGGTAGAAACATTGTTGTCATCCACATTCGATAACCCTGTCGTTGGATTAGCTGTATTCGTTCCGAGACCTGTTGAAACAGCGGATAATGGTGCTGACATCACAGGTGTTGGTGTATTTGTATTTGTATTTGTATTTGATATGGTGCTATTATTATTGGCATTACTATTATTATTATTATTATTATTATTATTATTTTTAAATTTATTATTATTTGGGAAACTAGTTTTTTCATCGTCTTGTTTCAATTTATATTCAGCAATTTCTTTTTGTCTTTGTACAATTTCTGCTCTAGTCAATTGAAATTGTAAATTTCTTGTATCTTTTCTATGTAAACGAATTGGTGGATGAAACGATTTTGAAGGATCAATTTTTTTCTTACTTTGAAATTTTAATAAATGTGTCTTAATATTTTCGAGATTTTCTTCAGAGATCGCTCTTAAAGGAAATTCATTAAATTCATTTTCACCATCTACAACACCAGGCTCTTTCTTTAAATTTGCCATACCTTTCTCTACACCTAATAGTCTTTTTTCGTTATCTTCCAATTTCACTGGATCTTCTTTCTTAACACCACCATTCTTCTGAATTTGTCTAGCTCTTAACAAATTTCTCTTATATCTATCTCTTTTAATGAATGGTGAAGCATGATTGAGAACATTGTTATTACTGCTACCTCCACCAGAGGCAACTGAACTAGCACTGCTAGGCACCGAACTTTGTCTTGAAGGAGCCATTATCAAAATATCAACTCAACAACGGTCTAACAAAACACACAAAACAACAATAAAACAGATATTATATATATTATATATATATATTTCCACTGATAACTATCTGTCTAACGTCCAATATTGTGTCCTTAATCAACTTGTTCGACCAACATAGCTTTGAATGGAATCTCTCTCCTTCTTTAGCACTTTTATTAGATTACCTCTCTTTTATTTACAATTTTTTTTCAGCTAATTTTTTCCTCGTTCTTGTCTTTGGTCATAGAATCCAATAGGGTTGTGTGAGAGAAAGGAAACGCCGTAAACTATACATACTACAATTAGGGCTTCCGTATTCAGTGACTACATACCCTGAACTCAAACCCTAATTCTAGCAACCCTTAAAAAGTCGCTAACAGTTTCCGTTTTGTTGCAATTCTCGGCGACAACTTCCAAAGGTTTGTTAAGTGAGAAAATCAGAGGGAAAAGAATTCGGATAATTTTTTCATTCTTTCTGTAAGCAGTGGCGATGATGAAAGCAAAAGAGAGGCAACAAACACTGTGATTAATTTTTATAAATATTTTACTGGGTTTCTTGATTTTGAACCTTAATAGATAGATGAAGAAGAAGAAGAAGAAGAAGAAGTAGATATATAGCTATTAGATAGAAACTTTTTAAACGTTTACTAGCCATATTATCAGATTATAGATTCACATATTAACCTAATCAAACAAGCAATTTATATTTATTCATATAGAAAGTAACACGTATAGATATATATATATATTTTGACAGCTTGATTTGTGTTTAGAAAAGGATAACAGCCTGTGTTTTCATTTATTTATTAAGTTAAACAGTGCATTTCCATAATATTATTATAAAATACTTGTAATGGATTTAAATTTTATTAATAATGAGGGTCCATCGACGTACCCAGGGATGGGATTGTTTAGTACTTTACGTTCGCTTCACAATGTTAAGAGTTTTGCAGGGGTACGAGGTCCTACTGAAAGAATTGAGATGGATCATGCTTTGAAAAGATATATGTTTAAATTGTTATACTTTGTTGCATTAGACAATGGTAAAGATATTCCACTCTTATTCCCTGATTCTAAGACTGATTTTAAAAAATTGGATGAACTTTTAGCAACATCTTCATCTGAGGAAACTGATTTTTATAGAATGAGAAATTCACAAATGAATAATAAACATTCGTTTAAACATACCGGTAGAAATTGTGGTAGGAAATTTAAAGTCGGAGAACCTTTATATCGATGTCATGAATGTGGATTCGATGATACGTGTGTTCTATGTATCCATTGTTTCAATGCAAAGGATCACGAAAATCATCATATATATACTGATATGTGCAATGATTTCACTACAGGTATATGTGATTGTGGTGATGAAGAAGCTTGGAATGAAGAACTACATTGTAAAGCTAATGAAAAGAATTCGAATGATGAGGATAATAAAGATGATTCTAAGGAATCCACAGAAGATTACAAATTTAATGAAGAAATGATTGAAATGGTATTGACTGAAGCATTTAATTATTTCTTAGATGTATTTAATCAAAATATTGAATCATTACCAACTTTTACTAAAGATATTACAATGACTTTAAGACAATTAGTTCAAGAGAAAAAAATCGATGAAGTGAAAACTTTCCTAGAAGATTTTAAATATAAGAACTTATATACTGACGAAGGAAGTCAGGATCAATTCGTGGTCATGATCTACAACGATGAATATCACAATTACTCTCAGGCTACAACAGCATTAAGACAAGGTTCTCCTGATAATGTTCACACTGATATCCTAACTTCGAAGATTGACAGTGAAGGTAGAGCAATGTTGAAATGCTCCGATGATGTAGAGACTTTAATGGCAGGCTTCTTTGCTGTTCAGACTAATGGTTTGTGTGCAACTTTAACTTCATGGTCCGAATTCATCCATCAGGAAGCATGCAAATATATTATCCAATGGATGGCTCATTGTTTAACAATTCCTAATTCAAATTTCCAATTGGTCTTCAGAGATGTCTTAGGAAAAGTTTTGACTGGTGAAGAGAATTGTTTAAAACACTCGGAAGGTCCTCTTCCTAACATTCGTCAATATTTCCCAAACAAACTGGTTCAGTTGACTCATTCTCATAACTATTTGGATTTATCTATTCTTAATAATTTTAATAGAATCCCACAAGGTCATCACAAGGTATTACCAGAGTCTAGTTTACATTCAATATCAAATACATTGAATAAAACTGAAGAAACTGAAGAAACTGATTATACAAATTCTAGATTGCAATTATTACTTTATTTTGAGAATAGATTCTGGAAAAAATTAAGAAAAGATATTCAAAATGTAATTATTCCAACATTGGCTTCTTCTATCATTTACAAACCAATTTTCTGCAGAGAAGTAGTAGAGATATTTAACCACGTGACACGTTCCATCGCATATATGGACAGAGAACCTCAATTAACCGCCCTTAGAGAATGTGTTGTACAACTTTTCACTTGTCCGACAAATGCAAAAATGATCTTTGGGGGAGATGAGGGTTATTTTATTGATATTGTTTGGTCAATTATTGATATTTTCATGGAGTTCACTAAAATTGACAATGGTACATTGGTATGGCAAAGAGTTCAAAAATCAAATCCTACTAAGAGTTATGGGATTTCATTGAAACAAGGTCTATACACCATCGAGACTTTAATTAGCAAAGTTGACGACGCAAACATTTTATTGAGACCAGCTGAATTCATATCCATTGTGACTCTTTGTAAATTATTCAATGGTGCGTGGAAAATTGTAAGAAAGGAAGGTGAACATGTGTTACATGAGGATCAATATTTTATCCCTTACCTAGAGTACACCACTTCGATCTATTCCATTATTCAAACAATGGTAAATGCATTCGTCAATGAGGGTTGCGACAGACACCTATTATTAAATGCCATTAGATTAATTAATACATTCTTAGGTTATAAATCGTTGACATATAAATTAGTTCATGGAAGTCATGAGATCATCAAATTTTCTGTGGCATCAGACAGAGTGGCATATATGAACCCAATCCATACCCTTTTCTCATTCTTAATTGAAAATGTTCCTTTGGTGGAAGCTTATGAAACAATTATCTATCAAGAATCTAATTCTGCACTACCAGTACCTTCAATACCAACTTCTGGAACAAATAATTCTATGTTGCAATTCAGGGAACAATATGAAGACAAGGTCTCCCAAAATTTTGACTTCCTAAAGATATCTGATTTTTCCTTAAGGTCAGTTGTATTATGCTCACAAATTGATGTTGGTTTCTGGGTACGTAACGGTATGTCTGTGCTTCATCAAACCTCGTATTACAAAAACAATCCAGAGTTGAACACTTATTCTAGAGATATCCATTTGAATCAATTAGCCTTTTTATGGGAAATTGACGATACCCCTAGGGTCATATATAACCTATTGGATAGATGGATGCTATTAGACTGGTTCGATGGTAAGGTTGAATTTACAGAAACTGAGTACAAGGATAAGATCTCCTTAATTGTCCAACATTTCGTGGCTTTTATCTACCAGATATTAACAGAAAGACAATTTTTCCAAACATTTGAGTCAGCCAACTGCAAGAAGATGTCTCAAATAAAGAATGCAATTATGTACAACCTGTACACAAAACCATTATCATATTCGAAATTATTAAGGCTTGTACCCGATTATTTGACCGAAAACTCTACCTTATTTGATATTGCATTGAACGAAGTTTCCATTTTTAAAGAACCAAAAGGTCTAGCTGATAATGGTGTGTTCAAATTAAAAGAAATTTATTTCAGTAAAATTGACCCACTTAGAGTGTCTAACCTAGGTAACGAATTTGAGAGTAGTGCAACAATAATTAAGAAACATTTGGATAAAGAAAAGAAGGGAGAAGAATCCAAAATTATTCTACAGCCACAATTAGTGTCCCCTAAAAACATGGACGATGGAGCTAAATTGTTAGGTTCATTTACCAGACATCCGGTATTCGCAAAGATTATATACAAATTACTCCAGGTTTGTTTAGACTCAGAAGATGGGATCTTCTTGAACGAATTACTTCATCTGATTCATGGTATCTTCAAAGATGATGAATTAGTTAACGGAAAGTCTTCATTCCCTGATGCATATCTTTCCAAACCAATTTGCAACCTATTATTGAGCATTCTTAACTCCCGAACTGATGTGTTTTCTGAAAATATAAGAACAAAAGCTGGTTATCTACTAAAACGTATGATTACAAAGAGGCAAGAAGAGGTATTTGCTTCTTTGATTGCAGGATTTGGTGAAGAGTATGTACAAAAGTACAAAAATAGAAAGTTAAGTGAAGGTGTAAATCTTGAAGAGAATGAAAGAGAAAGAAAGAAAAGATTGGCAAAGAAACATCAGGCAAAAATAATGGCGAAGTTTAATAACCAACAGAACAAATTTATGAAAGAAAATGAGGGTGAATTTAAAGAACGTGAGAAGGAAGACCAAGTAGATGATGAGGGAGATATTAATATGCCTGATAGTGATAAAATCATAGAAGCAGAAGATTTTACATGTTCATTATGTCAAGATGAATCATCCACTGATATATTCGTTATACCATCCTATCATGATTACACTCCAATATTTAGGGGAAGCAAATTTTGGGATGTTGATGAATATATGAAGGAATGGAATGGCTTTGAAAATGATAATAGCGGATTTATAAGGGAGTCAGACGATAATGCAGACCAGATAGCAAATAGTACCTATCCTACCAGAAAAGTTTTTGTTTCATGTAATCACCATATTCACTATAATTGTTTTAAGAGGTATATTCAAAAGAAAAGATTTTCATCAACAGCTTTTATCTGCCCTCTTTGTCAGACATTTTCAAACTCTGTTCTGGTTGTTCACCCTACTGTCAAATACACAAATGGGATGAATGTATCGATCGGAGATGATGCCGCATGCTCTACACTAGGTAACAGTTTAGCTCCTCTCAATGAACAAGAAAAAACGAATCTTTTGGCCGCATATGATACGATACTTACTGATACTCAGTATTTTGACAAGCTGTTTCATAAATCCAAATATCGTAGTGTTGCGAATACTGCTGAAATTTTAACTATCAATTTTGCAAATACAATTTCAATGCTTGAAATATCTGCGAGATTAGACAAAGATACAAATAGCACATTTTTGGTGGGTAAAGAGCAGCGGTTTAAAACATTAAAAAACTTGTTAATATTCATTGTCCAGATCTACAAGACTGCGGGTGCCCCAGATTTAGAACTAGATTGGATTAGTAGGTTACATTCGGATAATTTCATGGACGAAGACCCAGCCTGTAGAAATGAATTATTCCAAATTATAGTAAAAAGTTGCTTGTTCAACAAACAATCGTTAAGTGCTTGCATTGAAGAGGCTCTAAGCCAATATTCCAGGACATTTTTCAAGGATTATTTTGGGTGCCCTGATGAAATTGAGGACTTTTCCAAAAAATGGAACCATGTTGCTGCAACATATGAGACTCCATATGTTGTAAGTGGGAATACGTCTACTTATTTGGACCGTCTTATTACTCTCTCTGAGGAGAGCTTTGAAGGTTACTCAAAAGTCGATCTTGAACATTTCAAGTCACTAGGATATGCAAAGTTTATGAAACTAATCCTTCCTACTTTGAGAAGATGTTTTATCTTCTTAAAAACTTTGCAATTGGTTACTTCTGAATATGAGGATAATCAGTTCATTGTCAATAATATTAATATCGAAACAAGTCTAATTCCTAAGGATGGTTTATCATTAAAGGACACAGTTGACAGAATGGTATCAATATTGACGACATGTGAAAAACTTGACGACCTAATGGACGTCAAAAACCCTTCAGAACAACTAGAGAATAAGTATAAACATGTGAGTGATGAATGTTGCAGTGTTATCAAATTAGTAAATTTATCGAAATACTTGAATACCTATGTTACAGACACAAATGCAATCCTTTTGAAGGAAGAAAACAAACGTAGTCGAAATTCCTCTAATAGACTAGATTTCAAGATTTGCCTAACCTGTGGTGCTAAGATTCATTTGAGAACTGATAGACATGAAATATCGAAACATCTGTCACAGAACTGTTTCAAGCCATTTGGTGCGTTTTTGATTCCAAATTCTTCGGAGGTTTGCTTACAATTAAGTCAACCTCCATCTTCTATTTACATTTCAGCCCCATATTTGAACTCTCACGGGGAAGCTGGAAGAAATGCAATGAAACGAGGTGACTTGACTACACTAAATCAAACAAGATATGAACATCTGAATAAGTTATGGATTAATAATGAAATTCCAGGCTATATAAGTAGAGTAATGGGAGATGAATTCAGAGTGAGTATCTTATCAAATGGATTTTTGTTTGCACTGAACCGTGACCCTGCAACAAGAAGAAGAGTACCACCTACCAACGAAGGGGATGATTCAGACGAAGAACAATTTGGTGGAAATGGAAATGATTTCTTTACTGATGAAGACATGGATGAAGATGATCGTTTTAGAAATATGAACGGTCAACCTGGAGATGTCAGAGACTTTTTCCAAATCTTCCAAACAGTTAGAAATGCAATGGATAATGGCGAAAACGTTGGAGAAGATGTTGATTTAACAACACCATTCTTACAACTATTTGGTCAACAATTTAGAGGTGCAGATCCAAATAACGATAATGACGGAAGTGATGGGGAAGGACCGTTTCGTGATAACAATGATGATGATGATGAAGATGAAGATGCTGATGATGGAAATGCTTGGTAAGTATCTTGCAGGGATCATTGCGTCTAATATTCGTAAAAAGTACAGTTTCCAATGTTATTATAAATATTATATAATGAATTACAATAAAGACAGCGTATTATATATATCTGATAACATTGGTAGACCAACATTGGGTATATATATTTTGAGCTGATATGTTTGTTTAAGTCCAAATAGTTCTAGTTTAATCTAAAATGGTTTAACGTATATTTATATAAAATTTCATGCAATATAAAATATCACTTATAACGAACCAATGAGATGGCGGATCCTTCAGTGTGCGGAGCATCCCTGGTCTTTAACGGAGATTATGCCGCGAGGTTTGACCCTTTTAAGTGTTCGTTATATATATGGAAAATAACCATGTATTAGTAAATATCATGTTGCTTATATATAAATACTTAAAAGATTTCAATTTTTAAATGTATATAAGGCAAAGATAATTAATTACTGTACTGCTATAATTTAATATAATCCATCCAAACCAATAATAAAATTTTAATAATGGTATGTTTCTTTGATTGCATGAGTGCATTATTTGCATGATTATCAGCTATTCCATTTTATATTTTTTGTTTCCATTTTTACTAACTATTACAAAATCGAGATTTAACTGTGAATTCTGTATCATATTTTTTGGTGGTTTCGAGGATGATATATAGATACTTATACAATGTATAGGTATTTTCATCTGTGAGACAAGTGCAAAAAAAGCTAGAAATATACATATGATCACAACTCATTTAGTTTACTTAATATTTTTGAAACCAGTCATTTGCTTCTATCTATAAAGTATTATTCAAGAGAAATTCCATTTTTGTAGGAACTGTATTCGTTGGTGCCTTCCTTTTCCAAACTGAATTTGATTCTGCCATAACCAAATGGTATGAAAACCGTAACAAAGGTAAATTATGGAAGGATGTCAAAGCTCGTATTGGCTCCAATGGTGCCGAAGATGATGACGAATAAATGAATCAAATTTCAATTTCAATTTAAATTTGTGATAACTTTCATACAAGTATCAAATATATTCATCTAAGGAGGTTAATTTCATTGATTTTTCTATTAAATGAGATAGAGAGTTCCAAAATGGAATATCAACCACAACCACACATGTATATTAATATCATTATCATGGAGAACTATGCTGTTTCCCCTAAAATACTAAAACGTAGATTAAATAGACAACTCTACTTCTAATTTATATATCTAACATTATTTATTCTTATATACAACAAATTGAAACAAGAAAAACGAAAAAAGAGCATCATCGAAAACTGTAAAAAAAAATTGATACAGTAATATTGAAGTACATATATATTTAATGTATGAATGAATAATTGAATGATATTTACAGATTACATGCTTATATATTGGAATATAAACTATGCTGATACATAATATAAATAAGTGAATCTTATAACTCCTTTTGGAGTGGAAAAAATATTTCCTTATATTTCACCAGCAGTTGAAGCGTTCTGAATTCTTGCTACGTAAGTCTTTGAAATAACGTTCCAACTTCTCATATATTTTGCTAAACATTGATCGATACAAGGATCATTTGATTGTGAATAAGGAGCCATCAAACATTTCTCAAAACAATTCTTGCTTACATTATTTACTAACTCAGTAGCATTTGCCACAGCCAATTCTTGTTGAATTTGAGCTTTTATCCTTTGCGATGCTGGATCATTTGATATCGTTGCAGTTGTAACATTATCATCTGTAGTTGTTGATTTATTACCACCGAAAAAAGAACCTAATCCCATTATTGTTATATGAATCAAAGATTATTGTGTATGTGCAACTGGAGCAAAAAATATATATGGGTTCTAAAATTATCTAATAGCCTCTTATGTTTTTGATTATCTTAATAGTGAATTAGTCTATCTAATCCTATTATAATTTCTTTAAATTATAAAGGCTACGAAAACTCAAAAACGGATGATAACTGAAAAAACAAAAATATTAAACTGAGCGAACTGCAAGTTCCCGAGCTTATGTCTCCATGTGACTAAGCGACCTTACTTCGTTATTTCTCCAGTCCATCCATACTGACATTCAATCGATCAAAAGAAATAAACAAATAAACCTAAGAAACAATTTTAATAAATTTAAATCGAATTAGTAAAAATTAATTAAAAGAAATAAAACATACTCTTCATTTTAGTTAAGTTTTACTCTCAATGTGAAAAAAGAATTGGTTGCTATACCAAGAGGCAACATAATTAGAAGAAGCTCAACCAAGACAAGATAGATACACGAAAACACGAAACAAATATAATGATGTTTAAAGAAAGGTAAAACAAATTTTCTAAGAGATAAAATAGAAAATATGTAAATTGTGATAAGATACCATTCTTCAACAATAATTAAATAAAAGAAAAGAAAAGAAAAGATTGTTTATTTGTGAGGATGCCATAATTATTAATAACATCTCTATTCTTGTTTCTCAATGATAACACATATCATTATAAAGAAAGCATAACAATAGAAGATCACTATCGTAAATATATTTATGTCAAAAACAAAAGTTTATTTTTATTCTAGATCCTATCACCATAGTAACCAAATTCGGGCACACCCGAATTCTTTATTACTATTTCAAACAAGAATAATCAAACTCTATAAACGAATACAATTCTAGTAATAATACGTACTATACAAGTTTTTGCAACTCATCGAAACCTACTTAATCTTATTTTCTTTAAAAAAAAAGGTGATGAAAGTTAATAATTTTCCAAATTGGTATAGTAATATTTTCTATAACGTCCATAGTATCTCCAGTATACCATTACTTAATCATCTTCCTATGAATAATGGTTACCATGGATACAGGAAACTCAATACCCCAAACCAAACAAAAAATATATAGAGGTTGTTATTCATAATCTCTTTAAGTGCTATACCGTAAGAAGACCAAAGGCTTGGTCTGCCCAGATTCATTATACTGCGTTAGGAGAAAAAGAAAAGAAAAATTGGCTTCTCTTCCAGTTCCCTCACTCTGTGAAAAAAAGGAAAGAGCGAGCGAGTCGAGAGGAGAAGAGAAGAGAAGAGAAGAGTGTGGGAGCATAATAAATAGGGGGCGCAAGGGAGCATTAACTTATCTCTCTTTGTTCTTACAGAGAAAGTGCTGTAGCAGCACAAATAGAAAATGAGAATGAAAAGAAACGAAAAGAGTGGGTGTTGTACGGTGGTTTACTGTATCCTTTATATTTCCTATTCAAAAATATTTTGCAGATCGTTTATCGGGCGGAGGAAACCAAAGCAGTGAAACTAAAGGAGGGCAGTATACTCATCTATATATTGTGTTGCTATGAGGACAATGAATAAAATAGGAACACTTAACATTTTATCTTGTTTCTGATTAGAAATTTAAATCATTATCGAGGCCAGATGGGGGCTAGGAGAACTTTTAGTTACTATAAGATATAATAACCACAAGGAATAAATTATCTAAATACAATTATAAGTGCATTAATAAGATTATGCTCAACAAAAAAAAAGGAAAAAAAAGTAATACGAGTATTAACAATAGCCTTTAATACAGTAGTACAGCAAAGAACTAGTAAAAACAACATTATCTTGTCTCTAATTGTATATAGGTCAAAATCAAAATACCACCTTAATAGATTGTTTTAGGTTGCCTCAATGGCTATGTTAAGAAGAGGACTTACATGAAAAACATAGAATAAAGCAAAATAGTAATATAACGATAGTACGGTTACACTAATAGATAGCAAACTCCACAAAATCGATAATAACAATTAATTAGTACTTTTCAAGTCCCGGTTATATGTATTACGTACATTTTCTTACTTAATTATTACCAAAAAAACACATAGAAAATTCCTTGTTTCTTTTTCAGTTTCTTGCCTTCAGCATCTGTTGTGAGTATTTTTTTGGAACAGAAGAACAGAAGAACAGAAGTAGAAAATCAAACTTTTGTACGTATGATCTCATCATCACTTGAAATTAAAAACAGGATTTTTGGGGTGACCATTAAGAATTACAGTAGTCTGAAATGGAAAAAAAAATAAAAAATAGGTGTTTCCATTTCTCTCCCCATAATAAAACCATTGAGCGTGAAAGAGAGGTTGCCGTTCCCGTTGTTGTGGCAACTACTATTACGTTACTTAATTTATTAATAATATTACCACGGTAACAAAGAATAAAAATCAGAAGTTTTAGTTGTAACATTCTGTTGGTCTATACAGAGAACTGCCCGAAGAAGGTTGAACACCTTCCTAGAAGTTGTACAATTTTTATTTTATTTTTATTTTTATTTATAATTATAACTAAATTCTCTTCCTTCTTCTTCTCTCTTCCCCTTATTTATCATTTCAAGATTACTATATAGAATTGAAAATTTTTTAGCGTTACCACTACGGTGATCTCTTATTCCTCTCAAAATTTTAATATTTTTCAATGTTGGAGTTGTGCGCGCGCCCACTTTTCTCTTTAATTAAATACTTTTTAACGGGATAGCAGAAGAGATATGAAGAAGAAAACGTACGTCTCTATGAAGTAAACTATATACTATCTACACCTTTTCTTCCTCCTCTCTTTTCCAAATTCCAATTATATAATTTTTCATTTTTGTTTAGTAATCTGTATTAAGAAACTAATAGTAAATCGTTTGAATAAATTATAATTAATCCAATTTAATTTCATCATCGCATAGTTACGTACTACACATCTTCCCGCTTCTTGTTCCTCTTTACCTCATCAATTATTAATTGAAGGAAAATTTTCTTTTTTTTCTGAGATAGAAATTCAAGAATAAGTTCAAAGATTACTATGGTAGCAATGGGATGGGATACCTTCTTGTTCTTCTTCTTTCTTTTCCTCGCTCCCCTTTAGTTTGTCACTCTTTGAATTCTGCTCCTTCTCTCCCCCACCCCCTACAGCATCACTTCTTTCTCTTTTTTCTTTCTGCTTCCTAATAAATTATATAAAAACCCTTTGGAAAGATCATTAACCGACTATCTTTTACTTCATTTCCCTTATTATATAAATCTTATATTACATCCCTTCCCTTTATTTTTTCGTTTGGTTTTTCTTATTCTCGATCTATTTTATTCTATTCTTCTTTTTCATTTATCGTAAGATATAAACAAGTATAACGAACTCCTTCACCACTTTGGATACCTTTTAACTAAGAAAAATTTATAATTAACAAAACTCCCTTTTTATTTTTGTTCTCATTTCTTTCTTAAATTAAATTATACCACCGTTAAATAAATACACACATACACATACACACATATATCACAATGGTTGCTGTCGACAAAGCTCACAATCAATTCATGGCTAAGTTTGCCGAATCCCGTCAATTCGTCAAGGAGAACGAAAAGGATGAAATCCTATTGAAGGAGAACAAGCATAGATTTGTTATGTTCCCAATCAAGTACCACGAAATCTGGGCTGCCTACAAGAAGGTCGAAGCTGATTTCTGGACTGCCGAAGAAATCGAATACAGTAAGGACGTCGAAGATATTGAATCTAAGTTGAATGATGGTCAAAAAGATTTCTTAGCTAGATACTTATCTACCATGACTCTATCTGAAGAAGTCTTGAACCACCATTTGATCGAAAAGTTCTCTGCTGAATTACAAAACCCAGAAGGTAAGAGTTTCTACGGTTACCAAATCATGATGGAAAACATCTACGACGAAATCTACGCCATGATGGTTGATGCTTACTTCAACGGTTCCGATGAACCAGTCAAGTACTTCAAGGTTGCTAAGACTATGCCAGAACTAAAGCTAAAGCTTGACTTCGTTGACAGATGGATTAAGAACTCAGACTCCCTATACGGTGAAAGATTGGTTGCTTTTGCTGCCAAGGAAGGTATCTTCCTAGCTGGTGCTCATGCTGCTATCTTTGCTCAAACCAAGAGTGGCCTACTTCCAGGTCTAGCTAAGGCTACCACCAACATCTTCAGAGACACTGGTAACTACACTGATTTCTCTTGTTTGCTATTTGCTCACTTGAATAACAAGCCAGACGCTAAGATAATCGAAAAGATCATCACTGAAGCTGTCGACATTGAAAAGAAGTATTTGGTCGATGCTCTAAAGATCGAAGAATTCGGTGTTGATGTTGCTCAAATCAACCAATATGTCGAATTCTTGGCTGACGCTCTATTGGGTTCTTTCGGTAACGACAAAATCTACAACGTTGCTAACCCATTCGAATATCTAGAAGGTGCTACTACTGTTGGTAAGAGTAACTTCTTCGAAAAGCAAGTTTCTGATTTCACCAAGGCTAATGAAAACACTCAAAAGGCTGCAGCTCACGAAGCTTTCTCCTTCAATGACAGTTTCTAAGAAAATGAATCTTTTAGGAAAACGAAATTAGTATTTAAATTTATTAATATCTCTTTTTTTTGCTTCATTACCTTTCATACTTCTTATAATTCGTATTAAAAATATTAAATTATTTTTAATAAAATAAAAAAAAGAACGATAAATTACTACTCTCCTTATCATTTATTAGGCTAACTTTACATACTCATAGATATATATATAGGTTTTTTACGAAAGTAAATCAATGATTCTACCTTTTATCAAAAATTATCTTTATTTATATAAATTCAGCAGTAAGAAGTAATTGTGTTTTAACTTGTTGTAGGGTTTCCCCTCTTTAATCCATCTATTTCTTAGAGGCGCGATACATAATAACAGTAAAATTTCAAAATGAAAACAAAACAAAACAAAACAAAACAAATAAAATTAAAATTAAAATCTTCCATAGTTGAAGTAAAATATATATTTACTTTGATTACAAATAAACATACTCTACAAATCATCTAAAAGTTCAACAAGTATATTTCTTTCAAGAATGAATATCGTAGAAAGTCTTTCGAACGATTCTTTGGATCGAGAGAATTGGGCAAATCCTAAGCCCACAACAACAACCGAGGGTAGAAATAGAGATACAAGAAATCTATTCTTTAATGATTCATCGTCTTCTATATCTGGCATTCGTAGTAGAAAATCTAGTATTGCCTCAACGATAAAGGGTCAGAATATTATCCCTACTACGACATCTGCAAACAGACAATTAAAACGATTCTATGAGGACGAGAGTTCAGGAATATTCGTGGCACCCAAACTTAAAAGTAACAGTAGGACCGTACAAAGAAGTAACCCCAGTAGGATACGAGATAAGAGTATACGATTAAAGCAAAATATATCAAAGCCTAAGAGGGGACAACATCTAAAATCTAATGATAAAAAAATAGGTCCCTGGGAGTTTAATAAATTTATTAAGAAAGAATTCAACAAAGAACCTTTAACAGAAGAAATCCAATGGAAGACAATAAACAGACCATTAGCAGATTCTATAATGCAACTCGTTGAGGAAAACACAAATAGTGCCTTAGATGATGTGTTCCATCAATACGATAGTGAGCTACAGCATATCACCAATAGCAAGCACGGAGAAACTGATAAAATATACAATATCAAACAACAATTATTAAATGAAATCTTAGACAAGATGCATAAGAAATTAAGAGACTCACAATTCCCATCCAAATTCCGAAATATAGATTTGGACGTAGAGACCATTGTGAGTAAAAGAGCACATATTCAACAACGATACGAAGAAGAGATGAAAAACATTGAAAACATTGAAATAGTATTACAACAAGAAAAAGAGAAACTTTCAGAAAGTAAAAGAGTCTTACAAGGAATAAAACAGAACAAAGAAAAAAATCTTAACGGAAAACTTCTTAAGGATGATCTTCACCCAATCCTAATTCCTGCCATTCAAAATGCGTACGGTATGATAGGATCTACTACAGGATGTAATTCTATGAGTAATGATAAATCTGCATCATGGAAAATGGATGTTGCAGATATGAATCTTGAAGTACCGGTGAAGCGAAAAGTAGCCAGAGCAGATTCTGCTGACGTTTTGGAAGCTACTGAGGATATGCCGGCATTAGATGAGCTTACTCGTGTAAGGAACGAATTCTGTTCTGGAATCAACACATTTTTAGATAATGGTAATCTTAGAGAAACACTTAAATTTTTCAAACATTTCGATAAATGAACTATTAACGTATATAGAAATGATGCATATATAGAAAACAATAATAAAATGAAAATAGTAAGCGTATCAAATTAGAAGCACACCTCCCCCTATTCTTAGCATGTCTTATTAAAAAAAAATTGAAATAAATGTGTGTAGACCCACACATAGTATTCAAGTAATCAGTATGAATCCATATCAATATATGTAAAAAACATTTTTATAATATATGACAGTCGATCGCTTGGGTATATGTGTCTACCTTCTTATGATATCTTTGACCTTTTTGTTATAATGAGGCCGACCAGACAACTGCACTGGCCGAAGAAAACAAAGTGAGAAATGAAAAGGTTAACGGACGAAACAGCGAGAGCGAGAGAGAAAGAAAGAAAGAGCAAAGGGTAAGCAAATTTGGTAAACTTAGAAACCAAACAAGATCGTCATATCTGCGTTTAGTCAAATTTGATATTATAGTTATTTAAAAGATTTTAGATTCTTATTTCTTTTTCATTAATTTGGAAAAATTTATTTCTAGAAAAAGATTTAAAAGCACAAGTTCTTCAGGGTTATCCATTTGGTTTCACATATATCCCTCTAGGTAATTGCGTAGGTGATCATTATACAAACCTCCGTTTACTAGACTGTTTTAATTATATACCCTTCAGGCTTACTATAAATACGTTAGTTAAACTGCATTACAATGAAACCTGGTAATAACAAGAAGAAGGACACCAGTCCTTCTGCAGTTTCTACTCAAAAGAAGGGTTTGGTTAACACCAAAGGCAGCAATGGTGACCAACACTCTCTATTTGATGAATCTTCAGAAGTTGCTAAGCAGTTTCGTGACCGTTTTGATTATTTACTTACCGAATCTATTGGTAACAAGGCTATCGTTACTACTGCTTCTGGTTCCAAATATAGTGGTATCCTAGCTGCATGCAACTTGGAATCCATTGATGGACTGGACATTGTCTTGAAGAAGCCAACTTTGGTCTCCTCTTTAGGCTCTGATATCAAGGCCAAGAAGGATCTTGGTGAAACATTGTTGCTCAAGAGTGATAATGTTGCTGAATTAGAGTTAAAAAATATCAATTTAGGTTTAGATGGTAAGACTGGAATAACAACTCCAGTCGCTACCCCTAAAACTGAGAAGATTGCAAAGGGTGCAAATCAATTTAGAACAGATGTTGATATATCTAATGTCAGAGCTACTAAAGAAAGAGAATTACAAAGATGGACCCCAGACGAAGGCGATTTTATGGCTACCGAAAAATCTCAAACTTTAGAAGAAGCTTCTTCAACTTGGGATCAATTTTCCGTGAATGAAAAGAAGTTTGGTATCAAATCTACATACGACGAACATTTCTACACCACTAGAATCAACAGGAATGATCCAAACTATCAACAAAAATTAAAAGAAGCTCAAAAACTTGCTGATGAAATTGAAAAACAAGGAACTTCTGGTAATATACATATTGCTGAGGATAGAGGTATTATTGTTGATGACTCTGGTATGGATGAAGAAGATTTATACTCAGGTGTCGATAGAAGAGGTGATGAATTGTTAGCATCTTTAAAATCTAACGCAAAACCTTCTACTACTGTGAAAAGTAATAAATACGTTCCACCTACTTTGAGAAATCAACCACATCACATGGATCCTGCTATTATCTCATCTAGTGCTATAAAGGTAACTGGTGGAAACATTATTTCTGAAAATAAGTCCTCCACTAAAACAACTACTACTGAATCTGTTAAGAAAAATACCATTTCAAATGATACCAAGGATACTACCAAGCCAACCAAGGAAAATGTAAGACCAAAAGCTCATTTGAAAAATGTTGACGAAGAAATCAAAAAACAATTGAAAGAAATCAAGAGACAAAGCGGTAGAAGTGACCACAGTTCTAAAACTAAAGCACTGCCAGCTAATAAGACCTCCAAGGAGGCTCAAATTGAGGAATTGAAGAATTTTGCCCAAAAATTCAAAGTTCCTTATGATGTCCCTAAGGATATGAATGATGTTTTGAGAAAGCCATCCGTATCTTTGAAGGCCGACCCATCGTTACCACCTAAGCCAAAATCTAACTCTACCACACCAGGTGTGGCTAATAAGAATTCTACAAAGGTATCTAACGCTGCCAATGGAGCTGCTTCTCTAAATAAAACGGACTCCAAGAAGTCTGGTTCTTCTTCCAACAACGGCCCAGTGAGAACATCGACCCATGGTAGAAGACGTCCTGCTGGATCTTTCTTTGGCTCAAAGAAACCTCAAAACAATGGTGCTAACAAGGATACTTTTGGTAAGAACTTTAACTTTTTCTTAAAATCCAAAGAAGCTCACAATGAGGAGAAATCGATGGAACCTTTCTTGATTGAAAAACCATATTTTGCTACCCCAACATGGATCAACACTATTGAGGAGTCTCACAAGAGTTTATTTGATGATGAAAATACCATCATGCAAGAATCCCAAGCAAAGTTACAAATGCGTCACATGAATGCTATGAATGGTATGGGTAACGTTTCACCAAACATGGCAGGAAACGGTATGAACATGATGAGCTACCCAATGATGAATGGTCCAAACGGTGCTGGCTCTCCTAACCCAATGATGAACGGGTATAATGCCTCTGGAATGGGTATGTACATGCCATTCCAACCACAACCAATGTTTTATCCATCTATGGGTCCTATGGTACCTGTGATGGGTGGTAAGGATAACAACGGAAACAATAATGGTGCCAGCCCTCCTCCGCAGGATATGACAGCCCATATGGGTCCTGGTGGATACATGAATGTTGGCGCACCTTACGGTTATCCAGTTGGTGGTATGGCTCCATTCCCTGGAATGATGGGCCACAATGGAATGATGGGCGGCGCAACTAATGATCACCGTCATAAGGGTCATTATAACCACAAGAACAACAACCATAGATCTTGAACTGATGCATGGCATCTTTCCACTGAAGGATATTAAGAGCACCTAATATACACACACACACACATATATATATATATATTACCCTTGAAAATAAGAAAAAAAAATAGTAACAACTATGTATAAATATGTTTGCACATTCCAAACGAGTGTGATTATTAAGTATTTGTTACAACAATAACAACAACAAAAATATTCTTTGAACTTTAAGAAATCGAACTACAGGTATTGCTATCGTAATTAATTGATTTACCAAGAAATAGATGCCAATATCTTGCCGTACCTTCCTCAAACATGTTCATTTTCTGTCACGTCCAAGCCTCTATTACAATAGAAATTACAATAATAAATGGTCATCTATGACACCAAACAAATATTTGGATATATATTTGCTTAGTATCTTTTTTTGAAATATAGTCGTTCTGAACCACATTGTGAAACTTAGAGATAGCTATTATATATATTATTACTTAATTGTACTTAATTAATTTGTGATTACTTCAATTAACCGAGGAACGATCGGAAGTAGAACCGTCTCGCGTGCGCTAACAAAAAAATACAGCAATTGCTTCTCTTCATTTACGTATATCACATATGTCGATCTCGTATAAGATGTTCATTTCACAATGAAAAAAAATAAAAGCAAGAAGAAAGCAAGAGAACAAAGAAAAGCAGACAGTGAAAGAGAGAGGAAGTACAATATCTGATGTCATTCTCTAAACGAGCGGTAATCAAGTCTCTTGAACCAATGAAAGTAGTTTGCCTATCTGTCTTGCCCCAGTTTACTTCCAATTGGAATAAACACTATTTCTGACTATATATGTTCCACGTTACCAAAGAAATGACTATAATAATTTTATCTAGAACTATATCTTGATAATCGTCCTTTTTAGAACAGATCCTGTTATTGAGTAAATCAAAAAATAAATAATAAAATATGAGTGAAACTCAGCCATTATTAAACGAGACAGACACTAAGGTGTTAAGAGGTCATAAGAGACACCTGGGCCATTTAGAGAACTATTTTGCCCTTTTACAAAGACAAGAATTGTATGGTAATTTTAGCATCAGCTGTAAGCTGAATCATGGGATAACATATGCAGATCTTGTTCGTGGGCTACGTTCTGTGGTTCTAGCCAATCCAATCATGATGCATACGATGGTATCAGCCACGAAGAAAGGTCTATCCTGGGATAAACTAAGCAAGTACTATAGATCTGCTGAATATCTTGACAAACCTTGGCCTGAACACGACTATATGGAGGTCGTAGACCATCTATCCTTGAAGGATGTAGTTCTCAATGAACAAACTGATACATATGGTGATCTGCTATTACAATTACAGGAGCAATTCCAAAGCGATAATGGAGTAATCACTGAAAATTTATCCAATATTCTTTCCCGGATACGTATCCCTGTATATCAAAGAAACCAACCAAATTGGCGTATACTTTGTCTAAATAGTAATTACATGGATAACAATGATGATTCATTTGATACATTAGTGTTTATCAGTAATCATTGTTGTGCTGATGCCATGACAGGGATTAATTTGTTTCAAGACATTGTATCAGCCATTAATAAGAATGGCACAGTCAAAGAAGAGGATTCTGTACAATCTTCATTAGAAATTTGGAATTATGAAAGAGATTATTCAGAGTGTGGGAAATTACCTATCCCAATTACCGATAGGGTCAATTATGTACCATCAATCCTAGGATTCATTTGGTTGATAATCTCCACAATAGTCAATGGCATATTCAATTACAAGAGTATCTGTGAGAAGACAGAACGTATTGAAGAGTCTAAACCACAATTATGCTACCAAACATTTGTTCGTTTCACCCCAGATGAGATCATCAAGATAAAAAAACAAATCAATAAAGAGAAATGTACAATGACAGCTCTTATGCAAACTGCATTATGTATTACATTGAAAGAACATGGTATATTTAATAATTGTAGAAGACATGAAATCACTTTTGATATCACTGTGCCAAATAATACCCGTAAAGCATTACCTGAGTCGTTAGCTCAAGAGCAATACAAATATGGTGCAAACGTTGGTGGATTACATTATTCATATCTAATATCTAGTTTCCAGGATTCACAGTTTTGGTCTCTAGCGCGTTATTATAATGGTGTTTTCAAGACTGGTGATTATCTTTCAGGGTTAGGATCTTTAATGCTAAGTTTTGTTACACAAAATAAGAACATGGATGCAATGATTGCCGATGAATATTTAAATAAGAAACGTGGTGGGATTATCTTGAGTAATGTTGGTGTCATCAACACGTCAACAGGCTCAGAAGATAACAGTAGTACTCTTCAAATCGAGGATATGTTATTCATGCAAAACCTTGGTGTATTAAACTTCTCTTATAGTGTCAACATTGTTACCACAACATTAGGTGGAATGAACCTATGTATGAGTGCAGTCGAAGGTGCCGTAGCTTCACAAGAAGAATTCACAGCTTTCGGCAATGAATTACGTGCTAAGATCATGGACAAATGTGATTAGTTCAAGCGACTCACAATATATATTGTGAATTATGAATCTAGGAATAGCTATTCATTTAATTGTATATAAAATAAAATAAATAAATATGTTTTTAAAAGCTACTGAAAGAGAAATCAGATATAATGCTCATCATCGTTTCTTGATTCAATATGGTTCATTTGGTCTATCGGTCATAAGCGAGAAACGCCTCGCCTGGTCTTCCTTACCCACCCGTCGTTTAATTAATTAATTAATCCATTAATTAGTAGAGGTCAGTATTCGCTCCTCTGCTTCTATTATTACTGTGTCGCTGTTGTTGCAGTATAGATAATCCTTTTCTCTCTCTCTTTCTCTGTCTCTCTGACAATTTCAGACAGGAAGAAATCGTAAAATGTTATTTAAACGACCGGACTCTGCGGGCGATGCTTATAACAGCAAGAGACACACACGAAGAAGAAGAAGAAGAAGAAGAAGGGGAGAAACAATTTTTTAAAGGACGATGCTCTTTTTCACTTGTATATTTTCCATGCTGATTCGATAAGGGAACGAGCATAATAGCATGATACACTGCCACATTGCAAGTACCATCAATCATCAACTATACATAATTTAGAGAATAAGATGAGAAATATTCAAATAACGATATTACTGTTTGCGTTCTTCTCTATCTTTTGCCTGTAGTCGTTACGATCCGTTCCTGGTTGTTCTTTGTTTTAATTTTATATTCTATCGCGAGAGAGAAAGTATCGATCGAGAGAGTGAAATTTTTTTTTTTTTCAATTTGAACTCTAATTCATTTCCTTTGCAACATCTAATATATATATAAGAGACGAGAAGAGCTGAAAAGGAGAAATACTACATCTTAGACATCCGTAAATATATCTATAAATATATATATATATCTTCGTCCCTTTAACTTTATTTTGTTCACCTTTGTTTTCTATTTCGTATTTCTATCAATTGATTCAAATTAACTTCAAAAAAACAATAACAACAACTTTTAAAGTAAACAAATCTAAAGATGAATGCTCACACTGTCGATATGTCTACTACTACCCTTACCAATGCAGACGAAAAGATTACTTACGATGCCATCGTTGTCGGTGCTGGTGTCATAGGTCCTTGTGTTGCAGCTGGTCTGGCACGTAAAGGTAAGAAAGTCTTAATTGTCGAACGTGAATGGGCTCAACCTGACAGAATTGTCGGGGAATTGATGCAACCAGGTGGTGTCAGAGCTTTGAGATCCCTAGGTATGGTCCAATCCATCAACGGGATCGGTGCTATTCCAGTCACTGGTTACTCTGTCTTTTATGATGGTAAAGAAGTTGATATTACTTACCCTTATAAAGCCGATTGTGCTCGTGTTGAAAAAGTTAAGGATTTAGTCAAGGATGGTAACGATAAAGTATTAGATGACGAAACTATTCATACTGCTGATTACGAGGATGACGAACGTGAACGTGGTGTTGCATTTGTTCACGGTAGATTCTTAAACAATTTAAGAAACATTGCTAGACATGAACCAAACGTTACCGCTCTACAAGGTGATGTGATTCAAATCTTGAAAAACGAAAAAAATGAAGTCATTGGTGCTAAAGTCGATATTGACGGTCGTGGTAAAGTCAATTTCCATGCTCATTTGACTTTTGTTTGTGACGGTATCTTCTCTCATTTCAGATCTGAATTGAGTCCTGAACATGTTCCATCTATTGGCTCTTCCTTTGTCGGTATGTCCCTTTTCGATGCCGATGTTCCAGCTAAGAACCACGGTCATGTCATTCTAGGTTCAGACCACATGCCTATCTTGGTATACCAAATCTCAGCCACCGAGACTAGAATCCTTTGTGCTTATAACTCTGGTAAATTACCAAAGGACCTAAAGGCTTGGATGACTAAGGACGTCCAACCATATATTCCAAAATCTTTGAGACCAAGTTTCGATGCTGCATTAGCTCAAGGTAAATTCAAACCAATGGCTAACAAATATTTACCAGCTAGAGCTAACGATGTCACAGGTCTATGTGTCATTGGTGATGCTTTAAATATGAGACACCCATTGACTGGTGGTGGTATGACTGTCGGTATACAAGATGTTGTTCTATTGATGGATAAGATCGGTGACTTAGATTTCGCTGACAGAGAAACTGTTCTTGATGAATTACTAGATTACCATTTCGAAAGAAAACCATTTGACTCTGTTATTAACGTATTGTCTATTGCCCTATATTCCCTATTTGCTGCTGACACCAAGAATTTGAAAGAATTACAAAGAGGTTGTTTCAAGTACTTCCAAAGGGGTGGTGACTGTGTCAACGTACCAGTCAGCTTCTTAGCTGGTCTAAAACCAAGTCCTTTCCAATTGACTCGTGTCTTCTTTGCTGTTGCTTTCTACACCATCTACTTGAAGTTCGAGGAACGTGGTTTCTTAGGTCTTCCAATGGCTTTATTAGAAGGTATCATGATCTTGATCACTGCTATTAGAGTCTTCACTCCATTCTTATATCGTGAATTGCTTGGTTAAAACAAACTTATCTATTAGATATTACTACTGCTATTTTAATTATTATGACTGGAAGCAATGTAAGGTACTTTCTTCCTTTTTCTACTGTCTACTCTAGAGGGGTAAACTGAGATTTAACCGCTCTTTATTATACATACATACATACACTCACACATACATATATATTTAATGAACATTTTAGAGAAATGTTCACATATAATTGTCTTTTGATGAAGACCAACCTTTTAATAATGTTTATTTATTTATCATACTGTCAGATATTGTATTGGTATAGATTTTCTTGGTATAGTATTTATTGAAAAAGTTGGATGCATTTTAACTTAGCACGGAGTTAACAAGGTAAGTCTCTTTTTTTTTTCACCCACACGAAGACATCAATTTTCTGCCCCCCTCTTCCTCTAATTTATACAAAACATATATATATATATGTATAAAGGATAAAACTTAAAAAAGGAAACAAACCTACAACACAGAGATACAAGATCTAGAAAGAAGAAATAGTATATACAATACACGCACATATATATAGCAATGGAAAGACCGCTATGGGTACGTTGGGCAAAAGTCTGGGCCGTTGGTGGTGGTATCATCGGTTCAGGCCTCTTATTATTCAAATATACCACCCCTACAGATGAAGAATTAATTAATGCACTTTCTCCAGAATTGAGAGAACAATACGAAAAACAAAAGGTGTTACGTAGGGAAGAACAAAGACAGTTGATGGATTTGGTGAAACAAACGTCTCAGAGCAATGATCCTATTTGGAAAACTGGCCCATTCAATGCTCCTTGGGAAGGGAAACAAAATACTGAGGCAGTATTTAATAGTATTCAACAAAATGAAGCAGAGACTAGACAAAAAGAAGATTTACAGAGGGTCATGGCTGATTTAGATACTTTAAGACAAAAAAGTGAATTAAGGACGCAGGTGATCGTTAATGAAAAGAAGAAAAACTGGTGGAAAGTATGGTAAATTTGAAAATAATATATTTCACCAAATAAAGGAAGTCATCATTAATAAATTTTACCTAAAGACTCTCTTTTTATTTACTTTTCTTTACGTACATACATTCATACACTCATTCAGAAACATATATCCGGAAACAGAACCATACACAGGCTCTTCCATGTACATAATGATATATCTGTCAATATATAAAGATAAATGCATATAATACGTTGTTATATGTTGACGTTAACAGAGTAAACATGTCCTCATATAGAGGGGATGAGCACAGATATGTCGTGCTGGTCAGTAAGAATCAGGGTTTCTCTTATAGTTTCGTTTTCTTTAATGCCGAATAACACGAATTATTAATTAACAATTATTTAAGTTAAGTCAGCATCCAATATAACGTAGTGTTATCTATTACTTTAAGTGCTCATCATATATTTCAAGGTGAGCCCATACTTTGGTTTTTCTTTTACTTTAGAAATGAATAGAGATAGAATATACTCATACAGTAAATCCGTAGCCACAGAGCGACGCCAAAAATTATTAAATATTCATAGTGCTTTCTCGATGAGAAAGAAATCGCGAAATTTTTCATCACCAATCATTTATATCATGACGTCGAATATATAAATGAGAGAGCCACTCACCATCGTGAATTAAAGGTTTCTTTATTTCAACTCTTTTTATCTGCCTTATAACATTTATTCATTTTTTATTATGCATCTTGGCAATCATTCTTCAAGAATAAAACATCTTCAAATCTTTCAAATATGTCTGAACAAATCACTAAACAACCAAAATTAGCGCAAGCCCTAAAGATCCAATTACGTTCCAAAGATGCAACTGTCCCAACCAAAGGTTCAAATACCGCCGCTGGTTACGATATATATGCCTCTAAGGAATGTGTTATACCAGCTGAAGGTCAAGGTATGGTCTCTACAGATATCTCATTTACAGTACCTTTCGGCACTTACGGTAGAATTGCACCAAGATCCGGTCTAGCTGTTAAGCATGGTATCCAAACAGGTGCTGGTGTTGTTGACAGAGACTACACTGGTGAAGTTAAGGTCGTCTTGTTTAACCACTCTAAGAATGATTTTAAGATTGTCAAAGGTGACCGTGTTGCTCAATTGATCCTGGAAAAAATCGTTGATGATGCAGAAATTGTTGTCGTAGAATCATTGGAAGATAGTGAAAGAGGTGCTGGTGGTTTTGGTTCTACCGGTAAATAGATGACTATTAAAAAAAGCCTATTGAGCAACTTTAATAACAATCATAATAATTTTTTGGCGATGATACCTTAAAAGAAAAATCACTCGTCCCAATTCTATATAGAGCAATGTAACATTAAATAAAAAAATCTAACATTTAAAAGAAAAATGGTTTACGAAATATAAATACTAAGAAGCGTAATTTTTTTTTACGGAACATAAGATTTAGCAAAACAATGACATATACTGTTACCTTTTATATTGGTTCTAGTTAAACAAATTAAACCAATGTATCCAATCAAATGAGAAAAATTAGAAAATTTGGGGAGGACATTTATTTATTATAACAAATATTCTGTGAACACTTGTAACATAGAAAGATGATCAAAGATGTGATGGATCTGAACCTTGTTTCATAAATATTTTTTTCGTTTTTAATAAAAAATATAATTGATATTTTTTTCTGTAGTTTAATTGGTTCTGTCCTTTACCTTGTATGTTATACCGCTCATGAGTATTACGGTTTATTCGCTCAAGCACATCATTCCTATTAGACAAAAGCTATTTCTTCCTGATCATTCATTTTAAAATATTTTTGAATATATAAGAATCCTCCAATTAAATTTGTTGAAAATTAAGGACTATTTATGTAAGGGTTTGAAAATCATTTAAGAATTGTCCGTGCAACTTTAAATACCATTATGGGACAAACATAATGTTATTTAAATTCTTTCAAATAAGAAAAGAGGAGGTGTTCATCTGTCTTATTGTTGATTCTGTTTTTGACCAAATCTGGCTCTCTGTTACTTTCTAATCAAGGAAGATCCTCGAATCATTTAATTTAGGTCATTTAACTATATACATATGGGTAGTTGATGGAAAGTTGTTCATGTAGGACAACTTCAACATCACTAGGGAAAATAACTAGAGCAATTACAATGAAATTGCCATCATTCAAATAAGAAAATGGGATATCTTACAACCATATTAGTTCATTCTGATCAAGATCTGTATTTTTATCGCTTACTACGAGCTTGTACCCTATTTAGAAACACCGCCAGATTTTTTAAAAGCGCGAAAAATAAAGAATTCCAAAACAAATCAAAACAAAAGGTATCCCAAATTTGACCATTAAGAATCTACATGAATCATTACTTATACAAAAAGATAAAGAGAGTGAATAACGTAGTTATAAACTGTCCAGCATATATATATTTGGGATTATTTTTAGATTTATATTATATATACAAGAAGAGCAGCCTTAAAAATTGTAACCAGTAGTTGTTGTTTTTGGTTTCACCATTTCTATGAAAATATAAAAGACACACACACACTCTCTAATATGAGCGTAGATTCCACTTCAAGCAAAAATAACAATGTTGCGACAGGGAAAACAAATATTCCTAAGAAACGAGCGTATCCGTTGCGATTGGAAACATTGCCTGATATGACGAATGACAAGGATATAAACAAGGATGCGAATATTGTGACGTCTACTCAAAATGTACCAAGGAGAGATTCTATAACTTCGTTAAAGAAAGAAGTACCTCACAGTCAAAATTCATCTATTCCAACAAATGATGAATTCGAGAACGACCACGATTTTAGATTTAAAAGACATAAATTACCGAAGATCAAGGGAACTCAGTCACTAGGGGAAAGATTAGATAATCTTCAAGATATGAAAAGAGCTAAATGGGTAGATAATTTTGATTCTTCAATACGAAATACCCAAGAACGAAGCAGTAGAGGTAAATTGAAAAGTAGAGATAATAGGAAGACCACTAATAATAACAATGAGATACCTAGTTCACAACCTAATTTAGATATGAATGAAGTACCTTACTTAGGAGCAACGCAATGGCAACAACCAATGTATTATATACCTGTTCCAACGTCACCAATGTATCATTCACAGATTCCAGTAGGCGGATTACCTGCACAATATATGAACCAGCCTATACCTATGATTCCTAACTCTTCAATGCAACCATATTATTCATCTCAATCAATACCAGGTTCCTCACAATTGTTACCTCCACCACAACTGAACCCATCAAATTTACAGTATACACAGAACACTAGAAATGGTAGAAAATCGATAGCAGAACAACGTGGTCGTAGGCTGTCCATAATGTCGAATAGGGATCAGATGATGATATCCCCACATAGAGATGTCCCTGAGAATCAATTTTATAGATACTTAGGAAATAGCCACGGAGACCCACAATTGCAATTAAAACAATTATTTTCTTGGTGTGCTATTAGAAGTTTTGAAAAATTGCGTCATGATTTAAAAGGTCAAGAGAAGTTTAGTGGGGGGTTACCATCTAACTTTATTGAAACTAAAAATATTACTCTTTCCATAATACAGAATTTTGTTGATGATTTAAGAAGAGACCAACTGGATATTGATTGGAATGCCGAAGATAGGTCCGATATTGGAAAATATAAGGAAAAACTAGGAACAGTCAACAGTCTTGAGCATGATGAAGCAGAGGATACTATTTTAAAGAATCTTTTTAAGGATGATGACGAAGATGAAGATGAGCAAGATGATGATGAAGAAGGAGATCAAATTGAAAGAGGGAGAGAAGATGATGAAAGTACAGAATATAACAGTGATGCAAAAAGTGAATCTTTTTATTATACTGGTATTGGTATCAAGAGAATTCCAAAGATCAAAAATAAACGTAGTAATAAACTAGATGCACAAAAAACTGAACAATCTCAACATCATAACGAATTAAAAAAAAAGGATATACCATTACTACCAAACAGTAAAAATATTAAAAATGAACAAAACTTGTTAATTTTAACTGAAAAAGTTGAAAAACTGACAAATGAATTAAATGACTGGATTACCGTTTTAGACAACAAAGACCTCGAAGAACATATTAGAGGGAAGATAAACACCAAAGATATACAACTTGAACGTGAACCTATTCAAAGGGAATTAGAAAGCAACAGTTCTTTGGTCCATATGCTGTCCATAGATGATATTGAAAAGGATTTAGTAAGTAGGATGAATAAGCTACAAGTGCATACACATTTAATTAAAGCGCATTCAAATATACTCTCCAAGACAACTACAAATAAGATTAAACTTTTAACTAACGAATTTAGAAACAGGGAGAAACCAAAAGGAGATGGCATAGATTCCAAACAACTATTGCGTGGATTGAGTGAGACATTAACCAAATTGTAATACTTTAAAGCGCAACATTTCTGCACACGAATGTTAAAAAAAATCACCACTTCGTTCCACTCTTTTATTCCTTAGCCACCGGGAATAATTAGTATGTATGAATATATCATATATACGTTGTAACAATAAATAAATAATGACGTTTATAAACACGACTGAAGTGATTGCATTAATGTGATGAGAAAATTCTAGAAAAATTTAAGTTACCCTCTTCGCCCTCCCAAAAATTTCAATTATTATGTAATATTTGAAAATTTTCCGATGGATGGTCTCTTTTCGGAACTGGAAGCGATGAGATGCATTTCACTTTTGATGTGTAAGAATGGATAGTTAACACTACAAGGTGGTAAGATATACAATTTATTGTAAAATTCTTAGGCATCAGTAGCTTATATAAATACTAGAACCGTTTCTTAGGGTGTTAATTTATTTCATAGTGTTTGTAGTTTATCAGATAACGAAACATCAATAAAACCACTATAAATAACAAAAGATATAATGTCTTCCAACGAATTAGACAATACTCAACTACCTGGGGACAACGAACCAATAGAAGAATTTATTTCTACTGATGAAGTAGCCCAAGAAGTTATCCCAACAAATGGTGATGAACAACCTGAAGACGACGACGAAGATATGCAAGAAGATATTCCTATGGATGAAGGTCAAACGATAGAAATCGATATGTCCAACAACTCTGTCAGTTATTTTGACAAACACACCGATTCTGTGTTCACATTAGCCCATCATCCAAATTTACCGTTGGTTGTATCTGGCGGTGCCGATAATATTGCCAACCTATGGACGTCCCATTCGCACCCGCCTAAATTGGCTGGTACTATCACAACTCATACCGAATCAGTCATTTGTTCTAGTTTTACAGCAGATGGTAAATTTTTAATTACTGCAGACATGAACGGTAAGATTTTGGTTCATGCAGGTTTGAAAGGTGGTTCTCAATGGAAACAAGTCTCTGAATTGGCCGAAGTTGAGGAAGTAGTATGGTTAACAGCACATCCTAAGGTTCCTTCCATCTTTGCATTTGGTGCTATTGATGGTTCTGTTTGGTGTTACCAAATTAGTGAACAAGATGGTTCATTGGATCAACTAATGAGTGGTTTTGTTCATACTCAAGATTGTACTATGGGTGAATTTATAAATCTAGATAAAGGTGAAGAAGCTATCGAATTAGTCACTTGTTCCTTGGATAGTTCAGTAGTGGGATGGAATTGTTACACTGGTCAACAATTATTCAAATTAACTCAAACGGAAATTAAAGGTTTAGAAGCACCATGGGTTTCTCTAGCGGTTGCACCATCAGCTCTAACCAATGGTAATTTTGGTATTGTTGCTGCAGGTTCCAACAATGGTGTCCTAGCGATAATAAATGCCAACAACAATGGTGCTGTTTTACACTTAGAGACTGTTGTAGAATTAAAGGACGATCAAGAAGAACTAGATGCATCAATAGAATCTATTTGTTGGTCTCCAAAGTATCCACTAATGGCCGTTGGTCTTGTTGGTGGTCAAATACTTCTATATGACACAAACTCCTGGAGAGTAAGACGTAGATTTGTACTAGAAGATTCAATTACAAAACTAATATTTGATGACGATGATATTTTCGCATCTTGTATAAATGGGAAAGTTTACCAATATGACGCAAAGACAGGTAATGAAAAATTCGTATGTGTTGGTCATAACATGGGTGTTTTAGATTTCATTATTGTGCATCCAAAGGATGCTTCACAATTGAGAAGAGTCATAACTGCTGGTGATGAAGGTGTTTCCCTGGTATTCGAAGTCCCTAGTTAGGCATATGTAAAAGTGGAAAAACATTCAAATCATTCTTTATAAATATTGGTATTATATCGTAATTGTATATTAGAAAGATAAATAAACTTCGCGAAAAGTAATACTAATATTTATACTACATATGCTGAAATGGAAAACAGAAATATAACAATATTTAAGGAATTTATAGAGAGGACGAACATATATATTCGATTACCGTTTCGAAGATAACATGAGCCGATGTTGTGGGCTTATTAACTGTATTATTTAGCATCACAGTTAGTAATGTGTTACTCTGGAAATTAGTTTTAATAGAGTGAACATCACTACTAGTGGGCGTTGAATCATCATCATATGAAGTCCAAACCTTTGCGGAAGCTGTAATTGCCCCTGGAATGTTACCATCACTAGGAATGTCGATAATATTTTCATCCAAAGAATTACCGTTGATAGCTTTAGCGAGAGATATCTGATAATTTTCCAAATCATATACAACATAGGCATTCTTTAGAAAACTGTCGCCTAATGTAATACTGTTTGAAGATGGAAGAACACCAAATCCACAATACGCTTCACCATCTGGTGGTAATATGAAAGAGGCTAAAGAAACATTTAATTTCAAATCTCCAAAATCAAACATAAATCCAGTGTTTAATGTATCAGTTGGACAATCCATAATATAAATTGATTCTTTTTCACTATATGTTGCATTGACGTAGTTAGCCATTTTGTCTGCAATCTCGATAGGGAAACTGACCAAAGTGGTCCCACTATCTAACAAAACAGGATATTTTGTATTGAATATCTGTGTTTGTTCTAAGCTATTACTATTGTATGCATATAGTCCTTGAATGGTCAGTGATAATGTTGCTGGTTTGTCAACAACCGTTGGGTACACATTAACCATCGGAAACGTGTACATGTTTCCCTCAAAGGCATTTTTATCTAAACCTCCAAATATAATTGAACTTGTTTGTCCAAGATGTAGAGAATACGCAACAACATCAACTATTCCATCTTGTTTAAGGACCTCAGGAAAGTTCAGATAAAATTCATTGGAAGCACCTGGATAACCTCTAACTGCCTCTCTTCTTTGAAACCCTATACCGAGCACACCAGATACTGGCGTTGTAGCGTTTAGGGCTAAACCGAATTGCATATTATTGATAGTTATGCCATTAATTGTAAGCGTGTCCGTGGCCCATTCGCCTTCAGCATAAGTTTCGTCTACATAATTGATATAAAATCTATCATCCGATAATTTTTTAAAGGAGGAAGATTTTTTTGAATCAAAGGTAGTTATTTGAGAACAGTCAATCTTGGAGTTATCCTTGATACTACTATTTAAACTATTTAAACAATTTGGATTATTAGTGTCCATGACCCACAAATCTGCTGAACCTGTATCAAAAATTACGTTTAATTCCTGTGATGGTGTACCTAAATTTATTGAGGTAGAAAAATACTCGTCATCATTATTTTTTAAGGAAAGAAATAAATTGTCTCTCTTCTGAAATAAGGATGAGCCTGAAGAAGGTATTGTCTTTTGCAAGGGGAATTTAAGAGATTTTGCAAAGACTATATCCAACACTGAAAAGAAATATATAACTTTTAGCAGGAAGAATTTGTTAACCTTAAATGAAAACATATTAGTTATGTAAATTAATGATCTAAACGTAAACCAGAGTAATTTTAATTTAGATGATTTTTCATACCTTTAAAATTATAAATGTCTGAAACTAACTTCTTGTTTTATGAATAATCCATTTCTATATATTTATATACCTTGAATAAAGGTCACTTTGTATTTATAGCTTTATCATATTATTGAGTGTCATGTTCACATAATTTGAGCTGTTCTATATACTGTGTCGAGTTTTCCTTTATATTTTTTAGGAGAGGTTGCAGAACAATGGCATTTGTCATGTTTCAGTTTTTTTTGAGATTCATGTAAATTTCCTTTTCGGGCAATGACATGATAATATTTAAAACAATTTTCTGGGAATGAACAATATTAGAAATACAAAGTAGTTTGAAGCAGAAATATGTATACATTCTTGATGTTGGTAATAATATGTGTTAATTTAAAATATAATTTCTTTTCGTATTGTGGTTTTTCTGCAGTTTGGTTGAACTGCTATCTGGTGGAGAACAAAAAGGATTCCTTATTTTAATGGTATCTACTTCTACTTCTATATATATAGACCCATTTTAATATTATTCGAATGCTAATTACATAGAGGGATAACGATAATAAAATCATGCATTCAATATGTATATATATATATATATATATATGTTTGGATGTGTATATAATATATATATATGTTTGGATGTGTATATAATATAACTTAATTACATTAAAACATTACAATTATTTCAAAGAATCTAGGTTGACCAGCTCATTTTGAATAATTTTAATAATATCCTTTCTTCTTTGTCTCAATTGTTTTCTTTTTTCGCCTTCCAAGTTCAACAGATCAACACCATCCAATTCAATCAGTAGCTTCAACAGCATTTCGTTACAGTAATTACGTTCATAAATATCTTTGTCATCATCTGGGCTATAAAGCTCCATGATCTTAGCAATACGATTCTTGAATTCATTTTCATATCTTAGATAGATATTTTCCAATTGTTCAGTTGGGTTTAATGCGACAGGTTTCTCGTCCATAGTTAGTGGTTTCTTCTTGCCTAAGTTGTCGTCGGCCTTTCTACTAACATAATTCCAAATGAACATAGTAGCAACAGCAATGAACAGACTGATGGCTCCCATGGCATCACCGGAAATGTTCTCCTCGATATATTTAGTAATCTTCTCAGTATCCATCTTTTACCCTTTGATTTACGCGTGAATCAATTGTTTGTGATTGTACATGAAATAATACCAAACCAGAAAGTAACTTAAACAAATTAACTTATCATTAATAAAACATTCTCTTTTAATATAATAAAACAAGTTCAATGACAGCCGTCGAAGGAATGCTGTCTCACCCCCACCAACCTGCGTTTCTTCCAGGTTACATCATGAACAAAAGAACAGTTCCTTACGTGAAAAATTCAGTAACTTTGTTTTGCTTTTGCCTCTCGCTTTGCTTCCAATTAATACGTCTCTAATGGTCACATAAAATACGCAGAACCCGGAAACATTATAGTTTTTCTGCTGTGTACACCTACAAAATATATCGATATATATAAATATTGAGACTTGGAGGAGGGTAATGAAATATTTGGGGTCCGAAGGGGAGATTTGATCAACCTAAATCTCAAGGGACAACTTCTAAGAGAAACAGAGATGAAGAAGTTCATTTAACCAGATCATGTTAAGAAGTGTTTCAATCTTATAATTATTGGTGAGACTATTTCAAAAAGATATATTGATATACCAGAACATTTTTTGGTTTTGCGTGGCAACTCTCAGTGGACAGGAAGGGAGTCTTTTGGTTAGTTTAGTTGTTCTTAACAATCGATTAAAGAGTTTGGTTTTAAAAAGATAATCAGAGAATATGGTTGCCCTCTCCAAGGATGATATGACTAGTATGTCATTAGTTGATGATGATTTTGATAGAATGACCCTTTTGGTGGACCCCAATGTAACTTTATTGAATTCTTTATTAAATATTTCTACCCAGGATGACATAGACACTCAACATATGAAATTAGATAACCTTTATTTACTGATCAAATTAGATTGTAATATTAAGTTGCAAATCAAACCTCAATTTATGTCGTTCATTTCTAGGGTATTTACGGAGGTCCGATTGTATGAAACATTACAAAATAACGACATCAATACCAATTTAAAATATTTTAAATTGCTAAATAAAAGCATTGATCTGGGTAGAGAAGTCATTGATCTTAAATCTACTTCCCAATTTAAGCATATTTCTAGATTTTTTATTGAATTGATGGAACAAATGGATAATAAAGTTCCAACAGATGGTAAATATGCCACTTTGGTGGTAGAATTATTGCGATATTTCATGTTTTATAGAAATCAAACCAACTTATTAGATTATCCACTGATTAAAACAACATCACAGATCATTATTAATTTATCGGATAAATTGAACTACACAATTAATTATAAATATATTGTCACTACAAATATATCCGTTGATAATCCGTCGAAGGAGGCATCCGTTAGTTATAGCATGGCAGGAAGGAGCTATAAGGATACTATATCTGTACCAAATCCATGTATCATAGAAAATATTTATGAAATGGATATATTACAGTATTGCCTGGTCTTAGTTGCGTCAACCAATGAGCCGAATGATTCATGTACAGAGTTATCCAATGATGCAGATATCAGAATATTCATTCTAAGTCTGTTGAAACATAGCAACATTAATTTAAAATGTGCCGCATTGCATTTCTTACTATATCCTTATTTTTCAACGAGTATGGCTTGGAGGGATACAAAGACAGTAAACCAACTGATGCCATTCTTATTAAAAACTTTTGATTCTAAATGTGTTCCTTGGTGGTTTGATCCGTTTCATAACCTAATTACGTTGTTGGAACTTTATAATCAAAAAATGCCAGGTGGGAACCCTGTAGTAGGATTTTTAAAAAGAACAAATCTAATTCATGGATTTATGGATTTATTCTTCGAAAAATTAAAGAAATCCAATGGCTCAAAAACCAACCAAAACCTTCTGATACAGTTCATTAAATTTTCTGCATGTTGTTCTGCTTTTGATGAAATATATAGACTAGAGCTACTAAAAAATGTTTTCCTGATGGATCAGTTAAAAAGAGATATAGAGGGTCATATAATATTATTGGAGGATTTTTTGATAAATAAGCAAATGTTCATCGGGATGAACCATGATTTACCGGCTTTAAACAATAGTGAGATAGTCGTTGTTTGGTTAGAATTATTGAAATCATTTTCTAGAAGTACTGCAGCGTTGAGAACTACTTTGAAAAAGAATAACTTGACCAAAAATATTATGACTATATTGAATTTGACTTATTCGATAATGAAGGATTGCTATTTTGCAGGACCTATTTTTTTACAAACTGAAATAAAAATCATGGGATTGTCATTGGGTATCCTATGTAACTTTATTGTTGAGTTTTCAAATGTTCAGTATTTCCTTACTGACCAAGGTATTGTAGATATCTGTAGTGATATTCTAAATGATCCGTTATTTAATCCAAAAAGGACTTGGAGAAATTTAACAAGAAAAATGACCTTAGACACCTTAAATGTAGAAGAGGTTAAAACAAACACATTGTGGGTAATAAGACATCTGATGTATAATAGCCAAAATCATGAGAAACTAGAGTTACTTGAAAAAATCAGTATCGATACAATTTTAGATTTTGTTAATGATCCTTGTTGGACAGTACAACAACAATGCTTCCAGGTGCTAAAAAATTTAACTTGTAATTCTAGAAAAGTAATCAATTTTTTGCTAGAGAGATTTAAGAACGTAAGATACATGGTAGATCCAGCTGATGGATCAAGAGTCGCAGTTGGGTCGACATATTTGTTTGAATTTTTAGCTAGGAAATTGCGTTTGTTAGATGTTCACGATATATCGCAGAAAAGAACTTTAGAAGCTATCCTTTATATTATTGTTAATATTGCAGCTGTAAATGAAAATAAGAAGGAATTGGTCTTAGAACAAACGGATATCTTAAGGCTCATATATCAGATCCTTTCTGAAACTCCAAACAATTCAGAGAAATATGGTAATAACAGTGAACTGAAATTAGCATGTTTATGGATACTCCATAATATTTTGTGGGACTCAAATAGACATGAAAATTCACGGAATGCACTGTACTCAAATGCTGAGAATAGTAGTACATCTACAAATAATTCTTCTCAAACTCTAGAAGGAGTCGAATCTACCAGTAATTATTCTGGTCTTCGTCCGAATGTCTCCATGAAGACTGTTGACCGTTGTGAACGTTTGCAAGAACTAGGCTTTCGTGATTTAGTTAAAACAGCTGTCTTAGACTCTAACATCAATGTAAGACAGAAGGCTACAAACCTGGATGATCTTATGTTTAAATTACTTAATGGTACTTAAGAATTAGATTATATTACAATATTATTCTTAAGTAAATAAATATATAAATTTTAATATTCACTTGAAATAATAATTTTATGAAAATGTAAATAAGTAAACAAAACATGTAAATAAGTTTACATGAAAATAGTAATTGATATTTGATGTTTTAAAATTCTTATTATAGTTCTAGAAATTTATATTTTTATATAATTAAAGAAAACCTTACAAAATACAGAAGTGTCGAAAGAGTAACCAATATTAAGAAGTTTAATCTTGGGTCTTTTGAGAACCACGTAGTAGACCGGTTCTTCTAGCGGCGATCAAACCAGCCTTTTGACCAGCAACAGCACCTCTAGAGATAGTGGAAGCCTTACCAATATGTTGATGGTTACCACCACCGTGAGGGTGATCAACCGGGTTCATGGCAACACCACGAGTCTTTGGCCAAGAGTTTCTCTTTAATCTGTACTTGTGGAAAGCACGACCAGCCTTCAACAATGGCTTGTCAACTCTACCACCACCAGCAATAACACCGATGACACCTCTAGCGTCAGAAGAGATAACCTTCTTAGCACCAGATGGTAATCTGACTCTGGTCTTGTTTTCGTCTGGGTTGTGACCAATGACGATAACGTAGTTACCAGAAGCTCTGGCAATAGCACCTCTGTCACCTGGTCTTTCTTCGACGTTGGAAATAATGGTACCTTCTGGGACAGAACCTAGAGGTAGAACATTACCAACACTTAGAGCAGCCTTCTTACCGGCGTAGATGAATTGACCGGTGTGGACACCTTCATTAGCAATGAAGATTTCTTCACGTAACTTATACTTGTATGGGTCACGGAAAACAACCTTAGCTAGAGGAGCACCTCTACCGGAGTCGTGGATGATTTGCTTAACAACACCACGAATGTAACCGTGACGTTCAGCGTAATCCAAGGTTCTTAACTTGGCAGCACCTTGTCTCAATCTGGTGTGAGAGGTGAAGATGGAACCAGCACCCTTTCTTTGGTTTCTAATAACTCTACCTGTTTAAAAGACTATTGCATCATACAAGATGATGCTAAAATAATTATTTGTTAGTAAAAATGTTTTGAATATTTTCTTTTATCGATGTTGTAACAAATTCATGATTAATATTGTCTAAATCTGTGATCTCCACTACGTTCATTGCACACTCATTTATAAATCTATAATAAGATCATTAATTTTTATTGCGATATACCATGTCCTTGAATCTTTGGTTTATTATCTTCTAATTGTATTATCATTGTTCGTTCACTCAGTTTCATTAAATAGAACATATTCTCATTTAACTAATTTGTTACTCTTCCTCTAACGTAATTTGACATACCCATTTTTGCTTGGTTTCTTTGAAGTGATTAAATGAACAACTTAAAATATAATTTTACTACAAGTTATAGCTATATACTTCTTGATGCTTTACTATCAATTACTAGACATTATCATTCTGCTGCGTAACTGTGTAGAGTATTATTGAGCCTTACAAACGATGGCCTCTCAGATAGTGGGAAATTCCGATGCATAATACTACGTTATGGAAGATGTCTCAATTACCTCTTAGGTTTATTCGTTTCCCTGGTGAAAATGTTACATTACCAAGGCCTTGAAGATATTTCAGTGCGCTCATCGTTATGGTAGAAAATATTCACCTGTGATAATATTCCGATTAGTGAAGCGGAAAAGTTTATTTTAAAAAAAAAAACTGTTGAAAGTAAAAAAGAAGTTTGTTTTATTTTCAGGAACATGTGTGGGTCTTTTAGACTCTGGATGTTAGGATGTCCAGTGCAGTCCAAGATAATCCATTCTTGAATTCATGAAAAAAATACTTGAAACGTAGACCTATTGCCTTAACTGCTAGTCAGGTCTCCCTTAGCGTAATTAAAATATGACAATGCTTAAATAAACACTTATAATACTGTTACATAGAGTTTTAAAAAGTAGATCACTATCGACCCTTGATTAATATGAGTAACGTAATATTAAATAGTTACATAAAATTTAAAGAATACCATTATACAAAAAACGAAGTTATAATAAACTATTTAGTATAGTATAGCTTAGTTCTTAGCAGCACGCTTAGCAGCAAGAGCCTTAGCAGTACCGTGTAGGGCGTGCTTGTGGTTTCTCTTGAACTTTGGATCAACACCCTTTAGAGATGGGTACTTGTAGGTCTTTGGCTTCTTGATACCGTTTCTGTGGGCCTTCTTGGTTTGGTTATGAGCGGTATGGTTCTTAGATTTAGACATTTTCTAAATAAAAAAGAGTAAGTAAATCAGGTGAATTGATTTAGTTATTTGTTAGTAAAATATAATTCAATAAATTGGCTAATTTGTACTGCAATTCTGCAATATCAAATCTTGATGAAATTAAACAAAGGCAATATTATTACGATATCTTTAAATCATGCACTGTTTACCCATTCAGAGTGTTTATAATATGCATTTCCTATGTTTGTAACCTGGGTATCACTATCTAAATAAACGTTTTCATAGATGTCGCTAGTATTTAACTTCCCATGCTATTTTCTTCTCTTCATCTCACAATATATTTATCCATACTATACGTCACTTTATTATCACGATGTAGTCTACTATTAGACCATAATAATTAGGATTTACTATCTTTTTAACATCGTTATATCAATTATTAGTTTCTCGATCTCAGCCTTTATTTTCAATCCAATTAACATTAAAGTTGTTTAATTTCATCTTATCATTTCCTCTAACATACTGCTTATCCTTAAGTTACTTTCCTTTTTATGTTTTAAATTAACAAAAGTTTTATGAATCTTGATGTACTCTGCTTATATCCACCATTTTCACTACTATTACAATATTATAGAGTATAGTGGGCTATGAGTTACCAATAGTTGGTTCCATAGTGAATAACGTGTGGAATACCAATCGGCCAAAACACTGAAAAAAACTGAGCGCTTTGAAAAAAAAAGAGAAGAATTTAATAAATTTTCATTTTCTTTATTTTGTTTTATTAAAAAATATTGGGATGTACAGATGTCCATTCATTTTATAAATGTATGGGTGTAGTTGTATTGTAAGTCACAAAAAACGTTTTCTTCAATGAACCATTTTTTTTTCATCTGTGAAATTCTCGAGTCACATGGATCTGCCAGAGTCATCTCATGTAATAAAAAACGTAATTACAGGAAACGATCCAGTGGACCACAATATATTTGATTGACACAATATATAAACCGCAGTATAAACATTCGCCACAGTAGTAATACTTAAAAACACCTCTCTAGTAATATAGAAATTAGCAAGAAACAAGAATTATGACTAGATTTATTGGGTGTATAGACTTGCACAACGGTGAAGTGAAACAAATTGTCGGAGGTACCTTAACCGAGAATGATAAAGATACACCAAAGACGAATTTTGTTTCTGAGAAGTCGTCTGGATATTATGCACAACTTTACAAACAGAATAATGTGAGGGGATCTCATGTTATTAAACTGGGTCCGAATAATGATGAGGCTGCATTAGAAGCCCTCAAAGGTGCTCCTGGATTCTTACAAGTTGGTGGTGGTATCAATGACACAAATTGTCAGAAATGGTTGGAATATGCTAATAAAGTCATCATTACAAGTTGGTTATTCAATAAAGAGGGTAAATTTTTATTAGAAAATTTAGAAAAGATATCTTCACTCTGTGGTAAAGATCGTTTGGTAGTAGATTTAAGTTGTAGAAGAACTAAAGATAACAAATGGATAGTCGCAATGAATAAATGGCAAACATTGACAGATATGGAACTCAATAAAAATGCTTTCAAGGAATTAAGTACATACGCCAATGAATTTCTAATCCATGCAGCAGACGTTGAGGGCCTGTGCAAGGGGATTGATGAAGAATTAGTCAGTAAATTATATGAATGGACCAAAGAATTGGATAATAACATTAAAATAGTATATGCAGGTGGTGCTAAGAGCGTAACTGACTTACTACTTGTTGAGAAATTAAGTAACGGTAAAGTAGATCTAACTTATGGTAGCTCACTGGATATCTTTGGTGGCAAATTAGTTAAATTCGATGACTGTTGCACATGGAACTCAACTCATTAACATCTTGGCATCTTTTTTAACAAAACTATATATTGGAGTATAGCATATAAACTCTGAAATATAATCAAGTTATTAATGTAAATATATTTAAGTTTAAATATTTTACCAAAATTCTATTATTCTATTATTCTTTTTTTCGATTTTCTTTTTGAATTTGATTAAAAAAATAGTACATATATGCATAACTGAGAATAGTTAGTAATATTTAACCAACCTCGTTTATTTATTTCATTACTCCATTCTTCGAGTAATTCATCACCAACCACCCATATCGGTACCACTACCGTAAGGGTCTTGTTCTCTACCACCCATTGGTATATCTTCATGTTCAGTCATGGAACCATTGTTCATACCAGATGGACCATTAGGAGCATAATTAACTTTCTCTTGATCCATTTGATTCAGTGCTAACAGAATAGATGCTACTTTCTTCTGTAATGTATCAATACCTCTAACAACAACTTGATCGACACTAATCGACCCTATAGTTTCGACGTTCATATAAAAGGTCTCTGCTTTTGATTTATAATCAAATGCTTGTCCTTCGATTGGAGGATCTTCATATTCACTATTCTTAGAGCGTGGCCATTCCTTTGATGCATCCTGTTCATACCAGTATTGTGTATGTTTCAATTTATTCCATGGATCATATTCAAATTCAATAGCAGAAGAAGCACTCCACTTGGCGTGCTCTTTAGCAATACCTTTCTTTGCAATACATGTTAATTTCAATTCTTGACCCTTTCTTAATTTACAAATCAAGACACCATTAGCTTCTTTATCCTGTATAATTGGATGTCCAATATTACGTCCTAATAAATTCGAAACAATCGTCAAATCCTTTGCGTACACATTTGTTGTACTTTCGCTTTCACCAACAGCTTGTAAAGTTAATACCACTGAACATTTATCACAATGATCCTCACAGAAACAATCACGACTATATTCAAGTTGTTCAATATCCATACTTTGTAAGGGGATAAGACCCAGTCTATGAGCTATAAATTCATCGGCTAGGACGGTAGTATTGGTTTCTATCTCTACAGAGTCGATAGCCAAAGTAGGGATCTCTGCAATCATCACTCTTCTTAAAGAGTTTGCCGTTGCCAAATCTGTATTAGAAAGAATAAAATCGACATTTTCTTTGGTAGCTTCTCTAATTTTCACTTGTGGACCTTCTTCACTCATCTTTGGAAATACTTCTCTATGCTTATTCAGAATCAGCCCCTCTTATATCCTTCCACGAGAATATTAGCTTAATAGTATCTCTTATGTGAGTAGTTTCTCTCTCTTTTTTATGTGTTACTGTTTATACAGTAATATTGCTTATTTCAGCAATATTACTATTAAAGGTGGAAAAAAAAACAGACCAAAAAAAAGATGTAAACTATACAAAACGTACGGTATAAAAGAAGATCGCTCGACACGACGAAAGTTCAAGTTATTGATAAAATAAATTGGTATAACACATATTTACAAAGTATATTATAATTATTATATGGAATGAACATAAATCATCGAACAAATGATGTATGATTAATGACGATTATCTCTTTCATAGTAGAGAATAATAAAAAAAAAAAGTATTCGTAATAGTAAAAACAAACACATTCAAACTTGAATATCAAGTTATTCTTCGTTTTTGTTTAAGTGAATTGTCTTGAACCACCACGTACAAATTCTAGAATCTTCCAACCTTCAGTTTCATCGTCATCGATCTGTTCAGGATCTCTTGTAAAGACCATGGCATAAGTGCTCATTAGGATGTTATCTTCACTACCTGCTGCGATTTCTCCAGTCTTTGACTTTCTGTACAAGTTGATCTCTTGAGCTCTACAACTTATAACCAATACAGGGATATCTTGTGGTTGTAACAATTTTGCACTAACGATCTCAACGTTTCTAATATCTAGCATACGACCATCAGAAAAGATTTGTTGTTCTCTGAATACTTTTTGTTGAGCTGCGTAAACATTGAAAGGAGCTTCACTTAACCATTTCTTCAAGACTTTTTGGTCACCTTTAATGTATGCTTCTAAGATTTCTGGTACGATATATTCTCTTAAATGTTTAGTAAAACTTGCACTATTAAAAGTTGGATCCATCAATTTAAATTGACTATAAACTTTAGCAGATTCAGTCTCTGCGAAGAATCCACCAATTTTATTACTAATTTTTCTTATTACAACAATCATTGGATTTTCACTTTCATTCCACAATTTAGTTTTCATAAAACTTAAACCTTGACCTACAGTAGTATTTTCTGAAAAATCGTCAATTTTCTTACCAAAGGATTCTTTAGCTTGAATATTTGTAGAGACCAATGCAGTACCTGCTTCGTCATTACTCTTAACAGCTCTGACTCGTTCACCTGATGCCAAAGCTTTTTCTCTAAGTCTTTGTCTTTCTTCCTTTGTGATAAACCCACCATATCTAGTACTACTGCTACCGTCATTGATCACATCCGAGACATCTTTATACACTTGAGTTTTCCTAACAGGTTCGAAACTTTCATCTAATTTCTTAGCGGTATCATTAGCTACTTCTCTAGTCTTTTTACCTATATCAGATTCCCATGCTTTTACAGCAATATCTTCCACGGTTTCCCCAGTCTTCTTCAAAGTCTTACCAACAATAGTAGAACCTTTCTGAGCCTTAATATAGGCTTCTTTAGCCTTCTTATAAGCGTCTGATTCACCTAGTTTACCTGAAGCATCCTGCAAAGTCTTAATATTATCTTGTAATTCTTGAGATTTCTTCCATTCATTTTTGAATGTGTCCCTAAATACTTGAATTGGAGAACGTTGTCCATTATTTTTATCATATTGTATAGAACTAGTATGCAAATAATGTACGGCAGTAAGGAATGGTCTAACATTCAACGAGGTAGTCCTCTTGGGTATATTATAAACTTGTGTTCTAAGCATAGTTTTTTTTAAAAAAAGCAGTATATTTTGTATTGAGAAGTATTGTTAAAGATGGTAGTGGATCATAAACGGATACTATAGTTATGATATTGTATGCAAAACACAGAACGAACGTACCTTGAACACTAGCTTGCTTGTATATCGACAGTCTTTCCCAGTCACCAAGTACCGACATATACCATCTATATACATATATATACATATATACGAACTTGCAAATATAAGTTACCACTATGACTAACTACGCTACCGAGTCGCCAGAGATCGATCAACCCACTAGCTTGCCCAACTTGTTTGTTCAACTTCCCTCTCTCTCTCTCTGTTACTCGAAGAAATTCGCAACTGCCCAACGATTTTCAACCGGTCACCACCAGCGAAAATTGTTGCGAAAACGGCCCTTTCGCAAAGCCAAAAGAACTGCGCAGCTAATACCGCAACGCACCAAGATTGATTGATTGATTGATTAATAAGAAGTATTTAAGGAAGCTGGTTCGAGAGACTGTAACATCTAGTTTAGAAATTCACATACATTTTAACAATGTTGGGAAGAGATATCTGTGAGATGGAGAGAGTCTTTTATATGTGAATTTGTGGCTTGATGTTATTGTAATAGATCGATTAACTTACTAGTTGCGTACTATTTTCTTTAACAGGCCCATTCATCATCACATCCCTATATACTTATTGGCATACGGATTTGTTCGATTTAACTTTCATTACCTCATATTTACATTTATTACAATAGCTTTTGCAAATTTTCTTATCTTCTTTCTAATTTGAAATGAAATGCAAAAGTGAGATGTCTTGTGCCTAATATAAATATATTACCCAGAACCTCCCTACAGATAGGCGTTGCTAAATCAATCTGAACTTGATATTACAACGCCTTACCTTGTATTTAATTACATTAAAATTTCTATATTTATGATATATATCTTCTTTGTCTTGAGTTATTCTTTAGTTTTGATGTTCAAAGTTGTAGAACTTTCTTTACTTTCTCATTTAATTAGACTTAACACGAGGATCAACTTTTTTTTAAATACTAATCATATCACACAAACGTAGCGGTAACGCCATCGCTAGTGACATATTTACATTGATAATAATACGTTATACTGAATAGGAACATTAGTATCCCACCTCTGCACACACACACATACACACATATCTCCATCTTATCACTACCTTTGTGAAATCAACTACATTCTACATCCTCTTCCTTTTCTCATTATTAGGCTGTCAAGGAAAACAAAATGTCAGGGAGAAGACCTAAGAGATCATTCTCTAGTACGATGCCTATAGACCATTTATCATCGCCTCCACAAATGAAATCACAACATATTTATAAGAATCTACATAGTTTATCAACAAGATACAACAATAAAGGAAGAAGTACTCCAATATCTGAAAGAGAAATCAATGACATGACTTCAAAAAATTTTATACCTAGTTCCCCTATAGCTGATAGCAGAGATTCATCGCGAAGAATTCTGGAGAATGTTGTAGTGACAACAGATAACATTGATAATGGTGATATTGATGAAAAATTCGATTCTATGGATGGATCATCACCATTGAAAAGAAGACGTACAAACTATAAATCAAATGGATTGTTGAAAGGTTCTTCATCTCCATCAGTAAGCAGTTCGCCAAGTCGTTCAAAACTCTTTAAAAGAGATTCAACTAAATATAAGATTCCAGGAACTTTAGAAATTTTAACGATAACTAAAAATTCCAACGTTAAGAGAAAACCAGTACTAATGACATTTATTAATGATAATAGTGTTAACCCATATATCCATTTCACTTACAAAAGTATAGAATTACCTGATTTATACATTGATTTTAATAGAGATTGTGAAACTATCATGTTTGATAGAAAATATACATGCTTTGCCTTTATCTTTAAGAAAATACGAACGTGTAGTATAGAAAATAATGAAACAAGACATACTAAAATTTTATATTGGTCAAATATGAATAATAATAATAATGATGATAGAAAATTGAATAAGATTAATCAGTACCTTGTTAAAAGTAAAGCTGCATATAATATTAAGATATTAAAGACTAATACAGACATTTTAAACGAAGTTACAATTCGAAATAATCAATTATCAAAAGAAAAATTCAGATCAATAGCTGATGAAACATCAAGAGATATATTTAATGAATTTAATAAGAAGAGAGATTTACCTGCATCCTTTTTAAGTAAGAATTTTTTATCCTTACAAAATAAATCGACACCTTCTTTAAATCACAGACCACTAACCAAATCTGGATACTCTATTCAAATACCCAAAAATCAATCACACGATTCTCGTTCCTCGGGACCAACAAGTATATCCTCAGGGTCCTTTTACAGTAATTCAAAACCTTCTTTAAACGATCATAAACTGTCTGACATAAGAAAATCAAATCGAATTCAGAAGAAGATTAATATTGAAGACATTTCAAAGGAAGAAGGACATCAAGAGAAACCAAAATTGTTTAAACCGAAATTGAGATATAAATTTAATGATGACAGCAAATATACTATTACTAATCAAGATTTTAAATGTCTTTACAATAATGATTGGATAAATGATACATTGATTGATTTTTTCACAAAATATTATGTCACAGAATCAATTTCAAAAGGTATAATTCAAAAAGATAAGGCATCTATAATGTCATCTTTTTTTTATACAAAATTAATAAGTGACCCTCATAATTATTACGAAAACGTTAAGAAATGGGTTCAACATTCAGATTTATTTTCCAAAAAATTTATAATAATTCCCATTAATGTCAATTATCATTGGTTTGGCTGTATTATATACAACTTGGACGCTCTATTTAAATTTTTAGTGGTAAAGCAAAAGGGGGAGACAACGGACCCTACCCCAGTAAACGATAATACCGAAAAGACTAGCGAAAAGACTCAAGAAAATGAAGGCACTACAACATCATATAATGAAAACAGGCCCGTCAAGACTGGAGAAACAGATAGACATGATGATAATAATGTTCTCCATTCTGACGACATAACAGAAGTAGCACCAATTGTTCAAATTTTAACGTTTGATTCCCTGAGAGGCATCCATTCTAGAGAATTGGACCCTATTAAGGATTTTTTAATTGCATACGCCGAAGACAAATATTCTCTAATCGTTGATAAATCTTGGATAAAGATGAAAACTTGTCTCGTGCCACAACAACCGAATATGAGTGATTGTGGTGTTCATGTAATTTTAACAATTAAAAAGTTTTTTGAGAATCCGAAGGAGACTGTCGATGTCTGGAATTCAATAAGTCGTAAAAATAAGGAGGCTTCAAAATTAGTAAATGAATACTTTGAAAAAAGTAAGAGAAACGACAATGCTAGAAAAGAATTACGAAAATTCTTATGGGATTTACAAGCAACCCAAATTAAGTTGATGAAAGAAAATAATGAAAATAACGACGATTCAGAGGATGAAGATGATAATTATGAAGATGAAGACCTTGAAATTATTGAAAATATTCCTGAATTACAGAAGGATAACGAGGAAAAAGGCACTGAAATTGAAGAGGGAAAAAACAGTCCACAAGACGAGAAGAATAGTGATTCAGAAGAAAAGAATCATACTAATATCATCAGTAGTACCCAAAATGAGGTGAAAGATATAAGTGAAGAGAAAAATGAAAAAGAGATAGAAGACGATGTTGAAGATAAAATTGATGAAAATGAAACTTCTAATCTATTAACCAATGATGCATTAAATGATTCAAAGACGAATCAACTTTCCTCTGTTCCACCAAGCCCAGTAGGTAATGCTGAAACATTTGAAAATGATATCCGTCATATATCAACAGAAGATATTGGTGCAGAAAGTACTGAAAAACCAATCGAAATAAATCTGAAAACTATAATTATTGGCAACAAAGTTTTTACTCCGACCTCAGCTGAACACAACACGATTGATTCTGATGATGAAAAATCTCTTTCCGGGAATATCATTTCTCTTCCAATTAACGAGACAAAAGGAAGAATTAGTTCTAAATATTTTCCAAAAAATTTAAAAAGAAGAGTACTGGGATTTAGAAACGAAAAATCTCCTACTCTATCGGATAAAGATTACAGAGAGAATATAACCGACGATGAAATGAGTAATAATAAACTGTCCTCAACAAACAATGCTTATTTAGATGATATAGATAAGAATAATAAGGATTCCGACACTTCATATCAAAATATAATTATTTCTGATATCGATAAGGATGACGACGTTAATCTTATAGGACAGAGTTCCAATATATCCTTATATCGAAACAATATCGTGACGTCAGAACCTGACACCAATAATGGTAATAGCTCTCAATCAGATGATAATATTAGTAATATTAAAAACAATATTAATCGTGAGTTATACAATAATGACTCTTCAAATTTTATAGATTTGAGTTCTCCGTCAAAAAGGGAAAGATTAGAATTCTTAGAAAAGGAAGATAATAACAATCCATCAGCAACAATTTTCTCCAATACGTCTGACTTGGAGTAAACTACAATAGTAAAATCTAAGTAGAGTCTGCTGAGCTTTGCCTTCTATTCATATTACTTTCGCGCATATCTAAATATTACTTAGCATACAAAACAATTATTTATCGCATAAACTATATCAGATGAATTGCTACACTTTTACAGTGTATAAATTTATATATCAAATCATTTATAAATATTAAATATATCTACTTGACGATATAGAAAACAGTACGCCATTTGGTGTCACGTTAAAATATGGGGTTTTGACATAACATATTTTATTGTACTGTATCTGTTCCATAATTTTCTAATGATCTCCCATTAGCATAAACTTCGTCTTTCACATTTTGCGTGAACAACTTGAACCATTTATTTATCGACCCATATAATTCAAATGCTCCATGCGAGAATATGAAAGCAATTGTTAAAATGAAGGTCAAATGTTGCGGAAATGTCCATGGTACATTAGAATTCATAGATCTTAATCTACCGAGAATAATAAATTTCAAGGCATTCATAAATGAACTGTAATGATCCGTATCCAAAGTGTATTCAAAAATTGAAGTAAATAATATAATCGAGAAGAAGATAATATAGCAACGCACAACAAACTTTAATTGAGGTTTAACAATAGCATTCCATTGCTCCCTACAGGAAACAATAAAACCTCTATTTCCATTTGTCCTTATACCATTACCAATAGCAGTGGATCTAATTATTATTGGGCGGAAAAAGCAGAAAACAATAAAAATATACAATTTTGAATGAATAGCTTTTTGTATACGATCCGCATCCACAACCATAGGTTCTCCTGTCACGAGGAATTCAATATATGCGATACAAATATGAATCACAATACTATATCCAAATCCTAAAAGTAGATACTCAATCACACCATAAGCGCATAATAACTGAGGTCCAATAACATATTTTGATATGAAATTATCAACAATCAACTCTTCTAGTTCTGGACGAATACCAAAGTCTCGTTCAGCTGCATTATCCTGATTTTCTTGTAATTCATTGGCATTCTCTTCTGCAGTCCTATGCTCGAAAAAATACTTAGATAAATGATGTTTCTTATAGTAATCTAATATGAATGACATGATAATAGCACCCAAACAGACATAATGAACATTAGCTTGTTTATAGCTAACAAGTACAATTTTCAACAACGAGGTATAAGATGAATCAAAACCTAATAATTTCGATGGCAGTAGGAATAGAATTAGAGTCAAAGAATTGAAAAGGTACTGTGAGACAATAGCAGTGCTTATAATCAGAACTGAGGCAAAAAACCACATAAGAACCAACAGACCTGTATACCTTGCTGTAAAGTTAGGCGGTACGTAACAAATAAAATATTCATCAAAATCAGTGTTCTGTTGTTCTAAATAGCCGAACTCACCCGCATTTTTCAAATTACGCTCCTTTAACCTCTTTAAATCAAGCGGTTTCAATAATTTGTCACTTTTTGTAACCGAAACAAACATTGTTTGAACATAATTCCTAGAAACAATATCAGATGAAGGAACACGCATCAATAACCCATCGGGAACAAAATACGCATGAATAGATTGATCTTCTTTGAAAAGCTTTAAGGCTACTGAGGGAGTCTTTGGACTAGTATATAGATCTGCATTAGACCATTGTGCCTTTTTGGACGAAAATAATTTGTAAAAAATATTACGGTAAACAATATGACCTCTTTCAGAAGCATAGTCCGTACCCAAGATAAAAGATGAAAGACGCAACTTTCTGGAGGATACTTCAAAAATTTTAGACCAGTAATTTTTCACAAGGATGTTAACATTTGGATTAGCTTCAATTATTTTTTTGGTGAAATAAAAAATGATTATCAGTGTAATTTTGTTAAACACATAACCATCTAGGAAGTCATCTGGTGTTTTCAAAATTTGAGATTTCAAGATTATTGGAAACAATACCTTAGTATTTAAACCAAACCCTAGAATGATAAACACAGCATAAATGAACATCGATAAAAATAATCTGGATAACTGGGATCTCATTGGATGAATTAGACTATCTTGTAATATCTTAGTATTTGGATCCTCAGGCGAACGAATAAAAAATAAAACCCCAGGTCTTATAATATCTTTCCTAATCATGCCAATATATTTGGCAAACCAGTACATGTATAAGGTACCTATTAACCAGTACTCCAATAATATCTGAAAATTGAAGAAACAAGTGCTTGGGAAAAATAGCCAATCAGTGGCTTTACCTAAAATAGGACAGGCCAATGAAAAGTCTAACATGGCACCAGCAAGAATAGGAAACCCAGCTAGCTCAATGAAGAAGATAACAAATACTTTAAAAGTGCATCTCAATGCAAATAATAATTGGAATGCAAATCTTCTGTTCTTGTCGTTCATGCTATTGTAACGAGAGTATCCTTTACCTAATATTTCTGAAGACACACAAATAATGACTACTGTTGTCATGAAAGTAACAACTGATGGTATGGCTCTCATGTATGTCGAATTTTTGGATGTTGTTAGGTAATACGTAGAAAGGAAGTTAAACGCTGGTAGTACCAAACGCTTGGAGATAAAATCCACGCTGTAGGTTAAACCCGGGACATTATTTAAAATAAGTCTGTATCCTCTGTTAAATTTACAATAATGAATCAAATACCAAATCGAATTATAAGCCAATTGTAAAATAACATTGTAAATTCTAATTAAAATATATCCTACGGTGGTTGGAATTCCATAGGCTACCAGCATATAAAAACAAACAAAACCCACACATAGCCCAAAGTAAAGAAATATGTTACTTGACTTAATCTGTAAGTTAATCCAAAGTGGACCCAGTTGACGTCCTTCTTCATTTTCGTTGTCAGCCAGACCAAAATCTCCATTCTCAAACGGGTTGATGACAGGATCCTCTTGTGGTACCACTGGTTCTTGATCCTCAGGTTGAAGCACAGGAATATTATGTGCTCTAAGGTTTCTATGACGGTCCAAAATATCGTCGAATTGTCTCTGTGCTTGTAGATTAACCATGTTATCAATTGGATGTTCTAGTTGAAAATTATCGCCTTCAACACCTCTTTCAACTTCTTGTCTCATTAGTTCATCCTCATCAATTACTCTATCATCAACAGATAAATCAGAATCACTCTGGGTATCATTATCGCTTGGCACAAAATCAGCATCACTTTCATCGTCAGTGTTTTCTTCAACCTGCTCTTCTTGTTCTTCTGCTATTACATCGACATTATCATCAAGTTCCATATTTTGAAGATTTCTTGCTTCATTCTCTCTAATTTCTCTCTGCGAGACAATTCTTGCCACATGTTCCAAAGTATCATCATCAATCATTGGGAATCTTTCTCTTAAACGAGCCTTCAGAGCATCAATTGAAAGATTTGGGCCGATCTTATGGAATATCATCTTGTTAAATATATCCTCTCTCACAATCATATCATATTGGAAATATATAGCTAAGTGTAAGATAACAGTAAATATAATTTGCCACAATGAAAAAATATGATTGTATAATAGTGCTGTAAGAACTGAAGTATATGTATAATCATCTGGCACATTCTCTTCATAACCAAATATTATGCTCTTCATGAAATTCCCCTCATATGGCATTTTACCATCCATTATAAACGTGTACAATTTACCAAAAAAATTCCAAACCAATGGGAATCCCAAACCAATCATGATAATAAACGCTAATAAAGTGAAGTGGTAATGAAATGTTTTAAGTACATCAGAAAAACTATTAACAATTACTAATGATAAAGGTATCTTTTCGGGCATATCTTCATCATATGTAGTTTTGAATTGAAATGGATAATGGCAAATATCACATTCTACAGAGGTACCTAATTTATTAATATCTATATGTCTTGCATTGATCCATTCTAATAGACATGGTTCATGTAGATATTTGATAGAACCTTTACATCTGCATGGATGAAATAATGGATTATCTGGTGTTGCATCACCTCTACATATACGACAGGTTGCAGTTTCTGGAATAATTTCATCTTTATTCTCTTCGTTATTTATGGGATGGGCGACAGGTACCGAACCAGGCGTATTTATACTCCCATTGGTTAAGTTTTCGTTAATAATGTGATCTTCCATTGTATTGTTTGCGTATTGGGTTTACGGCAAAGATATTTATCAGGCACGACGAATAAAAGATATACTTTTAGAACAAAAGCAAATAAATAAGGTTAAAAAATATTATCTTCTTTGGTAGAAGATCAAACGTGCGTAAATCACAAACAGTCTGCACTTGATTGTCCAGTTTCTTAATTATAAGTTTTCTTTGTCTTGGCACTAATTAAAAAAGTTAATAATGAAACTGTGGTGATACTTAGGTTTATTATTTGTTGAACACTTTAAAAAAAAAAGATTATTATACCAACTAAAGACAAACAAAAAGAAGTAATAAATATGCAGCTTCCAGTTGAAGAAAATAAATAAAGATCCTGAAGTTGTAATATTTAAAATTCAGAGAGAGAAGCTCTTACACTTTTTGCCCAAATGAGTGGTAGTTTTTAATTCTTTCCCCATCTCAAGTAAAATTTAACGATTCTCTAAATGCTCCAAATTGTTGATCTCGCTTCACGTTGAAAAAAGAGTTCGCGAGCATAACAACAAAATAAAAACTTACTATGGCAGGAAAAAACTGTCAATAAAGAGAATGAGAGACGTCAGTAGATTAATCATCAAGACAATATTGAAATTAAGTCTCTATTTAAATAGTATAACTAGTTATTTCAGACGGGGAGGATGAAAAATAAATTATTCACATTTTTTGCAACGATTAGTGATAAGTTAATCTATAAAATTAATTGAGAATGGAATGCCCTGAGTTAGGTACAAAGGTGGCACTAAGTCACTTACATTGAAAATAAATTCACTCATTATTTAAGGTTAATTATCTGGTAAATATTTTGATACGGATACGTTATGTTCAACGATTATCTCTGGTCAATACTGACGTTAACGTGACTATCGTTAAATTATATCTATATTATTCGTTGTTCAACCCATGGTAACTTATACTTTCTTTAATATTTATATATTGACGGGCAATATACTAATTACAAAATTAAGATGTGGGTATTAAACAATATGATATATATAGTTCGTTCAATCCCGAAATACGTAGAGGTATACCATGGGACGGGAATAAGAGGTCAGTCAGATAACAATTATTCTATTTTAGTGACCTTAATTTATTGTAAAGTATGCTACCTTATAATTTCTTCTATTAAGAGATATAATCAAACGTTTGACTATTCCTTCTCTATAGCGTATTTCAGCTACTATTAAATTCAATATCCAAGAGATCCTTCTTAATATCTTGCTTAAAATATGTTCAACAGAGTTACTGTTGTTAAACTGCTCATCTTTTGAGCATAGAAACGGTGGACAATGTAGCTCCAATAAACCCAATGTAGGGGGAACAAATACTACATTATGCAGTATATACCATGTGTTATTCTATATACGGCAGTGCAGTACACTCTAAATTCTACTTATATTAGTTACCTTCTCCTTCAGATAGGTTAAGCTAATGTTAGTCTTTTTAGCGCTGCCACTACATTTCAACAAAATAAATAAAAGCCATCCATATTCCTGGTCCTTAAATTTAGATCTTTTTCAAGAAAATTTCCACTAACATAATTATTATATTAATTGCTGCTTGCAGGAAAAAAGATAATTATACACATTGTGACACAAAATAAGATTATTAAATTGTACAATCGTAGAAAATGATATTAATAAATAAGCTTTTCAAAAATAGCCCTGTAGGGGGCTCGAACCCCTAACCTTGTGATTAAGAGTCACACGCGCTACCGATTGCGCCAACAAGGCTTATTTTATGGAAAGTTGTGGTTGATCTTAATAAATATGATGAAACCAAAAATAATAATTTTGGTGAATAAACACTAACTGTCCCTTATTAAGATCCTAAGTTACTTATTTAGTGGACATATCATTATTTTTAAGAATTGTACTGCGGTCATATGTATGATAAAAAAACATATATGGGTCATCTCGTATTTTAAGTTTATGATAAGAGTAATAGCTTTGCCCCCGCAATATGAATTATTGTGAACAGGAAAAGAACTTATAAACTGTAACATCATAGTTAATGTAAACCAACTCGAATATGGATGAAGAGTAGTCTGAAATATTGTAAAAGTCTGAATACTAGATCCTCCAATTACGTTAGAGTGAACTCATAATTTAGTACACCTAGGCTCAAAATTCTTTTTTAGAAGTAAAGTAACCTTTAAATTATCTACATAATGTTACTTTTCCTTTTTAATCTTTAGAACTTTCTTTTCTTTTCATAGGCTACACTATGTGTAGCAGTTTAGAGTATACCATATTTTCAAATTGACAGAAATATATATTGAGGAGTGTCGATCGGGCGTTATAGTTTCCTTGGAAATCATATATTATTCAATATTTTCGTCAGTTAAGTATAAATACATAGAAATTGAAGATGAAAATATAAATCTTCTATTACAATCCATGATATGACGAATAATTAAATTTGTTCCTTCAAGTTAATTACAAGGCTCTGTTTTAGAATGAATTCCATAATCCTTTTATGTGCGAAGAAAATATCAATAATTGTGAATTCGATTGGTTATGATATATGATACATATATCATAACACCTTTTAACTCTAATTAGTCAAACAAGAAACAGGATGTTAGTTTTATTCAAATTTGGTATTGATTTGCGACAGTCCTTTAAATATTTCATCTTCCTAAGTAAGAGATTTAATGTATAGTTATCGAAGATGAGAAATGAGAAAGAAATATAAAAAAGAAGAATAAGAAGAAGAAAATTATCATATTAAAGGTTCTAACCTATACTTTAACAACCAATTCATATATCTAGAGCTCTTTTGATTGCCTAAGTAGAATATTACCAATACTAGTTTCTCAGGTAATCCTCCAAGAACAACATCTGAGGCTTATTTTCATATTGAAAAATAAATACTATCCAGGTAAAGAACCTTTAGGATTCTAGTAATAGAAGACGTATTTAACTGATTCGAAGCATACTCTAAAAGAAAAGGAACTTCTAGATATACAACCTCTATCATATATGCAATATTATACATCAAGTAACTATGATGAAACGTGAACCAACTAGATTAACATTGACAGACAATGAAATAGCTGACATGATAGCCAATTTAGAAACAAGAAAGTTCGAAGAACAAATGAAAGCCTCAAAATTATTGGAACAACGAAGAAGTAATATGCAACCCTTGGAAATAGATAGCTCTAATATTTTTGGAATACGGTCTATGGATAATTTTAATGATGATATATCGCAGGGAAATAAGGAATACCCTAAATCTATCCATTTAAACAATGAAAAAATTATCCAACATACAAGAAACATACCAAACCATATAACAGCAGATACTACGTCGTATAATAATGGTCAGTTTGCGTCAGAAGTGGATAGATTAGATATAGATCAAAATTTAGTACAGAGCCATGGTAGTGAAACTGACAACAATGGTACAAATAGATCATCACTTACAACATATCCTTCTTACTCCCAACAAAGTGGCACTGCAACAAATTACATAAGAAATATCAGTGCAAGCAGTAATGTAAGTGATAGCAGACTGGATGAAAGTGAAGATATATTTGATGATACAAATTCACCAAATCAGCCAAACCCTTTCTATATGCCAGATCATTAAAAGAAAAAGAAACATTTATACTTTGTTGGAGTTAAACATATATATCTATGTAAAAAGACTCTATAATGTAAACGTATATACTAGCATATATCAAAATATGATATCGAAACGAATGAAGGTTTTTCAATTTACGTCTTGTTGTTTTTGAATCCAATCTCTCATTAGTTTTCTTTTTTCATGAATATGCACCATATTTGGAGTGTATGAGACATCTCCTGTTGGATCACTATTAATCATATTATCTCTATCAGTGGCTTTGTTTAGTGTAATATATTTAAGATATTGACCTTGTGATAATGTTTCAATGGAATGGCCTTCTTGCCTTCTTAAAGAATAATATTCAATCTTTTCAAATGAAACAAAGACAGATATTATAAACAATAAAAGACCAGCGATTGCTTCATATTTAATATCAATAGGTAAAACTATGCTGTTTAAAATGTCATTTTGCGATAGGTGTTTTGATGTTTGATTGAATTCATAACTGGAAAATCCAGAATGTAGAATTATTATAATCGCAATGAATTGAAGTATTTTTGATATTAAAGACATGCAAATAAAGTGGACTAGGCCTTAGTTTATCTAATTATCAAATGCGTCTAGGTGTATGGTATAGATCTTGTGAACAATCCTAGGTACAAGTCATCCACTTAACTTTGATGATTCGAACTTCAACTCACTTAATGACTTCCTTTTCTGCTTGAAGTTTAGAAATTTACTGTGGGTTTGGTTCGCCTTTTAAAATGGTTCACTCAGAGAGAGGCAAAAAAAAACCCATCGCATATTAACTGCTAAATCCAGATAGAGGCAGAAGGGTAGAGTATAAAAGATAATTTGAATATACGAAGCTAATAAATAATCTTTAATTACATAGATGTTTAGTATATTCAATCAATTGAAAACAACCACATTTTATGGAAATTACAATAATGTTCCAATTGTGGATTCTTACAGTATATTAAGGTAACATTTCCAATCTCTTCAAAATGCTTTCACATTCAGCGATGCTTGCAACTAATTAATATCTAGAACATACTTAGTGTGAATATTTCTTCATAAAATATTTTTATACCCTTGTTTAATCTACAAAAGCTGGGATATGTTTTACACGTTTGTTTCAAGGTAGTTGTTTATGTGTGATAGAAAACAGTGAAATTCCCATCCATAAAGATCAACACGACTAAAAATATAATTATAGTGTAGGCAATTATCAGTATACACTTCTGCTATTGTAAAAAAACTATTTGAGAAGGAATGCTTGAAGTGTTTAATTTTTCAATATTTGTAAACTAAAAAATTGTCAAATCATGATAGAAAGGGAATAGGATGAACATCTGAAACACAAAACATCACATCTTGATGTATTGCATTTACCACCCAACAATTTCTAATTAAGTAAAAGATACCTGAGCTTCTTAAGATCTGCTCACAGTTAACGTCCAATCATTTTTTTTATTTTTGTCGTTAGCCGCCGAGGTATGTAGCACATAAACTTTATCATTTTTAAAAAACTCGAAGCTCTCTATATAATTTATAAACTAAATGTTTTACTTGGCATACAGAGGTTAAAACATCTTTCAGTGATGCCTTATACTACAATTGCAAACGGGTGAACTTCCAAATTGAGAAATTATTTGTTGAAATATTTCTTGACCCTTTGGGTAAAAGCTTGTACACCTGATAAGGTTTGGCTTGATCCTAAGAACCTTGATGATTGTGATATACTATATACAACACTGTTTTGAGGCGTACCATCCAAATTATAATAATCATCTATTGTACTTCCATATATACTATCAGTAATTTGGTTTGGTGATTCCGATCCACGATTCTGTATTTCTTCAGCACTACTCAACTCACTGAAGGATGTGATTTCAACATAATCGTCCACCGAAGCAATAATAGAAGAATTATCTCCATTTTTTATTTGTAGAGCTTCGTAATGAATTACATTGTTAACATTTCCAGTTTCATCTATAATTGTATCAATATATGGCACCGTGAACCAAATGACATCAGGAATATACAACTTAAATGAAAAATTGGTTTTACCTTGAACCTTGGGTAACTTGATAAAGTACAAAGTATCATCATCATTTACTTGTAATTGGAAATTTAAATTATCATGTTTCCAGTCATTGAACTCACCTGCTACCATTATCGGTGGTCTATCATTTTCTAAATTATGTATTCCTTTTAACTTTTCCTGAAGTACACTAATTGGAATTTGTAATAAAACGCTGTCACTCATACTAATTACAGTAATTATTATAATTATTCACAGGAATTTCTATAGGTTTAAAGCAATGGGAACGTTAGAGTGAAGTATACATTAAATTTTGTTTTTTACTCCATTGTTTTCTTTCTTTTTGAATAACTTTCCTTTTCATTTTTAAGGGTTCGAGAGAAGGCTGAACTGAAAGTAGTTCACATAGTGAGATACATTTTCAAGGAGACTTTCAATAATTTAAATTAATTAGTCGAACCTTTTATTTCCAGAAATTTCTCCAGGTCAATTCACAACGTAACAATAAATATATCTCACTTATATGTTTAGTCAATTTATTTCATATAGATAAAAATATTTATATATTTATATATAAATTTAGATTTAGAAAATGTTATTTATGTTAAATAAGATAAGGATGAGAAAAAAGAGAGGGCATAAGGTACCAGAAATAGAAAGTGCATTTAGATTTAGTAAAGATCGTCAATATGATGAGGATATAATAATGAGAATGATAGGCATTAAATGAAAAATAAGAGAAGAGAAACACATATGATATTTCAATGTCTCTGAGCTTCACGTTCTTCACGGGTAGGGTCATTCAACTTTAGGACATCAACCACTGGTCCCAATAATCTTTGGAACCCACTTTTACCTAAGAATGCGACTTTTGTTCTTTCCGTAGCGGTGACGGTAGCTTGACGTGGAAGATCGTTAATTAAAGCGACCTCACCGAAATAAGAACCCTTTGTTAAGGAGGCGACTTCACCTTTATCTTTCTTTGTAACACTACATTTACCATATTCAACCAAGTAGAAATTTTCACCGGAATCACCTTCTTTAATGATAACTTGATTAGGTTCATATATTTGAGTATCTAATGCATCTGCTAATTTAGCACGATCATATGTAGTTAAACTCTTTAGCACAGGTATACTTCTTAATAAGTCATCGTACATTAATCTCTTTTTGAACGAACTACCAAGCAGTATCTTTCTAAAAGTTAATCTATCCAACACCCATAGTATACAATCAGTTTGTGCTATGACTGTGGCTGCTCTTGGAGAATTATACATTAATGCCAATTCACCAAAACTTGAACCTGCGCCTGATGTACTAACTCTTTGTTTATTGACATAGAATTCAACTACACCTTGCTCTACAATATAGAAGTAATCACCTTCATCACCTTGTTGAATGATAACATCTCCTTTCTGAACTGCTTTCTCTTCAAGACAATTCACGACCAACCTTCTATTATCAGAATCCAATTTATTAAATAAGAAATTCTTTCCGATTGATTGTTCTAATCTTTTCAATTGGGAGTCACTCTTTTCAGAAAAATTCTCAGGGGTCCAATCATCAAAATTATCGGGATTAATAGTTTCACCACTTACAGAAGTACGTCTTTCTGCATTAAAATGGAATGGTAAAGGAGTAGCCCCATTAGAATCTGCAGTAGCAGCAGCAATAGATGTAGCAGCAGTCTTCTTATTAGCCTTGGATTCAGTGTTCTGGTGGCCATCAAATGGACCTAAAGGTGAATGGTTATTACGTTTTCTATTCATAGCATGTGGGTCTTCTACATCTTGTTGATTTAAACTACCACCCAAATTGAAAGAACCTTTAAACAAATCAGATGAAGAGTTTTCATTACTATGATCCTTTCCAAAGTTTGAAGAACCTGTATCATCATGATGTGGTACAGTATGAGGATCATTATCTGCGAATGGTGATTTGAACTTCACATTTTGGGCATGACTATCAACGGGAGTAGCATTTCTAGAGAGTTGAGAAGGAATATCTACGTTTGAGTTACTGTGACTATTTGGATTAGAGATTGCATTCCCAGCAGAGACAGAGTCATTTCTATTATTATTGGTTGGAAATAAAATGATTCCTTTTGATTTGGCTAGTTGTTCTTGATTCTTAATGAATTGTCGTTGTAATTCCAATCTTTTATTGAAATAATTTGAAGCAAATTGAAGGAAATCGGAAGGTTTTTGCAACTCGATTTCTTTTTCGAACAATGAAAGTTCGAATTGATATTCTTGTGATAGAGGCATTTGAACTAAATAATTATTAGTGGAATCCTTGTATCTTTTCTTCGAATATACTGAATCGTTAATTTCAATGTAGATATATATCTATAAATATACTGATAGTATTAAGTAATGGAAATATTGTGAGATATAACAGTTTCTATTTGTAATGAAATCCAATTATATCCAGCAAAAAAAAAAAAGAAGTTATCCCTATTTTTTCTTAATTTTCAAATTTTCAAATTGTTCCTTATTTCAAAAAAAACAAACAAACCAACGAAATAAAATAGAGTGAAATAAAAGTAAAGGATCAGTTTGTTATAATGAAAGACGAAACAATGGAGTGATTTTAAAAGTTTTAGAAGTATTCAAGTAAGCGAATTACAAATCTATAAAATAGTTTAAATAATATATTGGTATACGTAAGAAAGGGTTGATTCTTCTCATTAATTAGAGAATACTAACTAATACTATTACCATTAATTTAATACCTGTGATAGACCTGCCCGCTACACTATATTTAAAATATCACAAACATGCAGTATACACTTGATATAAATGGCTATATATATTAATTATGTGAACATGTCTCGTTGGCAATTGCTCACCCCCCCCTCATATCTCTCCCTGAAGAGATTGAAAAAGACACTTAGAAAATATTAGGTAACGTTGTACGAAGTGGCCGTACCAAGTGATATTACATTTACCGTAGTTTTAACTTGTTTTTATATATCATTTGTCACTGCTTGGTACTTGGTTACTACTACGACCAACATCCACATTAATTTAGCAAGTGTTATACAAGCCAGCAATCAACACAATTATAAAATATAATATAATCCAATATAATAGGATTAGCTTGTCCAACCATTATATTATTGCTATTACTTCTTACTGTTAGTAAAATGGCCAGACGGGAGATGTTTGCTTTGTCTCTTGAGATCGTCAACGCGTTTCCTTCTTTCTTTTATTAACATTCTCTATTCACTCTGTGTAAACCGTGAAAAATAGAAAAACTAATAGCAATGACAGCATTTTGTTATTGCCAACGTACAGCAGTTATATTTACATTACATACAGATCTCTATATATGTATATATAGGGTAATCAGAATTCTTATAGTTAAAACGTAGCCTGGAAGAATACTGTCATAAAGTATAGTGAATTATAAAATAAGAAATGGTGTTATTGCATAATATAGGCAACATACTTATATCTGTCTGTTCCACAGTATTCGCTCACAGTAGTGATCGTACCAATAATGATATTCATCATCATCATGGTCATCAGGATACGCATGATCATGTACATACTTCCACAGTGCAATTGATTAATCCAGCAATTATTACATCAATTATTCAATATATGGAAAAAAATATATTTATTTGGAATCCATTATTTAATTCATTATGTGCAGTTACATTTATTCAATTATTGCCATTCATAACAATTTGTCTATTACCTGTAAATCAATTGAATATTCATATAATGGTCTCATTTGCTTTAGGGACTCTCTTAGGAGAAATTTTTCTACATTTAATTCCTGAATCTAATCCTAGTACTGTTGGCATGGGCTTATTCATTGGTGTAATGACTTTCTTATCAATTGATAAATTAATTAGAATCTTATCAATAAATGATAAATCTGACAATACTCATTCTCATAGCCATGGTCATTCACATAGCCACAGTCATGAAATAAATGAGAAAGATGAAATCAACAATAAAAATAAAAATAAAAATAAAGATTCATCAATTTATTTATCTATTATTACTGCATTGATTCATAATGTGACAGATGGAATCACTATTGCAACGTCATTTTATAAATCGGTACCTATTGGAACAATTACAATGATTGCATTCTTATTTCATGAATTACCTCATCAATTAAGCGATTATGCAATTCTGTCGACTTCAAATGAATCGAAATTTCAATTTTTCTGTAAAAGTGTCATTTGGTCATTAGTAGGCTCATGGATTGGTACTTCATTAAGTGGGATTATTAATCAAGGGGTTTCCAACACAGTAACTCAAATCGATGACTATTTAGTACCATTTAGTGCCGGTGGATTGATTTATATCGCTGCCATCCATGTATTGCCTGAGATTCTTAACTTCCCAGAAGGTAAGACAAAATCTCAATTAATGATATTATGGTGTCAGCAAGTAGCAGCAATAATATTCGGATTTTATATAATGGCTTTAATGGCAGAATAATTTTATATACTACTACTACTAATACAATAATTCACAAGCATTTTGCATATTAATATAGATAATCCTCATCACCTCATGAATATAGTAGCAATATGTGTCTTTTTCTACTTCACTTAAGATGTTTCGCTTATTGAAGATTCGGCCGATTACGAAAGAAAAGGAGACTTCCTCCGTTGTGATATTTTTTTATTTTTGTCCCCTTTCTCGAAGTGAAAATATATATATATATATATATTGAATTATACACACATTCTAATACATTAACAGAACGCGGAAGCTACGACTTGTTTGATTGTTTTAAGTACATGCTCTTAGTTTTTATCAATCGAAACACTCCCGTCCTGATCTAGTCCAACTACCACATATATATATATATAGAAGAAACAATGAGCTCTGATGAAAAATACGATGCTGCTTTGGATTTATTACGCCGTTTGGATCCAACTAAAGTAAAGACAAATCTACAAAACTTGATCAGTTTGGAACCTTCTTTGGCCGAAGATCTATTATCTTCAATCGATCTACCACTCACGATCAAACAAGATACAAAGGCCTCCAATCGTGAATTTTTATGTTGTGATTACAATAGAGACATGGACTCTCATAGATCGCCTTGGTCAAATGATTACTACCCACAATTAAGTGCAGAGGACCTCGCAGAAAGTCCCTTTCCAAGTGAGAAGTTAAGAGAATTGGAAATCATTTGTAATGATTCCTTTGACGTTTATAGGGATTTATATTATGAAGGTGGTGTCTCTAGTGTCTACTTGTGGGATTTAGATGAGGAATCTGATTTTGCAGGCGTGATCCTTTTCAAAAAGAGTAACAGTAGTTCCAGTAGTTGGGATAGTATCCATGTGATAGAGGTTACTAACTCTGGTAATGCGGATTTTAATTATAAAGTTACTACAACCATCATCTTACAATTAGATAACCATGTAACTTCAGAATTAAAATTGTCTGGTAATTTAACAAGACAGACAGAGCGAGACATTAGAGTAGATACTAATAAGGATGATCAATTACGTATTGCTCATATTACTAACCTAGGCACTTTAATTGAAGACGTAGAATCTCAAATGAGAGATATGCTGGAAACTGTATATTTTGAAAAGACAAGAGATATCTTTCATCAAAATAAAAATAGTTTAATATCGAAGAATGAATCTGGAAAGAATGCTCAAGCTGAAATTGTTAAGGGCTTACAAAATTTGTAATCAATGATACATAAACGTTCTATATAATGATATATTTCTAAATTTTATTTTTACGTCAACATAACTATTGTTCCTTGAATAAAAGCAAAGACCCTTCAATGAGTAGATACTCCTAAATACACCCCAAATATGATAAACCGATGAATGTATGCCAGCATCGAAGTAATGCGATGAAACTATTATTTGATTACTTTCTATCTACACTAACGTTCAATTATGTTACCGTGTACAGTGATATCATGTCTGACGAACCGAATATACTTGTGCAAACAAACAAGAAAAACTTTCGGAAGGACGGTGGAACAACTCAATAACAATAATATAATCAAACTTCCAGGAAGTTAAAGTTTTACACACGTCGCCAGTGTTAAATAGGGTTTACCATTATAATCTGTCTTTCAGTCACCTAATTTTAATTCAATTGATTCTTAATTTAGAGAGTAATTTTCACGTTATTATTATAATAGTTTGTTCGATATTACATATTAGTTCCTTTGATCTAGTGGTAGTTGAACCTTGAACGGATTGTGAATAAACTTAAATACGTGTATAGATAAAAAAGTTTCAAATTTTAAAACGTTAAACTGATAATTTGAATAATTTATACATATCCATAATGAAAAGTAGAATATGGTCGGAAGCAAGAGTTTACACCAATGCAAACAAACAAAAAGATAAAGAATACTGGGATTATGAAAATACATCAATCGAATGGTCAACCAACAATAAGGATTACGAAATTGAAACAAAAGTTGGTCGTGGTAAATACTCAGAAGTATTTAGAGGTGTACAGATGAAATCTGGAAATCAAATTGTTATTAAAATGTTGAAGCCTGTGAAGAAGAAGAAGATTAAGAGAGAAATCAAGATCCTCTTAAATTTATCAAATGAAAAGAATCCCGTAACGGCTCAACCATTTAAAATTGAAAACTATTATACAAATAAAAAAGATAGCGTTATGCAATTTAAGAGAGACTTCCTGTACGACTTACCTCATAATGGACATGATAATATTATACAACTATTTGACATAATTAAAGATCCAATATCTAGAACGCCTGCATTGATTTTTGAATATATTGAAAATGTGGATTTCCGTATCTTATATCCAAAATTGACTGACTATGACATGAGATACTACATGATGGAACTTCTGAAGGCCTTAGACTACTGTCATTCCATGGGTATTATGCATAGAGATGTCAAACCACACAACGTCATGATTGATCACAAACAGAGAAAATTGAGATTAATCGATTGGGGTCTTGCTGAATTTTACCACATTAATATGGAATATAATGTTAGAGTTGCGTCTAGGTTCTTTAAAGGTCCAGAATTGTTAGTTGATTACAGAATGTATGATTACTCATTAGATATGTGGTCGTTCGGTACTATGCTTGCATCCATGATCTTCCAAAAAGAACCATTTTTTCATGGTACAAGTAACACTGATCAGTTAGTAAAGATTGTCCGTGTTCTAGGAAGCGATGATTTCGAAAAATACCTAGAAAAGTATGAAATTGAACTACCAAAAGAATTCCATGATATGGACCAATATATTAGAAGACCATGGTACAGGTTCATTAACGAATCAAATAAGCATTTGAGTGGGAATGAAGCAATCATTGACTTGATTGATAATTTACTAAGATACGACCATCAAGAGAGACTTACAGCTAGAGAAGCCTTGGGCCATGAATGGTTTGCACCTGTAAGGTAAACTGTTTTTATTTAAAATTTAATGAATTAATTCCTTCCCACCTTCAAAAATAAAATAAAGTAAAATATTATTTATCGGGTGGTGCAAGTTATCCCCCATGATGATGATGGTGATTGTACCTAAAAGATGCATTTTTCCTCCTCCTAAGTATATTATGTATATAAAATATGTAATGTAATTCTAATATACGAAACGAAGACAATAAAGAAGAAATAGTAGGCTAAATAGTGTTACATTTGAAATATGTACACATAATACAAATTACGATATGTGATGTATGATGCAGTAGTTGCAAAACTAGGTTTGAATGTAATCGTGAACAACTGAGAGTTGTCTATAATATATATATTTATATGCTTCCTACTAAAATACTATATCAAAACTTTTTAAAAAAAATTTACTGTTGATATAAATCAACAGTAAATTAATCGATTTCTCCATCAGATATAATGTCCGAATCACCTAACTGACTTGGGGTAATTGGAACTGAAGGTGACAGGTCCTTCACACTCAATTTTATTATCTTCCCATTGTCATTTACCTCATGAATATCTTCATCTATCATTAACATCTCTTGTATGATCTTTAATGCATTTTTGTCATCATCATTAACACTGCTACTAGTCTTGTGACATGTGTTAAAATGCGATTCAGTGAATTTCTTAAACTTAGATATTAGTTTTTCGTAATAGACTAATTTTTTTCTCAAAATCACATTTTCTTTGCTAATTTTGTCGTAATCAATTTGTAACTGTAATTGAGCAACTTTCTTACGTTGTCTACATTTGGAAGCGGCAATCCTATTTCTTTCCAATAATCTTGCTCTTTTCCACGCAGTAGTACCAGGGGTTGCTTCTCCTGATCTTTCATATACACCGTAGGAATTATATTTAGGGAGTTCCTGTTGCGGAGGAATCGATGAGCTTTCACTACCATCTAGATATTCCTGTTTAACCCTTGGATCAGGAAACTTTAATTCCGATTGGGGTAGAGAGTTACGATGTTCCAAATGCCCTGGAGCTGTTGACGGTATAGCATTTTCTTGAAGTTGTTGCTTTAGCTGTGGATTCACATTAGTATCCGTCCTATAATTCATCTGTTGTACATATACGGGATTCATTTGTTGATTTAATGATTTTCGTATGGAAGGTTGTAATACTGGTTGTTGTTGTTGTTGTTGTGAGAGCCTTTCCTGATATGAAGGACGCATACCTGGTTCATTTGGTGCCATGCCACCATTAACGTACGTCATACCGGTTATAGAGCCTTGCTTTTGACGAATCCCATTCGAAGGCATAACCTGTTGTGACTGTTGAGGAGGAATATGATAAGCTCCGTTTGAAGGTTGTTGTGCTGCGGCAGCTCCTTGTGAAACCATTTGTTTATTTACACTTTGGTAAGTATGATTCGGATCGTGGTATTTAGGCAAAGGTGGGGGTTGCGTGTTGTACAGATTTTCCACTGTTTCGATATCTTCCCCTAATTGGCTAATTTGGCCATTAGAGATAGAGATACGTCTCCTAGGGACCGGTTCATCGTATACTGGTAAAGAGCTTTGGAAAATAGGGGGGTTTGTCATTGGCAAGTGTGCGACATCTACACCAAACGGTTGGAAATATGGTGATAAAGTTTCTTGTATGGAGGCATCATTCATCAAATGAGGGTTATTTGCCATATTCATTAAATAGTATTGTCTGTTGTTCGCATTTGCATTTTGATAACTCATATCATTTGTTTCCATTCCGTTACCATCATTTGCATACGTTTGATTACTGGTTTGCGGGATACCATTTGGAGGTAACCTACCGTTATCAGAAAGATCATTGCTAATATTATTTTGAACAGTCCCTATGCTTCCAGAACGGCCAACTCCATTAGGCATAGTAGTTAAATTATTATTATTATCTGACATTTGATTCATTTGAAGGTTCATAGGCACTTTTGTAGTTTGTTGATTTCCATTGATAATTCCTGTTCTAGTTCTTGCAACAGGAGCAGCAGAGACAGCTGTCCCTGCGGTATTACTAGTTGGCTGTGGATATGATGCATTAGCCGTATTAATGGAGATGGGTAAACCATTAGATAGCTGTTCCTGTGACACCATGCCAATTTGGTCTGGAAGGTTCGTGTTACCGTTATCTGTGGGACTTATATTTGAAGATGATGCATTTATTATAGTTGGATTATTCTCCAACTGAGTGTTGTTACTATTACTATTATTAGAGGTGGTATCATGATTATTATTAGTAGTAGTAGTATTAATGGACTGGGTAGAATTATTATTGGTGGTAATAGTACCACCTGACATGTTATTCTGTTTAAATGTGTTTGGATCCGACAATACTGTTGAATCCACGAGGTAGTCGTTCAAATACTGCTGTTGATTATAATTCATCACTCTGACCAAATAAAAAAAGTATAATATAATATAGGAATATCAGAAATGACAAATAAAATAAAATAAAAGAAGGCAAAAGGAGGACCAGTACAAAACTATCCGTGATTCTCGTAATACTAAAAAGAAAAGATAGTCGAAGTTTCGAAGTATGGGTTTTATGACAGGTTCTATTTTACTAAGTTAGCTCCAATAAAAATTCAGGCTGAGTTAAATTTTATTGATAGTGAAAAGAAAACACTTGAATAGTAAAACTGTTTTTGAGGAGTGTGTGTTGAGATAGAATAATAGTAAATACTAGCGATTATGATGACGGCAATAGTAAATAAGGATGATGTAGTTTTTATGATTATCGTTAGTGTTATTATTACTAATAATATTTTTATGTTCTGCTTTAAAGTGGTATTTCCTTATTGCTGTGTTCTTGTCTTCCTTAATTTTTTCTAGTATTTGAAAAATGAGAAAATTCCCTTTTATTAATAATAGTCTGTGTATGAGTAAATGCAGGGACGAAAAAGCAATAGCTTAAAAGGATATAATATCAATATATAGAGAACAATATGGAATGGGATGGTATTATGAGTATTTTCAACGTAACGATAGAAAGTAATAAAATCAGTTTCGTAATGTTGATGAAATAAAATAATATGTATTATTATTATATTTCTATTTTGCGGCAAGAGTATAGAACGAGTTAACTACGACATTGAAGAATATTTAGAAATTACAAATCTTATAAATAACTGAATAAAAAGAAAAATGTAATGTCGTATTGTTGACGAAACTATTTTCAGTGTCTTAAAATTTCTGTTTTTTGGTTTCCTTCATTACACTATTATTAATAATAGTGTAATATATTGGAAAGTGGGAAGTATGACGAATATATACGCCGTTCCCACTGTAAAGAAAAAACCACACAATTTGTAAAAATCAACAAGACGGGAAGTGCAGCAATGAGCAACCCATAACAGAACAGAATACACCAATAGATAACTTTGTCTACGTTCGGGTTACAAATAGTTGTCAAAAGGTTCTAATTAGAGAACTCGTACTAAACGCATAGTATATTCAAGGCATAGTTTGTATATAATTTGTAAAGAACATGTACAGAAGAAAGTAATACGCATACTTGTCACTATATTTCAGCTGTCCTTCGAAGACCGTACTGTACGGACACTTCAAAAAAAGGTTGCAGAACAGAAAAAAATGCAAAGTTTAATATTTGCAACGAACAGAACAGAACAAGGCGACGAACGATGGGTGTCAGAATCTGTGCAAGGGAAGGGAAATGAAGAGAAGAGAAGAGAAACGTCTATAGTTATCTTATCGCTGATGCAACAAAGAGCATTCGTTTAGTCAATTAGTAAACTCAGGTTATATCTATATAAGTGTGAGACCGTTCATGCATGATGGGACGTGTAAGGTGTGTTTTGCTAGTAGTTACTGCTCTCTCTCTATATATATATATCCGTTTTTAGCTATGTACAATTACAGCAGAACCACGTCAACGGTTAGTAACTCACCTTGAAGACAACATTCTCATTATTCAAAACACGGCGATTTCTAATTTGCTTTTTAGTTTGATTGGGTTACCATATTATATTGTCTTCCTAATAACACTGGGATTCACAAGGTTAATGTATAGTATTTGTATAAATATTACTCCAGAAGGAAATTACTCTGTTACAAGTATATGGAAGAAAAGTTACGAATGCTATGTTTCAAGGATATTTTGAAGGACAGTTCGTTTCAATTATATATTTATTGCTCGTGCTGCATCTCATATATCGGTATGACCGTATATAAAGAAAGTTTACTTTATCGTTGTAAATAGCAATCCTTTGCTCTATGCAACGATGCAATTCAACGTACCAATAGTTGAAGATCTTGTTCTATTATTTCATAGCATTTTATTAACATTTGTCAAATTTTTCAAAATGTCTACTTATAGTAAGAACAGTGACTATTTTGAGGACAAGCTGTTTATTTAGTCCATTAATTAAACTGACTTTCATTAAGTAGTACTGTTATACTTAGAGGTGTGGGAACGTTTCTTGCTTCAATTCTCAACCCTTGATTCGGTCAATTCTGGTAGTCCAGATTAACTATACAGTGGAATGAGACTTATGGTATAGTGTGGTTCATCAAGATAATAATAATATATTCTAATAATATTAAATACAAAATCTGATACTCTGTTCACTAATAAACATTATATATATGAAGATGGGTTTTTTGATTGTCTAATTAAATTTTACTTCGCAGAAGAGTATTTCTTCAAATATATACCTTCATTCAAAAAAAATATTCCCATAACGAGTCGGACCGATCTTTATCTTCTGAATTATGATGGTCAGCAGGGTAAATATATCCCATTCCTCATCGATACCCCAAGCATTAAATTTCATGAAGCAGATGTAATTGAGTCTCAGTTGTTTGAAATGGTTTTGGCACATATGCAGCTCAGAAGGATATTCTTATTGGTATTCCCACTGATAATCAAACATGCTGAACTTAGGGAAATTTATCTTATCTAATATATCTTTAGGACCTTGATTTCTAGTGATGTTAGCTCTTTGTTACATTCTGAGAATATAGTTAATACAAAAATAATTGAGAAGATAAGGTCCACAAATCCTCGATCAAATGGCACATTGACTTCTAATATTTTCGAAGGAACAGCAGGAACGATTCAAAAATATCCGGATGTTATTGAGGGATATTCAGAAACTTATTACGATTTAGGGGAACAAGATTTAGAAAAAATTCCTCTTGATTTGAGTGATGAACAGTTTAAAAACCAGGTGTATTGGGAAATCGTTTAGTACAAATATCAACCTCGAACAGGGAATTCTACTTGAATGCCTTTTGAAGCAATCACTTGACAAGACTAAGGTATTAAATAAGGACAAAGACTCATATAAAAAATTAGGTTCATTATGATAGCTACTCACTCTTGGTTATTGCTATGTGTATTGCATATGTGACCCTATAAAATATATATTATAGCTCTTTTATTTATTCAATTTTATAGGTAAAAGATAAATTAAATGTGTGGCGCGCACTCTGTTACGTTTTCTCACTCATATATTGTTAAAACCCCGAATATTTACAAAAATACTGCTTCCAAAGTTTATTTTATGATGTAAACCTTGAATCAATGTTGAAAACTTCAACTGTAAGAGTTCAAATATTTCTCAGTAAACCATGGTTTTTCAATAAGCATGTTATTTGTCAAACTCCTGCATCTCTAGACCGAATGTTAAATACGCCAAACTTTAATAACTGGGAAAAGAATCCTATCAAAACTTTGCTTGTTATTTAAATATACATATGGATTAAATTACACTGGTCAGAGTTTTCACGCCCTTTCCTTGCTATCAAGGACAAAATCTTTAAGTTTTGGGATAGCCAATCTTCCTGTCACACCTCCACACTGTAACAATTGGTTAGAGTCTTTCTGTGTTGATTATTTTAATAGATATCGTGTTATGTGATATCTGTACTTAGGATTTATCATGTTATACGTATCTCATCTTGTACTATAAACAAAAAACAATTGATTTTATTAGAACTTTATTATATTAACTGGTAATCAATTCAACAGAACTAAAGGCCAGTGATGTATATACGTTGCTATTGTTGGTTTCTGTAATATTTAGGGAAATCTATACAAACTATTTGCACTGGATACTTTGCTCAATTTTTGCTTTATATTTAAGTGAAGTATATACTCAATTCCTAAACTAAATTTCATATGTTTGTTAATGACAGATAATGATATGGTGGTGCCCCAGGATGTATCAGATTATATACTCTATACATCTGATTCCACAGGTTTGATTTATTATACACCTAATCTATTTAATAGATGCATATACTATCAATCAAATGTTCATATATTAATATCCGATTTGCTAAGGACAATTGATTTTCAAAAGAGAAATTCATTGATGAGAAATCTTTATCCGTTATTTCAAAAAGAATTGACATTTATTCAGAATTATCCTATTCGATATTTTACAATACATGGTAAAGTAATATCTTTCCGAATGAGATTGATTCAAAATCAAGATTTTATAATATTTAAATTGGATGACAATTCAAATTATAAAATACATTCAATACAATTCAAATGTCCAATTTCCTTATTATCAGATTATTCAAATGAAGCATTATCAAAATTTGAACAGCATTGTTATTTAACATGTACAGTGGAAAAAGCATGGTATTTAACAAAGGATATGGTTGAATTTAACGTAATTAAAATTATCAATATTTATGATTTAAATATGTTTGAAACAACTAAATTTTGGACTAAATGTATACAGACTAGAAATATTTTGATGAAAATACCTTGGAATCCGCAAGAGCTACAGAGAAATGAACTTTATCTATTAAAAGACGGACAAAAGAAGACGCCAGAAGTTCATATCGAGATACCTAGACAAAATATTTCAACTAATTACAACGCTCCCATGGTAGAATCAAACTCTAATGAAGATTTTGCTAATGAAGAATCTATTGTAATAGTTAATGATGTTTCAGATAATTCTCTATCAATTGATGATGAAACTTTTGAATTAATTGATGATACAATTATACATTTGGAAAGAAAAATATATAATGAATTGATTGCAAGTCTATTAAAACAAGTATCATATGGTTCACAATTAAATGTTAACATTGAAACTTTCTTTCACAAAAATGATGTGCAATTATTATTAGAGAAATGTATGGAAAAGCATTGCATTAATTTAGTTGATGATGATGAAGGTCATGTTATTTTACCTTCTAAAAAAAGATATATGAATACATTTTTAACTAGGTTAACTAATGAAAGTTTGATTTCATGGCCTGAGGGGAGAATAAATATAATCAACATTGATTTGTTACAAAAATTATATAACTATTCATCACGAAGATTGAAAGCAATGATTACCATTAAATGTCTAACAATCACAATTGATATAAATTTTATTGTTCAAAAATTAGAATTAGAAAAATTTACCTCTGCTACTAATACAATTATAATGATCTTTAAGATTGCATTAACTCATATAGTTAATGATATAAATAGTCATATTAATGATTGGTGGATCGAAAAACGAACAGACATGTTCTGGTTAATACATTTGAAATATAATACCCAGTCACATGACTCATAAGTATTGATAATATTTTTATAATCTGGAATTAATAAATATTCATATTCTTTTTGATTCTTTCTGTTCCATCTATAGATTAATGCTTTGCACCGCCAACTGTATATGTCTAGGTGTTTTCCATAATTAAAAAATGACACCGCGTATTTTGCATTTTCCGATGAGATGAGGTGCAAGAAAATTTTCAAGAAAGTCAAAATGATACAAAGTAAAAGATTTCTACCGTAATAATTTCTATATTTTTGTATAAAATATAGTTGATTCATTACACAGACATTGTATATACTAGCAAAATTTACATTAACCATCACCTAAGAGATATTGAAGGAAGATGGAATTATTTAAGGTTGAAGGGTGGAATCTAAACACTGATAAAGTTGCCTTTAAGGACTCTAAAAAGAAAGAAGCTCAAAAAGAAAGAAACAGACAAGAAAAACTTGATAGAAAACAACGTAATAATAAGGCATCTAAGGAAACTAAAAATGAAGATAGCAAGCAGGAAGAAGTAGAAGAGGAAGAAGAGGATACCCAAGATTTAGAAGTTTCTGATGTAGAAGATGATGGAAAGAAAGTAAATGAATCTAAGAAGCCGAAAGCCAAACCCCAAAAGGTAATCAAACCTCAGACTAAACCAACATCCAAACAATTAACACCATTACAACAAAAGATGATGGCTAAATTATCAGGTTCGAGATTTAGATGGATTAATGAACAATTGTATACTATCTCTTCCGAGGAAGCGTTGGATTTGATCAAAGAACAGCCAGGACTATTCGACGAATATCATGAAGGTTTTAGATCTCAAGTTCAAAGTTGGCCTGAAAATCCAGTAGACACATTTGTTGATGAAATTAAATTCCGTTCTAAAAAAGTTATCAATGCACCAGGTGGTTTACCTGGTCTTTACCCTAATAAAGAAATTGTGATCGCAGATATGGGTTGCGGTGAAGCCCAGTTGGGATTAGATGTTACCCAGTTTTTCAATAAATTTAATAAAAGGGCTAAAGGTAGACGTAAGATTAGCTTCAAGATCAACAGTTTTGACCTGAAGCAAGTAAACAATAGAATTACAGTAGCAGATATTCGTCATGTCCCAATGAAAGATGAATCTGCAACGATTGTTATTTTTTGTCTAGCTCTAATGGGGACAAACTTCTTAGATTTTATTAAAGAGTCTTATAGAATTTTGGCACCAAGAGGGGAATTATGGATCTCAGAAATTAAATCCAGATTTGCCGATGGTAGAGGTGACGAATTTGTTGAAACACTTAAATTACTAGGTTTCTTCCATAAAAAAACTGATGATTCAAATAAAATGTTTACTAGATTTGAATTTTTCAAACCTCCAGAGGATATTATTCAAGAGAGAAGGGCTAAATTAGAAAGAAGAAATAAATTTATCGAAGTTGAAACAGAAAAGGAACAATTAGAAGTTAAGAGAAAGAAGGTAGCGGAAGGTAAATGGTTACTGAAGCCTTGTATATATAAGAGAAGATAATGTAGCATTTCTATTTAAATTATGAATAAATTGTATAATAAAAAAATCTTTCATTAGTAAACAAATCTGGAATTAGGAATAAACATTATCAATACAATACCATATGAATTTCATTTATTAAAACAATATATTTTATTAGTAGTAAATATTACACACTTGAGGAGCCAGTAGCCCTCTGAAAGAATGATTGAACATTGGCTAATCTGGATATATTCTCGAAACCACCAAAATTTGGAAGTTGGAACCATGTTTCGGCACCATCTTCTACGTCATGGCCAGGTTCCCATTTATCGCAACAACGAAAACCATATGTATTCCAACCTGTCAAACAAACCGCAACGGCGACTACAAGAAGGTAAAATAATTTCAGACGAAGAAGACATAATAGTCCAAATACGAGCCAGACAACAGGTGTCAAGTACATTGACCACCAAAATAACTTAGAATCAATTGGATTTATGACATGACCATCCGCAGGATATTGTTTGTATGACTCAAAGACAAAAGTTGTAGTTCTGGTTACAGTAGAGTCATACCACCAACGTAATTGGACCAATTTTCGCCCACTGATATTTTTTGTGAAATAGAAATCGAAAGCTAGCACCAGAATAATCACTATGAATTGGGCCGTAAATCCTGTAAACCAATCTCCTAGCAAATAAAACACTAATGGGAATGCCTTACCTGCAAGATGTAACGATAACGTTATTGGATGTGATGACTTTAGAATGGTATTGTAAAACCCCTTTATGTGTTCCATTTTTGAAGTATATACAGTTTGTTGGATAATGAAATAATTAAAAGTATTAAACAAAGATGTATTGTCGATAGTCTGTTTATGATAGTCTGTTGCTCCTTACAGTAGAGATTTCCTAATAAAAGTCGTTAATAATATATGTGTCAAAGCAAATAGTTTTTTGTATTTCTTTTAATATGGTATATTTTTTAGAATTTTTAAAATTTCAATCAAAATCACTTCTGAGTTGAAAGTTTCCGCGCCGCTAATAGTATATTTTATATTACGTTTTATATAAAGATCTGGTAACGATCACATAACTAGTAATAAGACCTGGAGCTATTTTAGAAATGGGTGAAGGATATTAAGTTAATATATTTATATAATTAGGTATTAGGTATTATTAGTCTACAATAGCATGAGAATACTATTGGACTTTTATGTATGTGTGGGTGGAGGTGTAAATGTAAATGCTAATCGTTGTTATTTGGTTACTACTTAGTCAAAAAACTGGGTGAACTGTTTCATATCCTGATGAACTGCCATTTCATGACTTTTGTAATAATTAAGTTCTTTCTTGACACTATCAAAAAAAGTTCTATCTCTTTGCATCAGCAAGGTCATTCTCTTTTTGAAACCTTTATCTTTTCTCTCGTATTCAGATAATGAATATGTGTTAGTTAAATAAACTTCATTTGTAAATCGAACGCCTATATTATTCTTTTCTACAGTTGACTTTTGACATGACCTCTTCAAGATTGATCTTTCGGTTTTGGAAGAAATTTGTTTAGAAGGTGTTTCGCCTATTAATACAATACCGAATTCATTTTGCAATCTTTTAATGATATTTGGTTGAGCATTGTAGAACTCAGATGCCGTCTTCTTTGATTCAAGGGTAGGACGTTTGGAAGATCTCGGTGGAGGTTGGTTAATATCATCGGATATGGAAAGGTTGATAAAATTACCTAATTTGGCAAAATCATTAACAAGACTATGATCAACAAAATTAGGGTCCTCACAAGAATTTTCGAATGAAGTATTTTCTAATCTAGGGGCCAAAACAGTTAACTTTTCAACTTTTTTGGATTTAGTAGTTGGTTTGGTTGTTTTTCCATTATTCATCTTTAGTAAAATACTATCGAATATTAAATCAGTATCCATTAAATTATCATCAATTTCATTTTCTATGTCAAGAGATAATGTTATATCTTCAATGATTGGCGATGATTTTTCCAAATCTGTTTCAATTTTTGGTGGATTCGACTTTGTTTCCATTTTTGTACTTTTATTAAGTTTTCTCTTCTTATGTTTTTCATTCGAAGAAGAATTACCACCAAATAATTTCTTAAAAAAGGAACCAAATTTCAATCCATTAGAAGAAGTTTTCTTCTTTCGTATTTCTGCATCTTTTACAACAGGTAAACTTTCTGAAGAGGATGTTTTAGGTCTCTTTGATGATTTTCTTAATTTTAACGGTTCAGTTTTTTCAGAAGGTTTAGATAAAGTTACATTACTGTTTGTCTTCGCTAAGGATAACGATACATTAGTTGTTAAATCGATTGATGGAGAAGATATTTTGTCGGACAAAACAATCGGTTTAACAATATTTTCTTGTAAGACTTCGATATCGGAATTTGTTGTTGGTAGTGTGTTATTACTTTGATTATCTTCTTTCATTGAATTATCACTATCACTACTTTTCTTTGAATTAACAGGAGATTGAGCCTTAATTTCCATTATATCTTTCATAACATTTGGCGAAGAGGATGATGATAGTGGTGCTATTGGTGTATCTTGTAAATTCAATGACCAAGTTGATAATTTTTTTTGTTTCATTATTGTTTGATTCTTATTAGTTGTTATTGTTAATGAATTTGATCTTGGATAATTAAATGTTGGAGCTGAATTTATTGAAGTTGATGATGAATTCCTATGAGTAATAAAATTAGAGTTTTCATCATTATAATTCATACTATAATGTTTTGATCTCTTTGGAGTAAAATTCTCACCATTGGGAAACATAAATGATTTTTGCATTTTTTGTCTTTGTACTTGATATGGAGTCAATTTTTTTTTAGTTGCATGATTTGTTGAAATACAAAAATCTTTATCGACAATAGTGTTGTTATTATGATGATGATGGTTAAAATTACTACCATTCATTGATTGTGTATGATAAATTTTCTTCATAGGATGAGTATTTTTATGCTGTATGTCGGCGGTTAAATTGAAAAGATCAGAAGTCGAATTTGACCTAGCAATATGATTTTGCCCGAAGGACGAACCACCAATATAAGGTGAATTACCATCTTGCATCATTATAAAGTTGAAGGGAAGGACAGATCTATTTTGAAATGGAAGTAATATCTTTATAAATATATATTATTTTTTGCAATACTGTTATAGATGGAGCAGTAATATAGTTTAGTAATGAAAAAAACGAATGAAGAAATGTTTTAGATGGTGAGTATTAATTAATATATCATATGACAGGAATAATAAATATGTTTGTCAGACAATTGGCAAATTGTGAGTAGACAGCAAATATTGTATTTTTTTATTTCTAGTAGGATATGGAAACGAATAGGATCGAAAAGAGATTTGATCCTAAATCAATTGTATTGTATTGTATTGTATTGTATTGTTGCTAGATCAAACAAAGGAACGGAGTATTATAAAGTGTGTGTTTCCCACTTTAATCAAGATCCTTCTGTAAATATATAAATATGTATATATATATATATATATATATTTATAATATTTATAATATTTATGAAATTGCTGAAACATTCATCAAACATTATTTACAAGGAGTTGTAAGAGAAGGAAGTAGGTAAGAGAGAATAAGTGGGATGTACCTAGAAAGACCGGTTGTGTCGAGCTATTTTTAAACTGAAAAATATTATTAAAAAAAAACGGTGAAAAAAAATTTGTATATGGGATATCAAAAAGAGACAGCAGTTCGGATTATAAACGAACTTATTTAAACCTGGATCAAGATTTTCCCAAAGCAAGCAAGATGATGATGTTGTTGTTGTAAGTCTGTATGTAACCTTTCTTGTTTTATAGCAGGAAAACCGGTAGGAGAAAGAGAATTTGCAGTTGAAAATATTCTGTTCGGCGTAATTCTAGCTGTCTTTCTTAGAGAAAAACCCTTTCCGGACTAAAATGACATTTAGCAATAGGCTGTTTCTGTCTGTCTGGTTAAATTTGTTCAGTTTGCTGTAGTTGCTCTGGAAATGCTTTGCGTTTGGCTTCAAAGGGCTGCTAATTAACTAACTGCAGAACAAATCTGCGGTGTAGCGAATTCGATATAATTTCCGCATTAGGAATTGTAAGTAAGAAAACGGAAACTCTCGCTCTCTTCAGTTGCTCTGCGCGTGATGGGGAGTTTTTGAATGGAAAACATTTTTATCTTTTTTGCGGCTCAGAAAACCAGGTGGGTCATTTTTCAGTGACAGTGTGTTGTGCATTGTTTTCTCTGTCGCATGATAGCAAAATAAATAATTAGCTACGAATTCAACTGGGTTTTTGTTATTTTGTACGTGCACTTCTCTGTATAATATGTCTAAATACGAACCAATACGTAGCTAAAGACACACCAAAACTATTTTTATGCATAATTTATGCATAAAAATAGAATCACTCAATAGAGAATCCAATAATTCTGAACGGCATATCTCTCATTATGGCAATATTCGTTTCATACTGCCATTATGGTAATAGAAGGCATGTGACAGAAAGGAAGATGAAAAAGGTATTATTTGCAATATTTGGTAATTAACAAGCTGTTTCTACTGTTTTATTCATGCTCACTTTTTTTAATTCGGCAGACTTCGCAATTCAAATATTATCATATACTTATAGTACCAGGCTAGTTCGATCTAGTCATTAAGATTATATCTAATATTACTACTCTTCAATATCTTGTGCATATATATGATGATGGTACGTAAGGAACCTGTTAAACTGGATTTCTTAACTCTTGTATTTGGTTCTATTTGGAAAATAAATAAAAAGACTAGTATAAATTGTCATAGAGTGAAAAATCATGTGACAGATCACGATTTCTTGCATATATTTGAACATTAAAATTGGATTGTTATTATTATTATAAACTATAAAATGCTAAAGATAAATATATAGTAAAAGACTAATAATAATATTGGGAATATACATATTTGAAATGTATATTCCATTTTTTATTTGTTGGTTTGAAAAGAGAAAAGAAAAATACACATATACTTTAATATATTTTCTTTCACAGTAAAAATACAGAATTTGTTTCTTTGAATGAGTTGGGGGTAGAAGAAGCAAATGGGAATAATATTAAAAATAAGTAATGTACTGAAGTTTGTATCATTTCTTATTTCCATTTACTTCTCCTCTGCAAAAATTTTGATCATGTTATCAAAATTATACAATGACATATCTAATTGGAATGTGAATCAACTTGATAACATAACCAATGATACCAACAGCAACAAAACCAATACCAACAGCTCTGATGATCTTCATGTATTCCTTCAAATCTGGTTTCTTACACTTGCTTAGGAATTGGTTACCTTCTCTAACAAATTCTAATGGGGCATCCATGGCCTTCTCCATTTGGTTGTTTTCAGTCTTTTCCCCTGCCATCTTTATCTTGTTTATGTTGTTTGATTGTTTTATATAATTTGCTACAGTAATTAGAAAAAGTAATAAATAACAAATAATTGAGTATTTTATACAATCTTCATTAAGTAATCTTATATATATATAAGAAAAAGATATGGTAAAGGTTGACAAACACGAAAAAGATTAGAATTGTCAATGTTTCACCGTGTCCATAACTTTTGCTAAGCTGTTCGTTCTCTTTCTTGATCTTTTTTTTGGGCGGTCGCTATGTGTTCATGTAATGTTAACGTGTCAATTCCAAACGCGCGGTCGTGTCTAGTGATAGGGTTTTTTACATTAGGCAGCGTGGAAGTTAAGCTTAACTAATAATGTAAAGCCTATTAGCTAGAGTTTATAGATAGCAAAAGAAGCAATATACATTGTCTAGGTCTCAAAGTTAATTGAATCATAGATATATATGTTTATAGATAGTAGATAAAGTGATGTTAATATTTACAGTTAGTATGTATGAACGCCGGTTAGCGTAACTTTTCACTTGCGCTTTTGTTTAGGTTAACATGAGTATGCTGGCTTTAAATTCGTCATTACAATTCTACTCGTTGGTAATCAACATATAGAAAATTCCCGATTAATACTAAATAATGCACTTTTATATTTTGTTTGTTTGTTTGTTGCTACGGTTATATTATACACAGCTTATGTAACTTAGTCATGCTACTGCTTTAGAAACCTTTCCATTCTTCTTCTTCAGGTTCATCTTCAGCATTGACAGCGTTTGCATCTACTACTTCTTCCTCTTCCTTATCGCTATCATTTTGTTCTTTATTTCTTGAAGCATCTATTCCCTTAGCGCCCCATTGGGTTAGACGTTCGTCGGAGAGAAGATCTTCTTTGATCTTATTTCTTAGACCTTTACTGTTCATTATATCCTTTTGTAAATCAATGAATATATCAACGAATGATTGTAATGGAGTCTCCTTCAATAACTCTGCGATCTTGTCTTCATCAGTAATTTCGTCTTCGACATCAAATTCATCATCTCTATTGGATGCCAATCTTTCATACTCATCTAAGAAAATATCTATAATATGGAAGGGAATACCATTGTATATCTTACTTGACCCACTCAATGGAGAATGCTTTAACACTTTATCGATATACATTTCTACTAATGTCTCATTCCAATTTCTAGTTTGTAAATATTTCAACTGGTTGAACATTACACGTCTCACTAATAATAGGTACTTGTCCAATCTATATCTATCAATATTGAACCACTCTAAACACATCACTTTCCAAAAGGCTCTACAGAACTTCATAAAGGCTTTGTCTGATAGAAGGATCTCAGAAGAATCATTGTCACTATCCTTAGCATATAGCATGAATAACTCACCTAGTTGACGAGCCAATTTCTGTTGAGGTCTTGGACGATCACTAAACCACATAGTGTAATATAAAGCCTTCCATAGTTTTTCATATTGGATTTGTTTAGCTTTCATAAACTTCTCAGATGTTAGCACTTTTTGTAAAGCTTCAAGAGCCTTCTCTCTCACAACTCTGTTGTTAGAAGATAGTTGTTTTATAAAGGGACTGTTTTCCATTATCGATTGATCAGGGTTATTTCAGGGGCTTCTCCTCTCGCTTAACTAGAAGTAATGTTTTGGGAAATTAATTTATTATTGACTCTTAACTGTATCCATTTCATATATGATTGAAGGTCATCGAGTTAAAGTCGGAAGTAATTTATTTTTTTTTATTTTCAGCTCATCGCTTACTGAGCTGATTTGAAAAATTTTATATACTCATGATAGTGACCGTATTTAATGATTTCTGTTTTTCATATTAGAAAACTCGTATTCATTAAAATAACTATTTATACATACTTCGTAATTGATCTCTTGAATTTTTATTTTGTTTTTTACCCTTATTCTTCTTTGCTTCTCCTTTTATAAAATTTGGTTTATTTGGTGTGGTATTTGTTTCATTCATTATTTGAGATTTCTCATTTTTCATCATCTGTTCATATTTCGTTGGATTAGCAATAAGAACATGCTCAATTTTCTTAACATTTTTCACTTCATCTCTAATTCCTTCCTTTCTAGCATTACTTCTTGCCATTTGATTCAACTCATCAAATTCAAGACCTTCTCCGGTTAAATGTCTACGGAACATCTTTGATTTTTCATCAATAGAACCTAAGTTATCATTCTTATATAATCTTGATTTCGGATCATAATTGGTAGTCTCGGAATTCAGATCATTCAAATATGCAGCCTTATCTTCTCGTATACGGATTGCTGTACTTCCTTTCTCTTTATTTTGATCTTCTTTGGTACTTTTATAGTTTCCTAATTGTAATTTGGCAAGTTCAACCTCTTCGTCCGTATCATATTCCTCATTTGTATCTCTTTGATTATTAATATTTCCTTGACGACTTTTATTTTGTTCCCATTTGGCTAATGTGTCATTATATTCTTTACCAGAATAACCAAACCACCGATCCTTACGAGCATCCCAATCCATCTCCTTATCATTCATAACATTCCCATTTGTTGGGATATAGTTAGGTATACTCTTAGTTTGCTGAACTTTTCTAGGCCTCTCCATACAGTCCTTCTTTGTATGGTCAAAGCTTCCGCAATTAGTGCATGTTGGTTTACCCTTCTTTCTCTCATTACTCATTACCTTATTATTAGGCATAAAAGTATCATGAATACCCAACCCGTATTTAGCTTCATTATTATTCTCAATATCTAATAAGTTTCCTTCCTTTTGGGATTGTCTATGATGAGAAAGATAGTCATCTGATTTATCTGTGTCATTATACCATGGTTTATTCTTTATATAACGAGGTAGATGTTCATTTTCCTTTTTTGCATTTTTATCATTAGTTTTGACCATTATTCTTGTATACACTAGTTCAATAATCAGAAAAGGTAAAGATCTCTTATGGGTACTTCCTTCTGTTGTCTTTGCTTATAAACTTGCTATATAATTTAAGATGGTTGAGTGTTGTTTTAATCACAGTTCAAAAAAAAAATTAAAACGTCATCGCCGTAAGATAAAATTTAGTCGCCTTCGAATGGTGTTTTTTTAACAAAACATGAAAAATGTTTAGGATCGAAATCAATATAATTTTTACTATACAACTATGTTATTCGATAACCTGAAAAGTAAAATTTCTCAGTAATATTCCACGTTAAAACATATTCTGCTAAATTTGTTTTTAATTACATACAAATGCTCGTTACAAGAAACAACAAAAAAGAAATCCAGGGTTTACTGGAATATCATATCACAAGGTCTCATAACTATTGATTAATCGGAAGAAAATTGAATATTCTTCATTTGATTAAGGAGAAATTTAACACAATGTTAATTGTTCTAGTTTTTTTGCAAAAATGTTAGTAGCGTTACCAGTTACCATTGTTTTTTTGTTTACTTTCATTGTAGCAACTGACAGAATCAATATATTCTAGAGGCAGTACGGCTGTAACTGTAGACGACCCACAAATATAATATAAGAAACCAGCTGACATTACACCCCAGATTTATTTTAATGTACTGCAAGAATATGGGTCCACTTATTTTTTGTTGTTTATATTACTATTATTATTATTATTAACAGTGATAGTGTGACTTGAAAAATTATTGTTTTATTTATTGTTTTACTTTTTGTTTAATACTTTTTCAATATCCTGCGCTAATTCTTATGATAATATAATTGCTACATTAAAAAAGTTAAATAAAGAGAGTCTGACAAAACAGAAAACAATGAAACTTCGCAATATTTCAAGAATTCATCATTGTAGTCACTCCATGATACTCTCCGATTATCCACCATAATTATAAAAACTATCCCCCTATATAGATGTACCTTGTTTTGTTATGCAAATCAGAACGTTGTCGTACGTACTTTATTACTTGAATAAATGAAAAATTTACTCTTTTGAACAATCATGTCATTTCAAACAATAATTAAGAACTACAAAAGTATATCTTCTTATCGGCACAGTTTCAATAGCCTAGTTATATGCCCTCCTCCAATATCTAACGAGGTTAATGTAAAGTATTTTTGACCTCTTTGTTCAACTTATTACAGCATTGCTAAACAAATTTTAATTGTGCCACTGTTATTATTACTCTAACTATGATTATTACTGTAACGTCTGCTTCTATTCGTTCCTTCGCTAAATAAACCGATTCATACTTCACTTTTCGCAAAATTTAACTCTGTCAGGTCAAAAAAAAATAAAAATGGAGCGCCCATAGTAAATTCTCCGTGTTTTTTCCCTTCTCTCTTTTATTATGATTGCTGCACTTTGTTTTTAGTTCCACCATTTTGGACTAATTAGAAAATATATAAATGATTAACTGATTAATTAATTAATTATATAATGGTTCCTCGATCTGTTGAAAATGGGTTTAATAGAGGATAAGCTCGTATGATATGGTCTAGGAGTAACCTGTACATATTTACATTTTAACATATTATTATATATAGATCAATTCCATATATTATTTTTCTTTCTTTCTTTCAAACTAACTGGCTTAGTTTTCCTTTTTTTTAACTTTAGAGTTATTTGATATACTACCTTAAGTTAAATCAAAATAACAAAGCCAAAAGCATATTTTCTATATTACCAAAAAAACAAAGTAATATATACTTTTTTGTTTTAGATATGAAATTTGGTACACAGATATTAGATAAATCTGTACCACAATGGAGACATAATAATATTGATTATCAAAAATTAAAAATTTCCATTAAGAAAGCTACGACAGAAAGTGGTGATGAAGAGACCGATAAAATAAATCTTATACGATGCAGTAATTTATTCCTGGAACAATTCAATTCTATTAATTTGTTCACAAGTTTAAAGATTAAAGAAATATCTTCTAAGATTATTAGTATTGAAAACCTTATTATCAAATATTCTCAAGTATTGGAAAATCTTAATTTCGATGTTATAACCCCGGAAGAATCAAAAAGACAGATAAAGACAATACAAACCGCCACGGTAAGATGTAGCAAAGAATTAAAAATGCTATCAAGATATTTAATTTTACAACGAATAGCGGTTCGTAAATTATTTAAAAAATTTGTGAAATATTATCCAAAGGGTAAGAAGGAAGCCGAACTATATGTTGATACATTGAGAAATTCTGAACAATTGAAAAATGGGTATGAAGGGATTTCATTTATGGAATTAGGTTTGGATCCATATTTATTAGAAATCTCTCTTATCTTTGATGTCTTAGATGATTTAGATAAAAAAGCTATAAAGAGTCTAGATGTTATAAAGACTTCATTAGTTAATGCTTCGACAGATAATATTCGACATTTGGAAGACATTAGGGACCGTCTCCCTGCAGAACCAATTAAAGAGATCCAATCTACAATTGAATTTGATACAATATTTTGGGGTAAATCGAAACTGGTGAGTAGATTCATACTATCTAATGAAAATAGTGAAGAGTTCAAATTCGTTTTACTATCATCTAAATTTCAAATATTGGACGATGAAATCATTTCGACCTCTAGAGAAATCGTAGATAATTCAAAGAATATTAGAAATTTGACCCAAGGTGATTCTGCAAGATCAGTGAGATCTTATAATGAACTTCGCAATATTGCGTCGTTTTCGTCCTTGGTGGGAAATTCAAAGGCAAAAGTAAGCAAAGATGGATCTCAATCATTAACATCAAATATTCACATGTGTTTAATGGCTCCTGCTGATAATATATCCAATGATACTAGATATATGAAGGATCTCCTATCTGATGCAAATTATAATGAACACCCGACTTTCTTAGTTCAAAGCGATTTGGGAATAAAATGTGTGCTTCAATGTAATGTTGGAGGATTGAGAGATCATGTTATTACAAATACTTTACCTCTAAAATATATTCATAACTGTATTGATAAGAGGGAATTAAAAGATATTCAAACGTTGGGTCCTTTAAACAAATTATCAATGGAATGGTTACATTCAAGACATTTAAAATTGGCAAATGAAAAAATAACCTTTAAGAGAACAAGATTTATTTCTTATTCAAATAAAGGAACATATTTGATTACATTAGATGAAAACATTGCAATTGACGCCTTTAGCGTAGTGCCTCATTCAGTATTTGAAATAAGAAATATTGCACATCAGAAGTCCAGTTCAAATCCATCGAACACAACAAATAGTGATTCCCAAAATGATGCGTCCGATATATCCTTCATTTATAATTCATTGATTGAAAATAAAATACAATGTTACCCGATTGAGAAATTTGCCACAATTTGGAGTATTTGTTACGCCATTAGGAATTCTAATGAAATTAAATATGATTTATTCTCCTATATCTTGAAGGATGAATACGTTTTAGAGGATAATGATTCCTTAAATGATAATGAATTTTTTGAGTTAGGTAAAGATAAAGTGATGGATATGTGTACCTATGAATTTCGTAGGGATCATTCCAATGATATTTCTAATGGTGTTCCAAAAAATTTAGCTTCAAAACTTGCATTAAAGAAGAGACAAAATGCTGAAAGTAACCGAAACTCCAATCATAATAGTAGCTTAGACTCGAATGGGTTAAACCAAATACCAAAAACAGAAACTATAAGATATTGGAATGAATTTGATGATGGCGAAGATAATGCTGGTGCTAATACATTTTATGTGGACACTTATGGAGAAGACAATGTTTCTAGTAACCATAATGACAGTGGGTTTCTAAGATTTGATAGAAAATTTGTCAATTCAATGTATGCTACTTGCCAGAGTATTAGAAAATTTCTAAACCTACCATATGTCGATTCTTCTAGAATGTCTAGATCCAGATATGGGTCGATTGTTTCTGAGGACGACACAGCATCCAACACAACCTCAGATCATACACGTAGTAATTCATACGCAGATATCCAGCAATTAATTCAGTTTCATGAACAGGATCTGAATGATTCCGATTCTATTTACGAATTAAGACATGACGAAATATTATCTTTAATGTATCTATTTTCATTATTAGCGTCATGTTTGACTTCTGGTATTTGTCTTTCAATCATCGTGACTATCTTTAGAGAAGAAGAAGAGAATATTCAAATTGACCATATTACCTTATTAATTTCAGTTATTATTGTTTCATTGATAATTTCACTGTTATTAACGAGTGGGAGCTTATTGCTCTTATTTAGTAGATATTCATATGCACCATTATGGCACTATATTTCTTGTTTCATTGTCTTTTTATTAGTGACCTGTACTGCATGCTATGGGATTATTGAAATATTTACATAAAATTTCCTTCATAAAAGTTTAATATTCCCATCATAACCATTCCTGTAGGACCAATCACATACATATGGAACTTTACGTAAACTTATACATATACACATATACCTCTTTATAAATGAACTATTATTATTACGATTTAACATTTGTATTAGTACTATAATAGATTGTAATAAATATGTATATGTTACATGAGACCACCGTTATAGAATAGTAGTCTTTGTTTTAAATTAATTATGTAATAAAATATTTTTAAAAATATTCATACTTTGAGAAAAAAAGTAAATAAATAAATAATTGTAGAAATCCAACAAATCAGATAGATGTATGTTAAAGAAGAGAAAAAAAAGGAAAAGATTGAGATGAACGACTAATGAACAGATGATGACTTTTCTTGTTCAACATCCTTCGTTACCACCGATAATCAACAGTCAAAAACGAAAAAAAGAACAATTAACAAGAACACACAGAAATATCTAATAGAAAAGATTACTCAATTAATTTTATCAGATAAAAGTATGCGCCATAAGTATTTTTTTTGGTATTTTTCGAATTTTGGGTAGAAAATGGAGGGGTGAAATAAAAAGGGTGTGGAAGTTGTTCTTTCATCTGAATTTCCTTTTGATTTGTGGAATTCAATGCATCAACCTAAACACCAGTGTTATCCAAGAAGAAATAGTTACCAGAGGACTTTTGTTCTTTATCCATTTGGGAATCTAGTTTGTTAATTCTTGGTCTGAAGGAGTTTGGATCTCTTCTGAAAGTGACGTTCAAGTTCTTTAAGAATCTGTTACAACCAGTCAATAGAGATTCTGGAGCTCTAGCAAAAGCATGCTTAGATGGAGTACCATCGAAGACAATAACCTTATCGGCCAAGTATGTGGCCATGATGAAATCATGCTCGACGATGAATGCAGTCTTCTTGTTATGTAGAATAAATCTTCTAATGACCTTGGAACAAATAATACGTTGTTCAGAATCCAAGTAAGCGGAAGGTTCATCGATCAAGTAGATATCAGCTGGGATACCTAGAGCCAATACAATGGCGACTCTTTGCAATTCACCACCGGACAAATGTTGAACTTCTTGGTCAATGATATCATCGATCTTCAATGGTTTCACAACATCAGTTTGGAATTGTGGGTTTAAGAATTGAGCTCTAATTTTCTTGAAGAACAATTGTCTAACAGTACCTGGGAACTTTGGAGCGATCTTTTGAGGTTTCATAGAAACATTCAATTTAGGTAGATCTTCGGAACCTTCATCTGCTTTAATAGCACCAGCTAACAATCTAATTAAAGTAGTCTTACCAGTACCATTTTCACCCATCATAACCAAGATTTCAGAGTCAGAGAAGTCACCTGCCTCGGTTTCTAGGATGAAATCACCTTGAGTACGTTTCATGGGTGGGTATTCATAACCACGGGTAGCATCATCCTTTAGTTCTTCACCAGCATCGGAAATTCTGAATTGTAAAGCTTCAGTTCTAAATCTCAAATTTTCAGCTGGAATATGACCATCTAAGAAGATATTGATACCTTCTCTAACGGAAGATGGTAAAGTGACGACACCGTATACGGATGGAACACCGTAAATAATACAAACAAAATCAGATAAGTAATCCAACACAGACAAATCGTGCTCGACTGCAATAACATATTTAGTTGGTTCCAAAAGGGATCTAATGATTTGAGCAGCATTCAAACGTTGCTTAACATCCAGATAAGAGGAAGGTTCATCGAACATATAGACATCGGCATCTTGAACACAGGACATAGCAATGGCGAATCTTTGTAATTCACCACCAGACAAGTTAGCGACTTCTCTGTTAAGGACAGGTTCCAATTGCATGATCTTAATGTATCTCTTGACTGTGGCTTCGTCCTTTTCCATTCTTAGTTTCAACAATTCACCGACTTTTTGAACTGGACCTTTGATAGCACGAGGCAAGTTATCAACATATTGGGGCTTGATGATAGCTTTAATATCATCTTCTAACATCTTAGTGAAATAATTTTGTAATTCAGAACCACGGAAGTATTTAATAATTTCTTGCCATTCAGGAGGATCATCGAATCTACCTAAATTTGGTTTTTGTTTCCCAGCAAGAATTTTCAAAGCAGTAGATTTACCAATACCATTAGTACCGACCAAACCTAACACTTGACCAGGTCTTGGAGTAGGCAATCTGTGTAGTTTGAAACTATTAGCAGAATAACGATGTGTAGTATGAGACTCTAAATTAGTTGGTAAATTAATAATTTGAATAGCATCAAATGGACATTTCTTCACACAGATACCACAACCAATACATAGAATTTCAGAGATGAAAGCAATCTTGGAAGTAGGAGTGACTTCGATACATAATTTACCAGTTTTCACAACTGGACAGGATCTTTTACATTCTTGACGACATTTCTTTGGTTTACATCTGTCTGCACTGACAATAGCAATACGACTGTTCTTTTCACTCATTTTTTTGTTGATGTCAATATATACAGTGATTGTTAGTAGTTATGTCGCTATAAATATATATATATATACAAGAAAAGCGTATTCTAAGTACTGAACATAAACAAGTTTTATATTAACATATAAATATATATATATAAAGTAAAAATAATAAGGAAAATATCGAGAGAGGTATGTGCTGACCCAAAAACTACAAATTAAGTTTGATGAAGAAGGATATCATCATCAACATCATCATCGTAAACTTCTCGTTTCCTTCTGGGGGTTAAAAAGTGAAAAATTTACATAATGAAGAAGAAAAGAGAAGATTAACAAAGCCGAAGAGCCAAACTGAAAAAAACACTAAAAATTTTTTCACCAGAGGGAAAACGCGTTACCCTGTCTCCGGTCATGTGACCTAGAAATGCTGTTAACGAATCATATGAGAGTGTATTAGTAATAATACTAAATAGTGAGAGTTGTCTTGGGATAGAACCTATTTATTTAAATACGAAGACTTCTGTTCAGTGGTATAGGCCACTGACCTTATACACGTTTGCTATCAAGTAAAACTCAACTATGGAGAAAGCTATTCTAATAGCGATCAAGACTCTGACTTGATGGGACAGCGTGATGACCAGGTCAAACAGTGCTAATTTATCAAACCCTATTGCTATTCACATCAACAAGCATCAATCGACTACATACGCACACATACATATATAGGTGTAGACATATGCTGACAGGTTGTATCACCCTATACGATGTGTGAATTTAACCTGTTCCCCCCATAGTAAAAGAAGGTCACCATAGAGACGCCATACAAATACATATTTTGTACAGTGAATTTTGCATGTTGTGCGCGGTTTCTATAGATATATTATCTTAGCTTTCAAAGAAAAAACTAAATAATTTCCTGCTTTTCACTCTCCCGCCCCCCTAACAGAAGCTAAATACATAGTTGATAATCTACTAGCTCTCTCTATATATCTATTGCAGATAGAGTGCGATTACTAAAGTGGCGAATCAGTGAATAGTGAGATGTACCATTACTTACACATCACACCAAGGATCTATAATTTTTACTAAAACGGGAATCTCTATTATCACACACCACTCCATATACAGATCAAAAAACGAAGCATAATAAACATGGCATCATTACCAAAAAGAATCATTAAAGAAACCGAACGACTAGTGACGGATCCTGTTCCAGGGATTACAGCAGAACCACACGACGACAATCTACGTTATTTCAAAGTCACAATCGAGGGGCCTGCAGGATCACCATATGAGGATGGTTTATTCAATTTAGAATTATATCTACCTGACGATTATCCAATGGAAGCTCCAAAAGTACGTTTTCTAACCAAGATATATCACCCAAATATTGATAGGTTAGGACGTATATGTCTGGATATATTGAAGACTAATTGGTCTCCAGCATTACAAATTAGAACAGTGCTGTTATCTGTACAGGCATTATTAGCTTCTCCAAATCCTAATGATCCTTTAGCTAATGATGTTGCTGAAGATTGGATTAAGAACGAACAAGGTGCAAAGGCAAAAGCTAAAGAATGGACTGCTTTATACGCAAAGAAATGAATAAAACCATATATATATATATATATAGATATATCTAATAATATATGTAACGTTATAAAATCCGTTACGCAATTCCGCGGATAGATAGATATAATATTATAATAGTACGCACTAAGTTCAAAAAATGTAGGCCCTTCGTTTGGACCTAAACGGTTCTTAATAAATTTCACAGTTTCAATAATAATAACGCGTAAAAGTGAAAGAACTGAAGACTTGCCGTTTTCCCTTCTCCTGTTGTGCCATATATATATATATATCTCAACGTCAATGTGCGTGTATTAAACTGACTATTATCACCGCCGCTATCGTCATCGTGTGGATTGTATGAAATTTGTAATTTTGACGGAAATGAAACTTTTTTTTCACTCTTGGAGAAAAGTGATCTTCCCATTAAGTAATCCGTGGCCGATGATCAGTTTTTCTTTATAATAAATAATATCATTCTTTTTATATATATAACTCTAGTGTCTTGATTACGATATTCAATTATTTTTTTCTTGAATGATCTTTTCACATATATATATCGTTTGTGGTAATTATAATTGAACGTTAGTAGAGTTGATAGATACTAATTAAGATATAAGCGTAATCTGACGGATCATATTTTTTTTAGGTAGTTAGGAATCGAAAAAATTTATTTTTGATATACTGGGATCAGCTAATAACGATATTCCCCTATTTTATTCCTTTTCTATTATATTCTATTGCTGTATTTCTATTTTTTTACCATTGGTTGAGGATATTGACCGTTTACCCACCTCAAATATATACACTTATATCTATATGGAAATTTGATGAGTGAAGATAATAATAGTAATAATATACCGTCTCATATTAATGAGACATCAAGATCTCCGAATAATAAAATCCTTTCACCATTTGATGATGTCTTTGAATTCGGTACAAGTGACCCATTCACTTCCAATGAAAATCGATCACAACAAGAACATCAAAACAAATCAAATGTAAGAACTGGTAGTAGTAAATCCGAAGGAACCGATAGAGACCTAAGTAGTGATAGTCCCCAGGAAAAGAATGACGTTCATTCTTTTACTAAGACACCGATGCTAGGGGAGGACATGGCAAAGTTTGAATCAGTAGAAATATTTGAAAATTCGGATTCAAAGGATGTTTCCACACAGGATTTGAATCAATCTACTAGAGGAGATATGAATGAGGTTAAGAGAATGAGGTTTGCTACTTTAAGAGATAAGACACATTCGAAGAATCTAGGTGTGGATCGTTCAAGGACAATGAAATGGGCACAACAGAATATTAAGAAAGCATTCCAGGATGAAAAAAATATTGATGAAGCGGAGGATGCTGCAAGACGTAATAGATCTTCGGAATTACGTTCTGTTTATTTTAATCTACCTTTACCTAATGACATGAAGGATGAAGATGGGAAACCAATTATGAATTACTCAAGAAATAAAATTAGAACCACGAAATATACACCTTTATCTTTTTTCCCCAAAAATATTTTTAATCAATTTAAAAATTTTGCTAATGTTTATTTCTTAATCTTAATTATTTTAGGTGCTTTCCAAATCTTTGGTGTCCCTAATGCAGGTCTGGCAGCTGTGCCGTTGATCGTTATTGTTATCCTGACTGCTATTAAGGATGGGTTCGAGGACTCAAGAAGAACAATATTGGATATGGAAGTTAATAATACAAAGACTCATATATTGGATGGTATGGAGAACGACAATGTTCCATTTGACAATGTTTCACTATGGAGAAAATTCAAAAAGGCAAATACTAGATTAATGATGCAATTCTTTCAATTTTTAAGTGAACATTTTACTGCTACGGGCAAAGAAGCAAGAAAGGATAGAAAATTAAAAGAAATGAGAATGAAAAGAGCTGGGGGGAAGGATCTACCAAGAAATTCATTGGATTCTTACCAGAGTTATAGACCATCTGCTGATTATACGCGACCTTCCTACGATATGATTCGTCCATCCTTAGAATATGATAACAACACGATTAATTATGGTGACAAAACTAATAGTAACGCTACCATACTTGATCCAAATTTACCACTGAGACCAGAATGTAAATTTAAGAAAAATTATTGGAAAAATGTACGTGTAGGTGATATTGTTCGTGTTCATAATAATGATGAAATCCCTGCTGATTTGATTATTTTATCCACCTCAGATAATGATGGAGGTTGTTATGTTGAAACTAAAAATTTAGATGGGGAAACTAATTTAAAAGTCCGTCAATCCTTGAAATGTAGTTCCAATGTTAAAACATCTCGTGATATTACAAGAACCAAATTTTGGTTAGAAAGTGAAGGTCCCCACTCTAATTTATACTTATACCAAGGTAACTTGAAATGGATAGAATCTGATACTAACACATACCACAATGAACCTATTTCCATCAACAACATGTTATTGCGTGGTTGTACTTTAAGAAACACCAAATGGGCAATGGGTGTGGTTTTATTTACTGGTGATGATACTAAAATCATGTTAAACTCTGGTATAACACCAACTAAAAAATCAAGAATCTCAAGAGAATTAAACCTATCTGTTTTATTTAACTTCGTATTTTTATTCTGTCTATGTTTCGTTGCTGGTATTATTAATGGTGTTTATTATAGTAGAAAACCTGAGTCAAGAGATTTTTTCGAATTTGGTACTATTGCAGGGAAACCTGCAACAAATGGGTTTGTCTCATTTTGGGTCGCACTTATCCTGTATCAATCATTGGTTCCTATTTCATTATACATTTCTATTGAAATTATTAAGACAGCACAAGCAATTTTTATTTATTTGGATGTCATGCTTTATAATACTAAACTTGATTATCCATGTACTCCCAAATCATGGAATATATCCGATGATCTGGGACAAATTGAATACATTTTTTCAGATAAAACTGGTACTTTAACTCAGAACGTAATGGAATTTAAAAAATGTACAATTAACGGTGTATCTTATGGTCGAGCTTATACAGAAGCACTAGCGGGACTAAGAAAGAGGCAAGGTATTGATGTGGAGGAAGAAGGTCAACGTGAACGTGAAGCTATTCGTATCGATAGGGAAGAAATGATCAATAAGTTGGAATCGATCTCAAACAATTCACAATTTGATCCAGAACGATTGACTTTTGTTTCTAAGGAGTATGCAAATGATTTGGATGGAGCCAGTGGTGATATTCAACAAAAATGTTGTTCTCATTTTATGTTAGCATTAGGTCTATGTCATACTGTTCTAGTAGAGAAAAATGAACAGGATCCAAATAAATTAGAGCTTCAAGCGCAATCTCCAGATGAAGCAGCTTTAGTTACAACTTCAAGAGATGTTGGTTTTTCATTAATTGATAATAAGAAGAACATAATAGTTCTAGAAATCCAAGGTGTACAAAAAGAGTTTGAAGTTTTAAATATTCTTGAGTTTAATTCTACTAGAAAGAGAATGAGTTGTATTATCAAATTACCCGCAAAAGATGCTAATTCTAACCCAACTGTACTACTGATTTGTAAAGGTGCAGATTCAATCATATATTCAAGATTGGATACTACAAAAAATGAAGAAAGTTTATTAGAAAAGACAGCGTTGCATCTTGAACAATATGCCACTGAAGGTTTAAGAACTTTGTGTGTTGCGCAAAGAGAAATTAGTTGGACGGAATATATGGCCTGGAGTGAAAAATATAATGTTGCTGCTGAAGCTCTTGTTGATAGAGAAGCTGAATTAGATAAAGTATCTGAATTAATTGAACGTGATTTGATATTACTTGGTGGTACAGCCATAGAGGATAAATTACAAGATGGTGTCCCAGATTCGATTGCACTTTTAGCTGAAGCTGGTATTAAGCTTTGGGTGTTGACTGGTGATAAAGTTGAAACAGCTATCAACATTGGATTTTCATGTAATGTTTTAAACACAGATATGGAACTATTAGTTATCAAAGCTGAAGGTGACGACGTACAAGATCTGGGTGATAACCCTGAATCTATTGTTTTGAACCTAACTTCTAAATATTTACATGAAAAATTTGGACTATCAGGTACCGAAGAAGATTTAGAAAACGCAAAGAATGATCACTCAGTTCCAAAGAATGATTTTGCCGTAATTATTGATGGTGAAGCATTGAAAATTGCTTTAACAGGCCCAGAAATGAGACGTAACTTTTTATTGTTATGCAAGAATTGTAAAGCTGTTTTATGCTGTAGAGTTTCACCATCTCAAAAGGCGGCTGTTGTTAAATTAGTGAAGCAATCTCTGGATGTTATGACATTAGCTATTGGTGATGGTTCAAATGATGTGGCAATGATTCAGTCCGCTGATGTCGGTGTCGGTATTGCAGGGGAAGAAGGTAGACAAGCCGTTATGTGTTCTGATTTCGCTATTGGCCAATTCCGTTATTTAACAAGATTATTATTAGTACATGGAAGATGGTGCTATAAGAGACTTGCTGAAATGATTCCACAATTTTTCTACAAGAATTTAATTTTCACAATGACTTTATTCTGGTATGGTGTTCATAATGATTTTGATGGTTCATATCTATTTGAATTCACATATTTGACATTTTATAATTTAGCCTTTACATCTGTTCCAGTCATCCTATTAGGTGTACTTGATCAAGATGTGTCAGACAAAATTTCCTTGATTGTTCCAGAGTTGTATAGATCTGGTATCCTTCGTAAGGATTGGAATCAAACAAAATTTTTATGGTATATGTTTGATGGTCTGTACCAGTCTGCCATTTGTTATTTCTTTCCATATTTGGTATACCGTAGGAATATGATTGTAACTAATAATGGTTTAGGATTAGACCATCGTTTCTATGTTGGTGTCCCTGTCACTGGTATTGCTGTTATTTCCTGTAACATGTATATTCTTATGGGTCAAAAACGTTGGGATTGGTTTACTGGGTTATTCATAATTTTATCCATTGCCGTATATTTCGGTTGGACCGGTATTTGGTCAAGTTCCCTTAACAGTTATGAATTTTTCAAATCTGCCGACCGTGTTTACTCTACCCCATCCTTTTGGGCTGTCCTTGTGATAGGTATCTTCTTCTGTATTTTACCAAGGTTTACATTCAATTCTGTTCAACAAATGATAAATCCAACAGATGTCGATGTTGTTAAAGAGATGTGGGCCAACGGTGCATATGACAATTACCCTGAGAATTATGACCCCACCGATCCAGAACAAAAGAAAATCAAACGTGACGATTATATGATAGGTGATAATATGTTCGAAGGCGAATACAATCCCCAGGATGCTGTAGGAGGTGATTCTGCTATGGAATCAAGGGACTCTGTGATTGTTGAAGAAATCCCTATGGATTCATACGATAAGAGTGCTAGAGATCAAGATCAAGATATACGATGGGTGCCTTCGGTGTCATCAGATGTTACAGGGCGTGCCCCAATGAAATCAATGGATTCATGGGTAGAAGGCAGGCGTTCTATGAATCAATCGCGTGTTAGAACGTCGTTAGATAGAACAAGGGAAAGTATGTTAGCATCCAATCAATTGGATAATAGATACAGTGTAGAACGTGCGCGTGTATCGTTAGATCTTCCAGGTTTGACACAAGCTGCTAATTTAATGAAAAAAAGCAGTAGATCATGATTAAATAAAAACATTTACATATATATACATATAGACATCATAATACAATTTTAATATTTTAAACCACAAACAACTAGGGTGTCTGGAAAGATATTTTATAAAGGTTATTTAGATGACCATACACCCTGATCCTTAACTAAAAAATTTAGAAATGTGTCAACAAATATATGAACGTTTTCTATTGGAGAACCTTTTGAGGGAAGATCTGGTTGTTATTAGAAAAGATCACATTTGGCTCATTCAGTTATCTCTCAGTCCGATAAAGAATTTATATAAGGACATCACTCTCTACGTTGAAGAGTACCTGATATTCAGAGTAAATCTCAGTATCAGGTACTCCCGGTCTTCATCTTACCGCCCAGAAATATCAGTAGTAATATTTTTGTTATAAGAATCTACCACACGCCCAGAACAGTAGTTCGTTTCTATAAGGAAACATTAATATTGCTACTCTCTTCGGAAATTTCTTAGCACAAGAACTGACTACTATACTGTTTAAGTAATATAGGTACATTAAATAGGGTGGTAGATATCAGAAGCTTTAGAGGACACCCTGTAGTTATTTTCATCTGAAAAAGCTAAAGTTTGTTGGAATTTAATGAGATGGTCAGACTAATTTCCGTAAGAGGCCTACTGTAATGTTTTCATCGTTCTTGGTTGGCATTCTCAAAATCTTTGAAATATTTCTTTTTTTTGATTTTTTTCAAATTTGTCGCTGGTTGGACAACAGAGAGCTGTGCACTATTTCTTAGGAATAATGTATTTTTACATAAGAAAATGAAAAATGTAAGATTTAAGATAATTTAAGCTTTCCGCAGCTCTTAAGATTTTAAGAAAAGAACTATATCTTGAAGTATGGGGAAATATGTTTTGTTCGAAGCGTCCACTGAATTTGCTTTATATTCGATTGAGGTTTGACAGACTCTTGGTATAAGTTACAATGGGATTTACCTGGGTATTTTTGGTCGCTTTCTACTGACTTTGTGTAAGTAACTAATGCTTACGAAGATTTTGGATTTTTTTATTGGTCACCATCATCAAAATGAAATATTATTGAAGTTTAGGGTTTGTCTCTGTCAGAGACGATAGAAGCGGGATAGAGGAAGATAACGGTAAAACTGTGTGGTGTGCGTAAATTCAAATTTGCACTTCATTTTCTGATAAGTTTACTAAATGATGCGTTAAAAGAGCTAGATGAATATTCACAGTTTACAAACTAAAAAGTGACTTACAATTTGAATTTTTAATCTTCATTCAATTCCTTTTTCTTTCTTTCTCAGTTTTGGCGTTTTCTTTCTATTTGTAAAATAGAAGACATGCATATATTTGGTCCTGCGCTTTACTTTATTGGCACACTCATCATCAATATTTGATTATTTCATTTAATCTTAACTCAGATAGCCCCTTCGCTTCCATTCTAATGATTGGCGTTTTTAGTGTTCATTTGTAAAGTTCCATCTCAGTTTAGATATATAGAATTTTTTTCTCTTCTTTGACTGTTTATCCTTTCATCTTTATTTCATACTCATATATATACACATATATATTATTGTCATGAAATTAGCTATATATATATTCTTATACTAGTAACCCAAAACATTATAAACGGAACTTCTATAGGTATTACCATATTTCACAGTACGTATACTAAAAAACATACGTTATATTATATATATTTATATTCAGGTTAAACATGAATTTAAATATTACAAATGACGGTATGTCTGATATGCCAAAGAGCAATACCCCAATATCAGATTCTATGAATAGATGGAAGATGCCTCGTGGTGGTATACCGAATGGTAATGAGATGATGTTACATAGCCAGCTAGCTGCAGAGCATTATAATATTACACAACAATTGATACCTAATTTCATATCACTCCAACAGCAACAACAACAAACAACACAACCTCCTGTATTGCTCAATCCAATAACAAATAAGATAAAAAATAAGAAGAGGATAAAAAAGAATGTTACTGTACTAAAAGAAAGTTCAAATGAAACTATTTTTGTTAATTATACGGTGGAAGAGAAGAAGCCAGCCAAGGATAAACCGACGACAAATATCCCCGAATCAAATGGTACTACTTCAAAAACTGTGGATACTGGATCCTCTTCGTCGTCCTTTTCTTCTTCCCCTACTAATGTTTCAAAATTAAATTCAAGTAATAAATCTTTGAAAAGAGAATCAGCGCCAACTACCCTCAATTTTTGTGGAGCTAGACAAAATAATATATTTCCAATCGATGAAATTCAAGCCAACTCAAATGATAATATTCGTCCTCAACAAATTGTTATAAAAGATAGTTCTACTACTAGTGGTACTAATCATGATGAAAATGATGCAAATATGGATTTCAGTAAAATTGTAAATATGGACAGAAGAAGTAGAGTTATAACACCAACGACGACTAGGTTTTATATGTCCTCCTCTTCAACACCTTCCTCCCCAGCTATTGGAACACCGTCATCTGCATTTTATGCCAATAGTATTCACAACATATCTGCTCAAAGACCGTCTTCCGCAGTAATGCCAAATTTCACAAAACATGCGTCATATAATGGGGTGTCACCATATGCGAAGCGGGTTGTCTCTAACAAGAATTCCATATATAAATTACCAAAGGGAACTGGATCAGTAAGTACAACCACACTATCATCAAATTTAGAATCAACAGCATTTGATCTATCGATGTATAATAATTCCGTGCCGAGTAATGGGCACTCCTATATTGATAATTTCAATAGTGCGGCGGATAGTAGTCCTAATGATGGTAGCTTAGATAATTCCTTTAACCAACAACATCATGGAAGTATATCTGATCAATTGATCGATCCAGAGAGGACAGCAGTGTCCTTACCAACCGAATATCATGATCCATATTCAGAATCCTTAGATATGGGATTAATAATGAGCATAGGAATAGAGGAACTTAATCCTCAAAAACATTCGACAGCATCTAATAATATATCACGCACAGTTACAGGTAGTACGGTTACTATTCAATCCTATATGAATGATTTAGAACATTTAAACTCCCAACAATGTTTAGCAAACGAACTTCAAGTAGATAACAATATGGAAAATAATCCTTTTCATGCTAACATCGATCGTGATATAAAACATGATGATGGAGAGATTAGTCCTAAATTTGGAGCTATCGATTTTGATAATATCGAGGCGATATTTCCAATCAATAATAATTCATCACCAATTAAACAAGAATTGGATGATATTTTAAATATTCTTAAATAATAAAGTATGGCCACAGGTCGTACGATTTGAACAATAAATATCAATGACAACTAGACTAATTCATAATTAAGATGGACACTAGTATTTGTTGCTAAACTTGAGGACGTGTTTTAGGTAACTTGATTTTAAATGTTCGTTGTAAATAAATAGTTTTTAAGCGCCATGCTTCGGACAAAAAAACAAATTGTACATAACGGACATTTTAATACCCAATCGTTAAATAATAGAATCTTGAAACTATCTATAATTTTTCTTCACTTTAATTATTTTCTATATTAACTTCCTCAGAAATGAAAGTTTCTTAATTACACATTGAAATCTTACGTACTGGTTCTAAAAATTAAAAATGTCTATAAATCTTCAATGATGCTGAAAATATTTTCTAAAACATTTCTTTTGACATTATTATCGTAAATCAGAACACCCTCTCCGGTACCCAATTTGGTATTTTTAACACCATCACCATATAGTAATCTTACGAAGTCGCTTTGTAAACCTAATGGTATATCTACAATTTCTCCCTGAATACCACTTGTTGCTTTTTGCTTCTCCTTTATTATTCTAGTAGTATGCTCAAATTTGTCAGCTGCATTCTGAGCATTATCAACAATTGATTTTGATATACCACACATTGTTGCAACGTGCATACCAAATGAACCTTCACTTTGACCGTCTTCTAATTTGTAGAGGAATGTAACATTTCTTGTTTCTTCGTCGACCAGGATTGCCATTTTCATAGGTCTAACTTGGGGATGTCCCTTAAAACTTAATCCTAAATTGGCGTAATGTGTAGCAAAAAAACCAAGACTCTGAATATGTGTTGCAACATGGTGCAAGACACTTTCAGCAATGGCAAAACCATCACTTGAAGAACCACCTCTACCCAATTCATCCACTACAAGTAACGATCTTCTGGTTGCTAAGTCCAAAATTTTCTTAGTTTCTGATAATTCGACAAAGAATGTCGATTTCCCTTGCATAATGTTATCATTAGCACCCAAACGTGTCATTATTCTGTCCACTGGCGACAATGATGCAGATTCACAAGGAACATAACAACCCATTTGTGCCATTATAACAGCCACACATGTCATTCTTAAAACTGTCGATTTACCAGCTGCATTTGCACCAGTTAATAATCCTAGTTGTGGTCTCCCATTACCCAATTCAATATCGTTAGAGATGAAATCCTTTGCAATAGTACTCCCTAATCCAAAACAGGGATGTCTTAATTGTTTAAACCTCATAAATCCATTTAGTTTCTCTCCGGTATTTTTGTCCACATCATCGACAAAACTGGGTCTACATGCAACGAAACCTAGAGACTCCGATGTCTTTGTTAGAGCCAACAAACAATCAATATTAGAAATGGCATATACTGTAGGAGTCCAAGTATCCATGAAAGCGGAGTCGAATTTTCGGCACAGTCTTGTTCTTAGATCCTCTTCTAATGCCTTATGTGTCTCACGAGCCTCTGCCATTGACCTCGCCAAAATTCTAACTTCGTCAGAATAATATCTTTTTGTAGATTTATTTGCAGCCATCTGTACCCAGTCTGAAGGGACATTTTTAACTGCTTTAACTGGAAATTCTATGGTGTATATTTCTTTACCTGAATCCTTAAAACAAATGTCAGAACAATGGTATTTCTTTTTATATTGGTTCAATAGCTCGTATAGTTCGTTTTCTAAAGCCTCAATTTCATCCAATGATTTATCAAAATCTGTTTCAATGCCTCTATGTGGAAGGATGATACCTTCTTCAGATGCTTTGACTCTATCAAATGCGTTTTTCCAGGTATCAATATTAGCATAAAGGGATTCTGGTATTTGCTTTAAGAAAATATCCAAGGCACCTCTCAATTCGATATCAGAGTCCTTTAACAGCAGCAGCAGATTCTCAATATCCTCAAAACCTTGAATAACTCTTTCAAAATCTTTCACCTTTATGGTACATGTATGAATCTTAGCCAATAATCTTTCCAGATCTGGTAATCTGCTAAAAACACTTTCTATATTGTCTTTTAATTCCAAGTTAGATATTAGTAAATCGACACTATCCAACCTCTTGTTAATATCATCCTCATTAAGTAATGGATGCATTAACCATCTTCGCATCATTCTCTTACCCATTGCAGTGATAGATTTATTGAATAATTGGAAAAGAGTACCCTTAGAAGTGCCATCAAATGAATTACTAAATATTTCCAAGTTTTGTAGTGTAATACCATCTAATATCAAAGAATTCTGAGATTTAACAGGATCATATTCCTTCATATTACCCATAGACAACAGACTTTTATCTAGTTGGAGCCATTTTAAGTAGTATAGTAATGCACCAAAAGCGCTGAAACCAACCTTTTTCTGGTTCTTATAGTAAGATTGTAGGACCTCTGGCCAATTATCAACATTTTTGAAATACTTGAAATCATCGGAAGTAAGAACGTCGTACGTTTTTTCATAATCATAAAATTCCACTTCAGGTTTGATTTCATTAAATATTGGTCTAGAGGAGGCATTGAATTTAACGATTTTATTGGCAATATTACTCAAATTATCCTTTTCAATAATGATTTCTTTTGGTTTAACTTGTGACATAATTGTGTCCAATTTTGTGCATTCATTGTCATCCCCAAATTCAATTAATTGAACTTCACCAGTAGATGTATCGATAAAAGAAATACCAAATATTCTATCTGGATTAGATTTTTCATCAACAGAATAGTCATCATGCATATAAAAGTCACCGGATTCTTCCCTGATAGCCAAACAATAAGTAGCAAGATCTGAATGTATCATATCACCATCTGTTAAGGTACCAGCAGTCAAAACACATTCCAATTCTCTTTTGACGATACCCTTAGAACCTTCTCTCATTTCTTTACTCAACATTGATTCCTTTTGATCCACTTTTGCCACTTTATAACCATGTTCAATAAATTGCGAAGCCCAGTACTCGAAACTCATTTCAGGGATACCTGCTAATTGCATGTTAGCACGACCGTTACCGGCTAGTTTCCAATCAAATAAAGAATTGGCCAAGAGAGCATCTTTTTCATATAATTCAAAAAATTTACCCTTTTTAAAGAAAACAATACAATCCCACATCTTAGACTTTATTTCCCAATATTGCTTTTCGAAGGCAGTGAATTTAGCCCAAGCTGCTGAAGGAATATACAGTGTTCTAGAATCATACTCTGGATCGGAAACAGGTCGTTTTTCAGCATCCTTTTCATCAACTAACCAATAATATCTTTCCTCATTATGTTTTGCAAAATTTGATCCGGTCTTAGGTTTTGATTTTTGAATTGCTATACTTGGTTTCGGTTTAGATCTTACTGTTGCTTCTATCATTCTCCTTTTTGTTGGATTAACCTTTTTAGGTTTTGTAGATAATGCAATAAGGTCATCATCGTCATCATCGTCATCATCTTCATCACCATCATCAATGAAATTTGAATCGTCAACACTTTCATTCATTTTTTCTTCCTTTAGTTCTTTTTTAGATGGAACATATTCATCATCTTCATCTGAATCTTCAGCAAAAAGTTTTTGCTTCTTATTATATTTGGAAGATGATAATTGAATGCGGTCATCATCATTATCATCATCACTTTCCGCATAATTTACTGATCTCTTAGTTCTTCTATCAGATGAACCGTCAGAAGATTTCTCTATCAAAGTTTCATCTGCAGAAATAATATGCTCGGTTGAGCTTTCTCCAACTGTTTTTGTTATAGGTTGTAGTGAGTTCTGGATAGGTACCTTTCCAATTTCAACTTTATCAAATGAATCATCTAATTCTATTTCAATTGGTTGACCCGATTTTTTGACAATTGATGTATTACTACTATTGATAGCAGTAATTTTCGGACTCGAAAAAGGTGACTTACCAACGGGTCCACCCTTTTGGGTTGGTGTAGATGATGATTTTGAGAAAAATGATAACAAACTAGATTGTTTCATCTTCTTGTTTGATGAATTGTTACCATTATTACCTTGTAGGACCTTCGATGTCCTTGGAGTGACAGGTGCCATAATGTTATTGTGGTCTATTCTGAAATAAATATTGATCCAAAATGCTTTGTTTGAATTTCGTCGAAGTTGTAATTTCTCATATAAAGCAAATTTAAATGGAACAATACAGAAGATTTTATACCTAGAATTAAATAAATGTAATATAACAAATAAAATTGAACTAAAATTTCATATTGAATAAATAGACGATAAAAGGATTTTTTCGCGTAACGCGTTTGGGCCGATGGACTTCTTAATTGCATATATATATATATATATATATATACACCCATATTTAGTATTATTATTTTACATACAATTTATGATGTAGTGCTCATAATGATTTGTAAAACAAAAGAATTCTATCTTGTTTAAAGCTATAATAAATAATATAATATAATATAATGCGCCTCTATACATACGAGTTACGTGCTAACAGCATGGTAAAATAAATTTACATTTGAATTGCTTGAAGGTGAAAGAAGCTATACTTATATATTATCTTGTTCTTCTTGTGCTATCCATTTCCTATTGTCTGTGATACGTATATCTCCAATATCTATATTCCTGTATTGCAACATATTGAACAATTAATACATAAACAGTGATTACGAAGCTTATTGTTGAATAGTATGTTGGAAAAATTCAGGATCATCTTCAAGAGATTCCTTAATTATATCCAAACCACCTTGGAATTCACCGTTTATGTACAATTGTGGGAAAGTTGGCCAATCAGAAAACTTTTTCAAACTTTGTCTTATGGCATCATCTCTTAAGATATCAAAGAACCCAAATCTAACCTGATGTTCTCTTAGGATACCCACTAATTGTCTTGAAAATCCACATTTTGGTTCGGATGGAGTCCCCTTCATAAATAACATGACAGGGGCAGCATTAACCAATTTAGTCAATCTGGCGAACACTTCTTCCTCAGATTCACCTTCAGGTTCTTCAGTTTCCTCTTCAGCCTTTGGTGCATTTGTCCCTTTATTCTCAATAAATTTCTTACATTCATCTAATAAGTTAATGAACTCCTTGGGATCAGCACCTGATAATTCTTTTAGAATGGTACCCTTTTGAATCAATACAAAATAAGGCACTGCGGATATTTCGAATAACTCAGCAATTTCAGAGTTATTATCAGCATCTATCGATAAGAAAGAAATATCTTTATTAGAAGGTTCGTCACTGATAGCAGAATATACTTCACCCATTTGTTTACATGGTTCGGCCCAAACGGTTTGAAAATACAGAACAATTAATTTGTCACCAGCATCGGTGGTTGTCAGTCTTGTGAATTCGTCTTGATTTGTGATTTGATTAACTGGCATTGTTTTTCAGTAATAAAAGATTAATATATAGATTATCCGATTGTTTTATCTTTTCGATGACTCAGTTAATACAATTTAAATTTCATCAAGGGTTAAACAATAATTAATACCAACCAAAAATAGAAAACCTTCAAGTAATCACCAACCTATATATATATATATATAGCACTTAATAAAATTGCAATACCTTGAAAGTTTATGTCCAAATTACTGTATTAATAATCCAACTGTCTTAGTTCTCTGAGATCGAGAGAAAATGAGAAGGTATTTCCCACCAAAACCGATGATGCGGCCAATAAATTTCAGAATTCTCAGAAATTTCAAATAAAAATCAAAAAAATTGACTTTTTGGGTTTAAGCTGTCTGAAATCTCAGTAGAAAATTTGCCGTGCAGTTCGAAATTTGGTGAGGGCAACGACCGTGGGACGTAAATATTCACCGTGAGAGAGAGTGTGTAAACTCGGTGGTGAGCCAATCAGAGGGCAGTGTGTTAGTAATGCAGAATATATGTATTAGTAATGTATGGTTTGATGTAATTAAATATATTTCTATTTACAATGAGGGTCAAAAAGAAGGGATTTGGATGATTGCAAAAGACATACGAGATGACTATCCTATCTATAAGTGGATAATAATAGAAGATGTTTATACAATAATATTTTAAAGGAGAAATTTACGAACTCTCTAAGAGTAGTGGAAGACATCCCTTACTTGATTGAAAGTGTAAGTTATAAAGTAAACGTGGTGACAATAACTTCAACAATTCGAGTATTTTAAATATTTTACAGTTTTAATTGAAGTTTTGAACTTTCTCAGAATATATAAAACATAGAGTTTTCCACAAGTTTTTGTCATATATCTTGTTCTATTCTCTCTTTACTTAATAATATGTTACCGATAGAACTCGGCCAAATTGAAAATAATAAATCAAGAGACAGAACGTATTACATTATGAAATAAAAAGTTAAATTTTTCTGATACAATGAGAGTAATCTTCAGCAATTAAAGGGTCTCGGTTAGTAACTGAATGACAACTCTCATATATATAAATGAGATGTTCATCTACAAGTTATATTTGAAATATTAACTTATACACTCTTATGTACAATATGAAAGAGAATACATAAAATATTATATAATTTCAATATACCCAAAAAGTATTCCTTCATGCACATTCACGCATATGTGTCATCACAATGCACGATGACGCGCGGCGTAATGGATGAGGTGAGGTTAAATACAGGATATAAGTAGTGTGAATTTTCCAATCATTACAATTCTATAGATTAATAATTAGCGCAAACAAGGGCGCCCTTAACCATTTTGAATATCTATAATACTTTGATATTGATAATTTAACGTAATATAACCAATAACCATTATAATGACTTCAACTACACTGTCTCTCACTTTTTGAAACCATCATCCTTTTTTTCAGTAATTCGGGGCTTTTTAACAGCTGTCTCAGTAGACACTTAAGAAACCATATATCTGTGATTTTGATATTTGATTTAATGTCGTAGAACACATAACCTTTTGAATTATTTATCAATCAAACCTGCACGTGTCTTATTGGAAATCTTGGAGGCGACATTGAAACTTCTTTTTGTATGTATATATGTAGAAGGAAAGGTGTTGAACACCCGCTTAGGTAGGTCCAGCACTGGAAACACAGATTCGTGGTCTTTCCAGAATAATTAATCTACGCCAACATCTGTTAACTATACTAACTTTAGGCAGTTGCGTTTATTTAATCCCATTGTCATGGTTGTTGCTTTCATAATTATTTTCCGCGACTTCAGCATTTTTGAGACATTATCAGGGGAAATACCAATCAGGATATATTTCAGCCATGGGGATGTGCGTCAAAATTTTCATTATATGAGACTCAGTTTCATCTTCAGTATGATATTTGGGATATCATTAGGTTGCTCATTATAATTCAGAAGAATCGACGATTAAAAACAAGAGGAAAGAATGAAACATGTTCCAACTCTTCCAATCTAGCAAATTTCATTAGCGATAGCTACTCTAAAACAAGATTATCATCAAATGAACCATGTATGCCTATCCTATTATTACCATATTATGAGATGTAATGAATTTCTGCTCATACAAAGATCTTACAATAAATTCAAATTTAATTTTTTGTTTCCTAGTTACCGTGCCAGTAATGGTTGTGTCCCAATTTGGAGAAGATAAAGATTTGTCAGAGTCGTCATGAGAATTAAAATTCAGCAGGTAAAATCTTGTTCAAGAAAGACGAGGAAGCACCTGTGACATTACAGATTGCTAAACCTTTTTGCAGAGTAAAAGGTGATTAAACTTCAAAAATATTTCAGATATATAGACGTAGTATACGTATCGAGTGATAATTAAATTGTCACCTGTTTCACACTCAAATCCCATTCAAAAGTCCGTTTATTTTGTAATAATAAAAAGAAGCACGATACTTAGATAAGGTAGTGGTAATCTAAAATACATACAAAGGTCCACTGAATAAGCTCCCCTTGTTCCAATTAATAAGATCTCATTCTTACAAGAAATTTACTTTAAAATCACAGCCAAATATTGCTCTCTTACAAAAACAAAATATATTCCTCTTATTATCTTAAATACACACCATATACGTCCAAACTTTCATCATGGATTGTATATGTCCTTATAGTATCCTGCTTAACCTCTCACGTATATCCCTATTCCCTATTACTCCCTTCACTCCCAGCTGCCTTTATAAAAATGGGATAGTATTATCCTATCCCCCCACTCTATTAATATCAACGTATCCCTCTCTCTGATTGTCTATGTAACGCGGACAACGACGGTCTCGCGCGGGGGAAGCTAAGTGAAGTGAGGGAGGGGGAGGGGCAGATATTACTGCCGTTACGATAGGATAACACTGAGACAACGCAATACACACACATAGAATGACAAGATTACATATTGAGTGAAGTGTTACATCCTATATAACAAGATAAACAACATCATAATCTTACATATATATATATAACAACAATTAAAGGAATTTTATTTGAATTTAACTTATTCTTTAAGAATTAAAAGAGAGCTTTATTACTAAAAATTTCACCCTTTTGACTATTTTTTTGCTCTTTACTCCCCTTGAGAAATTTTTTATTTTCTTTAAATTTTCGTCTTTTTCTATTTTTTTGCTTTTCTGTTAAAAAAAATAAATAAATATAACACCCCTTGAAATAGTGAATTTAAGAGAAGTTATAAAACAAATAAACAAATAACTTATTCCATTAATAACATAGACACTAACACACCCACACACATATAGTTATACACACATACACAATACACAAATATGTCTGAAAGCCGTGAAGATTCCGTATACCTAGCCAAATTGGCCGAACAAGCTGAACGTTATGAAGAAATGGTTGAAAACATGAAGAACGTCGCTTCTTCAGGTCAAGATCTTTCTGTCGAAGAACGTAACCTATTGTCTGTCGCTTACAAGAACGTCATTGGTGCTAGACGTGCCTCTTGGAGAATCGTTTCTTCCATTGAACAAAAAGAAGAAACTAAAGAAAAATCAGAACATCAAGTAACATTGATTAGAAAATACCGTTCTAAAATTGAAGATGAATTGACTAAAATCTCTGATGACATTTTGTCCGTCTTAGATGCCCATTTGATTCCATCTGCTACTACTGGTGAATCTAAGGTCTTCTACTATAAGATGAAAGGTGATTATCACCGTTATTTGGCTGAATTCTCTAGTGGTGAAGCAAGAGATCAAGCTACTAATGCTTCTTTAGAAGCTTACAAGACTGCTTCTGAAATCGCCACCACTGAGTTGCCTCCAACTCATCCTATCCGTTTAGGTCTAGCTTTGAATTTCTCCGTGTTTTATTACGAAATTCAAAACTCTCCTGATAAAGCTTGTCATTTGGCTAAACAAGCCTTTGATGATGCTATTGCTGAATTGGATACTTTATCCGAAGAATCTTACAAAGATAGTACTTTGATAATGCAATTGTTAAGAGATAACTTGACTTTATGGACTTCTGATATGTCTGAAGATAACCAAGAAGATCAAGCTCCAAAGAATGATGATGCTAATGATGCTGAAAACAAATAGATATCTAAAAAAAAATAACAATGAACAAAAAATCATATAAAAAAATATAAATAATTCCTTTTTTTTGCTGTGTTTTTAGTTTAAATAGGAGAAAATAGTCTAGACGTGGTTTGTTTGTTTTTATTTATAATTAATTAAGAATATAGATATACGCTAAAGAATAAGATATTGAATTAGAATATTTTATATGTCTATTTCTCTTTTTCTTTGTTCTTTTTACCTCAAATATTCCTGACTGTTATTTTTTTCCCTTAAATCTATCTATTACTACTATTATTATTATTAATATTATTATTATTATTATTCTCTTTCTCTTTTCTTTTTAACATTATATCACTACACTCATATCATATCAATTATATTTCTTATTTAATTATAATATTATTATTCTACATAAATATTTATATTAATATTATTGACAATTAATATCGTTAAATACTAAATTCTACACTCTTTAAAAGATAATGCTCCTAAATTAACTTCGACACTCTTCTATTGTTACTATAAACTGTCCTTATTGCATAATTCTTTGTCAGCCTTGTCTTCTCCTTTGGTTACCCCTTTATACAAAATTTTATAAGCCAAAAAAACAAAATAAATAGTATGTTTTTAGAAGAAAGGAAGGAACGTAACAATATCAAGGGCAATTATTGATACGTAGCATAATACTTTCATTAACTTCTATTTTTATAAGAAATAATTGTTATTTCTTCTTAAGATATACTAATTGTTTTTATCCTGAAGTGATTACAATATATTAATAACAAAAGTAACAGCTAGAAAAAAATGTCAACTATAGTCACAAAGAAAGGTATTAAGATCGCTAATCTAGCTATAGGTGCAATTGGCTCACTAGCTGCACTTTCTCAATTGACATATGTAGTTTCTGATTTTAACGTTTTTATGCTATCTCTTTTCGCAATCCCATTATCCGCAATGATTATAATGATGGAATTCAAAGTACCAACTCAATTGTACAATTTTGCATCTTTTTATTTCAGTTTTCTAGGTAGAGGTATATTACAGATCTTATTAGGTATTATGGTATGTCACGGTGGAGCTTTGAAATTGATGTCTGCTTTTTTACTAATAATAAGTGGTATTGCTTATTGTTTATTCCAATTCCTGCCAATGATTGAAGAACCAGATTTTTTCAAAGTTGCAGGTAGTTCCTTAACTGTAGGTGATGATGAATTTGATGATGATGATGAAGTTATCTAATGCCTCCAAAAATATTACATAACAAACGTATATAATTATAGATTTTTAAAAATCAAGAATAATAATAAAAGAATTTGTATTATCTTTCAATCAGCGTTATCTTCGTTTTTGACAATAGAATGTATTTCTTTAAAAAATGCACGGATATATATATATATATATATTATACTCTGCTACTAATCTACAAAAATTTGAACCAAATAATTAAATGATTGTGTATCATAACTATACAGTTCCTAACGGTTGAGCAATCGTTGAAAATACGGATGTGTCTCTCTAATTAACACTCCTTAAAGTTCCATATCTTTATTTTCATTAGAACTTTGGCCAATATTTTGTTTCATTGGTTGTGTTTCTCTGATTATTAAACCGAATCTCTTATCCTTGACTAATGTAGCAAGTTGGAAGATACCTTGTACAGTTGGGTCTTGGTTATTTAGTTCAAGTTTGGACTGGATCCAACTTGGTTGAGTAGTCTTTGAGCCACCGGTCAATCTTAACACCTCTGGTCTTTCACCTGAGCTGATATCACTGTCACATAATACCACAGTGGTACATTCTCTTACAACTGGCAGTTCAATGGTCTCAGAAGATGATCTCACTAGAGACTTTAGTTTCAAAGTAGCTATACCTAATTTTGGTAATGGAACTTCATGACCTGGTAAAGTTAAACTAGCAGTGGCGTCATAACTTAGAGCACCATTTTGGTTAGAAACTTTTAAAATGTGATCCCATGGAACCCATTTGGCAACTTCAACTGGAGATTCAACACATAGATAATTGTTAATAATTTCACTCATACCAAGTCTGAAAGATTTCAAATCTTTATCTAATGCAGAAATTTGTTCATTGTAATCCTTTGACGATATAATTGGAAAATTTTCAGATAAATGAGATAATTTAAATGGGTATACACCGTTTCTATCAATTTTTGTCACAAGTTTTCTAGATGTCTTTAGTTTTAATGCATGAATTTGAGCGAAATCTCTGACGAAAATACCAGATCTAGCAACTAATTCATTCTTTCTATGAGATTTACCCTTAGCAGAGTCTACTACTTCTAAAGTAACTAGACCCTTCTTAGTAGTTTTTCCTAATGGTACCATCTTTAAATCAACTAAATAGACTTCACCGGCCTTAACGACAAAATCATCCACAGGAATGGCAGATGGGGCACTTCTACTACTGTTTGTTGCAACAGTTAAATCCTTAACCTCAGAGTTAGCCAATAATTCAGCTTCTTGGTGAGATTCAGCCCAAACAACACCCTTGTATTCCCTTTCCGCAACAATACCTTCATTTTGACCTGCCAAAAATCTTCTAATTCTACGAACACGGGAACCTGGTACAATAGCACAATTATAAGAACGTGCAATAGTATTAACAACATGTCTTATAAGTTGACCTGTAACGGAAGTACCTAAAGTAGCAGGAAGCTTTTCTGGAGTCAAAGCACATGCAAGTAATGCAATTACAGTTTCGACAGCGATATGACTTGCAGCAACAGCATCCGCTTTAATGTCTAATAAAGGACCAGTTGGTACGACGATACCTGCTTCATTGGTACTAGTTGGGTAGATTACCATTGAGTGGGAAACTTCAGAAGTGTAACCATCGATGTGGACACCTAATGTAATCTTGACTATATCACCTGGTTTCAGAAGACCAGTAACAGTACTGTTCAATGGGTCTTCCTCAGATGTAGTTTCTTTATTCCAATTCTTTAGATTCTTGATATCGTCAATTTCAGGACTCCAACCACCAGCTAGTTGGTCAACATCGATAGATGTTGGAATGGCAATACCTCTTTCGTTGACTTTGTTCTTGTAATATTGTTCCAATCTAGTAACGATAAAAGAATCGGTCAAAAGACATAACTCTGAAATTGTTAATGGTGTTTCAATAGTCCTGTAGTGATAGATATCATTAATTAAACCAGTGACATATTTCAAAGCTGTTTGGGTGATTTGACCTGCAGTTCTATACTTATCCACAACGGAATCCTGTAAGATATTTTTATCTTTTAGTAAAATTTGAGAATCCTCGTGAGATACAGCTAATTCCATGATAACGTTTACTTTATGCTCCTTTGATTGTAGTTATATAGGTTAATAATACTTGATACTAACTGTTTGTTATGTTTACTGTACAATAAAATATATATTTTATAAGAGCATTGATTCATATTCGATGCTCATCGCAATTTTTTTTTTGTTCTTCTTTTCTTCGAAGTCCTCAGCCGAAAATTTTTCAGCCGAAATACCGTCGCTTGGTACGAAGGACAATGAGGCAGAAAATAGTAGTTAATAAAAAGGGCAGACATATACAAAGATAAAAAGAGCTAAAAGATTGACCATAGCATTCAGAAATGCGATAGTAATGTGGTTACTACGCTACCATTTTATGTAAGATATTTGATTCAATCTTCCGTTATTTCTCAGGCTATATTAACATATCAGTACAAGCAATTTTAATAAGGTATTAAAATTGTTATATTTTCAAGATACAATGATAGATCCATTTAAATTTAAGATGAGTAGAGGGTTAACTGGTATATATATCATAAGAGACATATGAACATTTGATATACAATTCCATGGAATTAAATCATATGTATTGAATTGACGAAAGATTTTGGTCTAGTGCTGAGACGCTATAGCCTGCTTAACGAATATGCTGAAGAATTTCGGACAATATAACATTCCACCAACCCCATTCCGAAGCATTAATCATGAAACTCAATATATCTATTGTCTTTTAGTTTATGTTGCGATATGCATAGATCTGTTATATATATATAGATTTACGGTCCCTCATGAAAAGTCAGTAAAAGATTCCAAGCTATAAATCTTGCCAATGATATTTTGAATATGCTTTGAAAGTTCTATTATATCTTTAAGTGCTATCGTATATGATATATATAATACTGTTTCCTTTGAATTTTGGTTTGTTAATTGCGATGACTTCAAAAAGTTGTGTCAATTTTTATATCTTGCCCGAGTTGAGGTTCCTTAGTATTACTATTTTAGGAAAACCGGAGACACATACACTAATATTTCATTAAATTGAAGAAAGTAAAATTTGCTATCAAATTTTGCAATAATTAAAAATGTTTTATCGAATTTTAATTACCCCATATATTTGGTTTAACTTCACTAATGTTCTAGCGTATTTGTATTTTTTTCATTTATTTCTATCCCAGGTATTCGAAGAGAATATGTCACCAGCACATCACGATAAAAATATTTACAATCTTGTCGATATAGATAGTTTCAAACAAGATGCTTTGATAAACAACCTGGGAGATCGACATAAAATAAAAGAGCCTCTTAATAAACACTCCTCTTCCCCAAAAAAATGGGCAGGAAAATTGTTAAACTTTCAATTAAATTCTAAAAAATCTAAAAGTAATATATCTGCTACTCCTATCATATCTTCTCCGATTACCTCTATCACACCCATTGAATCATCTCCTATTGCATCCAAATATTCGTTTGGTTCGCCGTATACTTCTTTAGGTTGCACAACTCCCACAACTACATACCCCTCTCGTGTATCCTCACTTCCTCGTCCTATATCTCGAACATCATCTAGAAGTAATATAAATATTTCAGTTGCTAACTCAACAAACTCTAAACATTTTATACCGTTAACGGATGGAATACGAGTTGAGCAGTTGAAATCATCTAGTAGTGGCAAACGGTCGTTTTTGAATGATAATTGTACTATATGTGATGAGCCAATATCACATAGAAGCTATGGGGAGAGAGTTGTTGAATTACAATGCGGGCATTTATGTCATCAAGATTGTCTTTTGATATCATTTGAAGACATATCGACTGCGTCCACAAACATATACGAATTGTTTCCACAATGTTTGAAATGTAAAGTCGAAAAATCAATTGATATAAATTGTGTTCCCAAGGATGAAACTTTAAAAGAAAAAATCATTTCAGACGTTTTTATGACAAAAGTTGGAATTATATCTACGCCTACTACGACCTGCACTCATACCCCAATGACCTTCTCTTCTTCGTCACCATTAAATGGAAAAGAACAAACAGTAATGAGACAAATAATAAATGTTGGTTCTAATTCTGATTTTAATAGTAATAAAATTGATTCATCGCCCAAATATTTTAAACAAACCCATCAATTGTCTAGACCATTTCAATATTCTTCTAGGAATATCATTCCAACAAGTTCATATCCAAATATTAACGATCAAACAACCATAAATGATAACATAAGTTATATATCGAATTCAAAAGGTCATAATCAATCGACATTGAATACTAGTATATCCATACCTCTTCTTAGAACATATTTTTTAGATCTTATCATAAATAGATTTAACTCAGATATTTCAAAAGAGTTAATAGATTCAACATTTGGATTACTAAGGGTAGTGGATAGAATGATTATATCTGATGAAAAATCCAATTTTTCCCCGTGTTGGTGCTTTTTATTTACCAATTGTTTAATTATCGTATATACAGATCCACAACAAAACCAGAATGACGAGAATATCCTGTTAAATACAACGTTTCAAAGTATGGAAATGTTTTATCCACTTGATCATGTGGATGTTCAACCTGTTACTAACTCTGTTTTGCAATGCACGATAATAGCAAATTCTATCTCGAGGAATTTTTGTTTGGCGGAATCTACAACTAACTGTTCTTCTGAAATCTCACAAAAATGGGCATCTGCTCTACTCAATGACAACCTTGTATTCAATGAGGAAACATTTACGTCTACATTACCTCTTCCTCCGATTATCAAAAGTATGACAAACGATGGAGATGTTTTAACCACATATTCTGGTAACGGTCGAGACCAGCAGGTGACAGAATTAGGAACAATTTCACATATCAGAGGAAGTGTTGTTATACGTAGAATGTCAAATATTCCACCACAAGTATACAACAATGATACGAGAATGTCTCTATCGACCATGCAAACGTCTGTTAGTTCTATTATTTCAATAAGACATAAAAAGCCCGATAATTTAGTTATTATCTTACAAATTGATAAACAATATATTAATTGCACAGATAACTATAATACCATTTATAATAACTTAAAAGCTTTAGAGATATTGTTTCCTGCCCTCTATATATGTCTGATTGATTCTAAGATGTCTGTAATAAAACAAGGTCATATGTCCGACATATTGAAAACTCCAGATGATCTTAAAATTTCCAATCCCATTGGTATATTCAATATTGAGGTATTAAAGAAAAGTATTTTAAATATTAGTAACTCTCCGAATAAAAATTTTGGGATAGCTCTGATATCAAACACTATAATGAACAAAGAGTTTTGTATTTTATTTCAACACATTACGTTATTAAAGAAAATTGGTATACTCCGTGCAAATATCCTTAAAATTAAAGTCGGCTACCTAAATATGAGTTATGCCGATCAAATAGACGAATTGGCTGAAATCGATAACTGGACAGATATGTTAGAATTACTATGCTACACTTTTGCGATAGACTATGATAGTGATGATGATAACAGCGATATTTCAGACATTGAGGAACATTTCTCATTAACAACTTCTGGAGATAGAGACAGTATTGAATCATCAGGCGACTCTTTATTAACTTTAAATATAACAAGTTCTCTCTTCGGTACGGATAATCTCGACGTAATAGCATGATAGAAATTGTATAATTTTCCAACAAAAACTAAATTTGTAACTATCATTATAGAAATATTTGATAAAGAAAGAAATTCTTCAATTTATTTACTTTTGTTCAAAAATAAAATATATAATATTAATTAAATTTGCTGTTAAATCAAAGTGGACAAACTTTTTCGAAAAATTCTGTACGTTTGATTTTGTATATAATTAGTATGGTTATTCGATAACTACAATTGGAGTTGACCGTATTTATTGAAGTCTTTCAATTTCTTTTGAAATCAATGCTACCCATAAATCTCTCTCCTGTTCTGACCTGGTTAAGAATATTTGATGTTGCTGAAAATAATGTGTTGTTTTATTGGATAAAAAGTGGAGACTATCTAAGTTGCTTGGTTTATTATTGGTTTTTAAATATCGAAAAGGTTCTTTAGGGAATATCCGACCTATTTGATCTTTCAATACAGAGCCTTCTTCATTAATTTTAGTCATTGAATTTCTTTGGCAGCTTCCAAAATGGATTGTAAAAGATCTACTGAATTGGTCTTCTGTAGTTTTCCAACCATCATCATAAATTTTTGGTATATGATTATTATTAAACTTATGAAAATCGTTGGGTGTTTCTGTCGATAATAGGCCTCGGAAATTTGAATTTCCGCAATATATATAACTGTTTTCCAAAGATACCATTTTAGAGATTGTATATTTTAAAGTATCCTCATTATATCTACTAAATGATCTTTTTTTTGTTTTAAATAGTAACAATGTTCCCGGAATTAGTACCACTAAATATTTTTTGAATATATTATATCTACCAGTTTTCACATACAAAATTCCATGGTAAATTAAAATTGATATAACACTATTATTAGTTGAAATTAATCTAGCATTGCCAAAGTAAGACACACCACCGTTATTGGTTGATTTTGGAACGAGACTCTTGTTTGATATATCATTATCCTTATTTCTAAAGCTCGTAGCTTTCCTATTAAACTCTTTCCAATATTTCATTATTAGAGTAAGGTGTGTCATCCATTCATTTGCGACATGTTCTGAAGAGAATAAGAATTTCACATTGGATTTGCCTCGGTTCAATACAACAACAGAAGAACTTCCAAAATTATGTTGTGTATTCAACAAATTCTTCGAATATCTGGGAGTCTTTTTACTTGACTCTAAAGATTCCAAGCGCAAAGCAGTTACTGCTGTCAAATCGATGCACTGTACTGAATACAGTATGAGAGATATTTTACGGCAAAAATGATTAAAATAATTATAATCATTTTTTTCATAATCTTCCAGTTTTAATTCATTACTCAGCCAAGGAATATGATGATGTTTATTAAGTATTAAAGGATCGATTATATGAGCTGGAGGACCTTTATAACTTTTGCTGGCAATTTTTATGTTTTGTTTTATTTCTGTCAAAAAAGGTATTATTGCGCATTCTGAAGGAATTAGAAACAGTAGATTTTTTAAGACAAATAAATAACGTTTCTTAGAACGAAGTTTGGAAAGAGAGGAGGAGTCCCCTATTACTGTCTTTTTAATTTCTTGAGCAAACCCTTCTATATTATTTTCAATTGGGTAATCAAACTTTAAACCATTTTGATTATCTTTCTCGGAAGTTAATTGCTTCTTTTTTAGAAAATATTTAAAAGAATCTTTGGTATGAGATGCAAAATTCCATAATTGATTTAACTCTGTCTCAGTAAGCTTTCTGGCTACATTACCTCGAAGTTGATACAAACCTTCTTCATATTTAAGAGGGTTGAAACTTATGGACCCTACTTGGGTCATTTCCATTATTGAAACATTAATAAAACGTCTCACTGGTGTGCTCCATTCTTTATAACCTAAATTGGTTTCAAGAATTTTCTTCGTTGGATGTTTGTAACTCGACAAGTAATCGAAAGAACTATATACCCTTTTATTCTTTGGCAAACACAAAGACAACTTTTGATCAGGAAGGGTAATTACTGGTAACTGTTTGCAAGTTAAAACTAGGTTACTTGTTCTCAGAAAGGTATATAACTTTGCCAAAGATTTACCAGAGTTTGCCCTCAAAAAATATAAAAGATGACTATTTTGGGACTTCTCTGATGTTGGGTCAATGACACTTCGTTCTAGACAAATTGTATTTTCTAACCTTAATTTATTAAGTAGTCTACAATTATCATTCAATCGGAACGTAAATATTTCCTTTGTATACCTTCTATATTTTGGTAAAAATAAATAAATAAATTTTGTCTTCTTTTTAGTTTTAAAATTGATTATCAAGTTGTCATCAAAATCTGATTTATAAATTTGAATGTATAACTCATTCCATTTCCATGCTCTTAGACAACTCAGAAGAGGAACATTCGGCTGTTTTGGACTTTGCATTTTGTTTTCCTTTTTAGGTGCAATGAGAACTAACATTTTTTGGTTAAAAACCATTTCGAGCCCATTCTCTTTACCGGTTAGAAAGTGTTTTGAACATATATCTTTGGACCATTGTAATTTTCTAGGTATTGGGGGTTTTATAAATTTATGTATACCTTCTTCCTTACGATCACATTTAAGGTTCAATGATGGTAGTTGTCTACCTTCTGCCTTCTCAAAAACATCTTGAAATAAAAGACTTACTCCATTTTCTCCCCGTTCTGTGAAGTTTAGATCAAAATCAGTTGCCACAATTGAATTGGTTTTTATATTTCGAATACTTTGGGGGATTATATTTTGACAGTCAGGTATATTTAGAACTCTAGTCTTAACTTTATGTTTAAAATTGTTTCTTTTGTTATCAACTTTAAAACATTTAAGAATTTTCTTTCTTTTTTGTAGACTGTTAGTGGCATTTATTCTCTTTTTAAGGTAAGGTGCTTCTCTTTTTGAGGGATTCTTCTTTATATTTTTGAGCAAATTCTTCTGAATTTTCGTATATTCGTTCATATCGGTTTCTTCTACTAGACTCCCTAAAATATCACCTCTGTTTTTAATGTCGGTCATTTTTGTTTTGGTATCATAATTTTGACATTTATCATCTTTCATAATAACATCTCTACCGTAAAAATATTTTACTTCATTCCTGAGAGCTTGAACCATATACACATTTCGAGATATTTCATGTAGAAGTTTAGAGATTCTTTTGGGAATATTTTTCTTGGAAATTTTCCAATTTAGAGGTGTTTCGCCCAGGAAAACCACCTTTAAATATTGTGACAGTTCATCAAAAGTTAGTTCTTGGAAACTTTTAGATAGAAATGATTCCTCAGGAATATTTATTATCTTATATGTGGTAGTGTCTTTTGTTTTTTGAGATATATATTGAATATACCTTTGGTCGTCCACAATTAATCTTAATATTTTTTGTTCTAATGACATTGGATTAGTAATTAAAAAGACCTTGTTTTTCTAGAACTTGATTGCTAATTATGTGTTAACTTCAACCTTGCTTTAATAAATACAGTAAGATAATTTTTACTGCCTCAAAATAATTTGTGACATCCCATTTCGCGCCAACAAGTGTGTATTTTTTTGGGAATTATTATATCACAGAGGTAATATTGACTTCTATAATATTTTAAATAAGGTGAAGAGAATCAAGATTAATATGTATGCTATTATCAAATATGAATTTTTTGAATTTATAAATTATATAATTACCGTCTATTAAATATGTAGATATTTAGTGTAGCCAGTCCATTAATGTTCGAAATATATAAATAAAAAAGGGGAGCCCTATCCTCAATGTAGATTGATAGTTCACATGAACATCTTATTTTATTGCTCATGACTTTTGATCTGCTTTATTCTTCAATAATCATCGGCGCCAAAACCATCAATTAAGACAGGTGCAGCTAGTGTCCAATTATATAAAACATAGCATATCCATGCACTCACAATTTTAACCCAGGAATAGAAATATGTTCTACCTACAGGTATAAAATCTCCTACATCATCTTGTCCCACATTAATAGTTAATAATATAGCAATCCATTGGGTAGCTAAGAAAAATATAAAATGGAATAATGAATAATTATATTGCGTTCCTTCATATTCATCATCATCCATATCATTATCATCCCTTGAGCTATTTGGATTAGCATTCATCCATGGCGAATCATAAAGTGCACTTTCAGGTAACGAACCCTCATCAACAGCTTGTTTGATAGCTTCATAACGAAGTTGATGTCTTGATTGACCTTCTAGACCATCATAACCACCATCGTCTGGTAAATATATTTCACCATTAGAGGAAGTTCCCTGAAATGCGCTATTGGCTGCTGCTCTTGTCGTAGTATATGCCACAGCAATAAAGGTGAACACGGAACCAAGGATAATACTTGCGTTACGAGTCCCACTTGATCTTACCAATGGGTTGCAATATTTGTCATCTGGTTCTGAAGCCATAGCACTCATTGTTAAATACGTACAATATACCGACACCATGCTACTTTGCGCTAAACCGGATTTTGGATTAGCTTCTTGAATTTTTGGATGAATAGATGTTATTAAAGTTAAACATGTCAATACCAAATTAACAGTTACGGCCGTTTGATTCATCGAACAATGATTTTGGCAGAACAAAACATACATGACAATAGTCATTGCCAAAGATGCAGTATACATTGCAGATGTTCCGATCACTAAGAACTTCTTCCAAAAGGGTGAATTTTCATCGTCAATCTCCACATGGTATATGCATGTTTCTGCCCATTCATGAGCAAAGTCAACTAACAAAATTAGACCAATCAATATAAAAACTGCCCCACTTGGTACGGATACCCATTTAGAAAAGAACACATAAAAATTGTTTGGTAATAGGAATGATACCACTACAAGCATCAAGTAAATAATGAACTTGAGACTCCACCATGAATTTTGCAACTCTGATCTTTTTTCTTTAGTTGACTTCACACCTATCAGTATGCCACCCATTATTACATGGATTAACCCAAGGGCAAAGTTTAATCGGTGTACTGTAAAGAACCCACATTCACCTGTGTCCGTACAGGTCTTCCCCGGCCATAGAAATGATTTATTAGCTGACATAGAGATCCACGATATCAGCGAATTTAAAAGCAGCCAACTGGCATATATTAATCTTGTTCCTAATGAGCTAGAGCTCAGAGATGATAAGGTCTTAGATAATAGATTCGAGCAACATCCTCCAAGACAGGATGCGGCAAATGTTGTGCCCATGGTAATAGGTAAAGATATGATTGCACCCATATTTTCTATTGTTGCTATATTGCTTGGATTAGTAGAGAAATAAGTAGAACCTATAACGTCTATTTGCTTTATCTCCTTGTATAACCTATCTTTCTTTAATTATGTATTTTTTTATCATTATCAGTTTATCAAATCGCCCCGTGCAACATTTCCGGATTGTACTTTAAGTCATAAACTATTAAACCTCAGTTATATACATTTATAAATATTTCATTAGCAATAGATTGATGGTTCTTTTATATACTTTAATGCTTGCTTGTAATGCTCTTTAAAGTATGTATGAAAATATATATTACTATAAGATAATGCTCATTTGAGTAACTCCTTTAAATTTTCCCAGAAACCACCCTTGTCGTATATATTGTTTATTTCACTAGAGTCACTAATTATTGTATAGTTAGTTAATAAATACTCTGTGTGATCATATGGATTCGTGCTAAAAAATCTTGAAGGTGTAACAGTATCTTTATTACCTGTAGGTTCAATGAAATACCAACTACCATTCGAATCCCTTACAAGTTTATTGTCTCTCATGAAATTTTGAACAGTGTACCATTTATCTTGTTCATTGGTGGTCATACCTTCAGACACAATGCTTAATTCCATGTAAGTAAAAACCGCAACAATTATGGCAAATAAACCGAGTAGAATACTCATTGTTAAGGCTGCTTTAGGTAATCGGGTAATGTTTCTCAAGTACAAATGTTGTAATCTTAAGAACCCATAGCTTAGCGACAAAGTGTTGTCAATCAAAAATCCGTAAAAATATATGTAGTTACCTTTACCTATGCAATTATTGGCCCATATGCAATGATGGTCCTCTAAGAGTACACATATATTGCATATATTACAATGCTTGGAACGTGCTGGCTTGGCAATACGACAGGTTCGACAAATCGTATCAGGATAATACAAAATCCTATCGTATGGGTACTGTTTCTTAGAATTCAATTTTGAACTTAAAGAATTTTGTGGTTTAACAAATACGGTAGCAATTCCTAAATATAATACACTAATCATAAAACTTGGAATAAGTATGAAATTTTCAAAAATTGTGATGTGAGAGTAAACTATTGGGTGCAATTTCAAATAATACAACAGGACAATATAGAGATATAATGACAAATAGAAACATGGCACAATAAAAAATTTCCATTTATATAGATTATTGTTCTTGAGGAATGGGATAAAGACCTTTCCGTAGTACCATGAGAACGGCCATCTTGATTTATATCTAGGTGAGACAAGGAGAAAACATATCTGAGATATTACCACAGTAAGTAGCAAAAGCTTTACAAACATTTCCTTACATTCACAGCAAAGAAAGGGAGCTTAAGAAGGAAAACTATTAGATAATACCTCCCGTCTATAACGTATGAATATCAACTGCTTTGTAGCTAAAATATCAATCTGTTTGAGAGCAGATCAAAAAGGACAAAACTAGAGGATACGTTTCAGCCGTGTAGCGCCTCTTAAAGCTGAAAATTTTTCACGAAGAGAAACGAAGGAGAATGAAAACAACTCGTTATAAAGAGTCAAACCATGATCGTCAACAGTCGAGATGTTCAAGTGTTAACTCTGCTACATATATGATACCTGCTAAGTTGAAAAGAATATATGGTTGCTTATTGACTATCAGTTATGGAGAATTACTACTAGAAGAGCCAACCTCTGCATCTTCGTATAAGTTCGGTATATGTTTCCACTATTATGTCACACGTTGAATTAATTGATATGGTACATTAATTCTAATCTTTCAGTTTTTGAAGATGATCTGGTTCCTTATGTCTTATGTTTTTGAGCCCCCAATGTTGATTAGTAGCATCACCACCAATGTATGGATACTGTTTTGTATTTCTTTGTTCAATGGATTTAATCCCTAATTTTGCAAATATGTTACGTGGTATATATCGTAAATATTTGAAACAAAAGTAAATGTAATTTTTAATTACATCTTGATTATATATTTTCAGAAAAGGTATTTCATTCAACCCACTATTTCTTGTAGACGTTAATTATTGTGAAATATGTTCTATATTATCCACACGGATAAGATTGGGTAAACCAAGAGGTAAGCCATTGCACATAATTTTGCTGATATATCCTTTTGTGAATATTTCTGGATCACTATTTGTCTCTATCAAATTCTTCATAAGTAATAGAAAACTGTAACTACTTTTTAGAAATTAGAAATCCCTTATTTGGTATTATAAAACTGAGAACTTGCGTTATTCGAAATATCAAGTAACTGACATTAATTTGTATAATATCATTTTTGAGTCGTATCATGACGAAAAAACTTAGAAGGTAGGAGCCGAATTTACATATATATATTTGTATATAGACGATGGATTGATCATCACCAAAGTCATACCTAAAATAAATAAAATTGGCTTAAAATATGATAAAGTTAAAGTGTGAATTATCATGCATGCTTAAAGCCAGAGGAACTGTATTTTTCATAGAAATACTTGAACTTTATATATATTTTCAAAACTACATCGATACATATTTGAATGTACACTTATAAATATTATTAATAGGTGTTTGATATCAACATCGTCTTCATTTATTATAATTTACCCTTATTATTAACCTTCCTCAATTCGTATAATTCCATATATTCATCATCCATATGGCATCCACCGTGGGTCGAACGCAGCCCAACATGCGTCACCAGTTTTGTTGAATTTGGTGATGTCTGCCGGAGATGGAAAAATAAATTATTATCTTAATCATTTTTTGCATGTGAAATTATTTTAGTATTGTTGAAATGACGTTGCCATCATCGAGAAAGTTTAAGGTCCAGGCAACAACAATAACAACAACAACTGTCATTATTAGTTACGCATCACAATATCATCCCTAACGTTATTATTGACATATCATAAAATTTTAATTTTGCCATTATTATTTTTATTATCATTTCTCTCCACCAGTATAATAATAACAGACATCCCTAAAGATATAGAGAAAGCTCATCCTCATTGCTCACAAATTTCATGACTCACAAACCAGACCACAACCATCAAGGTAAAGGATTCACAGAAAATGGTTCACATATAAGTCATATACAACCACATAATGTCGAACTAGACAATCTCTTCGATCTAGATGCTGATCTTGACTTTGAGACAGCTTATCAATTGTTCAGTAATTTCGATAATTTACAAGAAAAAAGTATTGATGTATTCGCTAATGAGCAACATATTACCTCACCGCAATATCATAACCCGCCAGACAATGTATTCAGAGGTGCTACTCATCGATTACTTGCAGACCCTTTACACCAGAATCGTATTTCAACCCAATTTAATGAACATGAAACGATACCGAATTATGGCCATCATGTGAATAACGACCTAATACATGAACATAATAATGCAAATAAAGACTTATCGCATGTAGACACTACACCACACATGGTAGGAGGTGCTCTTGTTTTACAACATCAACCTAATAATCATAATATTTTAAGTCCGTCTCCTATACCTTCACCACAATTTTTCAATAATCACCCACATCTAAATCAAAATATACCGAGTCTCAGAAATGCTAGCCACTCTGCCATAGATTCAGATATGAAACATCAATATTTTCCTCAGTTACAACCTCAAAGTACAGAGGAATTATTGCAACAGATCAACGATACTCATATTCAAAGAGCAAACGATACATTATTAAGTACATTTGAATCAACAGCCATTGAGAATTTCTTAGATTCTTTAGTAAACAATCAAAAAAATATTATTCAAGAACACTCTGCAATTAAATCACCCAATGTGAAAAATGAACATCAACACAATGTAGTAGATGTTCCTCTTCAAGAAATTTCTCAAACAGAACCATTAAAGACTAAAGAAGAGCAAATTGTATCTCAATCATACGAAGAAGAATATAACTCTACTGAGGATTCGTCATATTTACAAGCACCAAATGATTATATACCACCACCATTAGAGATTCCTGAAATTACTATATCAAATGAAAAAATACCAATGAATCTTGTCGGTGATGAGAAGAAGATTAAAAAATGGAAACATGTTCAAGTAGAGAAAGCTAGGCGTGATTTTACTAAACAATCATTTGATAGTCTAACAGGAATGTTGAGTAAAGATATTGAAAGTAACACCAAGAGAGTTCCCAAATATTTGCTACTCAATGGTATCGTCGATGATATAAAAAGTTTATTAAAAGCAAATCATCAATTGGAGAAAATGTTGTACGATGAGAAATAAAAAGAAAGCAAATATGATTTTTTCTAATTTTCTATAAATAATAAAAACTAATATATATATACGCATATATGTCCTTATAGATTCATATCCTTAATTAACTGTGCAGCGATTTCTTTGTATTCCCAACTATCGCCTGATATTTTTTTCAAATGAATACCAATTAGATTCAAGAATTTAATCTTGGCAATAAAAATTTCAAACACGATTTTTTTCGATAACTCATTGACAATGAACGGGTGTTTATCATTCCACGTAATGGGTGAAGATATTGCAGTTTCCTGTTTAGAGGTTTCAGTGGTGACCTTCCCCGTAGATGCCATAACGTCAGTACTTGTAGGTGATACTGGCACCATTTGGTCTCTTTTGTGTGACGCATCTGTTATTAAACCAGGGATGAACTGATGTACTGTGTCAGTAGTAACATTCAGTAATTCTTCTTCTGATATTGTATCGAAATGTGAAGGGCTCTCCATGGATGTGCTTTCCACAGTCATGTCGTTAACCTGTGAATTGCCATTTTCTATCATATTTTGTAAAATATCAGTGTCAACGACATTCCCCAACTTGTATGCAGAACAGTGGAACCCGCCTTTAACCTCTTCGTATTGAATATTATTCTGATTAAGTGCATTAATTATTTTATATCGTACAACAGCTAGTGATTTTGATGATGTTGTTTGAACAGATAAAACACCAGTAGTAAAGAATGAGTTCGTGTATTGAATGGAAGGCATTGTATTAGGAGGTGCATCTTTGGCCATCTTAATAATAACTTTCTCCGATAATGTTTTATATTGCGAAACATTACTATTTGTTAAGTGGGGTTCCCTTGTTATCAACAATTGTCTCTCATTACCAACCGATTTAGACCGACCTTGTGGTATCTTCTTTTGATAAGTCTCAGGTGCAGTGAGTGGAACAACGTAGTCATCATCTTCATTTATTTCAAATGATTTATCGAATTCAACTTCTGGTGTTGTCTTCATTGCCGTAGTAACTTGTGGATTTATCTCTTCAATGTTATCGTTTGCAGTACCAGCACTGCGGAACCCACCAGAAAGTCTTCTTAACAATTTTTTTATTTTCTTTTTACCTTTGCTGGATTTACTTTCTCTTCTTTCAGGTTCTTTTCTAACAATAGTACTATCTTCTTGTATTACATAATCTACACTTGGATCATAATGTGTCTTTCTAGTTGGTGAAACATGAGGTTCTGACATGCGCCGTAGTTTCAATGGTAAATAACCGTATTTGTTATCTGGAACATAACCATTACCATTGTTATTAACAATATTTTGTTCACCACCACTCTGACCCGTGACTATACTTTGCCCAGTGGGTATTTTGGTTAACTTTGTATTATGTTTCATTCGTTGCATATATTCACTGGTTAGGTAATATTGTGACAACAACGGATGAAACGCTACAGTGGGCATTTCTGAATTAGTCATATGAGTCATTTCATCAGTTTCTAATATGGACCAATACACTTCTGATAATGTAACGTATTTAATGTCAGTAATGATTTCTTCTAATAAATTCTTTGTGAATTGTGCATTTTCCACTAAATTCAACCGTTCCATCTCCTGAAGGACATCCCAATCCAAAGTTTCCAATGTCAACGGAGGTCTACTTGGAATATTACATTCTATAGGTGTCATATACTGATCATTCATCCATTTATGATCTAATACTTTTTTTAAAGTTGCTCTTTTGTTTGGATCAACAACTAACATCTGTTTTAATAACGATTTCACATCCGATGTTACGAAATCTGGAAAAGTGTATTTCCCACGTTTAATCTTTTGATGTAATTTATGAGAATCAGAATCATCAAATGGTACTCTACCACATACTAGCACATAAATTATTACTCCGAAGGACCAAATATCAATTTCAGGTCCAATATATGGAGTAGCACATAATAATTCAGGTGCAGCAAAATATAACGACCCACAATAAGTTTTTAATAAAGATCTCGAATCATAAAAATTTGATAATCCAAAATCTATCATCTTTAATTCTCCTTTATTATCAATCATAATATTTTCAATCTTAAGATCTCTATGAACAATATTATTCTTGTGTAAATAGAGGAGAACACTACCAATTGCTCTCGCAAATTCCCTAGATTTCTTCTCTGTCAATAATCCATTTTGAATGATATAGTCTAACAATTGACCACCGTTAACATATTCGAATACTAAATAGTAATGGTTTGATAAAATATGCCATTCGTACAATTTACAAATATTTGGATGCCACATTAGTTGTCCAAGTACTGCCTCTCTAATGGTTCTTCTATCTCTCGCCTGTTCCTTTGCAAGGGCAGCTTCCCGTTCCTTTAATTCTTTCGTTGTTCGAGGTGAATGAACTTGTTCTTGCCTTAATAGAAACACTTTCAAAGCTCTATTAATCACCTTTACAGCAACGAGTTGTCCATCGCTCTCGTTCTGGGCCAACTTCACTTTCCCCATTGAACCTTGCCCTACTGTCTCCATGAATTTCCAATCACCGATCGAAGTTCTATGGAACCTAGCATGTCGTGTGGTTTGTGTATCTTTATAAATATAATTTTTAGGGGAACCTTCTAAGACTGCTTGTTTTGGTGGTAACTCTTGATAATCTTGCATCTCATGACCATGCTTATTTTGTTTAAATATAGCCAAAGAGGCAGGTGACTGGAATCTTGGAATAGTATCACTACCGTGGCCCTCTTCTGTACTGTCTGAAGACGGGAGTCGTTCCGGTAAACCTTCAGCTGAACGTGTAAAATAGTTAGGTATTGTAGTCATCGATATATCTGGATACTCCTATATGTATTGTTAAGGCAAACTTTGAAAGTCAGCTACGAAAAAACTGTAGTAACTAAAAGAAGGATATAATCCTTTGAAATACTTTTGAATTTCCTCCTTCATGATCTCTTTATATAGATAGATATATGTACACAGTCTCCATATCCATAAAAGAGGGACCAAATTCTGTCATAACAGCCGTGCGATGGTTCCGTCACTCCGAAAAGCTTTCAGAAATTCCGATATCTGCTGCTCGTGCCGAGTGATATTTCGGTAATTTCACCTTAAAGTAACCTTACAATTACAATGGATCATGTCGTGAATGTGTTAACATTATCATCTATATATAATATAATTACTTACTCATATACTGGATTTAACTGCTGAGTTGGGTTCTTCAGATATATCTGTCCCTGATTGACCTGGGATTGTAATTGTAGTTGTAGCTGTGGCTGCAATCTGGTCCTCTTCATTACTTTCTACATGTTTCAATTTTTTTGATGGTATATCTTTTTCAGTTTCATGCAATTCTTCTTCAACACCTTCTTCTTCAACATCTTCAACATTATCATCTGCTTCCTCTTCCTTTCCTTGGCTGTCATTGTCCCCACCATCGTCGGTTGTCTTCTGTTGTTGTTGTCTATGTACAGCCAAAATACGCTGAGCTTGCTGATATCCTAACATTTTATCCATAATAATATTTCTTAGACCAGGTAATCCAATATATTCCACCGACGCCAAAATGTCATCGGCACTACAACTACGTCTATTTTGTTCTCTTGCGATCTCTCTAGCAAATAGCAACAGATGGTTCACAAATATCGTGGCACTACGTTGCAAAGCAATGGCTGCATCCTTATTAATCACTAGACGTTTCTCGGCCTCTCCATCTGCCTGTCCATATTGTGCTACCTCTTTGGCAAGACTGGTGATCACACTACGTGGGAAGAGTAAATCCTCGATCGTGACGTTCTCTTGCTCCTTCATATATGACGTGCTTGGGTAGTTCCCTTGAGCATCCTTTCTCCATCCCTTTGGTGGCATTGTGTAATGTGTTTATGTGCTTGAGTAATATATGAGATGATATACTCTGTGGTGTACATTAATATACTTCAGTTCTCTTATTGTTATTGTTGTTTCTGCTGTTTCATATAGTTTATTTACTTCAAAATATGAAAAATTGACGCGTGAAATTTTCCAGCGGTGCTTCGTTTTTGATAGCAGACTGTGGTCGTTTTAGTATGAGGAATGATCGCTATATCAGTTGTTATGTAGAGACAGTTAAGTTATACACATACATCTTTCTTGAATTTTGATATTTAAGGTGTTATGTGGTAATAATAAGAACTACATTTTTTTTACAATGTCAGACTGTGCTTCGATTTCCCCAGTATGCTATCTTTAAACCAAGTCACAGTGTACTTCTGCTTCTACTGAAAAAAATTTTCTTAGCAAAATGTGCCCGTTGCCAGCGAATTTTTCAAAACCAATTTTTGATCAGAAATAAAAGAGAGAAGACTAAGAAGATATACATTTGCGATGAGCTTGACCATCTAGGCATATACAGTATCAAAGACATACAGCACGGAACTGCAAATATCCATGTTAAGAGCTGCGTTCACTAGATTTAGAGCCAATCTTGGCGGCATTGGTCGCAAACAAATTAATATCGATGACTATAATGTTGTCAAGGAAGGGTCTGCCAAGATTCTCTTTGAGAAGGAAGAAACTGTGTTTTACAATCCAATTCAACAGTTCAATAGGGATCTGAGTGTCACATGTATCAAGGCATGGGATAACCTATACGGATCCCGTAAGGGAAAGGGGAAGACATCTTTAAAGAAGGTTGAAGAAAATGATAACGGTGAGCCAGTTGCAAAGAGACAAAAAATCGAAAGAAAACCATATATAAAAATTCTAGAAGCATTATCTGCGACTGGTCTTCGTGCAATTAGATATGCTCATGAGATTCCTCACGTTAAAGAGATTGTAGCAAACGATTTGTTACCTGCTGCTGTGGAATCCATTGAACGTAACATTGAATATAATGGTGTCACAGATAAATGTAGAGCAAATTTAGATGATGCAAATGTATTGATGTATCGTAATAAATCAGAAAATAAAACATATAATGTTATTGACTTGGATCCATATGGTACAGTGACACCATTCGTTGATGCCGCAATGCAATCCATTGAAGATAATGGTCTTATGTTAGTAACATGTACCGATTTGTCTGTACTTGCTGGTAATGGTTACCCAGAGAAATGTTTTGCCCTGTATGGTGGTGTCAATATGGTCGGTCATGAATCTACTCACGAGAGTGCATTAAGATTGGTGTTGAACCTGTTAAGTCAAACTGCAGCCAAATATAAGAAGACTGTGGAACCATTATTAAGTTTAAGTATTGATTTTTATGTTCGTGTGTTCATTAGAGTCAAGACCGCCCCAATCGAAGTAAAAAATTTACAGTCAAAGACTATGATTACATACCATTGTTCTCAATGTGGATCCTACCATAATCAACCTTTGGGACGTATCACAGAACGTGAAGGTAAAAAGAATCCATCGAAGATTCAATTGAAATATAGTGTTGCTCAAGGCCCACCAGTAAATCGTAAATGTGAATTCTGTGGCGGAACATTCCATTTAGCAGGACCAATGTATGGTGGTCCATTACATAACCATGAATTTATCAAGGAAGTCCTGAGGATCAATCGTGAGGAACATGGTGATGAGATCTATGGGACAAGGAAACGTATTGAAGGTATGCTAACGTTAGCATCAAATGAGATCGCAGAGGCCCCATTCTATTTCAGTCCGAATCACGTGGCATCCATATTGAAATTACAGGTTCCTGCGTTGAAGACTGTAGTGGCTGGACTTGGTTCATTAGGTTATGATTGTTCTCTGACACACGCTCAACCTTCTACTTTAAAGAGTAATGCACCATGGGGTGCTATATGGTATGTCATGAGAGAATGCGATACTAATAAAGATTTAAAACAGAAATTAAGTAAGATGAAGAGTGGAACACCAGGTTATAAAATTTTAATGAATTTAGATGAATGGTTAAAGACTCAAACAATGTTTGACCAAGATAAATTATCATTTGAACAAAATGAACAAAGTGGTACAGTTGAAAAATTAAGAAAATTGAAAATTGTTAGATATCAAGAAAATCCAACTAAAAACTGGGGACCAAAGGCTAGACCTAAATAAGTATTAAAGCGGAGAGTAACAGAATATTAAATGTATTATTATTAGTTTTATTATCATTAAATATAGTATATATATGTATGTGAATATGTCTGTCAAAGACATTGTTTTTATTGGTTCATAATAAAAGAGATACCCAAATTTTTGTAATTTAGTTCTTTCAAAGGTTTATTTAATTTTCATATTTCTAGCACTTTTTCCTGCAAGTGAGGAATCTCTTATATCAATATTATGACTGCATATATATAATAATTAAGCATCAGCTAGACCAAAGCTAGTAACACTTTTGTAATAGTAGATAGGACCACACCAGAACAAAGAGACGGTGAATAGAGAGCCCCATCCCATAACACCAGTAGTGAGTCTTTTGAATTCAGAGGCAATAAATTTACCTGTTCTACCACTGTTAGCACGAGCGATAACATCAGATGAAGCGGTAGCCATGTTTCTCTTGGCTTGGAATTGTAACATTCTGGTACTTCTTAAAATTTGGTTACGTGCTAGCATTGTAGGATTATGTATATGTGTGTTTGTAAAAATAAATGGAGTTGTTATTAATTAATGAATTAAAATTATTGAGGTTGGATGTTTTACGAATTAAATCATAGAAGGCGTTGTAAGTATTAAAGACTAACAAGAACAGTTTAGTATAGCTACATTTTATTCCCATATATATATGTATATATATTTGAATATGAACATGGATATATAAGCAAACAGCACGAATAGGACTGTCGACCGAAACCTCCGGGGTGGCACAACTCTCTTAACTAACTCACTTTAAGATAAAATAAAGTACCTTTAAGAACAAACTGGTGACAGTCAATATATGTATCCACCGTAAGAGAATATAACGACGACTCACTTCCTTTATTAGTTAAGCAATAATATTTTCTCTGCCGGTTTCATCCAGCGTAAGTGGAACAAAATAAGAAGAAGAAATCTCCCCGGGACAGTCGCAGTTTTCTCGTGCGCAGCAGAGAAAACAGAGGGAGCCTGCGAACTGCGCGTGCGGCGGGCTGCCCTGCTTGTCTCGCCGGGTCTTAGGAACGCAGACGAATAGCAGGAAAGCGAAGAAGTATCAACAACATGTTTGCTATGCGTTGGTGGTTTTGTGTTTCACCAGTAGGTTTGTTTTGGGTTCAAGGTTTATTCTCTTGCTGGGACAAGGTTTTGTTTCTTTATATCTCCCGGAGGATAGTGGAATTATCGCTCAAGGTTGGAGGGAGGGGGATACTTAGACTATTTTGGTTAGTGAGTTGCGTTGATGTTGTTCTGTTGTTCTGTTGTTAGCTCGGGATATATTTGCTCTATCGAGAAGTTTTGAGCAAACCAATCTGATGTGTATCCAGGATGATCATTATCGTTATTTTCATTCTGATGACGAATTCCAATAACAATATTATTATTACCTCTACTATGCTGTCTTATTTCAAAGATATATGGTAAATATTCAATGACACCGCTTGCGGTACGTACTTGTAATATTAAATTGAATCTGTTACTTGACTTCTTAATACGTTGACTGTATAATTGTGTTGGTGTGAGGTGGGCTGCTTGAACTTCCCAGAGCGGAAACGTTGATAAATTAATTTGTGATCCATATAATGTGCCAATGAATATATGATCAACTTCTCCTTGTTGTTGTGCGGTTCTTTTATAGACCATTATACTAACGTCCTTTGATGATCCTATAACAATGGGTGAGGTGGAAGCTATATTCATTGTTGCAATATCTAATAGTTCAAATGATGTTAGATTATCCTCATGTGGGAATATAGTATGGTAATCCTTTTGAATTAAAAATGATTCGAATTTAGGGATAATAGATATGTTTATTATTTCAGTAGTAACAATTTGAGTAATTTCATTTAATATTCCATTGAATTCCTTCGAGATAAAGAAAAAATTGTCGTTATCATTAGACGAAAAACATACAAGTTTTAATCCTTCTTTAATATGTGGTACAGTGGTAGCCTCATCAAAATAATCTAAGTTTTTGTTTTTATGTTCATTATTGTTAGCATCATTGTCAGTTTTATTGACTTCTCGGACTTTATCTTCTAACCAATCTAAAAAATGTTTAATTATTCTTCTTGATCTATTATTTGTAGATATTATTTCATGTGTAGTCTTAAACATAATTTTAAATAACTCATATAATTTTGCGAGTTGTGACTCAAATTGTGTTCCATCTTCATCATCTGATATAGTATTATTATTATTATTATTATTATTGAACAATAGAGACAAAGAACCGGATATCCTCTCTAACGATATAAATACTCTTTCAAATGCATTAATAATGCCCAATTGTAATACTTCAGAACCATTTTCATACATTTTTGAAGATTTATCTCTCCACGTCTGTATATTTCTTTCTCCAATGGTATACTTTAACCAATCTGCTAAAGTCTCTTCGACCTCACCAGTAAATATCAACTGATTTAAATCGTCATATAGTTCTAATCTATCGTAAGATACGTTTGTAATCTTCTCTAAGAAATCTGTGTAAGGTTTAATTATTTTATCATGTAAGAACGTTATGTTGGTTTTTAAATATTGAATCAATTCTTGAAACTCTATAATATCATGTAGAAGAGACATATTGTTATTATTACCTAGTATCAAAGATAAATCGATTTCATGTCTATGACCTTCACTGTACCAGAATTGATAAATTCCAGAATCTTCATTTATTATTTTACAAACTTTTTGCCCTTGGCCATTATTCATGGTCTTCAATGATAGACTACCATTAAGTATGAAAGATACTTCATCATTTAATCCACTATGCATAATATGAAAATCCAGAACTTGTCGTTTATTTCCTTTTTTTTCATTGATTGGATCATTATCTATTTTCCTCCATTTCTTACTCACTAAATCAAAGGGTTCGAATTTAATAGTTTCGTTCTCCATAGAAAATTTTGTTAAGTTTGGGAAACTTTCTGATATATTCATAATTTTAATACCTTTATTGCTGGTGTTTACAAGCAATCTACTCCAATATGAACTATCTGAGTTTGTCAATCCCGTCCTCATAAACGAAATTAATTTGCCATTGTCATTAGTATCAATGAGTCGAATTGATCCATCATTGAACATTATCGAAAGATATCGCCCCAGGATAGTGTCCCAATGACACCCAACCAATTGAGTCCAGTCTCTAATATATGTCGATGAAATCTGTTGATCATCTGATCGTCTTTTAACTATGATGCTCTTGCCCTGCCGAGTTAAATACAAATCTTGTTCAGGGTCCTCGATCCGGTAGAATTCTTCCTCACTCATTTCAAATTTTGAACCGTCACTTTACATACAGAGGGTTACAGATATCAAGTTATTTGAATCCTACGATTGTTATAGATATGTGACGATAATCTCTATTTTCAGGAGGGACGTATACTATAGAGTTTGTTGTTGCTCGTCCCTACACTTTCATATATGAAACAAAAAAAAAACGTGTGAGAGAAGCATCGCAAAAGTTAGTCGACATTGTTCTATTATTTGAACAATACAGTTTCACAGAAGAACAGTAATTGAATAGTAAATTATTTGGGTTCGCATTGGAGTTTGATAAACTTCGTAATAACTGAAACTGTAATATTTCAATATTCATCAAATATTGCCATAAACATACAATGTTTAAGAAGGAACCACGTGTAAAAGCATTGAGTAATCTAAAGAACTCAGATCGCAAGAAACTATTAAAAACATTGCAAACTCAATTAAAAGTTGAAAATGTTCAGATTCCATCAGACTCTGAAATTAAACAGACAAATTTTACCACTCAAAACTCCATGGGAACTATCTATACTAATGATCAAAACACTCCTATTTTAGTTAAAGCCAAGAATCATGACACATTATATCCAACAGTTTTCACTTGTTGGTCAAACCCTGAGTTATTACCATTAATTAAAACACATGATTTAGTAATTCCACATCTTTATAACGGTGCAAACTTAATGGTTGCAGGTACATTGCCACCATTTGATAGTAGATTGACATCTGGTACCGTGTGCGGTGTTGTTAATTATACAAACCCCAGCGTTGTTATTGCTATTGGTGTGGTTGATATGGATCTAAGTCATTGTGATAATGTGGTTGGAAAAAAAGGTATTGCTGTGGAGATTATTCATCATTTGGAAGATTGCTTATTTCCCACTTTTAAGGTGAAACTGGAGATGCCTATCAATGATAGTATAGCAGACACTGAGGAGGATGAAGAAAAAGAAGAAGTTAAAGAGACAGCTGTGTTGAAGAAAGAAACAACACCTACACCAGAAACTTCAATAGATGAACTAGCTACTGTATTAGATAAACTTAGTGTAGAAGATGTGGATCATTTTATCACAAGGGCACTTTATTACACTATTGTAGTAGATGATAAAGTTGAATTACCAATGAATGCATCTAATTTCATTTCTAATCATATTATGCATAACCTTCCTGATGTGGACCATAATGAAGTCAATATTAAAAAATCATCATGGAAGAAAACAGTTAAATTTTTGAAACATTTTGAGAAACTTGGTTTTTTGAAATTGAAAGGTAAAGATGACAGTCTTGTAGTAACATCCTTAAACAAAGATAAAGATGAATTAAAATATTTCTCTAGTTACAAGATTGGTAGTGGTAAAAAACAAAACCCAGTTGCTAATTCTGCTGGACAAAATGGTGAAAAATTAGACGGTAAAGGTGATCTGATTTTGTCTACTATATATAAGCCTGTAAACCTAGGGAAGACTCTGATGACTATAGATGATACTCCATTAAAAAGATACTACTTATCGACTGAAGTAAGAGATGCAATACAGAATTATATCAAATTTAAAAATCTTGTAGATAACAAGAACAAAAAAATGATATTATTAGATGATTTATTATTTAATATGGTAAACATAAAGAAATCGCAAGCAGCTGTCGCTCCCCGTACTGTACCACGTTATGATGTCCTTGCTCCAATTTTGAAGAATAATTTTGGAGAGTTCTTTCAACTATACAAGAATGGTGGAACAACCCCTATCTTTAAAGAACCATTGAAAGGAGCCATGCCTCATGTAAAGATTGTTACCGAAATGAAGATTGGTCGTAAGATTATCACAAGGGTATCTAATTTCGAAATATTTCAAATTACACCTGAAGCGCTTGCTGCTGATCTAAGAAAGATATGTAGTGGATCTACGACTATTGGTGAATCTCTTACTTCAAAGAAGACAGCTGAAGTTCAAGTGCAAGGTCCTCATGGCAACTTGATCATTGATCATTTGAACAAGTTAGGTGTTCCTGGTAAATGGATCGATTTCGAGAACAAAGTCAAGAATAAAAAGAAACGTTAAAATCGTGTAAAAGTTTATATAATTACATAGATCTCTCTCACTGCAGACACTAATATTACCTTTGGACGATGTTACTTTCTCATTATTTCACTGTATACAATTGCAATAAACGTTTGTCATATTGTAAAGGGTTTCTCGACCAACAGCGTCAAAATGAAAAAAANNNAAAAAAAAAAAAAAAAAAAAAAAGAAAGTGAAACCGAAAGACCAACAAATGTTAGAAGTGAAAATATAAATGTAATAGAGATATATACAATATAATACATATCTAAAGGGAACTTACGAGATATAACAAGAGAGTTAATCAGAGTGAACACTACTGTAAATATATGTACACTATGATCAGCTCGTTTTCGGTACGTCCAGTGCTCCATGGATTGAAACAAACCCAGAGGTATATTTCTACCAGTTATACTTTATTAGCAGAAGAAGCCAGTGAATCTAATGGTGATAGTATAGTGACATTAGCCACACCAGTAAAGGTGTTGACAAAAGAACAACTTAAGAAAAAAGAATTACGTAAATTTCTAAAGAGTAAAGCGGATGCTAGAAAGTCAGCTTCAGACTATCCTTTATATATGGATATCCCTAGTGCATTGAGATATTTAAGAGCAGCAGAAGTAGGACAACCTTTTTCGCAACGTACTGTCTCGTTAACGACAATAATTGTCGGGGAGAAAGGTGTCCCTCCATTATATGGTAATATCAGTTTCCCAACTCCTTTGAGAAAGAGTAAAGTTGCTGTGTTTAGTAATGATGTTGAAAAACTAGAAGAATTAAAGAAAAAATATGATTTACATTTAGCAGGTGGTGTTGAATTAATAGCAGGTATTAAAGATGGTAATATAAAAATTGATTTTGATAAAGCATTTGCAACACCAGATATTATTAGTACGTTAACTGCTCAACTAGGTCGTGTATTGGGTCCCAAAGGTGTATTACCAAACGTCAAGAAAGGTACAGTCTCTGACGATCTTTTAACTTTGATTAGCGAAAATTTGGGCACAATGCCATTTAGAGAACGTAACAAATCTATTAGCATTGGTATCGGTAAGACAAATTTTAGTGATGAACAAATCATTCAAAACATTATTGCAGCAAGAAAGGCCATCAAAGAATCTATTACTACTCAAAAGGCTAAGAAGCAAAGTATGTTGAGTAAAACTACGTTGACTAGTTCGCATGGTCCTGGTTTGGTTATCGATTTCAACTAGTCTTAATATTTTCATTTTCTTTTCTTAAAGAAATTATTATGACTATACTTTCATATTTTTTTTATTACTTCTCACATGTACATACAAACAGCCAGAAAACCAGCAATATATATATCACTGTATATAATTATATGTATCCAGATATCGATTTTATTCATTCATAAAGTTTTAATCAAAGGCAGTCATCTAATGATATGTAAATGTTTATGATTATAGAATATACAATGGTTCTTGTTTTATATTTAATTAATTATTTTTTTTTATTTACAGTTATGTACAAAAGCTGCTAAACTAAAACGAAAAAGAAAGATGTAACATTTATTAATGCGTTAAATACCATCTTCCTTTATCTCTTCTGTTCTTTAAAATCTTTGATTTCAGTTTATCTTTAGCTCTAGCAAAAAAACCAAATTTTCTCTTTCTCTTTAATGTACTAGGTTGATAAGTATTACCCCTACTTTTAAATCTACGTTGTGAAAGCATCCCTAGAGGGTTCCATGTAGGGTGAAGTGTCTGTACACCTTGTAGACCACTATTTAATAGACCGGATCCAGTGGTGGTAAATGTCAATATGCTATTTAATCCATTATTTTTTGTAACAATTGTTCTTTGAATATTCATCGCTGAGGAGCTCCTGCTAAAGGAGTCACGCAGTATTGAACCACTGGCATATTTGAAGAACGACGACCACATCACAATGTGTATATATGTATGTATAATCTGTCTGACAATAGCAATAGCACGTCAGTGAATGTATTGCTTCTTTGTTTCAATAATTTGTAATCCCAAATGTCAAAACTCTCTTCAAATAAGTGAAGTTAATTGTCTTTTGGAAGATTTAGTTGCCATAATTTTTCTTTTCTTGAGAGAGCACTGGAAAGACCGACAGAAAACGCGACGGGGACACATGCGCTGTAAGTTTATCTTCCCTTGCCATACTTTTTTGTATTCACAATAAATAAATCAATAAATAAACAACCTGGATGATCGGTAGATATATAAACAAGTGGCACTAGTGAAGGATATCCACATATACTACCACAACAGAACTAAGAAGGTATTGGAGGAAATATGAGTACGAACGTGAACGTGAACAAGGAGAACGATGTGGGCCCTAGGACACCAAAGACGTTAATGAAGAAACAGATATACAACAACAACATTACTAATAACAAAGTGGGAAGATCCCAAGCTGCCAGAGTCAAGAGACTACCTCTTGCATCAAAGGACAGTAATCGTCACGGAATGGGGCCGGTGTCAGCGAAGGATAAAACTGGACTAACACGTAATGCATCGATACATTTCAAGAAATATGGATCTATTCTTTACCCTGAAACGACTAGTAATAATAACAATTCGAATGATAAAAGCTCGTTACCTAGAGTGAAAAGCTTAGTGTTGAAGGACATAGACGTTGGTGTTAATGATGATGATAGTACCAGTAGTGAGGATAATGAAGATATAGAGAGATCATTGAGAAATGGTAACTCTTTGCATAAAGGATTATTTTCTCAAGGAGGATTGAGTAGTTTATTAGAAGATAAAGGACAAGATCAGGAGATAGAACTTGGGCCTATATATGAAAAGGAATTGGAATATATACCTGATGGCATAGAGCCTTTACAATTGGCAGAGCTGCAGAAATTGAATGAAATATACATTCCGCCAATGTATTTACCTCTAGATGAAGAAGATAATGAGAGTGATAACAACAGTCACGATGGTCCAATGCTTATGAAATTACAATCCATAGTAGACGATAACGATGACAACGATGATGTTGATAACATTGATGAATTACCAGATCGTCATATAACTATACACCATCGTAACCTGAGCCCCGCCAACGACACATCGATCCTTTTACAGGATATCGACAGCATATACCATGGCAACGGCCTAGACTCAGACGACCTGGCCGACTTGCTCAGTTAGTACTAGAACACCAGGCACACATTTATTCCCTCGCTCTGAAAGTATCACGACCATTCCTTCATGCACTACAGACAGGTATTTACAAATGAACAATCACACACATACACACACATAAAATTTGCTCGCAAATCCGTTTATTCTGAGCTACCTGACCCCATGTCCATGTCATGGATCTTTCATCTTCTTCTTATGCAGTCATCGTAGCTAATCTGTGAAAGAAAAACGGAGCCAACGCTCAACGCTCAACGGCTGTTCCAGTGATTTGCTCGTACAAAATATGCTATTATATAATCCGCTCACTGAAACTGAAATTGTTTCTGCTATTAGTCAAACACACACAGAGACAAAGAGACGAAAGACAAAGTGATGGAAGACAGAGACCACAGAATAATAATAAAACTGAATTAAACAATTGTTCTTCCACAGATCCTAGTATCTTCTTTTTTCTTTCACTTTCTGTTAAGTTCAGGGTTTGTTATCGTTGTATATATATATGTATATATATAAGTAGAGTTACACAGACTTTGATATCACAACGTAAATCAGGTCCCAGTCTTTAATAGTATTATTGCATATTAATCTTCTTTTTAAGGCGAACAATTACAAACATAAGAATCTTCATATATATATATATATATCCCTGTTAATATAATGACAAAACTGGATTTAAATTTTGAACCTGCTCCTCAACTAGATCTAAAGGACTTGAATGAACATGTTCTGAAGGCAGAGTATGCCATTAGAGGTGCTATTCCAACAAGAGCCGAACAAATTCAAGACCAAATTAATTTGGACCCTGAATCCGTTCCATTCGATAAGATTACAACAGCTAATATAGGTAATCCACAACAACTACAACAGAAACCATTGACTTACTCCAGACAAGTTGTTTCTGTCTTACAATACCCTGAACTATTGCAACATCGTGATATGTTAGTGAAATCCGGTGCATTCAAGGTTGATGCTCTAAATCGTGCTGAAGTGTTACTAGGTAAGATCGGTGGATCTGTGGGTGCTTATTCTAGTTCTCAAGGTGTACGTGGGATTAGAGATACTGTCACTGAGTACATTACACGTAGGGATGATGGAGAACCTGCGTCTGCTCACGATATCTTCATGACTGATGGTGCCACTAGAGCTGTAACATATTTATTGTCATTGTTATGTAGAGGTCCTCAATACGGTGTTCTGATTCCAATTCCTCAATATCCTGTGTATACTGCATCGTTGACTCTTTATAATACTTCTGCTATTCCATATTATTTAGATGAAAAATCAGGTTGGTCGACAGATGCTGAAGAAATTGAAACACAAATTAAGAAAACTATTGATAATGGGATTAAACCTACTGTTATTGTTGTGATTAACCCGGGGAATCCAACAGGTTCTGTTTTGAAACCAGAAGTTATGGAAGACATTGTGACATTGGCTGCTAAATATGGTCTTGTAATTTTAGCTGATGAAGTTTATCAAGAAAACGTTTTCTCAGAAGAAAGAAAATTCTATTCTTTTAAGAGAGTATTAAGGTCTTTACAACGTCGTCATAAAACTATATATGATAATGTTCAATTGGCCTCCATTCATTCTACTTCAAAGGGTGTGTTTGGTGAATGTGGTCAAAGAGGTGGTTATTTGGAATTAATTGGGTTCAAAGATGTTGTCAGAGAAGAAATCTTGAAACTTGCTTCTTTATCAATATGTGCTGTGATTACTGGTCAAGCAATGGTGGATTTAATGGTGGCTCCACCTTTAGAAGGAGAAGCTTCATATGAGATGGATAAATCTGAAAGATTGGCTATACATAACACGTTGAAACAAAGAGGTGAATTGTTATTCAAAACATTCCAAGAATTGGAAGGTATAGAATGTCAAAAGCCTCAAGGTGCAATGTACTTGTTCCCAAGATTATATTTCTCACAAAAGGTTTATGATGCTGCTAAGAAAGCTGATTTACAACCTGATGAATTTTATTGTCATGCTTTACTTGAATCGACAGGTATATGTGTCGTCCCAGGAACAGGTTTCGGTCAAGAAGAAGGTACATGGCATTTAAGAACTACGTTTTTGGCTCCTGGTACTGAATGGATCCAAAAATGGAAATCATTCCACCAAGATTTTTGTAAGAAATACGCCAAGTAAATATATAAAATAGCATGTTGATTATAGTTATTTAATTGTAAAATTTTATAATTAATTACCTTCAATGTTGTTGTTTTCTCTTTTATTATTTATCGCATATGTACAGACGTCATATTTCCATGGAGACTCCTTCTGATTTAATTTCATTCTTTTTAGATCGTTTCTTCTCTGGGATGGTACTGTTCTGTGTACTAGTTCGTTTGTTACTTAAAATAGGTGTTTGTACCATTGTGGTGTCACCACTTATATTGGTATCACCGTTCTCTATTTCGTTTTCATTCTCAATTGTGTTGATAGGTATCATTCCGGTTAAAGTCTCAGGGTCCTGTTCCATCTCTGTCGGTTCTTCTTCTTGAGGTGCTTCATCCTCACTTTCCTCCATGTCCAGTAATTTCTCGTCAGATACCTCGATGTAAATAAGACCCTCACCTGCTTTGACCACAGACTGTGATTCAGAATCCTCAAGAATTTGTTCCACTTTATCCTTGAATTTTTGGCCAATTTCATGAATTTCACTACATATAATATCACTTGGTGTAGCACCGGCACGATCACTAAATGATCTATTATGTTCCATTACACCATACTTCAAACACATATTCCAATCCTTTAAACATTCTGCCTCATGGAAGTTCAATCTACGTTTGAATTGTCTGACGCCAGCAGAATGAAATCCCTTCATTCTTTTCGTCCCTAGACCAATTTTCATTTGAAACTTAGAAGCAATCTTTTCACAGATATCAAACATATCATTCTCAGGGATAGAGGTTGTCTCGATAAATATAGGTTGTCTCATTAGGGACAGTAAGAACCCACTCATCACAGATACAATCTTATTAAATTTCAATCCTTTCACTGGATACGCCCATACAAATCTTGAGTGGTAATCTCTTGCATACAGAATATGACTATATTTTCCTTCTATCTTTTGATCTTTGAATGGTTCCACAAGTTCAATATGAATCCTTTCCAATGGCATTAAGGTCTTGTAAATATTTCTATGCTTAAACTTCTCTAGTCGCTGAATTTTTTGCTCAGGATTACAAATTGAACAGTATTGTATTGCTTTATTTACTAGGTCCCTTGTGATATTAGAATAGAAATCAGCCAAGCTTTGAAACACACCGTTGTACGTACCATGGTCGTTCATGAAATGGCATCCCATAATCATATCAAAGACAAACACAGGTTCACATACAACTCTATCATTTCTCAAATGGTCATGAATTAAACCGTTGTAATCTAAATAGTATCTTCTTTTCAAAAAGATGAATTTTGGTTCGGCTGCCAATCTAGTCAATTTGGGGTTCAATGCAGCAATTGTAACTGGGGTTAAATCATTGGTTCTGATTAACTCATATGTCTCTTCATTTAGATGACCATTAAGATTACATTGATAATTCATAATTTCTCTTTCACCTCTTCTCAATAATTCCTCATTTAATCTTTCCGTTATGTATTTCGTACATTTATAACCCATGAGTGGTACTCTGTACGTACCTTTGGCAGAGAATGGTTCAATAACAATATCACCTGTTTGATTACGGATAACACGTTCGGTTTCCATATTTGTTGTCTTTAAACTGAATGTTTCTGCATCGGTTGGTTTTGGGTTACCAGCATCTTGAGAATTATCTATGGTATCATCTTTTGTTTTATCTTTAGATTTTGATGAATCTGTCATATTTTTGAAGTTTTATATGATATATTAAGTCCCTAAAATTATAACAATCTTGGCTTAAAATTAATTTATATATATTTATATATATGTGTTGTTATCTGTTTAGAATTCGAAGTTGATTCATCTCATTCCCTTTTAAGTATAATGCAATCTTAAGCTTCGCCTGAAAAATTTTCGGCTCTTACCAATCGCTTCTTAAATGACTTAGTACTTAAACCTGAAAATGTTGATATGAATCAAACCTACATAAACAAAATAACATCTAATCCAACCGTGGTTTCTTCCTTAGATTGTAGTGGGGATGTAACCAGAACAGGAATTGTTTATTAATGTTATTTAATGAGTAGTTTTATATATGTATATATTCATTTATTGTTGTTTCTTCTCATCTTCTACAGAAGTCACTTGGGAACTTTTAATGGTGGACATAGCGATAAGTAACCAAGCTGGGAACCAACCTATACATATTAAGAACCAAGTCCAACAACTTAAATCATTCCATGCCAAAATTAAATCATAGAAGACATCTAAATATTTTAAGTCGGAATCAATTACGTTGGAAACTATTAAAATGGCGAAAAATGGGTTGGATAAAGTCAAGTATAACATATTTTTGATTGCGATTGACATATTCGCAATATATCTTGATTGTTGTGTCTGTACCAATGTCATGGGGAATGAAAGAATACCCATCATAAATGCTAAGGGAAAATTGATGACTAGCAAAGATGTCAATACTAAACTCATGTATAGATATCCAAAAACTCTGATTCTATAGGTTAATGGTTCCTTAAAAAAGGATACGGGTTTTCTGATGAAATACGGTACTATTGTCAGTAATATGTTGAGTCCGATTAATAATCCTGGATTTGGCGCATATATAAATAATTGCGACAAGAAATATGAAGAGGCTAACGTAATCGATAATATCATTAATGATAGTAAACTCTCTTTGTTAAAAAACATAGGGGGACCAAATGGAGTATTTACAAGTGCATCTAAGGAAAACGTTGCATATACAACAGATATTATCACTGCACTTGGTAAGTAACTACTGATAGAAACAAAATTTCTTGGTGCTAGTATTAAATAGAAGAAGAAAGATTGATGAAACTTCTCCAGTAGGTTATTCACAGCTCTAAATATACCCTCTGAAACACGGCCAAATGAAGTTATGTCGATATTACCTTCAGTACCACATGCCTTCAACGTAACTGCTTGAATTCTCCAGCCACTAAAGGCCTCATTGCCGTGTACTCTCTTGACACCAGCGAATGTAGAGTCTCTAATGCCTAGTAACATCGTCTTTAATCTTGGAAAATATCCATCGTCATCAATTGTATCCTTAGGTTGGCCATTTAACGATACTTTCATCCCTTCGTGTTGAGTAATTTTAATTGCAACATTTAGAAGATCTAAATTTGGAAGTTCACCATTTAGGCCATCGTAATATATCTCAACGTAATCCAAGAAATCACTATCGCTTGCATAGTCGATATTAATTGCTGCTTCAATAGAGCCACCAGTTAAATCCAAAGAGGTGTGGTACGCTTCCACCCATGCTCTCAAAGAATCTCGTGGATTTTCGCTGAAAACGATAATCAAGTTCTTCGACCACACAGGCCAACGTGAAAAATATCTTAGTAATCCAATACCGAGAGCAGCACCTCCTACATTAAATTCATCATCACCATTGTACCAAGGTATGGATAGAACGATAGCCTCAGTACCATCACCCCTTGGTGTGTGCAATATACCATATAATGTATCCTGGTGTTCCTCATTATGGTATATACTAGTCTTAATACCAAAATCCTGTAGCCACGATTCGACCTCCAGGTTTCTTTCTTTTGCTGTAGCATTATTCTTGACAAACTCTTCAATTTGAGAACGATATCCTCTTACAATGTTCCATTCCGATTCCCTGAAGTAACTATATGCTTGAGATGGCATTAAAGCATTTTCTGAGATATATGTTCTTCTGTATTGACCATCCATTGGGATTATAGCTATCATGATTAAACTTATAAGCATCAGTAATTTTGCAACCTGTGGGAGTTGTTTCAAAAACTTCGGAACTAGTCCCAAAACAATGACCTTCCTATGAAGATTTGTTAATAGGCCCATGTTTTTCCTTTACGTGTTAAACTTACTATAGGTATAGATTTTGTATAGAAGGACCGAATCAACAATTTAATCTAGCTTGCAGAGCTATATAATAGATATGATTACAAAAACAACTTATAGTTGCAAGCGGGTCCCTTTAACAGTGTAATTTCAAACGTGTTGCTCTTTGTTGGTTGTTTGTTATTCGTTATTCGTTGTGATGCGAGCTGTGAGCAGTTTGTTGTTCATCGAGGTTTCGCGCGAGTGAAGGAATTGGTCTTTATCACATTTAAAGAGATTAATATATAAAGCATATAGAAAGTAACGGTTAGGATTATAATAAAATCTTAAAAGTTTCTAAGATGTTGTCGTTGAGAATGAAAGGGGTATCCATGGAAGCATTATATTAAGTATAGCCTTGTTTCCGTTTAAAGAAAATATTAGTGTTTGGTCTGTGTGTAAATGAGTAATACCTCCAATACAAAGGGACCATTTTATATTGGTGTAGATGTGGGTACAGGTTCAGTAAGAGCATGTCTCATTAACAATACTGGTAAAATCTTAAGTCTTTGTGAAGATGGTATTGAGAAACAAGAATTGATACAGGAACATATCACTCAATCTTCTACAGAAATTTGGAACAAAATATGTTTTTGCGTTAGAGATATCCTCAAACAATCATTAGTGGATATTTCTAAAGTGAAAGGTATAGGCTTTGATGCCACCTGTTCTTTGGTAGTTGTAGATAAAACTACACATGAACCAATTGCAGTTGGTCCTAATTTTCTCAACTCAGATCAAAATATCATATTATGGATGGATCATCGTGCTCCTAAACAAACAGATTTTATCAATAAAACTGGCCATAAATGTCTAAAGTATGTAGGTGGTAAAATGTCGATTGAAATGGAGATTCCAAAAATCAAATGGCTTAAGGATAACTTACCCACTGGAACTTTCGAAAGATGCAAATTCTATGATTTATCTGATTTTTTGACTTTTAAAGCTACTGGTAACCAAGCAAAATCATTATGTGCTGCTGCTTGTAAGCAAGGTTTTTTGCCATATGGAGTGGAAGGATCTATTACAGGTTGGTCTCCTGAATTTTTGATGAAAATTGGTCTAGAAGAATTAGTAGAAAATGATTTTGCTAAACTAGGTGGACCACTTACTAGTGAGGAATCTAACAGAGGAAAATCGAGATATCTTTCTGCAGGTAATTATATTGCAGGGCTCTGTAACTCCTCATCAATTCAATTAGGTCTTACAACAGAGTGTATCGTAGGATCTGGTATTATTGATGCATATGCAGGTTGGGTTGGAACAGTTGCAGCAGTGTCAGAATTGGATCAAGACATGAATACTAATCTTTCTGAAACAAAATCAGTGGATGACGCTATTGGAAGGTTGGCAGTTGTTGCTGGTACTTCGACATGTCATATTACTTTATCAAGGAAACCTTATTTTGCTGAAGGTGTATGGGGTCCATATAAAGATATTCTAATCAAGAATTTTTGGTGCGCAGAAGGTGGTCAAAGTTGTACAGGTGAGTTGCTTGCACATATATTGAGTTCTCACCCAGCTTATGGGGAATTGAAGAAACTTGCTAAAGATTCTAGAGTTTCAGTTTACGACTATCTAAACACACTTCTGGCAGATATGGTTAATGAAAGGGGAGAACGTTCCATATTAGCATTAGGAAAACATATATTTTTTTACGGTGATTTGCATGGCAATAGGTCACCATTAGCAGATGCAACAATGACTGGTTCAATAATTGGATTAACAATGGATACTACGATAAATGATCTGGCTTTGAAATATTTGGTTACATGTGAATTCATCTCTCAACAAACGAGACATATCATAGAAAAAATGACTAGTTCAGGACACCACATAAAAGCCTTATACATGTCTGGTGGCCAATGTCGAAACAGTCTACTGATGGATCTCTTAACTAATGCAACTGGTTATCCCGTGGTAATTCCACGATATATCGATTCAGCAGTAGTATTTGGTGCAGCATTGTTGGGAGCCTCCGCAAGCAACACTTATGAACAAAATAATAATGCAGAAAGTGGTGATATTTTATGGGATACCATGAGATCAATGACAAAATCTAGTAAGGTTATTAAACCAGCCAAGAATGGTAGTGCTGATAGACTATTGTTAGAGGTAAAATATAAGATTTATCTGAGAATGGCGCAAGAACAAAAGGATTATCGAACTATGGTTGACACCCTCGAAGAACATCATATGTAATTTATTTACACATATTATGAACAATCACGCATTAGGTACAATATTTATAGTCTAATTTGATTCATCTAATCAGTTATTATATTAGAGATGTGTATGCATATATAATGGTGTGAGGTATTTTTCATTTAATGAGGAATTTTAAATGCAATAATTGGTCTGTTAGTCTATTTCTCGGTCGTACTATTCAATGGGTAGTTTCTTCATTTGTATTTTTCTCCCGGTTAGATAGCTGATCTCTTAGTTTATATAAAATTAAATTCTTCCTGGTGGCTAAGGAAAGATCGTTGTAATCATCTTCAATGTCATTCAAACACCAAGCGACTTGTCTCCATTGTTTCTTATCTGCCCATTTTTTTGCTGCAAGAAGTCTGAAGAACGCAGCTTTACGTTTTCTTGTTAGACCTTGGGCGACTAAATCATAATTTGACGTCTCAGATGTACTATTTACTTGATTGTTGGGCTGCATGGTAAGTTCATTTTCAAAAATTTCGTGTTTCTGTAGTTTCAATTTTGCCTTTCTACTATTGTCATTTTCAACCTTGTGGCGAATTCTAGGGTCCAATCGTAGGCTGTAACAGTCGCTCAGTCTCTCCCATATCATTATTTGTGAGCAAGGACCTAATTTACATTCACTTAAAATCAGTTCTAGGTATTCAATTGCGTACGGTGTCGAAGTCCAAGTATCACTTAGTGACAAAAATAATTCTGCAGCTAAAATCATACATCTAGTTTCGTAAGAACGGAAAGGTTCAGTAGATGAGCTTCCATCTTCTCTCTTTTGGGCTCTCATTGATGACATATCATATGTATCCAATGCATTATCCAACAAAGGTACTATATCATTCTTAATCATTTTAACAGTAACGATACTTTGGGCACCCATCAATAATGTTATAGCTTCCCATTCCAGGCAGGTCGCCATATATTTTGGATACTCTTCTAGTTCGTGACTTAATGATTCGTATGTAGTATATGCATTCTTAAAATTGGATGTCATCATAGACCAATCAGCTAATTTCCTTAGGAGGAATTCAGTCGATGAGGAAGCAAAATATAGATTACCATTAGCATCTTTTACTAAGGTACTACTTTGCTGGTGAGTATTCTTGGAGATAAATTTTTTCATCCATTTTGAACCATGGAATAAAGACCTCCTTGGTTGCATTACACTATCTTCCCAGAAAGAAATTTTTCTGTGCATAAAGGGTAATAATAGGTCATGAACTAATTCATCTAATATATCATACACGGAATGTACTAATTTTAATGGTAATTTTGTATCCTCTTCTATTTGCGTAAAGTAAATCATTTCATCCAAAGAAGACATGATCGGCTGGTGTAACTTTACCTGCAGAGTTCCTTCAATTTGTGTCATCCATAATGGGAGTGTTATCGTTTCAACAAATAATTGTTTTTTGAATTGTTTTGTCAGTGAACTACACAACTCAATCTGTTCTATGGAAGTCGGATCGTAGCAAAGTAAAAATACAGGCAAAATATCATTAGTGTTTATAAAAGCTGGAAAGTTTTCGATGTTTCTATTCAAGTTTTTGAAGCTTATCAAAAGATCTCTACCGTCTTCATATGTTTGACCTTTAGATATGTCTAACGCGATTAGAGAAACTATTGGGTGGTTAAATGATTCATATGGGGATAAAGATGTTGTTGATGATATTGCTAAAGAAAAAAATGTATGGTACAATGATTTTTTCAATAATTGATCGGGTGTCTCATCAGTGGTATGTTTCTCTATCATCTTTAAATAATTCTCTAAGAATACTTCAAGTGAATGATAATCAAATAGCATATCGTTTGTTTCCCTTGTATTCAATAAATCAGCTAAAGGTTTTGTGAATCTTATATATTGAGATTGTGTAGCATCTCTTTGAAAAAGACTGTTAGATCTACTTCTGTTTCTTCTTCTATTATTGTTTTTTGTAACGTTCAAAGTCGAGGTACTCTTTTGAGTATCTATTTCAATATTCGTCTGTTGATTTTTAATTGAATCTTCTTCTGTCTTAATAATTGTAGAATGATCAGAAGTGTTTTCCTCATTCGATGTTGCATCGGTGTTAGTATATTCATTTACTTGGTCTCTATCAGATACACAACCACCAAAGAATCTTAGCATCATATATAAAGAATCAATGTTATATGTTTCGCTTATATGTTCATCAAGTATGGGTGTGGATGTTACGGTTATCACAGGTGATATGGCATGTAATAAAATTCTTCTCGATATCTCTGGTATGACATTTTCGTTGCAGTAGTCTAAATGAAACAATAAGTTCATATAATGCTCATATGTAAAATTCTTCATAATTCGGCGGAGGTTTTTCTTTCTATTAGCATTTGAAAGTTGCTGACAAGTATGGTTTGCTATTGGAAATATCTAACGTAACCTAGTGAAACGATGGTATTATTATTTAAATCAGTCTATCTCCAAAGAAAAAGTTCAACTATAAGTTTGCTATTGTGATGACAGAATTGCTTGGTAAGGTAATTCTAACTTTTGCTTGATGGATTGATTGAGATATTTTTTAATAGCTATCCTTTCGTTGAAGTCGATGATTGAATAAAATATTGATATTGATTGCGCTGTTATTGTCGTTGATGTTATTTGTTTTTGAAGTTCGCACTGTAATTAAAGTAGAGCGCCTTTTAATAGGAAGAATTATCGAGAGAGGACTCATCTAGATAAATCTGGAGACTCGATAACTAAGACCAATATGTGAATTACCAAGTAATTCATTAAAAAAAACAGTTGGTTAATAAATAGTATCATTAAGCGAGGTGTGCATGGTACTAATTGATATTGAAGTAGACTATCATCTTGTTTTGACATATCATTTTCTATTATAAGTGAAACCAAACCATTATTTCGGATTTAAGGAACACGCTATTAAAATAGAGGTTGACCAAAAGAAGTCATTTGATAATATAAGAGAGTCGAGGTAGTATATCAATTATTGGTACATATTGTTTAGGAAAGACTACAGGAAATATAACAATCCAGAGTTAAGGAAATATAATTAAAAGATTTTTGCATTACTGTAAATTGTATAAAACAATGTCCATCCACCAGAAAGATGATCCATATAAATCCTCAACATTTGGTAAATCATTATCATTGAAGGTAGATGGTGGATTCAACGCCATTTCTATAAACCCTTCAGCAAGAGATGTTGTACTAGCAAGCCGGCAAGGTCTTTATATTATCGATCTTGATGACCCGTTCTCCCCACCTAGATGGCTGCATCACGAAACACCATGGCAGGTGGCTGATGTTCAATGGTCACCACATCCAGCTAAACCTTACTGGATTGTATCCACTTCAAATCAGAAGGCTATTATATGGAATTTAACGAGGTCATCCTCTAATGCAATTGAATATGCACTGCATGGACATACGAGGGCCATTACAGATATTAATTTTAATCCACAACAACCAGATATTTTAGCTACTTGTTCTGTAGATACATATGTCCATGCGTGGGATTTGAGAAGTCCAAAACGACCATTTTATTCAACGAGCCCGTGGAGGTCAAGTGCATCCCAAGTGAAATGGAATTTTAGGGATTCGAATATTCTAGCATCTTCTCATGATAATGATGTCTTCATTTGGGATCTTCGGAATGGTTCAACACCTTTGTCGAAATTAGAAGGTCATCAGAGTAGTGTTAATAGTATAGATTTTAATAGAACTGGTGGGTCTGAAATTATGTCAAGCTCAAACGATGGTACAGTTAAATTTTGGAATTACCAGAGTGGAGGGAGTACTGAATCAACAAGAACGGTTAGGACCGAATTTCCGATTTGGAGGGGCAGGTACCTTCCTTTTGGTAATGGATACTGTGTCATGCCTATGGTTGGTGGTGAAAATTCTGTATATATGATGAGCCTAGACCAATCTGAAGATGATCTAAGTGAAACTAAAACAGATAAAAATGCTATTAATTCTACAAAATTACAACCTATATATACATTTAAGGGTCATTCTGATAGAGTTATTGATTTTCTGTGGAGGTCAAGGCATACATATGATACTATGATTGATGATAGAGAATTTGAATTGGTAACTTGGTCAAAAGATTGTAGTCTAAGATTGTGGCCAATAGCAGATATACTCTACAACAAAGTGAATTTTGAAAGAAACAAGAGATTAAAAGAAAAACTTCCTAATTATGAATATATAACATACAATCGAGAAGTTCATGATACCATGAATTTTAATGACAACGAATATAAGAGGATTAAAGAAACATTCGTTACAACATCCGGATTGACAAATATGAATAACGTTGACCATTTGAACTGGCTTTCGGGTGTTCGAATGAACGATCAAAATACACCTGACGATTTGTTTGAACAACCAAAATTGCATAATTTAGGAGAGGAGGTTAGTGCCATTGGTCAAAAATTTCCCAAAGTTGTCTTTGAAAAGATATCTGTCTCTACTGGTGAAATATTATTAACTATGAACGGCCCTTGGTCGGATAGTAACCCTGATGAATATATATTTTTGAGAATTGAAATTAATGTACCATCATATTATCCACATAGAGGGAATGCTCCTGTATTTAAAATTGAGGAAAATGGCAATCTGACGGATGTTAAAAAACAGGAAATATTGGCCAAATTAAATGAAATTGGAAAAGTATATACAGATTCTGATTTGTATTGTTTGGAGCAATGTCTTCATTATTTGCTTGGGGAGAAAGTTTCCATGGATTTGGATGACAATATTGATGAACCACTATTTTACCTTGATGTGGCAAATAGCGTCAACTTTGATGAATTTTCGACTATGTCTGAGTCAATTGAGTCAGTAAAATCAACTGAATCATCTTCTGATTCTGGAAATAATATTTTTACAAACCCATTTGATCAGAATCCTGAAACCAGGAATACTTTTGGAAGAAATCTTGCATTCGATACAACACCTGTTCCCAACGAATGTGGGGCAATATGGACCCCAACTGGTAAATTATTATGTTTCTTTTCGACTGAAAGTAAACCTGAGAGGAAACAGCGTAATGTTCTAAAACTAACTAGAGATAATTTAATGATAAAAGATGAATCAAAACCGATTACTAAATCTTTATATGACGACAATAATATAAGTGAAAAAGGTATAGCGAACAGTCGACCAAAACGATATGTAGATACATTTTCAGCAAACGATGCAAAATCACGCGCAACAGATGTGACCTCTGATGGAGAGTCTACATCAGATGATAGTTTCGGCAGTTTTGTAGATGACTGGAATGATATTGTAGGTAATGATATTGTTGTAAGAACTAGAATTCCTACCTTGTTGGGGAATTTTGCAAAGTCTTTTGGGTCTGTTCACTCAGAGAGTTTAAAGACAGGAGATTCCAGCAGAACCACAAAAAATATTATTATTACGAAAGATTTTTATTCGCTTTTCCAAGAAGATATAAGATTGGCTTTAAAATATGAAATAATGAATGAACATCCAGATGAAATGGCCAGACATAATGCATTAATAGCAGAAAGGTATGGATACGAAGAAATAAGTCATTGTTGGCAGATTTTATCAGATCTCCTATTAGCAGAGAGAGAACAAAGTTTTACATCATTTACGTGGAATAATAATCCATTAGGTATCAAGTGGTTCATTAAGGAAGCAATCAAATACTTTGAGAAGGAGAGTAACATTCAAATGTTGGCTATGTTATGTTGCGTAGCTGCAAATCTTTTCATCTCAAAAACGAACTCTGCAGATATTTATAATGTGCAAGAAAGTTATGAGAGTATGGTAACATATGATTTAGATGGAGAACATGATATATGGCCTAACGAAGTTCATTCTCAATTTTCCGCCGGGAATACAATCCAATCTCAAAATGATTCATTTGCTAGATCCAAATTATTATATTCGTACGATAATTATTCTGTGCAATCAGAAGAGATGGCAGGGAATGTTTATCAAACAACCGTAGGTAGAACTATGAATTCGAGGCATGTTTTGCCTCCTAAACGAAATTCTAATATTGGATTACAAACACCTACCTCTCATCGCGCTAAAGTTGCACATGTAAGTGTAGAGTTGATTGAAGATGTTGTTCTGAAATCTTTCAAGAACCCAGTTGGGAATATTCTAGACTCCTCGGATATCAAGAAGTGTCAACTTTATATCTATCAGTATGCCAAGCTTTTGTTTCGATGGGGACTACCATATAAGAGAGTAGAATTACTGAAAATCAGTATTCAGGCAATCGCCGAACATTTGCACGAGAATAGTTTCGACCTTGAGGATTTGAACCGCGTAAATAATAACACTATAGAGATTAACTGGGTATCTACCTATGCAGATGATAAAGCAGTCAGTAATTGCAACTATTGTAATTTAAAGATCAAGGGTAGCATGTATGTATGTGGTGGTTGCCAGCATGTCCTTCATGCAGATTGTGCCAAGGAATGGTGGGCGATAGGGAACGAATGTCCTTCAGGTTGTGGTTGTCACTGCCCTGATAGGTATAACCTGTGCTCTTGAAGGTGAACGGAGTTATTATACGCCTGGTTTTAAAAAAACTCATCCAAACAGTATTTTTCATCATCCTTGTATTTCTGTTATTTAAGCAAATATATATATTCTCGTTTATGACATATTTATGATCTACGCATATCTCGACGCCTCTTCTCGTGTCGTTCCCTCTATGGGAAAACTCGAAGAAACAAAGCGATTATATAATATGGGAGAATAATGTGTTATTTAATCAAAGAGATATAACACAGGTAATTCTTAAAGAAGATACAAAAGTACATATTAACTAAACAAGAGAAATCACTAAGAAATCATGTCGAATGAAAAAGTCGTTTTAATTATTGGAGCTAACAGGTATGTATAGATGGGTGCACTTGTTTTATCAACTCTGAGTTAAATAACACGTTCTTATTATAAAGTATTATTTTTTTTACTAACGATATACAATTTTTGTTTAGTACTTTGGGTTTGAATATTGCATATAGACAAATAGAAAGTCAAGCTCCTGAGGATTCATTAATATTTGTTTTAACTTCGAGATCGATCGAACGTGCAAATGAGGCTGGTGATTCCATTAAAGCATTCAATGATCAACGAGAGGCCGTTAGGAAGGTTACAACTGTTCCACTGGTGTTGGATCTAACAAATATGAAGAATGTGTTGGAGACTAGTGTTTTATTGAATAAAACCTACAAAGCTATCAATTATGTGTATGTAAATGCGGCTCTGGGTGTGTGTTCGGGGATCAATTGGTTCAGTGCTATTCAGGAGGTTATAACTAGCCCCGTTCAAGCAGTAACAGATCCTCATTATAAAATTCAAAAAGTTGGATTGATGTCAAAAGATGACATGGGTTTAGTCTTTGAAGCTAACGTATTCGGACCTTATTACCTGATAAGAAAGATCCTTCCGATATTGTCTCCTGGTAAGGCTGTCGTAGTGTGGATTTCAAGTATTAGATCCGATCCAAATTATTTACCCCTTGATGATTTAGAACTTATTGAATCGCCAACGCCTTATGAAGGTTCTAAAAGGATGATTGATGTTATGCACTTGGCTACATATAAATATTTAAAGTCAAAGAGTGTCTACCAATATGTTGTGCAGCCGGGTATTTTTGTGAGTCAATCGTTCAACGTACATCTAAATATTATCACATATTATTTGATGATGATCATGTTTTATTTGGCAAGAAGATGGGGTTCTTACTGGCATACAATTGATCCTTACAAGGCTGCAAATTCTCCTGTGTATGTAACAACATTCCGTGACCGTGATTTTGAAAGACAGGATATCAAATATGGATCTGCCACGTATAGTGATGGTGTTGAACATATAAAACCTGAGGAATTAGATTTCACCGGTAAGGAAAAAGTTGCAGAGTTTTTATTATCTAAAGAAAAAGAGTGGAATATAAGATTAGGTGACCAGGACACCAGTTAATTATAAATAATACTAAATCCATATTTGTAGGTAGAATATATAAAAAATATTGACATAATGTATAATTATTATCTTTCATGATTGTTAAGAACATAATACATATGTGCCACAACTATATCCATTATTTTTATGATTAATAGTTAAGGTTACAGTTCACCTTTTTTTTCTTAATGTAGATTTGATATCTTCAATTGAGCGTTCTAGAGTATTTTGACGACTTATTATTTGTTCTAACATCGATTTTATAGTACTTATTTCTTCTTTTGTATTATCATCTGTAGGTAGATAGAATTTTACATTTTTTTCTTCCAACTTAGATTTATATCTCATTTTATTCTCATTCATGAGTTTATCAACCCTGCTTGGGATCGATGCCTCTTCTCTTAGTTTATTTAGAAGGTTGTTACCTAGAAGTCGAGAAGTATTTGTAGCTGGACCTTGTTTTAGTATGGAAATGGGGTTACTTGTTGTGTGTTCGTTTTGATGAGATTGATTACTAGGTGACGATGTTCGGGACATGAAAAGCCTTGAAGATCTGTCCAAACTTTGGGTGAATCTATCTGAATTCAAATGCGTTTCGTATTTGCTTGGTGTATATTGGAGATCTCTAGTTTTTGAAACTTTTCTTGGTGATAACCGTAACGCTGGTTTCTTAATTGCATTATTCTTTGACGGAGATATTTGAAGTCGCCTGAAGACATCAGAGGAATGTGATTCTGACATTTTTGTGTAGATTAAATGTTTGATTATAATTTATGATAGAAATAGCCCTACTTTTGTTTCGGTAGCTAGTTGTCGTTATTCAACCTTATTTTGTTTATTTAATATAATATACGTTTTGTTTACTTTTTATAACGTTCAAAGAATTATCTCCATTTTATGAAAAAATAAATATATTATAAAATATACGAACCCTAAGCTTGTTGTCTCTATATATAAATGATTTTTGGTCTGTATCTATCAAATATAAATTGTATGGCATTATCTATATATCTATATATATATGAAAGATCAATCAAACAGGGACTCATCATTAACAAGTTCATATACTTGATTACTCATATATTCATAATAATGGAAAATAGGGACGTTACATCTTTGGAATTCATCATATTGAATGACTTTGGTTGGAATATCATTAAGAATCAGAAATTCCAAGTTCTCGAATCTTGAAAGAAAATAATCAAATGACTTTCTCATCGAGTGTAAGTACATGTGGTAGATTCTTATTATATCAGATTTAGTAATATCTCTTTTTATTTTATGACCATTGTTTGGATTCGGATTTAATAATGAATTAACCTTTTTCACGAAATCTTCAAGTGGCCTCGAATAAAATCCGATAGAAGGATACTCATCAAACCCTGCAGAATATGGAATTATTGTGAACAATTTAAACATTTGCATAATGAAATTCTTTTGTTCGATATCATGAAAGTCTTTAATTATGAACGAATCTGAATTAGGGAAATATTTTTTCAATATAACTTCATCCAAGGTCCTTTTACAATCATCACATTTACAGGATACTTGAATCTTAAAATTTGATACCTCATCGTCTTCAATCGACAATAGTGGGACATCCATATCTTGTATTTTTAAGTCAATATATCTTATTGTCTTGGCACATTTATTTCTACTCATTAAATCAATTGTGTTTTTGCTGATTGTAGCATCAAACATAAAATCAATTTTTATTTTCTTTAATTTTGAAAACTTTCTTATACAGTTTTGAATAAATTCTTCATTTTTAAATAATGATAAAAGCGATAGGGATTCTATATTGTCAAACTTGAAGAAGTCATATAATTTCCAATCATTATATATATCAATATCCACAGAACTTTCGTTATACCAGGATAACATTTCCAATTCCTTTAAAGTGTTAATGTCGAAAATATCGTAATAATGAATAGAATCATCAACAGGTTCTGAACTCAAAGTATCATCCCTCAAATTCAAACAAAGAGCTCGTATTTTAATTTTTTTCATACCTTTTTCAAAGAAACTTAATGGGTTGACGTGTATAGTCAGATCTTGTATATTATCGAAATTATATTTTTTTACAATATTCCTTGTTAATTTGAAGTATTGTTCATCTGCTGCATCTGGATTTGGTAGCATATCTGGAGGTGTCAAATTCAACGATTGAATTGTAGAGGTATGTTTCCACAAGTAAGGACAAATTTCACCTTTTATAAAACTTTCAAACGATAATAAATTCGTGTCGTATTTGTTTAATAATGTCAAAAATGAAATAAGGGTTTCTTGATCTAGATGCCACGTACAATGCACCCTTTTGATCATGGGACATAACTTCAATGGAGCTTCAGTTAATGACCTCACCAATGCTTGAAATTTATTTTTGGCCCTTATAGTCATCCCTAAATCTTTCTCCAAATCCTTTTCTTGAAATGTAAAATATAACACTGACCACATATGTGTACCAAGGGAAGTATCATAATCACTTGGGAAGTAATATCTTTCATTGAGGTATATATTTTGGTATAATATCGGTGTTATGAGATGATTTACTCTCTTTGAGACATAAGATAGTGCCGTTTTATCTTCTTGAGACAGACTAAAGGCAATTTTTTCCCAAATCTCACTAGGAAATCGATGAATCATAAATAACAGTAGTGGAGAACGTTAACAGGTTGTCAAGGTACAATTCTTAAATCGATCGTAATTACGTATAAATGCGTTTGTGTTAGTTGTGTAAAGGACCCACTTTATTGTATTATTCCGTTAATACAATAAAGTGAAATTTTTTGCTGCAATGTGGAATCCGAAATCTTACATAATAAAGAAAATATTAGAAAATTTCAGTGATGAGCTGTATTCCTCAGGGTGACCTTGGTAGACTACTAACAACAATGCTACAAAAGAATATAGATTAAGATACTGGGCGAGATCTTAAGTCAGGGCTGAGAAATTTCTATACATGTTTATATTATTTGGTGCTCATATATAAAAAGGATCATTTTTATGTGCTTATGTTCATGTTTTAGAAACTAGAATTTCGATGTGAAAATATTTTGTAAATTTCAAAGAAATGATTCATCATTACGTAAGTTGGTCATTGCAGTGAATGTATCTAGTCTAACAGGAATAAATGTTAAATGTGAGTGGACAATTATTTGAAATAATGCTTTCTTAATGTATACTTTTTCCTGTTGTATGGTGAATATATCCTCAAAAGTAGAACATCGTCTATTCACAGTGAATTCCCCATTTAAAGAATCATGAAGATCTATCTCATAAAATGGCGTATCATCTATCATCTTCAAATATGAACCTACCTCTATATTTAAATTTCTGCGGAATAACACATTGAATAAAGATTCAAACTTCTGCCTACTTTTCCCACCAAGCATGAATTTGTGATTGACGATATTGATATAAGATTCGCCATCATCAATCTGCACAGTCAGAATCCTGGATTCAAGATCGACGTACGGCTTCTTATACATCACTTTCACAAAACCTGATGTTTCTACTACATTGGGATTTAATTTGATTCTCTTATTAGAAGGATTATATTCGTAATATTCTTCTAATGGCTTTTCTATAACTGATAAACCATTTTTGGAAATATCGTTCAACTTAATCCAGATTTCATTATTCCCATATATTGGATCTTCCACCAATTTACATTTAATTAATCTTTGTTCTAAATTCAGTAATCTATAATATCTACATTCTTTAATCAAAGATTCTCTAGAATTATCGTCTAATGTAAATTGTGCACCACATAACAATTCAAACAACTGTTTAAATAAATGTGGAGATCTTGGTACAAACGAATATGAATGTGGTGGTGGTCTTATCAATTTTCTTGAGATGATCACACGTTCAATATCCACATATAAAGTATCTGAAGTCAAGTAGAAATAGTTATATGTGTCACCTTCTCTATCAAATAAAGATTTAGGCAATTTAAACGATACGTCACCAATCTTAGTATAGTAATATTCCGTTTCTCTTAGAATTTTACGTAACCGAGGTAAATTATAGTACATAGAATCTGCAATCAACATTGTATATTGAACTTCATCCTTAATATCGATATAATAACCTTGTAAATGTTGATATATATATTTAAAGATCTCCGCAGATCTATCGATAAACAATGTCGTCTGACAAGTAGTCGGTGGAGTCACAGTAGTGGTCACTGATTGTGTATTTGTAATTGGATGATCGGAAGGTGATGATAACGACACGGAATTATCGAGGTTAGTTGTCGATTCTGTTTCTAATTTAGCGAAGAAATCTGTGAAATAACTTGGTCCATCTGAACTTAAGGAAGCACCACTTATCTTAAATAAAGTGGATCCAATTTGAATCTTGTACATGTTTTCATGAGGAAGGATCTGTGGAATATTTGGATCGAAGTAGGATTTCGTTGGGTCATAGTGTGCATCCATATTTCCACAAATATCTCTGGTTTATCGTTTATCGTTTTTTTATGAAGGGAACAATTGAGTAGATATATCCAACTTTCTTCATCGTCCTTTATATAATTCTTGTTGTTGTGGTTACCGGACTATCGGATGCCAAACAAAAAAAATTTCACACCAAAGCGAAAAAGCTTGAAAGAAGAGATAGGACGAAATAACTAAACATAAGAAGTATTACATTGTAATAAATTTAATGATTTTAAAAAAGATTATTTAAAAAAATTATGTAAAAAAAAAATATAACGAACTATAAACCAAGAACATTCCAAGACAAACATTTGTATGTAATGGAAGGAACTGCAGTTTAAAATTTTACAATCTTAATTATAAGACTGGAGATGGTATTGTACAATAGCTCAAAAAGGAAATACACATATAAAGAAACATTAACGATTATATGTAAATTGTAAAACCTGAAGGCATTCTTTTTTTTATATTTTATTAATATTAATATTATAGGAATTCTATTTGACTTATTCTAAAAATTACATTAGAAAAGCAAAAGAGGAAGAAAAAAAGAAGACATTGTGATTATCTATAATTGAAACCACAATGCTAAGAAAAACTTAAAAAAAAGAACAGGAAGAATAGCAAAAATAGGGAATATCAACAAGAATATTTTCTTGAAAATTAATGGGTATTATTAAAAACGAAAAGGTTTAATAGGTGAAAAAACAAAGAAAAAGAATTAACATTAAGATTTGAATTTATAGTAACTATTATAATAGCCTATACAATCTAAACTAAAAGGAATTTTTTTAATTTTTTTATTCTATTCCTTACCATAAAACGAACGTTGCGACATGTAAAATTAATCTAATAAAAATAAAATTAAAGTTTTTGAAACTTAAGATACTTAGATCAATAGAGCAGCGGCACCAGCAATTAGAGCACCGACAGCTGGTAGAGCCTTGTTAGCAGCACCAGTGAAGGAAGCAACAGTGTGGGTAGAGGAAGCAACGGTTTGAACGGCTAGAGAGGAAACCTTAATAGTCTTGGAAGCTTGAACGGTCTTGGTGACAGTAGATTCAGATTCGGTAGTAGATTCGACCTTAGCTTCGACAGAAGTGTGAGCAGCGATAGAAGTGGTGGTGGTGACTGGAGCAGCAGTGGAAACAGCAGACTTGGTCTTGTTTTCAGCAGCAGATTCAGAAGCTTCAATTGGACACCAGGTGGTGTATTCAGTGATGATGTCGTTGATGGTGACAGTAGCAGTGGAGATCAAAGCTGGAGAAACGGTTTCTTCACAGACATGGTCTTCACAAGATGTGATGGTGACTAGAGTGGTGGTCTTTTCAGTAGCGGTAGCAGTAGTGACATTGGAAGCAGCAGAAGCAACAGAAGCGATAGCAGCAAGAGAAGCGATGGTAGAGAATTGCATTTTATATGAGATGGAAAACGATTGGACTGTTTGAGTGTAGATATTGTTCTATGGTCTTATAGCTTGAAATACGAAAGTAATAAAAAAATATATATATGAAAAAATAAAAAGATATAAGAAATACAATAATAAATTGATTCAAAGTGCAGTTTATATATGTTTTATTTTTTCGAGAAGTGAAAAAAAAGCAAAAGTCAACAAATAAATAAATAAACATGCTGAATGCAAAGAGGTCCACAACACATACTAACAGAGGCAAAAATACAAGCAACAACGACCTAACAATAAAAAACGTATTGCTGTCTTTGTTCTTCTTTGTTTTCCTGTTTCTGATGTTATTGATTGTTTTAAGTCTTACCACTTTCTTTCTTCTGCTATTGATATTATTGCATCATCAAAAATAAACATAAAAGAGAAGAATAAAGAGAGACCACAATGAACGTAAACAGAATAATTTTGTGATAATACTAACAATGGCACGGGAGGGGAGAGAACCGATATAATCTGATTGTGTGCAATTTATGCCAGGGAAACTGCGCGCACAGGAATCATCCGACTAATCCGAAACTGAAAACACAAATTTTTTTGTTGATTTTTAATAGTGGAACAATACAGAAGGTGGCGTACAATAAAAACATTCGCGTGGCTCTTTCCTAATCAGGCGATGGTTGCCGCGTCGGACAATCTCTTTTCGTGTGTTGTACAACAATACCTGTTGGCACTCCCTGCATTACCAGACCGCATGTTGACTGGTTTCCTAATCGGGCGCGTACTCACCGTGTCGCTCTCTTCATCACTCTCTCCGTTTCAGAATAGTGAAAGAGAGCGTGTTTCTGTTCTCGAAATTGTCCTTTATACGTTATGTGAAGTAAGGGTGCCGTAGGGCCAACGTTAGCTCGTGTAGCGTGACTAGGTGGGGCCCTCGCAATTCCTCTGTCTTCTCTCTCTTTATTATTTTGGCGTTATCCATTTTCTCTTTTTGCAGAGGGAGACGGAGGGAGAGGGCTGCATCCTTCAGGCTTTTTATTTTGTTTATGACAAATAGATCCTCTGGCACCGTCACATTTTGGATTGTTGCACTAGTAGGAAGTGTGGGAACAAGCTTCTCAGGATCACGTGGATTACTGTTGCTTTATAGAGAGTTCGGCGGCTATTCTCCCTCATCTGATTGGTCATAGCCCCCGTTTTACGTTACAATATATATATTATAGTAACTATATATTATTCCTATTATTCTTTATTTCGAATTATATACACACTTATAGATTATCAAGCTTCCTTAATATCCTTAGTCGATACCGAACCACTTGCTAAACCGGCTTCTTCACATAATGAATAAAACAAAGATTGTGGGTTTTGTAACAAATTAGCAGGCGAATCAAACTCCTTCACCTCACCTTGATCCAATACAATGATCCTGTCACTGTCCATAATGGTATTCAATCTATGTGCAATAGTCAAAATCGTTCTGTCTTGGAATGCAGTACGTATGGTCTGTTGAATCACTTGATCGGTCTCTACATCCACCGCAGCAGTAGCTTCATCCAGGATTAATACCTTGGATTGAACTAACAATGCACGGGCAAGACACATCAATTGTCTTTGACCAACACTCATATTACCACCACCTTCAGTTAGTCTGGTCAATAAACCATCTGTACCCATCTGTAGGACATGATCCTTCAAATGAGATAATTCAAGGACATTCCAGATCTCTTCATCACTATAGCATTCGGTTGGATCAATGTTTTCTCGTATAGTACCTTCAAAGACTTGGGAATCCTGTGGAATAATCGATAAATGATGTCTTAGATCATATAGACCAATTTTATCAATAGGAACATTATCAATGGTGATACGACCGGCACTAGCTTCAATGATACGGAATAACGCCAAAGTTAACGATGATTTACCTGCACCAGTTCTGCCAACAATACCAACTTTTTCCTTGGAATGAATATTTAGATTGATATTTCTTAAAACAAGATCAAGATCTGATCTGTAACGAGTGGAATAATTCTCAAATTGAATATTACCGGCTATTGGCCATCCTTGTTCTGGCCTACTTCCTTCAATGATCTCAGGAGCTTCACTCTTTAAATCAGCATATTCTTTAATTCTCTCAACAGAGACAATATTAGTCTCCACTTCAACAGTCATTCTAACAATCCAATTCAATGTTTGGGTGATTTGTAATGCATAACTTAAGGATAGACCAACCATACCTGCTGTCAATGTACCTTGTCTCAATCTAAGGATAGATAATGTACCGGCACCTAAAATGATAACAGAACCAATAGTTTCCAATCTGAAGGCTAACCAACGGTTGGCATTAATAGAAGGATAAAAAGCACTCATATTATTGTCAATACGACATTGATTAATATGACGGAATCTCTTTTCTTGATGATAACCTCTAATTGTGGCAATACCACCTAAAGTTTCTTGGAAATGAGAATAGATTGGTGATCTAGTAATAGAATCTAAACGACGTAATTCTCTTGATGTTCTTAAATAATATTGTTGGTAATAAACGTATAAGACACTTAATGGCACAATGATAAAGATGAATTGCCATGTAGTGAAGCAAATAACAATGACAACAAATACTACTTTAACAGCATTGACAAAAAATTGGGAGAAAGATCTACCAAGGATAGAGTCAACTTTGTAAATATCATTAGAAAATCTATTCAGGATACGGCCAATTGGAGTAGTCTCAAAGAAAACCATTGGTGCCCTTAAGACTGCATTTGTCATCACATTGTGTAAATATCTAGAACCATGAATAGTACAGAAAACCCATAGAATAATAGTTTGAATTAATGTAGATAACGCAGAACCAACACCCAAAGCGAAATAAATAGCCAAATAACGAACTGCATGAGGGTTATCACCATATTTAGTGTTCACTTCAGACCAATGTTTCAACCAAACATTACCCATAACAGATAGGAACATTGACAAGATAATAAATAAAATGAAAATTAAAACATTCCTTGGGTTACATGCCTTAGCATATTCCAAATAAATATTCCATTTAACTTTACCTTGTTCACGATGCTCTCTTCTTGAGGCATTCTCTTCGTCACCAAAATCAATACTACGCAATGTAGCATTACTTGCCCTTCTCAAACTTTGAGTTTCATCTGTAACCAGATGCATATCTTGTAATTTATTCAATTCTTCTAATTCATCAGCCAAAGGAACAGTATCTTCCCGAACAGATGCAGCTGTGGATGGTGTCTCAACAGCAGACTCATCTTCAGCGTTATCGACCTTCTTGTTATTTTTATTATTACCGAATTCACTAATCAACTTACATAATGGAGAGTTTTCATCCTTGGTGACTTCGTCAAACGAGCCTTGTTGAATGACTTCGCCATTCTCCAGCAAAGTGATAGAATCAGCAATAGACAATACAGATATCTTATTTGTAGATAAAACCTTAGTCTTGGAATGTAATAAACCATTTGGACCCAAGACATGTTCAATTAAATGCTTGGCGACATGTTCATCAACAGCAGCCAATGGATCATCCATAATATAGGTATCAGCTCTTGCATATACAGCTCTAGCTAAAGATAAACGGGCCTTTTGGCCACCAGACAAAGAAATACCCTTTTCACCAACTAAAGTTTGGTCACCATCCATCAAAATGGCAAGATCGATTGTCAAAGCACAGGCTTTAATGGTCTTATCGTAAAACTCTTTGTCGTATTTATGACCAAATAAGATATTTTCTCTAACAGTACCATTCATAATCCATGGAACTTGGGATACATAAGCAACAGAACCATGAACAGTGGCGAAACCTTTAATTCTAAACAAATTACCTAACATACTTTGAATCAAAGCTGTCTTACCACTACCCACTTTACCAACAATACATGACAATCCTGCCTTTCTTGCTTGGAAATTAATATTCTTTAGAGCAACTCTGTACTCTGGTTTACGTTTCCATAGAAAAGTAGCATCATCACCAATATTAACAGCAATATCACCGTTGTTAGAAACCTTTGGTAAATGCTGGACAGCATCTTTCTGTAACTCTTCATTGGTTAAGAATGAATATAATCTACCAATAGAGACAGAAGCTTCAATAAAACCGGTTAAAACATTCGGAACAACCATCAATGGGAATGACAACAAGTTGAACAATGTCAATGCAGGGAAAACCAAATCGGTAGTCAATGGTTTATTTTCAGTATAAACGAATACAGCAAAAGTACAACACGATACTAAGAAAGGAACAACATTAAATTGGAAACTGGACAAAGCCATGAAACAACCTAATTTAGTTAGGTTCTTCAATTCCTTATCATTTCTGACATGTTCCAACTTCTTCTTATATGGAGTTTCCCAAGCGTATAGTTTCAAGGATTTAATATTGTTCAAAATTTCACTAATAACACGAGTTCTTTCATCCTTAAACTTCATCTGAGATTTTTGTAATTTCTTTTGATATTTCATAATATAAGAATTAGCAGGCATCATAACAACTAAAATAATAACACCCACCCACATAGAATTACCTAACAAATTGTATAACGATGCCAAACAAAAGACTATTTGTAATGGACCGGACCAAATTAAATGACACCATTGTGTTAAATCTTGTAGTTTTTGAACATCAACACTCATTAGATTAACAATATCACCAGTACTTGAAGTTGAGGATGCTTCATTAGATAGAACTAATGATTTTTTGTAAAGAATAGCTGTCAAGGAACTTTTGATGTTCATACCAGTATTAAACGAATTCAAGAAGTATTGATGTAACACACAAGTCTGAATGAACCCAACAAAAAACATACTAACAGATATCATAAACCCTCTGATAATTGGTAAGTTCTTAACTGGTAAATGATCTTCTAAGGCATCATGAATATTTTTATTGTAATCAGTGACAAATTTGATCAATAATCTAAGTAATTGAGGTTGTGTAAATGCCAAAATATCATGTAAAACTTTAAATAAAGCGGCAACAAGCATTTTCCCACCAAAAGTTAAACATAGAGTCCATGTTAAAGAAGGCTTACTAGTTTTTTTCAATTGATTTTCCCAGTTCTTATCCAATGACGCAGCCAATTCTTCACTTCCAAAACTTTCTGGTAATTTATACAAATCTTCTTCGACTAAATACTTCTTATAACCCGTTTTCATCAAACCAGACATCCATGTAAAGGAAATTCTAGAGAAAATATTTGCAGTATCATATGGATTAACTTTTCTTCTTGATAGATGTTCCTGAATCTCCTGATAAGGTCTTAATGGTTTAGTTGGGAAAATTTCCAAAGCTAAGATAGAAATGCAAGTAATTGCTTGGAACAATGTGAAAATGAAGATGGTATGTCCGAATGTCCAACGGTTTTCATAGTTATATCTAATTACGAAATTTATCACTTTAGAAACATTACCGAAGGATTCAAACAACCAGTAAAACAATACAATGGTATTAGAAACTTTACATTTATGATATTCGACCCAATGCAAAGATAATGCCACAAATAAAGAAATGAGTGTCAAAGTATATTGACTAATAACTGTCAAATCCCTATGTTTCTCAGTAGTTAATGAAAGCGATACTATAGCTGTGAAAAGAATTTGCAATAGTACTAGAGTCATTCTACTGACAATCAACCAATGTCTTCTATATTTAATACCGGAATGTTTTGCAGTCACTAAACGTACAATATCCCTAGTACCAAATATTATCATGTATAACGCAGTTAAGTTTAATACTACACCATCAATGAAACATTGTGTGAAGTCACCGTAATAGGAAATAGGTCCTAGACCTTCTGAGGACTGACATATCTTACAAGCCCATGAAGGGAGCTTTGCAATCGACATTATTTCTCACAGTCTTTTTATTCGATTCACTGAAAAATAATAAATAAGGGAAGACTATTGTAAAATATATATCTGTTACTGCTGGCAGACTTTTGTTTATTTCAATTAGTAAAGATTAACAAAATAAATATATATTAAAATTTAACTGTAATTTAGCATTTAAGTGTACCATAAAAACGCCACCCAGTATATCAGATCTTCAATGTTAATTCCCTTTTTATAAATGGAGAGATGCAATGCCACCCATTTATGTAATATTAAAATCAATTTACCCAAAAAGTTGATAATTTTTCGTTTTTTTCATTTTTTCATTTTTTTTTGAAATCATTGATTACTTAAAACTGCCCGGGCTCTGCGACATTTTCTTCGCAAAAATGGTTCTTGTTCCATTTTATAAAACTACATTACTAAGCTATTAATTAAATTATTGAAATACAGTATAGTATATAGGGATGAGAAGAACATATACCTAGTATTTAGAATATGATGTGATATTTTGTTATTATGATGAGTTATTAATGCCAGTTGCAGGTATTGTTGAAGTGGAAAATATGTAAACATGAAAATGCTGTTTTGCAGATATTTGTGATGCGTTCTTATTTGCTCCCGTTACTATGGGGAGAGTAAAGGGAAAGTAGACCACCCGTTCGAGTCTTGTGCGTTGCAAAACAAAATGCACCTTATATCAAAAGGGACTTGAACACGGCCTGAAAATAAAACAACAACAACCTTGAGAACAATCACAACATGACATACGAAACAAGACACATTTGGGTATTACATAGAGGTCTTAAAGTTAGTTACATTAGTAGAGTTTCAGGGCATTTTAATTACGCTGGTGTTGTAGTGTTAACGTATGACTATAGGACTGTTCTATACTTATTAACAGCTGCATTTTAATTATTGCGAAATAGAAGGGTTTTTTTTACATTAAGTGTACTATTATAATGCATGAACATAGAATTGATTCATTTTTAATAGCAGATAATGTACGATTTGAGATTGTTCATGAATCAAATCCTTATTTCGCTGGAGAACATATATCATTTGTGGTGAGACTTAGACATTTGGGTTCAGTAGATAAATGTAACCTTTTAAAAGAAAAGGTAGAAGAGTTGCACAAAAATATCGAAACTCGCATCGATAACCAGGGAAGTATCTTACACGAACAAAATGAACAAAATGGTGGACGTATGTGGTCCATGAATAAGTTATTTAGTGCATTGCGAGGTAATAATGATGGGGCGAATGCAGATCGTCATGATATAGATTTGGATAATGAACGGAATGCTGAATATATCAGTAAACAAATTCAATATCATAAACCTGTGAACCTAATGGCTGCATTTGTTCAAGTGTTGGGTGTCTTCCAATATTCACCAGATACAATTAAATCATCTACTTTTGATAGATCTGCTAATAAATTAATATTTTTAAATCAATCTACACATATGACAACAAATGCTGTTGATGGTATCCCAAGTGAGCCGAAAGAAATAATGGGCCCAAGCGTTGATTCTTCCGATAACCATACTGATCCAAGATATTTGAAGAAGTATTTTCAATCACATTTTAAATTTGGTCCACAGGATCCCGAGACCACATTCGATAGTACAGATTTACCAACTTTTAATGTTCAAGATTTTTTTGAAGAATATGATAATTTACCATTTTTGGTGATTCCACAATCATTATTATTCCCGGAATTGACATTACAACCAGGAGAAGTGAAAAGTTTCCATTTTAAATCAAATAAATTACCTGAAGATTTATGTCCAAGTTATAAATATTCTGAAAATATGGCTATTAATTACTATGTGGAGTTCGGTGTTAATAAAGTGGAATCTGATGTAATCTCACCATTATTTATCAAATCGCCAATATATATAGCACCTTTTGTGACAAATGAAGGCTATCAATATACAAGTGAGTTAGGATCAAAACCATACATTATGGAGGCAGGTACCATCAAAGAAGTGGTGCAATCTTCAAATATGATGAGGAAACATTCCACAGACTTATCTGCACCTTTCAATAGAAGAAAAAGTTCAATTTCTATAAGACGTGAATTACCAGAATCTGAAGTTGAAAAATTGAAGGATTCTTTTGTAAGTTTGATAAATAAAACTGACAATTTTGATGATATCGAAGACTTGGTAGACTTTCAACTAAATCTTCAATTCGGTAATCAATTAAATGACAACACTACAGATTCAGTTAAGGCTAATATATCTTCTAACATTGGAGATTCGAAGTTAATATTCAATGATATTCCTAATTCACCAAAGGAAAATATAAACGCATTAAAGAGATTATCATTATCAACTTTAACATCGTTAACACCAACTTCATCGTCAATAAATGGGAAAAACCCGGAACCACAGTTAGTGAATCCACAAAATAATTATATCATCAATAGAAATGGTGAAAGAATAGCGACTGCAGAACTTTCCAAGATTTTGTATACTGTAACAGATGATATAAACATAACTATCAAACTATCAGAGAATCAGAATTTATCAGTAAGTGGTATAAATGCAAGTCTAGAATTGATAGAAGTAGTAAATTCGGATTTCTTGAACGATTCGGTTGCCGAGAATGGGAAAACTCACAATATAAGGACAATTTCAAGTACTCACATAGTGTCATTCGATGAAACTGAATCAATACCATTGAAACTCACCATTCCGAAGACACCAATGAATTTGATGCCTAGTCAATTTAAATCTAATATCTTTCAAGTCAAATGGTCATTATTATTAAGATTTATCTTGATTCCAAAGAGTGGTTCATCCAACGTATACGAGTTTTATGGAGACAAGAAGGGTATATTTTTTCATTCTAGCGAAAATATCGAAGGTGAAGAATTTGACTGCAGAATACCGATATCAATACTTCCTACCACGAAGGATATGGCTGGATGGTAATATAATTCCAATATGTATAATTTAGTTTTGCAATAATGATGTGATAAATCTAAACTGCTTTATTAAATGTCTCTTTTATGTGTACTAAAATGCTAGTAGAAACAGGAAATTTTTTTTGATTTTATTTGAAGTTACCCGCGTTAAGAAATTTTTAATAATCTCAAGGAAGTTACCGTTGAGACATTTGAAATATTTCATCTTAAATAAAGTAGATACTATATAATACTTAAATATGTTAGTTAAAAAAGGGCTTATTTCAAAATCCAAGATCAAATTGAAGAAGTTAAAATTAAACATCATATAGGTACTAATATTGTGACCCAATGAACGCACTTGATTCAACAATCCAGGAATGTGTAGAGTATCTATTTCCAATTTTTGCAGATATTTCAAGGAACGCTGAATCTATACTGACGAAACCATCTTCATTGATTCAATATAAAGAAATCATTGATTTAAAATGGCAACCATTACAGATAATGAATATTTCGGATAGCAATTTGGACTCAGTAACTGACATCATACTTAACAGAATTGTCTCAGACACATTAATGGCTGTCGATGAAATAGACAACCAAGAAATAACTATGACTTCTATTGAAAAGGTTCAATTGTGTGCTACTGTCTTAGACTTTATTTACTATTCTAGAAAGAGCAGAAAATTTCCTGAAAGTTGGAAAGCATCTTTCTTTAGATTATTCAGTGAAGTACTAGACATATTAAACTGGCCTTCAAATATTGCTGAATTCTTTAGTTATCCTGAATCACGTATTGATTGGTTAAAGTCGAATCCAACAGCTGAAGAAGAGTATAACGGTATATCTTCCTTAATTAGTTATAAAAATCCATTATCAGAATATCTACGTCATTGGAATGAACTTCTATCTACATTAGAAAAGAACACTACTTTCAACACCCCTGCCCATTACAAAATGAAATTTAGATTGGAAAAGTTTATTTCAAATCTGTTGCCGATATATGAAGAATCAAATTTTAATAGATCTGCTCAAATATCACAGAGACAGGATTCTTCCAACCCGTGGAATAAAACAAAAAACAACACCAGACCAACAACATCTCCTGAAATTCTCACAGAAGATTATTTGTATTTGTACAACAAATTATTAACAAATCCTATACTGTTTACTTTTAATACCTTCCAAACGAAACGTGATGCCGAGCGTGCAGTTGGTGTATTGTTAGACGCCATTCTAGATGCAGAGGACGCATTTTATAAACAAGCAAGGTTTCAACATAAAAATATGTCTATAATTAATGAAAAACTAAACCAAAATTACCAAGCTGATTTTACTGTAATTCCTAAATCTCAACCGAGCTACTTAAATGATTGTTCCACTTTCCAATCTTCTGAGGAGCAGTTATGGTCTAGTATAGTTCGATTTTATGAGAATAATGATCATATTCCAAGACCTACTACTTTAGCATTTGCGACCAAAAACCCTACTGTTCTATATGATCAACTACTGAAAACGAATAACGATATGTACAGAAAACAGTTCGTATTACAGATATTATTTGTTTCTCAACTGTTAGAAAAGCTAATTGAATCTGAAGAGATCAGAAAATTTTATAAATTAACCAAAGAAAAAGAAGGTGGAAAAAGCATAATTGATATTAATAAATTGGAAGAATCAAATCTGAGGAAATTAGCTTCCATTTATACCCATGTTTGTAAAAACCGTATCGCGACTTTCTACCAAACCAGAGACGCCACATTCTCAAACATATTCAAACAATTGTTAGAAGATAATAACAACTATATGTTGGCAAAAATAAACAATTTCAAATATTTTCAAAATTTTAAAGTTCCTGAACAAAATAAAATAATGGAAATTGACTTGAACTTCAAAAAATTTGGGTTCATCAAGCTCGGTAATAAACAAATTGACAACGTTTGGAAAATAAGAACAGGCCTAGATTGCATAGTTGACCAATCTAGAAATCCTGATGATATATTTAAGGACCTAAAAGAAGAATATGAAAACCAAAATAAACCAAATAGTAACGGTAAAGATGAAATTGTACATCAATGGCAAATTTTAAGATCTATTAGATCACAATATCTATCTGAATTTGGTAAATATAATGAACTTAGTGGTATTGGAGGACTTTTTAAAGATAAAAATTTGAGTGATATAGAGTCTAGAAGAATTGCATTAAGATCAAAATATACATCTTTAGCAAACCAACCACACAAAGATTTATTACAGAAAGCCCGTCAGTATATGGAAGAAAGGGAAACTTTAAAGAGAAAACGTGAAGAAGAGGCGGATGAATCACAAAATAAGAAAGTCCAAGTGGAGGTGACCGATTCTGGTTCTATTGTAGATCAACCGAAGGAAAACGTTGAAACTGATTCTATTAATATCGAGAATAAAAACGATATTGAAGTGCAGTATAAGGTTGAAACTATATAATTGGCATTACTATGTAAGCTATAATAAATAATATAAATGACCCATATATTGTATTTATTAGTAGTTATTTATGTGTGAAACTAAATATTAACACAGATTGTGTAACGATAGGTTGTATTTTCGCTATAAGGGACAATATTAACGTAATTATACTGTAGAGTTATATTTTGCTCTAAAATATTAAGATAATCTTTTGACGATTGTTCATTGATAATTTTCGAACTTTTAATATCAATTACTAATTGTAATCTTTCAATGATAATGTTAGGAAACTTTATCATTAATGGAAAATTAAACACTTTTGAGATCGCTCTCATTATTAACGTAGTTAATTGTTCTTTAGTCTCACAGGCGTCATTGATTGATAATATTATTTTCAATAAAGGTAAAATGCCCTGCTGGACATTTTTGAAAGAAAAATCAATATTCTCTAAGGTATATAGATCCAATGACAATATATTTGGTATATTTTCAACAAAAACGAATTTAAAGACTTTTTGTTCTAATTCGGCAATATAGGGAGGGTGAGGAAATTCCAGTAGGCTATTTGACATTTGCGATGATCTTCTGCGATTGATACTCCTGTATGTTTTAATAGAATTGATAGATTCGTTACTATATCTTCTAGATGGTTGCTCAGTTCCCATATTTATATTTGTTTTCAGTGGTTGTACACCAAGCATACTGTTGTAGTAATTGATATTATCGTAAAGATATGGCTCCTCAATGGTGTTTATATCATTTAGAAATCTACGAGGTAAGTTCACATGCTGGTGGTTAGTATGTTGTATTGTTAAATATTTTGCATATGGTAGAGTGAACTGGAAATTATCGAATTGTGAACCCACTAAATGGTAATAATGTAAATAATTCGTAGTGTTCTTCATTTCTTCAATAATATTTATATCATCAATTTTGAGGACAAACGTTTCTACTTCTAATTGACTTGGTAGAATAACATTATGTAAAATATTACAATTTAATAGTGTTTGCAATGTTAGACAAATGTAGGTATAGCGATTTAACAATAAGTCGTAACTTGTAAAAGAAATGTTAGGTATATTATTAGTTTTTGTAGATAAAATTTCAATATTTTCTACTTCATTTGGACAATTATTCAACCAATTAATTTGTTCAGTGGTATATAATTTTAAGGATATACTTTTAATATTTGCACCTGATTGGATAACATCTTCCCATGGAACGATTCCTGTGTCACAATTTAAGTGAGTTAATTTTGAAAAATTACAGTTCTCAAATCGAATATTTTGGTAAGGAGTATTTCCCAAATGAAGTTGCAAAGAAGATATATTTGGAAAATAAAGATCTGTAAATGTAGGATTTGTTATACAATTTTCAGTTGATAGGTCTAACCTCTTGTTTATTAAAGTACCATCAACCATGACATTGTGCAACTGTGGATAATAATCAGATAAAAAGATCGATTCAGTCCTAGGCAGGATATATTTATAATGTTCTATGGGTCCTGTTGGAAATTTTAAAGAACCAATAGTAGTAATATTTGGACATGATTTCAGAATATTATAGATATCAATTTCTGATGATCTAGTACTGAGAGTTTCTATATTTCGTAAAGAAGAAGACGTTATTGAATTGATACCTTTAATAATTGTAAGTGAGTGAATGTTCTGGATGTCATTTATATAAGAATTTCGAAAAAAATTGACTAAATCAAATAACCCTTCATAGAGGCAGCCGTGTCTATTCCCATATACGTATAATTCAGAAAATGTTAACACAGATGAAAACTTTTCAAGTGTTTGAAAATATAATCTCGACATATAATTATGGGTGCTATAATATATTATGCATATAACAGTATTTAGAAGACAATGACGAGATATTTCAATTAGAACAAGTCTCAATCTCTGACTGTACATCTCGTCTGAATGAATAGATATTAAAATGCGGTCCTTTTTTGTCATGAAAGATTGAAGTATAGTGCTATCAAACTCAGAAGTATTTATTATAATATTATTATTATGGTTAAAAAGAATATTATAATCTAATGGGTAATACACAGGACTTGTCATGCCATCAATAATTGTAATAATACCTATAGTTCGTTGAATTTTTTCTTTAAAATGTAAACTAATTTTGGCCCAACTGATCAAAGTCTTCAAACTATCATTGTTGTTCTCTACAATAATATCTAGGATTTCGAGTGGGAGTAACATGGTTTTTTCTTAATAAACTGTAGCAACATATGTACATCATTTATAACTGTTTTGTTAAGAGTAAGCGATATATACACTGTCCCATTTTAAATAAGATAGGAAATATACTTAACATACTATATATTAAATAAAACGAAAAGTATTTTATTTTACTAACTACTCTCCTAATAGAAACCAGTCCCTATCTTCTTCCCTTACTGCGACTCATTTAATGGATGTAAGATATATATGTATTAAATATTACATACATGACTTAAAATATATTAACAATGAAACTGTATTCGAAAAGAGGGGCAAAACTGAGTTCTTCTGAGCTTCTTCCTCTTAGAAATAAGTAGAAGGGAACCCTTAATATTAACGTTCCTTCTCTTGCATCATATAAATGAGCAAGCTCGTATGTTGAAGTCATCAATTTAAAGATAACAATAACTGCTGGTGCTGTCCTTTTTCATTATACGGAACAATACATTCTGGATGTATTAGAAGATAGGGAAGGATCGACAAACAATTTCAAGGCTATTGGTTCAAAAACTCCGAGGGTAATGTCACCACAGCCACCTGTCCCATCACCCTTGAAATATGCTGATTGAATATCCTTTATTAAAATTGCAAGGAGGTATCTATCTCCCTATTTTGCCCCATTTGCTGGCACCAGTTTCACATTTTGTCTTTCTCATACACATACTAAAGAGAGCTTTTTTTCTGATATCACAAGAAGGACTCACTTCAGAACATTATTAACGTTTTATCATTTGAGAAACGCAGAATTATAGAGTTTCGAAGGTATTATTAACTTAGATGATCTGAATATTTCTTTCTTATACATCATCAAAATGAGAAATGATGATGTGTTTCATTTTATTAATAGAGCTCTATGTATATACTAAATTTATGTAAAGTGTTTGGGGTCTCATGACGCTTTTTAAGTGGGGACATCTGGAAGTAAAAAGAACAAACAGAGTATTTAACTAGGTCTATTCTATCTTGCTTGAGGTCTATATGCCTCTTATATAACATATATCATTTTCTTGTCTATTGACCACCTCTTAGGGTCAAGACAAGATGCAATTGCATACCATCTACTAACTTGGCGTCACCAACAGTATCTTCATCATTTCTGAATAATTCAAAGATTTCAAATATATATCAAAGGCCTGTCAACTACATGGAAATAATTCCATCGATATCGTTCATAATAGACACGGCTTTGTCTTTGTTCAAAGACTTTGTTAGTATATAAAAAAATTCTAATAATTGGAGAATATAAAAAGGTCACTACTTCGCCCGTTATTACTGGCATAATATTAAACATACATTTGTTTACCTTGGAAAATAAGTCTCTGTTGTGATGGTGGAATACCTTCCTTTTGTTCTAGTAATTCCTTGATATGATATATAGAGTCAGTTTCTTGTAATTCCACTTCAATTTCTTTCCCTGTAAGGGTTTTCACTTTAATAAGCATGACTATAATATATTAATGCAGTCTCGAATTGGGGAGCAGAACTATCGTGGTATCAAATTGGATCAAAGTCTATTGATAAGATGTATAGAATATTATATGAACTTCAGTTTAGCTCTAATTAATGTTTTTTTTATTTTACTAAAAGTGTACATCAATTTAAATTACTATCATTGCATTTCAAGGAACTTCGCTTAATTGCTGCTTCTATTGTTTCGGGAGAACATTAGTAGCACAAACTGGAAAATTCGTACTAAGCTCAATTTTTAATTATAAAGCCATAAGGTCATCGAACAAACCTACTTAAAAGAAAAACATATTTCAGTTTGAATTAACATTACACGGAAACCACATTTTCATTAGCCCTAGACAGCTAGACATTACAAAAAGAACGAATTTGAATTGAGATGTTAGCTACACCATACGTAAAGTTTGATTACGAGAAAGTGTACGAGCCAGCCGAGGATTCATTTCTATTATTGGATTCCTTAGAAAAAGATCAGTCTTATTTAGCAAAAAGGTTTCATGACCAATTGGCGGTTGTGTGTGAATTAGGTCCAGGTTCAGGTATTGTGACTACGTTTATGATGCAAAATAAAATGCCTTCTCAAAATGCTATATACTTTGCACTCGATATTAACCCATGGGCCATACAGGCAACAGAGGATACCGCAAAGCGAAATGATTGTGATAGAATTTACCTTGAACCTATACAGTCCAACCTGACAAGTTCACTTAGACATAGTGAGGTAGATGTCTTGTTATTCAATCCTCCATACGTTCCAGCCGAAACTATACCTGACATTCCAGAGACTAAAGATGATATCGATACATGGCTCGACCTAGCACTTGTAGGAGGAGAAAACGGTATGAAGATAACACAACTTGTCCTTGATAATTTGAATTCTACATTAACAGCTAATGGTGTGGCATATATACTGTTTTGCGCTAGGAATAAACCCGAAGAAATTGTGAAATCGATGACTTCTCTTTGGAATATCGAACTCGTAGAACATAGAAAGGCTGGTTGGGAAGTTCTTAGCGTGTATCGTTTCTCCAGGAAAACAATATAGTAGCATCGAATATTTGCATAATTTTCTTATTCAAAGAAAAACATTCATTAATGATATATAGATTTTATAGACATATCGGTAAAGTAATATAAATTTATTTACACTTGATTGTGTGCATTATCATCAATTATGTTTAGGTATATCTTATCTCACTTTCTCATAAAATGTATCAATTAAATATATCATCAAATATATCGTCCTTACATGATTCAATATCCATGCCTTTCATGCCGTAGATACTTTCGTAATGTTCATAACTTAGTTGATGGAAGAAAATTCTTAATTGAGTGTAATGTTGAATTTTATGGACTCCCATTAATAAAGGAATTCGTAGTGTACCTGATGTGGAGAGTTCGAAATCTTCTGTTCTGGAATTTTCAAAATCCTTGAACTCGGCAATTTTATCAACAAGTGCAACAAAAGGTGCATTTCTGTGGATACAGTTGATAGTATCTATTATAAAAATCCATTCGTTAGTAGCGCTAAATCCTTCTAAACCTAACGATAACAATAAATCAAGTGTTTTGCAAATTTGTAACACTTCGTTTGAATCTATTTCCTTTTGAATTTGTAGGTATTCATAAAAACGTTGAAGGTTGACTTGTAGACAATATGCTATTTTAGACCAATATTCGTTGAAGTGAGAAGTATTAAAAGTTAAAAATAAAGCTCTTAATAATATCCAACTGTTACTTTTCAATTGATTCTCATCGGATACTAAATATTGATGAACACAAGAAAATAGAGATTGGAAATCTACCAAATACGTATCCTTTGGTGAGATTAACAATAAATAAGAAATTTTTTTTAAGTTTTGACTTCTAGCATTCGTCTCAGAGTTTGACCACGAGTTAAAAGGGATTAAAGAAGGTGTCATTCCAGTTTTCTTGCTCCCTGTGACAAGTAATAATTCACTTAATAATTTGGTCTTGTTCTCTGGATATGTTGACCATTGATATATAATATCTCTCCAGGTAACATTTTTACCAAACGAAAGGAATTTCTTATCATCTACAAAGGTTTCATCCATCAATAGTTTCCAGTTTTTAACTTTTGAGCCCACTTCTGTGACCTTCAAAGCTAGAGATAAAATATTTTCATCTACCAAAAGTTCCTTGGATTTAAATTTAGGTGACAAGTATTGAGAAACAATGGTTGATACCACAGCATTAAATTTATCTCCTCCAATTGGATCATTCACCACACTTTCCGTATTAGTTACCAAGGTTGACATGCTGGTGTATATATTTTTCTCTATTTCTTTATCATATGGGGTTGTATCTACTAATATATTTGGAATATACCTCATGAATAAATCTGAAACTTCCTTACGGTATCTTTTTTGATCAGCAACCTGTGATAGTGCTAATTTTGTAGCAACTGTACCGACAAAATCAATTATCTCCAAGTATATGCTCTTAAATAACGTATAATTAGTGGAGACTTCTTTAAAAAATGTAATAAAGTCATCATAAAATTCTTCAATGGCTGAATTTTCCAAAGAAACTGTGTATTGAATAATGAACTTCATAATAGTCGAACTATCTAATTTATTAAGTAATGACGGTTCGTTTTTTGAAATTCTAGAGGTGTTAAATTTTCCAGAATTGAAGGAAAACTTAATTGTGGTATGAATGTCAAATCTCAATATCACGCTGTATAGCAAATATGGAATTGTCAAAGAAGGTTTGTTTCCATCCAAAACATGGATTAGAGTTATTACATCTTTATCTTCATGTGCAACCAAATTCTCTAATGTCTCTAATGGTTCTAGGAAAAACATTTTTTCGAGCAATTTTTTAGTTTTGAATTTAAATTTATAGGAGCTATGGTACTTTGTTGACAGTGCTCTATCAATAGATAGATTATGAGCCCAAAACCACACTTCCGTACAGCACAGTGATATTTGCTTAAACGTCTGCAATACAACATTTCGCTCACCCTGACTTCTAACAGTGTCTTCTGTATTCTCTGTATAAAAGACATTAGAAACAACTGATTGCAAAAAGTCACTTCTTTGATTAGTACCTCCAGAAGACAATCCATTTTTATCTTGGGAATATAAATAACCATGTGCTGTTTCTAATAAATTTTCTAAACCTTCAAGTAATAGAGCAATTGGTTTGTAATATCCGCCTTTTTCTTTTTCTAAGGCAAATAACCTAGCCAAACACTGGATAATAGACGCAGTTAAAGGTAGAAGTACATGGAAAATTGATTCACCAAAATACACCAGACTTTCAGTTAGTATTTTAACATATGATGAGATAATTAGCGGAGTATTCATCGAAGATAAACTAGTTACTAGGAAATCAATATATTTCAAATGGGTGGAGTTGTCGTCAAATATATCCAACTTTATACCATTATCATGTGATAATTTCAAGACCTTTGAAACTATATCTAATAACGACACAGCAATTAATTCTGAATCTACACCTCCTTCAGATATATATTTTGACGACATCTGTAACGACATCACAACAATATCTTTGAAATTAGATTCTGTTCCATCTAAGAGTAAATCTAATAATATCAAAATACTTCTTATACTCTTGGTATCTGTATTATTCTGCAGATTTAAAAACCTTAATGATATCGCTACCATTAAATTCTTGTATGTAGATATGTCATCATTTTTCCAGGCCTCCACAGAGCTTATTGAAGTCATCTCGGTACTAAAGTTCTCAATGATAGAACATTCACTGATATTCAATACAGCAGATAAAATTCTTATTTTATATGTGAACATTTCTAAGTCATCGAATTGATCTAGAGAGTCCTTATTGATAAAACTAAATTTCAGTATTTCACTCGTCAGCATTTGGTATAATTGGTTACTGGATCCTGCATTCAATAAAGATACTACCCATTTAGAAACAGAGAGATAATTTGGATTTTGTCTATCAAACAACTCATCCAATATCAACTCTAGAGGCTTATCTAAAAGTTCATTATGAGCATCTAATTGATCCCACAATAGATCTACGACATTTAATTTATTTGTAAAGTCATTTTCGTGAATAAAGGCAGATGCTAGGGCACTAGCAACGTACTTCCTAGGAATTGTTCGTTCAAATGACTTTAAACATTTAATTGCGATCTGTTGTTTGAAAGAAATAACCATATACCCCCAAAGTGAATGAATAATCAAATTCAAAAGCTTTATTGATTCCATAATATTGATTCTGTTTCCAAGATACTTGCTATACAAATTCACGATTCCTAAAATTTCGTTTGTATCTTCTTGAGCTGAAATAGAAATCGTAACCTCCGAAAGAGTTTGTGTAAGTTCTTCATTTTGAACTTCAAGTTTGTCATTGTGTGAATTTTCAGCTTGTTCTGGTATTACCTCAAATAATTTCACAAAAAATTCGGCTATCTCATTAATTCGTTCATTGGTTTTCAAACTGTGTATTACAATGGAGTGCAAATTGCGTAGACATAAGTATGTTATATCTTCTGTTGAAAATGGTAAATCCGAATCTATACCCGATATATCTGAATCTGATTGCTCTGGGTTTAAGACGTCTTCGTAAAAAATTTCAATTTTGTTTATACTATATTTTGGCGTCGAAGATTCGTCGTATATAATTGTTGAATGTGATACAGGCAGAAATGCTCTTTCCGGTGTAAACTCCAATAATTGATTTAATATCTCAAAAACTTGTTTAGTTTGTGAGTCAGATATCATCGTTTTTATATTAACATAAGATAATAGAGACAACATCATCAACGGTAGGTGACGAACAATAATTTCTTCGTCATTGGCAATATTGAAATTTGTCAGGATGAATTTCAAAAAGTCGAAGTTTTTTTCCTCTTTTGTGTACTGAAAGATCTTACCCCAAATTATGTTAGTCTCAACAGCATCAAAAAATGAGGCAGCAGTTCTGATTACATTCTCGTCATCTGCAAATTTCTGGGTCGCAGATAGTAAAAGAATAAACATTTCAGGAACTATTAAAGATCCAATTTCCCATTTATCTAGAAAGGTTATACATATCCTAAATGTGATAACTAAATCTTCTTTCGTGGAAATGTGGTCTTTTAGACTATCTAATAATGGCTCTAATCCGTAATTTATAAAATATTCATTAGTATTTATTTTTTGGTTCGGTTGTGGATTCCCATCTAGGGAGCTGGATGAATCATTACTTTGAGATATCGAAGTAGATCCTAAAAGCCAATTCCATATTCTTCTATTAAGTGACATATCTTTATTCAAAGTTGTAGTACAGCATTTAAATATTAGTAGTTTTCTATCTTCGTTGGAAATTAAATTAGTAATAACAGGGGAATTCAAATGCATTCTCTGCAATAAAAGATCGAGAATATTTCTTTTGATTAAAATGTCATTATCATTATCTAAACAGCGGAAAAAACAGCGAACCAGAAGTCCAGGTTCTGGTGTTACCAAATCCTTTGCAGCTGGCAGTAGTGTTTGTAAAACTTGCTCTTTCAATTTTTTTTTCTCTATGGCTTTATCGATACTGGTATTTCCACTACTGTTATTAGGAATGATATCGTCCTCCTTTTTCTTATTTTTAATCAAATGTGGAACAGCATTCACAGATGGAAATTTTTTCATTAACCAAACTAATCCTCCTAGTCTGCGATCTTTACTGGTTGCAATTACAAGGAAGCAAGTCTGCCAAAATAATGAATCATCAGCCATATTTTCTTTCATCGTCTCTATCAAGTTAAGGGTAACTGGTAAAAATTCACTACTTTCATCATCGATACCTGGAAGTAATGAGGCGATCAACGGTTTGACGAGCATTCTCAAAGTTGGCGCAGGTAATTGAACTAGATACGTATCGTATAGATCTATCAGATGTGATTTGACGGACATAGATGCAAACGACATTAAAGGTAGAATACCAGGAATCCATATATTAGCTTCTGCGGCCAGCATTTCAATACCTATATTCTCGAATATATATGTGTATACCTCCAGAGTTTTTTGATGTACCCCTGCTGGTAGGTTTGGGGATAACGAGGATGTCAATCTCCTATTAACTTGGTAAGGTGTTGGAACATAATATTTCACGTTTTGAAACTGAGGTTTCCAACTCTGTAATGCTTTTAAAAGGGCACCAAGGCTGGCAATGTAATCGGCCCATTCTGTTACCGTGTCGAAACGTTCCAAGGCCCTACTAATACTACTCTGGAATTTCTTTTGTTTAGAGTCTAGATGTTTGTCCGTGGAATCAATTGTCAATGGTTTCAATTGTAATGACATTTTTCACAGTTTGATATCTCGTACAGTTAAGTTGGTCAAGATTCCATTAATTTTTATAGTGTATTAGTTCATTTCTGCGTGTGTCAAGGTTCTTGTAGTTCACATTATATAATTTTAAAGAAAAATAAAGAGGTCTTGATGTTTTCGTTTATTTCTCCGCCAAGCCGCTTTGGATCATGTGATAAAAAAAATATATATATATATATATATAAATTTTCACGAAGTGGAACAAGATGTACTACTATTCATATAAAACATTAGAACTGGAATGGCGTAAATGATTGGTTATATACAGTGTATTGATCTTATTTTACTAAAGAATAGTAATAGTCATTATGTATTATATGCAATAGAACTCCTTTTTTCGGCGCTCCTTATGGGAATGTAGATCCATGTTTATAAATTATTGTTTCTTAGTAACCCTTCCATATAAATACATTACCATCCCATGCAGTTGACGCTACATAACCTGGTTTACCCCACAAACTCCAATCGGTACCAAATACAAACTCAGAATGTCCTCCAAATTTTGCAATGCATCCCTTTCCTATATGAGTATTGTTTGTTCTATTTGTTAGGCTCCTACCGTCAAAACTCAAGTCTTTCCATATTGAGCAAGTCATATCATAGGATGCAGATAATAGTAACGTGGGGTCATGTGGAGACCATACAACCCTTCTTACTGCTAATTCGTGTGCTCGTGTGATCTCATTGACACATTTAGGTCTTGTTGTTGTAGTTGCTGATAAGTTGCCTCTAGTGGTTTCAATCATCCTTAAATCCCAAATACGTATTGCGTTATCAACACCACCAGAAGCGATAATATTGGGTCGATACTTGTTGAAATCACATGTTAGAGTCTCTAGGCCACCGTGTGATAGAAAATTTTGTTGGTTATTTGAGGTGGAAGATTGTCTCATATCGAATAATGTAATATAGGAGTTACCCGCACAACTAAGTATTAAATTAGGATCGTGTGGAGAGAATATTGATTGATATATGCAGTTTTTATTCTGAATTACATCAGAATGTGTATTTTGATTTGATAACGGTATATCAACGCGGTCAACATATTCTATCACTTTCATTGGATACGGTACTAATGTTGATAAACTATTTGTCCTTAAGGGAGACCATATTTTCACACTGCCATCCCATGAACTACTTGTGAATGTATTTTTACTCACTAGGTTCCAATTACAACTTAATACTTCTCTTTCATGTTCTTTAAAGACAGCGATCGGATAATCCTTCTGAGTTATATCGAATAAACGTAACGATCCGTCACCTTGCGCCACAACCACCTGGTTTTCATGTAGTTCATTCCATGCAGTATCAAACAAACAATCCTGCGTGATAAATGAGTTAGATTCTTGTAATTTACCTTGATCGTTGATATCGATGATATGTAGCTTCCCGTTCCCAACTAATCCAAAATTTGCCCCTGAAGCGACAGCTAACTTATTGTCAAAGAAAGGGGAATATTTGACACTATAGCCACTGAATCCATCCATTCGGTACCCGTTCATTGTTGATCTATTGGGAGTGTTAGAGTTTATATTGTTTCTGATCCTGCTACAGTTCTTCCTTAAAATTGTAGGCCTTAAAGAGTAAACTAATTATGAAGTCCCTAGTAACGTATACCATCAACTTTCACTGTAGATGACTAAAAGTATTGTCCGAGTATTGTTATCAAGACAAATTGAAATATACTCCTATTACCAATAAATGTTCATCATATTTCGTTTCCTTTCACCCTTCTTGAATGTTGCTCTCTGTATATATCACTCTCTACTCTCCCTTCATGACTAAATCAAGGAAGGAAAAGAATCGAAGAGGAGTAAAAAACGAGTTTTCCCCAATTCTCACACGGTAAACTCTCGAACGCCGCTTTAGAAAGAAGAGAGTAAAGAGAGGCAGTGTATGGATGAATGGAAATGAGATCATTTAAGATGTATATATGAATGAGCTATATAATTACCTATAGACAAATGATGTGAGTTTAGAATGAACCGTCGAAGTGACATGAAGGACCCCTAAAGTAAGAATGACAGAACGAAAGATGCAACGGTTACGAATAACGTCGGTATGGACAAATTATCTTGACCGTTGGTCTTCTCAACACGGGAGGTAGTACTACTTCTATGTGTACTTGATTGTGTGCCAGAGGCCCGTCTGCCAGAACCTGAGATGGTAGTAGCTGCAGATGCAACTGTAGCATTGCTACCTAATGTGAAAATGTTACCCCCAGAAGTGATATCTTGACTAGTAGACCATGTATTCGAATATGATGCACCTGTGACAGCACTTGGAACATTAGAACTAATGACTTCGATGTTTTCAGTATCGTCATCATAACTGGCTTGAGCCAAAGAGATTTCATAATTTTCTAAATCGTAGACAACGTAAGCATGAGTTAAGAAAACATCACCTAGAATGACAGAGGGAGATGTTTCAGGAACCACTGCAAATATACATTGTCTATTACTTGTTGTAGTAGATATTAAGAAATCTGACAATGGCGCAGTGATATGGAATCCACCGAAATCAAACACTAGTTCAGTGTCGTCACTACTTGACAAACAACTCATTTCGTAGAAACCTGATGTTGATGAATAAGTGGCACCGATTTGTTCGGCTAATAACGATACAAGGTCTGCAGGCATATAAGTGATAGTGGTACCAGAATCCAACAAAGCAGGAATCTTCGTTTGAGAGATGGTGACTTGTCCATCACTACTAGAAATACCGATACCTTGTAATGTCACATCAAATTCGATTGGATTTGCAAACCCTTGATTTTGATAAATGTTAATCATTGGTATGGTGTATAGATTACCAGCATACTTGTTATGATCTACCGCACCGAACAAAACAGACCCATATTTGGCGTCGGAACTATCTAAATATAGGGAGTAAGCGGTATGTTCAATAGCACCAGATTGACGTAGGACCATTGGTAGATTGGCGTATTGATAATGATGGGATGCACTGGTACTAGCTGTCCCAGAATATGTTGATTCTAAGCCTGGTAAACCTATCCCAAGGACACCCACAGTCGAGTTTGTATAGTTTGCTACACCGAATGAGACACCTGTAATATTCACATCGTTCATGGCCAGGATATCTTGACCCCATGTCCCCGAGGCGTATGAATTATCACCATAGGAGATCTCGAAATATGTTTCATTTGATTTGAATGTCGAGGATGTATTAACATTAAAAGTCCCATAACTTGAACAATCAATGGTGGCCTCAGCTGCAGTATTAGCTGTTCTAGTTGCAGTGGCTGTTTCGAAGGCACCAGTATTGAAAGTAAAATCGGAGGCCGTTATAAAACTTAATGGATCTATTCCGCCTCCAATCGTGATTTCTGTAACAAATATAGCTCCGTTCTTCTCTTTCAATACATAATCATTTGAAACAGGTTCTTTGTCTCTCTTTGCATATGCACTATTTGATGAACAGAAAGGATTATCTGAGCCTGTGACCCATAGATCCGAAGAACCGGTATCTACCAGCACAGTGACCTGTTGCGCAGGTGAACCAATATCCAAATCCACAGAATAAAAACTTTGTTGATTAGTTAGTTTGATCTCTTCATAGTTCGAGGATCTTTTGAACAATGGTCTATTAGATTGAGAGGAAGTATTATATGAATCCCCAATACTTTTATTAAATCTTAATTTCACGAATTTATTGTCTTCTGCAGCGTATACTGTGCTTGTTGCTATTGATGAAGCAACGAATAATTTTGAAAACTTCATCTAGAATAACAAATAGGTGTATTTTATATGTTGTATAGTTTCTGTAACCTATACTATCTTGTTTGTATTCTTTGTTTTCTTTAGTCTTTAAAAATAAATTTAAAATTAGAACATAAACTGATTTAAATAAATTTGTAAACAAGTATCTATATATATATACATATGAATATGAATATAAATAGCTGAAAATTATAAAAAGAATACGACAGTGGATGTATTAAAAAAAGTATGTGTAATTAACGAGTGAAGTAAATAAATAAAGAACAAGAGAGCAAAAAGAACAAGAGAAAATATGAGATGACCAAAGAACAGAGACAGAGATACGTTGTATTGTTTGATATTTATAGATGAGAAACAAAGTGTACGTATTATCATAATTATCATTAAAATTAAAATCGCGAAACGAAACGAGACGAATCGTAACAAAACGAAATAATCATGCTTTAAAATTGACATAACCAAAACAGAAATATCGACGTAATTTCACTTCCATTAAATTCTCGAATAAAAACGCCGCCAAACAAAAGAAAAACCGTTTTAGTTGGTCGATCGTTTGATCAATTCTCAGCAAATATCTACCTATGCTACATACGTAAGAAAACAGTGCAGCAAAATCACAATCAAAAAAAAGTTTTTCCTTTTTTTGGGTTTGTTTGTTTGTTTGTTTGTTTGTTTTCCACGGCATTACAAAGAAATTGTCCTACAAGACACAGGAATTTTCCAGTCCTTTCAATAAATGAGTAAATCCGATTCCACAAGAGAAATCATTGAATAATGTGAGCACAGAAAGCTAACAAAGGATCGTGTTCGTTAGTGTTATAACAACGGGACTCAAATAAATGATGTAACTTATTCTTAAATTTTAGGGCTATGTAAATACTACGTCTTATCGCACTGATAAGTAATATTGGCCTGTGGTATGTATATTAATACAGTGTGACTTGGTACTCAATCAATGTCTTTGGTTTAGGATATAGTACGCTACTTAACAAGTTTAAGTCATTTTTTTTTCACTCTAAATAGTGTATAGACCTTGATCTCTCAGGAGAGGATGGGGGAGGGGTGCGTGTGTTTGATACAGACATCTATTAGAACTACTGACTTTTAGGTCAAAACAACAGATTCTGATTAACGGAATAATAAAAATGTCTTGGTTGGTTCTTATTTATTTCTCTGCTTTTTCCCAATTGAGGATAATGAGTTATACACGAGTTTCGCTTTGGCTGAGTTTCCCTCTTTAATTATTTACCGTCTAAACTGTTGTTCGAGCATAGAATTTTAATTATGCTGTGTATTGAATGCTGATTTCTATCCTTTCTTTTTCTTAGGGGGAGCAGGGAGGGGGGGACACGGATAAAACACGGTCGAAGAGGAAGGCAGATAATTTGTATTGAGGTTTTCTGTGCCGTACACGATGACACGGATACGGAAGAAAGAATCAATATACTTTAAATTGTCTTCCTTTGCTCTGCGTGACATTCTTGGCTGCAATGTTCCGTTTGGAGTGGAATGAATTCTGTTCGTTCATTTTGAAGAAAAAACTTCGTAGAGACCAAGTCTTTAATACCGTGTATAAAAAATACGTAATTCCGTGTTCACACTAAATTGATTCCTCTTTTGGGTGCAATTTAGAATCAGTCAGCTCCGTGTATATTTACCACACAATAATATTAGGTTCATGTCTCATCACCAAATATTTGTCCTTGGGCAGGGGGACGAGGGGAGGATACAGAGATGCGATCGGGTTTAAGGTAACTTATCTTTTATTAAACGTTGTATCAATAATGGAAAGTAGGGTTTGTAATATTGACTTCCCTTACAGTTTCTTATTCTAATTATTATGTCGTCACAGTAACCGATGAATGTGACTATATTTAACAGTAACCCATTCATATGTGAATACTATAAGGAAAAGAGTAATGCAATAGATGACGGATAATATTATTGCTAATATCTATCAGATTCAAGAATTCAAGACTTGTTTAATTAGAATAAAGAGTGAGGCGGCTGGGTTGACAAATATATTATTAACTATTGGCCCATTCCTCTTCCTTCGTCTTGCTTTTACCAGATTCGGTAATTGATATAGTGTAAAATATATTATAACTGAAGCCATCTTTTTTTTTTTCATTGACATCTTAAAATATAATTTTAATCTCCGAGCCGAAAGGGTCCCGTGACCTGTAAATAGATTATCTCCGTATCCAACTTGTCAGCAGTTAATCATATGTAATTCACAATACAACAAAATAAGTTATTGATATTAACCATATATCAGAGTTGGCTTAGTCTGAAGATAAGGATAACAACCGTTTCAATCCAGAGAGGAGGAGTCGCTGATCGTTATCATAATACAGAAAACTCTTAATATATCGAATTAATACTTCGCTTCACAAAATTAGCTACAGACTTCGGTATTTATGAGTTTGTGATATCGATAAATTATGATCGGTATGATATATATATATATATATATATATTGAAGTATAGTTGGATTCAAAAATTTAGTTACCCGCATTAGACAGTTTGTATCATGTTGCACGAACTACACGCTCAATTTCAGTAAAAGAAAATTAAACAAAGAAAAAGGTTATTTATTTGAAATCACCGATTACTACAAACCATTTGGTAATGGAAAAGGGAAAGCTTGATATATATATACAAAGAAAGAGGTAAAGAGATATTTAGAAGCCTACTTTATAATTTTGTTTTTTTGAGTAAATTACATTGACCTTGTATTACTACTAGTGTTCGTTGTTTAACTTCCTGTTGCAAATACAAATCATCATCATTATAAAGCATTGACAAGTGATCAACTAAATTCTATAGAGTTTTTTTACAGGATAATAGGTTAAGATGTCTACAAATCCAACTAATACTAATGGTAGTGGTACACCAAACAGTTCCACAGGTGCGACACCCGCTCCACAACAAACACAAACACAAACACATACACCTGCTCAATTAACACCACAACAGAAACAAGTAATGGAATTGAGTGCAAAATTCAAAGCGTTAGTTAATGAAGCTAAAACTATCGGTGAGAATACACAAAAAGGGAAAGAACTATTAATGCAAGCCACAAAGATTAAAGCTATCTACGATAATTATATCAGACAAAGACAACAAGCTGCCCAAGCGTATCAAGCAAGAATGTCAGGTAACACCACAACAAATACATCGGCCTCAACACCATCAAGTAGTGGGAACAATAGTAATAGCACTAAGAGTACTCCAAATTTTTCAAGCACAAATAGTAGTCAAGGAAGCCAATTGGCAAATGTATTGAAACAAGTATTGACACCAGAACAAAGTCAACAATATGATAAACTTATGGCAAATTATAAAATGAGAGCTAATAATATTAAGGATAAAAGACAGTTTTTGAAGCAAAATATTGATAGATTGACAACAGAAATTAATAAACAAACAGATGTTAATGCAAAGAATCAACTAGGAGGAAAACGTAATGAATTAATAACTAATTTGAAGACTTTAAGTGAGGAATTGAATAATTTATATCAACAGTTACAAAATGGGAAAAGAACTTTCTATATTGAATGTGCAAGAGTGAACCCAGAATTACAACGAATCCTTCAAAAGACAAGTCAAAGATTACAACAACAAAAACAAACAGGACAAAGTAAAACAGGTACACCTAACTCCACCGCTCCACCGTCGGGAAATTCTTCAACGGTGTCAGACACTAATCTAAATTCTGCCACTCAACAGATAGTTGGTAATAATGCACCTGCACAAGTGCCAACATCACAACAACCTTCACAAACTCCACAACCACAACAAGCAACTAGCAATGCCCCTGCAAATAAAAAATCAACCCAAACGGCGAATAATAAGTCTCAGGATACACAGCCTACCCAAATACGTCCACAGGATAGTCAGTCACAGTCCGTGGCAACAAATGCAGCCGTAGCTACAAACCCTAGTTCCAATAAATCGACAATATTTAAGCCATCGGATCCATCTATTCCAATATCTGAAAATATTTCTGTTGATGCCCCAGATGCAGTTTCTATTAGATCTAATAGACCAACAATAACAGGTGGTTCTGGTATGAATGCTGCTGTTCTAAATACTCCTGCAATTGCCAAATTACCTCCTTATGAAATTGACACCGAAAGGGTAATGTCGAAACGTAAATTGAGGGAATTGGTTAAAGTTGTCGGTATTGACGAAGGTGACGGTGAGACTGTCATTGATGGTGATGTAGAAGAATTGTTATTGGATCTTGCTGATGACTTTATTACAAATGTGACATCATTTGCTTGTAGATTAGCAAAACACAGAAAGTCAGATAATTTAGATGCCAAGGATATTCAATTACATCTAGAAAAAAATTGGAATATTAGAATACCAGGTTACTCAGCAGATAAAATTAGAAGCACAAGAAAATGGAATCCTTCTGCGAGTTATAACCAAAAGCTACAGAGTATCAATGGTGATAAAAATGGTACAAGTAAACAGACTGGTAGTTCCAACAAAAAATGATACTATCAAAACTTAAACTATAAAAAGAATGTAGTGTAATAATAATTTGTTATATAATGAGTTAGTGAAATAATATATAATTAATTTTTAATTCATTATACTAAGTTGTTCGTCATAATGTCATATTTTCTAATCAAAACCCCTACTAACGGTTAGTCACTCATGTGGAAATGTTGCAGCAGCCCTAAAAAGGCTAACATTAGCTTAACCTATCTGAAGGAGAAGGTAGCTAATATAAGTAGAATTTAGAGTGTGCTGCATTACCGTATATATAATAACACATGGTATATACTGCATAATGTAGTATTCGTTCCCCCTACATTGGGTTTATTGGAGCTACATTGTCCAACGTCGCTATTCACAAACGATGCGCAGTTTAACAACAGCAACTCTGTTTAACATATATTAGTAAGTTGTTGAGGGATTAACCTATCAATATATCATTGCGGGATGAATTTGTCATAAGATCATTACTTTGGTGATTCTCATTCTTATAATATATTTCCGAGAACATTCGGAAACAATTATCTGAATAAATGAAATACTGTTCTATTTATATATTGGAGTTCTTGTTATCTTGCTTATCAACTCATTGGACGGTGTTTAATTGATCTATAATTAAATTACGACTGATGTCTTCTTGAGAATACTAATGATATTTTCTAACAACTCCTAAACGTTCTTTTTATTCATATTTAGGTCCCTTGGCCCAGTTGGTTAAGGCGTGGTGCTAATAACGCCAAGATCAGCGGTTCGATCCCGCTAGGGACCATTTTTTTTCAGAATTTAATTTTTTATTAAAAATAAGGTGATATATTGGTTGTCTTTTTTGGAAGTTTTATCACAATTAGGGTTAATTATAATAAATTATATAAATGTTACTAGATATTATGTTATTTTTATGTTCAAGTAATGAATGTTTGTTCTCTGTGGTATTCATGTTTTTCCTGAAGGTTTTTTTTATATATATTGGCTCTTTTTATTAATTTCATTGTATCAGATGGAAATGACCACTCCTAAGACTCTATCCAAGCCGGGTTAGTTTTGGGAATGCTTGGAACAATAAGTAATTCGCGAACAATGTAAATATATGTACTATTTTTAACGTATTCTCCATTTTAGTTTAAGAAATTGAGCCAAATAGTTTAGTCCAAGTTAATAGCGGAACTATAAGGACGAAATTGCGATAAAAGAGTCAGATCTTAATATATATTTAATGATATTCAAAGTTCATCTTAATGTATAATACACATTAATTTTACCATTTTTAAACAGACATTTATCATCTCAGGGAATTTTCACTTTGAACTCATTATTAATAGGTAGTTTCAACTCAGTATATTTAATTTCTTCAAATTACTGGAATTTCGGAGAGATAACTATAACTTGTAAGATATGTCGAGATAAACCATAGAATAAAAAAAAAAAAAGAAAAAAGAAAATAGTACTTATTATCTTTTTAAATTAATTAGAAGTAGTATCGTTAAAGTAGTTTATAATAATCGTATATATATTAAATGAATATGTAAAACCAAATAATATTAAGAAATTCATTATAAGTGTGTTAGGCCCATTTACCTAGTAATGCCATTAAACCAGCACCAAGACACATACAAATATATGCCATTATCATTTTCTTGAAACCATTATCACCCTTAAATTGATTAGAAAATAGAAATTCGTGGGCCATTAATTCTACTAAACCAGTGTATATTAAAATACCTGATGATATAGAATCAAAAACACCATTTGTGATTAAGGTTTTTCTTGAACCTGGGACAAAGGAATGTCTGACACCGATGCCAATAGCGACAGCAATTGGGGTTGTTAGTGCAAAAGCTAGAGCCATTAACCAGGGTGTGTAATGTTTACTTTCGGGCCATTTTGTTTGAGCTAATCTTGTTCCTAAACCTAAACCTTCAAACATTTGATGAAAAATTAAAACAATAAATAATGTCTTGAATTCTTCACCAGCAACTGCTAAAGAAAGACCAACAAACACTGAGTGAAAGATAATACCAAATTCAAGGACAGTTACTGCTAAGATCTGTGTAGCGTATTTTTCTTCTCTACTTTTTTGCGATGTTTCAAGTAGTTGTTCTGGATCGTTGTGGTTTACTCCATGAGAATAATGATTCGCACCTGGGATCACTGATGGGGACTCCAGTGTTTCTGTTGGTCTAATGGTATCCTTTTCTGAATGGTCATCATTTTTTTCGCCAACAGTATTGAGGTCAATATTTGAATATTCATGTTCTGTATCACTCTCATTATGGTCGTGTTCAGTCAATCCTGTGTCACTATATGCCTTTGTAATGAAATAGTGACTTATAATCTCTGTAAAAAATAGAGCAAACAAAGTCATTAAGGAAATACCAAATGCCCATGGATACTCAGCAAATGTACCACCTAAACATTCATTACCCAATGCATCAGATGCCGGGCTTAGTAGATGAATGAAAGCAGTGGCAACAATGACACCTGACCCGAAAAATTTAGCTAAGAAAAAACACCATTGTGGAAGTCTAATAAAAGAGTATCTTGAAGATAATATTGGGAAAAAAGAGCCAAAACCGGAAGATATTAAAAGCATGAATACAGCTAATATTCTCAAGTTGTCACTACCGTCATAGTCATTTTCGGTATCACAGCTGGGCAGTGTGTCTGTGTCTCTTTTATCTAAAAATGTGAAAAGTTGATCAATTTTAGAGTTCATACTTTGTAGAACACAGAACGTTTGTAAATTTTTATTTGTTTTTTTGTTATATTGGTAAAAGATATGATAAAGAAATAATGACGTTAGCGATTGAATATTCTTAATAACATATATATATATATAATTTTAAAACCTTAGAATCGTGTTACCTTTCAGTTTCAACCCTTAGTTTTAGTAATGTTACTACCTTTTTAGAAGTTCAACCGTTTTAGGTAATCGAATATGTTAAAGGTACAGCGTATCTTATTCGACTTTAAGGGTAATGGGATATATTACTGAGAGACAGAATCGGGTCTTTCTGGCGCTTTGTTTCTCTCCCCTTGAGTATTGCTACAGCCGTTTCTTCCGGCTTATAACAGCGAAAAAAAAAAAAAAAGGTATAATATTGAAAAAATACCGTCGAGGTCATGAATATAAAAGGTTATACCTCGCCATAACCTTTATTTAATTGGTAAACACCCGAATGGTTAGTATTTAGTAGTAATAAAGCTTATTTGTTGAAGTTATTGTTTCAATCAATGTTGAAACTGTGAAGTTCTTGATTAGTGTGTCAATGGAGATTTCTGAATCTTCATTAAGGGTCTTTAAGCAAAATGTCGATTCGAAGTATAAATTTCTACCGTAATCCTATATCTCAGTAAGAATAAAGAAACTGTATATTGAGTATAGAAGGTATATATTTTTGGGTAATTTCCTTTGTGTATAATAATATATGTTAGTGGTATGGTATATTTTTTTAATTTTATATCCTTTTTTAAGATCGTTACAATAAAATACTGTTCCTCTCAATTCACGTCTATGATAATTGTCCTTCATTTTCCAAGGTTAATCGCAGTTCGTTTTCGAGCTCATTTAGAAAACTATCATTTGTCACAGCATCTTCAATGTCAAATGTTCCAATAGGCGTTAGGTTAGGTTGATTTAAGAGTTCATTCGGTATAGAATTCTTAGTTATATGTTTCTCACAAACTGGTTTTTTTGTGGGACTCATACTTTCGATTGGTGGTGCATCCTTTCTTGGCCTACCTCTCTTTCTAGGAGATCTTTTTATGACAACATTTTCAAATTTTTTACCACCAATGCAGATTAAACGACTACGATGAACAATCAAGGCATCCTCCCTATTGAATTTTTTCCCACAAGGACAAGCGTATCTTTTCTCCATATGAGATTTCTTATGCCTTACAAGATCGTGATTTCTAACAAAGGCCTTGTCACAACCATCAAAATCACAAACATATGGTCTATCCTCTAGATGAGTTTGAATGTGTGATCTGATGTTATAACGTCTCTTAAAGGTCTTGCCACAATCAGGGTACATGCATTCAAATTTCTTGTCAAGTAATTCTTTAACATATATATCAATAGACCCACGAGGTAATGTCGTTAATTTCCTTGTGATTTTCTGAGGACTTGGCATCATAGAAGAATTAATATCAGTGCTACTTGGTGTCATTCCAAAACCTGGCGATTGAAATTCAAGGTCATCTCCATGAGGTTTTAATTCTGGGGATGTCCTCTGTGATAAGGTGAATCTACTATCAGGATGATCAATAATAGGTGAATCTGCGATAGACATCAATGGTGAGGATTTTAATTGAGGTGGGCCTAAGTTTGGAGTTGAGGACATATTATTGTCATTGAATAATAAGACATCAGCGACACTTTTTCTTCTCCTATTGGGAGTTTCTCCTATAGAAAACTTGGCGATTGGTCTAATCGGGGAGGTTGATGGAGATTTACTTGTTTCATTGGAAGAATCTCTAAATTTAAAGTTTTCAGGAGCAGCCATAGACCCTCTTCTTGAATCGTTTATTCTAATTCCGAGGCCAATAACAGGGGATTGTAAATCTTTATTTGAAAGAGAATCTGCTCTATAAGGTGACTCTGGGCTTACAACAGATTTTGATGGACTTTCAAACTTTAACTCATTATTGGAAATTGAGTTTTGTTGAGCAAGAGTCGTTGAGAAATTAACTCTCATATTATGTTCTCTGTCTCTAGCAACTGAGCTCCTAGATCTATTATGTCTTCTTCTTGGTGAACCATTCATAGAGGTTGTTGAAGAGGATGTGTTTTCTAAGAAAATTGGTTGTTGGAAAGTGGGCTTTATACTTTTACCGAGTATATTAAAATTCTCACTATTCTTCATATTACTACCCCCTCTCTGTTTTGTTGAAGCTTTCAATTTTCTTGATGGTGTGCTGTTTAATCTTGAAGAGGATGTGATATCTCCTAGCATTGCTCTTAGGGGTTGGGAGACTTTTTGTTTAGTGTTAGATTGCTTGGAGGATAATATTTGGTTTTCCATTTGACTTCTCGCTAGTTGTGCTTCTAATTTATGGTTTAATTCCTCTTGTTTACGTAACGCTTCTTCCAATTTTAATTGTTTATTTGAATTAGACATTTGATCATTGTTGAATTGTTGTTTATCTAAATCGATCATATTATTTTCATTCCATAATAGATCGTTAGGGAGGGCATTGGTATCAGAAAATAAAGTGTCCCAATTCAATGTATCACCAGGATTGATCACATCATTATTGTTGTTGTTATAATTATTAGTTTTCCCAGAAGTCTGAACATTATCAATGAAAAAATCCCCCAAACCAGCAGTAGGATTAGTCTCATGTGAAGGCTCAGCAAAATCAAAATCGTAGTTCTTATTGTCGTTGTTAGCATATGGGTCACTGTTCATTTCCGATAGTAGGTTACTCTGAGTGTCGAACCATGACGAAAGGTTCAAGTTCTCCATTATTATTAATGTGTAAATAAAATAAAATAAAAAGAGAAAGTTATGAGTAGTTTTAATTGAAGTTTTTAAGGATAATCAATCTAGTTTCAATTTCCTATGTAGTTCTCTTATTAGTCAAAAACTTAGTTTGAAAAAGGCAAGATATCCGATGTATATTTGTATATTTATCGAGCAAAATCGTGTGAAGATATATCTTTCTTGTTAGCTAGCTGGATGTTATGATTTCTAGTCAGAGTTAGTTCTTATTAATATTTCAGTTTTTAGAACTTTTAAAGCAAAAGTTGTTTTTATTTCGTTTCTCTGTGAATCCTAGTTTGGTTATCGATTTTGTTTATTCTATCCTTATATAAAAGGAATGATTGTCTTTCGAAGTAAAGAAAGAAAAATAAAAAACGGGGAAAAGTATTCTGAATTAGGAAATATATTGTCATTGATCTCATGGGATGGTATTCCAACCACACCTGTACTTAAAGGGACACTTCTTGAGGTTCTTGGTAACAATTTCTCGGTTATAAACATGTCCTTTCTACCATGTCTTCACATTATCTGCATGTATATTTTGTTGTTTACATATTTCCCCTTTAGGTTCACTAATAGACTCTAACGAAAATCTTCACTTTTTTTTCGTTTGTTTTGCCCGAAAAAGAAAATGCCCTCTCTTTCTCTCTCTTGTCCTCTGTTTCAAATTTCATGGCGGTGGTTAGCTGCACCGGGAAAAAGTGGGAAAAAAATAACCATCACGTGCATCAAAGGTCATGTGACCTGAAAATAATTTTATGTTCAAATATAAGGTAGCTACCGATCAAGGTGTCTCCTTCTATATAGATTGTGTGACTATTACGTTATTGTTCTGTAATTGATTAGGTTGAAATATTAATATTAGCTCAGTAATTGAAAGAGTAATAAGAATAACAAGTAAGAAATAATGATAATATATTATATATTCTTATGTTTGTATGATGCTATGTCTAAACACATATCCTTAAAGGCCTACAAACAAGGCACATACTACTTATAATATGGATCAACACATAGCTTGGTTGTTAGACTAAAAATGAATTTGCAATGTGATCCCTCTCATCCTTCTTTGTAATTATGCACGGCTGTGCTCTCTTTTTATGTATATATTATATATATATCATGGCTGCATTGTAGGGAAATCAGAAATATTAGTGATTGTGAAAATAAGCCTTACTGCCTTCATGGAATCGCACGGCAAAAGTTTTTCGGATGTTACACTAAAACGCGCGAGCAGTCAAAGATGAAATTCTTGAAATTTGCCATAACAATGAGAAATCTCAAATCGGTGGCCCTGATAAGCATCGATCGTTTTCTCGAGAAGGGAAGTAATATATTTGAGAACAGGTTTTGGATTTTCTGCTTATATACTACAACATAACATTGTTTGGTTCACGAAAGGTAGATGAATATACATGTCTATTCTGTATGAATATTTATTAGTTTAACAAGATGACAAATGCAACTGCAATATATGCGAATTACCAATTTAATTCAAAGAACCCAGAACAATTAATTCCTTATTTAACCAATGACGTTTGTTCAGATAAAGGTATATCTCTTTCAAGGATAGATGGTGCCTTGACGAATGTTATTTACAAAGCTGGCCTTTTAGATAGACATGGAAAATTAACCGGTGAAAATTTCTTAATAAGGATTTATGACGCACAAAATGACAGCATTGTTGATAGAGACGGTGAATTAAATATATTAAAAAGATTGCCGAAGAGTTTTGATATGATTAAAATCTTATTTCATTTTAAAAACGGTAGGGCAGAAAAGTTTTTAAATAATTATAGAGCCATTAGAAGTAATGAAATGAAGTTACTATATAATTTAGAAAAAATTGCCTATCGATTTAAGGAATTACATACATTGACAGATTTGACAATACAAGAACAAAAAAAATATTTTGGAGATAATAATAGTATGAAATTTAATTGTTTCTGTTGGGATACTATTTTCACTTGGATTGATACAATAGAAAAGCATACAAAATGGATTAATATGTCAAATAATTTAAATATTCAAGAGAATTTCCTTTGCAAAGATTGGAATACTTTAAAAGCTGTTATATTTCGATATAAAGAATGGTTAATTAAACATGATAATGTCAGTTTTCGTAATTTGGCATTGTGTCATAACGATACCCAACATGGTAATATCATGTTAGAGAAAACAGCCGATGAAACTTCCAATATCATTTTCATTGATTTTGAATATGGTGGTGTTGATTCAATTTCTTTTGATTTAGCTAACTTTTTATCAGAATGTATGAATGATTATGAAGCCATAGAATCATATATATGTAATCCCTTAAAATATCCAAAACTAGATCAAATTCAATATTTTATTAAAAAATATCTGAAACATTTAAACAAGAATGATGTTTCTCAATCTGAAATTATAAATTTATATAATTCGGTAACAAAATGGCGAGCTTCTTCCCAATTATTTTGGTCCGTGTGGGCGGTCTTAAAAAGTGGTGAACTAAATATTTCAAACAATGATGTTAAACTTGATCAAGCTGGTAGATTTCAATATTTAAAATTTGCTCAAAGTAAAATGTCCTTATTTTGGAACGATATGATAAAACTAGGTATTGCGAACTCTAATGATTGTATCATGGATAAGGTGAGGCCTATGGATGTACTTTTCATATAATAACACTTGTAAGGGAGGATTTTTTTTTTATTCTGCATGTTATGTGTATGTTTACGTACATATATATATATAATAAATAGATTAAGATAGAAAGGGAATATTAAAAATTGGATTTTTTCTTTGATTTAATTTTTGTTAAAATGTGTCGCAGAGTTATTTTGGAATAGAAAGTTTTATTCCAAATATGTTTTATCTTTGATATGATATTATTTAAAATAATAACATCTTTCTTGGATCTTCGATTAGTTCTTTGACAGTCTTCAAGAAAGTAACAGCCTCTCTACCGTCGACTAATCTATGATCGTAAGTCAATGCCATGTACATCATTGGTCTTGAGACAATTTGACCATTGATAGTGACTGGTCTTTCTTTAACACCATGTAGACCCAACACAGCAGTTTGTGGAGTGTTAATGATTGGAGTACCATAAAGGGAGCCAAAAACACCACCGTTAGAGATTGTGAAAGTACCACCAGTCATGTCTTCTAGGGTCAATTTACCATCTCTAGCCTTGTGACTTAATCTAACGATTTCATCTTCAATACCTAATACGGAAAGTGATTCGGCATTACGAACCACTGGAGTAACAAGACCCTTTGGTGTAGCTACAGCAACTGAAATATCGGTAAAGTCACGGTAAACAATTTGGTCACCTTCAATGGCACCATTGATAGCAGGAATATCCTTTGCAGCTAAAGTACAGGCCTTTGAGAATAAACCCATGAAACCGAATTTGGTACCCGTCTTCTTAATGATTTCATCCTTGTATAATTTTCTCATATCCAATAGAGCAGACATATCGACTTCGTTAAAAGTTGTTAAAGAGGCAGCTGTATTTTGAGATTCCTTTAATCTTTCTGCGATTCTTAATCTCATACGGTTCATCTTAACACGAGATTCGTTACGTGCAAAAGGTGTAAATGAGTTAGCTGCTTGAGCCGCTGGAGTAGCAGCTGGAGTTGCAGCTGGCGTTGCCTTCTTAGGAGCAGCTGGGGTCTCTTTCTTTGGAGTAGGGGTAGGAGCTGCGGCTGCGGCTGGGGTTTTCTTTTCAGTTTCAACTGGGGCCTCTTTAGCAGCTTCAGTCGGAGCAGCACCACCTTCTGGTGCAGCACCCTCTTCGATTTGCGCTAATTCATCACCAACAGTAACTGTGTCTTCAGGTTGGAAATTCAATTTGGTGATAGTACCAGAGACGGGAGAATTCACTTCGATATCAATCTTATCAGTCTCGATGGTTGCTAACAATTCATCCTCCTTAATATATTCCCCTATAGCCTTTGTATAATCCTTTAGGGACCCTTCAGTTAAAGATTCAGCCATTGGTGGTACGGGTACTGAAGTGGATGCCCAACGACGATAAGTGGAATTATTCAACGATGATGATTGTACTTTGTTGTATGAAGTTTGCCCGACCAAAGATGCAAACGATCTCTTGGTAGGGACGATAGTTGCACATCTTAGATGAACAGATTGTCTAAGAGCATTAGACATAGATTTTTGTGAAACTCTTGAAAGCATGGTGAGGTTTATGTGTATATGTGAGTAGATGAATTTTCAATTATGAAAATGTGGATAGGTTCGATAGGATATACTAGTGAATGGTTCTTTGTTGTAAGCCTACTAATATCTCTTGATCTTAAACCTTTTTGTTTTCTATCTTGTTATTTTAAGGAAGTATCTGGGAAAATAAGAAAATAAGAAAAAAATGTCAAGATTAGGGGAAATACTGGTTATTGCAAACAATAAAACTAATATATATATATAGATATAGAACGGTTTATATAAATGTTGTATTATTATTATTGGTTTATTGGTGGGTTATAAATACTTCAAGAAAGTGATAAATAGTAAACGTATCGGTATCATGTTCCCGTCTCCTCCCCAAATGAAACGAAATACAAAATAATGAAGAAACTGGAAGTAATCACAACCACGCAGTCAGTCGATGAATCAATCATTTGGACTTCCTCCCCTCCCTTCATCCATTTGGGATAGTCGATAACATTTAAGCCCAGTACTACCCGTGAGAGGGAATAGAGAGAGTTCGATCTACTCTCACTTTTCATAGATATAATTGTTTGTTAGTTATTTGCCCTCAATTGGATGATTTATGGGGGAGGGTTGCAGCCAATAAGCGTCGAATATTTTCAACCGTACGCGGTGTTTTTTCTTTCAAGTCAATTTGTGCGAATTCGCGGTGAAGTCCATAGCCCCTCATTTCGTTATTGGTGATATATAATTAGGGCTCAGATATAGGGTTACGTATAGAGTGATGCATTTCTTGAAATCCTATAGCTGCACCATACATTACAGTCTGCAAGATATTTACAATGCATTTAGGGAAGAAACTTGTAATCGCATGTTGTCGGACGGTACTCACGGTACTCTTTCCTACTGGTTCGATATATAGGTATATATCGAACCGTGGATGCGAATATAAACGTATGTTACATACAGAGTTGTTTGATGATACGTCGAAACACACCTCTTCTTCCATGTATTGCTATCTCTAAATTGCGAATTACCAAATTAGCGTCAAATAATTAGAATTTCCTGAATTTTCTCCGGGACTGAAATTTAGCAGACAACGCCGAAGAATATACTAAGAGAGCTACGCAGAGCAAAGGAGCGGCGATGGGATTTATTAATTTCTCTTTTTGGTCCACTTCGTCATCATTCTGTCAGTCAATTGATCGTACGAATTAGACATTTCTCTTTACTTGACTTCAAGGCATCGGAAAATTTTAGTTATGTAAACAATAACAAAAGATGATTATAGGCAGTAATGTGGATACTGAAATAGTGCAATTTGGTGACAATTATGTGATGTGCTTTGCTTCCTGGTTGTAAAAATGATGTTTGGATAGGAAGACTCATTGTGATAGATCGCAGTTTAAGCTCTGATATCGATTTGCCAGGATAGATCGATTGTCGTTAGAATTGAGTTCTAGAGAGTTTGGTATTAACCTATAGTTTTCCTATTCAATTAAATTGTAACAGCTAAAAGGGAGGGGTCCGTGCATATTGCAATAGTTGTTTTATATATATTGTACTTTTTGAAAAGTGTCCGGAGGTTTTCGTTTTGGTTATTGATATTAAATATTATATAGCCCGGGACTTGCTTTCGATTTGAATTTTTGTTACTAACTTCTATTAGCCACATTTATTCGACAACTGATCAATTAGGGTAAATATATATATATATATATAAAGCATTAGTGCGTTTGTTTGGGATTTTGATTAGCATTACTGAGGTTGTGATTATTAAAACTTGTATTTTTTATATTGAATAAAATTACAATACAACAAAATTGAATTGAATTAAATTGGAAGATGACATTGGATTCAAAACAGCCGTCTCATATTTTGAATGATTCAAAGGTGTTAAGCGAATTGGAACATATTCATAATGATTTGATTAATAAATCAAACTTGTCTAAGAATAATAATAAAAATAAATCAAAAAAAGTATTGAACGGTGCAAATAATGCGAATTTAATCCAGGCATTATTGAATAAAGATACTTTTGTCTCTGGAGATTTAGAGATGATGGCGTTATTTAATACTGGTTTGATTAACACTCAGAATTATAAAGACGATTCAGATCTTTTAATATCAATGAATGAACATCTATTGGACTCCTGTAAACAACTGAATTTGACAAATAAGAAATTGACCGCCGACCTAGGTAAGCTTAAAAATGATGATGATACTATGACAGAAATAGAATCCCTAAAGAAGGAATTGACTCTTTTGAAACAACAATTAGATTCACCTAGTTTATTGTATTTGGTTTCAAAGGCAAAATCACATAACCAAACCCTCCTGTCTGATAAGGATTATAACGAAATGTATTCAACTATTCAAAATCCATCCCTAAACTTTTTGATGGAGAAGGCTAAACCATTGGATCAACTAGTTGTACCTGTCTCTGAATGTCAAGCATTAGAAAGAAAAATTGAATCACCAAGTTTGTTATATTTAATCCAAAAGGCTAAAGGTCAAGGTTATACAGTGATCTCTGATACAGATTATTATAATTTACAATCATCGAACGAGAAACCATCCTTACAATACTTGAAGGAGAAATCAGAATCCGAGTATTCCCATATATTGCTTCCTAATGAAACTTATGATGAAATGACTTCAAACATTGAATCGCCAAGTTTGTTGTATTTGATACAAAAGGCTAAATCACAAAAGCATACTATCATTTCTGATAAAGATTACGATATGATGTATTCAACTATAAAAAATCCTTCTTTGGAATTCTTAACTCAAAGGGCCAATGAATTGAATCAAACTATGATTCCAAAATCTGATTTTGAAAACTTAGGTGGTAGTATTGAATCTCCAAGCTTATTGTATTTGATACAAAAGGCTAAATTACAAAAACATACTATCATTTCAGATAAAGATTACAAATCATTAATGGATACATGTTATTCTCCTAGTTTATTGCATTTAATTGAAAAAGCAAAAGTTCAAGGGTATGTTATAATATCTAAGGAGGATTATTCGTGGATGTATGAGACTACACAATCACCCTCAACAGAGTTTTTAACCACGAAGGCAGGTGAAATGGGAAATACCTTGATCTCAACGAGCGAATATCAGGAAATGAAATACAATGCTAAGTCACCATCATTGCTGTACTTGATTCAAAAGGCAAAATCTCAACATTATACCATTATATCTGATGACGATTACAACACAATGTATTCTATTACCGAGTCACCTTCCCTGTCATTTATTAAAGAAAAAGCTACGTCGTTAGAACAAGTTGTTATTCCTAGTGATGAATATCAGGCAATGCAGGACGTTGTTACGCATCCACCACTAACCTTCTTGTCGAGTATGGCTCTATTGCAAGGCTACCAAGTGATCGCAGATGATTCGTATGATCAATTGAAACATCCCTCCCTTGATAAACTTGAAGAAATAGCAAAGGGTAATGGATATAAAATGTTATCTTTGCAAAACCAAGATGGTACTGCAATAACATTTACTGAAGGTAGTGATGTCTCTGAGGAAGCATTGATCGAACAAGCTGAAAAGCTTGACTTTGTAATAGTGCCAAAGGAAAAATTTGCTGAGTTGAATATGAAATTAGAAAATCCCATATTAACGAAGGATCAAATAATCGAACAAGCCAAGCTGAATAATATCGAAATTCAAGATTTGGTAACACAGCACAAGGGTGTATCGCATATGAATTATGACGACGAATATGACATTACACAAGAGAATATTTGTGATGATATTACAAATTTAAGGTCATCTGCAAAGAGTTATGGTATGTTATGTGTCCCTGAAACATCCTTTGTGGCGACCTCTCGTGACACTACACCTGATGAGAACAATATTGTTTTATTACCTAAATCTTATTTTAATAGTCTACTCGAGAATGCAAACCTTAATCTAAATGATATCCATGATGATGATCTTTTGAGGGAAGTAGAGACTAGAAGATTACAGAAACCTTTGGTCGAAAATTTCACAGCATTTTCATCCCCAAATACCAGTAATTCAGATGAAGAACGTTCAATTACACCATCCTCCAAAAATTATACTACACATGTTTCAACTAAGGTAAATGTAGGTACAAGTGGTAGAAATTCCATTAATGCCATACCTTCCAATGGCACTACTCGTCGTTCTTTATCTATCTCTAATTTTAATCTAAGAAGCCCTAGAAGAGGTAAAGGGGTAAGAACTTCTACCTCTGTAGATGGAGCAGTATCGTTAGCTGCAATGGCATATGTCGGTGATAGTAACAATATTGTCTCCGCTATTTCTCAAACAGTTATTGGTGAGTTTGTCTACAAATATTTCAATAGATTAGGTTCTTTTGGTGGGGGTGAGACACGTCATAAGAGATATATGTGGATTCATCCTTATAGTTTGACACTATATTGGTCAGAAAGTAATCCAGTAGTGGAGGATCCATGGCATCGTAAGACAAAGGGGGTTTCTATTCTTAGTGTGCAGAGTGTGGTTGATAATACCACCGGTCCAACGAAATTATACAACAAGAGTATTGTTGTAACAACAAGAGAGAAGAAGATTAAATTTACTTGTGTTGATAAACAAAGACATGACGTTTGGTACAACGCCTTGAAATATTTGATTCAAAGAAATACGGATGGCATTGACTTAAAGGATGTCTTTGGAAATCCAAATGATGAATTATATTCCGGTAATATTTTATCGTTACCTAATGAAGTTCATCATAATACCAATACATCTGTAATGCATTCACAGACTGTCCGCAGTAGAAGAAGCTCTAGACGTTCTTCTCTCTCAAAGTTTCTAAGATAGGGGAACAATTCATTAATATATACATATATACAGTTGATCTGTTTAAATAAATGCATTGTACATAATATAAAGCATGTTGAATAATAAAACATATATGACGTTATGTTTATTAATTTTACTGCATAGAGGACTTTGATTTTGTTTGGGACGATTATTTATTCCTTTTTATTAGAACTTCAAACTAAACATGAAAATTAAAATCGTAACCGAAAAATAGAAAAAATACTTAAAAATGACGTTAAATTATCACCTCTGAGAGATAAGGATATTGAGAATTAACAAACCATTAAGGCGTAAATAAATATTTTAAATAGCAAAGTAACATGTTTTTAATTTTTATTTTTTAAAAAATATAAATGTATAATGCGAAATATATAGAAAGAATCTATCAATCTAAATAATAAATAAATAAGTTGGTAATTAACAACTGAAAATTAACAGGCTTGTCTGTCTATTTTTGAAACTAAAAAACAACAATTATAATAATAATAATAATAATAATAATAAGTGGCAGTCATGAGGTGTATATGGTATTGAATTACCAACTAATACGTTGTAACAATTTTACATTTGGATGTAAATGTTTTGGTCTACAAGGTGTTGGCTTAGTAGCAGTATCTGATTCCATAACCTTTTCACCTGTTTGATCGTTTACTTTAATAGCACCGGCATTAACATAAATTTGGATATCTCTATCACTGCCATGTTTAAAACAACAACGTTTTCCATATGGACAATATCCTAATTTAGCCCAATTCACACAAGGTTTGGTTCTAAAATTGCTACGACGTTCTTTCAATTTCAATTCTTCTAGACCGTGAGCAAATTGACATTTGTTACCATATTTGCAATGACCCTTTGTAGTAAAGGATTCACATAATTCAGTCTTATAAAGTTGTTTGTTAACTTGTTGTTCCGACGAATCGTTATGAACAATTCTATTGTGTTGATGTTGATGTTGACCAGTGACACTTGTATCAACAAATTGAGATTGTAACATTTTCAATTGTTGTTGAGCTAAATGTTGATTCGATTGACTATTTTGGCCCAATCTTTGTAAATTCTCTGTAGTTAGTGGTAAAGACGAGACGGCAGGATTAAAAGCATTATTAATGTCTACTTCTAGAGATTTATTATGTAATGAATTTGAAACGGCAGTATTAGAAGTATAATATTGATTATAAGTTGTTGTTGTTGTTGATTGTTCAGTTAAAAATGGATTATAAAAACTGTTTAATTTTGCAATTTGTCTAGGAGAAGATGGACTACCTGTAGAAGTACTATCATTAGAGAATATATCATCAGTATTGGAAGGTTGTTGTAATTTTGTAGTATATGCTATATCGTTTTCATCATCTTCAGTCAATAAAGTTTTCAAATAATACTCTTCCATTTCTCTCACTTGTGAGGCATAATCCATTTCATTACTCGAGAAGACCGATGATGAAGTGGTCGAATCTGCTTTCACAGTTGGTAACATGTCCTGGTTTCTTGTTTGTGGATAGAATGGAGCAGCATACATTGTTAATGATAAATATATGTTTGTGTATGTGTTGTTTGATACTTATCTATTGGTAAGAATAATATTAATGTGTACAAAGATCAAAATAATCGTAAGAAAAGAAATGTGTTTTTAATCAATCCTTATCCCACAATTAATTTACTTATATATGATTGAAAACAAATTAGAAATTACACCCTCAACTCCCTTAACAATTACCAAGATGAGATAGTTAGAACTCTCGTACTACTTACTAACTCTTGCATAGATAAAAACTGCACCATAATTGAAAAAAGTTGCCTTTGTAGTTACACCCAGATCAGGGTGTCTTCAAATATTGTTAGGTGCGCTCCATTTTCCAGTTATTCGATGCAATATTTGACGCCTCATCTCTCTCACCTCGCTGTTCCCCACCACCACTATCTCCAACCGTTTCTGTGGTGCAAAGACAAATTGCTCCCTTACTAATAATATTTCACGCTAAGTGAAAAATGGTGGATTTTCACTTTTGCAGAGTACACCCGATTTCTTAGGGTTTTGCTTCTTGTTAATAGGGTTTTGAAAACGTTTAGGGTTGGTATTACCCTAGGGTTTTGTGATAGGGTTTTGGGTGAAAAATTTTAGTGTATGTATGGGTGAGTAGGAAGGACATCATCACATTCAATTAGGCTGGATCCATTAATGAACAGTCTGCCAGGAGGGCAGGAAAGAAGAGAGGCTGTAGTTATGAAGGAGGATTTTACGAAAGTAGTGATTTCTGTAGAGAAGTAATGTGTATGTATACACTAACAATATAGAAAAGAAAACCGTAACAGAATGGATTATATTGCGGAACAAGAACAGGAATTGGAAGTTTTGGAATCAATATATCCAGATGAATTGGAAGTATTGAACGCAACATATCCTGATATAAAGTTCAGTGTTACTTTGAAATTAGAATTGAATGATACTGCTATACATGACAATGATCTATTGATGTCCCTGAGTAAAGTGCATTTATTGGAAGTTACTTTCCAGTTTCCAGAGACTTATCCTGACATGGCACCAATTATACATATTAACCCATTGGAACAGTCTCTGGACGATAATAGTGAGAGTGACGAAGATGAGGATGAGCAAGAAGATGAGTATGATGAGCATGGGAACATTGTGTTGAGTAAGCTCGAGAATCTTGCGGATAACATTTCCTTTAAGGACTACATTGAGGAATTGACATCCATCGTACGTGATCAAATCGATAGCGATATGTTACTGGGAATGCAAATGTGTTTTGCTCTATTGGCTACGATAAAGGAAAATGCAGAGAATTGGTTCTTGGAACAATTGGATGAATTAGATAAACAACATACATTGGAGATTGAAAGACGTGAAGCTCAAGAACAGAAAAAGTTTAATGGGACACCCGTCACTAAAGAATCATATTTGGAATGGAGGGCCACATTTAGAAAAGAAATGCATTTGGATGAAAGGGATAAATTAAGAAGACTAGAGGCACATAATGGTAAATTGACTGGGAAGCAAATGTTTGAACAAGGTGTAGCAGGTACTATTGATGATACTGACGATGCCGAAATCGAGTCCATGACCAAAGAATTAGATGATGTGGATATATAATAATGATATACGCTCATACATAGATACAAAACTGTAAAACATGGGTTTTTACTAATCTTTTTTGCTATATATTTATATATATAATATTGTCATATAAGTAGAATGGGCAGATTTACATAAGGATAAATTTTTTTGAAGTTTAATTTTTATTTTGGTTTCTTTTGATGTTCAAAAACATAACAATAATAATGGTATAAGAATGGGTGTCTTTTTTTTCAGACTATATCAATGATTTGGAGTTGTTAAACAGATCAGCAAATGGGTCTTTGTCCTTGGTTGATGTAGTTTGTGCAGGAGTGGATGCCGTACCAAGACCTAACAGATCGTCCATATTTGCTGTTTTATTATTGTTTGCAGCCGCAGGTGTCGGAGAGCTGTCACTTTGGAAGTCACCAAACTCGTCCTCGTCATCACCAACGTCAGGTGATAATGCCGTGGTCGTGGTAGTGGAAGTAGTAGCAGTAGCAGCGTCAGCAGGTTCAGGTGTATCAAAATCAATTAAATCAGGCACGGCTGTATTCTTTTGTGCAGTTTCTTTGTCTTTTCTTTGTTGCTCACTGTTTCTTATTCTTTCTCTGAGCACTTCTCTTCTTTGTCTTCTTTGTTCTTCCAATTTTGATCTTTGACGTTGGGGAGGAGGAATTTGAGAATCTGGACCACGATACGTCATTTCAGATTCATCATAATCGTCGTCATCATCTTCACCAAATGTGGCACCGTTTGCTTCATCGAAATCCAGTTCATTAGCATTGTAAGCGTGTGCAGCATTTGAAGCATTTGTTGCATCATACATTGTAGATTCCGTCTGTTGCCTTATCTTTGAAGCATTTTTCTTCGAATCAGCACGAGCCTTCTTTAAGAAACTTGAATCTTCCAAATACTGTATTAATAATTCTCCCTTCTTCCTAATACCACGTTCATGAACTTCCATTTTCCCATCATTTGAAAACCCAATCTTATATTGCACGACTTGTCTAGCAATGATTTGTTTATGAGTAGTCAAACAACTACGGACTTGGTTCAACTCATCGCCGGAATCCACGTTCAATACCAGGAATTCCAAAACAATCAGACATTTCATCACCACCCGCCATTCAGACCCATAATTAACATATTCTTTACGGGCCTTTTCATAAAGATTTTTTGGTCTTGCGGCAATATGATCGATCAATCGTTTCAAAATATACTCGGTGATCAAATAGACTGGCACTTGATACCTGTTTCTTAACACTTTTTGTAAATGTTTCGGTGTAGGACCCCATGCGTCTGTATTGGTGGCTCTACGAACATCCACTTGATATGGTTCGTATTGAACAATAACGTTTTGAGCAAATCTTGCTGCGTTTCTAAAATCGTGTATCCCTAAGTTCTGTATCTTCTTTGATAAGGAATCCATCTTGCTTCTGTCTGTGGATAGATAGATATGTGGGTGGGTGTATGTATGTATATGTGTGTGTACGTACTTGTGTATTCAACTTTTAACAGAGAAAATATTTATATTTGTATGGCATCTTAAAAATGCCACATCAGTTAATCTAATATAATAATATTTTCTCCTCTCAGGGACTCCCTCAATAATAAAAAAATAGAATAACAATCGCTCGGCCTAAAAGGGGAAAACTGAAAAATTTTGAGTGAATGGAAGTGGTCCAACCAGAAAATAAATCTAATAAAGTTGGGAGGGTAATACATCATAAAGAGATAAAGAGATATAGAGAGACAAAGCTCATAAATTCAATTAAATATATATAAAACGTAAATTATTTATATTGTTATTTATAATTGACCGGACTTAGCAACAACGATTCTAGCTCTGGTGGAACCAGAAGAAGAACCCATAGATTCGACCTTCTTGACAATATCGTAACCGTCGACGACTTCACCGAAGACGACGTGCTTACCATCTAACCATGGACATGGGACGGTGGTGATGAAGAATTGAGAACCGTTAGTGTTTGGACCAGCGTTAGCCATGGACAATAGACCTGGCTTGGTGTGCTTCTTGGAGAAGTTTTCATCTGGGAATCTTTCACCGTAGATGGACTTACCACCGGTACCGTTACCTCTGGTGAAGTCACCACCTTGCAACATGAAGTCTGGGATGACACGGTGGAATGGAGAACCGGCGTAACCGAAACCCTTTTCACCAGTACATAGAGCTCTGAAATTTTCAGTGGTCTTTGGGACAACGTCATCGTACAATTGGAAAGTGACACGGCCTAAAGCTTGGCCATCTGCTTCAACATCGAAATAAACCTTGGACATTCTTAATATATATATATGTGTATGTGGGTGGGTGATTATAGTATCTAGAACACTAAGAAGATCAATTTAAAAAAAGACGTGAGAACTCAATTAGAAGAATAAAACCAACTTATATTTATCCCTTGCCCTTTCGTTACTCTCTTATATAGCACATCCCAAATTCCCTGTATTACATCTCTTCTCTCTTACGTTATTAATCTAATTGAATTACTCAATTTGTGTTCATGGGCCCCCTATAGAGCAGAGAGTGGTTGTTATCACAGAGACTGCCGTAGCACCCACCCGAACAGAGAGCAAATTCCCCTTTTCGAACGAACGAAGCGCCACTCAAATTTGAAGAGAGAAAAATGCGTTCTGCCTCTGCCTCTGCCTGGTGGTGGTGGTGGTGCGAGAATGGTCACTGCCCACGAGGAGACGGGGATGGGGGCTTCCTGTTCGGAGGCGTTGCAGTGGCGGTGGAACCCGATGGAACGTTTGCCGTGAGGAGTGATGATCCGCGGAGGGCGGGTAACGGTCACGCGATCTGGAAAGTTGAGCACGTGATGTGGCAGATTCTGTTCTCTTTTTTTTTTTTGCTGAGAGGGGGGTATGGGTTTACTCAAAGGTATCTGTTTGTGTTTTTCAGCTGAAAATTTTCGATGAGCTGAGAAAATGGTTTTAATGCAAAGAGTGCATGGGGGGATACGATCGTTTTATAAAGAACAGTTTCGTTAATGAGTTGCTAATGTGTTGCTATCTGGGAACTCGCTCAAGAGAATCAAACAAGCGACAGGAACACATCAAAGATGTTTAAAGGTGCAAGAAGACCAGGGTTCATTGTGGCTACACCACTGAACACTCCAATTGTGATGCACAGAGTTGGCAAACCACAACACGTGTCAAAGGACGACGTGCTCGGATTCCTAGAGAAGTTCATCACCGAGAAGGAATCAATAGAGTCTGTGACTGCTGCGGCCACAGCCGTTTCCGTGGACTCTACAGTTGTTGATGGCGAATCATTATCTACTACTAGCAGTACTGGTGCCATGTTGAGTATAGACACAAACCTATCTAGTGCCATCTCTCAATTGAAGAGAGTGCAAAGAGACTTTAAAGGGCTGCCACCTCTTTCATTCACTCCAGTGGCTACAACTACTACTACTACTACAACTGAAGAAATTCCTGCTACTTCTGTGACGACGGAAAATGGTGAAGAAACTATTACTACTTCTGCGACAGGAGGAAAGAAAGTTACTTTTGACGAATAGATAATTGCATTCATAGTATATATATATATATATATATATAAACATACACATAAAATACATAACCTTGTACACTATATTACATTGCAATGATCTCATCCTCGGGCACGTGACAGCGAGCAATTTCGCCGCTGACGGCTTCTTTTCCTTCAAAAAAGCTTTCCAGTTGCTGATTTTTGTCTTTTTCTGCCTGGTTTCTCTTCGCTGTTGACTCATCAATTAATGTAACCAGACAGTGCGCGACATTACATACAATGAATAGAGCAGAATAGCGAGTTAGTTGCACATTTAGACGGCATTTGCCGGTGGCATTCAATTAGATTCATTGTTAGTAACTTTAACGTGATATACACTTATATATATAAACATGCATGAAGTGGAGATTCTTTTCATCTTTCAAGATATTTAATTATTCCTTTCCATTGTTTACGTTTCTTACAGTTCACCAAAAGTATTATCTAAAATAAACATCAAAAATACGACAACAATAATGGCCGCTCAGAAAGTCGCTGGTGTCCTAGGTGCTACAGGCTCCGTTGGTCAACGTTTTATTCTGCTACTTGCTGATCATCCAGATTTCGAATTAAGAGTATTGGGTGCCTCTCCAAGATCCGCAGGTAAGAAGTATGTCGATGCTGCTAACTGGAAACAAACTGATTTGATGCCAAAGTCTGCTGAAAATATTATCGTCTCTGATTGTTCTTCTGCTAATTTCAAAGATTGTGATATTGTCTTTTCTGGACTAGATGCTGAATACGCTGGTCCAATCGAAAAGGAATTCGTCGAAGCCGGCATTGCAGTTATCTCTAACGCTAAAAACTATAGAAGAGAAGAGGATGTCCCATTAGTGGTTCCAATCGTTAACCCAGAACATTTGGATATTATTCAACAAAAACTGGACACCGCTAAGCAAGCTGGTAAACAAAGACCAGGATTCATTGTTTGTATCTCTAATTGTTCCACCGCAGGCCTTGTTGCTCCTTTGAAACCTTTGGTCGACACCTTCGGTCCTATTGATACTTTGACTACCACTACTTTACAAGCCATCTCCGGTGCAGGTTTCTCTCCAGGTGTTCCAGGGATCGATGTCCTAGATAATATCATCCCATACATTGGTGGTGAGGAAGATAAGATGGAATGGGAAACTAAGAAGATTCTTGGTTCTTTATCTGCCGATAAATCTCATGTCGAATTGTTAAGCCCAGAAGAATTGAAGGTCTCTGCTCAATGTAATAGAGTTGCTGTCTCCGATGGTCACACCGAATGTATCGCTTTGAAATTCAAAAACAGACCAGCTCCTTCTGTCGAACAAGTAAAACAATGTCTAAGAGATTACGTCTGTGATGCTTACAAGATGAAATGTCATTCTGCTCCAGAACAAACTATTCACGTTCTAGAACAATCAGACAGACCACAACCAAGATTGGACCGTAACAGAGATAGAGGTTACGGTGTCTCCGTTGGTAGAGTCAGAGAAGATCCTGTATTGGATTTCAAGATGGTTGTGCTGTCTCACAACACTATTATCGGTGCTGCTGGTTCCGGTGTATTGATCGCTGAAATCCTATTAGCAAAGGGCATGATCTAATGATGATACATACAAAAACTGCAGCAATATATCCACACGTAGATATTTATATATTTATATATTTATATATGAAAACTAATAAATATTAAAATTAATATTAATTACATTTCTTCTTGGTCTCTCTATGGCATGCATGATTATAGTGATATTATTTGTTTTGCCTTTAGTTACTCTTGTTTAATTTTTTTTTCAGTTTAAGGCGAAAACCGTCGAATGTTTAATTTTGAAAATTTATCTATTTGGGTAAGGCTTAAATAAACAACTACCTTTTTTTTTAAAGCATTATTATAATATATATGAGTGTAGTTGCAAATTGACGAACGTGTAACATCCTATTAAGGTACGGCGAACTATTCCGTATTTAATTTACTTTCTATTATTTTTTTTTTACTTCTACTTCTGCACTACCTACCGATTTCCTCATTAACATCAATATCGTCATGGGAAGTTCTTTTGGATCGGTTGTGCCTTCAAGTAGTTTCAATTTTGGTGCAACATCTGGACAGAACCCGTTCCATAATAAAAGTAATACCAATTCCAACCGTAATACTAATAATAGTGCTAGTAGTGGTAAAGGAAACTTTTCAAATCAAAACTTCTTCCAAAAGGATAAACAAAAGAAGAATAAGAAGAACCTTAGTCCGAAGAAAAGTAATGAAACCAACTCAGTTCCTCATAAAAGGTTTATGATGTCTCATGATAGAGGTGTCCTACAGGTAGGATCATTGCTTAGAGATCCAACAGCAATGGGGTTCGCACAACGAACACATAGTCTACGTGAAGTACCGAAATTTCTCATCTCACAACAACCTCAATTAAAACCAAAGAAATTTAAACAGGATCATTGGGATAGAATAAATCAAACAAAGATGTTGAACCTCGAAGAATCTATACAAGATATGACGGAACTTTATGAAAAGCTTAAGAAAATGCGCGATACTGAAAGAACAATAATGGAAGATAAGGGACTTGTGGACAAAGCAGATTCGGCAAAGGATCTTAATGATGCAATTGTATTCCAGGGGACATGTTTGGATATGTGTCCTATTTTTGAAAGAGCTAGAAGAAATGTCGAATATACAGTTTATTCGTATGAAAAGGATGCTCCGGATGATAAGAAGGCCTCCAGGTCGAAATCATTGAAAGTTTTTGCAAGACCGGCAGCAGCTGCAGCTCCACCATTACCTTCTGATGTTAGACCACCGCATATTCTTGTAAAAACTTTAGATTATTTAGTTGATAACCTGCTACCGACTTTACCCGATAGCGAAGGGTTTCTTTGGGATAGAATGAGATCTATAAGACAAGATTTCACATATCAAAATTATTGTGGTCCAGAAGCTGTAGATTGTAACGAAAGGATTGTTAGAATACATTTGCTTATTATTCATGTTATGGTTAAATCTCAGGAAGAATTTTCTTTGCAACAAGAATTAGAACAATTACATAAGTCGCTAATTACTCTGTCAGAGATATATGACGATGTTCGTGCAAATGGAGGAAGTAGCCCAAATGAAGCAGAATTTAGAGCATATGCATTACTTAGTAAGATAAGGGATCCACAATATGATAAAGCCATTCAGGATTTACCTGCAGAAATTTTACAAAACGATTTAATTCAGTTGGCGCTATGTTTTAGAAGAATCATTTCGAACTCTAGCTTCGTTGAGAGAGGTTATATGAGAACTGAAAATTGCTTGAATTTGTATGCACAATATTTTAAATTGATTCAATCCATACAGGTTCCATTCCTATTAGCATCCTTTTTAGAAATCTATTTAAATGAAGTCAGATTCTACGCAGTGAAAGCATTATCACATTCCATGAACAAAAAACATAAACCAATTCCAACAATCGTTATTTCAGGTGAATTAATGTTTAATAATTTAGAAGAGTTGACAGAATTTTGCCAATATTATACAATAGATATGACAGATGAAGGTGTTGACCTTAAGTCACTAACTACTAATTCACATCGATTACCTGAGAAGAAACCACTAAGAAACCATTATTTGGCTTGTGTAGACGAAAAATTAAATGCAACATCCTATAGCGTTATTATTAATTCAGGAAAACCTAATATCGATACTCTAAAATATAATACCACTGGACTTCAAAATGTTATTACAATTGAAGAGGAACCTCAGAAGACACGTATACCGGATGATGGTCCTACCAGTTTACCCAAGACAACTGGTGGTTTAGAAACCTCTAAAGATGATATAAAAAATCAAGAAGTAGGTATAAGTTCATTAGTACCAAATAGTATTCCATTAACTAATAAACAAGGACCAGTAACTAATATATTACAAACAAGAGTCGTTCCGTTCAATACTGTACCGTCTATCCATGAAGGATTTACTAATACTCCCTCAATTTCAAAGACTGCGGTAAATCTCGCGAATAATACAGTTACTTTAGAACCAAAGTCGACACATTTAGAGTCGTCTGTTTCAAATAAGCATGATATACTTGCACAAAATAATAAAAATGAAAATTTAGAAAAAGAATTTGAAAAGAAACAATTAAAATTAGAAGAAACTAAAAGAAATGAAATTAAAAGAAAACAAGAAAAAGAAGAAGAGAAAAGAAAAAGAAAAATAATTGCACAGGATAGTGCAATAGCAGCTATTACTAATACCATTATCAAGGATGTTATACAGAAACAATGCCAAACAATTGTAAATAGCTGTATAAATAGCAGAAACAATCGAATAGAAGTGCTAGATGACTTAGCTGTTGAACTTTATGATGCATTCATTCACGAAAAGATATATTTTGTATTTTTAGAGGCAAAATCTGATTCTCAAAGAAATAAATATCTCCAAAAACCTTATTTCAAAAGGTGGAGCCTAGCATTGAAGAAAAAGCAAGGACGTCAAGAAGCTTTGAAAAAGCATAAAACCGAAATACAGAATTTGGAGAGACAACTTGGAGTTCCCGCTCTCAGCAAATCAAAGCGATTACTTAACACTCCTACTACTACGGATGTCAATTCTTCATTCCTGTTAAACTCATCCATAAAAAATAAAAATATGTATTCCCCTGTCACCAATGAAAGTAATCAGTTTTCTCTTGAATTGATTAAGAAAAAAGGATCATTATGGAAGCCATTCGACCTAAAAAAATTGTATTTAGATAGAGTTGCCACCAAATATCTTCGTCAAATGAAACAATCAAGTGATATCTTTATTTATTCAAAATCTTGGAACACTGTATCGAGCTCATGGATTTTGAGCAAATTCGATCTTAAGGACTCCAAATCTGTAGCCCACGTGGGTGATGGGAACTTGACCTTAAATATCAAATGTATTGATGAAAGGTTTAATCCCACTGATTTTACAGAAACCCAATTGGTTATTTTTAATACCGGGGTGACTGATGACAGTATTTTCGATTTAGAGATGAAATTAAAACAAGATGGTGAAGACCTTATTAAGTTAATTACAGGGGTTGCTTTGAATACCAACACCAATTTTAATCTATTATTGATATATTGGGAGTCGTCAGAAACCCAATTATCTGATTCAACAATTTCGAAACATTTAAAATTAAATAGAATTGATAGAAATTTCAATGGGATATTAGAAAATATTGGATTCGTTAAGGTCAATGAAAAGAATCCCGATATATCTGTTAAAAAAGGTTTGGTAAAAATATCAGAATCGTTCCAATATAAATTGACTGACAGAGGTAAGTATCACGAGTCACTCAACAAAAAGCGAAATCAACGTGTAACCTCTCAAGAAAAACAATTAAGAGCAACAAAGTCTATTGATGAAAAGATGAAAATAATGCTTGAAACAGAAAATGTTGCATATAATAAACAGATCAGCGAGGGGAATACATATGCACATTTACAACCGCATATTGCAGCATCCCGAAAGTTAAGAAAGAGAAAGTTGCCAATTTTGGTATCAGAAACAAAATCCAGTAAATTCAAAACACCCATGGGTTCTAGAATGAGATATTCATCTCACACATCGACAGACTCATTACCACAACAATCGCATTTAGCAATCAAGGTCAGAAATGGAGTTTCAAGGGTAGCATCACATCATGGACCACTTCCTTCCGGAACACCGTCTCATAGCACAAATGTTCCAAACACATCATACGATTCACACGTTATACCATCATTCGGGAGCTCTGTTGGTAACAATACCTCATTTCATGGAATATCTCATATTCCAGGTACCCAAGACTCAAATATATTTCATACTCCATCAAATGCTATTACCGGAGATGAGTCAGTAATTGAACTACAACAGGCATCAGTTAGGAAGTCATCAGATATACAAGAATTGAAGAGCCTAATTGCCAGTGTCAAAAAAAGAGTAAAACCTCACGAGTAATAGATATATCTGTTATCATTAACCAATGGTAATACAATACTCTAAATGAACATTTCATATAATTGAACTTATTAAATAATGCATAAATACATTTGTATTCACTTCTCTTTTATAGTAGTATATTCATCACTTTACACGTAATGCTAGAAATTTTTTAAACCAGTTTTGGAATACTCGATGCGATGAGGTAAATGCGCTGAAGTTGTACATGATTAACATGGCTTACATATACAAAATATTATATAATCAATAATTTATCATATTAAACAAATTATTTTAAGTACGTATTAAATATTAATTTTCTTGAATACATAACAATAATTGTACACAATTCAACATTCTAACAATCTATAACTCTACTAAAATGACCAATCTAGAAGAAACCTTGAAAAATGTTCGTGTAGCTCTTAGTGAAAATGATGCTAAAAGAGCCTTAAAGTTGTTAAAACCTTTCAAGAAATCATTGACAAGTGAAAATAGTAATAACCTGAATCTTAAACAAGTATACGCTGAAGCATACTTGGAGAATGGTCAGTTAGAAAAAGCATATCCAATTTTGGTCTCTTGCTGTGAAATTGATCCAACGGGTGCAATTGGAGGTTACGATAAATTTTTCACTTTAGGTCAGATTATTGGTGGTAAAGATGGGTTAAACGTTATGCAGAAGGGGATAGAAAATGTTTCAAGTATCAAAGAAATGACACAAGAACACACAAACAAGATTGTAAGTGGACTCTTATCTATGATTGAGATATGGATGACTGATTTATGTATGGAACCTAATGCAGAATCTGAATGTGAACAGTTAATTACAAATGCCATGGAAATTTCTGGCGAATCTTCTCCAGAAGCATGGTTAACCTTAGGTTCGATTAGGATTTCCCAACAACGTTTTAAGGACGCTACTATTGCATTCACCCAAGCCTGGAAATATTTTGAGATTAAAAAGAATGAAGCTGGTAAAGCAGCTTTGGATAATGGTGCACCAACTCACGAGGAGTATGCTGAAATGTTGCAGCCTTTAAGTTCGTTAGCAAAGATGTGCATGGAAGTAGGATTGTACGATATTGCATTGAAGGTCGAGAATGCCATTAAGGATATCGATGAAGATAACCTGGAAGGTTACTACCTGGAGGGTTTCACAAATTACCTAATATGTAAAGTTGAGATTTTTAAGCAACAGAATCCAGATATTGATCTAAGCCCTGAAAATATTTACGAATTCAACCAGCATATACAGGAGATCCCATTACAATTAGAAAATGAAGCAATAGCCGAGCCTTTACAAGAGGCAAGGGTTGCATTAAGTTTTGCCAACAAATTAGGTGATAATGTGGATTCTAATGACGAGGTTGCAAACGAATTAATCTCCGGTACAAAAGCTCTATTGGGTGAAATTGGTGGTGTAGTAAGTGACGAAGAACTACAACAGCTGAGGAAAGGTGTTCCTGTCGATGGAGAAATTGATGAGGAGATTGAGATTGAGTATCTCTCTGAAGAGGATGGAAACTAAAAGAAAGAAGTATATGTATTTTAAATCATAAATTATTATATCTTATTCGTATATAATCACAATTCAAGAATATACACAACTCGCATTTGATACTAAAACTCCATGTTACTTGATCAATATAATATTTTATATTAGTATGAAGAGTTCTTTAATTTCATAATATAGGTGATCATCTAAGTACATTGAGTGAAGGTCAATCATATATACTTAGTAAAATTATGTAAAATGGTCCATTGATATACATACAGATATCCCGTTGATCGAATTTAAGAGACTAATATGTCATCAGTCGCATTGTTTATCGTGTATTGATTATAGCATAATACTAATTTCCAGTGTTTGACTCTTGTATTGTTAAGTTTTCCTTTAGATTTGATTCCAAATGATCAATATCTTCCCACTCTTCTTCATTATCGTCTACGTCATCTGCACCTTCGATATCGTCTTGAGACGGGCATAGTCCCTTAGTTATGAATTGTGTAAGGTAGAATGGACGCGCTAATGTATTATCCTCATCTTCATCCTCTTGGTTGGGTTCGACAAAAGATACAAATTCCTCTGGTACCAATCCTGTTTTATTTCTCTCTTGGTTCTCAGCAACTAGCCACCCTTGGCCATGTCTATAACTTATAAATAATGTGTCCCCTTCCTCAAAACCCAGTTCATTGTCGTTTTCTGGTTTAAAACTATATAGTGCAATTGCCCTTTTATTCACAATGTAGTCATTCGGTAGTATCACACTTTGCCGTCTTCCAATATCTTCTTTATCTTCTTCTACATCTTCATCTCCCTCTCCTTCGTATTCATTTGTATATGAATCGTCGCCTATATACCCACCGATATCTGTTACATCTTCTGTTTCGTCCAAACCATCATCATAATATCCATAGTGTAACGGATTTGATTCTTCATATGCAAAATCCCTTATTGATATGTAGCCAACTAAGGATGTCTCACTTCCTTCATCACTTTGTTCATCATCTGATATATGTTCGTGTGTAGATATATTCGTCAAAGGTCGCGAACTCTCTTTATTTGTGGGTATTCCATTTAGTAGTAATGTATCATTCGTCGTACTGATCATATTTCAGATGTATCTAAAATCTTTCCTTTTCTTTCCAAAGTAATTAAAAAATAATGGTTTTATTTTGTAAAAAGTATTACTATGATTTGTTAAACACACTTGGTCTTGTTTGCTTGTTCTGTAGACTCTATAATAGTATAAGAAAATAACGTCTTTACTGTACTGGATGTTGAAGTGATTTTGACATTGTTCTTTTTGGTGTTGAAATTAATTATATACAGTTCTGTGCAGACAAAGGCAAAATTTCGAAAAAAAATAAATCATGCAAGAAGTTATATATAGATGGGATAAATAAATGATAAGATAGAATATACTCTCAAGAAGAAGTTTAAACATAACAAAAAATATATATAAGCGGTAGTTAAATTTCATTTAAATGAGTACATCACACAGACCACAATTAGAGGCAAGGAGTGGTGCTAAGGCTGCTGGTTATTCATCGACATCCATTGAACATGCTAGATTACAACCAGGACACAAGTCTCTAAAATATAGAGATCACATTAGAGACAGCATACAGTCAAGCTCAAATAAGGAGAGTGACAGTACAATTACAGTGACAAATAGTTCGCTGAATCCAAATGAAAACAGAGGGATGGACTTAGATACTGAAGAGGTTAACCGAGATAAGAACAGCTCAAAAGTAAAAGACAATAAGAAGTCACTTAATCAAGAATTTAAACATTTGAAAGATGCTCAAGTTGAGGGGGGGAATAACTCTGGTAATTCGCAATCCAAACCTAAAATTAACAAAATTAAAAAGGGTTGGAGGTCTGGTACAACATTTTCAAGAACAAAAAATGATAAAAATAAAAAGGGAAAGGATGATTATGTGAATAACATAACAAAATCAACTTATCATCAAGATTTTATGAAGAAAATCGTTGATTAGATTTTAAATATCCCAGAAAAAGACAGCTGTACATTAAGAAAAGGTGGTACTGGTTTGCTTCCTTTAGGGGTACTGTTGAATGTTGTAATGGTTTCCAACTCATTAAATAAGCAGATTAATACTAAAATATTTATCTATTTCATATTCAAAAAATAAGAAAATACGATCTTATAATGCAAAAATACTATTCATTTTGAAGTTACTGAAATGTTATAAAACAAATGATCAAATATGTTTGATCAACACTATGTAGGTCATCGTACTTAAATGTTTTCCAAAAATATAGTTTTACTGTCGCTACTTCTCCATCTTTTTTAAGAATTTTTTAAATTTACTACGTTTCTTGTGTTTCTCCGTACTTTCTTCCATTGGTGGTGATTGAACTATTGGAATTATGTTCTTCTTCACTTCGTACTGTGCTGCACTATGCACATGAGAAACGGGTGCGTTCATGTTGCTACCCATTAAGAAACTTGGAATATCATCTTTAACTTTTCTGTCATCATTTAAATTCAAGACTTCTCTTGGTTGAGTTAAGTTCTCAACACTCCTCAGGAATGAGACTGGTTTCAAAACACCATCACTGCCAATAAAAACATCTTTGTTCTTTAAATTAGATTGGTCATAAGCAGCTCTAATTTCAGAGTATGTTATACCACCTAGAACGTAATAAAAGAATCTTTGTCTTGGACCTTCATTCTTTAGCGAGTTACCATTTCTCGACCATGCTGCCTTGTGTCTTGAGTTTCTCAATGATGAAGAAGATTGTGCAGTAGCTGCAGCTCCGACAGCTTCTCTTTCATCATCATCTAATAAATCAATAGGTTTATCCTTAACGTAAGGGAACTCTTCTTCGCTTAATAACAGAGGGTTCGCAATAACTTTAGAAAGAATATTACCGACAGCTGGTACATATCTTGATGTAACGTAAATATTTGGATCCTTTACAATTGTGTCATGAAACCATGCTTTATGGAATGGTTTATCGCGCGCATTTTCCTTGATTAATTTAAATCCTAAGTTATCAAAATTCTTGAATAACAATATGAAATGGGGGAAAAATTCATGATCCTCTCTCACTCCAATGAAACTTAGAAGTTTCAAGAAATCCGATTCTATCAGGCCACCTCTAAATAGTGCATATGCTATCAGCAAACGAATTTTGTCTGTAATGTTACATTCCTTGGTCAAAAGGGTTGTTAGGACTGTGTCTATTATATGTTTACATTTTTCGCCATCGATGTTCAACCCGAATCCAGCAAGATTCTGTTCGACCTCAGCAATAGTAGTTAATTGTCTTTCTTGGTTGATTTTCAAACATGACTCTATTAATATCTTATGAAGCATTATCCTCCTTCTGTCTTCGTCAAAGTCCTTTAAATGAGCAACCACACTTAACAAATCAGTGGTATTTTTCACTTTAGATCTATCTACTAATAATGGATTCTTCGCTATTAATTCTTTTATTTTTCCACTCAATTGTTCGTTAGCATCTATAATATGAAGATGTTTTAGATCAACCCAATCTGGGTCTATTAAATCAGCCAACTTGGAAGATTTTTCTTCCAAGTCACCAGCTTCATTCTCAGCTTTATAATGATACACATCATCCCTATCAATGTCAGGCACCAAATCGTATGCCATAGCTTGGTAATTGAAATCATGTAATATGGGTGCAAATTGATCCAAAGATCTTTCGGTGATTATAAATATGGCTCTTGGTCTTGAAGATGGCGGAGGGAAATCCTGGTGATCACGTACGTATGAGTCTAAGGCTTCTTGGAATTGAACTGCTAACTTTTCTGCTAACCTGGTCGCTGGAGATAATTTAACTTCATGGGGTAGAGCCTTAGCATATCGTATAATAGGGTACTCACCTGTAACAATACATATGTTGATTAATGACTCGATAGTTTTATTAATATTCTTTTCGATCAATTCTACACAACTTTTGTTATAAAAGATTTGAAAGGGCTTATCAATGTCCAATGTTTGGAAAAATTGAGTTTCCTTTGGGGCAAAAGCCAATTTTATTTCATTCATAGAAGCAATGAAAGGTTGTAGAGTCTTTTTATCCCTTAGGAAGTTCGCTATGTGATTTTCCATACCAGGTAAGAAGCGAATATGGGCCTTCGAGTATTTTCTATCTCTATTGTAGAAATCTGCTGATATACAATTGATATTATACTTAGTCGGTTGTAGCATGTAGATGACCTCAACACTAGATTGACCTTTCCTTCCTCGAGCATCAATTTTCTCGATACTCGTCACGTAGTTAAGTAGATCATTTGCAGAAACAAATAGAGATTCGAACAAAGTACCAGTATATTCATCAATAACCAAAAATTTGATATTATGTGGGGTTTGAATACTCTCAAGAGTTTCTAGGAGATATTTCCTTTGAAGCTCAATTAAATCAGGCATTTTTATAAAGAGAGGAGTGTCAGATTGATAAATGACTAAACAAAAGAGGGGTTATGAAAATACAACTATTTCTATCAATTTCCAATAATAATATGACTAGCAATTAAAACGGTCCAAGCCCATGTAGATTCTGTAATAATTAATTTTTCGTTTTGATTATACAGACGGTTAGTATTAAAGATCGCTTGCTTCTTTTGTTTCCTGTCAATTCTCCCTTTTATCATTTGACATTGTCCTATTTATGAAAATAGCGATCCTACCGTTAAACGAGAAAGTCTCCAGTTATGATTATTTCAGTTGCATGCCCTAGCATTAGGGTTTGGATGGGCCAAAGAAAAAGGAAAAATTTTGAAAAATTTTGGGAAATTTTGAAATATTAAATCTTGATGCATTTCAGGAAGGTGATGAGCTACATTTGAAATGATCACAGTAATTTAGAATAGAATGTTATTGATTGTTAAGATAGTATAAGAGTATTAAGAACGATGGCTATTATTCACCCAATTCAAAATATTGTAGCTTTTGGCGACGGTCTCGTAATTTTTGCGGTCATAAAAAATGTTATTCTAGCATACAAAAGGCAAGATACAGGTAGTTATAAATTGATTGGTAAGTGGACTGATCAATATGATAGAACAGAATCAATTAAGGATAAGGTCACTAAGGAACAGGACAGACAAATCGATGAGAATGCTAAGAAGCAAAAGGATAATGAAGGTAATGTTGTTATCCAAAAGAAGAAAACTGAGGCCAAGATTCCTGTACCAGGGCCTGGGGCACCTCCAGTGTATTCATGCATAAGAAATCTACTTATTTCCAAGGATGGTCATAAATTGCTTTCTTGTGCGGACTCTGACAAATCTGTCCTGGTTTTCGATATTGATCTTAATAATGACACAAATTGTTTACAGTTAGTGAAAAGGCAACCATTTCCAAAGAGGCCAAATTCTATTACCATCACTGATGATGGGAAGACGGTTATAATGGCAGATAAATTTGGTGATGTTTATTCCATTCCAACAGACGGTGAACCATTAAAAGATATTAATGATGAGTTGGATCCAATTCTAGGTCACGTCTCAATGTTAACCGATGTTCTATTCAAAGTTGATTCTCATGGTAAGAAATTTATCATTACTACCGATAGAGACGAGCATATCAAGGTATCACATTTCCCTCAATCATTCATTGTTGATAAATGGTTGTTTGGTCATTCGCAATTTTTATCCTCTATTTGTTCTCCTCTATGGAAATCTGAATGGTTATTTAGTGCTGGTGGTGATGATTTTATATATTTATGGGACTGGGAATCAGGTAAGAAATTGTCTGAATTTAAATACAGTGATATAATCAAACCATATTTGACTGAGAAGCATCTGGCTCCAAGCAGATTCCAAAATGAGTCAAACGATATTATCGAGTACGCGGTCTCTAAGATCGTCGCTTTTTCAGGTATACCTTATATTGCATTTTTTGTAGAGGCTACGAATATTCTTTTTATTGTCAAGATTGATGTGGAAAATAAAAAGATATCTGAAAGTAACACTTTGGAATTACCTTATAATATCATCTCTTTGAATACCGCTAACGACAATGAAGTCATTGTTTCTCTTGATAACAGAGATTCTAACGGAGAGAACTTCGTTAAATTCGTAAAATACAATTCGCAGAGTTGTATTTTTGAAATAAATGAACAAAAAACTAAGGAGTTAGATGCATGCTTTGATACTTTGAAAAATGACAGCAATATAACTGTAGAAAAAGAAAATATTTTCCCATTGTATTCTACTACAACATTAAGAAAACATGGGGAGCATTACTCTTAAACATCATGTACCATAGTTAATAATATATTTCTCTAAATTTTCATTAAACATAAGGTTTTCATATAATATATATATATGTGTGTGTGAACGTTAAAAGTGTTGCATTCTCGATATGTATATAAAGCTCATTTGAATTTTTAAACGAGTAGAACAGTCTAGTTGAAAGCTGCAAATTGTATCCTTGTTCTTTCCAGGTTAGAATCTACGATTGGTTCAGTCTCGGAAATACATCTTTCAAGTCTATCTAGGTTATTTTGGAAGCAGTTCTGCAGACAAGCGTTCAAAGTGACTTCCGTGTCCTTCTCTAGGTAGGAACCTAAGACTTTCTCAAAGAACTTAATATCAACAGTTACCTGTAATAATCCATCAGAGGACAAATTACCGATAAATGGTTTAAAGGACTCGAACAGGTACCTAGAAATGAATACTTGTGTTTCCTTAATAATCCGGTTGATCAGTTGAGGCCCAATCCTAAAACATTCACTATGCACATTAATTAGCACCATTAAAACTTCGATAATATAGTCATTGACCCTAAATGAGTTAGATGAGTAATTTGACCAACTAATTTCATGGAATCTCTCCTCGAGAACATTCCTTAATGTAATTTTCAAATCAGATAAGTAGTTCCCAAAAATTGACGATTCCATCTTACCCAAAAGATTGAAAATCTCAAGCGGTTTAGAGCTCAAACTCCACTCGAAAGAGTCATCAAAATATCTTAGAATAGTTGGGAATGTGAATTCCCTAACATACTGCAAGTTGGTTAATGTCAAAATGGTGTGAGAATTTCTTGGATTGTCTTTATCTTTTGCCGCATTCTTCAAGATAGCTTCCAGCACTGCTTCCATGGATATTATTTGCTGAACCTCAATCCCAGTTAAAATTTGTTTGGATGGATAATTAACAATTGAAATGCCATTAATAATTGGTAATTTTTCAAAAGAGAATAGAAAGCTTCTTATAACCTGGATGCTGTACTGTTGCACTAGAAGTACTATTTCTGGGAATTGAGTAACACCATATTCTATCGAATCTGTAGAATTCAAATCGCCAGCCTCCTCTGTGACCGATTTATATACTTCCCAGTCTTCCAGTTTGTAGAAATTAGATACATCTCTTAATTTGGTGGACGAAATAGCACCAATACTTCTATCGATAGCTAATGATACTAATTCTCTTGCCATATCAACAGTACTTGTATTGATACCTAATTGGGCCAGTTGTGTGACAAATTTTAGAAAGGGCTCGAATATCAAAAGTAAATATCTAACACATCCTAAACCATTCGCTCTTGGAGGTACAAATCCATAATCAAGGGGAGAACCAGAGTCCTTTTCAACTTTTGTTGAATTTATAACCTCAGATGACGATAAATCTCCTGTTGTAAAATTTGATAATGAGGCCTGTGATGATTGGAAGAAAAACAACAGTTTTTTGAAAATTGATCTAGTAAAATTGTCACCTTTAGTTCTTATTACATTTGCATCTTCTTTTGATAAAGTTAGAATTCTTCTAAAATTATCAATTGTACGGTTATCACCAATTAAAATGTTATCTTTCTTCTTGTCATTGATTATAATATTTTGATATGTTCCATCCAAGAAATTTTCTGTATGTTGCCAAAATTGTATAAAGTTGTTAGATATATCTTCGAATTCTTTAACATAACGTAAAATTAAGAGCCACATTTCAACGATAATTGAAGTGTCTGTTAATCCATGGTATGCAGTAAGGTTGTTTTTAAATGGAATGTCATTTGATCTATCAAGTACACTTTCGGTGCTATTATTAATATATGAGTCATAAATGTTGTTACTTGAACCTTCCCTTTGATCACTTTTTAAATTAGAGTATACTATAGGTTTAAACAATTGGCCAATGGAGAGATAATAAGATAGATTGACACCATCGATATCATCGGCATCATCAATACCAATATGCAGAATTCTTTTCTGGGCCTCCACAATCTTAACCAAAAGATGGTTGGACATTTTATTTAATTCTTGTTCAAAATTATCAACATAAAAATCAAACCATTTTAGAATTGGGTTGTTTTCCTCCTTGAGATCTAATAATTTTGATATCATTGGTAAGAAAATTTCTCGTGATTCCATCTTGATTGAATTCGAGTTCGTTAATAAACCTTCCCATGTTTCTTTTCTATAGCTATCAATTGTACTTTCTACCTGGCTCCAGATTAATTCTATCACTTTCGGTACTTTATTGGATTGACCAATAGAATCTGTATTGGTCTTATTTGTTTTATCAGATTGAGTTTTGGAATTAATATTACCGTACAGTTTAAATTTCTCAATCATTTCTTGACCTTTAGAATAGTTGTATATAAAACTTGAGAAATCTTTCTTTTCTAAATATTTCTTCAAAGTCTTTGGAAGATCAAAAAATTGTCTGTTATCTTCAATAAACTGTTTTGCCATCTTAAAATTGGACATTTTAGTGGAGGTGTCCATAATAGGTTTCAATTTCATATTTGTGGCCCTGATAGATTCATCCACTTTTTCACCAAGTTGATCAATGTTAAGATTATTATTGTCTTGTTCTTTATTATCTGTAACATTTTGTGCAAACTGATTGTAAATCTTGTCTAATCTGTTTTTTATTTTAACATAGCTTGTAAAGTTATCTTGAACAAGAGTCTTGAGGTCATGGGATTGATCTTCGATAATAGAATTTAGATTGTTCAGGGATTGGTTCAGATCCTCGAATGTGTCCTTATTATGTACATCTCTTAAGAATTTATTCACGATAAACTTCTTATCATTAATCATATATGTTGCAATTTCAGTCTCATGTTTGACATTTAATTGTTGCAACGAATTGGCAATATATTCGTTATTTAAGGGATCCCTTAGACGATCTTGTGATTTAACCTTAGAAGCATTAGAATTCTTTTGTTCGTTAAACATCTTTTGTTGGGCTATAAGATCCTTTAATACATCATAGGAATTGTCGGAATCAGGCACCACATTATTCCATTTGCTTAAATTGAATACATAGTTGGAATCTTCCTCCCATGATGTTTGTGGATCTAAAGTCTTAAGATTGTAAAAATCCTCGAGAGTCTCCTCGTTTAATTGCAATGAACTCATGGATTAAAAACAAAAATTAATTAGTATCCTATTTGTGGGAGCTTTATGAGTTTCCCCTGTATGTTAATTTCAATTGAATATTTACCTATCTTTCGTTATTGTTCCTGTAACTATGTAAACAAAGGTTCCACCTACTACCATTGGTGTTGTTCAAATAGTTCTTAAACCACACTATTTATTTTCATTTAGTCAACGGTCAGCGAAAACAGTTAAACTTGATCATTAAAGGCGAACCCGAAAATAATTCTAAGTAATGAATCGTATTTAGATAATACATAAAATTATTAGCAAACAGAATAAAGCTAAAGAGAGAAATTTGGAACAACTTCAAAGGTTATTAAATTATTCCTAGTACACAGATATCTATACTATATGCGTTAGAATGAGTGAAATACATAATAATCCAAACGTAACTCCAGCTGAGAGCGACTTTATTCCGAAACCTGAAATGGACAAGGACGAAGAGATGGATGAATTCAATGATAATGAAGAAGGACCTGTTGTTTTTGAATCCAAAGGGGCTGATAGTGTATCGAATGATGGAGAAAGTGGGGACGGTGATGAAGATGATGAAGATAGTGGACATGATAAAAAGAGAATAGATAATGGTATAGGCAAGTTATTTGAAATACCTGAATTCACAAGAAAAGATAAGGCTTTGGAAGAGATATTAGAGTTGATGGATAGCAATGCTCCGATCATTCCTGATGCCGTCACTGAATACTACTTAAGAAAGAATGGGTTTGACTGTACAGATCTTCGAGTGAAACGATTATTGGCTCTTGCCACACAGAAATTCATAAGTGATATTGCAAATGATGCCTATGAGTATTCTAGAATTAGATCAAGTGTTGCGGTAAGTAACGCTAATAATGCACAGGCAAGGGCTCGACACTTGATGCAAGGTCAACAACAACCAGGTCAACAACAAATAACGCAACAGCAACAACAACAGAATGAAAAAACGACAGCTAGTAAAGTTGTGTTGACAGTTGACGATCTAAGTAGTGCAGTACAAGAATACGGTTTGAACATAGGACGTCCAGATTTCTACCATTAGTTATTATGTTCTTACGAATGTGTTAGAAATCCACTTAAATTGTGTGAACTGGGGAGGTCTGATCAAGACTGGTATACAAAGTATACATATGGTTTCCAATCTCTTATGATATCTTTTTGTGTTAGCAGATTATATAATTAAATTAAGGGTATATTATTAATTGCATTATAATTTGTTTTAAATGAACTATTTACCATATTCAATATTTGCACCATAGACTTAAGTAGTACTTCTGTGATTTGCTCTTTTTTCCTTATTAAGAGAGAAGAAAAAATATTTATATAAAAATAAGAACAATTTTTATTCAATATATATAAGAAAGGCAATTATAAGGCAAAAATAGATCAATAACAAATCTATATACTAGGTATATCAGAAGATATCATACTCTGGTTAAATAAAAACGAATTTGTAAGGTTTTTAACAGTTCTGGTACAAATATTTTAAGCAAATAACGTCGTAAAAACTTTCATAAGAGCTAAAAAGAAATGGTTGTCGACTATTCCAAGTGGGATAAGATTGAATTATCAGACGATTCTGATGTTGAAGTTCATCCAAATGTTGATAAGAAGTCATTCGTCAGATGGAAACAACAAAGTATTCACGAAGAAAGAATGAAGAGGAACCAGGATATCAAAAATTTGGAGACCCAAATGGACATGTATGCAAATTTAAATAAACGTGTTGATAAGCTATTAAGGACATTCACTGAATCAGATGGAAATTTAGGAGAGTTGGCTAATTTACCTTTAGTTGAGACGTTCCTTAATGAGAAATTTGATAAGAATGAAAAGTCAACAGGGGAGAACGTTGATCCTGATATTTCAACATACAACGAGATGGTTATTGATCTATTTGAACAATTAAAAAGGGACGCTGTTAAGGAAAAGAAGGACCCGACTGACCCAAGGGTTATTAAGGAACTTATTCTCCAACACAGAAACAAAATTGACAAAGTCACGGAAGAGGCTAAATTAAAATTAAAGGAATTGTACCATGAAAAGGAAATGCATATATCATCTGAAGATATGCATACTGGTTTTGATAGTGGTTTCATGAATCCTAAAGTAGATACTACTGCTGCCGATAAAGATACAAAAAAGATAAACGATGCCATGGAATCGATTAACTTGAAAGCCAGCACACAATCAAAGACTGAATTGCCTAAGAGTTTAAAAATCGACGCCCCTTTACAATTCATTGAATACACAGACGAGAAAGATATGCTGAAGTTGGCTCCAGAAACTGAATTCTTTGGTACAAAGATTCCTTATGATAACTACAGATTGTCACAAGAATTTCTATTGAAAAATATGCAAATTATCTCTGGACAACAAAAAGATGCCTTGATGATGAAATCTTTTGAGTATCAAATGGAAGATAAAAATTCTCCTATGACTTATCAAATTATTCATCAATCTGAAATTCTAAGTTATGTTCGTGAAATTTATGATATGAAGAAGATACCATTTTTAAGGGTTCAAGAAATGCAAGAGGTTATTGGAATGTTTTTCAGTAAAATCATTTTCAATCCTGCCAACAGTAAAGGTAAAGAGTCCTTCTTAGAAAGTGTAAAGACCAAGTACAACCATGTCAAGAGCCGTTCTGAGATCATTAAACAGGAGCAGGCTGAAGAGAGTGAAGAAGGGGAAGTAGAAGGTGTTGAAACGATTCAATTAAAGTCACTGGATGATTCTGCCGAACTAGAGGTGGTGTTACCTGATTTCGATTCTAAGGACGAGAGTGAAATGAAAAAATGTGAAGCTTTTAATAAAATACCAAAGGATATGCAAGAGGCTTTGAAGACCCAAAATTTAGATACTGTAAACAAAGTATTTGAAACCATCCATATAGACGAGGCTGAAAGAATTTTAGAATTATTTAATGAGGCAGATATTATCGGTGTAAGGGCAGTTCTTGAAAATGAGGATGATTTTAATCACATTAAACAAGATTACCAACAGCAGCTACAGAATGAGGACAATCAAGTGGAACCTCCAGCTGTCATAGAGGAAGAAGAAATTCCTGATACAGCAGACATAGTCGATTAAACCTTAGTGTTTATATGTTAACTGAAGTTACTTTTTAATCATATTGTTTAACGCCGATAACCTACACTGTTAAAACAATTATTAATACTTTTTTATATTAATGGATGATGGTAGATGCGCTAAATTGAAAGGTGTGTAGTTCACCCCATAAAGAAGATATTCTGATATTAGTTATTATCTTTCCTCCTTCTTTAAAATGTATATTTATAGTTGGATTATATATAATGATAAGAAGATGAAGTACATTTTTTTGTTGTCTTAACTTCTAGATGTGATGTGATGTAATATATCTGTTATGATTTTAAACTGAGTAACAATGACGCGACATTTGTATCTTCATGAAAGTTATGCGATGATCTGCTGGACCTTCTATGGTTTTCTTTTGAGAGAATGGAATAACTGGATGATCTTAGAGACAAAGCCCCAATTGACTCCCAATCCTCATCATCTGTGTCAGAAGAGGGGAATGATTCTATAGTGCTATCATTTCCAGTTGAATGCAGCGTTGATCTTATGGAAGATTCGTTGATATAATCGCTTTTCTTTGAGTTCTGTCTTACCTCTGGAGAGTTACTGTGGTTAATTATATAATGATTTGTTGGTAAATTTATTTGATTATTCAATGTATCAGTAACTGGTGAATTTGACATAGAGTTATAAATGAGGTTCATTGAATCTAAATTACCATCTGAAGCAACATTTGAAACAAATGAAAAATTATTCCCAATTGGAATTGGTTTAAGTTTTGGTAAATAACGGGGTTGCTGGTTACAATTTTCGTCTCCTTGAGATATTGTGTCGCTATCATTACCTTTATTTAAAATTTCGTTGTCAGACATTAATACAGAGTCACAGATTGTTCTATTGTTACTATTTTGACTGAACAGGGAATTATTTCTCCAATGTGGACTTGTAAGGACCACTGAACTTTTTCTTCTTTTACCATTTGCTCCTAACAAGAAAGTCGAGTTTTTATTTATTCTAGAGTTTGTGAATTGTGGATCATCTGTAATTGAGTTAACCCTTGCTCTTGATTTTAACGAGATGCTATACCTTCTTGATCTTTTCATATGATGGTTAACTTTTGCAAGTTTTACGTTTTCATTAATATCAGAGTCATCCTCATCGTTCTCCGAAGTAAGTGCATTCTCATCGACAATATTAGAATCAAAAGTTTGCATATATGTCTTTTTATGCAATGAGGTTTCGATAAAATTAGAATTAAAATCGTTTGTTAAAGCTCTTTGTGTTTCGAAATCTGATCTTGGAACTTCTTTAGCAGACCATTGGCCCCAACCGACTTTTTGAAAAATTATACTTCTTCTAATATCACCCTTTGACATGACTCTCATGATAACTCTTCTCTGTTTTGAAGGAGAAAACTCTTTAAACAATGGGATATCCCTAATTAACCCTTTCACTATAGCCCTAATTGGTATTGGACCTCCTAATAACAACATATTAGCTAATTTTTCAGAAGTAACTTCCCTTTCAGCAATAGCTATCACAGAGGTAGATATAGGATTGTTATTTGGTGACATAATTACTTTTGAGTGCTTTTTTAGTTTAGATAATGGATATTATAATGGTGTAGTAAATAGCCTTGTTGTGTTTTTTATTGATCCTATAGGTCTATATAAGAAAGATCATGGTGGTATTTATGAATAATCGTTCGGAAATACAGTTAAGAGTAAAATATAAAATGTAGCAAGTGCTTTATATATGTATGAAATAGATAATTAGAATTAGAATTAATCTTCCATGAAGATAATCCAATGAATTGCTTAAGAACAGACATCCAAGAATATAAACACGAGTAAGAAAAATTAAATTCACTACTATGAGTAACATTTAAAAAAAGAGTTACAGAAACGTGCGGTTTAATTTCTTGAGCATTATTATTACCATTATTTAAAGTATATGTAAGATGATGCAAGAATAATAATAGTCACAACAATATAGTCCATGCGTTAAATTTCGAACATCGGGGTTGCATGTGGTCGATAATAATTCGTGACATTTGGTAGCCTGATGCTCCCTACAAAAGACAGACGGATCAAATCATAACACACACGTATTTAGGCGAACATGAAAATACGTGATTTTAACTACTGGAAAGCAAAAGATTATAAGATTTAGTCGTCATTCTTTCAATGGTAAAAGGGAATAAAACGTTCATTAGAAGAGAGGATCTGGTGATTGTGTCACACCATGTCCGCCTAAACAGGTAAAATTGAACCTAGGAAAAGAAAGAGTAGTGACGAGCGTAAGGGAAAGAGAAGGAAAATAGTATTGCGAAACAAGAAAAAATTCGAAATAAACGCGGATTCGCTTACTCTTGCTAGCTTAACTATGGGGGTGGTTAGTCGACACTAGACCAACCACGAGGCTAAGAGAGTATAAAGTATTACCTACTCAAGAAGAAACAAAACGTGCTCCTGTTCAAGAAAGTTGAAACATAACGAGAGGATGTTCAACAAATGAAAATAATCATTATTTTTATTCTTTCATACTCTTCACATTCTTTTTCGGAGTCTTACTACTAACAAGAATGCCTACAACTTATGCTATTTAGACTGTGTTTAATTTTTAGGCACGTGCTACCACACAATTTTTGCGGTGGTTTTTGCATGTAATTTAGCATTGTCGTGTAAAGCGATACTCATGATCACATGACTTGGTGTATATATTGTCACAACTGCCGTTCTCAAATTTTCACTGACGCACAAAAAAAGGAAGGCATCAGTAAAATCCCTTCTTTTTCTAAAATTCTGTTTTTCTTCGGTGAAAAATTTCATTTGGATGCTCCTTGGGGAACAACCACACCCTGGTAAAACATGAAATTCTAGGCTGAACTTAGACTGACCGCTTCTCTTACTATTACTGTTCTCTCCTTCTAGCGATTGTGTCCAGTGTTTGTAGTTATCCAATGAAGGTCAGTTGGTTATCCCTTTCTGCCCATTCAACCATCGACTACTAGAATATGCGCAGAAAGTGTCGCAGCCAAATTTAATCAATAACTGAATATATTTTTGTTTCACCAATAATTGTCTCCCTTTGAACAGTAACCACCATGAATTGGTCGTGATTACTGATTGTACTTGTAGCTTAACCAAGGGAGGTCCAGCAAAACAGAATACGCATACTGTTTTTATTAGTAGTTTTATACATGAAAGAGTTGAAGTTCGTACCCAAAAATTTTCGTTCACTGAAAATTTATAAGCTTTCAGCATATTGAAAAATTGTTGATTATGTAGTCTTCACCAATTAATTTTTTCATCACAACATGTCTTACCCCCTTCCTCGCTCCTTTCTATGAGGTTATTAATTTTTAGGTCGTTGTCGTCCACTCTCTTTTTTTTTCACCATTTTACTTCAGTATTATTTTTCTTTCCTTCTTGACGAAATTTCACTTCTTTTGTATATTCTATTAGTTTAAGTTTCCTTACTTAACAGTCTTTATTTTGCAACTACTACTTTCTTAATAAACTTCTACGATTATCCATTGTATAATTGTATTTTGTAGTTCTTCTTTTATAAAGTACACAAGCACACACACTTACAACTTAAGTACATATATTACAAGATGTCTAACCCATTCGACCTATTAGGTAACGATATTGAGGACCCAAATGCCACTGTTGTTCCACCTCTAAAGGAACTAGTCAGAAAGACCACTTCTTCTAAGAAGGCTGACGTTCCACCACCATCTGCTGACCCATCCAGAGCCAGAAAGCCAAGAGCTAAGGCCACTGGTAACGACGGTGCCATCAAGGACAAGTCTGCTGGTAGACAAAAGAACAGAACTAGAGACGTCTCTGGTTCTGCTTCTGAAAGAAGACCAAACACCAGAAGAGCCACTGACCGTCACTCCAGATCTGGTAAGACCGACACCCAAAAGAAGATTAACCAAGGTTGGGGTAACAACAAGGATGAAGTTGACACTGAAGCTGCTGCTGAAGCCGATGCTAAAACCGAACTTGCTGAAGATGCCGAAGAAAAGGTTGCTGAAAGTAACAAGATGACTCTAGAAGCTTACCTACAAAGTCAACAATCTGGTTCTTTGAACAAGACCGTTGAAGCTAAGGCCACTAACAAGCTAGAAAACGCAGAATTGTTCTTCAAGGAAGAAGAAGTCTACGTCCCAGCTACCAAGGTCAAGGCTGTCAAGTCCAAGCAACAAAAGGCTAAGAACTTCCTAGACTTCGATGCTACTTTCTCCGATGCCGTTCCAAAGGGCAGAAGATCCGACAACAGATCTGACAACAGATCCGGTGACAGAAAGGACAACAAGAACTTCGGTAAGAACGCCAAACGTGGTGGTAAGAAGAGTCAACAAAACACTGTCGAAAAGAACCGTTCTATCGACACTGCTAACCTACCATCTCTAGCTTAAACCTGTTGTTTGTAAATCAGTGTGTGTTCCATTTCAAATACGAGAAATCGAAGTAGAAATTCACTAACTTTTTATTTTTCTCCATCTCATTTTCATTTCTCTTATATTTATTATCATTATAAATATAATTTTATATGACATGACATATATAAATATATATATATATTATAATTAACCTTTTTTTAAAATATAATCATAAGAAAAGATATTAAAAATAAGGGCCAGTTACTGTAGATATGTATATATATATTAGGGGTCCTAAGAACTTGTACTTAGTGATGAATTTTGCTATTTCATTTTGGTTTCAAATTATTACTTTATTCTACTTTAGAAGTGTCAGTAATAAATGATGTATAGTTAGTGTAGCGAAAGAACTTAATTGCGCTAGAATTAGATCGAAAAAATTAAAAAATTAGTAATAAATTGAATATAAGTATATATATATATATATATATAATATCTATTCTCATTAAATCATATCTATAAGAAGTATTTCTATCATTTACACTTTAAGATCAACTTTTAAAGTGTATGTGACAACAAATGACAAAGTAATAAAAAGTACCGTGTACTGTATCAACATGAATATAGATAAACAGTCCATCTGTTCATGTTTACCTTCCACTGGGGAATAGAATGCGGTGAAATAAACTTGCGCTGTGGCACTAGGCATTGACCAAGTCAAAATCATGATGAATTTACTAACGTCGTTATCAAGCCAATTCATATCATATAATTTGTTTGCCCAAAGTATCCCAATAATAGGGATGATTACTAGTCTACAGACAGTAAGCATTATTACTGTTTTCATAAAACCTTTCGGTATTGATTCCACCTCTAATCGAGCCAACATACCCCCCAGTAAAAGTAAACCTAGTGGGACACAGGCATTCCCAATGTATGCAGTAAAATCCATAATAAAATTCAATACGGGAAGGTTATCTGGAGCCTTGTGAACATGCACATATGTATCAACAAAACAAGCTTTGACCCAAGGAATCAATGCGCATATGATACCTAGTAAAGCTCCCAGAGAGGCAGGTCTTAGACAATTGATCAAAAAATAAGATAACCATCCTAAATGGTAATGTCTGATAAATTTTGAAATTCGTAACTTTAATCTTTTCATTACTGTGTAAGTCTTCTTGTCTTTTTCATGAACGTCACTCAAATTGTTGACACTCTTATTATTATTCTGTGACACTATACTATGCGGCATGTTTTCAATATCTTGTTGCAATGTCAATGATTGTTCGTTATATATTGAACCTAAACAAGTATTTTCTTCTCCGATGTATTGAGTCAATGTCAATGGACGATGTAAGTTTAATTGTCCCGATTTAATTCTTTGTACAGCACTATACTCTGCAATCATACTATTCACTACAGATTTTTCAGTCTGAGTTCTTATCAAGGATTTCTCTAATGCCCTTGTAATTGATAATTTTCTTGTTAAGTTGAACTCCGGTTCCTTATTAGTAGACAAAGGAATTTTATTAGTTCTTATAACTGCTGGTGATGATATGACTGGAGTAATTCGACTCATTCCATATTTCGAAAATGAGCTATCCTTGGATTGTGTATCGTTTTCTGTAGATTTAACATTTTTCCTATGATCTTCTAGATTCAGTCGAGAAGGGGAATTCGTCTCGACATAATTATTATCGTTATCATCATATTCAGAATCTGCATAACTGTCAATACTATACAGTTCAAAATCATCTGAGTTTGTATCTATATCACTTCGTTGAGGTCGATTAAAATTTTCATTTGTATACCTCGTACTCACATGAATCGTAGGCACTTTAGGGTCTTTCTTGTCATTTGCAGGAGATGAAGCAACTTGAGAATTTCTTGAAGAATTCTTTCTTTTGAAATCAGAATCATTGAGTTGTCCATTAATCTCCCTATCTAAAACGACGTCATCATCAGTATCAGTTGTACTGTCACCCTGTATGTCCTTAAAATCGAACCCAACTAGTCTCCACATCCCAAAATTCATCATGAGAAAACTTTGAGCAAATAAAAATATACAAGAATATGCGACACCTTTATTTGCCTGAGTTTCATCGAATATCATGCCATTCCCCATACTTTGCATATAGGCTATGGGTAAATCTGATATATTTGGGAAAATTCCTCCAAATAATAACCCCCAAAACCACATCTTTGGCGCAGGGGTAACTAATTTTGTTAGGAATGAACAGGCACCACCTACAACAAACAGTAAAATTGCAGAGAGTAAGATCACGCCAATGACTTTTATATCCTTCCATGAAATATTACTTACAATCTTATTAAAAGTCAAACATGGTAGTATAGCATTCACCACCATATTCGATATACCTCTGGCAACCTCCATTGAAACAATATTATATCTGGCTAATAGAAACCCAATGAACATTATAGCATATATCTTTAAAATTGGTTTTAATGATACATATATCGCGGCACCAACATCTAAACTCATATTGGTAAAAATGCTATATGTATAACTATTTCTACAAAACAAGGCATTTCCTAACCCTTTCAAATCTTAGGGAAACAAGAACAGATTACATCAACTGGTTAAGTCGTCTATAAAAAAGTTTAAGGTTCATTCAAATCCGTATGATCCTTTATATAATAAGGCCAGTTCGAAAAAAAAGAGTTTCATTGGTTTTAGTGTTGGGGCAGCCGTAAAGGTAGGAAGAATGGGGCAACCAAGAGTCGTGCACTCTAAAGATCGGTCTCATTTAATAAATATATTTATACTGTAGTATTGTAATATTACCCACTCTTTTTGAGTCCGACCAACTGAGAGAAACGTGAGCACAACGGTGCGATCCCGCATTGTAAGGCCGATACGGCTGAGGGTGGGGTGAAGAGGAAGGAAATAAAACGGATGAGAAACAATCGATGACTTTTAAAGGAAAGTTTTGAGAAGAATAATAATAATAATAATAAATTTGTATAAATTATAAATATGAATTGGAGGGTTTAGTTAGTTGTATATATGTATGTGTAGATATATATGTACAAGAAAGGAATAGTAATATCAACTGTGTATTGGACTGTTGTTGGTCGTTATTTATTGTTTTGTTTTGCCTTTCATAAGTGGTTGCTTTAATCTTCAATGTATTTTTTAAAACCGAAGTTCGAAAGTTCCTTTTGTTTTTATGTTAAAATACACTGTGATATTAGTTATGGGAGTCTATGCATTGTATACTCTCATTTAGCTGTTTATTTCTTTTGTTTGTTTAGGAATTGCATGTTAACGGCATTGATGATAGATGGAACGATATCAGCATTAGCCAAAGTAGATAAATCACCTAATTGATCAGCTTCATTGGAAGCAATCTTTCTTAGGACTCTTCTCATTATTTTCCCGGATCTTGTTTTTGGTAAGTCCTTAACAATGACAATACATTTTGGAGAGGCAAATGGACCGATTTCACCTCTAACTTGTAGGATCAATTCACGATGTAATTCATTCATTGGGGTTTCATCTTCCAATGGGTTAGCTGGCTGGGTTTGGTTCTTCAAGGAGACAAACGCAATGACAGCTTGACCTGTAAGTTCATCGGTGATACCAATGACAGCAGCCTCTGAGACAGCGTCGTTGTTACCCAAAGAGGCTTCGATTTCGGCAGTTGATAGTCTGTGACCAGAAACGTTGACAACATCATCAACTCTACCTCTGATCCAATAGTAACCGTCATGATCTCTACCGGCACCATCACCTGTGAAGTAGTAACCTGGGTAAGGCTTCATGTATGTGTTGATGTAGTGAGCGTGGTTGTTCCATATGGATCTAGCCATGGAAGGCCATGGAGACTTCACAGCTAGGACACCCTCGACGTCGTTTTCTTCCAGTTCGACACCTGTGACTGGGTCGATGATAGCAGCGTTGACACCGAAGAAAGGTACCGAAGCGGAACCAGGTTTAGTTGGCACGGCACCTGCTAATGGGGCAATCAAATGAGAACCCGATTCGGTTTGCCACATGGTGTCACAAATGACACAATCCTCATTACCGATGGTCTTGTGGTACCATTCCCATAGTTCTGGAGAGATTGGTTCCCCAACTGAACCTAGGACTCTTAAGGAAGAAATATCGTATTTACTGATCTCTTCTTCCCCGACACGTTTGATCAATCTTAGAGCAGTTGGAGCTACGTAGAAATGAGTAGCCTTATGACGTTCGATGATTCTCCAGTATCTACCGTAATCTGGGTATGCAGGGGTGGACTCGAAGATGATCGAGGTTGTACCAAGGGCCAACGGACCATACAATGCATAAGTGTGACCAGTGATCCAACCGACATCACCTGCGGTGAACAAGATATCCTCTGGATGGATATCAAAGACGTATCTGGTGGTCAAAGCGGCACCTAGTAAGTACCCACCAGTGGAATGGACAACACCCTTAGGAGAGCCTGTAGAACCAGAAGTATATAATAAGAATAATGGATCCTCGGCGTTACATGATACAGGTGGTAAATAACCTCTTTGTTTAGAGGTTTCTTCATGCCACCAGAAATCTCTTCCTGCTTTCATTGGGATCCCTTCAGTACCAGTTCTTTGGAAGACAAGGATATGAGACACAGAATCGACTCCGTTCAAACCTTCATCGACGATCTTCTTAGTGTGAATAGTTTTCCCACCTCTACGACCTTCATCACAAGTGATTAAAACTTTACAGCCTGCATCCACAATACGGTCTTTCATTGAACCTGAGGAAAACCCAGCAAAGATCACGGAATGGACAGCACCAAGTCTAGCAATTGCAAGCATAGCAATGACAGTAGATGGGATCATTGGTAGATATACTGCAACAGTATCACCTTTCTTGACACCCCAACTCTTTAGTACACCTGCGACTTTGGAGACTTCTCTCAACAATTCTCCAAAACTGATAATTTTATTTTCAGCTTCATCATCAGCTTCATAGATAAGAGCAGGTTTATCAGGGTTAGCAAACGCGTGTCTATCGACACAATTGTAAGAAGCGTTCAATTCACCATTTAAAAACCAAGCAACGTCACCATTCTCTAAGGAACCGGATTGTACTTTAGTGAATGGTCTATCCCAATGTAAGAAATCGCGACCCATTTTCCCGAAAAATTCTTCAGGTTGTTCAATAGATTCCTTGTACATTTTTTTATATGTATCCATATCGTGAACATAAGCAGGACCAGGTTGAGAATTATAGAAATGTTGTGGAGCCTGTCTAGCACAGATGTTATGTGCCTCATGGACAGTAGAATGATCTCTTCCTGTCATATTTGTTGTCGCTGTTGTTTTTTATTTCAAAGTAAGGTATAGTAGCGGTTACTATTATTTATTGCTTACTACCTTTATATAATGTTAAGATCAGAAAATTCAAGTAATAAGTAGTGAAAAGTAAAAACCCCTTTTCATGAAAAAAATGTAAAATGTGAAATGATTAAAATAAGTCAATTCATGCAATCTCTTTCTTGTTCTTCTTCTTTATATATATATATTGAAACGAAGTACAAGTTTTGTATTGTAGCTGAGACTGTAACCTGTTGGTTGACCCGAGTATTGCATTGAGCATTGTACCACTTATGTCAATAGATAATTTTTTCTCTCCCTTCCCTTTCCTTTCCTTCTGCCTTGTTCCCGTCAACCCGAGCTGAGCTAACTGTGTGCAAGGTAGCGAGACAGAGAAAGCCAAAAGTGAAAAATTCCATTCAACAACGCCTCGAGACAACTGCGACAAGAAGAAGCGATACGAGAGGAAGAGTTATTGCCAGTAATCCTCTATTCGGTAACTACGACTACTACGACTACTACGACTGCTACTACTATTACTATTATTACTACTATGTCTCTTACTCGCATTTATCTATCAAGCAAGCCCGAACAGAGAGCGTATTAGCGCAACCGGCCGACCGTTGCCATCATTGCAATTACAGCAAACTGTGACTCTCTCAAGGCCCTGCTTTGCTGGGATTATTCTTTATGATTATCAAACCACAATTTTTCTATCAGTCGCGCAAAATATCACGCGACACGACCGCGAAATAAGCTGCAAATGCTATATATTTATCTATATAATATATTTATCTATATTATACAATCACGTAGCATGTGAAAATTATAGTGCACAGTGCGGATAAATCTGAATAAACGTGTGACTGCGTATCGCTCTCTTTGTCGCTCTCTCTCATATCCGTGCATGACCTCATCAATTTTCTGGTTGTTTCTCTCTGAATTCGCTCCGTTTACTCTGGGCCTTTGGACCGCTCAGCTTGTTTGGTATTTTTTCGCTTTTCGGGTCGTTTATCGCGGTTACCGGCGTATGTGATGTGGTTTTTATTGGGATTGAATTCTTGCAATACAAAACTAGTTTTCCCATGGGATTAATTATTACGGAACTCTCTATCTCTCGCTATGAAATAGTACAATTATACCAATAAATAAATAAAATGCAATTAGAGTGTTACCCTATGCATCACATGGTACGGGTATTAGTTTTGGCTTTGGGTTTGGCTCTGGCTATCAATTTGAGCCACCCAGTCTGTTTCTCCATAATTGTTTATTTTGTAATTAATATTTACTATACATATGTTAGTGTTGCTGTAATTTATATCCAGATTCTACAACAATTTTACTTACTCGCCTCAAGGTATAACGTACCCACACGACCTAAGAATAACTTGATCGCATAACGTAAATCTTGTGGTACGCTCTTATCCAAAATTTCAATGACTAACGTATACATAGACGCACAATGATGACGGAAATCATCATCATCCAATTCGTAATAACCTTGTAAAATCTCGACAATAACAGGACGCCAGGAATTGATACTACGTTCCATTGTTCTATCGTCTAATGCAATATATGCACTCATCACCCGACTACAGATTCTGACTAACCTATCTAATAACTCAATATTCTTAGTATCATCATCATCATTATCACTGTTATTACCATTGAAGTATAACTTGAACATGATATCAATTAGTACTGCTGCTGCACTCGTCTCTTGTTTTAATAAGTTTGGAATCTTATCTACAACACGAGCCTCAACAAGCCGCGTACGTAATCCATAATCAGCATTGAAATCTCTGGCAAAACCATACGATTGTTCTAATAATTCGGTGAGCCTAATGGATTCAGTATATGGGATACAACGTGCAAAATTCTCATCCTCATATAATTCATTCAATAATTCAATCATTAGTAATTGTAAAACACATTTAACAACAATACTATTCTTAATGTTGATCCGACGACGACGTGTATCATGTGTATCATCTTCTGGCTGTTCTACCTTTTGAACTTCTGTCTTTTGAATCTCTTGGTGTTCCTGATCTTGCTCGGCTGTTTCACCACCAACGTCTTCACTGCCGGCTTCTACATGGGCTCTCTCGACAGTTTCCTGTGTACCCTCATTATTATTAGTAGAAGGAGTAGTATTTGAGTCTGGTAAAGTGTTGTCCACTATAGATGAACGTCTACCTTGACGTAAGGGATCATTATCAAATAATTCATTCGCGGTAGTTAAACGGAATAATTTAGTAAATACTTCACCAATATGTTGCCAATTGGTTTCGTTAAATTTATCAACATTTTGCAATATTAATTCTTGTAAGCATGATCTACCAATTCTTGCAATTGTATCATTCTCTTGACAAATACATGACACCAATAGATCTAAAAACCCATCTAACAATCCACTTAAAGATTCAAAATAATGTGTAAATAAAGCAATAAGGTTTCTTAGTGCTTGGATCAAAGTAGTAGATAGCCAGACACTCAATTCATCATGACTATTGAATTGATTGACTTCCCAATGTTTTGATAGGACACCAAAGATTGGGAATAACAACTTTGTACAGATTTTCTCCCAAAAGGCATCATCAAATTCTCCTCCATATGCAACTAAGGAATCAAACATATAATTCAAGGCACGAGAACGCACTTCTAAATCATCCGCTGTCATAATCGTTTCATTGAAACAATATAGCATTGGGAACCATACATCTTGGAATACATCTTTACCACGTAATAATTGTTCATAGTGTTCACGAGTCTCTGCATCGAGGTCATCGTGACTAAAACATATCTTGGCAATTTGTTCAGTGATTCTTTTTAGGGATTCTAAGGCGTGTAATGCAGCCTTTTGATATTTCTTATTTTTTGTAATCTCTTTAAAAATCCCAACTAATTCGAAAAATGCACCGTCTTGACCAAAAACACTTTCAAAATTCTTGTCAACGATGTCATCACCTACAAGTCTTAATGTTTTTAATACAATTTTTTCATCCTTGGAGGCTGCAGTGTACTGTAATGATTCAAGGATAGGTTTCCAACCTGACTTGATATGTTGTTGTTTCGTTAAAATGAAATTACCGAAACATTCAATAATCATCTCTTGTACTTCAGTGTTTGTAGTGTTCTGAACAGCATATTCAAAGGGCTTCAAGAAATCAGATTGAAATTCGAACCCGGATAGCTCATCAATATCAAGAAATCTCATAGATAGTTGACGTAATGAATCAATGGCAAAAAATACAATTGCCAAATTTGGATTGGTGGCAATCTTATTAAATGCATTACCCATAACAGCCCATAATGGTGTCCATTCAAGTCTAATACGATCCATATTGTAATAACACACGTCTATCATTTTTTGTAACGAAAACATACGTGGAGTAGAAGCATATTGAGACGATTCAATCTCATCTAATGACACCGCAGTAAGAGCTTTAATGAAATCTATGATAGCACTACCAGATAATTCAGAACTCTTTGTAAAGATGTTATCCATTAAAACCACTAAATCACTCGAGGATATAAATTTGGACATCTCACTAGAAAGTTTCTGGTTATGATGTTTTTCTTGTGCTAATTCCATTGGTGTTGCTTTCTTACCCCAAATATCGAAGATTGATTGGTTTGCTGATCTAGTTGATTCTAATGATGCTCGTGGATTGGCAAAACGTGCTTGAGCAACGTCAGGGACTGTGTCTCTATCAATACCCTTGGAAATTAATTGTAATCTTTCCATTTGAGATACGACTAAGATAACATCCTTCCAGGAATCTTTTAAATAGTTACCTTCAGCCAATGCAATCTCTAGAAGATCAATCATAGCATTGACATTCTTCACTTTGATTTCTTGTACATTTTGTAAATTACAGAATTGTACTAAAGCACCGATAAATGATTTTCTAGCGTCATCAAGTACAAAAATAGATGAAATTTTAATAGATATTTTTAGACCATCTAAACATTTGTTTGTAGTTTCGATGTCATCATAATCTTTGAACGGAGGTGTCAAGGCTGCCAAGAACGACATCCATAAAGTTTCAAAAATTGATTTCACGTGTTCGAAATGGGAAGCAGCGTAATAAACTTCGGTATCTTGTTTACCTTTAGATTTACTTAAATTCTTAAAGACAAGCTCCGTCTTAGATGATATTTCTTTGGAGACCTGCAAATATGATTCTCTTGCCAAATCCCTTGAACTGAAGAAGTTAAAGGCAGCTTGTGCTGGTATGGTACCAATAGTAGCAGTGTTATCCTCAGATAGCATTGCTTGATGTTGTTCGGATAGCAACTTAATTTCGTTACCTTCTATTTCTTTAAACAAGCCAACTAAAAATTCTTCGGGTAAATCATGATCATTATCAATGCCTTTATTATTGTCTAAAAATTCTTCAAGAGTCATTTTACTTTTGATCTGAGAGGAATGTAAATCTGTGTTTAACATTATTAATGAGTATGACAGCACATATGCGGTATCAGCTTTAGAGAAAACACCCGGATTTTGCTCCACATACCTTTCAGCAAACTTTAACATGAATCTATCAATCTTTTGACCTTCACCTGGAAGTCTGAACGCCTGTAGGAAATCACGAAGGGCATCAACAATAGAGAGCCCTTTGAAATCGAACTGTTCAACAAATGCGTGCATTACCGCGATGTTCTTCTCGTTACCTTCGCCTAAATAATCACCAACAACTGCCAAGTCAAGACCATCAGTCTCTAAGAGCCATTTAGCAATGGAGCTTGGAGAATCATCAATTATAAATCCTCTGGAAATTAAGCCCGGGATGGCCTTCTTTGGCTTGTTATTAAAAATTGCAACAGAGTCCGATAATTGAGTCTTTCGTTGTTTTAAATTCTCGAATTGTGTAGGATCATCGACATCTTGTGATACGTTAATGTTGACATTACTTTCACTGGCAGAATTTTCGTCTCCTAACGTTAGCGAAGTATTTGTATTTGTTCCATCCACAGATTGTCCCAATTGGTTGCTGCCTTTAGCTGGGTTAACGATGTTAGAATTTGGATTTAAGGCCTTGTGAGCCCACGAACCTAAAGATCTTAAGATTGAAATGATACAGTTTAAAGATGTCATCTTAAGGGCAAAATCAATAGGGAATAACAAAGCACCTTGGTTAGGATCGATATTTGAAGGAAGCGTTGATGTTGTCAATAAAGGTAATTCGTTAAAATTAAAGGTTGATAATGGCTTCGATAATTGTTCTTCGTAGTATGACCTTTGAGAAGGAGTAATTTCAACTCTTGTTAGAGCCAATTTGGTTAAATAATCGACCATGATTTCCATAATATTAGGCATACCTGGATTACAGTCGTAATTTAAATAAAATTCAATTAGCGTCCTTGGGTCATTACAAATCCTTTGAATGACGGTCAAAAAGTATCTCTTTTGTTGTGATGTAGCTGTCTTCAATTCCGTAATTGGGAAATAAATTTCAGTTAAAAATACTGGGATTTCCTTCACCATGTCTGCTCTTAAATTAGCAACAATTAACCACATAATTTCTAGAGTAATCTCAAATACAGGCGGTATTGGAGAGGCAGCATTACGGGATAATGATAAACATAGATATTGCCTAACAGCATTCATCAAAGAAACAGATTCTTTACCAGGCAAGATTATATCTGGGGACAAAAAGATATCTATATGGTCCTTTATAATGGAGTATATTATGTGCAAAGAGAGTAATTTTGATCTAACAGCATGTGATCTCATATCAAGTTCACTCTCTAGAGGTTTAGCACATATTTTAGACATCGCTCTGAATACCAAGAATGCATCCTTGATGGCTAACTCTCTCTCTGAGGCGTCTTTGTCCAATTGTTCATCATCAGTGGCATCATCGTACTGTTGTGCATCCATTCTTCGTTCTTCTTCATCATTAAGGTTTTCCATATTCTGTAACGTTATTGGATCGTTCCCTGTCACTTCAGATGTAGGTAAACTCTTTTTCGACTCATTTATCGAAACTTGATATGGTTGAATCTTTTTAACTTCGATTTTATCATAAACAGCGCTAATTATTTGTGTTAATGTAGTCTGAGCAATACCTTGATTGGTTGGATTTAATGAAAAGACAAATATGTTGTAGATGGTTCTGATAGCTTTTAATAAAGAGGCACCATGACATAATGAATTTGCATCCTCTACTAATATACAACCGGATAAGGATCTTATAATTTGTAATTCCACTCTTTCATCTGTACCTTCACCTTCGAAACAATCGGCAATAGTATCGATTGCTGCATCGATCAACCTTTGTTTTGGTGGAGGTGTAATCCCACTGTTATCATTTGTAGTTTCTTGATCATTGGAAGCCATTGAGTCAGGAGGATTAACCAATATCGCTTCATCTATGGCTCTGAAAGAGAATAATTTTGATAAAGTATCTAAAGCTTTACTTGTGATACGAGACGATTTTGTTCTTGAAGCAGCTCTAAGAGCTTCAAACAATAGGATGGAATTAACTTCTATTGATGAGCCATTGGATTCCTTTAATGTATCTTCAATCTTAGTTATTGTCCTTTGGATGATTTTATGAGTACCAGGAATCTTTTTTACTTCTTTTTCTTCCACAAGTTCTTCTAAAGTAGTCTTAACAAGTAATAAAGTTGATTTTGCATTAGAAGCTATTGTTGTAGATGTAGTTGAAATATTTCTAACATGATTAGATGTAAGTTGGGTATGATCGATTGTTTCAGTGTCATGTTGGTCAATAGCTTCTTCTACTTTTTGATGGACTTCAGGGACTTCCTGTCCTTCATTATTTGAAATTGAGTTCACCTCATTTTTATTATTTTCATCATCGTGTGAAACTATTGGTTCTTCTAGTTTTGGTTGTTGCTCCTCTTCATGCTCAATTGTATTCTCTTGTTGTTGTACGTTTTCGTTTTCCTCCTCGAGATTATCGTCATTTACATGAACTTCTTCTTCTTCTTCAGTGTCATTGGGAGCCTGTGGTGCAGCAAACGAGGAAGCATCATCAGAATTGAGATTCACAGATGACACACTTTCTTGTAGGTCATTCTCCTCAGGATTAGTTTGTTCTGACATCTTTGATTTTTCTCTCTCTCTTTCTGTATATGTATATATATACCCAACAGGTTTATCTATCGATGTCTTGTCTATATAATCTTTACTTAAAAGGGGGAAATCAGGTAACTGAGAGAGGACAGAGTGCGATAATTAAAAAAAGGAGAAATATATTTCAATTATTACAAAAAATATAATAATCTTATTTAAAATTTGATGAATAATAAGTCAACTAAGCTATCTCTTTACAATCAAATCAATTCTTTAACTTAATATTTTGACACGATAGAGGCTTAAAATTCAGTAAAATTCACTGTATCCAGCTCTCGCTACCAACAAAACAACAAAACTGCTTTTCTATACTGGTTTTTTTGGTTTGGCTTCGTCTCCTAATCGCTTTCGGAACATTTACAACTCACGCAGGGCCTATACAAAGCGCGGTATTAAGAAGAAAAAAACGACAAATCATGAATAATTCAATAGTAATAGCAGTGCTAATAGTGGTTGTAACATCCATATACTTTCAGCAATTATTTCAAAGTTTGTCAATGGAGAGATCCATTCTAGCTTTGGATTACGTCGATGTTGCCTCGATGGGCCATAGTATGGTCAGAGAGGTTGAATGTTCCTGAATTGACATCCAGTGGCTCAAAAAAGAAAATTATGGAAAATATTAATGGTCGAAAAAGAAGGTCGTACCCGGATTCGAACCGGGGTTGGTCGGATCAAAACCGACAGTGATAACCACTACACTATACAACCATTTTCGAAAATTTCGTCAAATATTTATATACTTTCGGTATTTAAAAGTTCACATTTTAAGCGTGACGTTGTGTATAAATGAATTTGCTTGGAAAATATGTAACTCTAAAAGATTTCATATTATTCAAAATGAATATTCAGGTTTTAATTCATTATTTTAATTATTAGAAATTTGTTAAAATGTGGCGGCTGTAAACGTAAGTGTTGAAATGTAGCGGCAGCACTAAAAAGGCTAACATTAGCTTATTCTATCTGAAGGAGAAGTTAGCTAATATAAGTAGAATTTAGAGTGTGTTGCACTACCATATATATAATAACAGATGATATATACAGCAGAATGTAGTATTTGTTCCCCCTACATTGGGTTTATTGGAGCTACATTTGTCGAAAATATATTATAAGAATGATAATGACCAAGGTTATGCTCTGACAATAGGTTAATCCCTGAATGATTTGATAATATATTAATCCTGCAACAACTTATTAATAGATTACTTACGCCACTGTCGAGTGATTCTATAATCATGGCAATGATAAATTCAACACATATAAATGAAACAATATCTCATTTATGAAAATAATTGTTTCCATAATTTACCTTATATATTTTTATATAATATGTAAAAAAATCGGAGGACTATAAGTTGATTTTATAATATAAAAAAATTTGTTCAGTTAAATAGAAGATATCTAATATTCAATTTTCTCATCAACATTGTCCAACGTTACTATGCACAAAAGATGAGCAGTTTAACAACTGCAACTCTGTTTAACATTTTGTTCTTTAATAGGCTCATGCTATTCCTCCATAGATAATTAGGATTTAGAATAATTAATGTTGGTTCTTTTCTTTATAGCTCAGAAAGTATAAGTACTACAGTTTTATCCAATAAGAAAAGATGAATTAAAACTCTTTACTACGTTTTTGTTCTGTTTTATCAATATTGTTTAACACTTTTCAATAACAAGTTACGATACACTTAACTCCTTGGTAGTGGGTACAAGCATTTTCTTAATATCAAGATGGAAACAACTTCTAGTAAATAACTGATTATAAGAATGACAATGGCCGTACTAGGATCAAGTAGTCTTCCTGTTGTTGTTGCGTTTAAAATGATAAAACTTTCTCAAAATATATAAAATTTTTCTATTTGCTGTCAAACTAAAGACTTATGCTCCATCTACTAAACATAAACAAAAAAACAATAGTGACAAAAAACAACAACACAAAACTTTCAAGAATCTACTACTAAAAGACACACACACACAAATTAACTATAACAAGACGACCCCAAGTTATTCACAAGTTAGTCTTACAATGAGAGCCCCACCAAAATGTTGCTCATTATCATATTGTGTTCTTGATCAACCACCGCTGTGGAAACTCATCACGCCTTCTCAACTCCACAATTAATTGCCCACCTGAGACAGAACATGGTGGTATACCACCATTCTTTGCCAGATGTAGTATCACCGACCCTCTAGAAGGTTCTCGAAAGAATCTCTTATGCCTTCTCTGTCTCATTTATAGTAAGCCACCCACGACCAACCACCTGCCCTATGCATAGAAACTCATAGAACATAAAAATACGAAGAAATTTCACTTTGTCTCTATGGTCATCACCGCAAGGAGCTAAAGAGAAGGCGGGCAGAGAGAGCCTCAGTGGCGCGGTGTATTATCTCTCTCACCTGTAAACGCATTCAGACACACACAACCAGGTTCCGCTTTAGTAATATTAATAATAATAGTAGACAGAAAGCCCGGCAAAAGTAATATTTTAAGGGGTGGGGGCCCATGAGAAGAAGGAGACATATTTTACGTTAAGCAATAAGGGTGGTAAAACTAGATTAACTTTCTTGATATAAATAAGGACAACATTTATAAATCGATAGAATCATTTTCGCAAATATGTACTTCTTTAAAACAAGAGGTTTCATATCAATTAATATTTTTACATTTCCTTTAATTTTTAAGTAGTGTCATATTACGTCAGAACCAAATCGATCGAGAGAGATATAACTTTAACTTTCATCAATTTTGTTTATTTATCATTACTATTATTCTAATTACCTAACCTCATGAGTTTCTACCAGCCTTCTTTGTCATTATATGACGTTTTAAACGCCTTAGCTAGCCAGAACGGCGCTAGAAACGAACAACAACAACAACAGGAACCTCCTCGTGGTCCTCCACCTCCACCTAATCCATTAGGTAGACATGGTCACGGACATGGTCATCCACATCCACATCCGTTTGGTGCACATGGTCATGGTCCACACGGCCATCCTTCTCGCGGATACCCTCATCACCGTCATGGTCCTCCTTCATTTGGATTCCCAGGTACTGACCCATTCCAACCTTCTTTTGGTCTTCCAAACTATGGTTTCTCTAGAATGCCTCAACAAGGTTATTACTATAGTCCTCAATATGACTATCCAGATGAAGACATGAATGATGAAGATGAAGAAAATGAAGCTGAAGAACAGGATAACGTGAAGCAAGAAGAAGATCAACAGCAATATCCTTCTTACTACCATGATGAATCTGGGAAATATAATAGAGGTTTCGAACAAGAACAGCCATCATTGACTGACATCTTAAATGCATTGATGGGTGGTGCCAGTCAAGCTGAAACTGAGAAAGGATACAATGATGCAGATGAAGGTGAAAATGGAAAGAAATATGAAGAAGAAGACGATGAAGCTATTGCGGCTACTGCTGATACCGATTCAAAGGCAGAGGAAACAATATCTCAACCTGAGCCAGAAAGGAAATCTCCTCCACCTGCTACTAAGACTAGCACCTTAGAGAAACCAACTAGATCGTTTGCTCATTTGTCTGCACCAACACCAATACCTGATCCGCTACAAATCTCCAAGCCAGAGACAAGACTAGACTTACCTTTCTCTCCTGAAGTTAATGTTTACAACTTGGATAACGCCTACGTCGTGGTCCTAGCTCTACCAGGTGCTAACTCCAAATCTTTCAAGATTGATTACCATCCATCATCTCATGAATTGCTGGTCAAGGGTAAAGTAATCGATAGATTGGGAATAGATGAACAATACTTGAAGATTACTGAAATCAAATATGGTGCATTTGAAAGAACTGTGAAGTTCCCAGTGTTACCACGTATCCAAGATGAAGAAATTAAGGCCACTTATTCTAACGGCCTGTTACAAATTAAAGTTCCAAAATTAGCCAGCACCGAGAAGCCACAGCCAAAGAAGAGAATCACTATTGAGGATATTCCAGATGCAGAACTTGAATTTGAACAAAACCCAAACCCTATCACTGATATCTAATCTAAATAAATTTCCCCTCTTTAAACTTAATGACAATATTATTCAATATTATATATATAAATGTATTTATAGATGAGAACTCAAAAGTCACATAGCAAAAATCAATATAAAAAAATGATGATCTCTTTGTATTCCTTCAAACTATTAACTAATTACTGTTAAAATATTTAACGTCATTCCAAAATGTTAACTACGCGGTCGTTTTTCACGCAGCGCATAAAAGTGAAAAATTTAGTAAAAATAACATATCAATGAACGAAAATTTTTCATTTTCTCATCACATTACATATAGCATACATATATGTATATATTTTAATTAAAGGATTCAGTCTTATACATGACTATTACTAATTATCTTATTCTCTAATTGTGAAAATTTATCCCATTTAGTACTAAAAAACTCACGGAAACATGTCTAACGAAGGTAACTACAACCAGGACCAGAACCAGAACCAACAAGGTGGGTACCAACAGTACAACCAACAACAAGGTGGGTATCAACAACAATACCAACCTCAACAAGGTTACCAGCAGTACAGCCAACAACAATACCAACCTCAACAAGGTGGTTACCAACAATACAACCAACAGCAATATCAACCACAACAAGGTGGATACCAACAATATAACCAACAACAATATCAACCACAACAAGATGGATACCAACAATATAATCAACAAGGTGGCCAACAAAATTACAATCAAGGTGGGTACAAGAAGAACTACAGCCAAAACTACAACCAAGGTGGTTACCAACAACAATTCCAGCCTCAACAAAGTTACCAAGCTAATAATGGTCAACAATCTCAAGGTATGTCTCTAGATGACTACCAAAAGCAACAAACAAAGACTGCAGCACCAAAGGTCAAGAAGACATTGAAGCTAGTTTCTAGCTCTGGTATCAAGCTAGGTAATGCTCCAAAGAAGGAAGAACCAAAGAAGGAGGAACCTGTCAAGAGTACTGAGGAATCAAAGGCCGCCGCTGACGAAACTACCAAGACTGAGGAATCACTACCTGATGTTAAGACTCTGAAGATCTCCGATGAAACTCCAGCTCCAAAGAAGGATGAAGGTGTCGATGCTCTAATTAAAGAACAAGAAGACGAAGTCGATGCTGAAGTCGTAAATGATATGTTCGGTGGTAAGGACCACATGTCCATTATCTTTATGGGCCACGTCGATGCAGGTAAGTCCACTATGGGTGGTAACTTACTATACTTGACTGGTTCCGTTGATAAGAGAACTGTCGAAAAGTACGAAAGAGAAGCCAAGGACGCTGGTAGACAAGGTTGGTACTTATCCTGGGTTATGGATACAAACAAAGAAGAAAGAAACGATGGTAAGACTATCGAAGTCGGTAGAGCTTATTTCGAAACTGAAAAAAGACGTTATACCATTTTAGATGCTCCAGGTCACAAGATGTATGTCTCAGAAATGATTGGTGGTGCTTCTCAAGCCGATGTTGGTATCCTTGTCATTTCAGCCAGAAAGGGTGAATATGAAACCGGTTTCGAAAAGGGTGGTCAAACTCGTGAACATTCTCTATTGGCTAAGACTCAAGGTGTTAGCAAAATGATTGTTGTTGTTAACAAGATGGATGACCCAACTGTGGACTGGTCTGAAGAACGTTACAACCAATGTGTTAAGAACTTGTCGAACTACTTAAAGGCCATTGGTTACGGTAAGGATGATATCATTTTTATGCCTGTCTCTGGTTACACTGGTGCTGGTCTAAAGGAGCCAGTCGATCCAAAGGTATGCCCATGGTACAAGGGTCCAACTCTTTTAAACTATCTTGATGGCATGACTCACGTCGATCGTCACATCAATGCTCCATTCATGCTTCCAATTTCCTCTAAGATGAAGGATATGGGTACCGTTGTCGAAGGTAAAATCGAATCTGGTCACATAAAGAAGGGTCAATCTACGTTATTGATGCCAAACAAGATTGCAATTGAAATCCAAAATATTTACAACGAAACCGAAAAGGAAGTTGATATGGCTGTCTGTGGTGAACAAGTCAAACTTAGAGTTAAGGGTGTCGAAGAAGAAGATATTCAACCAGGTTTCGTAATGACCTCTCCAAAGAACCCTATCAAATCTGTCACTAGATTTGTTGCTCAATTAGCTATTGTTGAATTGAAATCTATCATGTCTGCAGGTTTCTCATGTGTGATGCATGTCCATACTGCTATCGAAGAAGTTCAAATCACAAGATTATTACATAAATTAGAGAAGGGTACCAACCGTAAATCCAAGAAGCCACCTGCTTTTGCCAAGAAGGGTATGAAGATCATTGCTGTCTTGGAAACAGAAGCTCCGGTTTGTGTTGAAACATATGACGATTACCCACAACTAGGTAGATTCACATTGAGAGATCAAGGTACTACTATCGCTATTGGTAAGATTGTTAAATTACTTGATTAAAAAGGAAAAAAATACAAGTAAACGTTTGTTCAAGTAAAATGAAACTTGAAACAAGATTATAAAAAATGGCATTATTTTATTTTCTGTATATTATTGTGTAAAGATCTATAATAAGGAAAAAAAAACTTATTTTTCTATCTGTTTATATACAACACCCACTCGTCAAGCATTTATTATTGAATTACTATATAGATTGTTCATTTAGTTTCGAGAAAACATTCAACAAGCTTTCTACTCCCTCTATGACATTTTCATCATATCCAGCTCCTTTAGTAACTTTAGAATGTGCAAAATCGATTAACGCCATTAAACTTAAAGGAGTCTTTGAGGGTAGTTCATCGCTATCCGAATCTTCATCATCCTCATAATCAATAAAATCATCACTTATAAGAGCATCTTCATCATTCTGAGAATCCCATCGCGATGGATCACCCTCGTAGATGAAGAGGAGACTACTCGATATCATGCGTACTTCAGAATTCAGAATTGTATTATAAAATAATTGCAATCTTTGAAAGAATAATTGCTTCAAAGTGGAGCACCTCTTTTCACTAAGTAAAGAGTTTGCAAAATATGTTCCAAATGCATCGATGACATCATCCGGAGTTCTAGTTCTACCAAACATTTTGTTTATGAATATATATTCTCCATCAGATTGGAAGGTGTGATGGTCCTTCTCAATACTTGAAGTCTTTTTATTTTCTTGAATTCTCATTCCACATATCCTGAAACCAAGGGAACCCGAAGTTGTGGTTTGACTTACTTCTGAAAGACGCTGTCTTTTTTCTTCGGTAGCATTATCATCATATAATATTTTACCTAGTTTTATATCAATAATATTTGGTTTCTTAAAACCAGCAGTTAAATTTTGAAGAACTAAAAATCTCTTTTCTGCAATATTTGATTCACCTCCATTTTCTCTATCCGGGGTCAAATTTATCAAACTTTCACCACTATCTACAATATGCACATCGTTTGTCAAATTTTTCGGTACGTTATGTCCTTCATCTAATACCCCTAAAAAGACTGGAATCCACGATTCTAAAGGAACATCTCCATCTTCTTCTTTGTCCTGGTTGGCGACTGACTGTTGTTGTACATCTTTATAAAATTGCAGCTCTTGCTCATTCAATGGTTTGAATATTAATAATCCGTCTTCATCTGTCAAAGTTCCATCGTGACCTGCGGCTTTATGCTCAAGTTCCTTATACCCTGACATCGCCTAAAAAAACACAAATAATCTAGTAAATTTAGTAGAACCTTCTTAATCGAACTAATGTTTACCAGAAATTAGTTCATATAAATGCGTATATTATCCACTTCGAACAAAAATATTGGCGCTGAATAGGCACTGTTCAGTGAGTTCAATAAGTAAACCTCTAAAAAAAAAATGTCAATATTTTTCACCTCATCGCATCTCAGCCTGTTGGTATTCCTAAAGAGGAAATTACAGTCATTTTCAACGAGCTTACAAAAGCCAGGTAATTACCCTCGGAAAACATAGTATGGCCCTCCAATCACAACCAAGGAATTACAATTATCTTCTCATTAACCCCAAACAGAGAAGCGATTTTGTTTCCCACAACGAAATACCAAGAAAACAGCGCACAGAAGCGGCCCACACCCGCCAGCTGAAAAAAAAACATTTTTTTTTCCTTTCCGGTCGGCGAAACGAGAGGAAGGGAAAGCGCAAACAATTGAGGACCTTACAGGGAAAGACAGGCTGGTCGGTGAGAGTAATCTCCTTCTAACTTTTGAGACTTTTGGTACAAATAGTAGTGAAATAAACAGGTTACCTCCAGGCTCAAGCCCACCTGTGTAATGGTTAGTTGAAGGCCATAGCCTGAGGGTAGAATGGAAGGGTCTTTCCTTTGTTTCGGGACAGTTTAGCTTAGATCTCTTTTCACTTTCTCTTGTGACGTAACTTATGACTCTTGTTAGGTAATACGAAGTTGCTAAACAATCAACCCAAAGTAAATACACGAACGCTACATAGTGCAGTATTTGTTTATATCCTTTTTTTGCTAAATGACTACTGACGCTGCTATTAAATTAAAAGCTGCTAAGAACTCTCTAGTGGCTTCACTATTTGAGTTATCTAAGGCCTCTAATCAAACTGCATCTTCTATTGTTGATTTCTATAACAACATCGGTGAAGATGAAGATGAAAAGTTAGAAGCTTTTACTACTCTTACTGAGGCTCTACAGAACCTAACATCTGCTACTAATTCTTTAAACGGAATCAGTTCTGAATTGGTTAATCCAGGTGAAGATGAGAAAGATGTCTCTGCTGCTACTCCTGTTAAGGCTCCTGCTAAGAAGAAAGTTGAACGTGACCCAAATGCTCCAAAGAAACCATTGACTGTTTTCTTTGCTTACTCTGCTTACGTTCGTCAAGAACTTCGTGATGCTAGACAAAGAGCTGGTCTTGCTCCTCTATCCTCTACTGAGATTACTCAAGAGATTTCCAAGAAATGGAAGGATTTGAGTGATGCTGAAAAGGATACTTGGAAGAAAGCTTACAATGTTGAATTGGAACATTACCAAAAGGCTAAACAAGAATACCTAGAAGCCAAGAAGAACGGTACTTTACCACCTGCCACCGCTGGTCCAAAACATGCCCCTGTCCCAATCCCATTTGGTTTAATACAACATGAAAATAAGAGACCACACGATGATGACAGTTCTGAAAAAAAGAAGAAGAAGAAGAAGAAGGATAAGAAGAAGGACAAGGCTGCTTAAAATGGAATAAAAAAAGAAAAATACGAAGAAAAAAATATATATGTATAGAGTTAAGAGTTCAACAACATTAACCTAAAGGCCCTTTGAATATTCTTATCTGTTTTTTTATCTTATTTTATTATATTTTTATGACTCCTATTACGCTGAACCATATTTTATCTATTATTATTATCATCGTTTTCTTTGATTGTCACCATTGTCAGTTGTATTTCTAATTTGCCAGACTAACGTTTTTTCTCTGACTCTCTCTATGTCTATTTTTGTTTAGAGTTTAAATGTTGTCATTTCTATTGTTGGGCAAACTTCGTATGTAACATTACTAATTATATATCTAGGTATATTCAATGACAATTTTGTTAAATTTTATTAAATAACTCCATATTACAGTATCTCTAAGCTATTTAAAATCACATTATTGATAATAATATTTTAGTAACGTCTTTTAATGCTTTCCAATATTTACGTTTATATATACAGGTTGTTTAATATTTATTTATTTAAGTTTGAATATAATTTATTCCTTTGTTGGAGAAGTCTTCAAAACGTTATTTAAAACATCAGTCGTTTCAACAGGCGCATCTTCTGGACGTTTCCATTCCTCTGGGAATACATAATCATTTCTTCTTTTACGAAGATTCTTAGATGCAACATGTCTTGTATCTAATGGAATGTCACTAAAATCATCTGTCGTATCCTTAGCTTCCTTCATTAGTCTTTGAAAGATATCATGCAAATAACGTGAATTTTGTGCGGCCTCAGGAAACTTATCACTCGACATCTTAAAAATATCCGTTTCATGATCATAACGTGTACGTGCTAACAAATGCAATTTATGTATTTGTTTGTCATTCAATGGTAGATCTTTAGTCTTTACTGACAGTACAACTTTGGCTCCGTTAGGATGTTCTTCACCAACATACGAAGTATAACGATAAGTGATCGGGTGAGTCTTTATTGATGGGTTTGTGTATTTCTGACGATATTGAGTCAAGAGTGGTAAATCATATATTGCTAATCTATTATAGTAACGTTGCTCACGATGCTCATCTACCACATCTTGGGCTGGTGATGGTAATTCATCAAATTGGAATGGTCTTAAACCTTCTCTTAAGAAATTCTTACTTACCATACTAGTACCCATTGCATTTGTTGTATCTTCATATATCTTTTTAATTTCATTCTTAGTCATACCACTAAAATCCGCAGTACTTAACAAAGCATCCAACTCCTCAGGACAACGCTTGTAATCTGTACCCAATTTCGTCTTTCTTTCCCAAAATAAGTTTATGATTTTTGTAGGTTCTAATCCTCTCCATTTACCTGGATTCATATATAACTCCGTTGATTGAGCAGATTGGACAGGCTTTGTTTCAATGTTTTTCTTCGTTTCAGTAGATTTAATATCCTTATTAATACTTGTCTCTGTGGTCGCAAATCTAATTGATGTCCTCGACAAATTTAACCTCATGACTGCCCGTAAGCCGATACTGTTAGTGCATTTTAATGATAACATATTTCCTTAAACCCAGTTTTGCAATCAGAATATCAAAAAGTTACAGTTTGTTAAACACTCTTCGGTAATGATACTGATACACCTAACAACCTGGTAGTCAAATATAAGTTCCTTGTATATCAAAATCTTACTAAATTTATAAAACTAATTTATTTTATGGCTAGTAAAATACCATTTAGTTTCCCTTATTATTTGAACCAATTCAGCTTCATTCCTTCAATTTCGACTTTTTCCAGCGATATCCACCAATTTGTAGTCGTACATCATGATATCACCGTACACGACATATATTCGCGAGAAATAATCAGAATCGACGAAAAAAACATGTCAATAAATCCCACTTCTTCAATAATAACAATAAGACCGCTTTGATGGAATAATTAGATAATGATTTATTTAATTACAAGAGAACAAAAAAGTGTTTAACAAGATTATTTCAGTAGTTATTGATATATAACGAGATTAACTATATCTACTTGAACTATATCTACTTGAACTATAGCAGAATAGAAATTGTAGTCACTTAGCGGATAACTTACGAATACACTTTGTTTTTACTGTTTTTACTGCTCTGCCCTTTTTAAATTTTTATTTAAGGTACCGCCATGCCTAGACCTCAAAGACGTGGGAAGAATCCCAGAGACAGCAAGGAAAATATTGTCAATATTGACATTCCTTCCACTGTGATGCATTCTATATTAGAGAAGCTCGATTTAACTTTTGAACGTGATATCGGTATGCTTAATGGTAAAAATACACATTCTATTCCTAGTCGTGATACTTTGGTTAAAGTCCAGGAACAATTGAATATACTAAAAGATCTTTTTGATTCAATTTCTAAAGATGACCAGGAATATATTGATAAATTACGTGCTATAAGAGAAGAACGTATAAAGATAGAACAACAATCAAGGTTAGAGAAAGAACAGATGGAACAAGCAAAGATTAATTCAACCGTGGCAAGCCCTTCATCAACTGCACAAAATCCGGAAATTGTAGAAGAAGAACAAACAGCAGTTCTATCGAATGATGGAAAGAGTAACCTAGACAATGAATCTAGTGGTAAGACGATAGACGATGATGGTATAGTGGAAAACATGGATAATAAAGCTACAGAGGATGAACTGACAAAGAAACGACCTCTAGAGAACAACGAAGAAAAAGAGGAAAAAGAAAAAGAAATCCAAGATAAATATTCTAAAGAAGAGGAACAAAAAGGAGAAGACGATGATGAAGATAAAAATGAAGAAAACCCCATTGAGCTAAATGGCGAGAAAGAAACTACTAGCAATGACAATAGTAATACAAATGAAGGTGGAAGCGAGGAGCCTGTCATTAAAAAACAGAAGACAGAGAGTGTTGATATTGATCAAATGGAGAACAATCCAAATGTAAAGAATCCTAAGTCAGAATTTGTCATTTCACAAACTCTACCTCAAGCCGCTAGGAATTTAGGTTTATTCAGTGAAGAAGGTCTGGAGAGTACAGGCGAGAATTACCTGAAAAAGAAATATAGTGTCGCAAGTTACCCAACTACAGATCTGAAAGAGTTACTGCCGGGTGACCTACCAGACATGGACCTATCTTGTGCTAAACCTGCTAATCAAATACAATACAGTACATTCTTATCATATGTTGATAATTTTTACAAGGATCTAACCGATGATGATATTAAATTTTTAAAGTCAAAAGACATATTGCCTGCAAATTTGGAAGTCGATAAATCATATGATCCAGAAGTAACTCCATTTGTTATACCAAAATTGGGTCCATTGTATACAAGAACATGGTTTAGAACTGATGCAAACAAAAACTTGGGAAACACCTCCCCTCCACACATAAGTGATAAATCTAGCGTGGTAGCAAAGAAAAGTGCATCTGATATCAAAGATACATCATTAGAATCCGAAGATATATCCTGTGGTCCATTATTGTCAAGATTAATGTCTGCAATCTTTAGGGATGAAGGCAATGATCTTGCCAGACAAATAACAACCGACCAAGCAAATAATACCACAAGTTCGACATCTATCCCTGATATAAAGACGGAGAATGCTAGTGATACTACAGGTAACCTCGGTATAGAAAGCTTAGAACAGACTCCAACGCAATCGACGATGGATACTCCAATGAGCGATGTTGAAGAAATTACCAAATTCAGTATCGGTGGTACAACAAGCACCTTGAAAATGGATCAAGGATGGAAAATCAACAGTGTCAACTTGGATTATCCAACGCTAGAAGAAAGATTAAAACGTGAATTGAAATATGTCGGAATATATATGAATATGCCAAAAGATGAAAATAATCCAAATGGTTCAGATCCAGATTGGTTGACTGGTAGAGAAGATGATGAAATTAGTGCGGAATTACGTGAATTACAGAGCTCATTAAAACAGGCAACTGCCAATAATCAGAAGAGGAAGGAAACTCTAATTCCGTTAGTTGACAGACAACTAGCCTGGTTGGAATACTCTTCTATTCTAGACGATTTAGACAAGCAAGTAGATCAAGCTTATATCAAAAGAATTAGAGTTCCAAAGAAAAGAAAGAAGCATCACAATAGTGGCTCCGTTAATGTAGGTACTGCTTCTCAAATTGCACAACAGAAGGCATCTAACTCAAGTTTGAAGTCATTACTAGATAAACGACAAAGGTGGATTACCAAAATTGGTCCTTTGTTTGGTCCTGCAGAGCTCATGAAACGTATACCGAAGAAGAGTGTATTCAGTAATCTGGAACAAGAGGAAGAGGATGACGAAGCTGACGTATTTGATCAAACCCACGATGGCAAAGATGAAGGGATAGAGACATAATCATGATGGTGTTATCATCTCTGTCAATGATATCGCTATAAAGCGATTATATTCTTTATAATTATATCTCATAAATTGGCATTATACTACAATGAATAAGACTATAGTATTTAGAAGTACAAGAAATATTATGAGTCTTCACATTTGAGGTGAGGGTACTCTAGGTTTTCTTAGCGCTACAAACTTATTAGCTGAGAAGGTAGATGTATCTGAAAATTGCAATTTATCAGCAACAAATCGTTAAAATTATTGTCATATTAAGTGAATAATCATATCCATATCCTAACCCAAAACGGCACCAATTATATATTTAAATAATCAGGACAAAATTAATGACACCAATTGCTGACACCAATCAATTTTTATAATTCATCTGGTACTTCAACCTGAGTTATAAGTTAGAAATGAATGTTTAATGCACCCCGACGCACCAAGATATTTACTATTCTTATTAAATAAACTTTTATATATGTAGTTAGCAATGTCAAAATTCTTACTATTTCTAGTAAAATATTTTAATTATAATCTATCAAGTAATTATTACAAACTGCCCTATTTAGCAATACTAGGTATGTATACAAAAATATATTTATTTGAGAATCCTAAACCATTTTGTGAATAAAATAAACAGGATAATAATATCACTTTCATTTTGTTTTACAAATATAGAAGACATCACTGTCGATCTCCATTGTAGGAGATTTAGATAATCTCCAACCTATTAATCATTAAATTTTCTGTTGGGGTTTCGGAAAATCGACAATTATCTCAACTATAGAACATTACCTTTCAAAAAAATTATCCTTTTTTTTACTTATATCAGGTTACATTTCATTAATCATAAATATGCATATCATAAAACCATTATAATTGATTATACTAACCGAGAAACATATTCCTTTTTACATTTCTCAAACTTTTCGACTGCGGGGACCCAATTCTCATCAAGGGTTTAAGATCCGTAAGCTAATAATAGTCTAGATTCCACATCATCATCTTTATTCTTTTTATTTTTAATTCCACTAATACGACGAACAGTTGGAGTATCTGCTTTTATAAAATCAACTGGACCAACCACAAATGATTCTAGATAATGATTCTTCATATTTATATAATCATGTGCACGATGTGTCCCAGTAGAATTCTTTCTACTCTTGATTGAACCCTTTCTCCCATTATAAGAAATTGGTTTATTATTAGTTTCATAAGGTGGACAGTTGGCTGCTTTGAAACAAACATAACCAACCCATTCGTTATCTTCTAAGAATGGCCTAATACAACGTAAGGAGTTTCTAATTTGTCTTCTTCTCGAGACATCGTTAATTGAAGGATGCCATTTGACTTCATCGTTGCTAACACCGTAGGATAATGAACTCATTAATGAAGACGCTCTCTGTGTATAATTTGGATAATATTCTTGCTCCTCAGCATCTGAATCATGGAAGATACCTTCATCGGAGTAAACAGAATCCATACGAGTATAAGGTTGATTGGAAACAACCGGTTGAGATATTTCATCTTCGTCATCTTCGTCATCTTCGTCATCATCATCATCTTCATCGGCATCTGATTCTTGATGTTCCCTTAGAACTTCATGAAGTTCGTCTAATTCATGTTGTAAGATGATACTATTTCTTTGAACTAATTTATTTCTATAATCATACGTGTGAGAAGTATATTTTGGAGACCTTGATGTGTCCTTTGGACAAATATTACTATAATCATTTGATTGACTTGGAATCTTAATATGAGCTGCATGATATAAGGGAGAAGAGACAGATCTTAGTCTTGAATTATGTGTTCTAGAGAATTGCATGCCACCTGGAAGTGAAACATCTTCAGCGTTCTCATCTTCATCTTCAATCAGAGAATTCAAACTTGTTGCGGTGGAATAATTCTTAAAACTACTGGATCTCATCACTGGAGAACTTGGAGCAGAACTAGTTGGAGATACAGAGGTTGAAATAAAGCAAAGAGCATTGGCTTGTGTAGAAGTAGGAGATGATGGAATACTAATGGGGTTTGTTGTTGTTGTTGTTGTTGTTATTTGTTGCGGTAACTGACTAATGATTGACTTTTTAGGAGTGTAACCAATTTTAAAGAGACCCTTAAGTTTTGATTTCAAATTAGTACTGGATGAAGAAGTAGATGAGGAAGGTGATGTGGAAAAATTACTGTTTTGGCTAATGAACTTATAAGGAGAATCTTGTAAATTAACACTAGAACCTCTTCTGCTTGGAGCACGATTTGTTGATCTCATTGAGGACTCTAAACTTAATGTGCTAAATGATTGATCTAAAGTTTGAGATGTAGAGGAAACATTTGAATTTTTTCTACTGTTAGGAACCGAACTTCTTCTTGATGAACTTTCAGACAATCCATTAAAGGCGGAATCTGGAAGATGAGAAGTCATAATATCTCTTGTTCTTCTCGTTGTTGTTATTGTTGTTGTGCATGAAGGGTGCTTGTTGTTGTTGTTGTTGTTGTTGTTGTTGTTGTTGTTGTTGTTATTACTATTGCTTACAAACCCATGACGACGATTATGACTATGTATTCTACGTCTTCTTCTGCGTCTTCTTGGTACTATTCTATAATCTGGCATATCACGAAGTTCTAAATCCAAAGAGACAGAGATACCCATGCTTAAGTAAGTTGTCCAGTTAATCATATCATCTACATGAGCAAAATTGATTAAGAATTGTTCTGATTCACAACGTATTCTTAACACGAAAGTTTTCTTATTGTAATCAATGGGTATACCGAATTTTGCAAATTGTAAAGAGAAAGATTTATATAATCTTTCCTGAGTGATAAATTTTTTCTTATAACGTTGAATATTATAACAGATATGTTCTTGATCGTATTTAGTAAAATTGTAAGTTGTTTTGTGGTTAAAAGAAAAAAATTTGGAAGTATTCGAACTATCAAGATGATAAAGGCTATTACCATGATTATGATCATACCCACCTGAATAATTTTTAATTCTATGAGTTAGTGATGAATCGATAGAATAAAAATTCAGTTGTGTTGAATTAATTTCCATAATGAAATTTTTCCACGTTTTGGAAGTAGAAGGTTCATAAGGTGAAAGATATTCTGATTTAATAGAGACAATAGTAAATTTTTCAACTGTAGGTGCATAACTTGGTGGGGTATCATCCTTCTGACAAGCCATATTATTTTCGAAGATTGGGTACCTTATCGATTTATTTGGATTCATCTTGTTATAAGAAGGTGGTTTTCTTGGCATAGGATCGATATGATTTAAGAATTCATTTTTTTTAATATCCTCGGCTGATAAATTATATGATGGAGCAGTCCAATGTGAGTGTGATATTATCATACCTTTATCGACGTTAGATGTTAGATTAGTGTCCATTAATTCGCATGTTTTCGATTTAATCGTTGTATCTTCTTCACTTAGGATCGTATTTGTAGATCCACATCTTTCATCTGTGTTTAAACTTATAGCATCACTAAATATTGTGGTAGTATCATCAGATGATGATATCGAAGAATTGTTATTATTCGCATTATTATTATTATTATTAGTATTATTATTCATCACTGATGAGTCTGAGACAGGAGATTTCAGTCTCTGTATCTCTTGATTTAATAGAAAGGTAGTATTATATTCATGGTCGTTTACTTTTCCACTTTGCAATATCAGAGTACTTGTTTCCATTTTTTTAACCGATTAAAGGGGTGGAGGGGGGGAGTGTAGGTAAAACTGGAATAATATTAGTAGCAGTAAGTGATAAAATATTAATGTGGAAAATAATATAGATAGTGAACAGTTTTATTCTAATAAAATATTATCAGATATATATATAATAGCTAGATATAATCTCGAACTAATCTAATCAGCAGATCTTATCTTATTAATAATTAAGGCTTAAAAAAGAGAGATAGCAATAATACCGACTGGATTAAAAAAAAAAAATAGAAGCACGGCTGGTAAATCAAACAAATAATAAATTCTTATATAATAGATAAAATGTTGTTTGGTATACGTTGATGTTATATAGTAACAACTACTACTACTACAAGTTTATTTATATATATTAATATAGCAATATATATATATATATATTGCTATCTGTTTAAGGAAAAAAGAGGACTTATAAACCCCATCTCTAATATATATAATAACAAACAACAATTTTACAGCAATAATAACAACAACAATAACAATAACAGCATTAATATTAATATTAATATTAATACCTCCGTCTTCCGACCGAACCAATGCACTGTAATATCTTAAACTTCGCTTGTTCTTCTTCTAACTTCCTTCATAATTAACTCCTTATGGGGACCACCCCCACATTGTTTTGAATATCACTTTCAATCAGTGTAACAGCAAAAGCTGTTACACTGTGGACGTTTTCGCTTTAAAACATTTAATCTACGTTTAACCAAATAAGCTACATTTTACTATAAGAATGTCTGTGGTATTTGACATAAAGCTATTTGTTTACAGTCAAAATTTGTTTGATTTTAAAGTTATTCGGCTCCATCCGGGAATATCCACATAGTGTGAAAGGAAGACCTAATTTTCTGCCGTATGCAAGGGCTAGTAATAAAATGACTGAGAGAGCTCTGGTCATTGTTGTTATTCTTCTTTGTCTGTTTTCTTAACAGAATTTATTATCCGTGTCGCTCTCACTCTCACTCTCACTCCCAGCGCGGTGGGCGGGGAGGGGAGGGAGCACCAGATATAATAAATAGTAATAGCCAACGTCTGCCCACTTCTCTCTGTCAAAAATTGTGTGAGAGAACGACACGTCCGCCCGCTGTTGTTGTTCTGCTTCTCCCTCTCGGGTTTCTCGAGACGTTTGCCGAGAGTGATTTTAATCAGTTTTCCCTCAACGAACTGGAAAGCGCACAGCGCAAAGCGCAAATTGAATAAATTCATAAAATATTTAAAAATGGGTTCTCCTTCCGATCGTCTACGAAACTGCCCTACCCTCCTATCGCCCAAACAAAAAAGAAAAAGAAAAGACGTCATACACACACAGACAGGGAAAAAAGGGGGTGGGAAACAGCCGGAGGACCTAAGCTTAATGACTCTGTACGAAAGCGAAAATAGTCTTCGCCAGAAAAATTAGCTGAATAATTTTATCGTCTTTGCCCCCCTCCACCCCCACCAAGCCGTTTCAGTGAGAATCCCCACTTTTGCTTTTGCTTTTGCCTATTTGTTCATTTATTAAATTAATTTTGTTATTCTCTCTCCGGGAACAGAAATACCCGCACTAAGAACTGGGAGAATGATTACGCTGTTATATGGACGGAATTTTCCTTACCGGGAGATAAAATGTCGCTAAACAGAGAGCCTTTTATTTATTTCTGCTGTTATTCATTTCATTTACACCATACACAAAGCTGTTCTGCAAATAAAATGAGTGTTTACATATTGATAATACATACACACTACCGATATAGATTCAAACCGAAAAAGCGGGAAATACTAATAATAGAGAGAGATTCGTTGATAAGATAATACAATATTTTTTCTCTTTTTGGTGCTTGCCGGTTGAGATTTACTGTCAGCGGCTAATTGATCAACTGTTCTTTGGCTCTATTGGTACGTCCACGTTTTCCGAGAATTACTTCAGTCGATCTATCCTGTTTGTAGTCGCGGTGGTGGTGGTGGTGCGATGCGCCATTTTTTAATTGAAGATTATATACCCATATGGATCACCAAAATCGTCATCATCCCCGCCACTTGTTCTTACTGTTTTTTGGCATTAAAATATCGAATAATAGTAAGAACTTACGATACGCTTTTCTTCTTTCTTTTGATGATCTGCTCATTCTCTTTATCTTTCTTGTAACCGCTAGGAACATAAACGCACACACACACACACACACACACACACACACAACTTTTTTCCATATTTGATATGAATATATATATATATGTATTAAAATTATCTTATCTTAGTATTTACTATTTATTGTTTTAAATTAAATTTCAGGATTTAATATAAATCCGCAAAAATACATTAATGATGCGTACGTTTCTCTACCAACAGGTTTAATATACTTAGATGGTAACAAAAACCCATGATTTCCCGAATCTCTTAATTTCAATTGTAATGCCCACCGGGCTCTATTATGATACATATAATCCAATGCTGTACCACCTCCAATCCCCGGTGTCAAATCAGAGCCACTATCTTTACATGCTGCAATCACATCATAATTTTTCTTGGTGGTTAATCTAATGGCTTTTGCTAGTCCAAATGCTAATTCCAAAAGATTCTCTATATCACGGGGTAACGCATCACACGAATATCCATATGGATATAAAATTTCTTCAGAATACGAATGCAAATCTAAATATCCAAATATTTTATAATCTTTCTTGATTTCTCTTAAATATATATCCCAATATTGTGCTTCTTGCGCTTCAAATGGTACTTCTCCATTATAACTTTCACTACATGGGAATTCATGAGACTTGGCCCATTGGAATCCAAACGATCTATCAATATCAAGACCGGGACAACTCTCAATCGACGTTGCTTGTCTGTTTTTCCTCCATAGACGATCTGTGGTCCATGAATAATCATATCCATCAGGATTGAAAACAGGAACAAATATAAAATCTAAGGAGTCTAAATATTTGGTTGCTTTCTTATCCTTCCCATAATTTAATAACAACTCATACATTGTATAACATGCCGTACTTATACTAATCCATTCCCTTGCATGGAGCCCACCTGTAATGATGATTGTCTTCTTATCTGGATTATCAATATAATTATGCGCACTAATATGAACAACATTCAAGGAATGCCCTTGTGGCGTAGTACCAATTTCTTCTAATTTAACAAAATCTGGGAACGTCTCTTGTAATAATTTCAACCATATTTCAATGGTATTCAAATTTCTATATTCATTGAAAAAAATATCTCCTAAAATCTCCGAAATATGATCATCTGTACTAAAGCCTATTTGGTCATTATCATTAAGGCGTAAATTCCCCAATATATCATTGTTGTTCTCATTCTCATTCTCTGAGGGCATCGTCTGTTCAATCTTCTCATTTATATCTTCTACAAAAACTTCATAATCCAATATACCTTGCTGAAAATCAACTATTTTAACCATATCTTCTTTATGAAGTTGAATATCCACATATTTCGAATTTCTTAACCATATATCATATTGGGATTCCTTCACTATAGGAAGAATTATATCACGCAATAGTTCTGTAGTGTTATCAGAATAGATTCTATACACTTGTTCATCAGAATAATCTTTCTGTGATGAAATTTTATCTATTATATCAGCTTGACTGTTATCATTAGCATGACAAATCGATGGTAAAACCACCAAACAACTTAATATAATTGATTTAAGTTGTAAAGTCCACATCGCCCTCCTTAAACTGATTGTATTATTACAGGTAAAGTAATTATATTGGCTGCTGCCTCGTTTCTAATACCTCTATTTAATGAACTTTATCTAAAAAGTAGTATTAATTGAAGGAGGTCCCTTTTTTATCTTAATAACTTCATTTTCTTCATTACTTTTAAGCGGAGAGAAATTAGAAAAATCGTTAAAGAATTTTTGGTAGGCCCTAATTAGGGTTTCAAACAAATAATGCAGTACCTTATAGTCACATGGTCACTTGATACGGCCCACAAGAAGAAAGTCCACTAATAGTCTAATTTATGCTCCTAATTAGTTGTATTCAAGGCTAACAAATGGAACGAATATACATGTAAGAAATCGACAGAGGTAAGGACTTACCGTCCATTACTCTTTACCATCAAAGAATAAAAATATGTAACGACATATTATAACATATTATCATTCAAACATAACTACGCTAATTCTGGACGGTATCTGCTTGCCATAAAACCATTTTCTCTCTCTTTTAGTTGGAAAATAATATGTGACACTCTTACCAACTGATCACACTCACTACAGTCAACCTCGTCTCACTTTCCTCTAAATCTCTATTAGATATGTAAATATGATTAAATGATTATTAAAGATTTATACGCTTTAACGGCTTAAAAAACAAAAAAAATTAGTTTCTGAGGGGCGAAGGGGCTATGAATGAAGAGAAAGAGAGAAAGTGAGATTAAGCATTAATGTACTCTAATTTAGATGAGAGACACCAATATTAAGTGTCTAATATATTGAATCTATTATTTTAAATAGTATAAAAGAGATTTGATCAACTTTGTCAATTATATAAATATATACTTGAAGCCAATTTTTAAAAATTTACCAAATTTAAGTTGTGCTGTTCTCTAATTTTCTTAATTTTAAAAACTAATACACAAAAAGAGAAAAAAGTGAGATTACAAAAGAAAACTTACTATTAAAGTGAACAACGCATTAACATCAAAAAACCAATTAAAATACTTTGATAGATATCCAAATAAATATGGCAGACGAATTATCCCCAACGACAAGTAGAGTCGATCTAACAAAACAAAATACTGTTATAGATTCAAATGGTCAAACAATCGATTTAAAATCTTTATCACCTCAAGAATTAAAATTATATAATCTATATGGGAAATTGCCATCTAAGAAAGATCTTTTAAAACATAAAATGCAAGAAAGAAAATATTTCGATAGTGGTGATTATGCATTAAAGAAAGCCGGAGTAGCTAATCCAAGTGATGTATCAAATAATAATTTACCTGTTACTAATCCAAGTGGACTTAGAGAATCAATTATACGGAGAAGATTAAGTAATAGTGCAGGAAGTATAGATACATCATCATTTAATCCTGTAGAAAGACAAGGTAGTATATCAAGTGGTCCTCCACCAAGATCCCCAAATAAGTAAGCACAAGTTGAAAATAAAAATTAGAAATATTACTCATACACTTATATATACATAGATCAGTTTTCTATCTTTAAAGTACAAATAGTATTATTTTAAAATGTTTTCGTTGTTTTTGTTTTTATTATTATTGTACATATACAGGTAGGCAAATAAAATTTAAATAGTTAGTAGATAAATACAAATAATAAATATACAATGCACAATAAGTATATCTAATAATTTCTTAATAGATATCTACCAATCTTACCAAAAATAAGTAAACTAAAGAAATAAAAATCCATGATATAAAGTAATAACGAATAATTATCGTTTGTGATTGTATTGAATGAAATAATACAACTAACAAAACTAATAACAGAACCAACCGTTAACGTCGATAATGATCCATCAAAGTATAACCACATAATAATATTAAGTAAACCCCATGATGATGAAGCTTGTATTGATGATTTCCATCTTAAATGTTTAATACCTAAACTAATCCCTAAAATTGAATTTAAACATTTTAAAATGGATTGAAATTCATTACTACTATTCATTTTATAATTATATTTTGAAAAAAATATATTATCGCAAAGAGGTATAACAAACCCACATAGGATACCTAATATCCCAAATACAATACTTTTATCAATTAGTACTATGTTTTCGTTAATATACTTCGCAATAGAATGTAACGTGACAGATAACATCCCTCTCTTTAATGTCAAGTTATCATATAGTTCATTTGATAGCGCCGCAAATATATTACCAAAGATAAATAATATAATTGTAGCATAAGTAATTATAATAAGCTGTTCGTAAAAACTCTTTTCTTTCTTGGTAGTTACTGTTTCTATATTTGGAATATGTCTTAATGCTGAATAGTCAGTAGAACTAGTAGTAATATCTTTGTCATAGATAGAATATAAAGTTGGCTTAACCAGATTAGAAACACTGTCTTCTGTCTTTAAGCTTGCAGGCTTACTCATGGTTACTGGATTTAACGCGATGATCTTTGAGAGTGATATGATTTTTACTATCCTCGTAGTATTGGTTTAAACAAAAAAACAAAAAACTCAAACAGACTATTCAATAAAAATAAAATGGATTGTTATAATTAAACTACCAGAATACTATCGATAATATCAATTGATTCTAGTTCTTGTAAATAATTTTTTAATCTCGTCAAGAACATCGGAATATTCTGCGTTTTCCTATACCAAATATTTCTTTTATATATATATATATATAACAAGGCGAATTGTCGTATAGAAAATTGATCAGTAAAGATTTGCCACTATAATAATATAAGAGCCTATGGCTGTTCCACAAAACAAACCGAAGGCAAATCCACATATAAGTGAGATATCATATCTAAAGAAAAAACCAAACCCAGAAAGAGCTCATGATTTACTCCAAGATTTAACTAGGTCCGTGTCATATTTGATGCGTAAGTTCAAGTTAAAAGTCAAAACTGTAGCAGAATTTTATCCTAAGGACAAAAATTTACTTGGATTGAATGTAAATCGTGGTCAAAAGATTATGGTCCGATTGAGATCACCATATAATGATTATGAATTTTTAAGTTGGGAAGCAATAGTTGAGACTATGCTTCATGAACTAACGCATAATCGTTTCGGACCTCATGATGATAAATTTTACAAACAGATGGAAGATTTTCGTTCAGAGCATTGGATATCTCAAGTGCAAGGACTTCAAGACAATTTTTTAGGCACTGGGAGAAAATTAGGTGGTAGTGGTTCCAGGAGTAGGTCCAATATACAAAGTAAGAATTATGTTGGGAAAGGTGCGCGATTAGGTATAACCACGGCTGAATCAGGCAATGGAAGGCGACTGACTCCTCGAGAAATGGCAGCCCGAGCAGCATCAAAGAGAAATACAAATGAACAGTTAAAATTATGCCATGATGAGAATGTTAATATTCAAGAAATCCTGGATAATCATAGTCAAATGGAGAGCCAAATCGAAGTAATAGTAATAGATGATGATGACGATGTTGACAACGGTACACGATTCGCATATAATCAAAAAAGCACTTCAGGTTCTCCTCTTGACATTATAGACCTTACATAAAATATTAAAATAATGATTTTGATGAAATAATTACAATGATTAAATTTACATTAAATATAGTTTATAGATAGTTCTTGTACAGAATTAAGTTCCATAGTACTTTTAATTTATAAAATATTTATACGCAGTCATGATGATAAATGAATGAATGGTTACATAATATACATATACATGCCGCATCAAGTAATAAGCGTTATTAAATGGATTTGATTTTTTTATTTTATTTCTCTGCTTATGAAGATGTGGTAAGAGAGTAGTACGATTAACAACAGCCCAATTGTGCGAAGAAACCTTTCTTTTCCAGGCTATCATTATCTTCTTGTTGACTAACTGGTTGGTTAGCTTGCATATGCTGTTGTTGGTAATTCATGTTTTGTTGTTGTTGAGCAGTGTATTGTTGCTCGCGTTGTTTATTCAATTGTTGTTGTTTCAACTTTTGTTGTTGTTGTGTGTATCTTTGTTGAGTTTGTTGTTTGTAGGCTTCGAAAGAAGTTGGGTCCAGTTTGCTCTTCTCAGTTTCATATTGCTGTTGTGCTGGCATTTGAGAATGTTGTTGTTGCTGCTGCTGCAATTGTTGTTGTTGTTGTTGTTGCAATTGTTGTTGACGTTGCTGTTGCAATAATTGCTGCTGCTGCTGCTGCTGCTGTTGCTGCTGCTGTTGCTGCTGCTGTTGCTGCTGTTGCTGCTGTTGTGATAATTGCTGTAATGGAGTCTTTTGATGATCTCTATGTCTTCTTGATTTTCCATTTGGAGGGTTCGGGTGTCCATAACCATGTAAATTTGGTTTTTTATTAATATTGGCATCCCAACCATGACCACCATTCAACTTCATCCAATCATATTCACCATCAGCCTTTTGATTCAAATCATCTAGGGATGATAATAACAATTTACGATACCCTTCATAATCAGGAGTTTCATCGAATGATAAATTTCTGACTATTTCCAAATAACGACCGAATTGAATTGGGAAACCTTGAGCCAAATCATAAACATTAGTAGATCTTTTCTTTTCACCAATCTTTTCATATTTCTGTTTATTGTTTGGTGCTTTTAGCCCTTGCCATGGTAATTGACCACGTAAGAAATAGAAAAATACATGACCTAGAGATTCCATATCGTCTCTCCTTGATTGTTCTCTACCAAGATGTGTATTAATAGACATATATCTAGCAGTTCCACTCAATGATTTCTTCTCACGATATGGGATATGTTGTTTAGTCTTTGGGTCTCTATATTGTTTTGCCATCCCAAAATCAATCAAATGAATGTTATTTTCATCGGGTGCACCTGGTCTACCAATTAAGAAATTATCTGGTTTAATATCTCTATAGATCAAATCATGAGCATGGAGATCCTCAATCAAAGTAATCATTTGAACAGCTATTTGAACTACTGTCTTTACCGAGAATTTTCTACTACACCAATCAAATAAATCTTCTAATGAAGGACCCAAGAGATCAATGACTAAAATGTTGTGTAGACCTTCTTGACCAAAATAATAGGCATGAGGTATGTTTGGTGTACCTGCGACGATCTTATAAGTTCTATATTCATCTTTCAATTGAGGAGCTTCTGTCTTTCTTGGTTCGAATTTGATAGCTACAGGTAATCCATTAATCATATTGATACCTTCAAATAGTACACCAAAGGAACCTTCACCGATTTTCTTACCGATCTTATAGTGCAAGCCAACAATGGTCGAATCTCCATTGTTAGTTGTGTTATCAGTTCTTTGAATTTGATTATTCATATTATTTGGATTACCATTTGTTGCATTAATATTAGTTCCAGTAAAATTACTATTATTATTACGAGGATTTTGTAACCTTGTAGCTGCTTGAGTAGACATGTTGATAGTATCGTAAGCTGAAGATATCATATGCTAATAAACTATGATCCAATAATTGATCACTGATTTCTTTATTTTCTAGGTTAAAGGATTGCAAAACAAAACAAAACACAACAAAAAAATTATAGTGGATCAAATAAGCTTTAAAAAAGAAAAATAGAGCGAATGAAAAAAAAAAGTAAAAATAAAAGAAGAAGTGAGTATCAATATACTTAAACGAATCTTTCTTTATAGTATAGGTAGTAATAGTAATACAATTTTTTTATATCGACTTAATAAATTAAGATAGATGATCTTCTATTTTAAATTCAAATCGAAATGAATCTTATATTATTGTCTAGAATATATTCTATATATGTAATCAAAATGTACTTAGTGAATAAACATGCAAGCACGCACCGACACACCTTTAAAATTATATAGTAATAATTTTAAATACAGATATGTAAATTAACTATTGTATAATATATATATCTATGTCAACAATTAAACAAAACAAAAAGTAATATAAGAATGTATTGCTTTAATTAATTGTTCCATCCCAGTTTAGGAACTATATGAAATTAAGAAAGAGAAGAATAAAATTATTTTTGTTTTCATTTGATCCACGGTCTATCCCATCCCATCCCACTTTCAGTTTCTCGCTGTCTCTATCTGTTTATTCTCACCTCCCACATAATAATAGAGACAAATAGAGAGAGGAACGATATTTGTCTTTCAGTCGCTTGTTCGGGTGGGGGACAACGGGCCGAAATTCCGTCTGTTTATCAGAGCAAAAACTGCAAAAAATAATGAGATTTTGATTTTGATTGCTATTGAGGGCCGTGTCGAGTGATAACTGATATGTCTATATTGTGACGACGTTAAAAATGGTTATTAGCGAGTAGTGACAGAAAATAAATTAAGTAATTAATTATTTATTTATGCAAAAGGTTGATATCGTTAAGAATATTTATTTAAGTGTATTTTATATATCTTCATCACTTGAATCTTCAAATTCGATATCTTCAATTTTGGTATCTCTTAACCAATAGTCATTAATTGTGTGTGTCCAATTATCAATGGTATCAGTTTCAAAAGGAGCAGATTGATAATTTGTATGTGATGATGATGAAGTTTTGCCATTTTTGTTTTTGTTTTCGTAATGTCTATTTGATTTTTCTTCGTAGAATTTATTATATCTATCATAAATATTTTCCGTGGTTGTTGTATCACTATTACTATTTTCATTAATATTTATCCTTTCATGATAACTTGATGGATTTAATCTTCTTAAATGTGAAATTAAATCTTTTGGTATACTTGACAATGAAGATTTTCTACGTTTAATTTTATTTGATGATGATTTATTAAATTGTTTATTACCAATTAATGGTTTTTCTTCTATACTATCATTGCTATCACCATGTGATTCTTGAGCATATAGCATTGTTGTATCTGTAAGTGTTTGTTCGTCGGTATTATTTGTAACTGAAGTCATTATGTGTGTATATGTATATATATATATTTTCTTATTGTTTGAGAAAATTAGGGAACCAACATATATTAATTATATTGATATGGAGTTTTTAAAAAGCAAAAATATTGGTTCCTTATATATATCCACACACACACACACATTTAGGAAATTATTACTAAGAAACGTGGGCCTTTCCATGGTTTGATTACTTGATTTTACCCCCACTAAGACAACGATTCATTTCCTTATTTCCAAAAATCATGGAAAGGACACAAAAACTAACTGAGAACAAGCAAAAAGACAACAACTTCTATTATAATTATTATTGCTATTGTTTTCTTGATAGTGCTGAGAGGTAGGAGAGTATATCATGAATTCTTAACTTCTTGAATCAAGAACTGACTACTACTATCATCAGAATATTATAATAGTATTAGTTGCTAAAATTGTATTTTGCACCGCACGTGGCACAATGTTACATAATAGCAAGGGTAGTATTGAGTATGGCATGATTTAATTTTATGCAATTTAATTTTTATTGCTCGGCGGAGAACCAGTGCGTGCATCTACGTACGTACGTATCTATCTCAATTTATATTTGCGGGTGAGTGTGACTCTGCTATATCCCGTTAAAGGGAGACAGAGAGAGATGGTGGAATCAGAAAAACAAATATTTGAGTGTGAGTGAGGAGTGCGGCTGTGTAAGACATCATCGGGCACGACAAGAGGGGCTGGCAAAAAGTATACAGTGCAGATGGTATCGTTGCCGGCCCGGAAGATGTACATAAGTAGAATTAAGGGATGGCACCAATTTCAAGGAGAAGAAGAAGAAGAAGAAGAGCATTTCCTTCGCTTCCCTTCTTTGATCTCAAATTTTACAATATTTTTAGTAGAGATAGCGACTGTTCAGCCACACATCTTTTATACCAATCAATGGCCCCTCTCTCCCCTCATCTGTGGTGTTAATAATAATAATAATAATAATAATAGTACGTAACTTTCCCTCTCCCTGAAAGCTAATTGAATCATATTCAAAAATTATGAATCTTTTATGCATCTTTCAGTAGTAATTGGAGATATAATTCAACAAATTTCTTATTTTTCCTTCAAAATGATGTCAGTTCTTATTTATTTTTAACGTAATAGGAAAAAACATGAAAATCAATTTATTTACTCAGTTTATTGGAGTCCGTCATATAAAAGGTTTTGACTATTTGTATTATTTGATTTATCTTTTTAGTTTCCTTTCTATCTATATTCTCACATCGCTCTCAATATCTATAACCCACCCATAAAACTAATAAAAACATTACATATATATACACACACACATACATATAATGACCGACTCCGACAAACAATCTTCAAAAGCACTAATTAATAAGAATTCCACCGAAATAAAAGAAGAAGCTAATAAAATGGGAAAAATAAAAGAAAGTATTACAAAAAAATCAAAAACATTTGGAAATTACTGTCTGAAGTTTAAACCGGGTAGAAGTAATGATGAATATAATACTGAAGGGTATGCAAAGAGACGTAATTCTCATTGTTGCCCAGTATTCTTTATTTAATTTAAATCTGCTCATAAATAATAATCAAATTGATGTTTTCATATTCTAATAAAAAAATAATGGGTAATCAATTCATATTAATATATATTTATATTTATATATATATATGCATCTATAATAATTATAATAAATACAAAAACTATTTTTAATGAAGTGACTCATTAGTATCATCTCATCAAATACACAATAGTATTTACATCCACCATTAAGAATCTTGAGATATCAATCTTATCTATTTATGATCAAAACGTATATCAATTGTTTATTGTTTTTCATCTTTTAACTCGCACTGCGATCTTTCTCTTCTTTTTTTCTCTTGACTAATAGCAACCCAAAAAACATGTATGTAGTACATTTTTATCTTTATTAAGAATTTTTTGTGTTACAAATATTGATTATGTAATCTATGTTAATGGGGGGGATTAACTGCATTGTTAAACTAAGGAGTTAATAGTTTTATATTTGCCTACTATATATATATATGTATATGTCGTAACTTGATTCATTCTACATCTTAAATTCCCTATTCTCTCTTTTTGTTAATTTTTTTTTATCTAAAAACCTGAACCAATCCATGCAATCAATCAATCCTAAATAATGACTGCTCAAACTCCAAAAACGTATGACGATTTAAAGGATGCTTTTCAATCTTTTATTTCAAGAAGAGATAAAGATAGACATATGAACATCTTTTGGGAAACTAATCCTTCAAAATTTGATAATGGTAATCAATCTTTAATTGAATTATCTGGTGGGATGCCACATGAATCATTTTTTCCAATTGAATCAATTAATCTTAATATCTTAAAGGAACCTGTATCAAATGATACTATCGCTGCACTTGTAACAAAAGAGAAACCTGCAGCTTTACCATTGGCAAGAACTTTACAATATTCATTGTCCGAAGGGTTCCCTCCATTGATTGAATTTGTTAAAAGATTTATCACTAAATTAAACAACATTCCTTTATATGATACGAATTTATGGAAAGTCGTATTGGCTGGTGGTTCATGTGATTCTCTTTTCAAAATTTTTGAAACTTGTACAGACGAAAATTCAACTGTAATGGTAGAAGAATTAACTTTTGTCCCTGTTGTTTCAAATATTATTAATACAGGTGCTAAAGTTATTCCATTAAAATTGAATTTAAATAATGATGATGAAGGTATCGATTTAAATTATATGGAATCATTATTATCAAATTGGGAAACTGGTCCATATAAACATTTAAATAGACCTAAATTTTTATATACTATTCCCACGGGTCAAAACCCAACTGGGTTAACACAATCTGTTGAAAAGAGACGTAAAATTTATAAATTGGCTCAAAGATTCAATTTCATTATCCTTGAAGATGATCCTTACGGTTATTTGAAATTTCCAAAATATAATCACGAAAACCCATTGGAAAACCCATATAAGGATGATCAATCAATTACTTCTGAAGAATATATTAAAAATACATTAATGAAATCTTATATCAGTATGGATACTGATGGTAGAGTCATAAGATTCGAAACATTTTCTAAAATATTTGCACCAGGCATGAGATTATCATTTGTTATTATGAATAATTTCTTTTACGACAAATTTTTGAAATTTCAAGAAATCTCAACAAGACAACCATCTGGTATTTCTCAACAAATTGTTTATTCAACAATTCATTCAATGACATCTTCCAATTATAATAACGATGTTATTGAATCATGGTTACAATGGATTATGAAATTGGCTTGCAATTATACCGAAAGAAGAAATGTTATGTTACAAACACTTTACGAATCTGAATCATTCAACAAAGCTCAATTCTCTGTGGTAGAACCATCTGCTGGGATGTTTATTATTATCAAGGTTAACTTTAATGAAGCTAAAGGTGATATTATTAGTCAAATGGGTAAATTGTTTAACTTAATGGATAGCAATGGTGTAAGAGCCATTTTAGGTTATAAGATGGCATTTGATCAAGAATTTTCAAAAGATCATTTGAATTTCTTTAGATTGACATATGCTTATGCAGATGGCAATAATCAAATTAAAGAAGCTATAAGTAGAATAAACAAAAGTTTGCTAGAATATTTTGAATAATCCATTATATATTGAAATATATTTGATTTTCTTTAAATAATTGAAACCTTCTGATGTCTATCATACATAGCATGCATCGTTTAAACATTTGCTAATCAAAAAATACTTTTTATATTGAGGAACGTCATATATACGTATATATAAATGAATATATATATAGGTTATAAAAATAAATTTAAAAGAGAAAAATAGAACTATAAAGTTAGGAAGAATATAAAAAATGTTCGAAGCGTCTTTAATGCTTACCAGTAAATGCATGGACGTCTTGATCCTTTTCAATATTGACCTTGACACCAGCCTTGTCACCTAGAGATATTAATTTATCTTGCACATTTGAAGTGAAAATATTTGGATCCATTTCAAAGCTTAACCCATTAATCAAACTGTATTCATGAGTGATAACACCTTGAAAGTCAGTTAATAGCGTCTTCGCATTTTGTAAGACACTACCGCTGTCAGCAGTGGCTTTGTCCCCATTATCGATGCTTAGGATGTAGGATGTAGTAGATTTGGCTTGAGACATAGAGAAGATGAAGGTTAGTATGAGACAAAATGTGAGTATAAAAGATTTTTGTATTCTTAAAGTATTCATGAATTAAAAACTAAATTATACAATATTGTTTAATAAAATGTATTTGGAGAATATCTTTCTTTATCTGTGTTCGGAGTGATCTTAAGTCCTTCTTTATATATCCCTTTTTTGCTTTGTCTAATTGCCTTATATATCAAAAATGTTCCGCCTCATCGAGTTTCATGCGCCTTTATATATATCCTATCAGTTTATCATCGAAGAACTTTATCAATAATGGTTTGCCGTGAGGTGTATGGGTGCTGTGTCTCCCCTTTAAATATAAATGATAAATTGGTGGAAATCTTGATGAATATGACAGTAATCTATGACATGGCTGGATCACAACATTAAGAGTTACTCCTCTTTGAAATTACTCTATTTGACCTCATATCCAAAAATTAATTAAAATTGAAAGAATATATATATTATAATGTTAACTGCATATTTATAGAACGTATAAATTGGAGGGTATTAGAAGTAACAATGTACTTCAAGAAGAGTTGAAGAATATATAATTAAAAGAAGAGAAATGTCCCTGTATTGGTCACCATTAAGAATTATGGGAATAGAGCTCTGATGGAGTCTGGACTGGTAACGTTGTTGTTCACAGCAACTCCTAGTAGAATTTGGGCTTGTACAGGAGATAAGTAACCGCCAGCTATAGCGTAACTTGGAATATTAGCCTCACTTAACCAAGAAATCTTTCCTGGTGGATTAACACAAATCACTGGGAATACAGGAGCTGGCATAGAAGATGTTGTTGATTGAGAGGTAACGTTAGAAACAACTTTATCACTAACAATAACCATACCACTGATTGCGCTAGAGCTACCTAGAGCCGAGGATAAACTTGAAGTAATACCTTCCTCGTACACGATTGGTACTGCCACTTGTGAATTTAGAGTTGGGTTTGTAAAGTTAGAGTATGTTGTCCTTAAAGTAGAATTCATTGAGAACATTCCACTCTTTTGAGCCGTATTGTAAAACCAGTAGGCCTCATTATTGTCACCAACGACACCCACTGGAACACCGAATGGCGGTAAGTCACCAGCAAAAATAATTTTACTCTTACCAACATATAATACACCACGACCTGTGGAATTAGAATCCATTGCAACAATTGTACCTATTTGAATGTCATTTGTGATGACGACAGCTTTTTCAGTGTTAAGGACAATGGATAGGAAGAAAGACAAAGATTCAAAGGAACTCTTGTCGGCTAAAATTACAATACCACCACTTGACGATTGTAGGGATTTGTTGACAGCTTCACTAACAGTATACAATTGGGTTATGTTCAAGGTACCAGTTGTATTGAATAGAGCTTTTGCAGAACCGTTGGAAGGCATGTTACCTGATGTTAAAAATATTTCAACAGAGGATGAAGAAGAATTGCTGGAGGTAGTGTTACTAAAGCCACCAGAAGAACCATTGACCGGAGACCCAGTCCCATTCATAGGAACGGTGGTATTATCCGCTTGTCTCTTTTGATAAGGATAAAATGGTGAAGCATTGGTTGCAACAGACCAAAACAATAGTACAGTGATTAGATGATGGATGATTGACATTATTAAGCGATTATTATCTAATTTATTGTTAGTTATTATTTTGAGTAAGAAAAATCTATTATAAAAAAGATAGAAACTAAAACTAAAATATTTAATAGCCAAGATATTATGTTTAATGAAGTGTCAGATTTTAAGAAGAAATATTTAATCTTAATGTTCCCTTTTATATAATCAACAGTAATCTTTTACAAATTTAAAGGTATTTGGTTCGTTTGATGTCGTGTTCAATTTAAGGTTAGGATTATAACAAGTGAACTCCTTTTTTTTAATTCTTTCCAAACTTCAAATGTCAAAACAACTTAATTGTAACTTTTAATGGTACTTAATCCATCACCCTTACCATGGGTTACTCATTTGTTGTGATTTTCAAACATAGAGGAGAAATACCCTTGATAATCATGTTAATAAGGGATATCTGATTTTTCTAGTTGGCGAAACTCTATTCAATTCAAGAAAATCCAAGTTCAATTTTTTTTTTAAAATATTGAATTAATAATATTATATGTGAGGCTAGAACATTTATTTATTGAATGTCAGCTTCATATCAACATCTATTTGAAATTATTCATATATTATGGGCTACAGGTTACTCTGAGGACCCTATTTAATGATTGTTAATGTATAAATTCATATATATTGGATAGACCTTTCTTGTATCATATGGAAAGACCGTTGACATTGAGTGAAGAATTGAGATATACCCCTAAATAAATTAAATTAACTAATAAAACCCCTTTTCAGGGAACAATTTTGACCAAATCTTTGAGTTTTGACAAAAAAATTAGCCTCTAAGTATTCCAATTATATTTAAGGTTGCATATTTAAGTAGATGGCCCTTAAAGGGTTTTATATCCGTCAATAGAACGAAAAGATTGTCTCTTATATTGTAACGTCAAGTTGCGCAAAATTTTAAAATCGGTGCCATTTGTCTGTGCTGTTAAAGAGTGGGATTTTTACAATGTTATGAATTTTCCAACAATTGTCATGAATATACCTGGAATTAATATACTTCTTTAGTTTCGAAATGTTAAGAGAAGCTGACACTTTAATTACTGAAAAGTCTGTTACGTTATTTTTCCGAACTCTCTAACATAAAAAAGGGGAGTGGATCGCTCGCGTAATAACATACTAATATGGAAGGCCATAATACCTCAGCCGACATTAAATTTTCATTGGAATGATACTGTAAGGATTACTTCCTTAAGAAAGGATTTACTGCTTTTCAGTTCCTTAATTAAAGACACTGTTTTATTTCTTTTTTATATCGTTAGTTTTCTAACTATTAATTTTGAGAATTTTAATAAGGGCATATACAATCAAGAGATATTCAGAACTACATCGCCCACCCTTCTCCTTTTTATTTATTGCCAATTAATCCTTTAAAGTTGCAAACTACTAATAATGAGTTTGAATAATGAAAAACCAAGCGAACCAAGTTGCAGGTCATTGATAATAAATGTGCTATCTTTATTCGTTGGAAGCTGGGGTTTATCACAGGCAACTACATTAATATTACCTCCTTCCCTAAAGGATGCTGGTCATAAACAATTTTTGACGAATATATCTGTTGTTGCAACTTTAATTAGTAATGTCTGGAACATCTCCAATTATTTCATTCAAAGAAGTAACCTAAATATTAATTTATTAAGAGTTTCTAATTTTATCAGCAGACATCTAGTTTTACCAATTGCATTAATTTTGGAAACTGTCGTTCCAATTGTTTATTGGCCCTTAAGATTATTTGCCATGAAACTTATTATGCAAGGTGTTTCAGATGGGAAGTCACCTGTTCCACTTTCAGTTGATTTATCTATTCATTTCTTCCCGTGCATTTTCTTATTATGTGATCATTATTTGTCTGGTACAGGGAACAAATTTATGATCTCAAATAGGCACGCATGGTTTCTAGTTATTATATTAGGTATGGCCTATTATAAATATTTGGCATTTTTAATTAATCCATCTATTGGTCAAAAATATCCTTATCCATTCTTAGATGTTGTTGAACCTTATAAATCTATTATTTTTGTTTGTGTGACAACTGTGGCATGGAGCTTTTATGTATTTTATCAAAAGTTTGCTCCATGTTCCAAATCTGATGATAAATCTAAAATTACCAAGAAACAAAACTAATAAATTATTTTGTAATTATTAAATATTTACATATCATCTTTTCTTAATTACATGTAAGTATATCATTTCTTCTTGCGTCTCGTACGATAAAGGATCTGCTTATGTATTGTCAATATTACCACGATATGAATATCAATGCCCTATTTTTAAAATACGAAGACCTCTCTCTTTATTTTAAATATTACTGACTCGCGGCTCGTCTAATTTTTCATTTTCTTCACCTTGTCTTCAAAATCAAATTTTAGATTTGTATTTTTCAAAGTATAAAAGGAAAGAAGATTTCACAGTGAATATTTGTTTCTTTGTTTTCTAAGTCTCAATTATATTTTTTGTCAAAATTATATTTTTCTTTTGTTCATTTTTAGAAATTCTCCAACATCATATATATCGCAATAATACTACCAATTCTAATGGACTTTTTCTTTAATTGTTCAGGGGAAGATTCATTTTTTCAATATCTTCCTCGTTTTCGGTATGCTTTTAGCGTAGAGAAAACGAACGTTGCTGGGCGCCTTATGTTGATTATTTCAGTGAGACATTGGGAATCAGCAGTATCAACATTTTATTTTATATATTAATATTTGTAGATTTTTATTCAGTAGTATGTGTATAATGGCTTTATGGTTCTCTCTGTTCCAAAATCCTTATACAGTGTATCTTCTCACGACAACTTCTAGAAGTATGTTTCAACTCTAAATAGTTGACGACGTGTGTGTGCAGTGCACGCTTGTATTAACGTTAGGTTTAATAATACTTAATTATTTTAGCACGAATTATTTTTCAATTAATGTATGTAATGAATTTGATTAGTTTTAAATCTGAAAAGGGGGATGACATAATATGTATATATATTTATATATAAAAAAACAAAAACTGTTGGAGAATAAAAGTTATTAATAATATTTTCCAATCAGAATTGTAGAGCAGCACCCTTTTGCTTTCTTTCACCACCAAGTTCGAAATGCTTACATCTCTTTAGGACTAATTGAGCCTTAGTCTTACAAGCAACACATTCCAATCTTAGGACAACCTTCTTGGTAGTCTTAGCTTTCTTGTGGAAAACAGGCTTGGTTTGACCACCGAAACCAGATTGTTTACGGTCATAACGTCTCTTACCTTGGGCAAATAGAGAAGCCTTACCAGCCTTGTATTGGGTAACCTTGTGTTGAGTGTGCTTACGACAGGTCTTACCCTTACAGTAGGTCTTTCTAGTCTTTGGAACGTTAACTGTATTAATATATTTTGTTTTATTTCATAATGAAAATTAAAAAAAAATGAATTTGTTAGTAAAATAGTTACTTGATTTAACTTGGACAGTATGAGTAAAAAAAACATGATATTGTAATGGTTCACTTGTATTGTAAAAGCTATAGAAGGAATAATTCAGTTCATCTCTTTGGTAGCACTCTTCATATCGCTCTCTATGTAATTTTTTTAGATTCTATTTGATTCTAGTATTCCATATTATGGTGCATATAATGTGTAACGTAACACCTTTCATTACCTCTTAATTCTTCATGATATATTTGGTGTAGTGTGTACATTTCTTAAACTTAATATTATACTGTGATATTCCATTTTTCATCATCGTTCTATTATCTTATTATTGCATCCTTAAACATACCCATTGTGATGTGTTGTTCTGTTTGATTAAAGATATCAAGTTTTTTTAATAGACAAGAACAATATATAGCAAAATATTACTACAAAAGAACCTTTTTTTTTCAAATTTTACACGTATTTACATATACAACAACAGTGTAAGAGAATCGCTTAATAATAATTGTTAAGTTGTGAGAAATTTAGCTAAACTGATACTAGGTCAAGTTTCCAAAACATTGGACTATCTCATTGATGAAGATTATTACGAAACTCTGGATGTGTGTGTCACACATACGTTGTGAAATTTCAGTGTTGTAATGGTTAATTTACAATTTTCAAAGTATATTGAATGCATTTCTACGATGTGTATTTACTACATGTGGCATACTTTGATGCATTACACCCCAATGGTTTCTGAGTAAGGTAGTTTCCAATATTTTTGAATATAGCTCTTCGTATTTTTCTTAGCAACCCTCTGAAATATTATATTCCAAGCGCGCGTCATTGAGTTTTTCTATGTTTTTTGATAATTTTGAAGATTTGAAAAGCATTTTAAAATATGTGTGGGTGTTAATATATGTATGGGTGTTTGTGGATAGTCACAAACTTCGAATCATATATTACAATTTTTGAGATTCCTTTAAGTGATTTTGCTATATATTCTAACAATCATAAAGGATTTGCCTCGACAGAAATATTTACTAGATTAATGTGTCACTAATATATGACAGATAATAAAGAATTGGTAACTACCCATTATCTGTAAATTAAGATATCAAGGCATTACGAAAACTAAATAATGATAATATATAAATACTTGAAAGATGGACTTACAGTTTAGGTCATATTTCATTCTCCCTACATTTCGATAATATAATCAAAGTCGTTTACAAGTTTTAGAAATTAATAAGAAATATAATTTGTTGTATGTCTAGATATCATGGGATAGTAGTCCAGAATAATATATTTAAAGTTTCTATATTGTACCACACTATTTGTAGGAAAAGTAACAACCTTTGAAATGTTTTGCACTTTCATATTATATGATTGGGTGTAACTGTTGTTTATTAACAGTTCACTGTCGCAATTGACAGGATGCTATTTATATTCTTTGTAAGATCTCTTTAAATTTCAATAATTGCTGCATAGTTAAGGGGGAAATACGCGAATTGCCCCAAAGATTGCCGTCTTGGCAATAATTGAAGAAAAAAATTAAAATGTATGGCGAATGCCTATGCAATGAGGATAAATTCAATACAATTTATTAAAAAACAGAGAGGTATTCAATAGCAGTTTATTCATTTTGATGTATATTATGATTTATTGAAAGGCCTTGAACTTTGGAATAATTGGTAAGGTTTACTTTTTACATTGAACGCTAGGTCTTCACAGAACTGAAGTGATTTTATTGATTTTATATTACTCTTTTGCATTTATTTTTTTTCTTTATCTACGGTTTGGCTATATTTAACTCACGATAATATCAACTTCCATACATTTGTGATTCTTTTCCAAAAAGAAATATATATCAATAATAAAAAGGTTATCGAATCTAGAGTTTCTATTTACGTTTAAGGTATTCATATAATTATAACATCATACTATATTAAAGGAAAGTATCGTAATGGGTGTCAGTAATTTTGCATCTGTGTGTTCGAAGACACCGCTACCACTATGCTCAATCCTTAAATCTAGCACACATTTAGTTTTATCGAATTCTACCCTTATTCATGATTTTGATCCAAAACATTTAAATATAGGTATTTTGCCTCGTTGTTATGCAAGATCTGTTGATTTAGCTAATACGGTCATATTCGGGGTTGGGAATGCATTCATTAATATAGGTGCTTTAGGTGTCATTTTAATCATTATTTATAACATTAGACAAAAATATACAGCTATTGGAAGATCGGAGTATCAATATTTCTTTCAATTGACATTATTATTGATAATATTCACATTAATAGTCGATTGTGGTGTCTCTCCGCCAGGTTCCGGATCATTCCCTTATTTTGTCGCAATACAGATTGGTTTAGCTGGTGCATGTTGTTGGAGTTTATTGATTAATGGGCTCCTTGGTTTTAATCTATGGGAAGATGGTACAACGAAATCAATGTTATTGGTAAGAGGTTTCTCAACTTTAGGATTTATAGCAAATTTTTTAGCCTCAATCTTGACTTTCAAATCATGGATAAAAGATCATTCAGTAGCTAATATCAATACTACCGGTATGTTTGTTGTAGTTTACGTTATAAACGCTATAATACTATTCATTTACACTATTTGTCAGTTGTTGGTATCCTTATTCATTGTTAGAAATTATTGGGTTACAGGTGCAATTACTTTGGCTGTATTTTTTTTCGTAATGGGTCAAATATGTGTTTATGCTCTATCTACCCAAATCTGTGAAGGTGTCAAACATTATATTGATGGATTATTCTTTGGGAGTGTCTGTAACATTTTTACTTTAATGATGGTCTATAAAATATGGGATATGACTACAGATGATGATCTAGAGTTTAGCGTGAGTGTTAACAAAGATGGTAGTGTGGTTTACGATAATTAATTCAGATAATTGTTTTGTCAGTATTAACCATTAAGAGGAACGTCAACTAAAATTACATTACCCACAATCCACTTTTTGTTGTTTGTTGATTTGGATCATTAAATAAGAAACAAAGAAAAAAACATGCATACATTACATATTCATACATAGTCATACATATTTAGCAAGATATGAAAGTAAAACATATAGTACAACTATATCTCTCTGGAGTTCCTATATTTTAGTCAAGGACCGATTTAGTTTATTTCTAAGATTCTCATCATCTTATTTAGAATATAGCCATATTATATAATCTTTGTTATGGTAGGTATATTTTATGGGTCTCTTCTTTTCGTTCCCTCGTGCGCTGAGTTCTTAGCGACCCTTTTCCAACATTTCGCATTTTCGCATCGTTCCTCTGTTGATACATGTAAACAAAGGACCCCAATTCATATTTCTCGAAACCAATACACTTTCAATAAACAAATTTAAATAATATATATTTAATATTTGGATATTCGAGGAAGTATTATTCAATTACAATCAATATTTTATATTTGTAACACAATAATAATCAAGTTTAAAAAAATAGTAAGGTCTTCAAGCCAGAATATATGCAGTAAATCTTCGAGTTTAACCAAGAGTAAAGAAAATAAACAAACAGTTGCATTCCTTCAAATATGGACTCCGAATCTACAGTGAATCTATTGATTCAAGATATAGATGATGAGGTGATGCATAAAGAGATTACTAATATTAATCGTAATGATATGAACACAACGGACCCTGAGGAACCATTAGATTTACCTGGCAATAGCAGTAATAGCTCTATGGATTCTGTGAAACATGTAGACATAAGTCAAGTACAAGATGATCCAAGCGATACATCAACAAACATAGAGTCGAATAACCATTATGATTTAGCTGCACCTGTCAAAATACATCCAAAGACAACTGATCCGCTAGTCACTCCGGATTTGAGGAATGGAGCAACAGAAGTAATGTCTGGCCCAACTCTAGCAAGTACTACCAATCGTGTTTATATGAATAGAAGTCCAAATTCGAGCACAGAAAGATTAAGAGAGATGTTAAAAGAAGAAGCAGATGATATTGAAACAGAAATTGAACAAAGTGTGGATATTTTATTCAATCCAACTGCTCCTAAGAGGTTTTCGTTAGGTTCAACAAAGCCATTGCTACCATTTAACAACCCTCAAGGTAATGATCATGGAAGTATTGCACGGTATGTGTCGAATTCAGATGGTGACGATATGGATTATTCATTTTCTGCTGCTTCGAATGAGTTTGGTGAGCAATCACCTCTGGTTCAACATTCTCCGTTTAAGATTCCAGTGAGTAATACTGTGACCATAAATCGATACACCAACACATATGGGGTGAATGATATAGTCGAAGACTTATCAAACTCAACCTTTTCGGATAATAAGGATAGCGAACCGCACTCTATTTCAAGATTAGTATCGGAAGGTACTGATTTCCTGTCTACTATTCAGCCCCCAAGTATACCCCCTACCCCCGAAATGAGACCATTCATAGATTCAAAAACTCTTGATGAAGAAAGTAACAATTATTCGAAGAAACTTAACACAAGAATATTTAGTATGGCAACCACTATAGGCGATTATGAATCAGCTTTGGAACAGCAAAGTGATATCGGATCAATGGTACAATGTATTGACGAAACAGACGACGTATCTGAGTCGGATATAATCGATACATTGAATATTTCTTCGACAACAGCTAATTTTGAGAAGGAGAGTATATCGGATAATGATAGCTTGAATAATAATACGTTCATGAGCGGTGTGGTCTCCTCAATTGGATCAGTCCAATTAGAAAAGGAAAGTGAGTCATGTGATAATAGCACATCATCAAATAATGAAAGTGAGTCCGTCTATAAGATCTCGTTAGAAAATGAAAAGTTGATGGAGTACACTAATAAAAAGATCCTTCAAGCTGAGGACAAAATAGAAAATATAATTAAAGATACGAATATTCCAATCAGTACATTGCCTATCCTTCCAAATGAAAAGGAGGAAGGATTACCTTCCAAATTATCAGTCACTTCCACAGATGTATTAAACATTACAACCGATCAGGAATCATTTTTAGAGAGTTCTTCTAGGAAAAATGCAATGGAAGAAGATGCCGACCGTTTGCCTCTTGCACCAAAGCATCCACCGATTATTCCGGGGTTTGCGACTTCGGAACCTGGAAATACTGAAACTAATGATGGTTCGTTGATTGGAACTCTCCCAGAAATCGACGTCGAGATTACCGGTAATGCACAAGAATATTTGATGAACAGCTCTAAAGAGAATAACGAGAATTCAATATTAACAGATGCAGGGACAAATAATTCAAACGTTGATGACGTTACCTTTGAAGAAAACCAAACTTTGGATGAACTAGATAGTTCATTAGCCTTAGATCCGTCCCCGATTCTACTGAACGCAGTTCTAACTCTCCCTGAGATGTCCAAATCTGAAATGGTACAAACTCTCTCAAAAGATTCAAATATTGTTGAAAATATTTTACCAGAAGTCCCTGGATTTGAACCTCTTCACTTAGAATCGCCTTTCGACTTGGAGGCAGATTCTTCATTTGGTTCTACCAAATCAGAAGATCCAGACAAGCCAACTAATTACTTGAACGTATGGCACATACAAGAGTCATCTCATATGCCTGAACGAAAATTATCGGTTACAAGTAGGCCAGTTGGAGCACCAAAGTCGATATCCCGAAATGTCTCTTCATATTCTTTCAAGCCTAGATTAGTTCATAGGCCAAAGATTCATTATTCCGATTCATCAACTAAGACAAATGTGCAAAAAGATCCGTTACTAGGCGATGACTGTATTGCTGAATCATTTTCAACTGATTTTGAATACCTATTAAATCAAATTTCTACAGACGATCATTCATTTGATGAAATGAGTCAAAACCCATCATATGGTCGATTAAATATATGGAACAAAGATAAGGATATTTTGCATCCAAGTATAACTAAATCTGAAAATACTCCGCCTCATAAAAAACTTAATATTGAACAGGTGATAGGGCAAGATGAAGAGGGTATAATGAAATCCCAGGTTAAAAATGTTATAATTGGAAAGGCATCAAGTATTAAAAGTTTCCAGGTTGAATCCGATGATAACGTAAGTTTTAGGGATGAGGGATTAGTAAATGATGAGGGACTTGGAACACCAGAGAAATACAACGAACTCGAAAGTATTTATCGTTCTAACGAGAACCATATCGAGAGTCCGTTTAAAGTAGTACTTAATGAATCCAATAATTCGCCAAGCAAAATGGCAGGCGGTAATCCTTTTTTCACCTCTAATATGCGTACGAACGAGATATTCAAAAAAAATAGTTCTATTAGTCAAAATATACCTCCTCAGAAAATCCGTCAAGAATTTACTGAACCACCTAAACCAGTAGTTGTTATTTCAAAATCAAAAGGCCAGGATGAATTGGATGAGTTCATTGTCATCGAAAATGGTAAAGAGGATCCACCAGATAACGGTATAATATATGTCCTTTTAAATAAGATCAATGTTGAACTTTCTGATGTGGCAAGACATGACCCTAAGTTTTCTTTAGAAATCGATAATGGTATTAATGTAGTCAACACACCTTGGAAAGCTCTCTCTGACGACAAAATTTTGGATCTAGGAAAGGAGCTAGAAATTCCTATCAGAAGCCTTAATCAAACAATCTATTTAACTTTAAAATGTCAGTACACAAGGCCTCAATTTGAATTATATGAGGTCATGGAAAAAGTCAAGACAGGTAAAAAATATCACGGATTGGGTAAAACAAATTATAGATATGAAAAGAGGTACAAACAGAAAAAAGTCCAAACTGATGATTGGGATTATACCTTTGCTCCAGATGGCTCATTTGGTAGTGCTGAGATACATTTAGATGAGAAATTCTTAAGTGCCTGTAAATTTAATGAGAATAAGGATGTTAGAGTCAATTTAGAAAATAAATGGGGTCGTTTAAAACAAACATCACAAAATCTAGGAACAGATTCGAATCCTTTGAAAAGAAAGCCTTATGTAATTGGTAATATATCATTGGATACTTGTTATCTCCAGAGATCATCTCCTTTAGAAAGATTTCCAAAATCTCTAAAGCTTGTTCATGATATGGTCGGAAGATTAAAATCACAGCGCAGTATTAAGAAAGAAGGTTCGCTATTGCAGGAGGGTGGTGATATTCTAGGGTTGCTCAAGAAAAGATATTTTAAGTTAGAAGGAAACACCTTAACAGGCTATCATGAAATTTCGAGAAAGGCTAAAATTGATATTAATTTGCTAAATGCAATTGATGTGATCGACAGCAACGATTTTCAATCTAAAAAGGCAACAAATAGAGATTTTACAAATCTCGTTTTATTCGGTGAAAGTTTCAAAATTATATTCAATGATGGTGAAATTATTTCCTTTAATTCAGACACCTCTGCGATCGAAACTAGAGACTGGTATAACAAGATTAAAGAGAGTATTGCATTGAATGTCGTTCATCAACCATGGGTAAAAAAAATTATCGACTATACATTGTAAACTAAAAGAATGGGATATTTCTCGCAGATATCTATAATAATTGGACAATAAGAAGTGTTTATATATAGAGTTATATGATATTTAAATAAAATGTATTAATAATAAACTACAAATATAACTTTCATAAATTATCTCGTTCAAGAATAGATAGTTATCTAACCAATACCATATACGCCCCTATGTTATAATATGCTATGCAAAATTAGGTTTGATTCAGTTCCTACAGCAAAGCCCATATATGCTACATTAGAACCTTCGCCGTTCATAATCTTTTTATTATTTCTTCTTTGTTTGTTGAGGTTGCGCTTGTTGCTGTCCTTGTTGAGGTTGTTGCTGTCCTTGTTGGGGTTGTTGGGGTTTAGCAGTATTACCCTGTTTTGGAGCTTGTGGCTGATTCATGTTAGGTAGCATACCTGGCATGAAAGGAGGAAACCCTCCAAACATAGGAAATGGATTCATCATTTGAGCAGGATTTCCATTCCTATTCATATTCATATTCATATTCATATTATTATTCATAGCCATATTCATATCTGGCATATTCGGTATTGTGTTTTGATTAACTGAGATATCTTTGCTTGGGGTAGGATCCAATTTACCTTGTTGTTGTAATGAGAGAAGACCCATTAATATTTTTCGTGGATTATATTCCTCTCTCCATTTCTCCTGTCTATCTAAGTATTCCATCCATGTATATTCATTAAATCCGTAATTGAAATAATCACTTATATCAACCCCTGGTTTTCTCCAAGGTTTTTCTTTCAAGACTTCGGGGTCAATTTGTGTTACTGGTTCACCATCGTATAACCCATCCTTATCAATATCCAGTGATCCAGGAGCCATATCTATGGATGCCTTTGCTTGTTCTTCCAGTTCTTTTTCATCAGCGCCTGTCGATACTCCTCTCTTCTCTTGCTCATTACTTGCATTTGTGTCGGTTGCGATACTAATAGAATCACCACTAGACGTAGCCAATACTGGCGCTGTCATCGTTATTCCTCCAGATATGGTGGCAGCTGATGAAGCCAGAATAGAATTGGAATCCAGACGTGTTGGATCTTTACCTTTACTAACTACTATCACTAAATCAAAGTCACTTTCATCATCAGAAGATTCTAAGTCTTCATTATTATCCATAGAAGTTGTTTCTGAAAGATTTTTATCAAATATCTGGGTTCTTTGTCTCTTATTAGAGTTATCTGAGTTCTCGGTTGTACTTATTTCCTCATTTGTTCTTTTCTTCTCATTATTGTTCTCTGTATTCAATTGGTCTTCATCGGAGCCGTATAGAAACTTATCATCTTCATCCTCCTCACTCATATTATGCTTTTTGATGTATTTAGAGCTTAAGTGGTTATATAATAAACTTTAAATCCTGTTCTTGATGACTTTGAAAAACTTTGTCTATTAGAAAAGATGATTTGTTATAATAAAATTGAAGCAACAGCGACGAAAAAACTTCTCTATTATATCAATATACAGTCTCACAATAAAATTTCCGTATACTTGTTACCAAATGGTGTAATCGCTTATATTAAAGTATTATTCTTTTGTTGATTTTTATGTATTATTGATCTTTTCACACTTATAAATTGTTATATATTTGCATTTTCTTCTATAGGCGTCTCCCTTATTGCAATTTATTCATTAAAGGTTACATCGTTCACAGTGATGGAATTCATGATATTCTTCAGTTGACCGAATAGAAATGTCAATAGTTTCATAATTCTTATATTTGGAACTGTACCATACCAAAACTCGTTGTGCCTGTTGAATTGACTCATATTCTCTTGAATTCCAATATTAACTTATTAATGGATCATTGGTTTTCTCTTATCTTTGAAGGACCTATCATTACTGACATATATAAAATAGTGAAGTCAAAAGCGAGAACTTTGTTTTAATCAATTAATGGTGTTTACTCTTTATCCGTTTAACTCCCAATAAAACGAAATTAGATCCACAGAGGGATGGGGTTGATAAAGAAATAGGACAAAGTTGGTGATGTAAAAAAATGCTTCCTAGGTATTTTTAGGATACTCGTAAAATACTTATTAAATGACATGCATGACTCTTGATCTATATTAAAATATGTATTTTTGAATGTAAAAACTATATGCAATTGTTATTTATCTATTAGCCATCATAAAGGAGGAAGTTTCTTTCCTTTTCAACTTTCGTCATTATTTTAATATTGTTGTTGAAGAAGTTTTTATTTTTTCATTATGCAAATTAAGGTAATCTATCAGTAGTACGTCTTACTGAATCTATATGATATTTCTTGGAAACGTACTTTATCCAAATAATCAGCATTACTGAAATAGCGATAAAGTTTCTTTTGTAATTTACAAATAAACTCAAATTCTGTTGGATTTGATGTCTTATCGTTATATATTTCATTCTCAGTCATATTAGTAAATGAATCCACAGCGACAGGATGTTGAAAATTTTGATTTTTATTCTCTAATATTTGAATATTACGAAAATATTTACTTTCAGTTGTCGAAATTTCTGGAAATATATCAGGAACTAATCTTGGAATTTTTTCCAAATAATGAGTATTCTTTGATGCCGTTGTTATTTCTTTAATAGGAAACTCATGACAAGCTATGCCATAATTAATAGTATTATTGAAGGTTGTATTTGTAGTGAAATTTTCATGAATAGGATCTGAGTGACAAGAATTATCAGTTGAAACGGAATCGTAATCCTTTAAAAATTCTTCATATATACATTTTGTATTCAATATTGGAACTTGATGTTTCGTTCTAATTGGGATTGTATGAATTACGTCACTATAAATATCTAAATCATCTCCCTCTTCTTCTTCATCCGAAGAAATTGAAGGAATATTATTAGGAAAATTGGAATTATTATAAGAATTAATATTATTTTGTTGTTGTTGTTGATAAATATAATGATTCTCCTCATCAAAGTTATCTCTTTTGTGTAATTGATTTAAAGGAGTAGAAATATAACATTTAGTTTCATAAGAATTGAAAAGGTTATTATTATTATTATTATTATCAGAAATTAATTGTTTCTTTCCATCAATTGCAATACTTAATATATCATGATAATTTATTAAATTTTCATTTTCAATTGAGGAATAATTTTCATAATTATTTTTAGAAATAGTATTAAGGTCATTTTGTTCTTGATTATTATTAGAATTATGATTTGAATTCATTGATAAATGATAAGATTGAAAATTATCAATATCTTCATCAAATTGATATAGTAAATCATCGTTAATTACATTTTGATAATCTGATTTAATTAAAGGAATTGGGTACGTTGAAATATTTTGAATTGAAAAGATATCTGTCATAATTATTAATAAACTGTTAGTGAGAGAGGGAGATCAAAGAAGAAAAGAAAAATGCAGATTGTTGTTGTTGATTTTTAATTTTTAATTATTTTCAAATTGATAGTAATCTCTTGTCTGTTTTTAAAACAATTTACAAATACCTCTTTTTAGCTGTAAGAACAAAATATGACTTGTTATCAATATTTAAAATATTTATTTTAAATATTTGACATAGATTGGTTGGATCAATTAGATAAAATAAAATTATTAATGATGTTATATATAAGAGTATTTGGAGAATAATCTTTATTATTATTATTATTATTTTCAGGAAACTAGAAAATAATAATTAAAAGATTGTCTCCAATTATTAATTTTAATTTTGTTAATTTATCCTATTTTAGTAAACAAATGCATTAATTACTCTATTACTATTCTGATTTAAACTGAAGGTTTAAAATATCCTCTTAATCCCCCTTTTTTTACGTATTTCAAGAATCTATGAAAGAAAAGAATATAATTAAAAGCTTTAGATATTTTATCACCCCTTTTAATTTCATTGAAGTTATTAAAGAATCGGAATTTGACTTTATTTAAATCTTTCTTTAGTGAGATTAATATTAAATCTCGAAAAAGAAAAAAAGAAAATTGCAAATTTGCAAAATGCAAATTTGCGTTCACTTTACATTTAATAGTTGGCACAGGGAACATATTTATTCCACAGTAGAATTAAGGGTTCCCCTTACATTGCACATTTTTTATTACGAAGACAAAAATGTCGATGTGAATAATCAATTTTACAAATTTGCAAAACGCCAATTTGTGCAAAACTAAAAAAATTAAAATTAAATATGTGCATATATATTAACTTTAAATTTAATAAACTTTTCTATTCTCCAAACAAAAAAACATATTAAACTTTTAACTAAACAATTTATTCTAGACCCTTCAAATTGAAGAGAGAAGTTAATATTTAAATTAAAAATTATTTGTTTATTTATTTCCCCAATCCTTAGAAAACTGTTGAATAATTTAAGGAATTGCGTATAATTTTTTTTTTTTAAAAATATGCTGTCATATACCACCATTCATCCATCTAATAGATGTTCTCTCCGCCATTTTAATATGTTTTAGTTTTAGGGGTATGACAGACTTTTTTTTTTGGTTTTTACTCTCTGTCTCTCCAATAAATGCATCAATTATATCTCCGATTTTTTAATTTATTTTATTATGAACAAATTCAATATTTTGTTGAAGTCCGGTCTTCCCGAAAAAACCTTTTCTGTGACTGAACATCCATACATCCCGATCAAATTTTTTAAAAATAATTTAAAAGCTTTTATTTTGTTTTTTTCTCCAAAAAATAAATAATTGCTCTATTCCTTGTTTAATAAATTATTTTGGGCTAAATTTCAACTAAAATTTTCAAGATCAATGTCCGTTACCCTCCCTCTTTGTTTTTTTGTTTTTTTTCAGACAGGGAAAGTAGAGAGAATATACTACTTTCGACTATTGGGAAGAATAGTGAATAATTACTATTCAATTTGTAATATGTAGTAACATTCTATGAAGCACATCACCAAACTAAGAAAATTATACTGAATCTATACTAGTTTCAATATTTTTAAAATGGTAATATCTATAGAGGTATAACTATTACAATCATTAATATATTGTAAATTGTAATTCTTGATAATAACATAAAACAATCAAATAAATATAACATTTAAAAATGTATGTAAAATGAATTTTCTACAAAATTTTATGATAGATTAGAGAATAGAGAAGAAGCAAACCACAATTTAATTGTTTTTAAATTAGTTATAGAGAGAGAAAATATAACATTTGAAATGAGGATTAATAATATAACAACCAAAAAAAATAGTTTAATCTAGTAATGATACTATAAAAGTTATTAAAAGAAGACATGATAATAGCAACACATCTCTAATCATTTCTATATATTTGTTATAATTCCAATCACAAGATAGAATATTTTACTAACTAAAATTAAATGGTAATATTACATATATTGTTATTATCAACTATTATTTTAATATTAGGGCTAAGAGAACTAAGAAGGTTGGTATCACAGGTAAATATGGTGTCCGTTATGGTTCCTCTCTAAGAAGACAAGTTAAGAAGCTTGAAGTTCAACAACATGCTAGATATGACTGTTCTTTCTGTGGTAAGAAGACTGTTAGAAGAGGTGCTGCTGGTATTTGGAGTTGTGGTTCTTGTAAGAAGACTGTAGCTGGTGGTGCTTACACTGTCTCTACTGCTGCTGCCGCCACTGTTAGATCTACTATTAGAAGATTAAGAGAAATGGCTGAAGCTTAAATTAATTTTAATAATACTTATTATTATTATTAGTTTAATAAAAATTTTACACTTTTTACGCATAGACATATAATTCATAGAAACTAAGAAAGCAAAAAGAATTAAAAATATAAGATATACATTCCAACTTACACATTTCCTATAACCAATATTATAACTAATACGAACATTTCAATTTTATATATATTATTTTATTTAAAAAGAAAAGTATATTATAATAAAAGCATTATATTTTAATGATTTCTAACTAATATCGTTAGAGTGATTAATCTTAAAATTAATATATAAATGTATACGCGTCACGTGATGCAACGTCACGTGCCAGAAAACTATTCTTTTTTTGCTTTTCCAATTTTCGAAATTAAAATGAAACACCGATTCTCGGTCGAACGGGGGTCCAAAAAACTAAAATTAAAATTAAAAAATAAGTTGCTTCCGCCGTGCCATCAAGAAAAATCTCCGTGACCTCCTTCCCATTTATCTAGGGGTACTTTCTCTAGACAACGTCTTCAAAAATTATTGCAATGGAATATTGTTTTTGAGCCATGTGTATGTCTCGGACTAAAGGAGTATATGAATATGTATATACAAAATTAATAATTCTATCGAAGAGAGCCACAGAAATCTTGTCGCAGATTCAACTAAAACGACGGGGTTATGAATAACTCAACGACACATACAAAAATATGATAGCCAATGACTAAAGACTATCCCTTCTTTTATCTTAATATCTCAAATTTTGTGAAAATTAATGACGAATCTGATTAATTTTTTTAATCAATCAATAAGAATAGATTATTTCGTTATTTCGTTATCCCGGTTCTCCCACTTATCCCACTTATCCCACTATTAGTAGTACTAAAGTTGAAATATGTTGAACTAAATTGATCTCAAAATGACATTAATATTACTATTATTATTACAAACTTAGAATAGGTATATAATTTTTCAGTAGTTAGTTAGTTTAAACTGTGTACATACACATGTGTAATATTTCCCATTATTCCAGTACTTACTTCGCCAGACTTCTCATACTTAGACCATAGAATATATATCGTTGATGACTAAACTGCCTACCTGTCTTTATTCTTTTCTTTTGTCGTTGTTGTTTCTGTAGAATATATAAATAGTTTAATAACAGATGTTTCGATAAATTTATTTATTTATTTTTCCCTTTGTTCTTTTATCTTGTTTTTATTATTATTTATTGAACTTACATATTTAAATAACAACTATAGTAATTTAATAATATTAATTATAAAATAAATTACAAAAGAATATATTCATAAGTATTCTCATTTATTATAACAATTATATCTGTTGTTTTTATTAATTTTAATTTTAATTTAATATATTTTTATTTTTATTTTTATTTTTTCAGGTGTCTCTATACTTAAAGAATAATGTCTCAAAAGAAGAAAGCTTCTCATCCAGCTATTAATTTGATTGCAGGTGGTACTGCAGGTTTATTCGAAGCATTATGTTGTCATCCTTTAGATACTATCAAAGTTAGAATGCAAATTTATAAAAAGACAATAGCACAAGGTACTGCTATTAAACCTCCTGGTTTCATTAATACAGGGAAATCTATATATTCTCAAGAAGGGTTTTTAGCTCTGTATAAGGGGTTAGGTGCCGTTGTTATTGGTATTATACCAAAAATGGCTATTAGATTCTCTTCTTATGAATTTTATAGAACTCTTTTGGCTGATAAAAATACTGGTGTTGTCTCTACAGGTAATACTTTCTTAGCTGGTGTCGGTGCAGGTATTACTGAAGCAGTTATGGTGGTTAATCCAATGGAAGTCGTTAAGATTAGATTACAAGCTCAACATTTGGCTGCACCTGCTAAAGCTGCAATGGCTTCACCAGCTACTATTCAAACTTTGCAAACTGCTGTAGCTCCAGCAATGAATGGTTCAGCTACTGCCACAGCTGCGGCTACTGCAACTACTGCAACTACAGCAGCAGTTTCTCAAGTGAAATACAGAAATGCTATTCATGCAGGTTATACAATCATTAAAGAAGAAGGGTTTGGTACTTTATATAGAGGTGTTTCATTAACAGCAGCAAGACAAGCCACTAATCAAGGTGCAAACTTCACAGTATATTCTAAATTGAAAGAATATTTACAGAAATATCATCAAACTGAGGTTTTACCATCTTGGGAAACTTCATGTATTGGTTTAATTTCAGGTGCGATTGGACCATTTTCAAATGCTCCATTGGATACAATTAAGACTAGATTACAAAAGGATAAGAGTCATTCCGCAGATAAATCTACTTCTGGTTGGGGTAAAATTATGAAAGTCGGTTCTCAATTATTAAAGGAAGAAGGGTTTAGTGCCTTATATAAAGGTATTACACCAAGAGTCATGAGAGTTGCTCCAGGTCAAGCCGTCACTTTCACTGTATATGAATGGGTAAGAGGTCATCTAGAAAATACAGGAATCTTCAGCTCCTCATCTGCACCAAAGCCAAAAGCTCTCAAATAGATAAGCACGTATACAATTATATATATATCGTATCTAATCGAAAATACTTACATAGAAATAATATTCAAACTATTCATTCTTTTTTAAAATAAAAAACATATCTACATTTTCTAATGGTTTAAAACTTTTTTAGTTCTAACTGTTTTAAGTGGGTCCCTTCTTTTTTTCTATTTGACGTCATGTAGATTTTAAGTGAATGAACGACAAAAAAATGGAAATCAAAAATATAAAAAAACAAGGAGATGAGCAATGAAACTTATACATTGCAGTTGAATAAAACAATAGGAGTATCTTAAATATAGTTACCAATAAAGTCAATCGACACCTTATTTAATTATAAGACATTATGCAAATTCCAAAACAATATATTTTATCTACAGGTTATTCAATTCCTTCTGTGGCGTTGGGTTGTTATAATATTCCTAAGGAAGATACAACTGAGTTAGTCGAGGCTGCCTTGGAGAGAGGGTATAGACATTTCGATACTGCTGTATTATATGAAAATGAAAAAGAAGTTGGGGATGGTATTTCTAATTGGTTATTAAAGAACCCAAATCATTCAAGAGATGAAATTTTTTACACAACAAAATTATGGAACTCACAATTCGGTTATGAAAATGCAAAACAAGCAATTAAAGAGTGTTTACAAGCTGTGAATTCACTTGGTTATATAGATCTATTACTAATGCATTCACCGATTGGTGGTAAACCTGTTAGACTTGAAACTTGGAGAGCAATGCAAGAAGCAGTGGATTTGGGTATGGTGAAAAATATAGGTGTTTCTAATTTCGGTGAACAGCACATTACAGATATACTATCGTGGTTGGATTTGAGATACCCACCTGTGGTCAATCAAATTGAAATCTCTCCTTGGTGTATGAGACAACAATTAGCTGATTATTGTAAACAGCAGGGTATTTTCGTGGAAGCTTATGCGCCTTTGACTCACGGTTACAAGATTAACGATTTGGGCCTATTGAGGATATCGAAGGACACAGGGAAGAATCCAGCACAAATACTTATCAGATGGTCCTTACAGCATGGTTATATCCCATTGCCAAAAACAGAAACGATCGGCAGGCTCTCCGGGAATTTGGATGTTTACGATTTCGAATTGACTGACGAACAGATGGCCAAGATAGATCACCCAGAGGCCCATGAGCCTACAGACTGGGACTGTGTCACTGCCCCATGAGACTACATATTTTTATATAGATATATAGGTGTGTAGAAAGCATAATGATACTTCTGTCTCATTTCCTTCTTTCGTTTTTGTTCTGTACGGTGTTTTTTTTACTTCGGCACTTTAAAGGAAGTGCCATTTTAATTTTCAGTTCGAACTCATCGATTTTTGATTTTTATATTTATAAGCAACCTAGAGAGTATTTAATACACTTTACAGAGTCTACAAAACGTTTGTGTCTGGACAAGTGTTTACATTATTATATGACTTCATTACACTGATTTAACTGCCATGAAATCTAGACGAACCCATTATGAAATACTGAATGTTACATCTCAAACCCAACTGTCAGGAATAAAGCAGGCATATAAAGAATTACTACTCAATACACATCCTGACAAAATTCAATCAAATAATACTTCTAAGATTAATAAAATACATAGTCTCGATGATATTAAAGAAGCATATAGGGTACTAGGGGATGAAAAACTAAGAAAACAGTATGACACAGAACTATTAGAAGACGGAAAGAGAAAAGGTATATATAAGTTCGGAGATGGGGTTGATGAAGTTTCATTAGATACTTTTGAAACTGTAGAACATACACCTAATGATGGAGATGAATTAGATGTATGGCACTACTATAGAAAATGTCCCAGATGCCAAGTCGCGGATGGGTTTAAACTAGACGATAATCTACTTGAAGAATTTGCCGTGGTTTGTGAAAACAGAGATGACGGAATGTATCAAGTTCTGATTCAGTGTGATTCATGTAGTTTATGGCTAAAAGTTCAATTTTTTGCGGCGGATGAGGAAGAAGAGGATTGAACTGGTAAATATCTCAATTTCGTGCTCTCTTTATAGAATTTTTTTTGAGAGTTTCTAACAACCTGTAAAATGTTCAATATAATCTTTTATTCCCAAGAAAATAGATTTCATATAAGCACATACATGTAAAATGTTATTATTAATTATGATTTATATGTAGGTGTATAAAGGTTATTAAGTTATTGAAAATTTATAAGTCATTAATGGGCATGAAAATATTGTGTCCTGTAGGAATATTAATATAAGGGGGATAGCATTAATATCAGCTTATTATTTGACGGTAAGATTCATTGTTTCCTCTCTTTGTTCCTCTCTTTATCTGCATCATGTAAGGAAATCAAGGCCTTTGCCATACTTGAAAGGTCAGTCATTAAACTAACATGACCTGTTTCACTAACAATCTTGGCAACAACAGGGAACCCTCTAACTCCAGGCAAAAGCCAAGAGTGGTGCACAACCCCGTCACCTGCCCCATAATAGAAATCATCATAATCACCGTCGATAATTCCAGCAATACCATCTACTTTACAACCACGAACAGTAGGAACCCTGTTACCATAGACGGTAACCAGAGGGGGATAATCCTTTGAATCGTCGTAATCCAAACTGCTTAAAAAAGTCCTTGCATTTGTCAGAGTACGTTCCAGGTAACTATAGGAATCCTCGTAAGACGTTTTAAAATTATAGTCGATGATTACTTCTTCCATAGTTTCAGTAAGGTCATTCTTGATCTCCTTTCTTAATAAAGGAACTTTACTTACAACATCCTTCACTTTCGAATTAACAGATTCTATAACCTCGAGAGGACTTGGAGGATCAAGTGAAAAGAGTGAACTCATTGACGTTGTTCTAGAAGTATTCTTTATATGGTGATGGTGGATGAGTTCTCGTTCTTGTTTCTTTTTCTCTTTCTCAATATAGTCTAACCTCTTTTGGCTGACTAAAGGTGATAATCCTAAGTATCTCCATATTTGGGGATCAAAGAAATCAAAATCATATCTTTCATATGTTTTTCTATTAATAAAACATCTTCCATCCAAAGGTAGGAAATAATGGCTACTCCTCATGAAGAAATTTGATTCGCTACTTAAGATAGATTTATTCCACATCACAGAATCACCAAACCGTATTGGTCCTAGGATGTTTGGGCATTGATTAGGAGCGCCAATGTAAACGATACCTCTTACAAGTTCAGGATGGTCTTGAAGAACCTTGTGAGCAATTAGTCCACCCATAGAGTGCGCAAGTAAGTAAGAACCCTTCGGTTTACCTTTATATTTTGGATCTTTCTTTTGTTTGTCCTGTATTTGTTTAAGTCTCTTAACCAACTGTTCACAGGGTATTTCAAGAGATAATCTCCAATCATAGCCAAATGTTTCGATGTGAACTTTAGGGTTCGCTTCTAGTTTTTTAATTAATTTTCTCGATATGTCAACGGGACCAATGTGAGTAAGCATACCGTCTGGTATTATTCTTTTCTGTGCTTCTATTTCGTCTTGTTCTGTGGGACCGATATACAGATCAATCTTTGTGAGATTCAGTCCTGCTTTAATTGGGACCCAAAGACGTCTATGTGTTTTTGCATCTCTTAGGATAGACCCTCTATATCCACCCATTATAATAAAATCTCCATCTACCTCATTCCAAATAGATTGCAGTCTTCCATAAGTGTATCCGTCAGCGGTCTTTGTTGTATCACTGATGGTTATTTGTTTGATCTGATTCCTCACAGCATCAATACCCAGACTTTCTTTGATAGCTTTATTTCTCACGTTTTCAATCCCTGTTTGGTCTTTGTATAACTCTAGTTCTTCTAGGGATGAGATAGAGTTCGTTCTTTCCAGTTTTTGTTTTATTTCACTTTTGATTGCTGGAGTCTCTTCATTTAAAACTGCTACTGTTTTACTTCTAATGAGTGTAGTTGTCGCGTCAACTACGTCGTTATTCGTAGGAGATGGTTGGTACGCCAAAGATCCTTCATTCTGGGTATTATCAGCAGAATTACTCATGTTCACCTGACTATCAGAACTCTTATTGTTGTCAACCTCTGTGATGTTTTTATTGGTCTCCGTTATAGGAGTTATTAGATTGAACATCGAGATTTTACTGTTCCGAATCTTATTATTTTGTCCGAAGGGCAAAGAAAATGAGAAAATTTTGTGATCTTTGTTAAATCTTTTATAACTTTTCATCTCTTTGGTGTCAAGATCGTTGAGATCTTCAATTGTGATAAATCTGGGTTTGTTGAACTCAACATCTGAATCACTAATATGAGGATCATTCGTTATACTGACACTTGTAGATCTTCTCACAGGCTGTTTAGTTTCAAGGTTAACTCCACCAATTAATTCGTTGGCATTATTTGTAGAGAGGGGCCTACTTTTAGTACGTATGATATTATTATAGTGGACATGTTTGTTATCATCATTTTGTGTGATACTGGATGAACTACTACTTTTATCACTTGGCTCGAAGTCCTTTCCACCTTCAACATCTTCCTCTTCTTCTTCTTCATCCTTACATTCTGATTTTGTCAAACATGCAGATGGTTGCTGATTGTTACAGCAAACATCTATACCATGGACTGGACATTTTTTTCCATTATTCGAAATACCTCTATTCGGTTGAATAGTCATAGGTTCACCATTAGCGCCCATGTTAGTCTAGATTGAATATGAAGTAGTGTCTCTGAATCTTTTTTGTTTGTTATTAGTAACTTATTCGTCTTTGTTAATAACATCAGACATATAAAAAAATATATTTTTCAAGTTTAACCAGCGAGAAACCTGATTTAATGACCTCTCTTAAGTTGGAAAAGTATTTGACTTATTTATATATATGCAGGGATTCAATGATCCTAGTGGAAGAGTTTAAATATACTCAATAGATTGACTTCCCAAGCAATGACAAAAGGACAACAATAGCAGTATTCTTAATAATAATCAACACTTGCTAATCAAGTCAGACAGGGGGGGAAGTGAATTTATTCATCACTTTTCGTGCATTTCTTGACGGATTTAGGAGGAATGTACATTAAGACCATTTGGATCTCCTTCATTATCATTATTGTTGCGATAGCACAACTCTTTCTTGCTCTCAACCTTCGACCTTTCCTATTCCATTCAGACACACTGAGGGGGCAGTCATAAAATCAGTCAAAAGCCCTTAATTAATGAATGCTGGACTTCACGTTATTGACAGTATTCGAGTAAACGTCTGCAGTCGGTGAGAGAGAAAGTGCCTTGCTATGTGCTATCGGAACTCTCTTCCCCACGGCCAATTGTTTCCTCATCGCATTTTGCTGCTCTCCCTGCTTCCTGCCCCTTCTTCCCCCTAAAGGTTTGACCAGCCAAAAAGTGTGCTCTCTCGGTCTTGGAAAACCCCACGCCAATCGTCACCCCCACACATGCCCCCACATACACGTGATCTTTTTGAAACCTAAAGATCATGTTTTACGAGTCACAGTCAAGAGAGCTCAGTAGCTGTCTTTACATAACGATCCTTAGTGAAGCATAGACAACGTCTCGAAAAAAGAAGTATATGTCACATCAAGATGGTTAATAAGTTAGTGAAGTGGAATTGTTAGGTCGTAAGTGTCGAAGTCAGGCCTCAGAATGATATTCTGTGTGTAATAAAAGTAAGTTTATGAACATCTTGGTAAACGTTAGACAATATTTCAAGCATTTTATGAATTGGAATACGTAAAATATTATTAAAATATTGCTATTGTTATAGCTTTCTTGATTTTGAATGAATAATATGTGTATAGACCCCATATCAAAGAATATCACTTTGTCATTTTTGTTTACTTAGAGAAGAGTCATTTTTGTATTTGGAAATTCCAAACTAAACATAAAAAGTTAAAATTTCCCCAAAATTAAAAAACAATTTCTAAAGAATGAGAACCTTTGTAGTGATCACTCTCTTTGCATTAAAATTTGAATCATTTTATTATGTATTCATATAAAAGATTTGGTAAAAATCTGTGACAACTTCTTATAATAACCTCTGCCATTTTTTTATTGCTCTTCCTTGGAAGGTCGATTTGCGTGGCTCTTAATATATTACAGTAACGAAAGTACATAAAAAATTCAACATTTTTAACACATACTTCCACAGCATCCCCTTGAAAGTTATACAAAAAAGTATTATACTCTGAGAATTAAGATCACATTTACAGTACACAGTATATTAACATATAGTCTAAAACCCATTAGTTTGAAATGAATCAAGAGAATACTGCTGTGATTCCTTTGGAATCTGATCCAACCGTATTTAACCAATTTGCACACTCATTAGGTTTAGCCCCTGGCTTTAAATTTATAGATATATATTCAATAGACGATGAAAATCTTATTGCATTCCTAGAAAGACCAATTATTGCAATCGTTCTTTTATTCCCAGTTCAAAAGAATACCACTACACAGATGACCACTGAGGAACCTACGAAGTTTTTGGATAGTGAAACTACAAAACCAATATGGTTAAAACAAACGTTCAAGAATGCCTGTGGGTTATATGCTTTACTTCATATCTTGACTAATTATCCAGATTTATTGCAACCTGATTCAACTCTTTTAAAATACTGTCGTGAGAATGAGAATGATATGAATAGCAAACTAAGTCAATTCATCATTGATTTTACCAATAACAATAAACAACAGTTCGAGCACGGATCGGGTTCGTCTGAAAATCCAGATCCTGAAGCAGTCATTGACTTACATTTTATTACTTTCATATCCAGGGATCAAAAGTTATGGGAATTAGATGGTAGGTCCAAGAATGAGACACCCCTATGTCTTGGAGATGTTCAAAATATTGATAAGGATTTACGGTATGTCGATTTGATTGAACAGCCTTCTATAAAAGAGAGAATATTAAATTATATGAACAATGTAGAAAATGAAAACGATAAGTTGAATTTCTCTTTAATGGGGTTTGCACAGTCTTTCGACTAATATACAGCAAAAAAAACTTGACTCTATCTATTTCTATGTAATTGGAATATATGTAATTGGCTTTATGTTTGACAAGAATTCTCTTTTCATTCATCATATACACCGAATGGTAAGAATCCTCCACTTCCAAGACCCCTAGAATGTCTCGAAAAATAATCAAAATCAATGGAGATTGCATTTGCTAGTAGGATTGCTCTTTGATCTAGGTTTAATACATGGTCACTTAAAACACTAGGATCATAAACACCTTTGAAACTATTCTTAGCATCAAATCGAACAACATACACACCTGTGTCAGTAAGGAACTCTCTACCTAAACCTACCCAATTTCTGTCAACACTTGCTAAAATTTTGTTTTGCTCATCCATCAATGGGAATTCAAAGGAGAGAAATGGGGCATCAATTGCACCAAATTGACTTAACATATGCGATGCACTATCACCACCGTCAATATTTTCATTATGTTGCCTCTTCTTAAACTCTTGGACAAATAAATTGTATCTTCTTCTCCATAAATGCCAACTTTGAACAGTTTCTCCAATTAGAATACCTTCAGATGTTGGCTCATTATTCGTATATTCATCATTTGACCACACTTTAAGTTTTGAATTAATAAAGGAAAATTTTCTGTCTATCTTGAACAAATAATTATCGTTCTGGTCAAAAAGATCTACAACAAATGGACGATGAAGTTTAGTCAACTGCCTCATCATCATTTGCCCAAAAGACCTCTGTCTCTCTACTGCCCATCCAACAGTTTCATTGTTCACATTACTTATCCTATATCGATTGTTTTGTTCAAAGCCAAATATAATGTTTCCGAACTCTATTTGTCTTTCCAATATCAATATAGGATTACTTAATAAACTTCTAACACCACTTAATCTTATCGCGCTCGAACTCATTTTTATATCTTAAGTAAATATTGGAATGTAACTGATCTTGTTTTAACGGTAAATGTTTATTTTGCTTCTTTCTTGATTATGTGTTTTAACACTTGTGTTTACATGATGGTCCTCTTCTATCAAGATTCTGTTTTTTATTTTTATTTTCTTTGTTTGATCTATTAGATCTTCGAGCATAATAAATATAGTAAGCAAACACAATTAAAGCGTTAAGAAGAGAAATACATACACAGGTGTATCATAAACATAATATTTCCTGATGTTTATTACTTATATTCGAAGGCGTTGAATTTCTACTTTTTGACGAAACCATCTAAATGTCTTATCAAAGTAATTTTTGTATGACATAAAAGACTTTTACCACCCACATCAAGGAATTGAATACTCATTACTTATTGTATTTCATTCTAATTGATTTCCCCCCTAGGATACTTTCTCTTATTAATAGTATCTTCAGTGGTACGTTAGAAACGTTCTATGTTTAATAAATTCAAGTTTTTGTTATATGAGAAGACATGCACATTGTAATACCTTTGGTAATTGAAGATCGTTAAAATATCTAGTAAGGCCATGAAATTTTGACACATTTTATTATAAAGGCAGGTTGTTATACTATTATTATCTTGAGTTGAAGCTTGAATAGTAGAGTTAGTTCTTGATTCGTTCATTTTACATAGAGTTAGGTAGAAATGCATAGGTGTAGCTTGAGTTCTAATTCTAAGAAGGTAAAATATAGTTGTTATTCTTTTCTTTTAAATGTACGCGATTTTTTTGTATTTATATATATTTTATAGAACGAATAGAATCTAACTTAGAATGTAAGTTCAGAATTCTCTGTCTTTATATATTATTTATTTTCTTGAAAAGTTCTTTCTCTTATTACCCAATATTTCCCCCTCATTTTCTTACATATTATTTAATTTTTATTAAGACATTTGATCATTCTTGTTCCCACATAATTTCTGTTAAGAACGACCTTAAGTATTACAAGTAATTCATAGATGAAGGAAGTATGTCATAATTGTGATTCAGACTCTTCATACAAACAAACACAAACATAGTAACTTAATATATCCCTTAATATCCCTTAAGATGTACAGAAGATAACATTAAAAACCTGAGCAAAGTCTGAAATATCTGTAAAACGACTGTAAGGTTAATCTCCTCATACAAATCAAAAAATTTAAAGGAGAGATATACCTCAGAGGTAATCATGTTTTTCAAGAAATTTTGGAAGTTTGGCCGAGTGGTTTAAGGCGCCAGATTTAGGTTCTGGTATCTTCGGATGCATGAGTTCGAATCTCATAGCTTTCATTATCTTTTTAAATTTTTGGTCTGAAAGTCACATGATCCATCGATTTTTTTTTAAAATTCGGCCTTTTTTGTCTTTCCAATTGAACTATTAATGGATTTTAGTTATATGATATATCAAAAATAAAGATATTAAAACGAACTAAGTTCAATATTGCATTTTATATGGAGGTTGGTCAATGAATATCAGTTAAACTATCAGTGGTTTTCTATATAAACAAGACTTATTAATTTCGAACAGAATGATGTTGAGTAGGACTTTAGGAAGACGTTCTATTCATACTGTACCGAAATTGACAAATATTAAGGAACTGAGTAAATCTGGTATACCTAAAATCTATTCAGCAAATGGTTTTAATACAGTATGGACTGACTATCAAAAATATTTATGTGATAAACTTACATTAGCTACAGCTGGTAGTAGTTTAGAATCATATTATCCATTCCATATTATGTTGAACACAGCAAAGAAATCGTATCAAAGTAATATATTTAATTTGGCTAGTGCGATACATAATAATCATTTATTCGTTGAAAATATCATGCCTGTGAAGGGCAATGAATCGAACCAACCATCTAAGTTTTTATTGAGTCGTATTCATGAGTCGTTTGATTTAGAATGGGAAGAGGTAAAAGTTGATATTGTTAAATTAATTGAAAAGAAGATTATAGGTCAAGGTTGGTTTTTCTTAGTGGAGAATTCAAATAAAGAGATTCATTATTTATTTTTACAAAACAATGGTACACCTTATTATTTCCCACGTAATCAATTATTTGATTTAAATGTTCCAATAAATTTAAATGAATTTACTCATTTGGAGAAAATGAAAGATTTACTTAAGGGACAAGGTAAGACTAAGATTAAAGATTGGAGTATGCCATTAATTTGTATCAATTTATGGGATCAAGCATATTTATCAGATTATGGTGTTGGTAAAAGATCTGAATATGTTAAGAATATATTGGATAATTTGAATTGGAATGTTGTAAATAACCGTTTATACAAATAGACAAAAGTAGAAGGAAAAGGAAAAAGAAGAACTTAGATTTTCTTTTATATATATATATATATATACCTATATCTATACCATGTAAATATGAATCAAATGCCAACAAACAAATAGATTATACTACTTTTATAGCAATATATTTATTATATTCGTCTTTTAACATTGTGGCTCTCCCTCTTTTCACTAATAAATTAAGACATTTAGAGACGAGAGGATCCGGCATAGAATGAAATTCCCAACCTATACTTTCATCTCCCGACGTTAATTCATATATTGTGACCACTTGGTTCAACTTATTTGTAGTTTCGAACCATTCCAACATTAAAGACGCCCAAGAATCCAAATTTTTCCATAATATGCAATAAGTTGAATCGCTCATGTCGTCTCTTGCTACCAATTTTTGAGTCTTAACCATTCTTTGAAGTATTTCTTTGATGAAAAGCGGTGAAACAGTTCTATCTATATCTTTATTCTCAAATAAGGATATAGATTGTTGGATAAAATTTCCTTGTGAATCAATTTCCCATAGGGATTGTTGTTTTGATATACTTAATATAATATCAATCCATGAATCAATTTGTTTATTTCTAATTACAGCATTTGGTTGTCTTGTATACAAAGGTGGGAACGAATATATTGGAGGGAATTCCATCACTTTTTTGCTCTAATATTTATATGATAGTGGTTCTACCTTTTTATATTTATTGTTCTTGGCCCATATGCCTATATATCTATATCTCTATATATAAATTTTCGGTGTAGCTAAAAAATTCATACTAAAATATTAAACTAATAAGCAAACACATACAAAAAAATAATAGGAGGAAGAAAGGTTATATCATCTAATAACAATTATATATTAAAGGTTTTAAATAGATTAAATTAGATAGGTTATATGGTGAGACACTCATTTTTATAATTAATGAGTGAAACCAATAACACCACAAGCAGGTCTGCCACCTGCATTACCAGTCTTTAAAGATTCTTCATTACCACCTTTACCTAAATCATCTTGACCTGCATGGACCACGACAGATCTACCAATGATAGTGTTTGGACCTAGCAATTTAATCAAGTTATCAGTGATAGTACCTTTAGCTACACCATTATCATCAGTTTGAACATTACCCATATCACCGACATGTCTAATTTCGTCAGTTGGAGCACCGTGAGTCTTCTTGAAAGGATTGAAATGAGGACCGGCAGAGACACAACCGTTAGTGACATCACCGAATTCATGGATATGGAACCCTCTCAAAGCATTTGGAGAGTTACCAGTGATTTCGTAAGAAATAGTAGTTGGTTGATCTTCGGCAGATTGTTCGAAATTGACAGTACCAGAAATACCAGCGGTACCTCTTAAAACAGCGACAGCTTTAACCATTATGAATATATATATTTGAGGGGTTGTTGTAAATGAATATATTGATTCTCTTTGTACAAGTAGAATTGAATGTGTTTCTCTATATATGAAAGTAAAACAAGTATAAAAACATACATATTTATAAAAACATATCAATATCCCATGACTTCTTCTTCCATCTCTCCCCTTATATATATATATATATATATATATATATATTTAACGTACTACTAAATCAACTTCACACCCAACCCAATCGCATCCCCATCAATCCATCAATCGACCGATCGCATCCCCTGGAGAGAAGCACTGAAACCCCCCAGAGACTCGTTACGTTGAACGACAAAACACGCAAATTTACACATTTGATCGATTACTAATAACAATAATATTATATCATGCCCAGAAGTAAGCTACACAGAGTGCACTGGTGCCGGGTAATATGGCAACGCGCGATTGTTCGACCGTTATTGGCGGGTCGCCCAAAGCCCCGAAAAATAAAGGGAGGGCGGGGCGATTATGTGTCTGCGCGCTTATTTGCCACACGAGAAGAAGCGGAAACACACTCTGTGGATGAAGTATGGTGTGTCGTGTCGGATGACACACACATTATCACGTGCTCCTGGTTCCGTGTCGAGTGATGTTATGTAGATGTCGGGGTAACTCCATGTTCAATCTTTAATTTTCTTAACTGAAATATCTGTTGTTACAGATTATCATTTTTCCCTGGTATAGAGGGAGAGATAGATTGAGATACATACATATATACATACATATGCTTATATATGGGGAGGCTTTAGTTACAGAAGCATACAACTGATAAGAACAACACAACCATCCACACTATAAGGATGTTGAGACACTGCTTGACAAGAAATGTGCGTTCAGTTATGAGTGTGCGTGGGTCCACTCACAATATAACTAGAATATACACTGCTCGTTATCAGTCCACATCATCTTCAGAGACTAGCTCCAATTCGAGCTCGAGCTCGAGCTCCATGACCGATGAGGAAGTAGACCAATGGCTATCTTCGATTCAGGACTTACGTTCACAATTTAAACAATCTGGATTTAGTCCAGAGACAGATTTAGCTCCACCAGGGAAAGGGAAGTTGGATCTATTAAAAGAAACTCAACAACTAAATACAAAGACGTTCACTCCAAATGCACTACAATTATCCGAATGGGAAGCCCTAAAGGGAGTACCTTTACCAAAGAGACAAGACCCCATATTACAACAAATTACTAATATTATTATGCGTGATGGGAAAAAACAAGTTGCAGAAAGAATCATATCGAGAGCTTTATACTTAACATTCTTGCAGACTCGTAAGGATCCCATCGAACTGTTGAAAAAGTCATTAGATGAATTGGCTCCTTTAATGCTAGTGAAAACGTTTAATACAGGGGTAGCTAAAGCTGCTGTCGTCCCAGTACCTCTGAGTAAAAGACAAAGAACAAGAATCGCTTGGAAATGGGTAATCGACGCATCGAAGGGAAGAGCTTCGTCTGATTTCGCTGTAAGATTAGCAGAAGAAATCGTCGCTGTATCAAAGGGTCTTGGATCGGCTTTTGATAAGAGAGATCAAATTCATAAGACTGCTATCGCTCATAGATCTTATATCAAGTTAAAATGATTATGCATTCTCTCCCTCTCTACATTGTTCATTAATTCATTCATTCCCTATTATATTCTATCAAATAAGCATGTAAATACTGTATATGTATATATAAAATCTAAACGAGATCAAAATAAATCTTATGTACTAATGTTTGTCTCCCGCGGTATGTAACTCTTCTTGTTCTGCCATAATATTATGTATATACATACATTCCTCGGTTGCGGTGGTGCCGGGGGAGAGTGCAAGCAAAATTCGCCCCTATTGAAAATAATGACAAATTTCATCCCAAAGTATACTATGACCATCAACTAACTTATAGTTCAGTGCACGAATAGAACAGTTTAAGTATCTTCGATACATCATAATGTCAGGTATCTTTTTTAAAACTCCACTTACAGACGAAGAACTTACAGAATTCACTCAATTGTTCAATTCTTTAGACATAAGACATAAATCAACGGTAAATTTCGTACAAGCTCAAACTTTATTATCAAAGACAGGCTTACCTTCAGAGATAATCATTAATATTTGGAATCTTGTAGATACTCACCATACTCAACAACTTGATTTCAAACAATTTGCTGCTTTGTTAAGAGCTATAGGAAACAAACAACATTATCCTTTGATCCCTATAGATACTAACTTATTTGAAGTACCTTCCCCTAAAATAACCTTTTCAAAAGAAGCTAATACTACAATCACTAGCAGCCCGTCTCTATCGTCAGATATCATTACTCATCATCACCATCATAACCATTCAACAACGACGAATATGAGTAATAACGACACCTCCATATCATCGGACCCTACTTCATTGGTAGAGATGCCCCCACTAACTCCTAACGATCTTTCGAAATTTTCTCAATTGTTTGATAGAGCTTATAAAGGTAAAGATAACGTTCTATCTGGTAATGATGCCAAACAAATCTTTGTCAAGGCAAAACTGCCAAACAAAGTCCTAGGAGCAATCTGGTACCTATGTGATAATGGAACAAAAGGTTATTTATCTAAACAAGAATTTATTATGGCAATGCATTTGATCGATTTACGTCTATCAAAACATGGTTCCATGGACCCATTACCAAGGAGATTAACCGAAACAGTATGGGATTCTGTAAACCTTGACTCTATAAAAGCTGCACCACCCAAACCTCCAACTTCTGCTCAAGCAATGACTACCCCACAACAACAACAACAACAACAACAACAACAACAAAATGTTAATAGAAATAGTATTATGAGTTCTAGTGGTCCTGCTCCAAAACCTCCACCACATCGTACTCCAACACTTAACAATGACGCTTTTGCCGCTTTCAATGGCTCACCAGATGATTGGACCATCCCATCTCACTTGAAGTCACAATTCGATAGAATGTTTGATGCATTAAACCCTTCAAATTCTGAATCTTTAACTCCTGATGTGTTGGTTCCTGTTTTAACAAAATCTTCATTAGGAAGAGAAGATTTGGCTGATGTTTGGGAATTAGCTGATATGGAGAAAAAAAGTTCTTTAACTAAAAATGAGTTTGCCATAGCAATGTTTTTAATCAAAAAGATAAAAGCTAGGACACCTTTACCACAAGATATTCCTCTTGGATTATTGAATTCTTTACAAGGGAGACCTGCTCAAATGGACTCCCAATCTATTCGCTCAGGAACTTCCACTAACAATAATGCCCAATATCCACAAGTACAAACCCCGCAAGCAAATAAAGATATAGGTCAATTCCAGACTCCAGAGATGCCCTCTCCAAGGGTAAATTCACCTCATGTCCCACCAGCCGCCCCAACTCAAGAATCTATTAGGAAACAAAGTGTGAACCAATTTCCTTCTACAGTTAAAAAAGAAATTGTAGAAACCCAAGCTAATATAAAAAATCTGGAAAATAAGATGACTTCTGCTGAAACCGAATTATCGGAATCCTATAAATTAGAAGTCAACAAGGATCAAGAATTAGAACCACTGAAGGCTAGAGAGACGGAATTAACTGAGAAATTAGCGGCAATCAAATTAAGCATTGAAGAATCCAGAGCTAAAACAAGCGAATTAGGGGTTCAAATTGAAGAAACCAATAAAAATATTTCATCTCTGGAACAAGAATTGACAACTGCCGAAGGTAACTATCACGCTAGTGAAGCAAGATTAGATGAATTAGATGAAAATATTCGGGAGTCTACTACCAACCATGAACAAATGGAGGCAGAAATTGTTAATTTACAAGCTATGACTGCATCAGTGAACTCACAACTGGCATTAAAGCAAGACCAAGTTAGAGATATAATGAATTCTGTAGATGGAACATCTAAGACATTAGATTTGGATAAAATCACTGCAGGCAATGTCCAAATGGAAATTGATGAATTGGACACGAAGGTTAATCTTTACTTAAATAAAAAAAAGGAGTTAGATAACTATGAGAATGTCGTCAAAGATCAACATGAAAAACTTGAAAAGAAATATAAGGAATTAGAGAAACATAGCGAAAGGATTAAGCATTTTGAGCAACTTCTAAAGGAGAAAGAAAGTGCATACAAAGCAAAATTAAATGATCTAGGTTCTAGTGAAAAGTTAGTTATACATAATGAGACTACACAAGAAGTTAATCAAGATGATGCAAGCGTACTTGCTGATATGATTGATCACATAACTTTAGCACCAGAAAACAAATCGCCCTTAATCGATGACAATGATACACCCACTGACAGGTTACCTGAGGTCCCTACAGAAGAAGTTATTGAAAATTCTTCTACAATTCAAAAACAAGAAAGTAAGGAGACTGACAATGATCTGGATGAATTCCAAGATACCGTTGATGAAATCATTCCAACACCAAAGGAGGTAGATGCTGTGGATGTTGCCGTTGCTGATACGAAGTCATCAGATTATGTTGAAATTCCAGCTGAGGTATCTGAAGAACCATTTGAACAAATCGAGTCGAAAGATGCCACAGGAGAAGAAGAAGAAGAAGAAGAAGATAAAGAAGACGAAAACGACGAATCCATCTAAAAGAGATGTATAAAAATACTATGAAATGTTTTATGAAGAATATAGAAAATAATTGTGATATATACATACATATATACAAACACTATAACTGTATACACGTTTATAATCTTAGCAATGATATACTAATGTAACCATAATACGCTACCAAAGAGTTGTGAACTAATCGCATATTTCTCCTTTTTCTTCTTAAGTCTCTCTTGATTCCAACAACATATCATTAAGACTTTGCGTCAATGTCTTATCAAGAGACTGATTCTGCAATTGGCCAAAATATTGGTTGTACAATTCATTCAAATCTTTATATTCATTTTCTAAGTTTCCTTCTAATTCCCTGAGTGTATTTTCTAAATCGCGATTAGATTCGTCCACAATATTAATTCTTTTATCCAATTCTTTTTGTGTTTCCTTATGCAGTGTATGTATATTACATTGTATTATCTGATCTACCGATAGGTCTGCAACTGACAACTTGTTCTTATCGACATTATGCTCTATATGATTTTCCTGATTTCGTTCTTGTAATCTTATTTTGGCTTGGGCTATAAGTGTGTCTAAGTCGTCCAATTTTTCTTTTACATGACGGTCTTTCATAATTTCTTGGAATTCTCGATGGCATAACTCAGTCCAGAATTCAGTCACTTGTTTTTCACAATTAACCAAATGAATCTTTCCTAAATGTGTGGAAGAAAATTCTGGAAAACATGCAGAAACCTTTTCATAGTTCTGAAATTTGGCAATTGATTGAGATAGTGCTTTATTGAAGACCTGATTCAGTCGAAGATATCGAATCTTCTGATCATTATCCGCGATGGTTCCCTGTCCTCTTTTTACTGTGTTTTTTGCCATTATAATATGTGATGTAATATGTTATTATCTGATATAAATTTAAACGAAGATGCAAAAGTATTAGTAGCTTACTTGGAGTCCCCCCAATTTTTACAGGATGTTTACTCTTATTACCATTTGTATTTGTTTATTTTGCGTATTGCTAAGCGTTTTAACTATATGTTTACAACTACTGCGACTTACCAACAATTTTCAAACATTTCGCGATGACGCATCACGTAATACTTTCATAATTCCATGCATCTCGTCGGTTACTGTTTCACTTTTGAATAAGAACCTACATTTACTAGTAATATTTGACACATTTAGTATATTCCTTAACACTTGATTAAACAGTTATTCTTGAAAGTTAGATACTGAACATTTCTTTGAGAAGAAGGAAACATAATATTATATAACTCAGATCTGTGGGGAGCTTACTCAAAAAACACAAGACTATTTCATTTTCGATCATTACAACAATACAAAACATATGAATAATATTCTAAACGCACAACGACTTTTGCAATTATACCAATTCAACCCTAAGTTGAAAGATATATGGTACTTGACTGCGGCTGCTACATTTAGCGTAGCCAACCAACCTCAGGAGATTCCTAAATTATACCATTATGCAATGCTTTTAAGTAATGAAGATTCGTACAAATACCGTGTTACTTTGGCTTATAAAACCATAGAACTATTATCAGAACAACCCCAGAAGAGGATAAATATGATAAATGAGATATATGAAAATCCTACAGATTTGCAACGACAAGTATCTGCTCGATTTAGAGAGACTTTATTAAAGACTGGTGCTTTAGCTGGGTTACCAAGAGCCATTAATGGTTTACATACTTTAAAAGAATATACTCCAAAATCTTTATTGCCTGAGGCTAGTAATATAGATCCATGGAATGCTGCAATGGGGGGAGAAGATCCATGTCCCCAAATCTTTACCCAACGTGAACAGATGAGACATACAGAGAATATGAATGAAGTGATGCGCCGTGGGTTAGATCAATGGAATATGATTTATAACAAAGTAAGTAATAGGGTGGTAAACAATTTAAATTCTTCTTATCCAGATCTTTGGTATTTTACACTAATGCATGTATACGGTCCATTATTTTCCTTTGATTCTATCCTATCTAAACAAGAAACAAGTTTGGTTGTAATTTCATCTCTAGTACCACAGGATGTCAATCCTCAGTTGCGTGGTCATCTGAAAGGCGCTTTAAATGTAGGTTGTGATTATGACACGGTAGAAGCAGTGAGAAGATTGTCAATTTTAGTTTCTCAATGGTGTGATATTAAGTGGAGAGACGGTATAATTGGACTATTACCACCAAAATCTAAATCACAATCGAATGGTCGTACATAATTGCAATTATATGTTCTGAAACTCACAATAGAAACAATTAAAATACCATATAGATGGAACCGGTATTAAACTGTCCAATTTTATAAATTTTAGTATATGAATATATCATTATCATTATCTATATATGCATCTATTTAGACCTTGAAGAGGAGGTTTGATGCGATTTTGTCGTCATGTCGTATCATTATCGTAATTCTTATAACTATCTAAGCTGAAAAAGGATAAGAATTCTCGTGTAGATTCTATAATACCAGGGGAAGTTCCTGTTTCAGAAGAGGACCTTTTATTATTAGAACGAGACTCATCCTTGATATTGGATATTCCAGATCGTGTTTTTTGTTCATCCACGTCAATTTTCATTTCATCAGGTTTTCTTCCATATAATTGAGACCACCATTTAACATTAGATAAATCAGGTGAAATCCAATCGATATTCTCTACACTGTTGTCTCCCTCATTTTTAAAATCTACGTGATTATAATCTTTATTAATAAATAAATTCTTTTTAGATCTAAAATGATCCCATACTGACCGTGTCCTTGTAGTATTTTGATATTCTTTTGCCTCTTTCTCTGAATTAAACAGAAAAGTACCATACTGACAAGAATAAACGTGATAGACCAACCTTCTAAGGAATCTTTCATTGAATTCAAACAAATTTGAATTTTGTTGTTGTAATTGATAAACGCAATCCAAGAATTGTTGGAAGATTGGTGCTGCAAATTTATTTGAACGTGGTGCTAACTTTGACCTGGTGAAAGTTGGTTTTTTTGATTGATTAGTTAAATCATCATCGATATCATGTAGTGAGCCACCCATATTTGATGAAACATTTAAAGTTTTGGCTCTCAATTTTGTAAACGGATTATCGTTCAATGATAATTTTTTATTAAACAACCCGGTAGTGTTATCGTGGAAACAATCTGGAGAACCTAAATGATGTGACCTTTCTCTGAATTTATGTCCAAATGTAACCCAATCCTTTTCCACTAGAACCATAAATCCTTCTAAAGTTCTAAAATATGGGTCTATACAAACCTGTATCAAAGATATTACTTGGGCAGTTCTATCCCATCCATCTGAACAATGTACCAAAATATTTGACCCATTAAAGATCATTGCTTTAGACAACTTGTCTACTGCAGTTAATATCAATTTATTATATTTAATCCAATTTTGAAATTTATTATTTAATTTACCCCTAAATGAAAGTTCTGTGAATATATCTGAATCTATTAGGAAATTGTCTATAAAAGAATTCATTGTATCTGACATAATATGAATATTATCTATCCCTAAAAATAATCTCTTTGTTGTATCATTAAAATTATAATTGTCCATCAATTCTGTTCCACCACCTAATGCTACTTGAGCAAGTGCATTAGTTAAGGGTCTTGCATCCACAATCAAATTCTGATCCTTAATAATTGATAATCCAAATATTGTTGAGATAAGTTTTTCATCTTGAATTGATCGTTGTTTAGTGATCCCCGGGGTTGGTTGAGCCGATCTTGTTATTGTATTACCATGTCGTTTATAATAATAAGTTAAAGTGGGAAATCGACCCTTTGAACGATATTTAGAACAATGAGTAATTAAAGAATCAGGGATAATAGTAGGTACAATGAGTTGACTTGGATAAGTTGATGATATTTGATAATCTTGATTCGCCGTCGTGAGTCTCCATGAACAGTCTGTGGAATCAAGATCCAAGCCTTGTCTTATCATTTCTTGTTTCAAATTGTACAATCTATATGAAGTATCTTTTAGTTTCAATTCTACTTCATTTGGTGTATATAAAAATGCATAAAGTTGATCCAATGATACACCTAAAGTTAGGTTATAAAGCGAATCATAAACGTCATTAGCAATATTATCATCGATAGGGAAATCTATTGAGAATATTGTATAATCCTTTAATACAATCTTAATATTAATTAGGGACCACATATCATTATTTGTATACCATTGAATTAATTTTTTTTGAGATGATAATTGAATTTTTGTAAAAGACTGTGGTACTTGATATTGAATCATTTCATCTAAATCTTTATAACGAGTTAATAAAGTAGACCCTTGATTTTTGAATACAGATAAAATTAATGGATAAGGTACCCAAATCTCTTTAGTCAACGATTTTGAAGTGAAAATGAGATGATGTGTAGTCAAATGTAGTGTTCCAATTGTTGGAATACCCTTTTTATGTAGTACGACATCCTCAATCTTTGTAATCTTGAGGTACTCCATTATATTTTCTACCCACCTTCCTCACTACAACTGTTCATACGTATATATTCAATAGTATATTTTGAACTAAATTTTTTTCCTTTTATATGTTGATTGTTATCTAGTTTCTACCTTTGGTGTATAAACTTTGCCTATATTTTAGTTACTCTACCAAAAAATAAAATTAAAAATGAAAAAAAAAGACTTAGAAGAAAAGAGGCCAATGTAATAACATCAGTTAAAAAGAAAATAAGAAAAATCATAAAGAAAAGCTTCTAACTTCTTCATCATCATTGATATATATATTCATATACATATACATAGTGATATGAAAGTTGAGAAGGCATAAGTTTAAAAATTTATTCACATATATAAACAGGTTTTAATTCCATTATATAACGTCCTTCTTTATATCTTTGACTAGCTGAATCACTTTTTAAATATTTCCAACCAATAAGTTGATGGCACCATTGACAATTAATATCACAAACCACGTATTCTCCCGTCATCATGACTCTTGTTTCTTGATTTCCTTCTTCTATATTTACCAAATTCCCCATTAAATAAGCATCACCTGTTTTACCTCTATAATCTCTTGACATGATTTCCTGAGATGAGGATAAATGCGTTCTACATTTTTTACAAGCATAAGTTTTAAATTTTTTAATTCTTCTATGAATCAAATCGTTTGTCAATGATATATCTTCAGAATGTGAATACCATTCGGGTCGTAGATTAAATTCGTGATAATTTGTGGTTGAAAATTCTATTTCACGAATAGTCGTGGGAGGATCAATATATTGAGGCAGTATTAAGCCCATGTGAATAAGTATTATAATGTAGGTAGATAGACCAAAAATAGTATAGTATAGTATAGTATAGTATAGAAAATAATATAAAATTATTGTAATAGTAAGTTGGATCGAGTACTTATTAAAAAGAGAAAAGATGAAGATGATCGAACAGACAGACAAATAATTTGAGAAATCGTTAAGCTATCAAATAACCTATATTATTGAACTTATTTCCTTTATATATGAGCGAGAACCTTATATATATATATATATATCTATCGTTAAATAAAATGAAAATAAAGGGAAAATTTCCCCTATCAAATATAAAAGAGAGAACAAGAATGATTAATACGAGCGAAAAGGGAAGAAATGCTCTTTCTAAATCAATTTGACATACCCATCGCTATGCGATATATCGTGTATCTGTCGCATCATGGTATATATTACAGTGTATATATATTCGACATCACAACATACGTGCGGCGTGCACTCTACTCTCAATTTTAACAAGTATATATTTCCCTCATTATCACAGATTATTTATAGAGTCATCCCACTATACGTCGATATAGATGCAGTGGGATGGATGGGTGTAATAGTAGCAGAGATAGAGGGACATTCTTTCTGCTCTCTTCTAAAATGTCTGTTTCCCTAATTATTATGTGGTAAATTGCATTTTGTCGGAGTTTTATTTTGTCCTGCTCGGTTCGTTTTATGGTGACTGTGGCTGTGGGTGCGGACTTGTAAATATATATATGAACAGATAGATAGATAGGTATGGCGATGATATCGCTGTGTTAACTATTGTAAACGAACTGAGTTATGGGTATTCGGTGTAATGGGAGAAACGGGTTGGGAGGAAGTTGGTTGGGGGGCAGGTTGGCGGCTGCACTTCCGTATTGGGAGTGGGACCGCATGATACATTTACATGTGTTCTGCATTTGCGAAAGTGGGGAGAGACGACGGTGGCAAAACTTAGATATACATATATATATATATATATATGTATATATGGGGAGTGGAGGACTGGGAAAGGATAATTTTTCTTTTGTTTCTCTCCTTTGGCGGCTAATCATTTTTTATTTAATTTTTTAGCTAACTTTAGTTTCATTTCACTTATAAAAACACAAGATCGTTTACTTCATTTTACTTATATATAAGATATATCAAACTAACTTAATATATATATATATATATATANGTATTGGCCGTGGTAAATATTTTTTCAAACTTGTTCCACCCCAACCTGGGTTTAAGAAAGGTTTAACATTTACACAACCACGAGTTCATTACTTTGCTGTTGATTCCAAAGATGAGATGAGGCAATGGGTGGCTGCGCTGATAAAGGCCAATATTGAAGTTGATGACTCCACACCCATTATATGTTCCTATAATATGCCTACTGTATCGCTGAGTAAGGCTCAGGATATGTTGAAAGATGCAAAAGAAGAGATGAAGCAAAGAGACAGAGATCTTGCACTTCATGAAGCAGATGAAGACGAAGTGATGTGGGAAGAACAAAATAAAAGGAATCAAATGCAAGCTGCTGGGTTCATCTGATTTTATTGCTAAAAAAAAACACTTGTGTTTTTTGTATATCAAAAGTAATATGAAACTATTTGATGTACTTTACACTCATAGTATACCAATCTATTGATATAAGGACTAAATAATAATACTTAATTTCTAATCTGTTTAATAATAAATAAACAATACTCATATACTTCGAAGGTAAGTTTTGGATTTTTTAATATTTGTGATGAAATATTAAATTTTAGTTGGTCCAGCAAAAAATTGAAACTGTTATAATATCCCAAATAATGTAAACAAAATTTAAGAAGAATGGAAGAAGGTTGTAATAACGTCTTAAATTTGTAGTTTGAATTATAAACCTTTACAAATATATTATATATGTCTAAATAAATGTTCTCTGGAATTATTATTTATCATCTGTTTGAAAAAAAAAAAAGATAAAAGAAGGATTAGAAGAAGAAGAAGAAGAAGAAGAAGATTCAGATACTTTCATTAATTAAATAAGAAGACAAAAGAAAGAAATTCAATGTCGATTTACACATCAACTGAACCATCCATCTCGAGTTTTAACTCACCAACTTATAATCCACAACTGGTCGAAGGTATTAACTGTGTCCTTGTAATTGGATCCGGTGGTCTTTCCATTGGTCAAGCTGGTGAATTCGATTACAGTGGTTCCCAAGCAATTAAAGCCCTTAGAGAATCTAATATTAAGACTATCTTAATTAACCCAAATATCGCTACTAATCAAACTTCTCATTCTTTGGCTGACAGAGTTTATTACTTACCAGTAACTCCAGAATATATTACTTATATCATTGAACGTGAACGTCCCGATGCTATCTTATTAACTTTTGGTGGTCAAACAGGTTTGAATTGTGGGATTGCTCTAGATCAATCTGGTACCTTGTCTAAATTTGGAGTAAAGGTCTTAGGTACTCCAATCTCTACTCTAATTACATCCGAGGATAGAGAAAGATTTGCAGATGCTTTGAAAGAAATTAATATCCCAATCGCTGAATCTGTTGCTTGTGAAACTATCGAGACTACTTTAGAGGCTGCTGGAAATATCGGTTATCCAGTTATTGTTAGATCTGCTTTCGCTTTAGGTGGTCTGGGATCTGGGTTTGCTAACAATGAAGATGAATTGAGACAACTAGCTTCTCAATCATTAGCTTTATCACCACAAATCCTAGTCGAGAAATCTTTAAAAGGTTGGAAGGAAGTAGAATATGAAGTCGTTAGAGATAGAGCTAATAACTGTATTACTGTTTGTAACATGGAAAATTTCGATCCATTAGGTGTTCATACTGGTGACTCCATTGTTTTTGCTCCTTCTCAAACTTTGTCCGATGAAGAATTCCATATGTTAAGGTCTGCTGCCATTAAAATCATTAGACATCTAGGTGTCATTGGTGAATGTAACGTCCAATACGCTTTACAACCAGATGGGTTAGATTACAGAGTCATCGAAGTTAATGCTCGTTTGTCTCGTTCCTCTGCGCTAGCCTCAAAGGCTACAGGTTACCCATTGGCTTATACCGCAGCCAAAATCGCTCTTGGTTACACTCTACCAGAATTACCAAACCCAATTACAAAGACTACTGTTGCAAACTTTGAACCTTCTCTAGATTATATCGTTGCAAAGATTCCAAAATGGGATCTTGCTAAGTTCCAATATGTCGACAGATCCATCGGTTCCTCTATGAAATCGGTTGGTGAAGTTATGGCTATCGGTAGAAATTACGAAGAAGCTTTCCAAAAGGCTTTAAGACAAATTGACCCATCTATGCTTGGTTTCCAAGGTTCTCCAGGTGAGTTTGCTACAAAGGAACAACTAGATGATGCTTTGGCTAATCCAACCGATAGAAGAGTCCTTGCCATTGGTCAAGCTATGATCCATGAAGGTTACTCTGTTGATACTATCCATGACTTATCCAAGATCGACAAATGGTTCCTTTACAAGTGTGAAAATATCGTCGAAGTCTACAGGTCTCTATTTAACGTTACAGCTCTGGACCAATTGACCAAAGAAATATTGACCAAGGCTAAGAAATTAGGTTTCTCTGACAAACAAATTGCTAAATCTATTTCTGCTGACTTAAAACAATCCGAACTAGATATTAGAAAGCTAAGAAAATCTTACGGTATTGTTCCATTTGTCAAGAGAATTGACACTTTAGCCGCTGAATTCCCAGCCATGACCAACTACCTTTACACCACATACAATGCTGTTAAGAGTGATGTCGAATTTAACGAAAATGGTATGTTAGTCCTAGGTTCTGGTGTTTACCGTATCGGTTCATCTGTCGAATTTGATTGGTGTGCTGTTAATACTGCTACAACTTTAAGAAAAGAAGGTAAGAAGACTATTATGATCAATTACAATCCAGAAACTGTCTCTACTGATTTCGATGAAGTTGACAGATTATATTTTGAAGAATTATCCTTCGAGAGAGTCATGGATATCTACGAACTAGAACAATCCGAAGGTTGTATTATTTCTGTTGGTGGCCAACAACCACAAAATATTGCTCTTTCGTTGTTTGAAAATGGTTGTAACATCCTAGGTACTAGTCCATTAGATATTGACAAGGCCGAAAACAGACACAAGTTCTCCACAATTTTGGATTCCATCAGAGTTGATCAACCAGAATGGAGTGAATTATCCTCTATGGAAGAAGCAAACAAGTTTGCTTTGAAGGTTGGGTTCCCTGTATTAATTAGACCATCCTATGTTCTATCTGGTGCCGCTATGAGTGTTGTCAATGACGTACATGAACTTGAGATCAAACTATCCTTGGCTTCTGATATCTCTCCGGATCATCCTGTTGTCATGTCTAAATTCATTGAAGGTGCTGAAGAAATTGATGTCGATGCTGTCGCTTATAAGGGTAAAGTCTTGGTCCATGCTATTTCTGAACATATTGAAAACGCCGGTATCCATTCCGGTGATGCTTCCTTAATTCTACCACCTCAAAGCTTGTCTAATGACACTAAGCGTGAATTGAAGGATATTGCCGATAAGGTTGCTATCGCTTGGAACATCACTGGTCCATTCAACATGCAAATAATCAAGGATGGTAAGAAACCATTAAAGGTTATTGAATGTAACATTAGAGCCTCAAGATCCTTCCCATTCGTCTCGAAGGTTCTAGGTGTCAACTTCATTGAAGTTGCTGTCAAGGCTTTCTTAGGTGGTGACAAAGTTCCAGAACCTGTCGATTTAATGATGGACAGACAATACAACTATGTTGCTACAAAGGTCCCACAATTCTCCTTCACAAGATTGGCTGGTGCTGATCCATTCTTAGGTGTTGAAATGGCCTCTACCGGTGAAGTCGCTTCCTTTGGTAAAAACTCCCTAGAAAGTTACTGGACTGCTATCCAAAGTACCATGAACTTCAAGGTTCCTTTACCTCCATCTGGTGTTCTATTTGGTGGTGACTTATCCAAGGACTTCTTAGGTAATGTTGCTCATCAAATTGAAGATTTAGGTTTCAAATTTTTTGCACCAAACCAGAAAACTAAGGAATACTTAGCTAAATATATCAAGAATGATGTTGCTATTGGAATTCTAGACTTCCCAAAGAATGACAACAAGAAGATTCGTGCTATGTTTGAAGATAATGATATCAAGTGTGTCTTCAACCTTGCATCTAAGAGAGCAGAAAATACTGATGACCAAGACTACCAAATGAGAAGACAAGCTATTGATTTCGCTCTTCCATTGTTCAATGAACCACAAACTGCTCAACTATTTGCAAAAGCTCTTCACGCTAAAATCGGTGAAAAGATCGAACTATTGAAGGATGATAGTAAAAAGATCCCAAGCGAGGTTCTTTCCTGGGAAGAGTTCCTTGGTTACAAAGCCATGTAATGAACAAAGGTGACTTCCGATATTTATATAAATATTTAACATACATCATAACTCTGTAAATTAATCGTACATTTCAAACAAAAATGTTTCATCATGAAATTTAATAATGAATAATAATAATAATAATCAAATTTTTTAATTACTTTTATGTTTTTATATAGGGTGTTTTACTTATCGTACCGCACTCGGACGTCCAAGATTCGTGACTAGTTTACTATACGATCTGAAAAATAACGAGCAAACAAAATATTCGACCGGCTATAAAATATTCAATCAACATGAAAGTTAGACTATCACAAGCCGAAATAAACAATTATTATACATCTAAAATACTAAACCTTATGACCAAATAAATTGTTAGTTATGGACCAGGAAAATACAAATCCATATGAAGATTATTACTTAGAACAGTTGGATAACAATCAACAAAATTCTCAGAATAAAGTCAAGCAACACACAACAGAACAACAAACAGAGGAATTGTACTATAGGAGCTTACAAGAGTATTATCCTAAATTAGAACCTATTCAAAACGATTCCACATTCAATTACCCACGAAAAAGGTCCATGAATGACGAGAATATAATTCAAAATAACAATTCCCAACAATTGAAATATACAACAGAACAATCTGGGAATAAAAGAATAAGAGAATGAAATTGACTAAAGTCTTGTGATTTTGAGCCATGTATAATTTATTTTTTTAATAATGAACTACTGAATTATAGGAAATTACATAGCTTTCATCGCGTTTATCAATAATTTGCACATGACCCCATATCAATGAAATACGATCTGTGCTCATAAGTATGCAAGAGCTGATCAACATAATCCTCACCAAGCATGCTGGATGTCATGAGATTAGCTTTTTCTGAAGGTCCACGGTAATCTAGATCTTGAGGTTCGTGGGGTAAATTTCTTTTTTCTATAACGATTTCAATCCCTGCCGTGTGATAAAATGGTGGTAGCAAAGGTATATAATCATCATTATGGATGACCCTAAAATATCCATGCTTGAGGTTAAGTTTTCCCTTTTCCATTATACGTTCATGTATTTCTTCTGTGTCGAACAATTCATTCACCCACTCTTGCATTTCAGTATTAAAAATCTTTGGTGAAGCGTATGTTAACACCAATGGGTCATATCCTCTAAGTTTCAACTCAATCCCGGTCATAATGGCTAATGCTGCCCCTAATGAATGACCTGTCGCAACTACATGGAAGTCTGGATAACTTTCAAGTATTCCTTCAATTTTTCTCAAAAAATGCCTACTAAGTGTCTTAGTAAACACATGGAAGCCTCTGTGCATTTTACAATTTCGGCACTCTTTAATTATACCTTTTTCGATACTTCGTTTGTACTCCTTACTACAGACTGGAGAATAGTCTATTGGTAAAATTGTAAAATCACTAATCCAGTCCTGGATTGTTGTAGAACTTCTGAATACGACGGTGATGACTCTATTTTTATGATCGACCATGATAAAACCAGAACCAAGTTCGCCTTTATCTGCCTCTAATACTAGAGCAATCGTGGTATCAGATGCTGTTGGATTAATATCTTCATCATGACAAAATCTGAGATGTCTCGGGCACCCACCTTTATCAAGTCTTTTACCTTGGACTATACCATTCAATCTCATACAACTTGTCAGACCACATACTTTAGAATAGTGTACTATTTTTTTATAAGTGTTATTCGGGATCCAAATCATATTATCGTCGTCATGATCATCCATGCTTATCTTGGAATTTGTATTTTGGATATTTATGCCTTGCATTTCTGTAACATCAACATGAGCAGACTGACCATTGGTGAGAGCAATGAGGGCGTGAACCAAAATCAAATATATTATTGGGAACATGGCGCAAAAATTCTCTAACCAAGGGTAAAAATCCAATCGAACTAGACTGTATCCCAGAAGTGTGTAAGTTTAAACCATTAATTTATCAAATACATTATTTATTTTATATATGAAACATTTATATTTTGACACTGTTTTATGGCAGCCGCCAATCAAAATACCTGTCACAAAAGTCTAACAATGCCAAAAAAGCAAAACAAAAAAATAGTAAATAAATTACAACCCAGTATAAAATGAACAAACAAATAAATAAATGAATGAATGAATGAATGAATGAATGAATGAATGAATGACGATATAAATTAACTAAATATTTCAATGAATACATTAAATAAAGTTGCCACCCCCCATATTCCACACATAGTCAGACCTACTGTCCTTCTATGTTGGTTAGTCCATTGGGTGATATATCTTGGACCTCCAAATATAGTTAGCAAAAAGATGACTTGTAATATTATGAAAAGACAGGGAACAACAAATTTTGCGTTATAATGCTTTTCTGATCCTGCATCTTCCAAATTTCTTGATAAGAAGAACCACCATTGTCCTGAATGGTCATGCACAAATACCATAGCGATAAATGCACTAAGACCAATACCACACATTGAGTTCAACATGACACCACCTAAACAGGATGTACATGATATAACAAAAAATTTAGTGGCAACAGCTTGAATATGCTCCAAATCGTCTTGGTGAGGTACCTTCAAGTAGAATTTACACATTGCAATATTTGAGATCAAATCACTAATAGAATTACCCCATGCGAATATGGTTAGACCTAGAATTGCCTTGGATATACCTGTAATGATTTGATATAATTCCATCATCTCTATCAAAGAGTTTGCAATCATGGAAATAAAAAGGATGGCATTTATAATACCTATGCTTATGAATATTAACTGAATAGAGTCGTGCAGTCTTTCCAATTCACGACGTCTCCTAGTTTTTTCTTCTGCCTCTACAGAAGTTTGTTCAAACAATGAAAACTTGTTATGTAATTTCACATATTGATAAAAAACTATTATCAACGTTATTATGCAGATTGTAATACTGACTGGGAATAACCAAAAAAAATTAGCAAATTCGAAATTTGAAAGACACGAAACGACAATGAAACCTATAGCTGGACTACAAATTGCTTGAATCAAAAAAACAATAATATGGGATCTTATTAAAGTATATTTTGAATTTATATCATCATATTCCATAATCTCTAAATTTTTTGGACATGCAATTTGTAAGACAAGTACGAACGGTATAGCCAATATTGATAAGATACGATCAACTTTTGATTTTGATTTATAATTGATTAAATGTGGAGCAAGTAACTTTAATGTCAAATTTCTATATTTCTTGCTTCTTAATAATAATTTTGTAATGTTTGTATTGTTCAGTGTCACAGAATGAACCTCGGACTCTAATTCACTATCAGGATTATCTGAATATGGATGAAAGTCAATTGGAGATGTATTTAGAGATCCTGTATCACTAATTTCTATGGTTGGAATAGATAAATGAGCCGGAGGTTCTGAAACAGGTCTCTTATTACTGCTGTTATTACTTCCCTGGGACGGCAGAATAAAACTGTTTCCTTGCATGGATACCATTTCTGCTTGTTCATGAGATGCTTCATTATGAACAGAAGATGAATTCTCTAACATTCCCAATAGACTGTTATAGTCCATGACAGAGATAAGACTCGGTTTAATCCCTGGTCTTATATGTGTAGAGCTAAACGATTGGAGATCATCATCAGCTAATAATGCTTCTTGATCCAAGAATTCATTTGCAACATCCACATTGGTATCATTTTGAACTGACGGTATAGTATCTTGCGTAGCTACCCCGGTATTACTATTAATAGCTGCAATTATCTTATCCTGGTATTTGTGAGGAGTCAATTTTATTACAATGTAGATCGCATACACGCTCATCATTAGCATACAATTGAATACCGTAATTTTATTTTGAATTGCAACATAGGTCATAATTAACATAGCAACAGCTGTAAAAGACAAATCCTTTAGGATACTATTTCTTTGACTATTAGTTATAGATATAGTAGTCGAGGACATTATAATGAATATCGAACCTTCTACTACACATAGTATGATCCCGCACGCACCTAATACTTCACCGATAGATAATGCCGCTGCAGCAGGCGAGGATGAAGTGGTCCAACTGACTAAGTTAGAAAACAAATCTGGAGAACTATTACACCAGGACAATAGTACTGCCATCAGAGCACCCGTATTTCGTACCTGATTTCTAGTCACATATTGATCAGAATAACTTGAATCTGCAATGGCTGCAACATTAGGACATAAATAATCTGATGCACAAATACCTAACAGAACAAAACATACGACCACATGAACAACACTAGGAGATATAAAACTTAGAGATAAATGTGCATTTGTATACAAAGTAGCAGGATGTGCCAATTTAAATAACCATTCTATCCTGCTCATAATTTTCTTATTGTATCACTTTTATGGTCGATTCAGTGTCTGAAAACTCAAAAATAGAACCAGAAAAAGAGTGTACTGTAATGGGTTATTTAAAGCAAAAGAAGTCTAGATTTAATAGACCTTTATGTTAAGTAGACCAGTGTTCTTACTATTAGTGACCCTTTGCGTTATTATTAATTTCCTGTTTAAGTTAGTTAAACCTTTTTTTTTTGTTCCCCCCAGAGAATAAAGATGATCGTTTCAAATATAGAATACCAATACCAGTACTTATATATATATGATCAATGAGTATAGTGCCAATATACCTTTAGTTTAGGACCATCCGTCCTATTCAAAACTTCTGCACATAGCGTTTGTCATAACCTTTATGGTATATATTGAGATATTCCAGTATCCACGTTTCCTTTGTCTCTTACTGCTGTTTCTTCCCTCTGTGTCTGCCCCTCCATTGTACAGCCTGAAACTGAAAGTATCGAACAGCAGGAATAACGCGATCCATGACGCGGAGAGGGGCAATTTCACTTTTAGTTAAGCAACATTCGGCTAATATAAGATTCGGATCGATTAACAGATGAATTATACAAGATAGTTGGATCTTCGACCAAAAATAGATCTGACAGGAGGAGGCGTATAAGATTAACATCGAAGTGTGATTGTCGAGGGTAGGTATTGGTTTCCTAGGTTGCCTTTTTTCTCTGTTCTTTACTTTTGAATTGTAGTGGTAGAATATATATGAACCCTTTCTGGAGGGCAGATACGTAGTTGTAAAAAAACAATAATACTATAGGTACTATAATGACAAGGTTAGAGAGATATATATGTTGCACAAGAGGCAGACAATATTATAATATCTCTTTGATTATTTAATTATTTATTTCTCCTTATTCTTTCCAAGATTTAGACCTTAGTGTAAGTAAGCTTCTCTTTTGGATAAGAAGGACCGACTTCTTGGATAGACAAAGAAGCTAACCATTGACCGATATCAATACAAGTGTCCAATGGCTTACCTTGAGCTAGACCGGCCATGAACCCACCAGCAAAGGCATCACCTGCACCATTGGTGTCTACAATCTTGGATTTTTCCAAAGGATGGACTTCGTAAGAAGTGGAACCTTTAGTGGTCGTGACCACAGTTGGTTCTAGACCGTGGGTGAAGATAACAGTCTTGTTAGAGTCACCACCAACAATTTGTTTAGCGATGGCCTCTAGATCAGTAGTATCGCAAGTCAAACCAAAGGATTCAGCATATGCGGCAGCTTCTGATTCATTAGCAATAACGATAGTAGCGTATGGCAAACATTCCTTCAAAGCATCCTTAAAGAACTGAGGGATGAAAGGAGCACTTAAGTTCATGACAAATGGCTTGCCAGTTTCCTTAGCGTGCTTACCTAACTTGACAATAGCAGCAGGAGAGACAGTCAAATGGAATCCACCGATGTAAAACAATTTAGCGGCTTCGACTTGATCCCAGTGTTTCTCCAAATGCTCTGGGGTGAAATGATTAGCAGCACCCAGATCAGTCACTAGGGATCTGTCATGGCCTGTAATCAAAGCAGCACATTTACCAGTACCGATATCTTGTTGAACTTGATATAAGGAGACAACACCTGCAGCAGCATTCTCTTCGCCCAATTTGGCAGAAAATTGATCATTACCAACAGAACCAAAATAACCTACTTGGTTAGCTCCTAGAACGTAAGCAGCACCTCTAGCTGAATTTTGAGCGGCACCACCAGCAACAAATTTGACTTCTGGCATCTTAGAGACTTCACCGAAGATAGCCATCTTTGGATCGTTGGAGGCACCATCCAGGAGGATAGCATCATTAGCTTTCAAAGAGTACTTAGCAAGATACTCAGGGGTAACATCGACTTGTAAGTCAAGCAATGGGTTACCTAGACAGATCAGAATTGGGGACATTACGAATCGTTTATGAATGGATGAGTGTGAGAATAGTCTTGGTAGAATTGAATAGGGAGTATGAGAGAGATATCTAGCAAACATATAATAGTAGTAGCAACGTCTATCTATATATATATATATATAAGTATAACCTAAAGTTTCACATTCACAACTTTGTATCCCAGTTCAAACTACTCATCCCTATGGCTCCCACAGTTTATCAAGTTCGTCGTTCCCTCTGTGGGGCCATCAAGAAATTTCAGTACGAAAACGGAAAAAAAAAATTTTCAGCTGGAAAATTTAACGGACGGATTGTCGTTCAGTGAGTGATGGATAAGCTGTGAGCTGTGTGAGAGGTGACGATTACTTAATGTGATATTGACAGTTCAAGAAATGTACGCTGAGTGGTAGACTACGTATGTCTCGACTCGACAGGTAGTTGAGCTTGTAGTCATAGTTCCTCCTGCTTGCCATCCTTTTTTTTTAAACCATTATATGGTTGTGTGTCAACCATTTATATAATGAGAGAATATTCAACTCAACAACTCATTCTGCAGAGAAATTGGTGCAGGACAAGTCCAGAAACAGGGACAGAGGAACTTCCAACCCGCGCGCCCAACGAACAATATCTGTTTTTACGTATTATATAATCTCTGGAACGCAACTAAGAGCCTTAAGCTAAAGCAAAGTGAAACAAATCTCACATATATATATATAAGGAGATGCAGGATGTTCCCTCTTGTCAGAATGTTTCTTGGATTACTACATAGAAACCAATACTGCATACTTTTGTAGATATAACCACACACATTATGGAACGTTTGGACCCATTGCTGAAATACTCATGGTTTCCGGAGTCCGAGTCTCTGTACTTATCTCATTTACATGAGATCATATACAGTACGATGTTCTATTTCATTATTCATAAATTTATAGCACCCCTGGCAAACCGGATTGTATTTGGTAAATCATACACTTCGATCACTAATGATGATTTAAAAGATGATTTTGACATTCATACGGTGTCTATGGTTCAAGCATTTGTCTCTCTTTATATATTATGGCCGACTTTATCCATTCCTTTAAACACAAGTATTGCTACATATTGGGATCACCAATCATCAATGGTTGCCGCATTAAGTTGTGGTTATTTCCTTTGGGATTTGACCATTTGTATCAAGAATTATAAATTATATGGTTTAGAATTTTTCGCTCATGCTATCGGGTCTCTGTACGTCATGTTAATTTCCTTGAGACCATGTTGCCAACCTTGGATTGGTAAATATTTACTTTATGAAATCAGTACTCCCTTTGTGAATGTCAATTGGTATATCATTCAGTTGACTTCAGGAAAAGATATGACAGTGAAGACTGTGGTGCCAACTCCATTAAATATCATTAATGGTCTATGTTTAATGGCTGTGTTTTTTGTAGTAAGGATCCTTTGGGGTAGTACTGCTAATTTCATTTTGTTTAGACAGTTTATTAAAGAGTGGGATCAGGTACCAAAGTACAGATCCATCGGTTTAATTGCGTTGAATCTTACATTGACAGCCTTAAATGCCGTTTGGTTTCACAAGATGGTTAAGATTGCTAGGAAATTGGCTTCTAAATCTGAAACCACCACCACCAAGAAACATTAAATAAATTTATACACGAATATTTTTTTTGTATTTGAATAATACATAATTATATGTACTTCTCTTCTCCTAAATAAAATAATCGTGTGGCATCCTTATCGTAACATGAGATAGCGACACCCTTTATTTCACCTAATTGCTTCCCAGCGAATGCTTCAAATTATTTGTGTACTTTACATAACCCGAAAGAGAATAGGATGCTGCTGCCCTTTTCGACAAAGTAACGCGCACACAGAGAGAGAGCAATATGGCTTACGTGGTTCTGTGAATTTTTCAATTTCTTTATTCTATAATGTGTTCACGATTTAGAGACAGATACAGACACTATTTTACGATAAGATTAGCTTATATATAGATGGAAGTTTGGTTCACTACAAAACTCTTATTGGAATTTTTACGATTTATACATCAACACAAATCGTTCAATCATCTGTTTTACAATGAGTGTTTTTGAAACTTTGCAAACTATTTGTGACAGCCCCAACATCCCTTGGAAAAGTATCATTATTGGGTTCTCTGCAGGCCAATTCCTATTTGAAACATACATTTCTTACCGTCAATACAATGCATTAAGTTCTAATAAATTACCTGCAGTATTGGAGAATGAAATTGATCAAGAGACCTTTGAAAAATCTGAGGCTTATTCAAAGGCAAAAATTAGATTCTCTATTGTGTCTGATTTATATGCATTGATCCAAAAGATTGCTTTCGTGAAATTGGATTTGTTTCCACGTTTGTGGCATTTAGGGAACAAAGTCTCTACAATCCTACCTGTTCAATACAGGGCCGTCTCTACAATTGCTCAAAGTTTATGGTTCTTACTGGTTCTTTCAAATATCTCTACCGTTGCCGAATTACCTTTCTCTTATTACAGCCATTTCATTTTGGAAGAAAGATTTGGTTTCAATAAGACAACTATAAAGATCTGGATCGTTGATATGATTAAGAGTACTCTTTTAGGAGTTGCGCTTGGTGGTCCAATCCTTTATGGGTTTTTGAAGATTTTTGATTTATTCGAAACTAATTTCCTATGGTACGTGTGTTTGTTCCTATTAGTTGTCCAGATCCTTGCAATGACTTTGATTCCAGTGTATATCATGCCTTTGTTCAATACATTTACTCCATTAGAAGATGGTGAATTGAAACAATCTATTGAAAAACTGGCAAAGAAAGTTGGTTTCCCATTGGATAAAATCTTTGTCATCGATGGCTCCAAAAGATCTTCTCACTCTAACGCTTACTTTACTGGGTTACCATTCACAAGCAAACGTATTGTCCTTTTTGATACTTTAGTTAATAGCAACTCTGTTGATGAAATTACCGCCGTGTTAGCTCACGAAATTGGTCACTGGCAAAAGAACCATGTCTTGAACATGGTTGTATTCAGTCAATTACACACATTTGCTATATTCTCCCTTTTCACCAGTGTCTATCGTAACTTATCCTTCTATGAAACTTTTGGATTTGTCGTTAATGCCGCTGAAGGAACCATCCCAGAAGTCGCCATTCCAACTAAAGTGTTCACCACTGGTTTCCCAATTATTATCGGTTTTATGCTATTCAATGACTTATTAACTCCATTAGAATGTTCAATGCAATTTGCAATGAGTCTGATGTCTAGAATCCAAGAATATCAAGCTGACGCTTATGCTAAAGGATTGGGTTACACTCAAAACTTATGTCGTGCTCTAATCGATCTACAGATTAAGAATCTATCTACTATGAATGTCGATTCTTTGTATTCTGCTTACCATTACTCTCATCCAACATTAGCTGAAAGATTAAATGCCCTTGGATACGTTAGTGAAAAGAAGAAAGCTTGATTTTAAAACGTTTGTTTTCACTCAAGCTCTCTCTCTCTCTCTCTCTCTCTCTCTTCATTTCTCATTCACCCTATATTTTCGGTTTCTAAACTATATTTACACATGTATACTATATACAAAGCCTATATTTTTAAATAGATAGATACCTACGTAAGTAATATATATATTTGGTTGATAAATTACAAGTTAAGTTTCATATATTACAGTCAAACGTCACGTGCGTAATGGCGGGGTGACCCCAAATTCATTCAAAAAACTTCCAAAACAAAAAAAAATATCAAAAATTTAGCGGGCGGCCCGTCTTCGCTCACAGTGTGAGGGAAAACAGTACGAAGGGCGAAGACAGAATACTTGATATATATAATTTATTTTTACAAAGGGGAATTCCTGAATGTTAAAAGTGGTAAATTTGGGTGGCAAACTGGACCTTAGAGAAGAAAGAAAGGGTTTTTGAAAAATCAAAAGTGTTTCATTGAACGATCTAACTAACGTTACCTCGTCATTCTATTGCAAAGTTAATTGAATTCAAACAGAGAATCCAGTTTTTACTTTTCCTGCCACTAATTTACTTATATATTATCCAATAACATATACCAAGAAAGATGACAGCTGATTTGATGGAAGTTGATACCAATGAAGATGCTACTTTAGTGACAAAGTACGCTGAAGAAAAGGCGGTTGATACAATTATGGAGACTCTTAAGGAAATATCAAAGGCAACTACTTCTTTGGATTCTCGTCATGTCTGGAGAGGTTTAAAGGATTTGAGTACAATTAGAAAGAATAGCTTGACTCAAGAATCTCTAGCCGCTTTGGTTAATATTCTATATCCAGATACATCCGCATTTAAGATTCCATTGTTGAAATATATCAATGATAATCATAAATCTAATGTTCCTAATGCAGAGAAATTGAGAGCTCAATATCCTGCTGCATTTTATAAGATTACATCTCAAAAGACTATTGAAGTATCCCCAGAATTGAATACTTTTTTCCATCTTTTAGTCCAACTCTATCTATTAGACTCCAAAAAATTTACTGAATTGGAAACATTCAATTCAAAAATTATTCTTCCAACTATTTTAGAAGTTTACAATCAGCGTTCCTTAGATTTAATAAGTGCAAAATTATGGTTCTATATTATCCTTGGTTATGAATCTGTTGGTGATGTAGCCAATGCTGAAATACGTACTGTGATGATCAAATCCTTAAAGACAGCATCTTTGAAACATGATAATGAAACAAGAGCCATGTTAATAAATTTGATCCTTAGAAATTATTTAGCAGATGGTGATGTTAACTCTGCTGATGATTTTGTTAGAAAAGTGGAATTTCCAACTACAAATGTATCTAACCCATTGGAGGCTCGTTATTATTTCTACATGTCTAAGATTAATGCTATTCAATTAGATTATACAACTGCCAATGATTTTATTATTACTGCCATTAGAAAGGCCCCACATACTGCCAATAGTTTAGGTTTCTTACAACAAGCAAATAAATTACATTGTGTCATCCAATTATTAATGGGTGATATTCCAGAACTTTCTTTCTTCCATCAAGCCGATATGCAACAATCATTATATCCATATTATCATTTGACAAATACAGTAAAATTAGGTGACTTAAAGAAATTCTCGTATATAATATCCAGATTCAAATCTCAATTAGTTCATGATAGTAACTACCAATTATGTGTTAGATTGAGATCAAACGTTATCAAGACCGGTATTAGAATGATATCATTGACATACAAGAAAATATCACTGAAGGATATATGCCTAAAGTTACGTTTGGACTCTGAGCAAGCTGCAGAATACATGGTATCAAGATCTATTAGAGATGGCGTCATCGAAGCAAGCATTAATCATGAAAAGGGTTACATTGAGACCTCTGAACTTTTGAATGTTTATGACACAAATAATCCACAAAAGACATTTGATGCTAGAATTCAATTTGTGACACAATTGCACGATGAATCTGTCATGGCAATGAGATATCCTGAGGATAACAAGAAGGTAAAGAACTCAACACAAAATAATGATGCTGATTCTGTAGATTACCTAGATGACATATCGGATTTCTCTGATATTGATGATTTAGGATTTTTGTAGAGATATTTAAAGATACACACATAAATATGTAAAGTTCTTAATAACAGAATGATCAATAATAAAAATAATAATAATAATAGTGATACGTAACGGTAACAAGGTTTACTATACTCAAATGATACATTTGCTAACATGGATATTCTAAATAAAATGCAACTTAAATCGAGATGATATGGAATGCACAGAATTTTAATTCTTGAAGGTTAGCAAATAAAAAAAAATGCAAAGGAGTGGACATAATATAATTCTAATTCTTCTTCTTGTGATTCTTCTTCTTGCCCTTCTTTGATTGGCTAACAGTTTTCTTTGGGGTTGCTTCTTTAATAGATTCTTCCGGAGTTACCTCTTCAACAGTTTCAGTGGTGATAGTCTCTTCGATCTCCAAAGTTGCGGTACCAAATGCTTCATCCTCATCGTCAATAGACTCATCGATATATCTCTTTTTCTCCTCAGATCTGAAGAAAACTTCCTTTTCCTCCCTCAAGGAATTGTAAATCACAAAATTAATCCAAATTTCAGAAAAACAGTAGATAAATATCACATTATTATGTAGAAATAAATTGGATTTCCACGTATATGATAAAGTTGCAATAACGAAATAAGCTAATAGTCTAATTGGAACAATAGAATAGAAATATGTTTTGTTGTCTTCTAGTAAAGGAATAAGATCGGTGAATGCCAACATACCAAATAAAACACCAAATAGACCTAATTGTGCACTATATTGTGACATTGTCAATTGTGGCAGATCCATTGCCTGTGTGAAAACTAGGAAATATGAATTATCAAGGATAGAATTGACATTTTTGAAACAAAAGAAACCTAGCGAGCAGAGGTATGCAACTCTGAAGTACAGAACATTGACAGAAGTTAGGACAGTCATCTTTAGTTGGTTATGCTTTTGTATTTGGTTATTGTTAGTTACGTAATCTTCTATTATAGTGCCACCGATGCCTCTTATATTGGTGAACTTTTTAAATTTTTCGCCCTTTACGTGTGGAAATAGCGACAGGAAACACTAAGTCTGCAATGTGGCACACATAAATCTAGAGACATATTTTGAAAAACTTATAAAGTTATATATTAGAAGACTATTTTGATGTATAAAATTAATACTAACCAGTTTTTCATATCTAGAAAAATTGATTATATATATGTTACATTTTATCTATCTTGTCCCCCGAGTCATAAAGAAGATTTTTGATATGCTCCATGTCTTTCAAGATATAAAGCTCGTCATTTTCATTATGCGAGGATATGGAACCTGTTTCATATTCCTCCATGGCTAGATAATCATGTAAACAGAGAATATCAAAGTCCGTTGTTGGCCTTTTCTTATAGACGTACGTAACAAATCTCGCCCAATTTTGAAAGTTGTCTGCGTTCAGGTTTTTCCTAGATTTCACTGTTAAAATTCCATTCTTTTGGTGAACTACAAAGGCAAAAGAACATATTGTCTTACAATGAGCACAATATAATTGTGCCTCTTCATTATGTTCATCTTCATAGTCATAATTATTCTTGATGCTTGATATTCCAGATTTTAACATATTTTCTGACATTTTCATATTAGACCTGAGCCCAGCTCGGTCAATAAAAGTTGGGATTAAGTTCCAAGTATCGTTAATCCTAGATAGGTCTTTATTCATCTCATTAAACCTGTTAAGTAAAATTGCATAGGAATCTCTAACAAGTGATTCATTAAACATATCTGTGTATTTACCTCCCAAGTAATTCTTAAGTATTGTAATAAGTAAATCAAACATTTCAAAAACACATTGTTTTTTGGAGATTTTGTAGTCGTCAATAGCACTCATACCATATGGTAACCAGAAATCTGCGGTAAAATTTACAGCTTCATTAAGGTTATAACCAGAATTGAAACCGGAATGGTAACATTTCGGGAAGGTAATTATGTATTCATTTGGATTTTGAATTGCTTTATAACAAGTTATACCATTCTGAGTAAGTATATCTGGGGATACTAAACTTGTTAAATGATGCATTAGATCTGGTTGTCTCAAAAATAAATCAGGAGTCGTTGAGACCAAATAATCTTGGAATTTGGTACAACTTGAGTCAGGGATACTGTACCAAACTTTTGATGCACCCTCATGTTGATAATTAGCACTTAAAGTATATTGGTCCTCCATATGCCAACAAAAAGTTGAAAATTTTGATCCAACATAAACCCATGGTATTGTCATTCCAGATATTGTATCTTTAAATAAAGGTAATAATGATCCTTTAGAATTTGGTAAATTAACTAAATTTGCCGGATGTATGGCATATGACATATACTCCTTTATATTATCCTTCTGCGAAGAAGGAATATAATTTGAAGTTGGAAACCCAGATATGGTACCAGGCACAGAATTATGAATATCTGCACCATATTTTACATTTTTTGTATTATCAATATCATTTACGTATTGCCAAAATTCTTTCTCTAATTTAGATAATTCTTCATTATCGTCATGGAGAGCTCTCTTCGAATCTGTTACTTCGAGGAATGTCATCAATGAATAATATTGATTACCCATATGAAATCCATAATACCCATTACCCATAACACAATTTCTACAAATCCAACTTTCTAGACTAGAAGATGGTATTGTGTTTTCAATATGTTTTTCACCTTTTGTGTCATTAATACAACCAATATGAAAATATTTCTTACAGGAGTTACATGTGATAAGGTCTTCTATATGGTCGTACTCATGACATAATACACATTCTTCTGCATTTCCTTCTTCATCCCCATCCTCATCAGTAATTTCTAATTCACTTTCTTCATTGTCACTAAGCAAAGATATCGGATAATCGTCATTATATTGCAAAGTTGATAAATTTTGACGATATTGAGAATGGATATACGAATAGTAATCCTTGATATATTTATCAAAATAATATTTTAAAGTTGAAAGAGGGATGTTATCAAATTGTTTTGCTAAACATTTCCATAACTTGATATTTTTTTCAACTTCTCTTAATGAAGGGATCAATAAAGCTTTATTTCTATGATCCCTGGTTAAAATTAACAATTTATCCCATGTAATATATGGATTATATGATTTTAGTACTGAAATGTAAATATCATAGAGATATAATTTAAATTTTTCATCTTTATTATTATCAACCAAAAAATATTTTTTTTTGCAAACTTTTATTTGATTCAATTTTAAATAATTGTTAATTTGTTTAATGAAAAACAATCTTGCTCTATTGATTAAATTCAACTGATTCAATTGTTGTTTTCTAACCCTAAATTTGAATTTTGAAAGATCTAACGATAATGGTGGCTTAAATCCTGTAGGTGGTACAACTTTAATCATACCATATTTCTTTCCCAATCTTCTTATACGAGACTCCGAGATATAAGTAATAATATTCTTAAATTCATTTTCTGTAGGGTAAACGGTTGGTATCCTTTCTAAATTCATCTTTTTTTTTAGTATATATAATAGAGTCAAACGACCTTTTAATTCCAAACAAACACTAAGCCAATGTACGATAATATGGTATAAATCTAAGCATTTATTTATATTTATATATTTATATGTATATAAATAAATTTAAGTAAAATATTATATCTGATCCATACCCTTAATATGAACCCTTTTACCCTTATTTAAGCATTTTCCTTACAGAATTGACTGTTTTTCAAATTCTTCTCGGCAAGATTGAATCGAACAAAATAAGGTTATCTGTAACTATAGTAATCCCGGAAAAACAAAGAAGGTAATAACATTTAATAAGGTACACGGGTGAGTGAATACTTTACCAATCTATATGTATCTTTATAAGTGGATAACGTTACTCCCCCCCCCCACCTATTTACTAAAACAATCAGTGTAATATTTATTATATATATATATATTTTTGAGTAACAACAATGTTGTCTATACTGAAGGCTACGTGAACACTATGACGTTCTCTCCAATGAGCAAAGACCAACTTGCTAACAACATATTTGAAATACATGCCTATCTTAATAAAAATCCTGAAGTTAGACAAACATATTAGGACAAAGATTCTTGGAAGTGACCGAAATCGCAATATATAAGGATATAAAGGCAACTTGGAAAATCAGGTATTACCCGCCCATATTACGTGCGGTCTTACCCTCCCGCTTCATATGTGCACGTGACCGTTTCCTTTTTTTCCTCCCATCGAATTTCCTGACCAATCAGAGCGCTCTGTTCACGGTCTACAGTGAAACCTCCGTAGGAACCCAACCGCAACTCGAGAAAATTGAGCGTCTTCGCCTGTCACACTCTTTTTTCTGGGGGGCGAAAGGGAGCGAAGGGAGGGAGGGGGTGAGAGCAGATGCGAGACGAAATAGTAAATAGAGCTTTCAGGTTGTAAGAGAATGAATGGCCAACCAGAAGGGAGAAGACGGATTGGGGCCAATTGATCAATTATATTCTATCTTACTTTATATATATATATATGAGAGGGAGAGAGAGATATAGTTACCTTTATTAAAGGAGTTTCTTTACACTGTGTTACCCATCGTTTTCTCTTTATTTTTCTTTCTTCTATTATATATTATATCTACAACTTGAAAAAAGAGGAAAAGAGAATTGAAAACTATTAGGAGTAGTATTTCATTTAATTTCGTATTTTTGTTCTGTTGATTTTGTTATCGTTGTGAGAAAGAATCATTTCTGATTTATAAAAGTGCTATATCCGGTGTCTGTGGTTTACTTATATTTTTGTACCCAATTCTCCCGATTAATTATCTCTTTTAAACAGATTATTATATTTTGAACATTTAACTTTCCACCCCTTTATTATTTATTTATTCTTTTTTTGATTAAAAAAAAAAGTAAGATTTAATACTTAGGGAATCGACATTATTTTGATAATATTTGCTTATTTTCATATCTTTTTTTAGATTACAATAATGGTGTTACCAAGACTTTATTCTGCTACATCCCGTATGGCTTTCCAAGCCGCTAGAACTCCAATGGCTGCTAGACTAGCTACCAATTTTGCTAGATCTAATCCAATGTTAAACAATAACATCTGGAAAAGATCAATGGCTTCTCAAGCTAACAACAACTCTACTCAATTAAGTGGTAAAGTTAAGGCTGTTATTGGTGCTGTTGTCGATGTTCAATTCGATCAAACTAATTTACCAGCTATTTTGAACGCTTTAGAAATTAATACTCCAAGTGGGAAATTGGTTCTTGAAGTTTCTCAACATTTAGGTGAAAACACTGTTAGAACTATTGCTATGGACGGTACTGAAGGTTTAGTTCGTGGTGAAGTTGTAACTGATACAGGTGCTCCAATTTCTGTTCCTGTCGGTAGAGAAACCTTGGGTAGAATCATCAATGTTATTGGTGAACCAATCGATGAAAGAGGTCCAATTAAATCAAAATTGAGAAAACCTATTCATGCTGATCCTCCTACTTTTGCTGAACAATCCACTGCTGCTGAAGTCTTAGAGACTGGTATTAAGGTTGTCGATCTTTTGGCTCCTTACGCCAGAGGTGGTAAGATTGGTTTATTCGGTGGTGCTGGTGTCGGTAAGACCGTTTTCATCCAAGAATTGATTAACAATATCGCTAAGGCTCATGGTGGTTTCTCTGTCTTTACTGGTGTCGGTGAAAGAACCAGAGAAGGTAACGATCTTTACCGTGAAATGAGAGAAACTGGTGTCATTAACTTGGAAGGTGAATCTAAGGTCGCTTTAGTGTTCGGTCAAATGAATGAACCTCCTGGTGCTAGAGCCAGAGTCGCTTTAACCGGTCTAACCATCGCTGAATATTTCAGAGATGAAGAAGGTCAAGATGTCTTGTTATTTATTGATAATATTTTCAGATTCACCCAAGCTGGTTCCGAGGTCTCTGCTTTGCTAGGTCGTATTCCTTCTGCTGTCGGTTATCAACCAACTTTGGCTACCGATATGGGTTTACTACAAGAAAGAATTACAACTACCAAGAAGGGTTCCGTCACATCTGTTCAAGCCGTTTACGTGCCAGCCGATGATTTAACAGATCCTGCTCCAGCTACCACTTTCGCACATTTGGACGCTACTACTGTTTTGTCAAGAAGTATCTCTGAATTGGGTATTTACCCAGCTGTCGATCCTTTAGACTCTAAATCTAGATTGTTGGATGCTGCTGTTGTTGGTCAAGAACATTATGACGTTGCTACAAAGGTTCAAGAAACTTTACAAACTTACAAGTCCCTACAAGATATCATTGCCATTTTAGGTATGGATGAATTGTCCGAACAAGATAAATTAACTGTTGAAAGAGCTAGAAAGATTCAAAGATTCTTGTCTCAGCCATTCGCTGTCGCTGAAGTCTTCACTGGTATTCCAGGTAAGTTAGTTAGATTAAAGGAAACTGTTAAGTCCTTCAAGGATGTCCTAGAAGGTAAATATGATGACATTCCAGAAAATGCTTTCTATATGGTTGGTGGTATCGAGGATGTTGTCGCCAAGGCCGAAAAGTTGGCTGCTGAAGCTAATTAGATTTTCAAATCATAATAAATCAAATAGAAAGTCCAACATGTCATAATATTATTCTTTAACTTATAATTAAATTTAAAATGAACCAAGAAATAATTAAAGAAGTTTTTATAAAAGGAAATGAAAAGAAAAAAGACTATTCAAAGATGTAATTAGAATTGGATTTTTTTTCGCTTTCTTTCTTTCTCTAGTTTCTAAATTATTTTCCTACAATTTCTACTTTTTTATCTAAATTTATTATTCTTATTCTTAACAAACATACAAAAACATGTGCCAATTAATGGTAACCAATAAAATATACAATATTATTATTATTTTGGGCGTCAAATAAAACAAATCAGTTAGATATATTACATTTGACGGTTCGTTAACTGTATAATTGTCCATTATTTGTATATAACCTATGTATATAGACCTCCCAAATATAATATTAACAGTAATAATATCTTTTTTGTATTCAGAATACGGTATAGTATATGTTGCTTCTATGCTGCTTGATATTACATCGGAGTTTAAACTTAAATTTGATAGTAACTATTTTCATCGCCCGACGATTGTTTTCATCAAAAGTTAATTAGTCAGCCCTGCGGGTTAACAAGTAAAATAAAGAACAAAATCATCACAATAAAGTACCTAATTAAGAAGAAAGCATCGTTTATATCTAAATTTAGAGCTAGGTACAGTACTTGAAATTGATAAATATATTATAAGAAATTATACTTACCATCATTGGTCTTGAGAATGGGATAAACATTATTAAAAATTAAATATCTATATATGAAAAAGATGTCATCCAATTACCGCTGTTTATTACGAAGAGTTATACCAACTCGATTATCCCTAAATGTACATCCCTTTACAACCACACGAAGAACTATCGAGACTGCCTCGACCAGCACAAAACCACCAGTAATTAATGGACTATTCAAATATGCCCAACTAAATAATAAGTCATACATTAAGATAAATGGTCCCGATTCGGTTAAGTTCATTAACGGACTGGTCTCATCTAAATTACAGGAATCCTTCGTCAAGAAGAATTTAACCACAATTGATGCCAGCAAAACAAATGGAGAATTCTCCGATACCAGTCAGCAGATAGTACCTGTATCAAAGTTTGATATTGCAAAGGGTAATTGGGGCCTATATCATGAATCTGGGGAGCATGGCCCCTATGTGGCAAGGTTTGGCCAATATACTGCATTTCTCGACGGCAAAGGAAAATTGATTACAGATTCGATCTTATATCCTGTGCCATTGACACTGAATAATGTCCATGCCACCAAATATCCTGAATATTTAATAGAGGTCGATAAACAAAATATGGCATATACTATGATGCGAACTTTGGAAGGACATAAGATCCTAAGTAAAGTGAAAATTAAGACCCTTAAAGAAGATGAGCTAAGAACATGGGATGTCTCGATAAAATTCGAGAACATTCCTCATACTGAAGAAAATCCTTGGATCGATAACATACTCAGACCAATGAGTGCTATGAAAAGCCCCGAAGATGCATTAGCATTTACTAATACCGTTGTTGGTACTTTGTTTGAGGGGTTTGAAACGAACATCAAGGGTCTATATATTGAAAGACGTACAGATGAAATTTTGAAAAAGGATGGTTCAGCCCCTCTAATGTTTAGGATATTGACCGATAATACTGTTGACAATGTATCAACTATATTCAATAGTAGGGCTTTCCCATTCGAATTCACGATCTCTAAACAAGATGAAAGCGTATTTAGAAGATCAAGACTCAGTCATGGTTTATTGGATGGAACTACTGATGTTAAACCTACTACTGTTTTGCCATTAGAGTTGAACTTTGATTATTTCCCGGACGTAGTGAGTTCTAATAAAGGTTGTTATATCGGACAAGAATTGACAGCAAGGACATTTTCTACAGGAATCCTAAGAAAAAGAATCGTACCTGTTAAGATTCACAACTTGACTGCTCTACAAGTATATGTTAACAAACAAGACCCTGATTCTGATAAATATCTCGAAGTTGGCATGAAGACTAATGGTAATAATGAAACTCTTGCAAAAGATGAAACCAAAACTCAAATGGCACCAAATCCTTTTGGATCAGGCAAGATAGTTAGAAAACGTAATAGACCTGTAGGTTCTCTTATAGCATTTGAGGGTGATGTAGGTGTAGTAATGTTAAGAACGGAACATTTTAATAAATTATTCCCACAAGATCGTTTAAATTTAGGAAAACCAACCCTCTTTATAGATATCGGGGGAGAGAGCCCAGAAACAAACGTTATAATAGAGGCCCAAGAACCATTCTGGCTCCAGGATTGGTTCAAAGCCAACAGTCCAAAATTAATTTAGGTATTTGGTGAGCAAAGCTTTAAAAATGTTATAAATCCGTTTCAATCGATCGAATCATGAAAAAACTAACGCAAGACTTGAATGACTATATAACCGTGAGAGTATAACTATGTAAATATTAATTTAATATGCCTTGGAATATATATATTTAGAGTGCCGATTAGTTCCTGTATACCTAATAATATCTTAAGATGGTTCATTTCTTCTAACTTCCTTCTTTGTCAGTTTGTTATTACAGTAAACTCATGGAGCAGCAGGGTGTTTTAGCATTGTCGATCTTCCGGCAAAACAGCGATTTATTTCTCATGACTAGTTTTCGTGACTTTGACAACATCCTTACATCCGGGTACTTTTAATTTTACTACACCCATACATGTTGCGATAATGAAAATATTAAAGTTTTATTTAACAGTGAAAATTTATTTTTCAAAAAATATATATACCACAGAAGAAACCGGAGAGATTTGCGCGATGCTGGGAAAAATAGTGCGACAAAGTCACTGCCAAAAAACATTGTGATACCTGCTCTAGACAGAACGAGGTTTCTCGGTGGACCATCCCCACTGGGCAGAAAATCATTTCGTCCCTAGCCTATTCTTGTCGACCTTCCCTTTCGTTTGGGGGAGAATACGGTCAGTCCGCACCGGGTAGAACTTTCCATTCAAACCAAAATAATACGAAACACTTTCACGGCACCTTCGCAAGGATATGTTCAATCTTTCCAATAGCTCTGCTCCCCATCTAATATGCACACACAAACACTCGCTTGCTATACATCTCTTTCAACTGGGTGAGAGGAAAGAAGCTAATACACTAATAATTCTCTTTCAAGATATTTGTCAAAGTTTGATAATATTTAACAATTTACATTATTTCTTCATATTTATTATTACAGTACTTAAATTGTTATATATTTAATAAATTTATTTTTACTTCTTTTGTTATAAAGATACCAGAACACATCATACACACAAGAACCACCATCCAATATGTCTGACGTTGAAACTCCAGTTGAAGTCCAAGAAGATTTTGAAGTTGTTGAAGAATTCACTCCAGTTGTCCTAGCTACTCCAATCCCAGAAGATGTCCAACAAGGTCAAGCTGAGATCAAGCTATTCAACAAGTGGTCTTTCGAAGATGTTGAAGTTAAGGACCCATCCCTAGTTGACTACATCCAAATTAGACAAGCCATCTTCGTTGGTCACACTGCTGGTCGTTACGCCAACAAGAGATTCAGAAAGGCTCAATGTCCAATCATTGAAAGATTGACTAACTCCCTAATGATGAACGGTAGAAACAACGGTAAGAAGTTAAAGGCTGTCAGAATCATCAAGCACACTCTAGAAATCATCAACATCTTGACCGACTCTAACCCTCTACAAATTGTTGTCGATGCTATTATCAACTCTGGTCCAAGAGAAGACACTACCAGAGTCGGTGGTGGTGGTGCTGCCAGAAGACAAGCTGTCGATGTTTCCCCTCTAAGAAGAGTTAACCAATCCATTGCTCTATTGACCATCGGTGCCAGAGAAGCTTCTTTCAGAAACATCAAGACCATTGCTGAAACTCTAGCTGAAGAATTGATCAACGCCGCCAAGGGTTCTTCCACCTCTTACGCTATCAAGAAGAAGGATGAACTAGAACGTGTTGCTAAGTCTAACCGTTAAGAAATATATTGCACACTTATCAGTGTTCTTTTGTTTCCTATAACATTTAATTCATTACACACCTCTATATATCTTACATCTGTACAATTTTTGTGTTTTAAATACCAGTTATATTGGTTTAAGTATTATATAACCGTTTAAAAGAAAATACAACTTAATTAATTTTGATCATTTTCATTCAGGTCTATCTCAATGAACGTATTCGCTAAAGAAAACATATATATATATCATGACTGGTTCAGGGAAAGATTATAGCTTATAGCAGTTTTCTCTTGTATCACTAGCAGAATTAGTGCATGGCATGGTTAATATTTTACAAGAATGTCAAGTTAAAATATCAAATGTTCAAGTTTATAAAGATTTCCTTCAAACCAATGGATAAGTTAAAAATAGTTGATTTAACCTAGAATTAACCCCCTCAATTTAATAGAAATTTTATCAGATGACTTCAAACAAATCTCAAGATATATATAATTAAGAATGGTCATCTATAAAAAGATATAAAACGTATATGACTCACAGTGTATAGAACTTCCAACAAAGATACTTCAGATCTAAATCCTATATAACTTTTTGAAGGTGTTCTATTGTCTGGTATTTATTTGTTTCATGATATCTTTATCAACATGTAAAAATGAGCATGCTAAAACCATATCGGCGGTTATAACAAGCGCACCACTTATAATGAAACATAACCATAAATAGCCGTCCTTAGCTAGGATACCGGTAAATATCGGACCAATACAACGAGCAAATGTCTTCCCTATGTTCACAATACCCATTACTCTTGTTAGGTCTTTAGGATTGATCAAGTTTGTTAATAGAATTTGTCTTGGTGTGACATCCATTGCTGTGGTACCAAAATGACAATTTAATAACAATATGGATAACCATAAATGATTCTTTGCAAATGGGATCAATATGGAGAATATCCCGGAGGGTATTTGCACAAGTAATGTAGCTCTTACCGGCCCAAACATTCTTGCAATTATTGTGGATGGAATTGTCGATGATGCCATGACAAACTGTGTACAGAAGAACAATGCGCCCAATGCAAATGAACTAATTTTAAAGAATTTCTTGTAATAATAAACCATCCAACTACTTGTCATGAATCCTGATCCTAGGGAGTCTATCATGAAGATAACCAACAGTTTCATCAGGATAGTAACAGTTTCTGGTGATAGCCCACTTTCATGAGGTGGTCTATCTTCCGAGATGTCAGCATTGTTATCATCATGAGAAGAAATGCTACCGTGTGTAGTAGTTGTATTGGTAATACTTGTTCCTTCTCTTGATGAATGACGATGAAGATGTGATTCTTCCATTAATGGGGCCATCTCGTCGTTTGTAATAGCTTCTCCAAGTGTAGTTTCATCTAAATGTTCTTTATAATGACCATCTAATTCAGTCTTTTCAGATAACGACATCATCACGATAACCTTTAATAAGGCGAAAAAGGAATAGAGTAAAAACACATACTTATAACATTGCAAATCAGAGTCTGCGAGTTTAAAAATTTGTAATAAATCTATGAATCCTCCTGACATTATTGCACCCAATGCTGACCCGATAGTGCCAATTAAAGCATGCATGGCATAAACTTCTGGTCTTTTGTGATTAGGGGACAGATGGGCAATCATAGATTCCTCGATGGATTTAAATGGACCTACTTCATCACTAGATGGAGATATCACCCCGAAAATGGCAAATATCAATAGAATATGGAAGTTTTCACTGAATGCAAATGCTAAACCACTTAAAGTCATCATAATAGAGCCATAAATTAAAACTTTACGTCTTCCCCAGGAATCAGCATACCAAGTTAAAATATAAGAACAAAGAACGTCCCCGATTAAAGTCAGAGACATAAACCAACCAATTTTATCTTCTGACATCCTAATTCCATTTAGGAACAGAGTGAGGACTTGGTTGGTAAGCCCATAAGCAAGTAATCTCAGAAACACGGATGCCCATAAAAGTCTAATATCTCTGGGAGCATCCTTTATCTCCTTCAGAATATTCATTTTTAGATATTGTAGTTAAATATATGAACGTATCAAATTGTTCATGATCGTACTGTTTTTTTTAAGATGTACGAATTTACTTTTATAAAATTTAACTTCAAGAAGAATTTTTCAGTTAGTTGACTCTTTAAAGGCATCGCCCGCTCAATAATTTTTTAGAAATATTGATAATCATCTGAGCTACAAATTAGGTGAGACAGTAAAATTTCATTCAGAGACAGATTAATAACATATATATATATGGGTATAGTATTTTTATAAGAACTTCAATAGTGATTACTTAAACAATAATGTTATCTACTTGAATAAACATTCAATGGTATTAGTATACTTTTCTTGATTCAGCAGAGAATCCCATGTAAAGTTTACAATGTAGTACTCTCAAGGCCGTAATCGATGTAACAAACTATTTTTGTATTTACCATTCTGTATGAAAGATATATACATATATATTCCTTGACCTGGACAGCTTCTGTTGTATGAATAACATAATTGGTAAAGACCGGTCAAGGCCCAGTAATATCACCAAACACCCAGATTGTGTGGCTCTGTCGCTTCCTGTTCAGGACTTTTTGGAAGGTGCTACTTGACTCTATATCTGTCCAGAGAAAATGTCGCAGAGCGATTTGCAACTGGATCAGCAAACAGTACCCTTCATAGATTATAGTGTTACATCCACAACAAGTTCAATTATTGTGATACTGGGACAATATATGTACATAGAGACTTCTTTAAATGGGATTTATCATTGAAGTTTTACGTTTGTGTTAGTGGGGAGGCCGGTTGCAGTTTCGACTCTCTATATCTCCATGGCTACCCCTGATCTGACTATCTGTCAGGATTCTGCATGTATATAGAACATATATATCTGAGAGAAACAAACATTTGAATAGAATACATACCTCTACAAGAATCAAGATCTGGACATTTTTGTGAGATTTGCATTTTTGAAACAGAATTCAATAGGTATCATGGACTTTGAGATGCCGGATTGAGATTACCTCATCCATAGAGTGCCTAAAAACTACAGTTTCTTTTCGGGAATATGAATATCACACTCAGTCATACACATACACATATAGAACGCAGTCGAGAAACCTTTATCTTATTCAGCGTACCACTCTGCCAAGTATTCAAAGCCATATCTCTCTTAGGTGGCTCACTCTGTCTGACTGTCTGCCTGTCTTCCCTCATCGCAAATATTTTCACCGCTCATCGTTTTTTCCAGTTTTTTTTGTTTGGCTCTGTGCTTGGGAGCAGACAGCATCGAACAATTAACATCACGACATCTGATTCTCAGATTCACACAACATGATTACTAACAGGCTGCATTCATTCATATGACAGGTTTATTTTTGTATCTCTAGTTTTAAGAGGCAAGCACAAAGTCATGCATCAATAAGCTCATACGCAGAAGTTAATAGCTTACCTAACGGTAACAGTACATTTTGTGAAATCATAGCGTTACAATTACTAAAGCTTTTGTTTACTTTTTTAATATACATTCACATCAGACAATATAGAAAAAAACAGAAGTAATGAAGGAAGATCATCACCCTGGAGAAGATGGGAACAACGAGATATTTGTTGAACCTTTAGATTCTGACTTCTTAACTAGACCTAATAACAATATGACTAATCATAATTCAAATACTACAGCTACTACTATCGTGGGAAATGGGATTAGTAGAACCTCTAGTAATAATAATGATAGTAGTAGTAATAACGATAATAGTAGTAATAAGAAAACTAGGAAGTTTGCATGTGTAGAATGCAGGCAACAAAAATCTAAATGTGATGCCCATGACAGATCTCCTTTACCATGTACTAAATGTGCTAAGAAAAATGTGCCCTGTGTCCTCAAGAAAGATTTCAGAAGAACTTATAAGAGAGCTAAGAATGAAGCCATAGAGAAAAGATTTAAAGAACTAGCAAGTAATTTATCAAATATGTCGTCTGATGAAATCTTAAAGAGAATAGAAAAAGAACAAATGGCGTTATTGGATAACAGTAATTTCACAAAGGAAAAGGTTCATCATAAGAAGGGTAAACTTGAAACAATAACAACAACAACTAACACCAATTCTTATAAATCACAATCGCCAGATGGTATTGGGAAAATAAATAATGGTAGTTCCCGTATGAGTACAACCCTTTCACCACTCTCCAATGTCTCTTATTCGGGTTCCGATAATCATAATAATAATAATAATAATAATAATATTAATAATAATAATAATAATATTAATAATAATAATAATAATAACCGTCAGAACAATGCCACCAATAGTGGATACATCACATGCGAGACATTTACTAAAGGGATGACTCCACAAGAATTACATTGTGCCCCAAAGTCACTAGGTGATATATATATGTCATCTGAAGATATAGCACAGTTATTTCAAGAATTTGCAACGAAATATCATCAATTTTTACCTGTAGTTAATCTCAAAAAAGGTCCAGAGAGGATATATTCTCTATCACCTTGCCTATTTTGGGTCATTATTTTGATTGGTTTAAGACGTAAACAATATTCGAATGATTTGGCTAAGAGATTAACGGTGTTAGTAAAAGCAACTTTGGCTGAAATTACAATATCGCCGATCATTAGATACACACCTTCAGAGACTGATGAGCCTATTCTTAACGTTGCATCTGTGTACTCGGTACAAGCTTTCCTATTGTACACTTTTTGGCCTCCATTAACTTCTTCATTAAGTGCTGATACTTCGTGGAATACAATTGGTACCGCATTATTCCAAGCCATCAGAGTTGGCTTAAACACAGCAGATTTCTCACGAGAATTTGCTACTGAGAATTCGGAATTAATTCAAGAACAAAAGCGTACTTGGATCTGTTGTAATATTGTCTCTCAATTTATTGCATCTTCATTTGGTTTCCCGGCATATGTGACTTTTGATCATTTAGTAATTAGTTCATTTAAACAACACCAAGACCAACCTGAACCCCTATCACATTTAAACGATGGTTCGCCATCGTCAGCTACTCAAACGTTAAACCAATCAGACGAATTGAAACAGATGACACAAATTGCATATTTTGAACATCAAATGGTAAATACAATGAATTCAAACCCATCAAATAAACTTGGTATGGTCGATAATATGGAAAAGTTACCTTTATTAAATGTCTTGAACCAGCAATTGTCTGAATTAGCTATTAACTTGGAAGAAAAAAATTATATGGATAATGTAAGAAAATTTTTATTGTTAGTAACAAAAGTCCATTTATTGACGTATCATTTTATTGACTCTGATTCTAATTCCGGATCACAAGGAGTTAGTTTTGAAACTAAATGTGGTTTAGTGAAATTATACAATGCTGCAATTAATTTATTAACTCACACATATCAAATTTATGAATCTGACTCCACATTAGTGAAATATTTCCCAGGTGTGTTTATTCTTAACATTTGGCAATCTGCATGCATTATTGGTAAATTGGTTAACTCTTCATTATCAGAAAATATTGATGTTGAAAGAGGTAAAGTCGCTTACCAGAATGCCATAATGTTGACCTATAAGGCGTCAGTATTAAAACATGATATGTCTTATAGATCATCTGGTATTATGAGAAGTATATGGAGTCTTTTCAGTAACATGTATCAAGAGTGGAAGAACGATCAATCAGAAAGTAGGTCTTCGGAATTCAACTTGGATATAACTGTGAAGTCAAGAATGTGTGTGAGTGTTTTTTTCGATTGTTTATATATTTTGAAAGAAAAATGTGGGATGGCAAAATTGGCTAGAGAAAAGAATCAGTTAGAGAATGAAATCGCTGAAGGTAATAATGAATCTAATGGGTCTGCAGAGGACGATGAAGATGAAGATACTGAAAATGGTACTGAAAATGATGGTGTTAAAAATATAGCAAATCCTGAAAGACGTGCTAGAAGAATTATCGAGACTATCCCATTAGATCCAAATCCAATTAATGCCGCTACAATTAAATCCAACAGGGATGATCTGTCCTCGACGGCAACATCGCCAGTACTATCTGCAGGACAGAAGAACAGGCATGGTACCCAATCATTTTTGGGGCGTTCATCGACTCCTTCATTATCGGGTACACCTGGTAGGTCTTTGAACGAATTCTCTGCCTCGAATTTGATTAATGGAAATAATGTTAATCTTACGTCAAACCTGGGCATTAATGGTGTCCCTGGACAGATATCTGCTCAACAGCAATTAAATGATGACAGGAATAATCTAGATCCTACAAATATATTACAAAACACTTTAACTGACTCAAACATCAAGTTATCCTACGGAAACAATGAAGATACAAGTAATAATATTGTCGATACGGCGTTAGGAGTAAATACTGGGCACGCTACAGATACCAGCAGCAATGGCAATAAAGAATCACCAAACTCCATAATGGCTAACTGGGATAACTGGCAGTCTGATATGGTTTGGAAGGATGTCGATATCTTAATGAACGAATTTGCCTTCAACCCAACTTAGAAGTCCTGTTGTTTTATATATAGATATTATACTCTGATTATGCAGTTTTATTACATAACATAAAACGAACTTTTAATTTGAACTACCTTTAAATAACTGTTCTAAGAGCAAAGTGCAAGAATATGTATAAATGGGTTCGAATATTTGGCGTTTATCTGGCGATTTGTTAGTTGAGCTAGTTGGATGCAATGGTTTCGAGCCTTGCAATCACGTGAATAACTCTTTATATTAACATGCGGTGCACGGGTGTCTGAAAATTTTTCACCAAAACTTTTTTTTGACCTCGCTGAACTTTTTGCATCAATCTTCCCAATGACATACTGAATGTTTCTAGCACTGTGAGATGATGATTGAGTGGGTAAATGGCGACCGGGCAATCATGTAAGCAGAGAGATGATGACAAGGGCCAGATGAATCCACGGGTGGTAGGTATTCATCAGGTCAAAAGTAATATTTCGTAATTAAAGAAACTATAAGGTGGTTTCTTTTGATCATTTGTAATTATATTATAAAATAAAAGAAGTGTGCTTAAAGCGAAAGTAGGTTAACTTAAAAGGTCATCCAATATAAAAACACGTTAGATAAACTATAGAATTTGGTCTAAAGATGTCTGATCTACAAGATATGGAACCAACCATTATTATTAATGGTAATCTACCTACTCCAGAAGAAGAACAAGAGTTTGAAGAAAGTGTTGTTGATGAACAAATCGCTGAGGAGAACCAAGAAGAAGAAGATAATAAATTAAAGAAGAAAGTAGCATTTGCTGTTGTCGATGAAGAATCCGAAGAAGCAGAAAGAAAGCGTGAGTTTGAAGAAGGTGGTGGTTTACCAGAACAACCATTAAACCCAGATTTCTCTACTCTGAACCCATTATCCCCAGAAATTATCAATAGACAAGCTACTATCAATATTGGTACCATTGGTCATGTCGCCCATGGTAAATCTACCGTTGTTAGAGCTATCTCTGGTGTTCAAACTGTTCGTTTCAAGGATGAATTAGAACGTAACATTACTATCAAACTAGGTTACGCTAATGCCAAGATTTACAAGTGTGAAAACCCAGAATGCCCAGAACCAGATTGTTACAGATCGTTTAAGTCTGACAAAGAAATCTCTCCAAAATGTCAAAGACCAGGTTGTGAAGGTCGTTATAAATTGGTTCGTCATGTTTCTTTCGTTGATTGTCCAGGTCACGATATCCTAATGAGTACTATGTTGTCCGGTGCTGCTGTCATGGACGCAGCACTGCTATTGATTGCCGGTAACGAATCCTGTCCACAACCCCAAACCTCTGAACATTTGGCTGCCATCGAAATTATGAAATTAAAGCACGTTATTATCTTACAAAACAAGGTCGATTTGATGCGTGAAAGTAGTGCCTTGGAACACGAAAAATCTATTTTAAAGTTCATTAGAGGTACCATTGCTGATGGTGCTCCAATTGTTCCAATCTCTGCTCAATTGAAATACAACATTGATGCTGTTAATGAATTTATTGTCAAGACTATCCCAGTCCCACCAAGAGATTTCATGCTTTCTCCACAATTGATTGTCATCCGTTCCTTCGATGTTAACAAGCCAGGTGCTGAAATTGATGATCTAAAGGGTGGTGTTGCTGGTGGTTCTATCTTAAACGGTGTCTTCAAGTTAGGTGACGAGATCGAAATTAGACCGGGTATCGTTACCAAGGACGACAAGGGTAAAATTCAATGTAGACCAATTTTCTCTAACATTGTTTCTTTGTTCGCTGAACAAAACGATTTAAAATTCGCCGTTCCAGGTGGTCTTATTGGTGTTGGTACTAAGGTGGATCCAACTCTATGTAGAGCCGATCGTTTGGTCGGTCAAGTCGTTGGTGCCAAGGGTCATCTACCAAATATTTACACAGACATTGAAATCAACTACTTCTTGTTACGTCGTTTGTTAGGTGTCAAGACTGATGGTCAAAAACAAGCTAAGGTTAGAAAACTTGAGGTTAACGAAGTTCTGATGGTTAACATTGGTTCTACAGCTACTGGTGCTCGTGTTGTTGCAGTCAAGGCTGATATGGCCAGATTGCAACTGACTTCTCCTGCTTGTACCGAAGTAAACGAAAAGATCGCCTTATCCAGACGTATCGAAAAGCATTGGCGTTTAATTGGTTGGGCAACTATCAAGAAGGGTACTACTTTAGAACCAATCGCCTAAGGGGAAATAATATGTTAATTCATTTATTATTTTATTACTATTATTATATTTTTCTTTTCTGTGGCATTTAACATTATGGTATAAGAATATCACATGTACTATTCTTTTTAAATTGTATCATATGTACATATTCAATAGGCAAAAAAAGGCTTCCAACCATTATATAAACCTAGTTTCTAGTCTACTTTTTAATCTCATTAACAAGATTCATTTTATATCTTTGAAAATTTTTAATGAAACCAACTAAAACTTTACGATAATTAATTTCAACTTTAATATTTTTTTCTCTTGCATAAATATCTTGAAAACTTCTCGTGTATTAATAGAGACGTACTTAGATGTTATTTAATTTGAATGATTTTCAATCAATGTAATAATTTCGCGATATAGATCAGAATTTTGAAATTTCTGTAAAGAATCAATATTCATTAAACGATACATTCTCATACTGACATCTTCCAAGAGGGGGTATAATTTTTTTAAAATCTTTATCGTGTTTTGAAGATTGGCTCTAACTGGAATGTTATTACTATATTTCAAAATATATTTTTTATCGGCACTATCTGGTTTGTCTATTGTGACTGTATCGATGCTCTGAAGTTCAGTTCCAATATTTAAAGGTGTTGGTCGAAGGCTTTTTCTTGATAAACCAGGATTTTTACCAAATATATATGAGTCCCTTGGAAGGAAGATTGCCTCTGGAGGAGATATTGCCTCTAATTTAATATTTAACTTTGGTTTTGTGTGATCGATCGAAATATTGGCATGAGAAGAGATAGGTGATTCAAAAGTTTCAGAAATAGGAGACTTGGGATGGAGCATCACAGTAGATATATCTTCACGTAAGATATGATCAATATTTAGTTGGTACGGTGCACCAACCATTATATAAGATGAGTATATTCTATACGCCATTTCTAGACACTCGTTCGCCTGTTTAATTAATGCAGAGTTAATGGTAGATATAATATCACTTTTGGACGATTGATATCGATTTTTGCCTTGAGCATCATTATTGTTTCTAGTTTCCATTATTTTCCTTAGGGCTGACATCTTCTTTAAAAACTTCTTAATATCAATATATGAGTCCAAGTTTTCTACACAGAATTCCTTTTCCAAATGCAGACGAAACAAATATCTCATACCAGGATCTCTTAATATCATATGCAGTTTAGGATATTGTCCAAAAAATTCGTTGGTTGAAAGGTCAATAATATTGTTTGACAAAACTTTTTTATCGTCTGGAATCACAACATTGCCACTTGCTATGAACCCAGTGTCAATAAAGACTTCCTTTGGTGTTTCAATTTTCAAGTTTTTATATGGTGAATTTATTACATCTTTATTTGTGTAGCTCCACTGAACAATATCAGAACCTAGCTTTGATAAAGTGAAATATGAAGACCTACTGATACTAAATTTTCTTCTAGATGTTTCGGAAGGAGGTAGTAGGATTGGTACGATCAAGCCAACTTTGAGGAATAACGCAGCGACAGCTATTGCTTCTTGTGGATACGTAATATCTGTACAGTCAACTAACCATTGCCAAATAGCCTTTGTTGTAAAAGTATAATCGATAACAATATTGTTATCACCGAATTTTTTAGATTTAAATAGCCTTATTCCAGAATTGGAAACATAATACTGAATATGTGAATCGGAATCTGGATTAGTAAAGAATTTGTGAGAAAAGGGAGAGTTTCTAATCTTTGATATTAATTTATCTTCAGGTATTTGGTCAGACCATGAACCAGTAGGTATATCAGAGGACGTTTCATCATAATTTCCATTAATATTGGGAATTGCTGTTACATTCATATTTTCAAACGTGAAAGTATCATTTCCACATTCTAATAGCTCACTTAGTGACGGGAGAGTATCACTTGGATTTGAGGGAGACCAGACGTTAGGTTGTGTTCCCATCAACTTGATAAATAAAATATGGATTAAATAATCACTGTGAATGATTGAATCTGAAACTGAACTTCTCTCAAATGTAAACAATTCCATTGAGTTGATATTCGATGATAAAATAGGTGGAAGAATTTTCAACCCCACATCTCTTGAAAATTTCTGTAATATAGCTGTCCCTTTAGGAGTCGGCTGTAAAAGCACTTTCTCTTTTGGAGCAGACCTGGTCCTATCTGCTGGGCAATGAAGTAATTTTGCCGACATAAATATATCTAGTAAATGTCTTGCTAATTTTCCATTCATCTGATACGAAATTGTAACATGTGTAGAATTTGCCTTTGAAGATAATTTAAAATCCTTCATTTCTTGAATGGCATCATCCAATGAAAATGAATACGGATATGTTTTGTTGAAGGATCCGAAAAAGTTTTTTGGTTCAGAGGATAAATCTTTTAGTTCCATACATATTACGAATACTGAGTAGACAGATTTTATATCATTGGTTACTATAAGCCCATTTGGGGTGTAATTAAACCCCTTTGATGATAGTTCTCGTTGTTCTACTCTTATTTTACTTTCGGACATACCTTATTGATTGTAATATGATTTCTGTGCTCTTCAGCTGATTCGACACAATATAGGTTATTTCCTAATTCTGCCTGCCTCAAATGATTTTAGTTGGTGAACATAGCTTCTTATATTCCTTGCTTGCAAAGATGATATATTTTGAAAACATGTTTCTTATAAACAATTATGTTACGATTATGTATCATTGGTTGGATCAATTGCTCAAAAATTAAAATTAAAACAAATTTGTCAACAATATGGGTACATACTTCAATGTACACAGATAAGATCAGACTGATTTAATAGATGGGAGTTCAATTAGATTACCTGTAGTAGAATGCTTCATCATTCCCTAGTAACCGAAAGATTAATACTATCTATCTCCATGGCCCTTGTTGTGACGTTTTAATGTGAAACAACGGGCGCGTTGTATAATTGAAAATAATCCGAACCTCAAAACAAAAAATGATACAAAATTCTAGTCTCAATTAAAAGGCTGTATCAACTCCTATAGTAATGCATTATATCTGTATATGGATCGCCGAAAATTGTTGACAATTCATTTCAAAGTTTACCTAAGCGGACAAAGCTGGTAATCATTTCATTATGTTCTAAAAATGGAAGATCATTCAGCCGAAAGTCCATATTACTAGATCCTTTTATTTTATTTAAGAACCTAGAGTTGTCGATGATAATACGAGAGAGTACTATTCGATATTTCCAAAATATCAATAACTGTTATTAGTTTATTTACTTAATAGGTCTAAATGGATTTCAGTTTAGTCTTCTACATTCCTGTTGAATTCTTGGTCCAAGACATGAAAGGTAGAAAATAAGTCATTACAATTTATAATATTTGCTATAATTAGTTCCACACAATTTAATGGCCCTTCTCCATAGTTATATACCTTCTGCACTTCTGTGTACAATGCCGAATTTTTATCGTTTAAATTTGTCAATATTTTTCTGTTCCACATGTCGTTAAGTTCGACGTCCCTAGTAGATGTATCTTTTTGGCATAAAAGAGTTGACAATTCTGAAATAAATTCAGGCAGTGACTTTAGAGAGGGTACATTAATAATTGTAGAATTATCGGAATTCTCTGATGAAGTGGGTTCCAATGGCGCATTTTTGATGATATGATGTGAGCAAGCCATGAGAGCGGGAACATTAATAGATGTCAAGAAATTTTTTATGAATTTCCATCGCAACCTCGTAAGTGGGGACTTAAGGTATCTTGTGTCTGTCAAAGAGAATAATATGATATATTTATGTTCAAGATCTCGGTTTGACATCGTAATAACATTTAAAAGGGATTTCAATATTTGTCTCAGATTAAACCACTCTTTAAATATTTTTTGGAAGGATTTTTTCATGTTCTCATTGGGAAATCGTATTTTCATCTTAGCAACTACAATTTCACAATTACTTTCCTTGCTCCTTTGATTGTTCTCTATGTCTAATGGACATAAAGAGAGTTTGATATATTGAATATTGTATTTTAGACATTCTCTTCTGAAAATACGTTGAAATAATTCATAAGAATAGCTGTAACTCCCACTTAGAGTAATAGGTTTATCAAAAGGAGCTCCTTCGAGATTACTATCAATGATTTTTGTTAATGTTTCATCAGTTTCAGAAAAATATGCTGGAGACCCACAATTGGATCTAGGACTCAATTTTGTTAACAGGTCAAGTTTAAGTTTTTTCACAAACAGATTACTTGGTTCCGTAAGTGTTACTAGAGGGGCATTATATTCATAAGTTGTATTTCTCTTAGTGCTAGTTTTTGAGTATCTTTTCGTCGGAAATAAAGGTATTCTAATTGGACTATTCTCTTTTATGATGGATTCTATTTCGACAGAATGGGGTAATGACGCAATTTCATTTTCTCCATTGGTTGATGTAGGGCAAGGTAACTTATTTTCTTGAAAAGGTTCTGATTTCACTTTAATTTTTTTCTTTTTAAGATGTGGCTCACTTGGGCGTTTCCTCGATTCAATTGCTTTTCTTTTACTTGAGGACATCTTTGTGCCATATACTAGCGAAATATTTTTTAATATATTCATTTGATCATGATTCGTCTTAACATCCTTTATTATGTTATCATATTTCACAGTAATATTGGATTTCCGAATTGGTGCAAAATCATTATCTATGTGATCCATATTTTAAACATCTGATGGTGTAATTATTTTTCGTAATTATCCTAGCGAATAGTACGAATAAGTTATGCTAATGTTAAACTACCTAAGAGGGAAAAATAGAATTAATCTTGACTTCATTTAGTAGTTTCGACATATATTATTCGATGAAATATTTGTTTATTTGCAATAATATAAGTATAGCCTTAAATTCTTGTATATTTTCCTTTTTAAAAAAATAAACAGTGCGATATCGTACGAATAGATTTAGAAAGGAAACAGGAACCTCATTCTCAAGAAGTTGAAACTATGTCATGGAAGTAGTCTGTAAAGAGATATGTTTTCTCTTGAAAGTTTATTTATAATCTTACGATTCTGGCGTGATTAATATTCTGTTGTTGTACTACTACTACTACTACTACTACTAATTAATTTTTAAGACGTGTGGTTGTTATTAAATTGGCTTTTAAATGCCCTATATAATAAAAAATATTTAATTTTAATTCTAATATAACATAAACTAGTAAAATTGAAACCAGTTCTTCATTTTTTTTGTTTTGCTTTTGTAATTGATTAAAAATGGGCGGTTGTGACGAATGGAGAGAAAATGGTTCATTGTTTTAAACAAAACTTTGCATTTAATTATTTCTTACCAACGACTTCCCATTCATCATTGTTGTTATCTTCAACAGATAGGTCAGCAACATTTTGAGCAGTTTCATTAACATCGTTAGTGGTGGTTTGTTCAGTTGGTTGCGCCTTTTGTTCTTCCTCTTCATCATCTTTATCATCATCTCTTAGAACATCGTATGTAGATTTTTGGATCTTGTTCTTCTCTTCAACAGGTTTCTCTTCTTGAGTTTGGTTTCTTCTTCTGTTGTTGTTGGTTTTGTTATTTATGTCTTGGAATTTGGAACCTCTGGCAGCACCCCAGTCTAATTCAGGTTCGTTAGTTCTTTCTCTTTGAACTCTTGGAGCCTTGAAGTTTGAACCTCTAGCGGCATTCCAATCTAGATTTGGTTCTTCTCTTGGTTCTCTTGGTTCTCTTGGTTCTCTCTGAGCCTTAAAGTTGGACCCTCTGGCAGCATCCCAGTTCAAGTTGGCTTCTTCTCTTGGCTCTCTTGGTGGACCATGAGATTTGAAATGAGATCCTCTAGCGGAATCCCAGTTTAGTTCAGGTTCATCTCTTGGTTCTCTTGGTTCTCTTGGAGGTCTAGAGTTTTGGAAGTTAGATCCTCTAGCGGAGTCCCAATCCAAGTTTGGTTCTTCTCTTCTTTCTCTTGGTGGTCTGGAGGATTGGAAGTTAGAACCTCTTGCGGCACCCCAATCCAAGTTTGGTTCTTCTCTGCCAGGACCAGAGGCCTCATAGTTAGAACCTCTAGCGGCACCCCAGTCAAAGTCACCACCACCAGATCTGAAACCACCTCTTCTTGGGGCAGCAACAGAAACGTAGACAGTTCTATCATTCAATTTAGTGGCATTGAAAGTTAAAGCTTGAACTAAATCTTCACGTTCTTTCAAGGTGATGAATGCAAGACCCTTTAAACGGGTTGGATCAGATACATTCACAGGTAAATCGACGTCTTCAACAGAGTCTGGTTTGGCTAAACCATCTTCAACCCAAGCTTTGACACCTTCTGGGCTAATATCCCATGGAATGTTATTAATAATGGCTCTGTAAGGAGGTTCGTTTGGAACTGGATATTCTTCATGAGCTCTTCTCATACCATTACCACTACCACCTAAGGCAGGATCCAAATGACCACCGGTTCTACCACCTTGGTTGAAAGAGTTACCACCAGCATTAGCGGCTTTTCTTTCAGCCATTAGTTCCTCTAGAGGAATGGTGTTAGCTGAGGTGTTTTCAATTGGAATTCTGATGTTGTTTAAATCAACATCATCTTCACTCCAGGATGATGTGAAAGTGTCATCATTCAAGAAGGAGTTCAAATCCATCTTAACGGTTTTCTTTGGTGGAGCCATCTTGATTGTTGTAGTTGTTCTTTAAATCTAGTTAGAAGAAGTTATTACTTATCTGTAATTTCAAAAAAAGTAAACAATGAGGAATTTTATTAAACAGTAATAGATATATATCTTAGGAAATTTATCTATAAACTGTTAGCTCTATTAGGTAAGGATGAGTTGTTAAGAGCAAAGCTTTACTGAGTTTACATCAAGATAAAATTTTCATAAAACCAAGTGAAAATATATTTATCTAAAATAAAAAAATGAACTATTGATAAGAGATCAAACAGATTAATTAAAATAAGAGTATTAATGTGTGAATCTGTCAAAAAAAAATCTCAGATGTTAATCCAAGCTAATGTTTCCAAAACGAGAAAGATGGTCTCTAATTGTTGAGAGAAAGCTTCATTCATCGTTAGTATTGAGGACTCCTTACGGTAAGCAAAAATTATTATTTAGCTGTTGGGCTTTGTCGTTGGATTCAAGCGAAACTGAGCAGGCGCGATGAGGTTATTTCAGCAAACGGCGAGAGTCGGGGAATTTTGTTCAGTAAAAAAATTTTCACTGTTCGTTGTTTGTGATGTCTTCCGTACAAGGGGATGTTGTGTGCCATGTGTTCTGGTGTGCCAGGGTGACACATTTACAACGTTATGTTTTTGTTATATTAATATTATACTAATATTATAGGAAGCTTAGAACTACTGATATTAGTTTGCATCCGTTTGGGTGTATGTTACCTGGGTGGAGATGTAATAGAGTGTTTTGTAGGTGAATTAATTAGGTGAACTTGGTAGTAATAATTAAGTAATCTTGTTTAAAATATGACAGAGGGAAGTAATTAAAAAGAAATTAAATGTTTGAGATACAAATAATTGTCGTCAAGATGTAATTATATTTAAGAATGGCCATGGTTTAAGTTTTTAGTTTGATTATCACTTTAGGTTTTTTGTTTATTGCGATTTGGGTAATTGGATCTTTTAAGTTTAGTTGGCAAGACATATATTTATATAAAGGTACAAAAAATACTACATTTTTTTATTTTAGCAAGGATTTCTATACTACAATAGTAGTAATATACTCAGGATATCACAAATACCTGTAATTTCATGGCCTTTAGTAATAAAAATATATTAGTCTGCAAAAACTGAATCAATATCACCTAATTACTATCTAGGAATACCTATATTTAGACAATTCAAGGTGCGCATACCGTTCTAATAATACTCTTGCAAATGAGACGGAAGATTCCCTTATATATATGTTGGTGTCAATAATAATAACTGTAAAACAAATCTCTATCGTAACTGTCTTTTCTATAGGGATAGAAAGTTAATATCAAGTTGAGTAACATATTGACAACGTAATCTCAATCATTATATGTTTCATCTAAATTGAATCAGGTCAAAATCGAAATGTGCCTACCTTTCAATGTTTCAAACCCAACACAAGAGTATAACTCCCATGGGAAACACAACAATTCAAAGATTAGTTCTCCAGGCTAATCGATCCAATTTTTGTTTGTTTTACCAATTTATAGGCACAGCGAAGAATTGTGCCCTCACCAGATCCTGAAATAATTCCACTGGAAAAACATGACAACATACACATTATTTGTTTAGAAGTAAAGGGAAGTGCGGCGTTGCAACAATATTTTTTATTAAAGTTAAGAAAATTACGTATAGTAAAATAAGGTAGATCCGTTATTTGCCTTTGTGAATGCTCTAAATATAGAAATACTTCAGACAATTCAAAACGACATGTTTACAACCACGTTTATTTCAAGTAAGATATGTTGCACTTCCTAACATCACGTTTAGACAAAACTATCTAAAAGATTTTAGAAGATAGTTGTAGCTAAATAAACCCAAACATTTATAAGCAAAGTAATAACAACATGAATCAAATATCAAATATACGTACGACATGAAACAATAAAATACATACTATTTCAAAGTTTCATAATTTTCGTAAAGAATATAATCAGCAAATACAATGTGAAGAATTATCATAAAAGGTGTTGCCGAATATTTGGAAGAGAAAGTACTTCAAAAGAACGACATTCAATTATTTTATATAATAATTGGTTATCAAAGGAATTGAAGGATAGATGTGATAGTTATAATACTGACGAATCAATACTAAAAAGTTGGTCAGTTCATATAATTTCTTTCAAGAACAAATTCTTAAATATGAAATTATTTTGTCAATGTATTATGTAATACATCCTACAGTTTTTGATATACCGTTAGGAGTCAATGATGACTAGAAACGTTCAGAAGATTCTCATGTGATCATCAGAAGGACAAACACTACAGAGAAACAGGTTATTTTGTTTAACATACACCAATGGTATCGAAAATAGGAGAAGAATGCTTCGCTACATGCCACACAGAAAAGCCGATCCATTAATGAAGTTTAAGATATTTGGACGTGCTATGATGACCTCGGAGAATAATTGGACACCGTTCTTCCACTCTTCGGATCAAGAACCACGTGCTTTATCAAGAGGAAGTATTTATTTCATTTCATTTGCATGTCCAGTCCTCTTGATATTATTAAATGTTCTTTAAATGGTGGTACCTGTGAAATTGTCTTCAATTAAGAAGCTCTTGAAATTTTTGACACAAATGCCTTTTAAGGTAAGAGAGGTGGTACCCAATCCAATCCATTACCCATTAGGATATTGTTCACCAGGATTCTAGCACCAAAAAATACGACAATTTTATGACATTAACTCTCAGTGAGTCTGATATTTTAACTAAATCATTACACTGAAAGGTGTACTGAACTATATACTTGCTATCTACAGTATTAACAAAATAAAGGATGACTTCTTCCCAAGCAAAAAATCCGACGAGATTGTTGAGAAGACACTTTCATGTTTAATCAATGACACTGAACAGCATTGTGTCATATAGGGTAAAATTTATAAAACTTTGACTCCTGAAAAGAAGAAGAACCAAACCAAGGATGACCCAAAAATATTGAGAAAGGAAAAATCATAAAAAGACTGTTGGATATACAACATTAACAATACGCCTCATTTGTAATCCGATATCTCAATTGACTTTTCTTTATCCAATAAGAATTAACCATAAACTATATTATATATATATATGTATGATATTGTTAGTAACATGTAATAATGAGCAGTTAATGTATACAAGTAACAACATACTCATATTCTGACTTGTAATGGTGTGATACCACACTCCATTGCCACAATCTGTCTTTCTTCCCTAATGATCCACTGTTTCTTTTCAAATATTTTTTCCAAAAATTCTTTAGTAATCTTACTAATTGTGGTTGTCTTATGTTTTTTTGGTATAACCTTTTTAGAAGTTCCTTTTTTCATGCAAACTAAGTCCCGAATATCTAGATGTCCTTGCGAAAGAAAACATTAACAGAATTTTCGATTCTTTTCGAATATTGATGAAACAATTGATGAAAGTTAATTTGTTCAAATTAATTGTTTAAATAATTTGTTTATGTCTATAATCGTTATCCTCCACCCCTTATTCCTCATTTTGAGCGATGATGCAATATGGTATTACCTAATCGGGAAAATTCCAGCATTTCCCGATCTAACGCAATATGGAACAGAAGAACCTGATAACAGTTTTCAGCTACAAAACCTCAGATACGTACATACAATATACTAGCACCAGTAAATATATGAGTAACTATTGATTCCTCTTTCAAGAATATAACAGGTAAATTTGGAATAAGTACTTAGTCTATGCCGAATATCACCCCTTGCACTCACTATAGAAAACGGCGACGTATGAACCGTTTGAAATGTAAACATACCATAGCCATACTTAAGCAGCTTACAACATTAACCTCCTGATATCTAAATGAGTATATAGAATGGAATAAAACGTATCAGTACTTCCTCCTATTCAGCTCTCTCTGTCTCTTCCTTCTATTGTTCCTTTACTATATTAGCAATGTCCATAAATCCTTCGCAGTATATAATCTTTTCTTTGACTCTTTCCTCCACCCAAATCGTGCGTTGACATAAAAAAATAGAGATCAATGGTGACGACCTCGATGAAATCATATTTTTTCACATTTAGGAAGGATCGTGAATTATTTATCTTACAGAAACGTATATCCTCCTAGAGGTAGGGAAGAGCATCATAGAGGAAGAAATACTTGATCTGCATAAAGCTTACCCCTTAACTATACTTATTTATTCGTATTCAAATATCTGAGTTGTGTCTGTACATAGGTAATTTACTTATTTTGCGTATCAAACGATATATACATATATTATAATTAGAATCAAACACTTGAACACAATATAGTCATTACCATCATAATGAATAACCATGAAGTTTCACAAAATGATACTTCAGGACCAAACGATAGTACGAATATTAGAAAATTTTATAAAGTACAAACCGCTTGTGCTGAATTACAAGCATGTATGAAGACCATCTATGACTATGGATTAACAACAGCAGACCTGTGTAAGCTAGCTTCTGAAGGTACACCAGTTTCTACTGCTATTGCAGAGAGTCCATCAATGCTTATATCCAGCAAACTGATAGAGAAGAAAGATTCCTTTGATATCCTTAATTTAATGGAAGATACTAAATTTAGCGTTGAAATAAATCCAGTCGACAAATTTATTTATTATCCAGTAATTTCTGATCCTAAATTGGAAAATTTAGCGTTCATTCATAGAAGTTATCCAAATATGAACGTCCAACTTACGGAAACTGAAAAGACCATCATGTGTAATGAAAGATTAGAATTTTTAGGTGATAGTTGGTTAGGTGCATTTGTCGCTCATATTATTTACAAGAAATACCCTTATGCTGATGAAGGTAAACTTTCATCTATGAAGGATTCCATTGTTAATAATAGTAACTTAGCTAGATTATCTGATGTACTGGGGTTCAAAGAGAGATTAAAGGCTAATATTCCAACAAGTAAAATGAAAATAAAGGATAAAGTTTCAAAACATTACGCCGATTGTGTTGAAGCTTATATTGGTGCTCTTGTTGTTGATAGATTTGGAAATGAATTAAAAGAAATCGAGGATTGGATTGCTTTCCTAGCAGAAGAACAGTTCAAAGAATTTGGTTCAGAAATGATTAAGAAACCATTGAATAGAAATGCGAAAGGGGAATTAGCAGAATTGTTCCAATTTAATACGATTAATGAGAAATTGACTTATGAAAGATTGAATACTTCAATTCCTTTCCAAGTAAGAGCAATGCTTGGTCCAAATGTCTTGGCTTATGGTAAAGGCCACAACATTAGAGAAGCTGAACAAAGAGCCGCTATGATTGTACTTGACAATCATGACTTATTACAGAAATACTGTCCATTTGAATTAGAAAATAATTCCTCAAGAGCAAAAATCTTAGGAGAGGAATTATCGAAAACCAACCAGATCAACAATGTTTTAAATACAGATGACGAGGAAAGCCATACGAGTAATTTTATGTATATTAACCAGGATATTAAAAGATCCACCGCTGTACCAATTGAAGCAAATGCTGCCCAGCTAACTCAAGGAATGGTAAATATAGAAACCCAATCCACTGATAACAACAATAATAATAACTATGATATTAATAAGTTAACAGAGGAAGTTATGAATAATCTTTCATCCAAACTCTCTTTATTGGTTACCGATGCAGTTTCTCAAGTGATGAATAACAAAACAAAGGTTGAAGATTCAGCTCCAATTGAAATCACCAAATCAACACGACCATCCCAGTCTACTTCAGCAAACTCAGATACCACAAATTCTGTTTCATATACGAAATCGACAACTGGTCAAAATTTTGAGGCGAAAATAACCAATACCGATGTAAATATATCAAATGATGACACTAACTGCACCACGGCTTCAACGATGCCTGAAACAGTCCAACTTGCTACTTCCAAATATGCGATTAATGCAACTAATGAAACACCACTAAAACTATCTTACATTAATACGGAAGCTCCGGTAGTTTCCCAGGTAACGTCACAACATATTCAAACGACCAATGTGACAACTGACAATGAATGTGATAAGGAAGCTACTCAAAGGCTTTACGTAATTTTAGGTTCTATCAAGGAGACACCGGATTATAGTGTTTACCAAGATGAAGACACTGGTCTCTTTAATGCTGTCTGCTTGTTGAAAAGTGACGGTCAAGTTATCGGTGAAGGTTCAGGCAGAAATAAAAGAATTGCAAAGCATATCTGTGCTAGTAATGCGCTAACTGGTCCTGAATTGCAGGAACTACTAGCAGGAGCTACTAGCTAACAAATTGAATGTTAAGAGAGAACAATACAGACTTTATTAATATCTCACTAACTCATTGCATTATGATAATATAACATAATAGAACTGCATACGGAACATTATTATGTAAATTTAATCATTTATTTATATCCTGCTCTACATATTTCTAATCAGAATAAAACCATATAACATAATCTCATGAATTATTCCCAACTACATATCTTCGCCTTACATGACAAAAGAAAAATAACCATTCCATAAAACATCTGTTATTTAACTTATGACTTGGCAATTTAATAGGTAATTGATGTTACTTCAACAGTTCGCGAAATTAAACTTTGTAAACACATCGCGTAAAAGAATTGAAAAGTAAATACAGTATGATAAAATAAGAAGAACTCAACCTTCCAGTACTGATTAGGAAGAAGAATAAAGTTGTTATTATTCTCCATAAAAACGAATCACATTCACACATAAATAATATTTTTTTGTACACACAGTCGAACTATCTATGACTATGTTGGGTTCTATACAGGAGTTAACTAAAAACTTCTTTTATGACTCCTCCAAACAGAATGGCAGAGCTGATGTGCCTTACGAACCATATAAAACCAGACGACCAAGGAATATACCTCCAAAATATGATTCAATTAGAGCAAATTCTCGAAGAAATAGAATTCAGAAATCTACAGCCAACAATGTGATCAAAAATAAAAAATTTCGCGATAATAGATCCTCGATGAATGATGAAATGATCTTTTACAAAAATGGTAATATGAGTGGATCACTGAAAAGATATTCTAGAAAATTTTCCAATTTGAAAGACTACTTATTTTCTATATTTTCAAATGATACAGAGACTTTAGAAAACCTGAAAGAATCATGTTATAATATAACTGTACGAAGAAAAAATTCAAATATCAATTCTAATAATTCGTACCTTAATATTAAACAACGAATTGAAAATAGTAAGGCCTTTCGTTCCAAATTGTTTGAATTAAAATATGATAAAGAACAGTTACAAAATCTAAGAAGATCCAAAGGTTTCAACCCTGCATTAGTCCTCAAAGAAAATATATCACCTAGAAGTATCGACGATGATAAAATATTTTTGTTAAAGAACGAGAATCGATTATTGAAAAGAGATTTGAAATCAACAGTTTCTGAGTTAGAAGTTACTAAAAAAAGACTTAATTTTACTTTAGAGAAAAATAGAAATTATATGAAAAAAATAAATGAATTGAAATTACAATTAAATGACTACAAGTTAGAAAATGCCAGAACACACACCAAAAAGGATACATTATTAAATCCGCCGAATTTAGGCAAAGCCTACAACAAACATATCGATCGACATCGTTCTGAAAGTGTTGATGACAATAAAAATATGATGACTAATGAGAACATTGACACAGATAACCTTTCACCTGTCAGGGTTGACTTTTCAAGATACTCAGACAACTCAAATGTTAGCTCCAGATGATATTAAAAACAATGAAATAACCCCCATTTTAGGTCGAAATGGATCGTATCCTTTGTTAGATCATGCACAATAATCCTAAAGTAAATACATGGACATTCATAATAAACTTTCGCGGATTATTTCACAGTTGTTTCTTTTCTCCTTTATCTATCGAGCTATCTTATTCTACCCATATCATCGTATGTAACTGTATTACTATTACTGTCTGTAATCTTGGCGCTGATCATTTTAACCTTTACCAGAATAGTATTTTCTCCATTAATAAACACATCTGCATCAGGGTTAGCTCTCAATAACAAAGTCTTATAATATTTTGATTCTGGTCCCAGGGGGTTTATAAAATCTGCTTCGCCTTTAATTGTGGCACTTATTTGGTTTAATTCAGAATCGTCCAATTCATCGAGAAAATTCTCTAATTTTTCCTTATTAGCGGTTTCATCTGTGTACTCATTGATACTATGCTTCCGAATGGATAAATTATTTGCAGCGACCCAATCATGAAACAATAATGCCACCGTTGGGTTTGTTAGGATATTCATGTATTTCTCCGTGTCTCTTGATGTTGCGAAAATGATATAATCATTTTTATCCCTCGTCTCAAATGTTGAATCAGTTGGAACATAAATGTAATTCATAAGGGATGCGGATGGAGCACAATCATTACCACATGTGGCTATATGTACATACTTTGATGTCTTTATCAAATGAAGAAGTTGTTTCGGTAGCTTCCCATACATTGTCTTTTGTAACACGTTTTCTCTCCAAAGACTATTATAATTTAAATATAATCAATATTCTTTGTATTATGTAATGACACTTGGTGGACGATCACCAAATTGTAAAGCTTCGATATACCAAATAACTAATAAAAACACACTATGTACGGACTCTATTACTATTTCAAAAATATTAGTACTTCAAAGAAACACAATCTAATTCTGAACTAACCTGGTCGACGGCTCTTCCCTTATATTCCAATTAACCTGTAAGCTGTTTGTTATAAATTAGTTCATCTAATATTTATATGCATATATATGAATAACGCAGGCGAAATGGAATTTTCTTGACAAATCCAACGGAAGAGAACGCAATTTGAAAGTTTCCGTGTTCCGTATCATTCACATCATAACAAATAAAAAGTGGACAAGGTTTTATTTTTGTTATTTACTATTTTTACAAACACATATAATAATATACAAAAGAATATATATCGCAATGTGATATCGTGCACTATCGTTTTCTATTTTGTTATAAAGATAATAGATGGATACACTTTACAGGAGAAATGCATACGGGACGTTTTATGATGAGGGGTTACTCGATAAAGTAATAAGCGGGTTTAAATTTTGTTTTCAAACAATTGCTGATAATACGATCAATATTTTACCATTATTCTTTTATTATCATTGTTTATCAATCTACTCGTTCTTTACCTTTCTTAATTTTGGCAATAGTATCGATCCAATGTGTTAAGATAGTTTCACATGCCGGATGGAATTCTTTCAATTTCGGATCACAATTTATTACTTTTAACAATTTGTAAAGTTTGCTCTTCCTTAAACATTCTTCATCGAAGAATGGTGGGTCATTGTCTAAATTTTCAATAACCTTTTCTAGAAGTTTATGAGTTTCTGTAATATCATTTGGTCCTGGCGGCGTCTTTCTTTGGATAAGATTTCTTTGCATTCTACGGCGGAATAGCATTGTGATTTCGATCCGACGGTTTCTATCCAATTTTTTATGATATTTATGCTTAGAAGAACTCATATTATTATTTTGAAAAGGTTTTCCATTAATCAAATCAGATTCATTTTTAACATTACTATCATTTTCTGGATCTGATTCAGATTTTATTTGGTCTTTATCATCAGTAACTATTTTCAAAGTTGGTTTAATATCTTCCTTTACATTCCGATCATCACCAATTTTACCCCAAAATGGATCCTCACCACTTTCGACTTCTCCATTCTCCATAATTTCTGTGTTAAATTCATTTAATCTACTTTCACTCCTAAATTTATTTCGCATAAAGACTCTCAATGAAACATATTTATCTGCTAATTTATAAGCACCTAAAAGATCCTTGGGTGCAGCATGTTTACCACCATGATGAGCATTACTATTTTGAGTCAAAAAATCTTGAATGATATCTTCAGATAATGGTTTCAATTTATGTATATATTCCCAATAATATGTTGGATCGTTAAAGAAACACACTGCCACACAGTTCCGTTTACGTTTACGATATACATCAGGACTCAAAAATCTTTGAGGAAAAACAACTGCAGGCCAAGGGGCAAATGCACCGACTTTACACAGGACTAAATCCCCAGTTTTGAATTCTGTAGACATTTTAACTTTAAATAATCTCGAGAAATAATTTGAACTTTAAGATGCATAAAAGGGGAACTATGCAAAAAAGTGACAACAGTTCTTAATTCCCTTTCTTTTCTTTTCTTGAAGAATATAGTCGTGATGTGGAATTTCCTGAAATTAAATGTTACAATTTCCGTTTGTGAATCAAACCTCAAACGATGTCAATGTATAATGCGATCCACCTTTAATGAACTTAAGGAGAAAGCGAATGGAAGTAAAAAAAAATTAGGTTCTTTCAGACAGACCAATAACAACAACTCACCAGAGCGTAGAAATAAATAATAATAATCCAATTGTTGTGAACTATTGCTTTGTTCTAAGAAACCAATCACCTTTTGTATTGTTTGTTGTTCTATTCGTAAAAAAACTACTTGAATATTTGGTTTTTCGTTCTTGCCTCCTTCCTAAACATCACATTCTTTTTTTTTTTTGTTATTGACCAACTTCACCTGTTTTTATTTGTTTGTGTGTACCATACATGCAAAATTAATAACCCGGCCGAATGTAAAAAAATTTCGATCAAACGAGACATTTGCTTCGTGAGAAGTTTTCACTATTTAATAAACATATCAACGCTTGTTGATATTATTTCTCGTTAGTTCTTTCTACAATATTTTGGACGTTTGATTCCAAATCAGGAAACTCTTCTATAATTTTTTCCGCCAATGAATCTCTCAATTGTTTGAGGGCATGCATCTTGGCACGTTGATATTGATTGGACCGACGAATTGCCTCCACAAACTCTCTTGTGTAAATATCAGGATTTCTGCCATCTTCAATGTATTGGATTACTTCCAAAGGAATATTTATAGAATTTAAAGCAGATTCTGGGTCATTACTTCGTTGATTCAACTTGAATAATCTTTCTACATTTCTTTTTAAATTTGTAATCATACCTTGAGTAGCCTCTGGAGTATCAGGGAAATCATACACTGAAACACCTAGTTCAATGAAGGATTCAATGATAGAAGCAACCTGTTGTTCAGCTGTACCAAGTTCATTTTGTAGTGCAGCTATTGACTCTGTTGTTGGTGTTGCATTGTCAGTAGGTTGGGTTCCAACTGGGTTATTGTCTTGGACTGCAGTTTCTTCTAATTGGTTTGACATTCTTTATAATCTCTAACTCAGTGTATGTAATGTATGATCAAATTGATTAAATACGTATCAAAATTTGAAATATATTTAAAAAAGAATAGTATATGAGTTAGTAAGAAATTTGAAGATCTTTGTTTTTGTTATACTCTATTCTAATCAAAACAGCTTCACCCAATCGACTAATATGATAAATATAATGCAGTATATCTGCATATATGACTATCAACAATAATTCACAATGATAAAACACCAAACTCTCTTCCCTGTGACTATTTTCATCTTGAATTCAAAAATTTCATACATTGCCTCTCTGTCTGTATATTGAAAGTATTTCCTTCCATTACCATGCACCCATATAAATTTTTCTTGTTTCCCTTTCATTTGCGCACCCAATTTTTTTTCTTCCAGCTTTGGCGTCTTGGCAGGCCGGTGATATTTTAATATGACAGCAAAATGTCTCAACTTAGTACCAATTTTGAGATGACTTCGGATTCATCACAATCAGGGACTATGATTTAAAATTAATCATACATATAAAACGATAATGATCACAACATGAGAATCATACTCCAAACACTTTTTTCAAAAAAATATTAAACTATAAATGTATAGAGAGAGAATTTAAAAAAAATAAAATAAGAGGAAAATTTTTGGAATAATTAATTCTGGAAGGAAAGGACATTGAATTGATTTGACCTTATAATCGGCAAATTAGACAGCAGTAGAGACATAATATCTATATACAAAAAACAAGGTGTAAGTTTTTTTCTTCTTGTTCTTGTTTTGAGACGTATTAAAAGGAAATTCGTTAAAAAAAAGAACACAAGCACACACAAAGCGGAAAACTATAATAGAACACATTTCTTCTTCTTCTTCTTATCTGGATTAGAATTTTTCTTCGTCTTACCATTATTTTTTGATTTACCCATCAAGGAAGCTCTAGTAGCAGCTTCAAAGACTTCTCTAACACCATACCCAGTCTTTGCAGAACATTCATAATAACCGGTAGCACCAATTTGATCTGCAACAGATTGTCCATCTACGGCTGTTACAGGTTGTTGACCTTCCTGTCTTAGACCTTCCATAGTTTGTGGATCGTTTCTTAAATCAACTTTACAACCTACAAGGATGATTGGAACACCTTGACAGAAATGTAAAACTTCAGCAATCCATTTTTCTTGAACATTCTCCAGAGAATCTGGTAAATCAATAGAAAAACAAATTAAAACAACATTAGAATCTGGATATGATAATGGTCTTAGTCTATCATAATCTTCTTGACCAGCAGTATCCCATAGAGCTAATTCAACACGACGACCATCGACTTCCACATCTGCCACGTAATTTTCAAACACAGTTGGGACATAGACTTCTGGAAATTGTCCTTTGGAAAAGACAATCAGTAGACATGTTTTACCACAGGCACCATCACCTACTATGACTAATTTTCTTCTTATACTATTACCAACTTGTTGAGACATTGTTATATCAGAATTTTTATTATTAATGATTTTTATTTTAAAGAAAGAGATTTCAGAAATAAGCCAAATAAGACAGATCTATGTATACCTAAACTAATTTTTCGTTATCGTTTTCTTGCTGTCAAAATATAAAGACAGTGAAAGACTTTATTGTAATATTGGTTGATCTCTTAGATGTAATAAACCTTTACTCACGTGTAAATAACCACAAAGAAGAATTCGAAAGGAATAAAAAGGAATGAAAGACTAATATGATCAAAACACAGATATGGATTCAGATACAACTGCACAGCCAAATTCTTGAAGGTCTTGTAAATTCCTTTAACTAGTTCAAGAATTTAAACATCGTAACTATCAAGGAAAACCTTCTCTCTATCTCTTTTACTTACTCTCACCCCTCCTTCACGACTACCGCTGGATCAAAAAATTTCTTAAAGACAATCATTACACGAAACAAAGACTCCTCGCCCTCCATTCAAAGCAAAGAAAAACAAAAATCCAAAAAGATGACAGCAAACAAAACGAAGAGGAACAAAAGAAAAAATTTCTTAAAATTGTGGTAACGCGTTAAAGACAAAATTTGGCCGTGAAGTTAGGAACTGGGTTAGGAACTAGGGTTACAATAGAAAGGAATATGGCCCATTTAATAACCAAGAACACACACACACACACACACACACACATATATGTATATATCAAACGTACAAACAATTAATCAACGTATATTATTTATTACGTAAAACAATGTTATTTTATATGGTACTATGTATGACAAAAAATCATTGCTTTTGTAGGTCATGCACTGCTACATACTCTTTGTACTCTGTTAACGGTTTTAATTTCTTACCTGGCTCTAGCTTGAGATCCGTACTACGTCTCTTCTTCAACTTGGTACTTAGGAATTTTATACTATGATTTAATAAGACACGAACTAAGACGCGTTTAATCACACGTAAGAAATCAATTAGTTGTAATATTTGGTTCTTGACTACCAATTTAGGGAATGTAAAAAGGAAATCAGATACATCAATTAATCTTCTCTTACCTTTACCTTTATAACTAACACATAACTTGAAGCTGTTTAATAATAGATCATCTACAATAATATAATCGGAAGACCTCTTAATCATTTCATTCAGATCAACATTTTTCTTTGTTAATAAAGCAAATTGTTCTCTCAAAGCATCTGCAGTTTCATCAGGATTAATTAAATCGCTAATACTTTCGTCGTTATCGTAATTACCATCATCTGCTTCTCCTGCATTAAATTTATGATCACCGTTTGTAATATCATCATCTTTTCCCACATTTGTCATGGATGATGAATCACTTAACCATATAATAATCTTATCAATGGTCTTATCTTCTATCTTCACACATATACCTTGTAAATGTGTTTCAACATTATTAACAATCTTGATACCACCAACAGGTTTATCCATTTCCCAAACAATATCTATCAAGGAAGTACGATCATTATACTCTTGAATATTTTTGCTATTACAATTCTTAACAGTTGTGCCCAGAACTTTGCAAGTTTCTGTAGGTGGAATATAAGGACCAACCATATTATGATAACGAACATCTTCTAAATTAAAGATCTGGAACATATCAACTCTTACTCTATTATTATTGAAACCTGATGGTAATGTACTTTTATTATAAGAAAATTTGGCAATGGCAACGTCTAAAAATGGGGTCTTATTATCATTTAATAAATGAACAATAATCTCGTTCACCTTAACATCAAACGTTTTCCGTCTTGTATTATCTGATACTTTCCATGTATTATTAGATTCCAACACTTTCATTAACATGTAAAGTTTTAATAAATGATTCATCCTTTCACTATAAATATTCGATAAATCAGCCTGACCAGCATCATCTAAGATTTCTCTCCTAAATCTTAATTCCTTATCAATCATCTTTAGTTTTTGTTGATTTCTGCATAAACTTGATAACAAATTGTATAGACCTGGAATATTATCAATATCATAACCAAGAGCCACCTTTTCAATCTTTCTTTTCAGTGCACTCTCTTCAACAGCGTCAAACAATACCAATCTTTTTATTATACCAGTTAGCATCGTAAAAGTCTTAGAAGTTAACGATATATTAATCTTGGGCAATAATACAGTAGTTCTATCTTCAAAGCTACTCTTTATCATATCATAGACATTTGAGAAAGGTAGAACATTCTGTGATTTGTACATTGCATAGAAATTTTTCACTAAACTCTCTTGGTCCAGACTACTACTCTCAAAACTATGCTCAATACCTAACCAAGGTGACCATTCACTGTTCTTTTCTTGCCCATAGGAATTAGTGTCGAAGTATAATCCATATTTATTTGCATAATCCTTCTTATTAAATAAGAACACGTTTGCTTTACTCAATAAAATACCTGACCTCTTCAAAAAGATATCTTCTGCATACATGTTATCATTCTCCTTCTCCTCAAAGGATAAAAATTTCATCATAATATTAGGAGATGTAATAATAATTGCTGATTGCGCTTGACGTTCACATGTAACTTGAATTTGAGGTATGACAAATTGGACAAAATGATTTTTATGAATTTCATGACTCATTGTCGTTGAGATATTAGATAAACAATCATTGAACATCGCAAGAATAGATTCAACTGCAATTCCTTCGTCACCAGATGTATCAAATGTATGTTCTGGCTTTACACTTTCTGGTAAGGATGTCTGTGAAGATAAACCTGGTTTCCATTCACTCGATATCTTATGAGAAATCAGCTTTTCGAATTTATTCAATGTTTTTCTAGAAGATAACGATAAGAAACTATTTGCAATTTCATAGAAATGTTTAAATTTGTAAAGATCATCTCTAACTTTTCTATTAATTTTTAATAACATATTAAAAACAAAATACTTGTTCTCGTACTTTAAAAGATCACTGACCGCGATTGAGTTGTCCAATTCTTGAATACCTTTAGTTTTATAATCATTGTAAAGTTTCTTCTCATTAAATTTACCATAGAGAGTTTTTAAGTCATCTGTCAATAATTTGACTTGCTTTTGAGCATAGCGTGCTTCTTCCAACATATGTTGTAGCCCCTTTAGTTTTTCTGGGTCACTACATTTTTCTATATTCTTCTTAATGTTTTGCACAAATTCACTCACACTCTTAGACCTAGACTCTAATGTTTCCAATGACGGCTGTTGAGGTTTGTTCACAATGCAATCATGAGAAACTGTATCAGAGATAGGCTCTATTGGTTGTAAAGTGTCTGGATCAATCTGGTATTTATCACCATAAGCCGCACGTTTTTCGTAAACAAAAACTGGTGCATATAATAAGGCTGTCACATCAACAGTGGGGATATATTTGAATGGATTGACAAAATATGCTTCTCTGTAATCTGATTGATCAAACCAAGTCATGTCATTATCAAAAATGTTATACACACCATCATCCTTTTGCTCGACATACTCAAGTCTATTGAGAGTTGCATTCACTGTACGAATATCAATACCATGTAATCTAATATCACCTATATGAAACTTCATCTTTTTAACTTTCTTTCTAATATCTAATTTTTCGTTATATTCTGTAAGAACTTCTTTACGTTGATGCAGATCAAGGAGGAAATTATCTGTCTTACCCTTAATACCAGCATACTGGACAACCTTTAAGAAACTCTTTTTGATATCCTTATCATAATCAATATTATGACACATATGCGAAATAAAGAATGGTGAAATATCTGCAAGATAAGAAATGGTGTATAGATGCTCGCTAAATTTTGGACTTATACTTTGAATACCAAAGAGCGGCCCACGCCTAACAGGAAAATTACCACTAAACGTTTTCCACCACTTAAAGAATGAGTGCATCGAATTAGGAGTTAATTGCATAGCATTGTATGCCTCATTATTCTTTGATCTTAAATCGAATGACATATGGACAAAATCACTTCTAAAGCCAGCATACGAATCGTGGCTGTGTAAATCTTCAATATAAATTGGGTTACAAAGTCTGATCTTATAATGTTCTGTAAAATCACCAGACCTATGATTAGACCCCTCAGTCATATATCTCTCAAATGCCATCCCTAAATTAAATTTGACACCACCAGTTAGCTTTATTGCTACCTTTTCTTTAAACGAATCTTGCATATTATGTATATCTGTCCTGTCATTTTTTCCCTTCTCAAGATTTAAGAAATAATAAAATGAAGCTGAATGTTGAAGATTAGAATTCTCCTGATTAGGAAAAAAGAAAGTTTCATCACTTGACTTATACCATGTCAGGAAAGGTTTAGCAAATAGATTTGGCATGAAAAAATACAACTTATCAGAAGAACATGATAAAAATTTCTTGGGGTCATTGTCTTCATTACATGTTAAAGTTACACCAGAATCAAATCCTAAAGCATAACCTGCATAATCTCCTCCCAATTTATATGGACTTTTAGAGGCCTTTAGATATATTTCAAAATTTCCGTCATTAACCCAAGAAATCTTAACTTTACCGTGGAATAAATATCTGACTTTATCCCAGAACCCAATTTTCCTTGAGGGGTCCATAGGTGGTTTCGATATATTATCAATACATTGCATCATATGTTGAATTGCAGGTTGGTATGAACCACCAAATGCCACAGTTGTAGTATCCTTAGAATTTACATCTAGTTGCAAGTCCGAGTAGAATTTTATACTAGTGACAGTCCTTGGGACTATCATAGAGTAATACCTATCAGTATTTTCAACAGCGATCGAAGGGACTAATGGCACAAAAATGGCCCTTAATTCCTTGTCAGATAAAATCATATCTTCTGCTACAACAATATCACCATGTATTCGAAGTGCACGTGACTCTTTACTTTGCGATGCGTATATCGGTGGGACATAAATGAATGGCAATGGATAATCTCTTAAATGCCATCTGATTTCACTGAATCGTGCGTCAATATGCATAGGAATCATAATGGAATATTTAGTATCCTCTGGTACATTCTTACCTACTGTGTGCACAAATTTAGGTACATTTTCAATGCCAATATCAGGCCTAAATAGGGTTACATCCACATTTTCCATAATGAGGTTACTTAGAAATGGATATTTTGTGAAATCTTTAACGTTCTTACCTAACGAAGAGGGCAATTTTGAAAAATCTATATTACCCCATAAAAATGAGAAGTTTTTGGAGAATTCTTCTCTTTCTTTGCATTTGTGAACTTGTATTCTCCTTATCCAGGATGTGGAAATATTCTTTTGTAATCTATCGTATGCTCTTTCTACAGTATCTGGTATTGATTTCAGAATATTCCAATTGAAGCTATTCTCATTTCCAAATTGAATATCTGATACACCAGATTTTGCTAACTCCAGTTGAGTTATAATTTTTCTTTTATTTATCAGTTCAGATACAGTTTCATTGGAATCTAGAGAACCCGATTTCAAAACTATGTCTTTCATGTCCGTATTGAATTGATTCCATTTCGCAATTCTCGATTTCTGTTCTTCTAAACCAATTTGAAAGACAAGATTCATCTTAGCCTCAAATGGATCGTCCGCAATACTCAATATATACCTCTTTGATCTTATATTTACGAGTGGGAGTGACGGAATTTTAACAGCATGAGGGAATATAACAATGTCATTCTTTGAGGTTTTAAATGAGTACATCATTTGTTTAATGGATTTGAAGATAGTTGAGAAATTATCGATTAATTTGTAAATTGCAAAGTTATGAGGTACAGTAAAATGCCACGATTCATTTTCCAAAATCAAGCCTGGCACACTATCCTTTACCTGTTGGAAGTTTGATTTCATTTGCTCTTTTACCTCACGAATATTAGTAGATATTTTAAACCTATTAATAACAACAAACCGTTCCCATAAGGATGGTTCAGTAGGTGATTGAATACACATTCTAAAATATTCCCCTGATTGATTGATTTGATTCATATTTTCGAAACTTGTGAAAAGATTAACCGCTTCGAACTTTGTTCTCAAACCATTTGGCATATATGTTAGTTGATGGAATTCATCGATTGCTAGACTTATTTTTACCATATTTTTTAAATGCGTCCAATCAATACATTGTAGTTTAGATTTTTGTTTAGATTTCGCAATTGCCAATAGATATTTCTTTGCCCATGATTCACGATTATTAGAAATTTCACGTTTACTAAAAATCTGATGAAGTGTATGAACACCCGAAATTGCTACGAAAACAGTATTCAAACAAAACAAAGTATTAAGTTTTTTGTTGGTTATATTGACAACGATTTGTGGCTCATCAGACATAGCAAATCCTTCTGTCTCAGGATATACTTTCATCGAAAATATCGAAAGTTTAGAGACTGTTCTTTTAGTCAATTCATTACTTTCACCTGGGGATTCACCGATGACTGTAGTTACAATTGAATTGATAAGGACATTTAAGTTCCAAGGATACCCTACATCGGTCGATGAACTAGTCGATACATCATCAAGACTATCTCTCCCATAACTTTTATATTCTGAAGAGTCTCCCGATTGAACCATAGTAACACGGCCCGCTTCAACCCTATTTTTCCATTGAGTTTGGGAACCACACAAAGCAATTTGTAATTTATCCATGTGAATAAGTAATTTCCTTAATTTACCGTCAACCAAATCATGGGAACTCTGAGGTTCTGTTGATGAAAAGACATCAGGAGGCATAAAAACAGACCTGGAACCCAGTGCCATCTTGAAGTTTCTAATATCAATTTTAATATAATCAAAATAATCGGGTAGTGGTACAAACATAAAATCTTTAGGATTTATTTTGAAATTCTCATGATTACTACCAATTATAGAACATTTATTTTCGCTATTTTCAATCATGCTTGCGAATTTTTCATATAAAGGTTTAAAATATTGTTCTTCCACAGAGACGATCTGACAATCAATATGTCTTATCAACTTGCTTAACATAACCATACTTGGTAGTTCTGATAAATCGACTTGGAAAGTTTCTAGGTTACCTATTACTGAAAGTAAATCTGTTGGTTCCATTTTCACTTCTTCTTGTAAGGTTATTGCATCCATTCCAAATATCTGACAATTATAATTACAATTCTTAATTTTATGTCTTACTGATAAATCTAATAATTCCAAAGATTTCACAGTAGAAAAATAAATTTTGTCTGTCTTTTCGACAGTTGATACCAAATTTCTTGTCGATTTGAAATTCAAAATTAATGCTGATATTCTTAAAAGAATCAAATCATCTTCATCTGTAATAGCCACTTTTGTATCTTCTAATGTAAGTTTTACATTGAACAAAGGTAAAAAACTTCTGAAAAAAGTTGTGAACATTTCCCTCTTTCTAGTAAATTTCGATTTACCAGTACATGTAACCTCTACTGGATCCGAGAATGATTGCGTAAACACTTTAATATTTTTCATGAAAGAATTGATAAAAGAAATATTATTAATGTCAATATCAATAGTTGGGGAAGAAATATTACCTTTAACATTGAATGTGGCGTTTTCTAATGTTTCACCTTGGTTAAACTTGAATTTTTGGGATAGTAAATTTGATTCACCATATAGTGCAAGACTGGGTAATTCGAATATTTTAATTATTTCTGGGGCTTTATTTTTTTTCATCATATTCACACAAATATTTAACCTAGATAAAGCTGTGGTATATTTGAATGGAGTATCATCTTCTCTAAAATATAATTTGTAACCTGGCATTTCTTTAGTAAATCTTGTTAAATCCAATGTGAAATTTGATACAAATAGATTATAATTCAAATATTTATTCATTTCAACCAATTTATAATGGGAAGTAATCGCATAGTTTTTCACGTAGAATTCATCTACTGTAACATTGATATGACTAATAATTTCACTTATCTCACTAATAGTATTCATCTTTTGCATGACCTTCGTTATTATCTCATAAACATTTTCCAGGGACTCATCTGTAGTATCTTTCTTTGATGATATGAGTTTAGAAGATGTAGAAACAATATTATATTTGTATAATGTTTCCATTGGTAAAATCAATTTACCAACTTTTAAATCCACATCTATATTATCTAATGGGAATTGTCTATTGTATAGTTTATCAAAATTCAAAACTGCGGATACGTTATAGAGTGATTCTTTATTCATACTTATTTTATGCCAACTTATATCTCTAATGAATGTCTTGATTCCAATCTCTTTAGTCTTTGAACATAGTTCTGACTCTAACACAAGCTCATTAACAACTATTTCTTGATCAGGTATTTCGATTCTAACAAATATAACATTAAAATTATTTAAACATTTGGATAATAATTGGAATCTTGTCTCTAACCAGGTTGGAATTTTCTTTTTTTTATTCTCATCGTTGATCTTCTGCGATTTAATATCATGATAATTCTCCCTCTTTCCAGTTTGAAATATTTTCAAATTATTTACTACTATCTTCTTTCTATAAGGGTAAATCTGTAAACCTTTAATTTTAAATTTATCTTTATAAGATACTCTAATAAATTCTCCTCGTACAGGATTGAAAAACCCTATATATAAACCAAATGCAAAATATAATATCAATCTAAATGATACCGATATAGAAAGGATTGTACATAATATCGATAATAATGTCATCCTATCGAATTAACCTTTATGGGTGCGTATACGTTTTGTGGCAGGGTATGATTATATATTATCTTCAAATATTCTTAAAATGTAGGGTGCCCAAAATTCTCAGCTAAAAGGCAATACAGGATCAGATTATACTAATACCTGTTTACTATGACTTTCGTTATATATATTACTTTTCAATGAATCTATATATAACTAATCAATGAAAACAAAATAGTTGGAATTATTGTTCAAATATTACATAATCATATTATCTGGGTGTGTTATTGTTATTATTGCAGTATCTCACTTTTTCCCCCATCTCTTCTCTTCTTTTTTTTTTCAACCCTTCTTTTCCTCTATGCCTTGATTATTTACTACTACACTTCGAACCGCATCTTTCGCATTTCAAACTATTCATCGCTAAATTCCTCTGATCTCCTCTTCCTTTTTTGCTGTTGGTTTTTTTTCCCTTAAAATTATTTTTTAGAAATTTTTTATTTCAATATATTTTTGAAGTGAGTCTGAGAAATGACTGCACAGGGATTACCTTGTTCATGTAATCAAAAGTCGCCGCATCTATTTTTTTAGTAATAATAAATAAATGATCAACACAAACAAAACGCATCTGCCAAATCGAAAATGATCTTCTTTTGGTCCCAAGAGGGTAGTCCTAATCTAGTAAAGTGAAATATTTAACTTACAAATAGCCTAGCGACTAATATAGTAATAGATTCAGACAGTACAAGAAACTCTCTGCTTATTTTTTTTTAAATATAATTGATACTAAAATCACAATTATTATTTTGTGTTATCACTAAGTATTATCACAGTAAAATATGATGCACATTGTTACAAGATGAGAAGAAAATTAAAGATGAAGCACTGTAGATAAAGAACGCTAAGTGTTTAACGTTTAATATACGCTATATACAAATATAAAAGAATAATCAGTTACACGTCAAAATGTATGACTAACAACATACCTGGTTCAAATAAAGCTTTCCATAGTTTTTCTTAAATTTAAAATGTGTATTGTTTGTTTTATTAATATGAACTATTATACATTAGATAATCAGGGTTTTGTATAGAGAAGGAAATAAATATCTGTATATTTTGTAAATACCGCTCAAAGTTCGATTTTACTCTGGAAAAATAATCGTTTACCGTCCTTAATAACTACAAGTAATAAAAAGGAAGACGCCATTGAAAGACATGCCATAAATGTAAAGACACCACCGTAGTTCATTTTGTCTACCATACGTGTCAAACATGCAATAAATATAGCCGACGTAATACATCTAAATAAATTCAAACAACCGCTAGCAGTGGATGATAAAGATGGGAATACATCAACACATAATGTAGTGGCCATAGTTAAAATACAACTACTAAATAAAGATGCAAATCCACTAGTCACTAATATGGATGCTAATGGTGCTTTAACTTCAATACACCAACCATAAGCAATATAACCTATGTTACTTAATAATAATGTAACAAAAGCTGGTTGCAACCTAGCTCTAGCAATATTAAAATAATATTGAGGATGGTTATCAACAATTTTCTGAACAACTTTTTGATCTTGATTATTTTCATTTAATAAATTAGTCTTTTGTTCTTTTAACCAACTTTTATAATTTTGAACATCTTTTTTATAACTGTAATTCAAGTATTTACCACATGCAACCATACTAACCAATGAACAAATACCATTTGGTAAATAACATAAACCGATCTTTGTGACACCCAAACCATATTTTTTACTCAAGACAGTAGTTAAAGCAGCTTGATGTGTTGTCCAACATGAATATTGTATAGCTGCTACAGTTAATAAGATTAATATTTGATGATTCTTCAAAATTTCAAATATAGCAAAATTGTTACTTTTTTCTCTTTCCTCCAAAGAACTATAATCCGGATTATCCAAATGTAATGACCTTCTAACATTTGGAATAATTAGAGCTGGTGCTTTGTTAAAATATCCCTTTGGAGTTACTGAACCATTACCGACTAAACTCCTTTTAGTCTCTGGTAAAAAAATAAATGTTGAAACAAAACATACACCTGAACCAATGACTAAAAACCAAAAAATAGCTCTCCAACTCCATGTCGCAGAGAGACCAGCACCAATTAATGAACCGAAAGCAAACCCAATGACAACAAATCCACTGACATAACCAATATAAGCACCTCGGTCTTTCTTTGTAGTAAAATCACCACATATACCACTATTGATAGCAATTACAGGAGCAATACCAGCTGCTTGAAGGCATCTTAGGCCGATGATTTGAGAATAATTTTGAGCACAAGCTAAACCAATACATGCACAAAAATAAACTAAGACAGATGTAAGTATAATTGGTCTTCTACCGTAAGTATCTGCCATGGAACCCATAATACTGGGTGTAATACCCTGGAAAAGGAAATACACAACAATTGTAATATTGGCTTGTTCTTCATTGATATGAAATTCTTTTTCAATAATGTTCAGAACGGGATAATAGATTGCACCAGCAATACTAGAAAAGAAACCTGTAAAGGCACATTGTGCAACCAACCCATATTTTTGGAATTTAGTAAACCTTGAATAAGGAAATGATCGAAATTCATCCTCCTGATTTTGCTTTAAAGAAGAATTGTTTTCCAAAACCTTACTTTCAATGTTTTTACTATTTGTGGTAGTAACATCAGACAAAATTTCTTCTTCAGATCTATTAAGAAACGGAGACCCAAATTTGTCACTAATAGATTTTCTTAAATTTTCTGATATTGACATAATCGAAGGAAATTTACTAGAAGTTCTAAATTATTTACCAAGAGAATAATATGGTTTTTTATAAAATCTATATAAAATTTAGAGAGATAATAAGTGCTGCCAAATTGTTTATTTTATTTTAGTACAATGATAACAGTACGATAACAGTATCACTCAATAAATTTATTTTTCTTTTAAAAATGAAATAACGTATAAAATATACAAACACAAATATTAGTGTAAATATTAAAGTTTTATCAATTTCTGAATAACTTCATATATTCTTTCAAAACTGATTAAATGGAATTACAAAATTGAACAAAAGAAGGAGAATAGTTTGAACATCTTGCTTTTTATACTTTTTCTTGACCCTGAAAATTTTGAGAAAAAACAACTCCACCCATACATCTGGATTACCCACATGGTAAATAATCTAAAAATAGGTTTAAGTACTTCGGATCGAGAAAATATTGGATTTAATTATTAAAAAAGTATAGAATAATCAAATTGTGTAACCTAGATTTTCCAAAATAATACAACCCAATCTTGTAATGTGTGAACTGTTCTTCTTGATTCTCATTTTTGGGCCGAATAATAATATGGTGCAAAGATATTATGTTGGTCAGGTAAGTTTTGCTCCTGAATTGGTATGTCTACCCTTTGTAAACTTTAAATCTGAAAATGTTAATTAACACATTAAACTATCAGTATGGTTACTTTATACTATTCAATAGTGTCAAACTACTACCATCAGAGATAAAAACTAAATATAATATCCTAGTTTGTACTCATTTAAATTCAAATGGCACAAAAAGTCTCATTATTTAAGCTTCTCCAATCTAAAACAAAGACTAATAATATTTATGATTATATTTTAACTGTAAATTATACATAACAAGGAAGAAGATGTTCTGAATTTAACCACTGCCCAACATTCATCTTTATTGTTTCTAAATTATCCAATTTAGATGGAATCAAATTCTCTGTCTTCCTTCTACAAATGCTACTTATTTGAGATATAACTAGGTTGTTCGTTTAGGCTGTATCTACACGGTTTCATTCTGGGGATAAATCTATTATGGCCAAAATTGAGCATGAAATTATTATACTGGATGAACTTAGATGAGAACTGGTTTGTTTGTTTCAAACGCGGATATACCACAAATTATATTGATTACTCACTAGTTGAGGTTGATAGATATACTTAGATTTTCTAATAACAACTGAAAAATACTAATCATATCTTCTAATAACAAACAGTCTCTCCAGGAAGCAAGTCGGCCGAACCCGTCAATTCTTCGGCTTTGAGTTTACCTCAAAATAATGGTAGAGTTAAAGAATGCCCTTGGCTTTGTTACCCTTTTTTTGCTTATGTCTGCAGGAAATCGTTCATTTTTATGATCTGTGTTATATTTTCAGGGGAATATAGTAAAAGTTTGGCGGATGATTGTTTTCTCAAGATTTTTTTTCAAATTTTGCGATCCGTTCGGGTTGCATGCAACCGTTTTCGGTAAATATATGAATAAAGTCATAGGCTAGTTTTATGTATTTTAAGTTATGTATATATACATATAATATGACTTTGTCTCAAACTGAAAGTGGCAGTTGAAGAATTATTTATAACTGAAGATCTTAACGAATATAAATATACTTAACATGTAGAAGGTTTTGTAAAAATTTAGATAGTTTAGTGTGTAGTATTTGGAGAGAGAGAATAGGGTAGCAAAATATATTGATTAATAATAAAAAGATTTTATCCAAAATAATGCTATGCTTCATATGATAAACGATTTATCTTCACTTTTGCTTTAATAGATCTAGATCAATTATCTAATCTCATTGCCCGATAGGCCATGGAGGAAATTCATAAATAAAAGGATCTCATGGAAAACGTGTATTTCTAATTTCCCCCTCCCTATCAGGCTTAACTTCAAATGCATAACTTCAAATGCGAGGGAGCTTTCTCTACACCTGGGAGTAGGTATTGGGGGTGACAAATCAATTTTTTTTCCTATAGTAAAGAGCTGCGATGGAGAACCTCTTCTCCCAAGTTACCCCAAAACAATTGCGGCCACTCTCAAAACCCTAATTTAATGGTATTAGAATAGTGTTCACGTAATTTGGTCTATTACTATATTCTAAATCCTTACGTGTACAATCATAGGTATCCCACTTGTTAATTATTTTTTAACCTCATTTGTGGTAGAATTTTAATAAAAAAGTATCGGATGCTCTGTTGCATATATCCATAACCAATTATGTACCTCGGAATCATAACTACTCCTCTCCTTTCTAAGTGAGAGGAATGTTGTAAAATTGTTTGCAATTAACCATACACTGTTAGACTTTTCAAAAAAAAAAAAA